TATAATAATTATTAACTATTTTATTATATTATACTAGATTCTTTATTTATAGTAAATATATATTTCTTTTATCTTATTACTATATCTAGTAGTATATACTTTTAGTTACTCTAAAACTATTTTAATTAAATAAATAAAGATTTTAAAGACTAGCTTTTAATTAATTAAATAGAAATATAAAGATATTTTATTTAATATTAAATTTATATTAGATATAAATACAGTTAATAAATATAAATACTAGAATATATATAAATAATAATAAGTTTTAGTAATAAATTATTATTTTTATATAATCTATTTAGAAATAGTTTAGAAAAATTATATAAATATAGATAAGTAAAAGTCGTAACAGGTGACCCTCAAGCAACCCTCTAAGAATCAAGGGTCAGGTAAGGGTTACTGAGGTTGGACCTGACCCTTGCGAGGGTCGGGTTGAGGGTCTAAATCTTGGACCCTCATGAGGGTCATGGCGAGGCCTACTATCTTGCTATTTATATCTTTTAATCTAATCTTATCTTTGATCTACACCATACTATTTTTAAAAACCAACATATATATCTATCTATCTTTTTTATAAAACCATCATATTATTATTATCAGAAGTACTTTTAAGAAAATATAACCAAAAAGGTTATAATTCTAAAACTTACTTTATTAATTATAATATATAGTAAGCTTAGAAACCAAAAAAGCTAGTATGGGAATTTTCTAATAATAATAGTGTGGTTCCTAGTATGAGATAGGACCACCATATATATACCACCTAACAGGTTGACTACTTGAAAAGTAGTAATTGCTGAGCTTTTAGCCTAGTGGTTAGGTGGCTGGCTAATGGAATCACAGTAGTCTAGAGATAAAAAAGAGAATAGAGATTAAATAAAAAATATACTTAATAAAGATAAAGTTAGTAATAAATCTTTTATTTAATTATACCAACACTTATCTAGATTTTAATATTTTTAAATTTAGTTATTACTTTTAATTATATTTTCTATATTAATGTAAAGGATTACTCCTGGGATTAGCAATTCAATACATTGGATCTTCCCACTAGGTAAAAAGATCCACTATGATCGACTCCGATCGGAGTTGATCTCCCAGGCACAGTATATATAGTATCGCAACTTGTCATCCTGCCTTAAGCCTAAGGTTTAACCGTGACAATTAAGGGTATTTTATATTTTTTTTTTTAGGATTTTTAAGATATTCTATTATAAAAATTAGGAATCCTATATAAAATCCTATTTTCAATATTAAACTAGATAGGTGTCCTATTCTAGCCTTACAGTTGGGATGGGAAATTCCCATTCCCGTCCCATCCCATCCCCAACGGTTCAGTCTGCCTACTGTTACAATAACATCATATATAGGTGGTGGTTAGGCATATCGAACAAAAGGTTCGATATTTTGGTCTTTTTAGCTTAGTGGTTCAGCCTAACCCCGCTATGTCTATAACACCTACCTGCGGCGCTGTAGCATGCTTTTACCCTACTACCTACGGTTCCCTGAACCGCAATTAACAGTAATACTAAGATAGTGGAATATAAAGATATCTTTCTTATTTAGCATAGTCGTATTTATTTAAAACAGTCTACTATAACCATATCCCAAGTCTAATACAATCAAATTCATATACAGCTCCTGAATAACCTCATTTCATCAGTAATCGTCAAATACCCTGTCACTAAATAACCGGCGAGCTGTTACGCCACCTTGCCGGTGGTATATCCTTCTAGACTTATTCATGCCTATAGCGCACACTTACTATGTAGGCTAGGCCCCCCAACTAGGGAAGGCAGATAAGAGCTTAAAAAACCATATCTTGCACAGCAAATGATATGATGCCAATTTTACAGATGCCGGGGAAAGCAGAGTTATCAGCGCAAATTCAGCGGATAGACAGTAAATACAGACATACAAAAGTTCTACGGCTGTTATGTAGTGTTTATACACAGCTGAATAATAGTTGTGGTCCCTGTGAAAAATGTTTTCCAAGATGTAGACCTATATGGGGCCACAGCACATTATCTACCTGGTTGTCTAAATTCTGACCATGCAACTGGATACCACATCACAATCATGAATTACAGGGATTTCATCATGCAGAGGTGCATGGAACTGGCCAGGATACTAGCCCCAAGCGTGGCACAAGCAGCTCAACAAGGGCGAATATACATGTATCAGCGCTGCCATACAGAGAACTACAGCATAGCACATCCTGCTTTGGTGACCTATTAGGTAACTGAGCCCTTTCCATTTGCTTTGAATTCAAGACGTAACAAGATCAATTCATAGTCTTTTTGGATTACCGACACTGCCCACCCTGTACATGAACGACCTTGATTGTCACTGGTCGGAAACATGAAGTTGGAACATTCCCCTCCTTCAAATCATCGTCAGAGAGGCAGCGACGGCTGTAGTTCTAGAGCCGATGCTGGATTTACTTCCAATGCCAGTGAACACCGGGCGATTAAACGCTTTCAAGAACCTGCTCCTTGAACTCCCTCTCAACCTTGTGACCCTTGTCGTCAGTGGTCGATTCACCGTGTAGGTTCAGGAGGGCACCCAGATCAAACTTAGGAGCCTTGAGAAGTTTAACCTTGCGAATGTGGACCTAAGAGCAATTTAGTATTAGGATCTTAAGAAGAATGGGAATCACAGACATTCTGAAGAGGATAGATTCCTTGCGTCGCCTTCTCAATCTCGCGCCCAATGACTTCGGGAATAAGCTTCGTGGTGAGTTGAGAAAGGGAGCAGCTGGCGGCCTCTCGTTGGATGATCTCAGTCATCTTCTTCCGAATGGCGCGGATCTGAGAAGAGCGGGCGTATGTGGTCTTCTTGATCTGGTTGGGGCGCCTCTTGGTGAAAGCGATGGCGAACAGCCGAAGAAGGTAGTCGTCAGTCGTTTTCACAGTGACGTTGGCCTCGATGAGCGACTGCCACTTGCGTACAAGGGATCGCAATTTATCGGTCGTGAAGTCCAAGCCATGGAAGTTGGTCAAGCAGTTCTTTCCTTGGATTTCATCCACACGAAGCTTCACCTTGCGGAAAGCGTGGTCTTCGTCGTTCTGCAAGTCGGCAAGAGAAACCTCAAAAATTCGGCCCTTGAGTGAGTCGTTCGCATTCTTGAGACCACTGGTGCGGTTCACGAGAGTCTTTCCGACACTTTAGAGCTGCTGGTCAGCCGTCTGTCGATAAACGGGTTTTCGCTGCTGGGGGGAGGAAAGTATGGACAAGAGACATACTCTCTGATTTGGAAAGTGGAAGGCGCCTGAACAATATTAGCGACGCCCGGAAATCAACGCCATTCATCATTACCTTCACTGAGTACTCATCCTTTCTGGAGAAAGGATCAACAGTCCTCTTCTTGATGCCCTTCTTGCCCTTCGACAAGCGCTTGTTCCTGGAAGATTATCAGCAACCAAAGATCGTTTGTCCCGCATTGTGATGCCGATGTGGGAATTGGCATACTTTCCAACAGCCATAGCTGCGACTCAGGTCTATCTTACAGTAGGCGAAGACAGACGGATATATCACACCACGCGTTCTGGTGGAGGGAGTCGATGGGATTGACGCTGCTGGGTCAGCGGAATAAGAGTTGAAATCGAAATCCCACAGAAAAGTCGGCTAAGCGAGAGCGCCGGCCCTATCCTGGATTATATAATATTCCACCCCACAAATGCACCTTGCGGCTTATATTATTGGTTACAGGCTATCATACGTCACGTGATGGAGTCCTTCGTAATCTAAACTTGCATCATACTGCTAATACTAAGATATGCCTGCTAGCCCAGCTTCAAGGTCTTTTTGGGTGTTTTGACTCTAAATACTATCTACAACATAGCCGCTACTTATCAGCTATTACTTTACTTATTTGATGATGGAACGGGTTTTATCCTGTATATTGTTACCAATATGAACCTTTTAATACCGCTGCTACTAAGCATATATTATCCAAGGTGAAACTCCGTAGCAGAAGCATGGTTCCTAGATTACATATACTTAGGTCTAAATGAGAATGTGAACTAAATGCTTCATTGTAACCTGTATTGTTTACACATAGTTACCCGTCCTTTCCTAGTGCGCGCGCCAGTGATGTAATCGGCATTACAGGGTCCGGACTTTTGAAAGTATCCGGGCCATACCTGTAGCACAACACACCCCCAGGTCTTTTGACCCTGACCCTTGCTCCAGTAGTCTCCATTTTTTTCTTGAACTACACAATTATATTGACCTGTGAAACAGTGAGTACACAAGAAATCCTAAATCCGCTCCAGCTGACCAAATATCGGTACCATAGGGCGAGAGGATCATTTGTTGGTCTGTCTTAGCTAAATAGCAGCTCTATCACACCCACGAAGTCTACAGAAGCATGGTAAGGCTACTCCTAATATGTATATATCTGAGTTCTGTTGGGGAAAATGAGATGAAGAGACATTATCCTGGTCCCATGACTGAGAATTGGGTGTTTTTTTTTTCGCCAGGGCAAGCGGAAGAAGTCAAGCAGACAGCCACAGGGACCAAAAAAGGTGACTCACTTTGAGACCAGGTATAACTATTAGCGCTAAGACTAGTTTTAGAAAGAACCGCTACCCACTACTTTCGCATGTCTATTCTGTAACCACGAGAATTCTATTGTGGTGAAACTAGACAAGAAGCTGGGGCTAGGAAACTTGTCCTGTAAAGTGTGTGGGCAGAGGTTTCAAACCGGTATCAATTGTGAGTTTATATATCCGCATCCTAGAATCAGCCCTGACTGATTTGTACTCCAGATCTTTCTGCCGCTGTCGATGTGTATTCGGATTGGGTAGATGCGTGTGATGCAGTTGCAAAGGATACAGTCAACAGATACGAAGACAATAATGCCCGGGGCCTGCGCTCGAATGAGTATACCGCTTCTTCTGGTGGGCAGGGCACTGAAGACAGTGCAGAGCGCGTGGATGCCTATGCGGAAGAGTATTGATATTATTAATTCTCAGATATTGGATACCGGTGTACAAAATGAAAGTCCAGTAGCTCTCCTGTGGTCTTTTCCTCTAAGTCACAATTTCCTGTTATTCTGTCTTCAGGTCCCCTGTCATTACATTATTCTCACTTGATCAACCGGCTTTGACTTTGGGGTTAATGAATACCTCGTATTATTGTCATACGGTCTTTGTATGCATATATTGTAGACTAGCAAGCCCAGCCAAACTTGTCGCAATATAAGACTACTGTATATGTATACGTGTAAGCACTTCAAGGAGAATGTGAATTACTCTATAAGCGGTAGTGATTACACTACATTGTAGAAAATGGATCACAGGGTGTAATATCGATCACCAAAATCACCAAGTCCTGGTATGATGTACCTATGCCACAGCGATTAGCGACTGGCTTAAAGAAATATAGGTAAAATGGGACGCAAAATTTACTTTTTCTCATCCAGGCCTTGGTCAATAAAGGCAGTTACAACCCTAAGCCTAGGAAACCGTTCCGCGAAATCTGCGACTCCTGTTGGGCTTGCGATAAGATTGAGGAACAGAATACGGTCCTCCGGTACTCCCTTCGCCTTTAATATCTCGACGGCAAGCGTTGCAGAACCCCCTATATCGACAGTGATTAAAACCACCCTATGAATTAAGAAGGTTCACTAACTCACCAGTTGCGAACATTGGATCAAGGAGCAAAACCCACCGACTGGAAATATCAGCAGGGAGCTTCTCGTAAAAGAGCTTTGGCTTGCATGTTTCTTCATCTCTTTGTATCAGGATTTTCCCAATACGAACGGATCGACAGCAATCTCTCAAACCCTGCTCCATTGCCTCACCTGCTCTCATAATAGATACGCCACATATTTTCCCTTCAAACCTGACCCCGAGATAGGTACGGCCTACAGGAGTTGTAACCGATTGTTCAACCACTGGAAGGTGGTTTAAGCCCTCTTCGACCAATAAACGGATGATCCTGTTAGAATAAAATATGAAATCGGCACGCGCAGTTCTTTTATCTCTGATCATACTATGGATATGTCAGTGTAGATGTCCAATATTAGCTCGCAAAATCTTTTGCAGACAGTTGGATGTATGTCTTACGTCAAAAGCGCAATTAACTGGGGCGTTTGAGGTAAGACATGGACGTTTTCATAGGGTATGTCTTTCGACACAGTCGCCGTTGGCTTTTCACCATCAGGTCTATAAAATGGGCCAACGCCTTGGGCTGGTGAAGGAACCGTCTCCATTTGTTCATTAGCCATGGCCAACGGAGTATCTTCGATATTGCCAATCTTTTTATTTAGACCCTTTTTTGCTTCCTCCGCTTGATCCCAGCATAGATAGCAATATGGGGTAAATGATGGTAACGGTAACGGCAACGGCAACGGCAACGAACAAATGAAAAGTTCTATGGTCAAAATAAGGCTATGATAGCTATGAAAGTAATGAGGTATAATAGTAGGGGCAATGATAAGAGAGAGAGGGGGAGAGAGACTTAAACAGATCAGTTACACATTAATTGTGGGGGTTGGGTAGGTACTGCCGGGCGGGGAAATATGATTCTCTAATTGGCTTCTGTGGACTGTCTTGACACCAAGCCAAGTACTAGTAGGTTAGTAAAGGGACTAGAATAACAAACAGCCCAAGCTAGATAAGGTATTTATAGTACATCTATTCTAGTAGCAGTTATCAGAAACAAACCTTAGTCTAATAATGTAACAGTGCCAATAGTTAGCGCTCCGCTCCTCGCTTTTAGACGAGTTATCAAATCTGGCTTACATCACCTGCAACGTTACATTGAATTCCAGTAGCAGCTTATACTGAATAAAATGCAAATATACAGTCTTCATGCTTATCCTACGATCGTTATGATATGATCTGAGGGTTTAACCAACCAGTTGACTAGGTTGTGAGCTTCTAGTAGCTTATTCCAGTAAAACCATCACTAATTCCTCCAGCTTCGGCTCGCAGCCGATTATCCATGGAGCAGTCACACCCACGAATGTGTGTAGTACTTACTCTAAAGAGCTGGCTTTTAACCCTTTCATCTTTATTTGTGTGGTGTAATTGAAATCCTATAACATCTCGGTATTAACACTACTACTACTCATATACTCTATCTTCGCAACTGCACAAACCCGCCCGTCTTATTTATCTACTCACATAACGAGCACCCTTTAGCCTTGAATTTACGAGTGACAATTACATTATGCGCGGGAAAACGAAGAAGCTTGTGACTTATGGTAAAGCTAGCTCACATAATCCCCCGAATCTCAAAAATGGTGTACAAGACCTCGCAGCGCCTCACACTATCTGTAGTGAGGGCGAAAGCGCAAAGGCTTCCTGCTCAAGCCCCTTGACCAAGTCACTGGATTTATCGCATCATGATGCTGGCTCACAAAGTACAAGCTCAGTTGATATTCCAGGTTCTCAGAGTAGCCAGGGGAAGGCCTATGATGATGTCAGCGGGAAAAAGCGCCGAAAGCTCTTTCGTGAAAACGTGCAACAAATTCGGGACCAGAGTATGAGTGTTAATTCTGACACTGCGCCTACGTCTGCGCACAGAAGCTATGCAGAGTTTGGCAAGACTACAAGTCCGGATTGTGCCAAGTCCAACGAGGTCTTCCATATGGGCGAAGCTCAGGACAGGGGCACCTTTCCTAGGAAAGCTCAGTTTGAAATCGAACCCTTGGGGGCCAACTTTGGGGCAATGTCGCGGTCACCATATAGAGTTTATTCTTCCAAGGCAGCTAGTCTTCCTATATCCTGTTCCCATGACGAAGATACGACTAGATATCATAAGCGACTACCGACTATCCGAAAGAGGTTGGTTGATTCGCTAAGTGCAGCAGAAGAGTTTGCTAGGGATGGGATACGAGATACTCTGACAGATCGTGACTACCAGTCTGACTGCCACTCACTCTCGCAACTTATCTGGGAAGAAAAAGATCGACAGTCGACAGCAGATATACATCAATCAAAGGCCCCTAGTACAGACAGCGCTGAACCATCGGGTATTCCCAAAGCACCGAGGTTCGGAAGGTCTCGGGTTACATATGCACACCAACGTTCTTTTCTAAACGATGCTTCTACTGTGGGCCTTGTCGATGATCCTGGGATATCAGTATCTACGATGTGTTGTAACCCTAGGCGGCCGCAACCAAGCCCAGGACTTCTTTCTCAAGCTTACTCACATGTTGAAGATGAGGAAAGCCTCGACAACAGACCCGTTCAAAGCATTCACGAGCTGAGGCAGGCTGGAGACAATGCACGCTTTCAGGAGACCGTGGAATTGGTTTTCGAAGATATAGAAGACCCTCATAATTCCGTGTCCGAGGCATGTAATGGTTTTCTCCAACTGTGTACGAGGCTAATGGAACCTCAATTTTTGCGTCGCTTTTGCGAAAGCGGCTTTGATATCCGACTCGTGAAATGTATGACAAATGACCTTGATATAGTTTCAACCACTCTAGCTCTATGCGCGTTCAGATTGATCTATGTCAGTGGCTCCCTTCCGCCTACACTTCTGACTCCTTTTTGGTCCAAACTTTTGGATATATCCTCTACTCTGATTGGCGCTGAAGATGATTTATTGCTTCTTGCGAGGCAGCGACCACTTGGTCTGTCCAAGGCCGTCCAAGCATCTTTGAAGGCTCTCCTGCCTCGTTTATCCCTTGCAGTATACGGAGAGCAGCCGATTACATCTATATCACCACGGCTGCTGATTCTTTTAAATATCCAATCTGCACTGTTGATATTTCAAGAAAAGGGCACTAGTGTTGATATCCCGGTACCGTTGTTAACCCCGATAGTTGGGCTACTATCGCCAGAAACATGTGAAAATGCCAAATTTCCTTTGCCTTTGCAGCGGTTCCATGTGCTCGTGCTAGCCCTGTCGATCTTGGAGGCCTATACAATGCTGTCGGGACCTTTGGATGCCGATCATCGCAACTCATTTCAGCCACTCACTCGGTATCATAGCCTTCTCTATGCAGACCAGACTAATCAAAGTCGACAAGTCTTGGTATTATACATCCGGGTGCTATTGAATCTTACGAACAGAGACCCGTCTTTTTGTGAGGCGTGCTGCAGACCTGAATTCGTTGGCGGACTTGTCAACATTATCACATCGAAATTCTGCGCTGTGTCCGAAGAAGCTATTACAAAAGAAAATAGCGCGCTAGACACCATAATACTAGCCTTGGGCGCACTTATTAATATGGCGGAGAAAAGCGAACTATCGCGATCTATCTTCTTAGAGTCGATGGATAATTCTGCATCTTTCCTTCACTTGCTCTTACAACAATTTTCTGCTGGCATCAGTTCTGTTACCCAGGTAAGAAAGCACTGCTGGTATCTATGCTCGATTTTAGCATCTAATATAAGATATAGGCGCACTCCGTTTCCGAGATGCAGCACAATGTTGCTATTGGGTACTTGTCGATCCTTCTAGTTACACTTTGTTTAAATAAGGAGGCGTTGGCTCATGTCAAAGCATCTCTACATGGCAGGGGACTTACATCGGCGCTATCGACGGCCGAGGAGTTTCTGCGATATCACCAGAAGGTCGAGAAAGATTCACATTTGCTAGGTACACGAAACAAAGATGGAGCCGAACTCACGTCAAGATTAGAGCAGATCATCTACCAGATACGGCAGCATGTGGAACAATAAAAAAACAAGCTGAGTCTATATAACTGTTATGGTATTCAGGCACAACTGTCTTTCTCTTTTTGTTCTTTCAACTACTTCCATCCTGGCCTACTTCATGTTTTCATTTTTTTTCTTCTCCTTTAAAGAGGTCTCTTTTCGGCCCATCTTGGAATAGGGAAAAGTTTGTATACTCGATGAGGTGACAATGCCTGGATGATCAATTCAGAAGGTAAAAAATGGAAACCGTATCAAGATGGATATGACATCAAATCTGGGACAGGGGTTTGAGATTGGTGACTATTTAAGATCCATCTTTGTCCGCCCGCCTAGGGTGTACTTTTATAGTTTATGTATGACATAATGAATTTACTTATGAAAATCCGTTTGACATGTTTGCGTCTCAAGGGTTGCTAGAGCTACTACGGAGTACCTCAGATGTTAACTCAGTTCTGAGTTTCATACCTTTAAATGATTTGCCACCTTACACACGTTCGTCGCTCATCGCCAAACACTGCTTTCAAACAGGTCCAATTGTGCTTGTTGCCTTTCATTTTGGTTCTGTCTTGACAAAATCCCTTTTATTAGTACTTACTGTTAAGTGGTTGGACACCATTCCACCCTTGCGCCGCAGCCATCTACACGTTGGTAGTCGGAAACCTGTTTCTTCTTGCACGTAACTGTTTGACATTGCGTGAACAACACTTCGACACGTTATTGGAAGTTGTGAAAATGCCTACTGCACCAAAGCAACGAAAGATAGCCATCGTCGGTAGTCGGTCTGTGGGTACGAATTCGACAAGGGCCTTTTTATTTTCCTTCTAAACTAGCACTTATCCGTGAGAGGCCTCGGTCACTAATAGAATTGGCAGGTAAATCTTCCCTTACGGTACGATTTGTTGAGCATCATTTTGTAGAGAGTTATTACCCGACGATTGAGAACACATTCAGCCGGATCATCAAATACAACGGCCAAGATTTTGCAACTGAGATTGTTGATACAGCCGGTCAAGTAAGGATGACGGTAGCGGGACATCTTTACGGAAGCTAATACTGAACCAGGATGAATACAGCATTTTGAACTCTAAGCATTTCATTGGGATTCATGGGTATATTATTGTCTACTCGGTGACATCCCGCCAATCTTTCGATATGGTAAGGGTCATTCGAGACAAGATACTTAACCACCTTGTGAGTGTTTAAAGCCCAACACCATTTCTTTTGTCACCTTCCGAAACTGAGTTCAGACATTAGGGAGCGGACTACGTGCCCCTTGTCATCGTCGGAAACAAAAGCGATCTGAAGTCCGAACAACGCCAGGTATCACTTGACGAAGGCCGGAGCCTAGGGGAGGAATTCCATTGTGCCTTTACTGAGGCTAGCGCCCGTCTTGGTTACAATGTTGAGAAAGCCTTTGATTTAATGATTGGGGAGATCGAGAAGTCACAGAATCCGTCGCAGCCCACAGGAGGCAATAAGTGTGCTGTGATGTGACATTAAATCCTAGGTGATATGGATAGGCATAGAAACTAAAGTGCTTTCACCGAATGCCAATTGACGCCAGTACATGACTGAAAAAGGTCTCATGTGAGGTTGGCCGTATGCTACCGAGTTGCAGACGAAGGGTCTCAAGGAATGTGATGAGGACCATCGTTTTCTACATTCTGGGTTTCGACTGATTGCCATCTCGAGTGCCTACCGCTGACCAGATTGGAGTATGCTCTGTTGCTGTTGATTCTCCGCTGCCTTTCTCTTCTACTACCCCATCCTATCCCCTTTCCTTCCCTTTCCTTCCCTTTCCTTCCCTTTCCTTTTAATTTTTTTATTTTATTTTGTTCTTTTTTTGGCGTTCCCTCCGTTCCATTGCTCCTTTAACGATCATGATCCCAGAATAATATATATATATATATATATATTAGCTAAATATCGTGGCTGATAGAGTAGATAAAGCACGACATGAGATAGTCACATATGAACTCAACATATATTTTATGGTGATTTTCTTTCTGTATATAGCAGTAGACTTCACGGTCTGTTAAGCCCTAGTTCGTGGTAGGAAGCCCATTCTCTCAGTTGTCAGCTGACGACAGCTTTGCTCAGTTAAGGCGAGAGCTTGTGCGGCAAAACCGTGCATGGCTATTGCTTGTTCCTTTACTGCTCCTTGCCTTTTCGACGAATGTTTTGCTGACGAATGGGAGATTTAGTTAGAAGGCTACTACTAAACTGAACAATCATTACAAAGAGCTCAAGTGATCTGTATACACAAAGAAATAGGCACTCAACCTATACTAATGCATAGGTAAACATAGTACTTAGTTATGCTGGGGGTGGTGAGTCACGTGGTTGGTATACACACTAGTCACAGCTAACTATGAATAATAAATCTTGCTGATTAAGCCACTGCCCCTCAGGCAGGGTTAAACCACTTCCATGCATAGTTTATGCCCTAACTGCTGGAGGCCAGGTTTTTACCCCTCCATTGCCCCTAACGAAGACTAGCACCTCTTCAGCTCTAAGCCAACTCTGGTTTACATCGTCGAATTTTGGGAGGCTAATCGACTAGGATCAAGCACACAACTCCTGCTTTCGACGTACGCCTTCACCTTTTACAAGATGCTCGATATTGCCGATTTTGTCAGTGACCGCGGAGGAAATCCAACCAAAATTAAGGAGAGTCAGCGAAAGCGATTTGCCCCAGAAAATTCGGTCGACGATGTACTTAAACTGTATGAGGAAGCTCGCCGAGGTACACTATCCGATCAGCACATACCTGTTAGCAGATTCTAATATACGCTGCAGCACGGTACGAGGTCATGCAGATAGGTTCTCAGCTCAACGGACTCCAAAAAGATATCGGGAAGAAAAAGAAGGTCCGTTCTATTCTTGACACAAGTATCATGGTCATCTTCCGTACTAAAACCTATACCTGAAACAGAATAAGGAAGATGCAAGTGCCCTTCTCCAGGAGAAAACTGAACTAGAACAACGCAAGAAAGAAGCCGAGGATCTCGCTCTTCAGAAGGAAAAGCAAAGGGACAGTAAGCTCCGGACGATTGGTAATTACGTGCATGAATCGGTCCCTGTGAGCGATAACGAAGTGAGTGCCTATTCCTGGCCGATGAACTTTGGTCAAGAATGGAACTGACTTGCGTATTCAGGACGACAACGTAGTGGTACGAACATGGGCACCTGAGAATATCATCGTCGAAAAGCGTGATTGCCTTTCTCATCATGAAGTTCTCACTCGCCTCGACGGCTACGACCCGGAACGCGGTGTCAAGGTTGTTGGTCACCGTGGATACTGCCTGACAGGCTATGGCCTCTTTTTGAACCTTGCGCTGATAAATTACGGCCTCGAATTTCTTTGGGGCAAAGGTTATAAGCCAAACCAGCCCCCTCAATTCATGCTCAAGGAAATGATGGCAAAAACAGCCCAGCTTGAGCAATTTGACGAGGAGTTGTATAAGGTAACGGAAAGTGAGGACAAGTCTACCGACAAGTACCTCATCGCTACATCGGAACAGCCTTTGTCGGCTCTGCATGACGGAGAATGGCTTCAAGACAAGGATCTTCCAGTCAAGTGAGTTATGTGAGTAAGGCGAAGATTATTTAGTTAACCAAAAGACAGGTATGCGGGGTATAGCACGTGCTATCGTAAGGAAGCAGGATCTCATGGTAAAGACGCTTGGGGTATCTTCCGCGTTCATCAGTTTGAGAAAGTAAGGAATAGTAAGCTATGTATTAGCGTTCTTGTTTCTAACCGGGATCCAGATCGAGCAATTCGTGCTTACCAACCCTGAACAATCATGGCAAGCTTTCGAGGAAATGATGGACACCTCGGAAGAATTCTACAAGTCTCTCGGACTTCCATATCAGATAGTTGCAATCGTGTCCGGAGCATTGAATAACGCAGCGTCTAAGAAATATGACCTCGAGGCTTGGTTCCCATTCCAGGGAGAGTACAAGGAGTTGGTTTCTTGCTCTAATTGCACAGATTATCAATCTCGGGCTTTGGAAATTCGGTATGGCACTAAGAAGGCGACAGATGTTAAGAAATCTTATGTTCATGCTTTGAATGCCACGTTGTGTGCCACTGAGCGGACGCTTTGTTGCATCCTTGAGAATTATCAAAGGGAGGATGTATGTGCTGTTTCAACGTTAACTCTGCGGGACAATATGGCTGATACACTATACAGGGATTCGTCGTGCCAGAGCCCCTTCGCAAATATATCCCAGGTGCTCCGGAATTTCTTCCGTATACCAAGGAACTCCCGAAGGACAGCACTTCTCAGAAAACGAAGGGCAAGCAGGGTTCCAAAGCAGCAAGTGGCTCGGAAGAAGCGGCAAAGAAGATACGAGATCTAACGGTGTGAGTGCCACGAGCGCTGGAGAAGTTATAATTTACCTTCGATTTGGGTTGGACTTCAAAGGTGGTAATTGCTACCCACATTGCATAGCGTCGCGAATGCCAGCTTGTAGAATATTTTGTAACAGGCCAGCCTTACACAATGGGACCATTCGTTACAAGCTTTACTATATATATTATATCATGTATTATGAAGTATCCAAGAGAAAAAAGTGGAAGGTGAAATTCAATTAGATCAACGGGGCCATTCAATAATTAGTTGGTGGGGCATGGTTTGGTCTCGCCACCTTTTATGCCCCTCCTTAGTTTTGGCTGTCCACTGATCACAAAACCCCGATGAGTCAAAGGAGCCCCCCCCCAAAAAAAAGAGTTTCCTTCAGTGAGGGAGTCATTTACCTGAGAATGTGCTTCCACTGCGGTGGGACTCCGGTTCCGGAGTCTCCTAATCAATATATGAAATACAACTCTATCCTATCATTATTCCCAACTAACTTTCTTTCCCACCCGTCCTACTTTTCCTACCCTGTCACTTTTTTCGTTTTTAGTCTCAGATTTGACTAAGCCGGCACCATGGCGGCTCTTCCTAAGGAAATCAACACTCACCAAACCTCGAGCCTGTCTCCAAACGCATCCTTCCAGTCCGCCCCATCAAGTCATGGAAATTCGGTTTTTGCAAGCCGCACAATCCCTCTGCCCAATGCCAAACATCTGAAACCATTCGCCACCGAAGATATCAAGGTCCTACTTTTGGAGAATGTTAATCAAACGGGACGAGACATCCTTACAAAGCAAGGCTATCAAGTGGAATTTTTAAAATCATCGCTCCCCGAGGATCAGCTCATAGAAAAGATTAGGTGCGTCAACTTATCTGCTGACTTCACACACTCTTGTATCTTGAGCTGACTGCCCTTCAAGAGATGTACATGTCATTGGTATCCGTTCGAAGACGAAGCTCACAGCTCGCATACTGAAAGAAGCCCGGAATCTCATAGTCGTCGGTTGTTTCTGTATCGGAACAAACCAAGTTGACCTTCAATATGCGGCAGAACACGGAATTGCTGTCTTCAACTCCCCCTTCAGTAATTCTCGAAGTGTTGCCGAATTGGTTATAGCTGAAATTATTGCTCTAGCTCGTCAACTAGGTGACCGCTCCAACGAAATGCACAATGGTACGTGGAATAAAGTAAGCAATAAATGCTGGGAGATACGTGGGAAGACATTGGGTATGTATCTTTGGTCTGACCTGAGTGAGGTATCTTCGCTGAGTTGTGGGGACAGGAATCATCGGCTACGGCCATATTGGTTCTCAACTATCGGTTCTAGCAGAAGCCATGGGCCTGTCAGTTCTCTACTACGATGTGGTGAATCTGATGGCATTGGGCACTGCCCGCCAAGTTCCAACTCTAGAAAGCCTTCTTTCCCAGTCTGATTTCGTCACATGTCATGTGCCGGAACTTCCGGAAACAAAAAATATGATAGGACAACTTCAGTTCGAACAAATGCGGGATGGCAGCTATCTAATTAATGCTAGCCGAGGAAGTGTCGTTGATATCCCGGCATTGATCCACGCAATGCGCTCTGGCAAAGTGGCCGGTGCTGCGCTTGACGTCTACCCGAATGAGCCTGCTGGCAATGGCGATTATTTCAGTAATGACCTTAACAGCTGGGCAGCGGATCTTCGCAGTCTCAAAAACGTGATCCTTACACCTCACATTGGAGGTAGCACTGAAGAAGCACAGCGAGCGATTGGTGTTGAGGTAGCAGAGGCTCTAGTGAGATATGTCAATGAAGGCACAACTTTGGGTGCCGTGAATCTTCCTGAAGTCACCCTTCGTTCCTTGACCATGGATGAACCGGACCATGCCCGAGTATGTCAATTTCCATCATACCACCAACTCGCATGCTCTCGAGCTTATTGGTATTTAACTGCAGGTGATCTATATTCATCAAAACATTCCTGGTGTCTTGCGGAAAGGTGTGTCCCATAAGAGGCGTATATGCATGCAGGTATTTGAATACCAGGCTAACAATGCCAGTGAACGAAATTCTCGGAGACCATAACGTTGACAAGCAAATGACTGATAGCAGAGGTGACGTACGTTGTTATCACTTACTCATGTTCGGGTGATATGTCGTACGTATTAACTATGTCTAGGTTGCCTACCTAATGGCTGATATAAGCAACGTCGATAACACTACCATCAAAGATCTATACGAGAGGCTTGAAAGCCTTTCATGTACGGTTTATCTACCCTCTGATCGCTCAGAGCGCTGACTTTTTCCTTTTAGCCCGAATTATGACACGGATACTGTACTGAAGGCGTGTCTAAGTTTATGAACGCCTTTGGCTTTATGCGCTAAGGTTTCAAATTGGTGGGTACGATTTTGGTAGAACTTACCCTCAACGGCTTTAGTCTACCATTTGTTGGATAGGAAGAGTACCGGCTCTTATGATACTACTGCGCTGGTTTGTGGTTTGCGTTATTAAGAATTTCCGTATACCTCATTTGCTACGCACTGTCTGGATAAGGGAAGGCTCTTTCTGCTACCCACATTCTCAACGCCCGATACTGATGCTTAAGGGAGACATGTTCAACACTTCGGCTTTGTCACGCCTGCAATTCTCTTAGTTCCAATGATTCCTGTACTGAAATGAAGCAGGCAAACGCTCCATTGAATTCCCTGACCTTTAAGCAGTGCTTTTCACAAAGTAAAACTAAAGCCCAAAAGCTGCAATAATGACATGATCACAAACAGCAAACCTTTACGTAGTATCGATCGTGGGTAAGGTAGTTATTATTACTGACGGCATGATTAACGTAGTGGAAAGTTCAACATCCTCAAAAGTTTAACTGGTGAAACTTGGAAGCGCGATAAAATCATCCCTTAGATTAAATATCTTCCCCGTTGCCCATTTGATAAGCATTGTATTGTAATGTACGGTTTTCTATAGATTACCTTCGGTACGAATCTCTGTCTGTAGGCCGAGGTCCTTCCCTGAAGCCTGGACTTCGACTGCGCCTTTTTGAAGGATTCTCTCTCGTGTAATCTCGTCGGCTGCTCGGATACACGTCTCGAGTATGTTCCCCTACACCATTATAAGTCGGAACATAAGAGTCCACAGTACTGTCTGACCGGCCACTAAAACGACTTGGATGATTCCTATCACGTCCTACACGGCCAGGATAGCCTGGAGCCCAACCCTGGTGAGACGGCATAGGAGGTTTAGGCGGCAGACCGCCTTCCTTTTGCCACGATGAAAAAGCCCGATGCGAGTCCTCCAAAACCTGCTTCGGTCGATTTGGTTGCGGCTCACTAGCTCGATTATCAAGAGATCGTCGTGGGGCATTTCCTTGGCCACTATGGGAGTTTGGCTTCCCAAAACGGGCAGCACCAGGTATACGACTATTCCTAGAATCTACCCCCGCTCGGGTCCCAGAATTCGAGCTCCAGCCTCCGTTGGGACCCATGCCCACAGAGCCTCCAGCCGGAGCTGGAGGCATAACAGCACGCTGCCCTCGGAATCTTCTTCTATCAAATTCATGGGAGTCCTCGAAACGAGGAAGCTCACCGGGGCGTGCTGGTACGGGATGGTTGGAGAAATAAGGGTGTTTCAACGCGTCGATTGCAGTTATCCTTTTACGCCAATCGAGTTTCAGAAGCTCACCTAATAGTGATATGGCAGCAGGATCTTGCCTGTGAACGCGTTAAAATCATCTCATCGAAGTTGTATACGCAAGACGTCACTAAATCAGTCTGGGGAAAGGTAGGTGAAGGCTATGACTGTACTCTTTGAAGACTTCAGACAAATTTCCTGGCTTGTTTCCAAAACTTTTTATACCTTCACAACCCGGGAGCGAGCTCCAGCCAGGCATGTTTTCTTCTGTAGGTGTGCCCACAAGATTAAATATAAGCTGGGCTTGGTTAAGGTCGCTAGTGCCCGCAAGGATTGGCTTGCCCTTGAACATTTCGCCGAAAACGCACCTGTCACCATCAGAAATGAAATCATGAGGACCAGGCTGGAAAAATTACCCGACACCCCACATATCGATAGCTGTCGTATAGCGTCGTAGCTGGAGAAGGAGCTCTGGAGGGCGATACCATCGAGTCACAACTAAGGTGGTATAGTCTCTTTTGGCTTCCCCGCCACCTCTCCCAGGTTGAGGAGGAGGCTCATCATACGGTCGTGCAAGCCCGAAATCAGCTATTTGAAGAATACCTCTGTTGCTGATAAGTAAATTGGCAGCTGTATGAGAGTCAGCCACACAAGATTGTTTATTGTGCTGCGCAAAATACTGACCTTTCATGTCACGATGCAATATGCGATTCTGTGATAAGTCAAAACCAAGTTTTAGAACAATTAGATAGTTATGGTATTACCCCATGGAGATACTTTAGTCCCTCAAGAAGCTGCAGCATATAGCACTTAATCTGGGATTCAGTGAAATGCACGGCTGGATTCTCTAATAGCCCGGAAAGGTCATGTTCCATGTAGGGAGTAACCATGTACATGCTCGGTTTCTTTCGGCCTTCCCCTGGTACAGGATAAGCTCCTCTTCCACGCAAAGCACAGGGTCCTTCGTACCTTTGCTTCGCTCCACAGCCATTTCTTTAAGCTGGAGGATATTCCTGTGAGATAGCATTTTCAGGAGTTTAATCTCACGGAGAGCAGTTATCGGGAACTTGATTCGGGATGTATTAGCCCCCAGCCTTGCTGCTGAGTAGGTAGCCTTCTTACCCCATCCTTCTCATTATGCATGAGGATCTTTTTTAAGGCAACAATTGAACCATCTCTTTTCGAGCGCGCCTTGTAAACCTCACTGATAAGAAGTTCAATATAATGACTTGCTGATAGAACATGACTGGGCACCTACCCAAAAGTGCCTTCCCCAAGTTTACCTAAAAACTCAAACTCGCGGATGCTCGTGCATCCTCGGAATCTAGAGTTCCCATCGCTATCCCTTTCGAGAGAAGCTACCACCATTCTTTCACAGCAGTCAATCTTCCTGTTCTTTGGGAGGTATGGTGTATGGTGTAGCTTCAAAGGGTTACTATCCTTTAAACTAGTAACAGAACTTCGGCATGCATTAATTGTTGACAAAAGAATCCAGTTGGAAAGCTCGTAGTTATTATGGCCTATTGAGCCTGTGAAGATGAAGCACGACGGCGGACAAGGACCTTGGAGCCCACAACCATTAGGTTTGGAAGAGAATCTAGAAAGTCTAGGATTAGGCGGTGATACATCGTATATCGGCAGTGATTATTAAACGACTCGGCTGATCGCATACATAGGAAGTTATAACCGGCAGGGACCAAGCAAATCAAACTTTCAATTCCAGCGCACCTCGAGCGATGAGAGCTGGTGACCTATCCGTAGGTAAGTAGGTGGGTATCTTCAAGTCTTGTTGTATGTTGGCCAACCTTACGACCGGAAAAGGCTTGGCGTTTCACGTGATCACCGACCAGCGGATCTCAAAGCCCAACTCCGTAATGACTTTCGTCTTCCTTTATTCATATCTGCCCTCCTATATTCATTGAGGTGATAGAGATATTCGAATCTTATTCCGAAAGTAGGTTGTGATACCTTATATTCCGTTTTTGATCTCACACTGACGACAATGTGTAGACATGGCTGCGAATCACCCTATCCATATACATCCAGCACGACCTCTCTATCGCTTTACAGCCACGGCTTTGGGCGCCAGCATGTGGTTTTTTGTATGTGATTTATCTCAGAGTCCCTTTAATAAATGTAGCTAACTATATTCATTGGTGTCCAGCTAATGTACCGAGCTAAAAAGGACGGTCCTGCTTTACTGGGTTGGAAGCATCCTTGGGAACATTGAATACTCCAAATAAATCCAATTACAGAAACAAGCACACTGTGTTTCAACTTTGTTCTAAGCTACTACGATTAGTGAATCAACTTAGCCATGGTAATTTGGTGATATCTTTATTTAAACAGGCCCGCACATGAAATCTACCTGTTACCTGAACAATATTCTACAACTTCACAATTCTCTTGGTGGTGTTTGTCCAATGCAGATAGAGAAACGGCTATAGGGAGATATTGGCATACGATGTGGCAAGCGCTTTGCGTGGTCGCTAGAGGTATATAATTCTATGGTCCTATTGTCTTCACACCTGTGCCTATTTACACCTGCATTTCCTTGAGTAGCACTTTGTGTTGGCGGCGCTTCTTGCCGTGGCCTGGCCAAAAGAGGATATATGCACGTCCTAAGGCCCGAGCAAGCCTGGGGAAAAGTGCACGTTCCGCTAACCAGGAGAAGGCAAAGCTGCCCATGGCAAGTGCAAACAGCGAACTAGCAAAATCCCCCGAGATAAATGTCAACTGCATAACTTCCATCACCCACCTTGGGGGTTTGAAAAGCATATAGCATGAGATTATCAAATCCACCATGACCACGGAAATGAAGACTCCTGATAGATGTTAGCTCCACATCCAGGTGGCATTAATCAGCTACGAACCATTCGATCTCATAGGCTTCCTGAATGGAGGTCCTACGCTGAGAACAATGCTTGCTAACGTGTATTGGAAGCATGAGACCAAGAATAGGGCGGTATTTTCAGAATTCTCGATGTTGCTATTATCCAAGTCAATCTCGGGGGCTTTGAACCTGCAATGAAGGTTAAAACTGTCTTGCGACTTTGTACCAATTTAAATTCAAACCAATATCAACATACCATGGCTGCGACTGAACGGCTTTATAGGCCACAAGTTGAACCAGTACACAAATTATGATTTGGCCGAGTAATGGTGTTAGGACTTTTCGTGAGACAAGATCGGCAGTTGGGCGTTTTCGGGAGAGTATAGGATAAGGGCCAGTCCATCCCACTTTGGAAAAGAGGTCAATGATACAGTTTTCGCAATCGCTCATCTTATCGTTTATTTGTCCTCTTATTGGGTATAGTTCACTTACTAAATATTGCGATTGGTAATATGAGAACCAAATCAATGAAAAGAAACTAGAGTGGGTCAGTAATTACTATACACAAAATTCTTTCATTACACTTACTTGAAAGTCACCTAGGTTTGATGCCGATGTATACAGAAAACTGACTGTAGAAAACTGGATTGCTGAGTAAAGGCTCATATACTTAAAGCAACAAAAGCTTGTGACCAGGGCAGCTCTCCCTTCCCTGTGAATTGATTAACGCAATGATCGCTTCTATAAAGAAAGGTGGATATACCTAATTAAGATTGGCACACAAGAGACATCGAATTGACGGCTAGTGAATGGAGCAGCCACGGATGCTTCAGCATCAGATAGAGATATTCCAACATCTGCGGCTTTTAACGCGCCACAATCATTAGCACCATCGCCACAGAAACCACAACAATAATCAAGTGACTGAAGCTTTTCAACAAGCTCATGCTTTTCATCAGGTGACATTCTAGCGAACACTTTAGTGCGCACCAGCATCTGGACCAAAATTAGCTGATATATATCTACACGATGAGCTGAACAAAGCATGTACACATACTCGTTTCACTATAATCTCATCGCCAAAGTCTAAAATCCATCTGAATATATCGCCACTGACTGCAAGCGTAAAATTGTGCATATTGCAAACATTGACTGGTACAGATAAATCTAGCTCTGTTGATGCCACAGAAGGCTACAAATTGTCAGTTCAGATTATGTAGAGGAGCAGAAACGTCGCACCATCAATGTGTTTGGATCAAGCTTCAATGCTGGATTGTCTATATGCTCCCAGCAAAGCGATGCTGTCGGGTCATGGGGGTAGCCTGCGGGGAGTTAACTCAAGCGTGTAAAGCATGGTAGCACACTAACTGACCTTCTACAAAATGCGGTATAAAGCATTGCTCATCTTCGCTGACCAACCCACACTCACGGGCGACACTAATTGCAGTAAGTATATTATCACCTGTACACATAACATTCCGTATTCCTGCTTGGTTAAGTTCAGCGATCGTCTCTGTAGTTTTCGGCTTCAGCTTGTTTTCAAATATAATAAAGCCAATGAATTCCAAATTGCTTTCTGCATCTGCACGAGTCATTTTTTGCACTTTCATCCAGCTCAACTTCTGCTCATATTTAGCAGCGCAGGCAATGACTCGATAGCCCTTGTGGGTGTATTGGTTCAACAAATCTTCGAAGTCATGAGGTACTATTTTTATTTAGCCTGGATGTCAGTGTCATGCTTCGTTTTTATCTTCTCTTAGATATACTGACGGCTTTCTTGAAGACATATGGTTTTGACGCTTTCTGGCGCGCCCTTGACGAATATACTGGCGCCACTATCACCAAATTGTCTTACAACCACGCTCGCACGTCGAAGCTGAGAGACAAATTCAAAACTCCTTAATATACCGAGTTCGAGAGGTGCCTGGTTCTGCATTGATATCAGTATTTGAAGTTGTACGTATTTCGTCTCTATGAGCATGATCCGATAGAAACATTAAATACTTACAGTTGAATTATCTTCGCGGGGGGTTTGTGAAATGGTAGGTGGCCTTGCAACAGAGGGCATTATTGTTTCGAACTTTGAGTCTGGCCGTTCAGGACCATGGCTGCCGCCTTCCTGGTAAGACCAGCCGGTGAACTGAAACATTTTCACATCGAGAGGATCCCCCAGGAGCTCGTCGTCCACAACTCTCAACGAGTGACAGGTTGCCATGACGTGAATTATAGTATTACGTTTCCTGAGGTTCTGAGATGTATCAGATGCAGAAAACGCGGGCGGCCCTAGGGTCACATCCGATAGTAGGTCTGATAACCTTATATCAGTTAGCAATAGTCAAACATGCAAGTGACTGCGAGCATGCAAACCCCATATTTTGATTTACTGTCCGCACCCCAAGAACATCCAACCCATCCTCTGTTAAGGTCCCGGTTTTATCGAAACATATAACATCTAACTTTCCTCCCACATTTACCCTAAAATCTAGTTTAGCGCAGCTAGAGTTCCATTAGACATAGGATGCTCACCTTTGCGGGCTGATGCAAAATATTTTGTTATTTTTCAGTCGCGAGAGGGCAAAGTTTGTACCAATCGTCAGCGTAGCAGGTAAAGCAGGTGGCACAATGATTGTTATCAAATCAAGTGCTCTGACAATGATTAAATGCCAGGAAAGCTGCACAGTGTTAGCTTAGCTTCACCATATTCTCTGGTCTCCTAATGCTTACGCCTAGCCGAATAAAATTAAAAAAGGAGGCCACAAATCCCACAAGGGCGACCACAGCCATAACCGATATATATCGGAATGAATCTCGATAAAACTTGAAACCAGAAGGTTTTGGGAAAAGCATAGAGCGAACCAGCGCGCCTTTGGTTGTCAGAAAGCCCGTTCTGACGACAATTGCTAAAGCAATGGCGTCGTCATCATCAACATTTTGAGGGCGCCGTGCTCGAATGACTTTCGTTCCACCGAAAAGAAAGTGTTTTGCTATGTTTGGATGAACCGAGGGGGTATTGAGATTGAGATACTTGAGTGCATCGTCTATTAATGGGGTTTTGGAAACGGGAACAGATTCACCTTATTCTATGTCAGCGTTTCTTATCGATTTCTGAACAAGATATCTCAACAAACCTGTGAGCATGCTTTCGTTCACAATACAGTCCCCCGAGAGTAATATACAGTCGCAAGGGACTTGATTAAGTGATGGATCGGAGAATTCGAAGACATCCCCTGGAACTAGTTCTCTAGAAGGGACAGACCTCCCTGGAACATGTGGAGTCAGCAACCGACCGTTCCAAAAAAGATAGAAAATGGACTAGACTTAAGACATGAACTCACAGAAGCCATTTCGGAGCACACGAATATCACACTCAAACAAGGAAATTTCCCTTAGGCGAGTCATAGTCTGAATGGTTTAAGCCGTTATACGCAATGTTGAGGTCAAAAACATGGCGACTTACCGACTTGGTCTCAATTACTGTTGCACCAATGCTGAAGACAGAGATAAGGAAAATACAAACAGCGTAATAGTAATACTCGTCCAAGGACCAAAGAATTAGGCTGGCAAGCTGGAAGACATAAAATGGGTGGAAGGCCTTTATTGGTGAGAATTTCCCCTCCACAGAATGCAAGGCAATATCAACTACTTACCTCATCCATGAGAAGTCGAAACATTGGTTTCTGCTGAATATCAACAAGGTTTTTGCCAAAGACTTGCTCTCGGCTATCACGATCGTCAGCATCTAGTCCGCTTCGCATCACTTTCGCATTTGTCCACAAAGGATCTTTCCAACCACTTATAAGGCAAAATTTGTCTTCCAAGGGATGGTAAAAGAAACGGAGGTATCTGTAGTCGATGTATCGTAGGAAGGAGATCGTGAGGTCACTTTCTTCGTCAGCAAAATGAGTCTCTAAGTCTGCAAAAACGCTAGAAAGAGAACGCCCATATGCTTGGTCGCAAACTTGGTATACGTTGAATTGATTCCATTGGTCCTGCACATGGTTAGGTAGGGGAGCAACTGACATGAATGATAGTTACTTACCTCAATAGCGACCCATTGACAGATGCGAAGTGGCGTGGGTTTCCCTATCAATCGTACCCGCCATCTCGGGAACCATCGAAAAACAAGATAAGCAAAACCAAGAGACAGTGCACAAAGCACGGAGTAAATTACGGAGCCAGTGATTGTTGTTGAAAAGCCAGCGATAACAAGGGTGAGATCCTCCGATTCAATGTGGACTTTTTGGTTGAGCCGACTATCAACTCTTCGGTCCTGGACGTAAGAACCAGCAGAAAGATGCCGCCTAGGGAGAAGAGGATCCTCAACAGAACCCCTGGAATACGACGGTCTTTTTGATCTGAGGGACGATGCGACAGACCCATTTGTAGGGCTAAAGCCACCCACGGCCAAATTACCGACTTCACTTTCTGCATCCACGGCATCTTCATCTGGCCACTCGACAAAGTCCTCCTCATCTCGAAAGTACGTAAAACTGACGGTTGAATCCTTTCGATTGCGACGATGGGAGAAAGATACGACACTTGACGGAATGCTCTCTGAAATGGGCCCATCAAAAACCTACTCGAGATTAGTTATGCTTAACACACTGGTGAAAAATATATACTGTGGAAACAAACGCACCTCGTGACGAGCCATCTCTACGTCTGAGACGACGCTATAACTATGGAGCTATCAGCAATGCCCTTAACATTGTTCTTCAACTTGATTTTAAAACCTGCTTCGCATAGAGTCACGCCGTTGGCTAGTTTCCAACCCTGGAAGCTCAGACACCTCAGCCTCCGTTGGTGATAGCACCAAGTCTTCCATAGTCTCAAACATTTCTACAATCGGCGCCAGAGGCTCTCTGGATGCCTCTTTGAGATGACGAGTTGGAGAAAAAAAGCCTATGTCAACATCAGCGGGTGACAGATACAGCGGTGGCCGATATGTTCCGGGTAAGTCTAGTTAAGTGAGCAGTGTGGAACTGGTACATTGGAGTCCGAATACCCACCTGAGCTAGGCAAACTATGGGAATTCCATGATCTCTTCTATCTACACGTGATCCTTACTTACCTTCCTGGTAGTATGGTATGCACTAGTACCACTCTACTTTAGCAGTACTAGTAGGCTAGTAGGACTAGCACCTCACCTACTGCCCAAATTAAGAGCAAATGATATGGAGTATATATGAGAGCCTCTGCCAAATACCCAGATCTACCATAGTAGGCGGTAATCAAAATGGGCTCTGAATATTTTTGTGAAATGTAGGTACAATATCTCACTAGAAGCTCATAAGTATAGTACTTGTGACATTTAGGGGCAAACGGTAATGGCTCCAAGCACATGTACGTCAATATTTCTGTGTTAATTAATCAATACTTACCACAACGTCTACGAACGTCTAGATACTGTATGTATTTATGTCCTATACGTACTGTACATACTGTATATAATACAGGGTAACAAATGCATCCGTACCTAGGTATATACTTGTTAGGGTAGATACAGAGTACCTGATGTTTCTGTAATACAAAATATCCAATCCTGACTATGACTAGAGCCCCCGTCTTACTACTCCGTACATTGTTACGTATTCGCCTGAGATACTCCATACATATGTTAGAACTGTGATAAGTTGATAACAGCAAACGCAAAGACCAAAATTTTCTTTTTACCTAATCATCATACAGGTACTGATCATTTCTTGAGCGGGAAATTATAACGCTGGTTCCTTCGGAAACCCAACTCCTCATATATAGTCAGTTAAGTCTATACAACAAGCTTGGATGTTAGTAGGGATCAAGTAGATGTTGATGTAATTTAAATAAAATATGCATTTACGTTATATTCTGCAGATATATGCGTCCTTAAGGCCCTACATAAGGTAGTACTGAGTATACATACATATACCAAGGTGAGCAGGTATATATACACATGTACATAGTTAATTAAGCAACCTACAACTTACCTAACTTATCATAATTACAGTAAGGTATTGTTGGGAGCGTTCCAAAGGTTCTCAACCAGCGGAGGTCTCAGTCCCGCCAAGCCCCTCGGCCCAAAGGCGCTAAAGATCCCACCAAGCCAGTATTCCAGATCCCAAAACTTAGGCGTATCAAATTCTTCTCAACCCTTAGACTTCATCTGCGACAACCCCTCAGCCATCTTTTATTATCTTATTTGACACATCTCTGAAGCATTTCGAACAACTTTTTCACCATGTCTGAACCCATTAGGAATAAGAAAGCGGATTTCCCAGTCGCTCCGTAAGTCCTTATTAGTTAGCCCCGTGCTCTTTGCAGCGACGTACTCTCCTTGTTGGATGTGTCTTCCCTTCTGACAATATTTGATAATGATAGGACCCCTCAAAACACCCCAGCTAATAACGCCCCTATTTCTTCCCATGCCCAGCAGCCTGGGGTTTCCAGTATCAAAGAAGGTATACCGTCAAATTGTCTCCTTGCAAGCCACTCATCTCTAACGTCACCGCCCTAGAATCCCTTGATCATGCTACGGCTGCCTCTTTATTTGCGAGGAATCCCGGGCTTGTATCCATGATTCAAGGGAAATTGGGATCGCTTGTTGGTCGCTCCTCGGGTTATATTGAATCTCTTCCCGCACCTGTCCGCCGACGTGTCGCTGGACTCAAAGGCATCCAGAAGGAGCATGCTAAATTGGAAGCTCAGTTCCAAGAAGAGGTATTGGAACTCGAAAAGAAATATTTTGCAAAGTTTACCCCTCTTTATCAACGGCGTGCCACAATTGTCAATGGAGCTGCTGAACCAACTGACGGTGAAGTCGATGCGGGCAAGGATGAAGAAGAAGATGTGGATGCTAAGAGCGAGGATGAGTCTAAGAAGATTGAGGACAAGCAACCATCAACAGCTGGGATACCCGAGTTCTGGCTTTCTGCTATGAAAAATCAAATTTCTTTGGCAGAGATGGTCACTGAACGAGATGAAGAGGCTCTTAGGAATCTCACCGATATCCGCATGGAGTACCTTGATCGTCCGGGTTTCCGCCTGATTTTTGAATTCTCCGAGAACGACTTCTTCTCAAACAAAACTATCTCTAAAACGTACTATTACAAGGAAGAGAATGGGTATGGTGGGGATTTCATCTATGACCATGCCGAAGGCACCAAAATCGACTGGAAAGACGACAAAGATCTTACTGTCCGCGTGGAGAGTAAAAAGCAGAGAAACAAAAGTAAGTTCAAGGTTCATTGAACGAGTATACGGTGAATACTAATGGTTACTTCTCAAGACACGAAGCAAACTCGTGTTGTCAAGATAACCGTACCTACGGAGTCTTTCTTTAATTTCTTTTCCCCTCCACAGCCCCCGACAGATGACGATGATACTGTTGCCACCGACATCGAAGAGCGTCTTGAACTTGACTACCAGCTTGGAGAGGATATCAAAGAGAAGCTCATTCCTCGCGCAATCGATTGGTTCACTGGGGAGGCTCTTCAGTTCGAGGAACTGGGCGATGATATGGATCCAGACGAGTTTGAAGACGAGGACGAGGACGAGGACGAGGACGTGGACGACGAAGATGAAGATGACAGGAAGTCCGATGGCGATGTTGATGATGACTCCGATGAAGAGGTAAATACGCTCTTCCACGGTTTACCTTGTGTATCGATACTGACATGGAACAGGACGGTACTTCAAAGCCCAAGAAGGAGGCCGCTGAGTGTAAACAAAGCTGAGCAGCGGGCTAGCCCACTTGCATGTAAATCACAAGCTTGTATGGTGCTTTAAACTTTTCTTCACATCAGTTTAGTACCTTCTCTTTTTTTTTTCTCTTAGGCTGCTTCTTTCTAATAATGCGTGTCTCCCGACTCATTCAATAACCCTTCACTGTATCTACAGTAGGACAGGTATGTATAATTTATGCATACTCTGCTATTACTAGTTTGATGGGGCATGCAGTTGTTGATAAAGCTTGATGGATGGCATCGGCGAGGTAGCTTGGTCCCTATTTTCTTTTCATTATCCTCCATTTTCCTCTTTTTCTTAATTCTGTTTTCTGTCTTCTACCCATACAAAATGTTGGTGGCGCGAGGAGTACGCTTTTTGTTCAATTATCTACAATTGTTCTTAAACGATCTGTCTATGCCTCTGAGGATATAAATTGGTGGTAAAAGGAATATTAATCATAAATCTTCGGTCGCACATTCTCATGCTTGGTTATCGGTTCCCTGAAATCGTCGAGCTTTTTCTATGTAAAGCGATGAGTGTCTTCTCACCGCTTATTTAGAATGGCTGGTTTCCTTTTCCCACGTAGTCGAACTCCACTCATGAAGCCCTAAGTCAATTAGTACCTAATGCACAATTGGTTTCTTACGAGTTTGTTGTTTGAGGCGTAGGCGAATAGTGAAGTAGAAGGAAAGATTGCAGTAGGTGGGTGGAAGGTATGTTATTTGTATGTAGTGTACGCATGGTTATCTCTACTCTTCATAGAAGATGCATATCCACGGGTGTGTCATGATTAGTGATAAATTTACGCCGTTCTACTAGTATCTTTCCGGAGTACTTCGACGTCGCCTGACCCTTGGCGTTTCCAACTGTGGGGATTGTTTCGACAAGTGGCGCGGCTCTCCAGCCTCAGGGGTCGCGGCTCGCTAACTGCCAGCTGTTAGCCGGTTCAATAACTCCCTCTTCTGTAGAGCATGATAATCGGCCCTCTTTTCATGATTTGTATCCCAGGTTAGCCAGTGGTATTTTACGACTAAATTTTTTTGTTTCCTCCTCCCCTAACCTTTCCTTCTTTTCTTCCCTTTCCGACCTTTTTCCCCTCTCCTTTTTCCCAATTAGCTTGTCATTCGACTCATGATCCGCTGCTAGATGCCTGCAGCAGTACTTATTTGGTCCCACATCCATCCCACATAGGTTTCTCGATCCGGTCTCGTTCCAGCTCGGACTACTTATTCCTCAGTTAATCCAGTCTTGATGGCACACAACTACGAGGTCGGAACGAGGGCCTGGCAGCCTGATCCGACTGAAGGATGGATAGCATCCGAAGTCAAGGAAAAGGTTGTTGATGGTGACAAAGTGCAACTTGTTTTTATTTTAGAAAATGGGGAGGTTTGTATCCTTTTGTTATATGTTTGAATTTTACTGAGAAAATCGACTAACCATGTTATGGATTAAGCAGACGAAAACCTTAGAAACCACGCAAGCGGAGCTGCAGGTGGATAACAATCCTAGGCTTCCTCCGTTAATGAATCCTGCCATGCTCGAGGCCAGTGAAGATCTGACAAATTTGTCCCATTTGAATGAGCCAGCTGGTTTGTTTTATTTATCCAACATTCCTGCCAGGGGCTAACAACCCTCAAGTTCTGCAGGCCATTAAACTACGCTACGCTCAGAAGGAAATTTATACTTATAGCGGCATTGTTCTGATCGCTACTAATCCTTTCGCCCGAGTGGACTCACTTTATGTCCCACAGATGGTGCAAGTGTACGCCGGCAAGCACCGTGCATCACAGGCACCCCATTTATTTGCTATTGCTGAAGAGGCTTTTGCGTAAGATACGGCATCACTCTTGTTTTATACTGTCGCTCACAAGAAACTGTTGCAGTGACATGTTGCGGGATGGTAAAAACCAGACAATCGTTGTTTCTGGCGAGTCGGGTGCTGGAAAGACGGTTAGCGCCAAGTACATTATGCGATACTTCGCAACTCGTGAATCCTCAGACCAACCCGGGAAGTATACCACAAGTAGGGCAGATGCTATCAGTGAGACCGAGGAGCAAATATTGGCCACGAACCCGGTTATGGAAGCCTTTGGGAATGCCAAAACAACGCGAAACGACAACTCTTCACGGTTCGGGAAGTATATTGAGATTATGTTCGATGAAAGGACCAATATCATCGGCGCAAAGATCAGAACGTACCTTTTAGAGAGATCTCGTTTAGTCTTTCAGCCTCTCAAGGAGCGCAACTATCATATTTTTTATCAGCTTGTAGCTGGCGCAACAGACGCAGAAAAGCAAGAGCTTGGTCTTGTATCAGTTGAGGACTTCGACTATCTCAACCAAGGCGGGACGCCAATTATCGATGGTGTCGACGATAAGGCAGAATTCAATGCGACGAGGAAATCCTTGAGTACTATCGGTGTGTTAGAGGACACGCAGGCCGAAATATTTCGCATCCTCGGAGCCCTCTTACACCTTGGCAATGTTAAAATCACTGCCACTCGAACCGATTCGACCTTGTCTCCTTCGGAACCTTCCCTTGTGCGGGCCTGCGCCATGCTTGGCATTGACTCCAACGAGTTTGCGAAATGGATAGTCAAAAAGCAGCTCATAACTAGAGGCGAAAAGATTACGTCCAATTTGACGCAACAGCAGGCAACAGTTGTTCGTGATTCGGTAGCCAAATTCATATATTCCAGTCTCTTTGATTGGCTTGTTGACAAAATAAATCGTGGTCTAGCATCCGGTGAAGTTCTTAACAAGTTCAAATATTTCATCGGTGTCCTAGATATATATGGGTTTGAACATTTTGCGAAAAATTCTTTCGAGCAGTTTTGTATCAATTACGCTAATGAGAAACTGCAGCAAGAGTTCAATCAACACGTGTTCAAGCTGGAACAAGAAGAATATATTCGAGAGCAAATCGATTGGACCTTCATTGATTTCTCAGACAATCAACCATGTATTGATTTGATTGAGGCAAAACTGGGGATATTATCCCTCTTGGATGAGGAGTCGAGGCTGCCGATGGGTTCTGATGAAAAATTCGTGACTAAGCTGCACCACAATTTCGCTGCCGATAAGCAAAAATTCTACAAGAAACCCCGGTTCGGAAAATCGGCGTTCACCATATGTCACTATGCTGTGGACGTAACTTATGAATCCGATGGTTTCATAGAGAAGAACAGGGATACCGTCCCGGATGAGCACATGGAAGTCTTGCGCAATTCGTCCAATGAATTTGTCAAAGATATATTGGATACCGCTGCCGCCGTCCGCGAAAAGGATTCTGCATCTATCTCATCTAAGCCAGTCGCTGCCCCGGGTCGTAAAATCGGTGTTGCTGTCAACCGCAAACCTACCCTTGGGGGAATCTTCAAGTCGTCGTTGATCGAACTCATGCACACCATAAACTCTACCGATGTACATTATATACGCTGTATCAAACCCAACGAGGCTAAAGAACCCTGGAAGTTTGAGGGTCCTATGGTCCTCAGCCAACTAAGAGCCTGTGGTGTGCTCGAAACCGTCCGTATCAGCACTGCTGGATACCCTACTCGTTGGACTTACGAGGAATTCGCGATTCGCTACTACATGCTTTGTCATTCGTCGCAATGGACATCTGAAATTCGAGAAATGTGCCATGCTATTTTGCAAAAAGCTCTGGTGGATGGTAGCAACAAGAAGCAAGATAAGTACCAGCTAGGCCTCACGAAGATATTTTTCCGGGCAGGCATGCTGGCGTTCCTTGAAAATCTTCGGACGTCTAGATTGAATGAGTGTGCAGTCATGATACAAAAGAATCTGCGATGCAAGTACTATAGGCGCCGTTATCTCGAAGCACGCGCCTCTATTCTCACGACTCAAGCCATGATCAGGGGATTCTTAGCCAGGCAGCATACAGCAGAGGTGCGCAAGATCAAAGCTGCGACTTCAATTCAAAGGGTGTGGCGGGGACATAAGGAGAGGAAAAAATATAATGTCATCCGTGCAAACTTCATTTTATTCCAATCCATTGCGAAGGGCTTCCTCTGCCGGCAAAATATAATGGACACGATACATGGAAATGCTGCGAAGGTCATACAGCGCGCTTTCCGCTCCTGGCGACAACTACGGGCCTGGCGGCTATATCGCCGAAAGGTAGTCATCGTGCAGAACCTTTGGAGGGGAAAGCAGGCGAGAATACAATACAAGAAGCTACGAGAGGATGCAAGGGATTTAAAGCAGATCTCTTACAAGCTGGAAAACAAGGTGGTGGAGTTGACTCAGTACCTCGAGTCTTTGAAACGTGAAAACAAGTCGTTGAATTCACAGTTGGAGAACTATGAAACCCAGGTAAAATCCTGGAGGAGTCGTCACAATGCTTTGGAGAATCGCTCGAGAGAACTTCAAGCGGAGGCTAATCAGGCAGGAATTAATGCTGCTCGATTGGCTGCCATGGAGGAAGAGATGACTAGACTACAGCAAAATCATAGCGAAGCGCAAGCAACTATCAAGCGCCTTCAAGAAGAAGAAAAGGCATCGCGAGAGTCGATTCGTTCTGCAAATGAGGAATTACAGCGGCTTAAACAATTGAACACTGAGTCTGATGACGAAAAAGCATCTCTTCGCCAGCAGATTGCCGATCTTGAAGAACAACTAGAGCTTGCGAAGAGGACCTTGCCTAGTAGCGGCTTGAACGGTGATCAGCAGAACGGCGGCGCTATTCCACCACCTGCCAGTGGCTTAATTAATTTAGTTTCCTCTAAGAAGACAAAGCCAAAAAGACGCAGTGCCGGTGCGGAGAGAATAGAGACAGATCGTTTCAGTGGTGCCTACAACCCGCGCCCCGTCTCCATGGCTATTCCCAGTTCTTTAGTGCGTCAAAATCTTTCGGGCAACACCTTCTCACCTGGGCTGGACTCTGTCGAGGTTGAGCTTGAAAACTTACTTTCTGAGGAGGATGAACTTAACGAAGAGGTCACGATGGGCTTGATACGCAATTTAAAGATTCCGCTCCCTAGTTCTACACCGCCACCAACTGAGAAAGAAGTTTTATTCCCCGCTTACTTGATCAACCTTGTCACATCTGAAATGTGGAACAACGGCTTCGTCAAAGAATCAGAACGATTTTTGGCGAATGTGATGCAGTCAATCCAGCAAGAGGTAATGCAACATGATGGTGACGATGCTATAAACCCCGGGGCCTTCTGGCTATCTAACGTTCATGAAATGCTTTCTTTTGTGTTCTTGGCCGAGGACTGGTATGAGGCACAAAAAACCGACAATTACGAGTACGACCGGCTGTTAGAGATTGTAAAGCACGACTTGGAAAGCCTTGAGTTCAACATATATCATACCTGGATGAAGGTGCTGAAAAAGAAACTTTATAAAATGATCGTTCCTGCAATTATCGAGTCTCAATCCCTTCCAGGATTTGTCACAAGTGAAACTAATCGTTTTCTTGGAAAGCTACTTCCTTCAAACAATAACCCAGCTTATAGTATGGATAACCTCCTCAGTCTGCTGAACAATGTTTACAAAGCAATGAAGGCTTTCTATCTCGAGGATTCAATCATTACTCAGACTGTTACCGAACTTCTTCGACTCGTCGGTGTTACCGCTTTCAATGACCTTCTCATGAGGAGAAATTTCTTGTCTTGGAAGCGTGGCCTCCAAATAAATTACAACATAACTCGTATTGAAGAATGGTGTAAAAGCCATGATATGCCGGAAGGGACGTTGCAGCTTGAACACTTGATGGTAAGCACAACTGCAGACAAGGAAAGGATAATGCCCAGTACTAACTTTCTCTCAGCAAGCGACCAAGCTCCTCCAGTTGAAAAAGGCCACACTCAACGACATTGAGATTATCCAGGATATTTGTTGGATGTAAGGCCGTCTTCTTCATTCTGCCCCTTGTCTGGGTTCAATTGGATAACTAATATATATATATATATATAGGCTATCCCCAAATCAGATTCAGAAGCTTCTGAATCAATACCTGGTGGCGGATTATGAGCAGCCGATTAATGGCGAGATTATGAAAGCCGTAGCCTCCCGTGTCACGGAAAAGAGTGACGTCTTGCTCCTGACGCCTGTAGATATGGAAGATAGTGGTCCCTATGAGATTGCTGAACCTCGCGTTATAACAGCCCTAGAGACGTATACACCGTCATGTAAGTTTGATATGTGGCAACGCGGTCTGATAATCACTAACTAGTTTGAAGGGTTGCAAACACCGCGACTAAAACGTCTTGCGGAGATTGTCTCTGCTCAGGCGATGGCTCAGCAAGAGAGGCTTGAAATGGCAGAAATGGCATGATATCTGCCGAGTATGCTGTAAGTACAGTGCGTTTCGTTTTGTCATCATTTCTAAATGATGATCAAAATATACATTGCTTTTTTCTTTGAGCAGCGCTAGATCTATAGTTGGACACGAGAAGACTTGACGTGTGCGCCCGGGGGTTTTTTTTTTTCTCTTTTGATCAGTAACATGGCACACTTTCTTAGATTTCTCTTTTTTACCTGAGTGGATCTCATTCGTGAAAATCAATTTGACCTGGGGGTTCATCTACTGCCTAGCGGGAGTAGCTACATACATACTACATATACATACATACTACATATACATACATATACAATACATACTGGCTCACGTATGTAGAGATACCTTGGGCCCTGCCGTAGTCATGTGCTAGTGGGGTAGTGGGGAAGTTTTTGCTCTCCTACCTATACTAAGGGAATGTATTGATAATAGTTCCTCCTATGTCAAATCTCCCTCCAACAGCGACCTCAATATACTAAGGCAAGGCGCATAATATCCTTCTCACCTATCTCCGTTTCCTGGACACCCTATATCAAGATTGACCACGGCTCGCCGGCACCATGACTACGCTGAAAAATTTGAATTTCATCACCGGCAACAAGAACAAACTTGCCGAGGTTCGAGCAATTTTGGGAGATGTAATCGAAGTTAACAACCAGGGCATTGATGTGCCGGAGATACAGGGGACCATTGAGGAAATTGCTAGAGAAAAGTGCAGGCATGCGGCGGAAGTGGTAAGGATTAAAATATACTTCCCATGCCTCCTGCAACATTAACACGTCCCAAACAGATTGGAGGCCCAGTTCTCACCGAGGACACAGCGCTTGAATTTCATGCACTGAAAGGCCTCCCTGGACCATACATGTAGGTTTAACCAGAGCAACTACCCACCGCTCGTACTAACAACCTTCGAGCAAGTCGTTCCTTGACGCGTTAGGCCATGAGGGGTTGAATAAAATGCTTGATTCCTTCGACGATAAGTCTGCAGAAGCCGTATGTACGTTTGCCTTTTCTGATGGCCCTGGAGCAGAGCCTATTCTATTCCAGGGAAGGACGAAGGTAAGGAATGGCAACAAATTTATAGGACATTAAATTTTTGACTCCAACGTCTAGGGTGCAATTGTCAGACCAAGAGGCCCATCGAATTTTGGTACGTAAATCTTCTAAGTTCTAGCTCTGGCGCCTACGGCTCATTTATTTTCTTTAGGCTGGGATCCGATTTTTGAATATCAAGGGAAAACGTACGCTGAGATGGACAAAGCAGAGAAGGTAACTAGTAGCTCGCGTTCTACCTTCCTCACATTTTTTCCCTCCTTCTCCTTAATCAGTTCTAAATCTCCCCCCTTGGTTTCCTCGCTAACAAACAGGTAGAACCAAATATCTCACAGGTATAAGGCTTTGGACAAACTACAACGTTGGTTGATCGAGAGAAATTCTTGAGCCCAACCCTCTGCAGCAATGACGTTGATAGATCAAGGCTTCTTTAGATTAGTAGAGACAATTCAATTTGTGTTACCGCTATGGTTGTGCTTCCAAGAATCTATCCAGGTTGAAATTCTTGCGCAATTGTTCTCTACATCGTCATCCTTTTCACTAGTGAGCTCGACCACGATCTCTTCGTCGAAGGCTTCACGGGCCTCTTCGAACAGGACGCCGAAAATCTCCGCATCAAGATTTTCCTGCAGCTTCACTTGTTTATATTCCCTGCAACAGGTGAGATCTTGCTAGGCTTGCCGATGGGTGGGGTTTGTAGATACCGTGATGACAGACGATCGAATAGGATAGATGTAGACGGGCATCGCAGAACCACGACAAGGTCGATCCAAGATTTGGGAAACAGATCACATGCATGCCAGTCAATCAAAAGACCCCCTTGAAGTATTTCATCTTCGATAGCATCCAGCAGCTATATATACCAGATCAGGTAAGTAGAGGCCAAAAAAACAAAACAAAAATGAACCATGAACTCATGAGGAATCCTGTCCAGCTGAAATCTTCAAGGGAGAAAGAGGGAGGAGAGGGTATGTTTAGCTTACTTTGTCCTCATCCACAATCCAAGTTTCTAGTTCGTCGTCATAGGTTTCGAAGCAGCCGCGATCTTTTGCGACCTGATTGATTGACAGATGCCGTAACCCGGTATCCTGAGCCAGTTGTTCGCAGTGGACAGTTTTCCCTACACCAGGGGTTCCTGTGATTATAACATTTGGAGACGTTCGCATGATGGTCCTAGGAAAGGTATACTCATGCTAAGCAATGGAGGCAAAGGGAAAATTTACGTGGGGTATTTGTCGACACCTTAGGCAAATATTCCTGACATGTGGGTCCGGTCCAACAGATTTACCCTATCTACTACTGGTAGTAGTAGTAGTAGGTGTAGGTACTCGACTTGATTTTATTTATTCCAGTTCTTTCCTCTTGCTGCCCTCTCTCATTAATGATAAAAGCAACGATACCTAAAGTAAATTCTCTCAACAAGGGTTTCGTAGGACCTCAATTCTTAGAGATAGACAGCCTAGATATGTCAGGAAGATTCAGCAAAAGATACAGGTTACCTACTTGAGGATTTCAAAAACGCTGTATTTCTGTAAATAACCAGCACCCCGTCGGTAGCCCTTGAGAATGCGAGTGGGATCAGCATATACCGCAGGTGTGCCCTTGAGACGCTTCACAGCAGGCGATGGCTTGAACATGGGGTCAAAAACTAAGATATTCGCGCTGCCATTGTCACGTATCTCGAACCCGATAATAGTTAATGAATGTCCTATTCGTAACGGTATAGAGTTAAGTTCCCACCCCAGCGTTAACGAATAGAAATAAATGATAGAGAGCGCTCCTGACCTTGATGTTGAAGATAAATTGGGGGTAAATCCGTCAGAAGGACTTTATCGTTTCTTTTGGGGGGGCACATATGTCGAAAGTAATCTGCAATGCACATAAACAGAGCATCATGAGCTCGCATATCTTTGGTTCCTCCAATACTACTGGCTTCACACCTAATAGAGGTCAGTGCCATGCCCATCAGGGCAAGTATGACTCACTGTATCCCTAAACTCAAAAACAGGGCCTGTGCCTGGAAGAATCAAATCAGCAAGAAATGTTTGTATCCTAACATTCCGAACTTACTTCTGGTGTACCAATGTATTTCCTGGTGCCGCGGATTCCCCCCGTCTCAATCCGTCCGATGCTGTTGAAACCCATATCCCACGCATTTTCAATCATATCCTGCAGCTGCAATATTGACGGCAACGTGCTCGAAAAGCATTCATGCCCCAAAACGCGGCATTCTTTGATGTAGGAAATAAGCATTTGAATATTCCTGTAACCACAGAACCCGCCCTCTCTCGGCATTTTAGAAACTTGACAAACGTTAGGACTACAAAAGAAAGCACGCTGTACCGTTTTGTCCTGCTCACAAAGCCGAACCAGCACTGGGATAACATCATTAGTCTCGTTCTCGACCGATTGCTGTCTCCAAAGCGTTCCGTCTGGGGTATTTGTGTTGGATTCCATCGTTTTCGCGCCTTTTTGTAGTAGCTTTCGGAGCCATGAAGGCATCTGCTTCTCATGGGCATGTGGCCCAAGCTCCGCGCGCTATTTAGATTGTTAGCAGGTTTATAATGCGAGCCCAGTACAAGGAGGTAGGGGTTGAGGAAAGGGTTTATTACCCCAAGCTTTTTCACACCACCGGTAATTGCTACTTTTGAAGGACTACAGGGCCTCTTTTCCTTTAGTGGCTCCTGAGGCAGCATCTCTTTCTTTGACTGGCCTTTCACAGGTGGTCCATGTAGATTCTGAAAATTATTCAGATCGTCGTGGTCGTCAATTCCTCTCCGCTTTTGAGTAGTCGCCGAATCAGATGACTTGGGCAGGGAAGAGGGTGTACTTTCATAAGCAACCTCTTCTGCGAGATGTAAATCAAGGTGAGTAGAGACCTCAGTGGCTAATAAAATCTCTCCACAGCCATGTGGACAATCGGTATACGTTCCCGCGTGCTCAATTGTATGATTGGAGGAAAACGATTGCTCGGATGTCGCCTGTTTCAATCCTCTTATCTTCTTGCCACTGGGGGTATCGAAGTATGTGCTGTTATCAGGGTGATACAGCGCAATATGTTCCACAACAAGATTGCTGTCAGGGTCAGAGAAGGAGCAGAATGGACATCTTGGACACTCGGCTCTTTCGTGATCCATAGGAATCGAGTTGGAGGTATCAAATAGCCTTTTTATCTTTTCTTAAGCTTATAGGCACCAAGGTGACTCTAAAGAGATCGTTCGGGTAGCATATAAGGATCTGGAGATTATGGAAAAGTAAGTTTAGAGATATAAGCTTCAGTTGGATAAGCAGTATACCTATGCTAAGGCTTACTAGCTATTCAGTATTATTACCAAGTAGAGGGAAACACCTACTCCCGGGCCGTCATGTAATATCGCGCAACTGCCGCCTAACTGCTTATGTGCGTTGGGTCTGGTACTACTGTGTATTCCGTAAGTTACGAAGTAGAATGTTACTCCAATAGCCAATCGACCTGGAATTTATTATTATTATCTATTGCCCCGTTACTCGGTTGGTACTAGTACTTAGTGTTAGTACTACATAGTTAATAGTTTGTAGTTTATAAATCAGATAAGATGAGTCACACAGTGGGAAATGGACAACTCTCGAAGAACTCAGGAAGTATACTTACTGTACCTATGATCTGATTTCGGTAAGTATTATATAGCTAGTAGGTCACTATTATGCACATATGTATGTACATACATAGGAATATTGCCCTGGTATTCCATGTTCACTTCCACGCATGACTACCTTTATCTCACTACTACCAAAATATCCTAAGAATAAAATTCTGTCAATAAACCCAATCGATGCCTGGTCCTGAGCCACCACAGATGTGGAGACCTCCGATATCGTTTTCCGCAGGTGGAAGGCGGAGAAGAAAGTTCCTTTTTTCTAAGAAAAAAAAAAGATTATGTGACCGCCCAATGCTCATGTCATTCCACTTATTGTAGGGGACTCCGCTTTCGCAACCCCGCCAGTACACATAAAAAGGCTATTGCTACTGAAGCCAGCAGCTCTTGGATTGCAAGGCTTCATCTATTACTTTTTGCTCTCCAGCATGGAAACTCGACTGCAGTCCAACTTGGGGCCATTGCCGATGGTCAATGGCGGCCCAGTGGGCTCTTCAAAAAGTAATTGGGTCGTACAAAAGTTCGGAGGTACAAGTGTGGGCAAGTTCGCCCTTGACATTATCGATCAAGTTGTTCTGTAAGCAACAAATCTATTCCTACAATTATTGCTGCTGATACTTTTGGATATAGCCCGAGTCTTTTAGATCACAGCGTGGCAATAGTATGCTCTGCAAGAAGTAGCTCTACCAAGGCTGAAGGTACCACAAACCGGTGAGTCACCTCTGTACTCGTCTCCATTTCTAGCAGCATCAGACCCTCCTCTTTGCCCTATTCTTTCTAGATAAATCTGACACTTGAACAATGATAGGCTATTACGCGCCGCGAGGGACGCAGAGAATGCTGAATCTAAAACCTACGTCTCCTTAGTCGAGGCGGTCCGATTGGAACATGTTCAAGTAGTCGAGAATCAAATCCAGTCACAGGATCTGAAGCCTCGATTGGTTGCAGAGATTAACAATGAATGTGAAAAGGTTCTGAAGGTCTTGGAGGCTGCTCAGACGCTTGGGGAGATCAGTGCCCGCTGTGTGGATAAGGTGATGAGCACTGGAGAGAAGCTTAGCTGCCGACTTATGGCGGCTTTTCTCCAAGATCGAGGGGTGGATTCGGAATATGTGGATTTGGCTGAGGTTGTTGATTTTGCCATTTCAACACAGGGTTTGGACCAGGAATTTTACAATAATCTCGCCGGCGCCCTCGGTAGAAAGATTCAAGCTTGCGAGGGCAAAGTTCCTGTCGTAACTGGGTTCTTTGGCACTATTCCAGGCGGTCTTCTTGATCAAATAGGGCGAGGCTATACAGATCTTTGTGCCGCTCTGGTCGCTGTTGGGATACATGCCAAAGAACTACAGGTATGGAAGGAAGTTGACGGAATATTCACAGCAGATCCCCGGAAAGTGCCAACTGCACGTCTTCTACCAGCAATTACACCTGCAGAGGCTGCTGAACTGACATTTTATGGCTCAGAGGTCATTCATCCGTTCACCATGGAGCAAGTCATCCGTGCGAAAATTCCCATTCGCATAAAAAATGTCATGAACCCGAGAGGCGATGGCACTGTGATTTTTCCTGATTCGAGTTTTGAATTGGAGAAGACAACCCCAGGGCATGACCCGAGATTATTCCGCACGCGCAGCCCAAGTCTTGTGCAGAGGCCGAAGCGTCCTACCGCTGTAACCATCAAGCACAAGATCCTCGTGATTAATGTTCACTCGAACAAGCGCTCCCTGTCACATGGGTTTTTTGCCGGCATATTTTCTGTCCTTGACCGATGGAGGCTCTCGATCGATCTGATCTCTACTAGTGAGGTGCATGTATCCATGGCTCTTCATTCGGAACTACCCCTCCTTAATGGGGTTGGGAGGGATGAATATCAAATCATCGACGAGGATTTAAGAGGCGCATTACGCGACTTGCAAAAATACGGGACCGTCGATATTATTCCCGAGATGGCCATTCTGAGCCTTGTTGGGAAGCAGATGAAGAACATGATTGGCGTCGCCGGGCGGATGTTCACAACTCTTGGGGAAAACAATGTGAACATCGAGATGATCTCCCAAGGTAAGAGCAACTGAATCGATCCCATTGGACTTGATTTATCAAGTGCTAATTACTTCCTGCCGATAAGGTGCGAGCGAAATCAACATATCATGCGTTATTGAAGAAAGAGACGCAGACCGTGCTTTAAACATTATTCATACAAGCATGTTCACATTTCTAGACTAGCCCTCCCTTTCCCGTGTCCCCTTCTCATTGTTATACCCACTCTTTCTCCTCTTTTGGGGCCTTCTACTGTTCCGGTTTCAACGGGGGTCTCTCATGTTCCAGGATACCCCAAAGCAAGTCTATTTGGTATGACTGAAAGTTCCATGCTTTATGTGGAGCTATAACTCTGACTCCAATCAGACTCATTTAGACAACATCTTTCGGGTCCACTTGTAATTTGGACATTCGCCTATGCGCCGTGCATTGTTCTCTGTATTGATATTATTTTCACTCTGCTTTCTGGATAGATTTCATTTATCTCTGTTTCTTTGGCGTTGGTCATCTCTATCGAAATTTAGAGCAAGTTCGTTGTCGGCCAGGGATATAGGGGTTTGCATAGATTTTTTTTTTGAAGAATTGACAAGCACTCTATTGAGTCATTGCCGGTCAATCCCGCTATGGGTTTTGTTTCACTGGAATGAGAAATATGAGTAGATTAGCAACAGCTGGCATGAACGATTCATGTGGCATGGGCGTAATCTAGAGAGGCATGTAAGGTTAATCGAAGTTTCGCTACTTACAATCTTTGGTTGAATCTGTAAAACATTATGTTGACATGGTAAAAGATGGGCATCTTACTTGATTTCCTGCAGAGTAGTTTCCTACCGCTGCAGGGTCGGTACCCAGTGGATGTGCAGTCTACCGTGCTGCGTGTGAAACATGGTGTATATACTATAGGCTTAGGAAACGGAATCAGCGTACTGGTACATACTATAGTATACGACTTCATGCTACGTAATGCTCCTGCAGGCTGGCTGGTGTATCTAAAGCCACGGGATATCTATCGCCACCGACCCTCCTTTGTAGATCTCGTTTTCTTTGCATGAGCCTGTTTTATTATAAAGAGGCGCGCATGTCTCTATCAATCTTTTTTTCATAGATAGCCTAAGTAATCTTTTATTGAGTACGCCCATGCAATTACATAGTATCACAGGCAGCTGACTTATGCTTGGTGAATAGGCAGCCTGCGGAATCGTGTGAGTCATTGAATACTATTATAGTCCGCCGATTATAGAAGGCCTCATGATTCCCACCAAGATAGGCCTACCCGATAGTTTGATAAAGATCATAAAAGCTGATCGTTTTGATGCTGAATCAAACGATATCTTACCAAGTAATACAATTAACCATTTTATCTATTTTTCTTTTTTTATCAAGCTCGCTCAAATCAGATCCCATTAGATATAATACACCAACAATCCGGGTGCCTGAACTTCAGGAACATTGAATCCTATCGTTTGTATGCATATGTAGTTTATACATTATACTTACATAGGTAGAAATAATGCAGGTACTGTGCATACCTTATTACGCACCACCATGTCCCAACCTAGGGCAGTCCCTTACTTATTATTTGCTTTGGGGTATGCGAGTATTACTAGTCACTATTTTAGAGATATTGCTGGGGTGTTCAGCATATGGATAGATTGTTACCTAGATTCCTTGGTTTGTGTGTTGGGTTACTACTGAAGGATAACACTATCCAAGTGCGTTTATAATTACTATAAGCATGTGCAACGACTCCCTTACTTTATTGATCCAGGTATCATGTGTTGTCTTAGCCTGTCCACCCTTGAACCTTTAATCGGCTGGGGGTGGCTGTACAGTCATAAACCTTCGCCGAATCCTAGGTAGGTACATCAAGTCTGGAAGCACGGGGTGGGAATCTAGACATATTTTAGTATGGATCCGAGAAAATCATTTGGTCGGGACCTAGAAATTAGTGTGATGGCCGGGCATGCTTGCTTCGTCATGCCCCAATGATCGACCGAGATCGTCGGCTGATTGGATACGGTAATCGCTTCGGGTGGCGGAACGGAGCAAGGAGGTTAGCCAATACTGTCATTCGTGACAATACCGAAGTTCCCTCAGTGCTGCGCTGACGCGTGACGTGGACGCGTCCTAACCATACCATACATACAACAGAACATCCAACTTGCTTTCTCTTCATTCCATAACTCTTCGATTATTAACGTATTCTCGCGTACCCCCCACCTTACCTCGAGGGAGAAACCTTACCAGCTAAAGGGATTTTTGATTATAGAGTGAGGCCGCCTTCCCGCTCCTAGATATCTCAGCCCCAGTCCGCCCCTCAATATCTCCTTTAGATCTACTACAACGCGTCACCTCTTAATCCAGCACCGTCGCCTTTAACCTAGTCCCACAGCAGTCCTACACACTCACACACTTCATAGCAAGAACTGCAAAAGGAAAGGGGAAAACATAACCAACAAGATCAACTTCGACCTCGTTCAACTCGGCAGTCATTACCCGCTTTTCTTCACACCTCAAGGCCACGGCCTCAATGTGCTCTTCTTAGCGCCTTAGTGGCCCAATCACCCACATCTCTTGCGCTACAACCCAACACGCTCACCATCCCACCTTATCTTTCCCATACATCACTATACGAACTGCCCCCCTGTGTTAATCTAGTTATTGGGTATCGCTGCTCCTGCCATCATCGCCGGCCGACCCAAACGCGGCGTCTGCCCCGAAGACGATTACTATCGTCTCGTGTCAAAGAGTCCTGCGACGCGTCCAATACTTGCGGCCCCAGCCCAATAGGACGATATTATGAGCTCCACACGCCCTGCGCCGTCTGCACACGCAGTTATCAAATTATCTTCGCCCGCTGACCGAGGAATCACCAAGGCCCGTCCCCGACTAGAGCCATCCCCTTTGCCCCTGCAACCGATTGATAATGTTCCAAACAAAGAATATGTCTCGAGCCTACCACCCGCTGGCACCCACAAACCGTCGCCTACGAAAGCACATCGAGAAGGTAGGGCCTCACTATCTGGACGAGGAAAGCTAGGCTTCGTCTCAATAACTGCTCCTGTCCCGCCTTCCTTCCCTACGGATTCGCCAACGAAGAAAACCCCATGCAATCCATATCCCTATCCCGTTACGTCTTCCTCGTCGATGCCGCAGTCGGCCTTATTCACAACCTTTCCCAGTGTCAATCCTGACAAACTCTCGAAAGACGGTCAGCCCTTAGACGAGCTTCCTAATAACAACTTTGCGGATTTTCCTGAACCATCGTTCCCTTCCGGAGTACAGTTGAAAAGGACGCTCATGGAAGCAGCACCACTGAAGGAGCGGCCCACAAAAAAACTTAAGCGCGAAGATATTAACTCGATGCGTTTGCCCGAGCCGCATGAAATGCCCCCGATAGAAGACGACGGCACGAAGCCACCATACAGTTATGCAACACTAATTGGGATGTCTATTCTTCGTGCGCCAAATAGACGTTTAACCCTTGCACAGATTTACAGGTGGATATCAGACACATTCTCATACTACAAGAACAGTGATCCAGGCTGGCAGAATAGCATTCGCCACAATCTAAGTTTAAACAAGGCATTCATTAAGCAAGAGCGACCCAAAGATGACCCAGGTAAAGGCAATTACTGGGCTATTGAGCGTGGGATGGAAGCACAATTCCTGAAGGACAAGCCTCTACGCCGTGCTACAATGTCTAGTATTCCGCTTCCGGCCGCCCCCCAAAGGGAGCCTACTCATCCAGAGAGCTCTACCACAGCCACCTGGACGGTTCCCTCATCCGCTTATCCCCCAGCATTGCCGAAGTCATCCAATAATGTGGATCTATCTTCCGATGCGACACTGCCCGCCTCGGACCCCGCCCTCCAGGAGGACACAAGCGATGAAGGAGTGAACATAGCTGCTGCACAGACTCTGCCGCCACGATCTTCTCCACCGCAGCCTATACATTCGTCACCCCCAGTTGTACCACCTCGTTTTATCCGCCAGGGAACCCCACCTACGCCGTCTCAGGCTGCCACGTCTTCGGCAGTCGCTGCTCGCTCCAGGAAACGGAAGTCAACAAGCATGAATGATAGTGGATACTTCTCTTCTTTGGAATCTTCAGCGATGCGACCAAACAAAGCTGGGCACATATTGACTTCAGACTTGGATATTGAACCTCCTCGCATTAAGCGTGGCCGGGCGGAAGAAGAGATTGCCCGAATCAGAAGTTCTTCACACGATATCAGTCCAAATCACTCTAGTGCACTGAAAGATGCCGGGCTCATTGTTGGCTCTTCTCCGCTTCGCGGTGATTATGTTAGTATGCTGCCGCCTCCCATTACCCCCGTGATAAAATTCAAGAAGCCCGCAAAGCCCCCCCCGTCGGTTTCCCCTAATACCAATCTTCGAAACCACCGCAAAAAGATCCAGCAGATGGTCAATTCTCCTATTAAGCACCTAGGTCTCACAGATGAAGATCTTCCATGGAGCCCAGCCTTCAATATACAGGATGAAACCTTTACGCCGAGTGAAAACCTTCATTCTACTTTTGACGTATTTGCGGATCCTCATGTGGATAACATCTCCACATCGGCATATGGCTCGCCAGGAAAACGGTCCGCTAAAAGAGCACGAAATGATACTAGTGGATCAAACGGCAGTGTACTTGCGGATATAACGGCCATGAGTGTGAACAGCCGCATCGGGTTGCCTTCCTTCTCATCGGCAAGCAAAACGAAAGGCGTTCTCTTCCCCGATTCACCATCGAAAGCCCCCGAGCCTGGTCGCTTTATCGATGCTACTCATGACGACTTCTTCGCTTTTCATCTTTTTGACGAGAGCCCGGGAGAGGTAGATGGTGTTGATCTTTTGCAAGGGTTTCAGAAAATTGGCAGTGGAAGCAAAGACGAACCATCAAAACCCGGACCACATGTGTCCAGGCCACAACTGAATCATCGCAGCAATATGTCATTGTTCTGAGATTCAGTGGGGATCCATCATTGTAGGGCTCGGTAACCCGAGACAATGGTGCTCCAGGGACAAGTCATTTTTCCTTCCTGGTCTAAGATGTGCTATCGCTTGGTGCATAAAGTAACGTAGATTTTAATTCGGAAATTCGGAGTTTGTATTCGGCAGAGATCCGTTCGTTTTATTGCTTGGTTTCTAGGTGGTCGTTATTATTGGAGTTCTGGGCAGGAGTGAGGTCTGGAGTCTATTTTGACTTGAATTGACGACCATGTTATGACTTTGACGATATTTGCTAAGATGTACATGAATGTCATGTTTTTACGAGCCAGAATCTGGTCTCTGTCTACTCTTTTCTCAAGGCTTTAAATGCGTTTTCATTTCTCACCCTTCATTTTGCCATTAAGGGTGCATAGAATTAATTTCCTTAAGACATCAATCGATTCAGCAGCCGTCCCTTTGACTCTATACTAGGACACAGGATGCAGAGTTCTCTGTAAGGGTATCATCTATTTGGGGCTATTGTGAAACAGAGCTTTGCGCGGTGGTTGGAAATTAGGAAGTTCAGGAGGGAAACTGTCAAGGAAGCGCAGTAAACTGAAGGGGAAACAAGGGCAATAGTAACATCAGCGGGTAACAACGGAATGCAAATTTCAATCATCCAGCTCAAACCCGGATGCCTTTTGAAAGCCAACCAGAAACCAATCAACCATGCATCCCGATTATTATAACTCATTCCTTTCTTTCTTCTTCTTTCTTCTCTCTCTCTCTCTCTCTTTTCTTTTTTCAACTTCACCTAAAGATTCTTGGCGCGCAGGAATCCTCAGGACAAACACGGCGTATAAAGGCTAATCGCTACTGGCGCAACCTCGGCACCCACAACTGACACATTGTATCATTTGATCCTCTTTCAGCTGGGCCTTCGGAACGCGGCAGATGCATGTCGCACTGAAATTCGTTTCCTTTGTCTGAATGCAACGGAGACAGCATAACTACAGTGGAGAAAGCCGTCAGCGAAACGTTGATTTCCAGACCATTTTCAAATAACTTTCAGAGTGCCGAGAGGAACCAGAGGTAATACCTTTTCGTAGCCTTGCTTCTTCCATTTCGCAATCAAATTAGCATCTGCATAGTTGTTCTTTAGAAGCCATTCATATAGTTGCTTTGATATGGCTTCTTTCTCGTAATATAGGTCGTAGATGTATCTCGAGCCTGAGGAGTTAACCATAGTTCAAAGTTGCAAGAGTAAGGGCAGGTTTACGTTGGTGGCTTATCTGAAAAATTGGCCACAGCATTTCATGTTTCTTTTTACCATCGTGTGATGCATTCTCTGCATCTTTCATCTTGTTACTGAACTCAAGCAGCGTATCTTCGATATCATCAAACCCTGCCGGCGGTGGTTTGCGGCTGCGTGAGGTTCGGATCGGAGGCATACTCAACGTATAAATCCTGGCTATTAAGGTGGCTTGGGAAGCAGGTAGAGGTGTTTGGAGGTAAGGGAAGCTTCTTTCGATGGATGGCCTTCAGCTTGTCAGAGCGCGCAATGCCATCAATTGCTCTGCGATCTGCGGCGCTTTTCTGCCAGAATACACCGCTTTTACGCTATTCCGGAATAGAACTTTTAAGTCGACTACGCAGTCCAGTTGGGGTCAGTTCAAGTTTCTTTAGCAGACCCTCCACTGTTTCCTCCTACCCATTACTCCCTCGAATTACCTTCGACCAATCGTCTGGTACTATCGTCGCTGAAATCACAATGGACCAACAGCTCGATGTCTCCAAGCTCAGCGATGCTGACAAGAAGGAATTGAACCAGATCCTCACGAATGAAGCTCAGAAGTCCAATATCCAGCAAAGTGAGTGAACAGCCATCCCCGTGGAGTTCAGTTTGCCAATGAACCTCAATCTTGATGCTTTTGTCCCTGTTTGCTGATGAGTCCTTCATCAGCCGTGCATCATCTGGCCGACGTGTGCTGGAAGAAATGTATCAATGGGAGGATTTCATCAGGCCGCTTGGATCAGTCCGAAGAGACTTGTGCACAGAACTGTGTGGAGCGGTGGATGGACACAAATCTTGCTGTTTTAAAACATCTGGAAGCCCTTCGCTCGCAATGATTGCTTTCTGTTTCTGGAGACGAAACGTTTGGTAGATATTCGATGTGATTGCCAAACGTGTGGCAATGTCGGAAGTTTGTTTGAAAAAAGAGAACTCCATCTTTTCCAGCATGACGACTAGACGGCCTTGTACTATAGAACAACTAGAGATAACCCATATATTTGTTACGTACGGGCGTCTTTGCCCATACCTTGTTGGGCGACAACTTAAAACCGCTAACCTCTGCACCAAACTCCAGTAGCCTGCCTACTTTTAAAGAGAGCAGATACGGAAAACAACCATTAGATAATGTTACAGAATCCCGATGTTTACAGCACAACCCAGGTCAAGTTAGATCATGTATTCAAAAGATACCTCTCGTTTTTTTTTAAAAAAATAAAGATAAAGATCATTCAGCCGTCATTGCAGCATAGGTAGCTAACTGTATGACCGATATTTATGAACCGCCGCGTAAAACAAAACACGTTCACCCACAGCCAAAGAAAATGATTCCCCTAAACAATCGCAAGCTTGGTAGCTGCAATATCCAGAGCGTCCACATCAGGAGTTAGCCGAGCGAAGGCCTTCTTGGATCCGTCGGGCCTATATCGTGGTTAGAGGAACAATTCCCCGAACAGAGCGTTCGTCTTTCTATTCCCATTATATTCGTACCTAACAAGAGTGTTCACCTTAACGGTGTCAACATCGTAAAGATTCTTAAGAGCTAACTTGATCTGGCGCTTGTTTGCTTTCACATCCACGATGAAAACCAGGGTGTTGTTCTCCTCGATCTTCTTCATGGCACTCTCGGTGTTAAGTGGGTAGAGAACGACTTTGTGGGAGTCGAGACGAGGTGCATGAGGGATCGACTTGCGTGGGTACTTGGGCGACCGGGAGAGCTCAAGAGTCTTGGGGCGGTGGAAGGTGGTGGAAGTGCGGACCTTGCGAGCCTTGTGCGCCTGAAGGACCAAACAATTTAGTACTTGTTCTAGGCTTTTCTTGTGTTCAATGGTGTCAACATACGCCTGCACCCTTCAAGACTGCCTTGGCAGCAGCACCAGCGCGGGCGCTGGGCTTTGTCTTGCCTATTCAGAGACATGATTAGCAAATTTGATTCTTCCAGAAGCAGCCGAATCATCAGAACACAAAAGTCGCCATATCGAGTAGCATAGTTGACGAGGCGAGACAGAATAGGAGAAAGCCACAACATAATCTCGTCCTGAATCCTATTTTCTCGTGGGTTGTGTGCGGCATAGACAGATCAGTGCCCGCCATGTAGGATCTCACATAATGCTCTCTGTGAACTTGCACTTCAAAATTCGACAATACTGTATCTTCAGAAGGAACAATGAGATCGCTCCAAGTTTACCTACCTTGCTTGTTATCCGCCTTAGGTGCCATGGCTGTCGTCCGGCGCTGTCGTGATGATTGTCGCGGTGTTGAGAATCGAAGTATTTCGAATGCATTCGCTTAGCGAAAACCCTACGGGTTTGCTCTGTGGGTCACCTGACCTGACCATCAATGCGTCGGGATCTGGACGAGCTAGTCCATAAATGGATAGACCCGCTCCACTCAGCTTTTTGAGTTGTCTTCTCTAATCGTTTGATGTTTCAAGTGACCTGGTAATATTTGACTAGACTAGTTAGTGTACGGTGTATGTATGCATGCATGTACTTTGTACTAAATCTCATATTTCACTCCTTTTTCTTTTTTGTTTTCCCCCCCTCCGATCCACATCACGTGACTCGGAAAGACCTCGAGAATACGGGTCCATCACTCCTCCAAAGTTGAACTACAGGACTAGATGCATTCCCATTTTATCCCTTTTGTCTATGAACATGGCTCCAAGGAGATCTAAGACGAAAAGGACTACGCTACTTTCGCATACTCGACCGCCAACAGTCAGGACCAAACATGCAGCATTGTCATCCAGAGCTACACGCACTCTTATTCGCTCCCATCATCGACTTCTCAAAAAGCGAGTACAGGCTCTAGAAGCTCAAGATGAGGTTCTAGTTGGGAAAATAGATGCCCAGATTCAAGAAAACGGCGGGTTAGAAAGTTATCAACTCGCCAGCAAACTCGGACAATCGCTAGAACGTGGTGGAGACTCAAGTAAGGTTTTGGTTGATTGGTTGAGTCCCCAACTATCGCAGTTGAAAGATACAAAGTCAAGACTTCGGGTGCTTGAAGTTGGCGCTCTCAGCACTAAAAATGCTTGCTCTACGAATCAATGTTTAGATGTCACAAGGATTGATTTGAACTCTCAGGAGCCCGGAATATTAAAACAGGATTTCATGGAAATGCCACTACCTCGCGATACTGCCGACCAATTTCACATTATCAGCCTTTCGTTGGTTTTAAATTATGTCCCAGATGCCGTTGGTAGGGGAGAAATGTTGAAGCGCTGCGTTGCCTTCTTAAGAAAGACACCCCTGTCAGGGTCATCTGTCCATGTCACGCCCAGGTTGTTCCTAGTCCTACCTGTGGCTTGCGTTAACAACTCACGATATCTTACTGAAAGCAAGCTGCAAGACATAATGTCCAGTATGGGATTTGTCTTAACGAAGAGCAAAGAGACTTCAAAGTTGATATTTCAACTTTGGGAGCACAATCAAGACTTCCAACCCAAAATCTTCAAGAAGGAGATTTTGAGACCTGGAAGATCCAGAAACAACTTCGCTATCGTTGTTAAATGATGGCGGAAATGGTGCAGTGGCCTTAGGACTGATTCGAAAGACTTGATTGTACAGAAATCATATCCTCCGGCAAGAAGGCCCATATGGTCCCAACAATTGCAAATAGGGATGATACTAAGAGAAGCGACCAGTCTAGGATCCACTCTTTTCGGCTGATTTCTTGCCCAAAAATCTTCAAATAAAATGCAAGTGGCAGGATGATGCAGATTGTGAAGCACAAGGCAGAGCCCATCAACGCCATGATTCGGTCAAAGGATGGGCAAAGGATTGCCATCAATACGATAATGGCCACAACAAGGATACGTATGATGACTTGCGAAGATTGCCGAATTGTTTCTCGCAAGCCTTTGGGATGCTCCGGAAATAAGGCAGGACTCGGTCCAAGTCCACAGAGAACTTCAAACGTAGCCACCAGGGGTCGACAGCTACATACAACAATGATTTTGAGCTCGCAGCAGTTTAGGGGAGGGACGAGAGGGCTTACTTCAGAGGCACCTTAGTGATAGGAATGACTGCGATAAATCCTATGATGCAGATAGATATTGCACGTGGATATTCATTGGTCAGTAAAACGTTGGCGGTAACTTCATCCCGTACTTCGTCACCAAACATCATCCACCCCACAATAGCCATTGCACAATCTAGGGAATACTGTTGTATATATGCGTTAGAGAATATGCTATGGAGTTGATTTGGTTGTTTGATTGCTTCCATTACCGTAAAGAGATACGTCACCCACAAACTTTGTCTATATCTGCGTGGGTGTCTCATGTCTCTGTATATATTGGGAAAGACACCGTGGCCACCCCAGGGTGCTTCACAGATCGATAAAGTCAACTTATCTAGATTCCTGATGAAACCTCCCAAAGGACTTACACATGATCAGACCGAAACTAAGAGGCACGGTCCGCCAATTGTTTGGTAATAAAGAAGTCCTGGCTGGTTGGTGAAGAGAGCCCGGAGCATCCGGTTTGAGGAGCCCATCGAGGCATATTAACATCACGACTTTGACATGTTAGCCCGTTACGAACATTACTCAAGGGATATAAGACAATGACATACTAGATGTGCATGAAATTATTCCCAGAACACTGGTCACACTCAAAAATCGTAGAGGGACAAAATTCAGAGGAATAAGGATGACGCCACAAATGATTTTCCACTGCAGATTGCTCAGTCCCGGAATCAGAGCCTGGAGACTATCGGCGAAAAGCACAACCAGAGCGACACAAGCCCCTAAAAGTTCCAGGCAGAACAAAAGACTTGTCACCAAGCGTGCGTGGCTACCAAAGCTTACGTAGGCCAGATCAGCGTAAGTAACAAGACTCCGATCAACATCTAAACACTTGGCCAGTATCTTAGCTGTATAAGACGTTATCATAGCAGCGAAGAGAAGAAAGACGAGACCGAGGAGCCACCCCGCCTGTTTCATTGCCAGCGGTAAACTCAAGAGCCCGATTCCGATTAGAACATTCACAGAGTTGAAAATCGTCTGTGGAACGGTCGACTGGCCAACAACGATACTCTCCTGGGTGCCATCTTGATGGTGTACTTGTTTGACGAGTAGAGGTTCGGCGCCTTCACTCACGGGCGCATCCAGGCGTGTCTGTTGCTCTCTGTGGAATTGTATAGCATGTCTCCGCGTCGCTTCGCTAACGCGTGAGGTGATAGTACCGTACGACGTCCCAAAGCTTCTATCGAGCGACGATCCGAGAACGCTAGTGATTCCTTTGCTTGATGGACCTTGGCCATCCAGGTCATCATCATCTTCCTCATCCTCGACGCCAAGTAATGGATGGGTAAGGTCAGTGTCCTGGCCAGGCAATTGACAGGTTCGAGGTAAAAAAGCGTCATGTGCGGTTCTTGCTTCGTTGGAGTCAATTGTTGTAAATGAGGGGCGACGAGGAAGCACTTCTGGAAAATTTGCAGCTCGTTGCCATGACCGGGCAAAGTTATCAATGCTATTGACCCCGCCTACTTGTCTGAAGCGTGTAGAAAATGATGCTGGCCTAAATGGTGTAAATATCTTACGCCTTAAGAAATTGACGGCACATACAATGATAGCTTACCTCAGTCCATTGAGAGCATGGTTGTCAATCAAATGTCCAGTCGATCCTGCCGAATTTCCACGAGAAAATACGTCGAATTCTTGAGGAGAATTTGGGGCGTTCGAAGTCGGTATACTGATACCCTGCGATATAGACTCGACCGGCCTGGGATTTTCAAAATCCTCATCAGTCGATATGCTCGGCATCTTGGTTACTCTTAAATGGACGGCTAATGGTGGTGGGAAATAAATAACATGGATTCCAAAGGCCTATGGAACCCAAGTGGCATAGAAGCAATGCCAATAATGGGAAAGACAAGCCCAAAGTCCTAACAGTCTATTGCTTTCTTCTTTGCCAAGACACCTTTAGGTAGAAACCCAAGCATTTATAGTCTAGATCCTATATAGGAGTCAACCAGTCAAGCATGGGGTAAATAGTGACCCCCTTCCGGGTTTGGTACCAGATACACCTGAGAAGCAAAATGTAATAGAGACGATAAGAAAGAGCTTGGAGTAACACCGAGAGGTGAAAGGTAGGAGGATTAAATGAATGATAAGAGATTTGTGCAGGACCTTAGGTCAAAGGTAAGACTAGCGGTACAGTACGTACATACCTAATTTTAAGTTACTAGTATTGTACACATGTGTACTTTCTTTGCCATTTGTCTTGCCCATCATAATATAGGCGGGTAGCATAACTCTCAGCATATACCTAAGTAACTGTTCTAAAGGATAGTATGAGGTTAATGAGCTGTTGTTTGACTCCGACAATGTGTTGAAGAGCCCATTCAAGGTGAGCACCCCTGCATCAGGTGTTGCATACATATGTATGTACTGTACATACAGTAGATATTACGAGGTACTACTAGTAGTACAACCGAGGCAAATACATTCTGTGGTCAGAAATTTTGTCTCGGTAGATAGTAGCTACCTAGTAAACATTGATCAGTGGTGGTTATGATGAACCATCTGCCTCTGAGAAGTCATAGTACATAAATTCAAGACTTGGTGCCAAAATTCCTTGACAGCAACTTCTAGCCACAGTACCTGGTATTGCCGGGTATAGTACCATACAGGCATGGTTCGATGCTTATATCAGCAGCTGCCGACCCGATATCCTTATTGTCACTACCACCCCACGGTGCCTGATGAAATTTGCTGAAAACACCCCGCTACTGGATTTGGACGGCATATTGAATCAGCCTCAAGGTACGCGAATCATTCTCCTCCACTCCTTTATTTCGCTACTTTGGGACTTTCATTTTTTCCTCCCCCGCCTAAATTCCCGTAATTTTATATGGAGCTTCCACAAGCTGACCTTTTCCCTCAGCACCAGCATATACATTAGGTCTTTCTCCCTGGTCGTCCAATATCGTCGTGTCGCCCAACATGAGCGCGGCTCAGGCGAATGAAGCAGAGAAGAACATTGAGATATGGAAAGTGAAAAAACTGATCAAGCGTCTTGAGGCTGCTAGAGGAAATGGCACCTCGATGATTTCGCTTATCATCCGTAGGTTTTCTTCCACTATCTCCTCGTTAGATTGCGACTAATACCAGTATTATAGCCCCCAAGGATCAAGTATCCAGGGCGGCAAAGATGTTGGCTGAAGAATTCGTAAGCTTTCTCATATAACCACCGCCTCTTGGGGCCCTATGTTAACCAAGTTATACAGGGCACTGCCTCCAATATCAAATCCCGAGTCAATCGACTCTCCGTCTTGTCTGCCATCACTTCCACGCAGCAGCGTCTCAAACTATATAATAAGGTCCCTCCTAATGGTCTGGTCGTCTACTGTGGTGAAATCATAACCTCCGAGGGAAAGGAGCGTAAGATCAACATCGACTTCGAGCCATTTAAACCTATTAACACGTCTCTTTACCTGTGTGACAACAAATTTCACACCGAAGCGCTGAGTGAGCTCCTTGAATCGGACCAGAAGTTTGGTTTCATTGTGATGGATGGAAACGGTGCGCTTTTTGGTACGCTTAGTGGAAACACCAGAGAAGTCATACAGAAATTGAGCGTCGACCTACCCAAGAAGCACGGACGTGGTGGTCAGTCAGCCCTGCGTTTCGCACGTCTTCGTGAAGAGAAGCGCCATAACTACGTACGCAAAATTGCTGAATTGGCTGTTCAAAATTATATAACCAACGACAAGATCAACGTTGCGGGTTTGATCTTGGCTGGTTCCGCCGACTTCAAGAACGATCTCAATCAGTCGGACATGTTCGATCAGCGGTTGCAGTCCAAGGTGATCAAAGTCGTGGATGTTTCCTATGGTGGGGAGAACGGCTTCAACCAGGCCATCGAACTTGCTTCGGAAACTTTAAGCAACGTCAAGTTTGTGCAGGAGAAAAAGCTCATAGGCAAGTATTTCGAGGAAATCAGCCAAGACACTGGGAAGGTCTGCTATGGTATTGATGACACTCTCAAGGCTTTGGAACTCGGCGCAGCGGAGACGCTTATTGTGTACGAGAACTTGGATGTCACTCGGTGGGTTCTGAAGGACTCGAACGGCTCCGAAGTTGTCATCCACACGACCAAGGCTCAGGAGGAGAACAACCGAGAGTTGTTCACCGATAAGGAGACTGGCACTGAAATGGAGGTTGTCGACCAGTCTTCGTTCCTCGAGTGGCTTGCAGAGAACTATAAAGACTTTGGAGCGACTTTAGAGTTTGTTTCGGACAAGTCAAGCGAGGGCAATCAGTTTGTTAAGGGCTTTGGTGGTATTGGGGCTATTCTTCGGTACAAGGTCAATTTCGAACAGCTTGCCGATTATGATGACGAGGATGAATTCTATGACGGTATGCTCGACGACATCTCTAGTGCGTTTAGATGCTCACCATGAACAAATACAGATTGACGGTTCAGCGACCTCGCAGGGAGCGAGGATGAACGGCCAGAAGTTCCCAAAGTGGGTCTTTTGACGGCTCGCCCTTTGAGGCATGAAGGCGACCCTCGTGGTGAACTTACGAACTCATTGGTGGGGACCATAATGCTCTCTGGACCGAACTCCGTCCAGCTGCTCAAAGGTATGTTTATGTACACCATTATGCAAGAATATTTTCCAAACTAATCTCTTAACACCTGTATTACCTGCCAGGGCCATCCAAGCTCCGCACGATAGGCATCGAAGTAACTTAGAGCCTCTTGGTTGACGCTTTGCAAGGATGGTGAATATGATTTGATGCAGCTGTCCACAAGAATTTGTCAGCCTTATGGCATTTGAGCTAGCAAGATTGTTTTGTTACAGCAAGTATGCCACACTGGTGTTATTGCTCATTTTTGTTTTTTCTCCTACGTGTTCTTCTTATACAACTACACCTAACGAAAAATATATGTCAAAAGTAAGAACGCACTCGCAGGCTGCCTTTACTAGTTGATTTAGATTGTCGTAATATACTCCTACTATTTAATATTAGCTTAAATACAGCTCAAGTCATTATATATTGTTAGGGACCTAATCCACGGTATTGACAGTTGGTCCTTGTCATTATCATTAGAGGTATATCGCTTTTAGTCACTCAGACCATGTTCCCAGATGTCTACAAGTCTCGGTAACACTCTGCAAATCATGCAAAATCTCAACAGCTGCACTTTTATCTCCAACAGAATTGGCTGTTTGGCACTCAACCAGGAAAACATACTGCCAATTTTTCTTCTGACTTGGCCGTGAGTTGATGCTTGTAAGGTTCATGCCATGACTCTTGAATATCAACAAAGCCTCCGCTAGGGCCCCCGGGGTATTCTGGCGAACCATGAATGAGATCAAGGTCTTTCTTGCCGCTGATGCTGATGGAGAAAGTCCTTGTACGCGGCGACTGTTCAAGCCTCCAAAGAATTGCAGGCCTGTGCGCTCCGATTTCATGTTCCTCAGTACTAGAAACCGTGTTGTATTATCGGCTTTGTCTTCGATATTCTCTTCTAGAACATCTAGGCCATGGAACTCAGCAGCAAAGCGACTAGCTATTGCAGCACTTCGTTCTGTTTCTTCTTTTGAAACAAGTTCCCCAGCCTTAGAGGTAGATGATACATCCTGCCTCTCAATGCCTCTAAAGTGGATTCCAAGAAACCCTTCACATTGCCCCCAAGCTTGCGGGTGGGTATAGAGCTTAGTAACAGATCCATAATCTCGTTGGCTAGTAATAACGCTTCTTCGAGCCAAGAGGCAGTGGTGCACTCTTAAATAGTGTACGCCACATACTTCAACGTCTTTGTATGTGTCGTTCGGGTCTGCCAGGAGGTCAAGAGTTTGGACGACTGATCCGTTAGTCGAGTTTTCGCAAGGAATGATAGCATAGTCTGCTTCACCCTGCTGCACTGCGGCGAAGGCATCTGCGAACGATACACGAGGCGACAACTCAGCAGAACTCCCAAAAAATTCGACGGCAGCCTAGAACGCGGATTAACGATATGGGAGTCGGTTTAGGTTTAGGGTCCTGACCTGATGTGAAAACGACGCAGCGGGGCCCAGGAAAGCTACAGTCGTTTGCTCCATGGCCGACAGAATTCTAGGGCATCAAGGAGGGGTGGGGGGAGGTCGTTCGTTGCACATCCACTGAACTCCACTGGAGCCAACATAAGCACACTGAAACAAACAAGTCAAACAAAACGTTGCTTGCCTATTCGGCAACGATCTCACACCACACCTATTCATAATGCTATCGAACCCGAGCGGTTATCTTTTACAAGCAGGCCATGATTTGCTGGATGAAGAGAGCCATATTACGCTCGCTGGGGCGAAAATGGTCGGCAGCCGCATTGCGGACATACTCCTCACTTGGCGAGCGTTTGCATCGCGAACTTACATCACGGAACCTCCCATTGAACTTTGATTATCTGCATACTCAGCCTTCTTATCTCCTAAGCCTGACACTGGCTGACACTCTCCCGAAGTCTCCGGCATGGTCGCATATTCATACATCTCTTCCTTCAGTTAACCGCGCACCTCGTATGCCAGCCGGCCACCACCTCGTTTACTTTCCTCCACAGGTTACGCTGTCACAGTTACTACCAGATGGTACCGATGTCTTACATAGCCCCGGTGGACCTTTTGATAGGCGTCTATGGGCCGGAGGAAGAGTCAAATTCCCCGTGTCAAGAGATCTAACTCTCAACGGCGCCCGTGCCGTCTGTATCGAATTAATTCGTGACGTAATAGTCAAAGGGCGCGAGGGGGCGGAGAAGGTCATTGTCAAAATAGAGAGGCGAATTGGAATAGTACAGGAGAATGAAGAAGAGAGCAGTATCAAAGAGCGTATATGGAAGGAGACCGAAGATAAGACCGACCACGCCTCAATCATTGAAAACAGGGATCTAATCTTTATGCGGAAGAAGACGCAAGATGAGTTGAGTCATGACAAGGCGAATTTTGATAACAACCAGAGGGTTCTAAAACGTGTGCAAGTTCATTCAGTGCACCCCCAGAAGTATATACTAACACATTCTTTTTGTTCATTTCAAGCACCCCTTGGCCCCGACTTCCGCTATACAATTGAGCCGACAAAATCTCTTCTGTTTCGTTTCTCTGCTCTCACGTTTAATGCCCACTTGATTCACCTCGACGAGACCTACACTCGGAATGTAGAGGGCTACCGGAACCTTCTCGTACATGGACCATTGACACTAACGCTGCTCCTCACCGTCCTTGAAGCCCATCTGACTAAATCAAACCAAACTATCAGAGAACTTTGTTATCGAAACCTAGCACCGCTTTATGTTGAAGAGCCTCTAACGATCTGTGGAAAGCCCAAAATCGGAAAGGACGGTGCAACATGGGATGTATGGATTGAAGGGAAGAATGGAGGTCTTGCTGTCCGAGCTACTGCACTTCTAAGCCCCGTTTAAACCAGCATGGGCACTGTCTTAGTTCCACTTGAACACTGGTGTAAAACACTGTATTTCACGCATTTAAGCTGCGTAAGGCCATGACTCTGAGCAACAACTGCTGTACAGTGAATTACAATCGTTATGTTGGGACCTTGATATTCTCTACAAAAATCCAGCATGGCCATCTTATGCACTGGCTAGTCAAAAAGCTAGCTGTTGTCTCGTAACTAACACTATAGAGACATCCTCCATAAGAAAATAGGATTGATGTGAGATTATACAGGGTAGATCTTGTCGCTGGTCAAGGCCAAATTGAAAAGATATTTTGCCATATTACGGAGTATATTGATAAATGTCTTACCGTATTTCCAATACTTACTTGGACTTTTAAATAGAGGGGGTAAATAAATCTGTATTGCTGATTGATAGAGCAATGACATGTATCAAGGATACAACGTGTCACCAGTACAGAGCATCTACCTACGATAGTACAGTACAGTACAGTACAGAACTGAGCAGTGAGATATTATGATACCGCCTAGTCATTTGTGATCATATCGGATAAATGTATTGCCGGGGAAAAATCCACACTAGTGCCATGCGCCCATATTTCTTCCACCACAACCCCATGCTCCGTTTTCTTCTTTCTTATTTTCTTTTCCAGCCGTCCTAGATGACCTAGGTAGGGCACCGCATAATGTTTGCTATGTACCTCTTTACTCGCTTAGATATTTGTTCAACCTGCCTCTCAGTTCATTTACTTACATAGGTGCAATGGATCGTTTTTGGTCTGCGCCACCTGTGACGAGGTAATAATCTCACCATCCTGGTAAACTAGGTGATCATGTGGCTAATTCTTGCAGGACCCTCACTGCCCTCGCTTTTTCTCAGTCTGCTTTGGTCTATGGTGGCCTAATTAGTGGTAGATATGTCATATTCCGTCCAGAGCTAGTCTTCAAGCTATTTCCTGAGGCATGGAGATTGTTCTCGTCGTTTTTACTCACAGGGCCGCGTCTCGATTTTATATTTGATCTTTATTTCAGTATGAATCTGTGAGAGCCCAGTCTGCCCGCAGCACTAACCCCCCAGTAGTGTTCAAATATGGCAGTGCTTTGGAGACAGGCTCACCGCGGTTCAGTTTACCGGGTGACTTTTGCACATACGTGTTCTTTGTAGCTACTATTATCATAGTAAGTTCGGTATAATTCCCTTTATCAGTGTTCAAACGGCATTTTATTCTGTTTTCTTTTCCACTGGTAATAGTGGCCCTGTGATTGCCTGACAACCTCGCATATCTGCCCGCCCAGCCTTTGATCTAGCTGAAGCGGTTCCTGGAAGTGAGGAAGATCACCCCTGCATCTCATGCAGCCTCTCATTCGCATTAATCCTTTAGGGCTGTGTGCGTTGCAGGTATGGTGGGATGACCTTTGAGATAACCTACGTGATTCATCAGTTTACGTAGGTGGTTATGGTGCCCTACATATTAAATAATTTTTCTCTTTTTTCTGTTATATATATAGTTCTATACTTTCGACTCAACAGTAGCCCTTTACGAGTGCTGACCAGTTGAAGCTCTCTGCAGGTTGCCTTCTGGACGATGTAGTTTTCACCCATGGTGAGCTTATTGCAGCCTGTCGCATGATTTTGCATACTGATCCTTGGGGGTAGCATTGATTATCGCATTCGTTTACACATTCGCTCAGGACAACAGAGGTAGAAAGGCTTCATTCTTTGTCCAACTACCGGTTGAGTTCCTACCATGGGCGATGCTAACCTGGACGCTTGTGCGTGACGGATGGCCGACAGCATTCAGTGAGAGCATGGGCATTGTGGCGGCTCATATGTATGATTTCCTCACACGCATATATCCGACTTTCGGTGGTGGTAGAAACTACCTTACCACGCCCACTTTCGTGAGGAGGGTTTTTGTCACCCATACAGCCCGAAGTCAGCATCGGGCCTATGGGACTGCCTATCGAACAGTCACAGAGGAACAAGGTTCGTCCCGGGGTTGGGGTTCGTCACTCCAAGGCCCCTGGAGTAGTAGAGGAAGAAGACTTGGCGATGGTTAAAGCGACCGTTCCCCCTGTGTGTACTGTAATCTGATGATAATTCTTATACTGGTTGCGAAGTATAAAGCAAACAAGAATCTTTCCAAATTACATAGAAAATTACCTGGGTATTCAGAGTGATGAGGACCAGCGTACAAAGCGTATGAACAATGGAATTTAAGAAAAAATAAACCTGTGTCGTGGTTACTAGTATGTATGGAGTCTTGTGGTCCATTTCAGTGTCCATAGGACTTTACGCTAGCCTGTTTTGTCCTTAGACCAGTCGCCGCACTTCCAAAATTTCCTATTACCACTTTCTCGCTAGCGCCCGCAAAACTTTAGCTCGGCAGGTGCAATTTTTCCTGCGTTCTTTTCCAACCCGCGCACTCCTTCCTGCACTCCGAGAGCAAGCCCATCCAAAATGGCGGTCGCAATGGCTAAGGAAGAGATGGACTACACAATCAAGCCGGAAGCTGGCGCCTCCAGTATCTCCACATCAGACTGGCCGCTTTTGCTGAAGAATTATGACCAACGTACGTTCGCATCGTACCTGTATCCTTGCAAATCATCCCTACTCTGGCTTTGAATGTGTTCATATTTTGCTTTAAAGAGTAGATTAAACTGATTACGCTCTGCAGTCCTGGTCAGGACCGGTCATTTCACACCAATTCCTGCCGGTTGCTCCCCTCTTAAGCGTGATTTGAAGTCCTATATCAATTCCGGTGTGATCAACCTCGACAAGCCCTCAAACCCATCTAGTCATGAGGTGGTTGCCTGGATGAAGAGAATTTTAAGGTAAAACCACATAGCTCTGTTCGATTAACAAGATGCTGAATAAATGAATTTTTTTAAAACAGGGCGGAGAAAACTGGACACAGCGGGACTCTTGATCCCAAGGTCACCGGTTGCCTGATTGTTTGCATTGACCGTGCCACTCGTCTGGTTAAGTCGCAGCAGGGTGCAGGCAAAGAATATGTCTGTGTGATCCGCCTCCATGATAAAATTCCTGGTGGCGAGGCTCAGTTCAGGAGAGCCCTTGAGACGTTGACTGGTGCACTTTTTCAAAGACCACCATTAATTTCTGCTGTCAAGCGTCAGCTCCGGATTAGGACCATCCATGAGAGTAAACTTTACGAATTCGACAATGACCGGCATCTTGGTGTGTTCTGGGTCAGCTGCGAAGCAGGAACGTACATCCGTACTCTTTGTGTTCATCTGGGCCTCCTGCTTGGCGTCGGTGCTCACATGCAGGAACTCAGACGTGTCAGGAGTGGAGCTATGGATGAGAACAGCGGCATGGTGACTTTACACGACGTTTTGGATGCTCAGTGGATGTATGACAACCAACGGGACGAGTCGTATTTGCGCAAGGTCATCAAGCCTCTTGAGTCCCTTCTCACAAGCTACAAGCGGATCGTTGTCAAAGACAGCGCTGTGAATGCTGTATGCTACGGCGCCAAGCTCATGATTCCTGGTCTTTTGCGTTTTGGTAGGTTGTCCTGTCTCTTTCCGCATTTCTTGGATATTGGGTTGCTGTAGCTGACTTTAACCAGAGGCTGGAATTGATGTTAATGAAGAGGTTGTACTCATGACTACCAAGGGTGAGGCCATTGCAATTGGTATCGCTCAGATGTCGACCGTCGAGCTGTCTACCTGCGACCACGGAGTTGTTGCCAAGGTTAAACGTTGTATCATGGAACGTGACCTCTATCCCCGGAGATGGGGTCTAGGTCCTATTGCTCTGGAGAAGAAGAAGCTCAAGTCGGCCGGCAAACTAGATGTGCGTTTATCTCTCTTTTCTCGTCTCCTCTTATCTCCCTGCCTCTCGTTGGTTCCTATGAACGGGTTGCCACTAACAGTCCGATGCAGAAGTATGGTCGGGCCAACGAAGCTACTCCAGCCAAATGGAAGAACGATTATAAGGATTATAGCGCACCAGAGGAAGCTTCTGAACAATCAGCTGCTGTTTCAGCCCCTAAGGAAGAGGCAATCGTCTCCCCAGTAGAGCAGGCTGAATCTCCCTCGTCTCCCCAAACCGAAATGGATGTTGATGACACCAAGGAGGATGAGAAGAAGAAACGTAAGCGACACGAGGGAGAAACCCCAGAGGAGCGAGCAGAGCGCAAACGCAAGAAGAAGGAAAAGAAGGAAAAGAAGGAGCGACGGAAGTCCAAGCAAGAGAAGGAAGAGAGTGACGACAGCGATTAAGGCTTCCAGGAAGTCCCTTGACCGACCCTGACAGCGAAGCGTTCCTATATGTGGGAATGCTTTCTCGCCTCTTTATAATCGTCAGAGTACCATTTGGGCATGATTCCTGTATCATACATGTTTGTTTCTTTCATTGGAGTCTTGGGTTGAAAAGGGAAATCAATCTTCAAATGCTTTGTTTTTTAGTGGTTTGCTATTGAATAATAGTTTCGCTCTGCGAGGAGGTTTCAAAAGTTCGGCTATTGGCCATCTCAGGAATAGGAGCACTTTGTAGAACAGTATCTTGTTAAGCTTCTTGGATCGTTGGTGAGGCTGAGACTGGGGTGTCGTGACCGTGCCGAGATCTACCCTGGCTATCAGGCGTGTATGCCACTTCCATCCACACTCCCACCGCACGTATTATCTTCCCTCTTGCAATCCAAATAATTGCCTCCTTTGCCACCAATTTTCTTTAGCATTTGTGTTTATGGGGACCATACAAAGAAGGATTTTCCGATCATCATGGCTGCCGAGCTCACGTCAACGAAGCTAAATGCGGAGAACCATTTGCTCTTGGTAATGCCCACCCAATGTTACTTACGTTCCCGTTCAACTCCTAATGCCTTCTTTCACTCTCAGGATCAACCCCTCCTACGACTACCTCATGAGCTTGCGCGAAAGAACTTTAAATCAGTTCAACGGGTTGTTGAACGGGAAAAAGAATATATCCTCCCCGCACTAAAGGAAGCTCACAGTGCATCGCTTTCCAATGACCAAGCAGCAGATCAGACGCTCGTTGCTCTGGATGCTATGATATCTCGAATGCAAGGCCTGAAACGAAAAATGGAAGGTCTGCACCAGGAGGAGAAGAAGATCCATGGCCAGTCAAGGAAGCGTATACAGCATCTAGAGAGCCTTCACCAAATACATAGTTTGGCTGATGTGAAGTATGATCAGTGGGCGAGAGTCCGGCTAGATAGACTAGTGGCAGACCATATGTTACGATCTGGATATACGGAAAGCGCCCGGCATTTAGCCCAGGATAAGGATATTGAAGATCTTGTAGATCTCAATGTTTTCATCCAGTGCCAGCGGATTGCTGAAAGCTTGCGTCGTGGAGAAACTAAGGACGCCCTGCAATGGTGCAATGAGAACAAGGCTGCATTAAAGAAGAGTCAGGTTGGTGCGTCAATTTCATCTGGGTCGAATTGAATGGCTGAAATACACTTTGCAGCATAACTTGGAGTTTGAACTCCGTTTGCAGCAATACATTGAAATGGTCAGGACCGGGGACAAGGGAAAGCTTGTTGAAGCTATGGCACACGCAAAAAAGTTCCTTGCCCCCTACATCGAAACGCAATCCACGGATATTCATCGGGCAGCGGGCCTTCTCGCTTTTCCTTGGGACACTAAAGCCGAGCCTTACAAGGTGCCTCTTCATCGTTAGTTAGATCGGTTTCTGTATTGAAGCTAATGTATGAACAGTCGATGTATGCACCCGATCGGTGGGCATACCTTTCGGATCTGTTTGTTCGTACTCACCACGAACTCCTATCATTGCCGTCACGCCCCTTGCTACACATTGCTCTGTCCGCCGGGTTATCAGCTCTCAAGACACCTTCATGCCATTCGGCTTACACGTCTTCGAGTTCCAATTCTTTGTCTACTACCACATCGGTCTGTCCCATATGCTCGACCGAGTTACATGAGCTTGCGCGCAACATGCCATACGCTCACCATACCAAGAGCTATGTTGAGAGTGACCCGATTGTCCTCCCGAATGGCCGAATATATGGCCAACAGCGCTTACTAGAAATGAGTGAAAAAGTCGGGTGCGTTGAAGCCGGCAAGGTCAAGGATCCTACAACCGGTGAGGTTTTTGAGGAGAGTGAAATGAAGAAGGTATATATTATGTAGCCGTAGACAGACATGCCATGAACGGTGGAGTCGATCCTAATCCTAAACCTTGTTCTTTTCTTTTTCTTTTTCTTTTTTCCTGCTCATTCTTTCTATATTTGGCTTTGAACTGCGGAACGGATGAAATAAGAAACCGCTCAATTACTGTCATCACTGTCGAATGGTCTTGATCTCTTATTCCTCGCAACGTTGTTATCCTTCGAGGATCGAGATTCCCCTGTAGACACCATGTGATCTTCCCTTAATTCAAATACGTACATTCTAGCTTCCCTATCTTCCCCCCTCCAGCCACCTCTTCCTCCATGTTTCGCTTCGATTTCGCCCAAGGTCCGCACATGAGAGTATCCTCTGTAGGAGGCCCATGGAAACCTAAAGCTAGTAACAACCCTTAGACCAGCATGTCGCGCAAGATCCTTGATGTTCCAAAGGGTATAAGGCTCTCCTTCGAATAGGGTAACCAGGATTTGCCCAGGTCCGTTCCTGGATTGGGATCTCTCTTGGCCCATGGCATTTAGCGAGTCTAGCTGATCCTCGCCATCTTCACCTACATCTGAGTCGGATCCGCTTTCGGTCCTGAAGTCCCACTCAGCTTCATCTTCTTCAATGTCGTTGCGATCTGCTGCGGGACGGGACGATAGCAGCGGTACACAAGCTTTGAAGAATGCCACCAAAAGTTCTTGGTTAGCACGGACCTGCCGATTTACATCGGTTGACAAGCCGCCAACATGAGGAAAATTAAAACAAATCATGTCCCAGGGCCCACCTTTGACTGAAGACGAGGGGTACGTGTCGCTGCCCTTCTTGGCCTTTTGCCACGCAGGACGTTTACGTTGCTGGCGTGGGAATCCGGAGCGTACGTCCTTCCCTCCTCCGAAGGCGTGGCCAAGTTTTCGTGCGTCAACCGAAAAAAGAACATTGGATTGGCGATTTTGCGATGGTCTGCCTCGACTTGGCTCGACCTCTTTCCCATGTTTCTCATGACTGTCGTCTCCATGCTGCTTCCCCTGTTCCTGATTTTGATCTCCAGTTTCTGTTTCAATACTGCTGGTCGGGTCCTCGCCATGGTCCTTTTTCTTTCGGGTACCATTGAGAATTTCCTGCACATTATGTTCTGCCTGGGGGTACTTGCTATATAAGTCTTCTTTAGAATCGTAGCATGTAGCCAGGACATATTTGCAGCGATGTTGGACAATCAGAGAGTGGGCAAAAGAGAAGTCACCTGGATTAGATATTAGCATCATGGATGTACGTAACTACTGTATGTAGGTGTACAACGGAAAATGTACCAAATTTTCAGTTATAAAGGAAAAATGAAGGAAAAAACAAATAATCATAGTAAAGATAAACAGAACAGAGTAGGGTGAGGGTAGGATGAAGGAGGGAAGAGTGAGAGACTAAGGTAGGGGAATTCTTGCCTTCTCCGATCAATAAGATACGATCGTTTCTCCCAAAGGGAACAATCGGCCGTTGGCGTGATAGGTTCTTCCTGCCACCATTCTGCTGCTTGGGTGTAGAAGGAATAGTAGTCGAAAGCTTGAGGAAAGTGTGCATTTTACGAACTCTTTTGGGATTGCCACCACCTCCATGACGAGAGTGACACCGTGCCTTCTTTGACTTCGGCATGATTATCGTGCGGTGTGTGTCTCTATCGGATGGGTTGGTTTAGAGACAAAGTCCAATGGGAAGGGGGAGATGAATGGGCAGATTGTGTCTCTAAGAAGGCTGAACGGCGAGCACTTTAGAGACACAACCAGGTTGGATTATACGGCCCGATCAATCGATGATTAATTTTGGTGGTGGTAGAAGAAGCAATTAGACAAAGATAGGAAGCTTAAAAAAAAAAAAGCTTCTCCCCGACTGGGAGTCGAACCCAGGTCTCCCGCGCTTGTTTCTTAGTAAAGATGACAAGCGGAAATCATGACCGTTAGACCATCGAGGATACAGAACAAATTTCTGTGGGAAATATTTATATATATGCTTATTATATTAGATTACACAAGATTCCACTAACTGACCTTAAGCATCCGAAGAGATCAGTTACCTAAAAGGGACATCATAGCTTCGAACCACCTCGTTACCATACTACGTACAGACAGTCTAACACAGGGCTCACAAGAGCACTTTCATGCAAAGTATACTTTCTATAACCTCATTAAAAGAAGATAAAAGCTCCATATATACAAACTCAAACAGACTCTGAAAGGAAGCAACGAGACCTCTTTCGCACACAATGACCAAGCCTTCTAGACACCTAATTGCACCCAATCTTAAAACCAATACTTCTTTTCCCAAAGTATAGACCAAATAATATCCCAATATTACGATACGATACGTGTGAGGGTGTACTATTAATGCGTCGGAGAAGGAAAGAATTTGAGAACCAGCGTAGGCATCAAGGCCATGAACTGGAGAATGAACAGCAGGAGCAAAGCCATACAATCAAGGAAGGATCTGTGAAGTTGATCGTTGGTGGGAATGTGAGCACACTATGCCTTCCACCTACCAAAAAGTACCGTCAACAATCGAGATCCGCAACACACCTCAGCTGCAGTGAAATACATGTATCGCATATCATACGCGGGTGATAGACAGGTTCATGTCGTCAAGAAACCAAAAACAGTATTCGGTTTGATCTGATGGTTGTGCCGAATATCAATTACGATAGTACTCAACATCATTGTGTACAACACAGCAGCCATCACTTCGAGACCCTCAAGACCGCAGAGAATCTCTCATACTTTGACTGCTAGCGCTGACAAGCGGATTGGACGTCGGCAAGACACCGGTCTTCGGCTTGGCGTTTTGCTTGATCTTAGCAATTGCGTAGACGATTCCACTGATGGAGCCGACGATGATAGCGGAAACGCTAGGGAATGTCACCGGCGCATCAAAGAAGATCAAACCGGACAATGCGATGGGCAACTTGTTGAGAGCCCCCACCATAGAGTAAGTAGTTGAGGATGTAACACGAACACACCAGGCCGAGGTGTAGGAGATAAACACTGTTGACAAGCCAGACAGTATCATGGCAAACATAATACTGTTACGGTCGAGTGGAGGGAAGTTGCGGTCAATATTGGCGGAAGACCAGTCTTCCATGAAGACAGTGAGAACAATAAGAACCGGAATTGACAGCAAGTTGTTGTAGAACATGGCTAAAGGGGAAGTTAGAAAAAAGAATCTTATAATGACCATTGTGAAAAACCACATACTATCAAAGTCCTTGAAGTTGGTCAACTTAATTCTCTTACGCATTCCAAGAACATAAGATGACGTGCAGAGACAGTTGATCAACATCCATATGTATCCCGCATTAAGTGTCGAAACCTTGGCGCTGGTATCCCCACTGCTTTCAACAGCATGCTTAATATCGGCCCACGCGGCGATGATAGAGCTTAGGACCATGAGTGCAAAGGAGAACAGGGTAAGGCCGGTAACGGAACCTCCAAACCAGAGCACCTCTCCGTAGGCGATGAGAATGATCGTCAAATTCTTGAAGATGGTGTATACTGGAATAGATAGGAACTGAAGCGCCTTAGAACCCGTGTAAATCATTCCAATTAGAAGTAAAGTAATGGGAAACCCTTTTGAACGCAATGGTTAGGCCACCCTAAGCGTTGTGAGAGCCACTTCAAGAAGGGGGTGCATACACTTTTTCGCTTCATCCGCACTGAAATTACGGTACGTGATAAGACCGCAAGACTTGCATGTTTGGATCGCAACAATACAAACGATGGACTGTTTCGAGAAGGTCAGTCAGTGCATATTCGCCGCTGCTGCGGCCAACTCCCGAGTTCACACGAACATACCTGAACACAAAGAAGAAAGAAGTTGAGGTTGAAGTCCGAACCTGAAAGTACATATTTGTTCATGACAGTCATCAGGATCGAAGATCCGCAATACGCCAATACAGGCAATATGGGATTGCTGGAGAGCGAAGTAGATGGCACACTTCTAGGCTGAGGCAGCGGTGCAGCCGCTTCGAAATTCTTGCTTCCCTGGTCTATTTTATCCATCTCGATTGTATAATCATCGGTCTTCTTATCTTCCACCATCTTGTCAGATGCAATGATCCCCTAGGAGCGACTATGGAAATAGCGATAACGTTTAAAACGGGGTTGACACGGGCGTAGGAGAGAAAAAGAAAGGAAGAAAAATGTAGATAAAGAAAGGGAAAAGGGTAAAAGATTGATGACAACGAGCGTGCGGAAATGATGGGATCAGGCTCAAACCATGGAGGAGGTAGTCAACAGCGAGAAAGTTCCAAAGGAAGAGGAAGACCGACACGAAGAAAGAGAGAGAAATAAAGAAACAATTTGCCTGGACCGAAAGCGGCAATCTTTCATAACTTGTATGTATCGTACATACTGTACACATATGGAAAGAAAAGAATGATGTACTGAGGTAATATATAAATACCCATCCGACCAATCAGGCTCATCTGGCTAGTCTATCTGGTAAATTTTTAACCCGAGGATTCTAACTGGAGAATAGGAGAAACAAATAAAAATGCTTGTTGGAGTCGACTTGCATTCAATGGCGAGGTTGTACGGGACTCTCGAGCACATTAATTACACTAGGAATACAACCCCTGTTACGGAGTACTATTTTGTACGTACAATCCGCTATCCGCTAAATAGACCACCCTCTCCAGAGAACTATGATATATCGATAAAGAGATATGTCCATCTGACTGTCTGTCTGTCTGTCTGTCTGTCTGTCTATTTATTCACCTTTATAGATGATCGCTTGCATATCTAACTCGGTCAGTTAAGTTCCTCAAAACAGTTGCTTTGCAAAGAATTGCTACCTGCAATTCCGGCCCATCATGGCTCGAAATATTGAGTCTAAACACTTCGCAAGGGACCTAGACGATGAGATCGATGATGACGACTTGTTGAAGGCCTTAGAGAATGAAGATGACTCTGCCTATCGAGCCCAACGTATCGAAGAGCTCAATGCCGAGTTTACGTCCGCGAAAAATAGCCGGTCACCTGCCTCCGCCCTGGCTGAGACGACGATTGTCGAAAATAGCCTATACCCAACGCTGAAAAGCGACCAGACATTGCTCAACTTCACAACGGAGACCCACCGATGTGTGATCCATTTTGCGCACCCTGATTTCGCACGCTGCAGCACCATGGACGAACATATGCAGGTCTTGGCGGCGCGGCATTACGAGGCGCGCTTTGCTCGGGTCGATGTTAGGAACACACCATTCATCGTCGAAAGGCTGAAGATACGTGTTCTCCCATGTGTGGTCGGTTTCAAAGATGGGATTGCTGTTGAGCGTGTGGTTGGCTTTGAAGGTCTGGCTTTGGGGGGGTGTGATGGAACCGACAGCTTCAGCACGGTTACTCTCGAAAAAAGGCTGCTATGGAAAGGTGTCCTTGCACATGCGAAGCTCAAAGCCAACAATGAGGACTCTGAGACATCTGATGACGAGGAGGACGGTGGCAGGTCACGAAACCATGGGAGACAGGCTATTCGAGGCGGGGCAACACGATATAACAGGGATGACAGCGACAACGATGACGATTGGGATTGAAAGGAGAACTACAAATATGTGATATTACAACATGAACGGATTCTTTCTGCGGGGGAATCTTCCAGTTATGAACATGTTACTCCGGGATCCGCTTATTGAGGCCAGCATGGCTTCGTCGTAGCTGAGCGCTAAACGTACGGTTCACAGACGGCTGTCTTCATAACTCTACAGTAAGGCACAGCAGATACTAGGTTTTCGCAAACCTTCATCACTTGGACAGCCTAGCATAGGAACCTCACATTCCGAGGCAGCTTGCAACTAGGGCGATGAACGGAGTCTATAGCATGTTTTGCTGGACGATTCTAGATTAAGCCTCACATCATGGAGCCCCCCACGGCGTCTTACTGAGGTTCCATCGAATGGCTGCAATAAGGCGTGCAAAAGATGATGCTACAAAGGGTGCAGATATCTTTCATCGGTCAGTGTCTATAGCATTGAAAACAATGGGACAAAAACAAGCAAACTTATACTGTATGATCATCCGGATAAAAGTACACGTAGTGCGAATGACGCAAATTGCAAGACACCATCCCAAGCAAAGAAGAGGCTTCTCTGGCGTAAATAATGTCACAGGAAGCACGGGAAATAAGAGTGAGCATTTATACAAGCCAGTTAAAATAGGCTCCACATGGGCTCATCCGTTCGACATAGACGCCTGGCACTTGAATAGGAAGGAAAGGGAAAGCGACCATAGTTGGATCGACGAAGCAAGGTGGTCATAATGTGGGCAAAGGGAAGCGTAGGATCAGGGGGAAACAATGTATGAAGGTGCTTGAATCAGATCTAGATGGCCACATTTTTCATCTCACCCAAGACCTCAGTATCCAAAGCAGTAGCGCCAGAAGATCCTTGCGTCGATTCCCGCTTCTGCGGCTTCTCTGACTCTGGCGGTTGTTGCTCAGCGCCCTTGTCGTCTAAGAGTCCCTCATTTTCTTTACCCGTAATATGTGGTGTTGACACTTCCATTAGATCTTCGCTCTGTGTTTCCTTTCCATTGCCCTCAATGGTGTTCTCAGGAAGATCGGTGCTCGCTCCTGTGTGTACAGGGCTTGGAGCCTCTTCCGTAACGCGAGCAAGAGGGCTGGATATACCAAATTGTGTTTTGGGACTCTGAGTAGATGCACGGTTGGGGAAGCGATGGGGCGACCTTCCACGTTCTTCACTGGGTGTTGGACTACCATAAGGAGACTCTTTCCCCGATTTACCACCGGTACTCAATCCAAGACCATTAGGACCCTTGCGACGAGGAGGCCTCCGGCCATACTTCTGATCTGTACGCCAACGTAGAATTTCCATATAAGGAGGCTCAACATTCTGAGCCTTGAATTCCAACAACTTAAGCTCATTCGTCTCTTCATCTACAGAAACCTTGCCGCTGCAAAGGTCGTCGGCCATAACTGCGAGGAAAGAAGCCCAAGACCGAGCAATAACGTACTTGCAATCATAATCACGACCGAATATGATGACCTGGCCCCATTTTCCTGCGGGTCCTGGCGCCAGATCGATTGCGATACAGTTCCCACCCCAATCACGAGCCATGGGTATCCAAGCAGGATGGGCATATGCTTTCTGAACAGCACCCGGCGGCTGAGAGTCTTGTCGCTCAAGAAGATCCTGCCTCCATAACGGATTTGACCCTGTGGTAGGAGCTGGCGGGGCAGCCGAAGAGGAGCATGCCGCAGCTTTAGGGAGTGGGGTATTGATAATGCCAGGGGAACTCAGAAATTCGTCGTTGACAATTCTCCAGTTCTTCCATTCTTGGACTATTTCTTCGCAGTCCAGGAGCATACACCCAAAAACAACACCGGTAGGCAAACCGGGGCGTTCCTGTCCGTCATGTGCCATCAGAGACTCTCGCACCTCCAACGGTAGGCTACAGTCCAGGTCATGCTCCAGCTCATTGATGTCGTTCTGGGTGCAACCTTCGCAGAGATTGTCATAAAGTTCCTCGTAGTTATTCTCTAGCCATCGCTCAATCTTCCTCCATGAATGGGCCACTGGGGGAGGGGGTGGAGCGCCATCGTGGAAACTCTGCATTTGGATTTCTGGGACGCCATCTGCACCGGGATCGGTTGAGCGGCGCTTCTGAGAAGAAAGCGATCGCATTCCGGGCGAGTAAGGACGAGTAGGGGAGCCAACTCCGGTGGGGGAGCCGGTCCAACCATTAGGGCCAGTTGAGCCTTTGAGCTGATCTTCCTCGTAGGTCTCGGTCAGGTCAGGTCGCGACTCAATGGCGCTTGTTGCAATCGAGGTCAGAGGCTCATGTCGACTTTGGCTAAGAGGTACATGTTGACCCGTTCGATAAGGGGAGTCGTGGGATGCATGCCGATCGTAAGAAGTCATTGTATGCCAAAAAGAGCGCCATGCTGAAGTGATTCTGTTGCCGAGTCAGAGGTGAGTATTCCTTCTCGAGCGGGGAGGTGTCTTTTTGACGCGGAGTTGCAAGAGATACTCACGGGTTCGCCATGGTAGAAACTTAGCAAAACAAGGGCAGATTGATCTTAAATATGAATCTGCTCCTTTCCGAGACCTTATGCGTATCAAACACGGGTCATTGGGTGATTTTGGAGGTGGAATCAGGAGTGTAAGGGAAGAGACAAATCACGGAGGCAGGAAAGGGAGACAAATGTTAAGTGTTTCCAAGAAAGGGTTACAAGGGCAGAAAGTAGAAGTAGATAACAAGGCGGAAAGGTAGTGAATGGAGATCTGGTTTAGAGGCCAAAGGAGAAGGTCAAAAGAAAAGCCGAAAAGGAAAAGGGAAAAATAAATAATAAAATAATAAAATAAAATATATAAAGGTAATGAAATGAAATTATAATAATAAGAACGATAATAAGAAAGGAAAGACTTGCAGGCAAAGGGAGGGATGAGATGTGATGTGATAATATCTATCTCAACTATCTTGAGGAATAGAAGGAAGGAATAGCGCACTGAAAACAAAGGTAATTTATTGGTGATGATAAACTCTTCGTTCCTCCTCTGAGCTGTTTTGTCTCTTATCCTTCTTCCACTTCTTCTCTTCTTCTTCTTCTTCTCCTTTTAGGTGGTCCTCTCAATTAGCGTTGTTAGTGGGTTAGCGCGACAATGGCATCCACGATTCGTTCCTCAACCCCTAGGAAGGCGCCCAGAACCAGGGATAGAGTGTCCTAGTACGGTATTTTCACTTGTATTAAGTCTACCAATATCTTGCTTGGGTAGACTAATGTATGTATGTACATTACATACGTTTTATTTATGTTCTCCGTACAGGTGCACTCCAATCACAGCACTAACTAATCTACCAATTGTACAGAGTACAGTATGTCGAATTATGTACATATAGTAGTAGGTGCTTTCCTAGTATCTTTGTGTACCACATTTACACTGTATATTTGTATATAGAATTACCCTTTATGTTCAATATTACGGTCCATTGAAGTACAGCTCTTTCCCTCTCAATTTTGTAGCAATGACAACATAACGAATCATAGCATAACATTCCAGCGTTTCACGTTCTTTCCGCTGCCAGGCATTGTTCCAGTCTAGGGACAGTCAGAATATAAATCTAATTGCACATTTTCAGTCTATTGATCTTTGAGGACTGACCTTAACGTTTATTCTGGTGTGCGGCTTTCGATGGCCTGAGTTTTGCTGCGTCGACACCGGAGGATCTAGGATATATACATACATACATACATACATACATACATGCATGCATGTTTGGCGGTTCCAATATTCTTTATGGTATAGTTCTCTTAAAATTTGTCTATATTTTCTTTCCTATGGTGTCTACAGTAGGAAGAAACCTACCTAGATAGTCATCAGACTATATGGACATATTAAAAGTATAGGTACAGTACGTACATTGGTAGTATGTATATGAAAATAGGCAGTTGTGTTGTGGTTGTCTTATTGGTTTTGACAGAGGGGTTTTCGAACTAGTTGGTTTTGTGTAGTACACATATGAACAGTACTGATCCCCCGGGCCAGCTGAATGTTACGGGACATGAAAAGTTCAACGGTGGACCTACAGTACATCATACATATACTCCAGTTGGCCTGTGTGCTTTTGTTACTCAGTGTACCAAGTTTCCAGCAGTATTATATCTTTTTAACCACTTAGAATATCATGCATACTATTTCTCATTAATGAGGGCGGCGGAACATAACCTTTACCGCCTGACCCACTTGTGTGGCGTCTTGGTTAATAATAATCGACAATGGATTCATTTAAACTGAGAATGGAATTTTCACCCATGTGATTCCATGGTACCCGTTGACTCTGTGTTACAATACACTTTTGAAATACCCAGAGTTATTCGCAGTCTAGCTACTATCGGAATAACAGTCACTAAGAGGTCTCCTTTTCAGTAAGGGTCAAAGTTCGAAACTTTCTTAGAAGGTAATGCAATTCTTAGTTTGAATAGCAACCTTAATTTGTTCTAAAGAGGTGTGATCCGATGATATTCTTCAGCACTACACTTCTGATCTTTTTTGCGGTCAGTCTTCTATTCGAGTTCTGGACTCTCCATACTCCGCGGTGATCTTGTTAATATGGGTGGGCCAGGCGGTAAAAGGAAGTATACTGCCGCCTCCATTGAAGTTACTATAGCTTAGTCATACAGTTAGTAATTTTAAACCTGTTATACATGTGTACGCAGGTCACGGCATCTCTCCTCAAGGGTCGCATGACACTTCCCTGTTTCACGTGACTGACAAACCCATTAATAAGCAGGAAGAAGTCGATCAGATCATAAATTACAAGCCCCCCTGAGTGAATCCTGATTACCTTTTTATTTCTGTAAGGGAAATATATTTACCTGCTCATACTCCAGAAGCTGTAGCTCTCCTGCAGTCACCTCACAAAGATACCATATATACCACTTCCAAATCATTAAAATTAAAATATAGAATTTAACAAGTAATAATTTAGCACTTGGTAAGCAGTCCAACATACATTCTTTGCCAAAGACACCATGATTAGTGGTGAGGGTAGTGGTGACAATAGTGGTGTGTAAGAACTTTGAAAGGGGTGGCGTGACTTGAAATTTTGGTATTGTTGAAAACCACCTCGGTTGACGATCACATGACCTAGATTGCTTAATAAGCTTTTTTTGGGTCGCACCACTCTAAAAACGAGTCCAGCTCATCTGCAACCACGTTATACTATTAGTGGTGGTTAAAGATCTACAACATTAGCAGAAAGCGGGCAGGTATTGATACACCGTGACTAGTACTCCGTAGTAGTTTACTATAATTTACCTACTAAACAAATCATCGGCTCAACCAGAGTACAATGATACAGGTACTTACAGAATATACCCGGCACTAAGGCAGTTAGTATATTACATACGGAGTACATAGATTACTACAAATATGCAAATATCAAGCTGTATCACTGCCTCAAATTCCAGGCAGCAACTACGATTACCCCTATGGTCACAGAAGGCAATGCCTTGATGTGTCTTCTGGTCTAATCAGCCCAGCATAAAATGTGCCGGGCGACGATTGAAAATAAGCATGTTTCAGATCAACAATAGATGCAACAGGTGGGCATTGTGCTCAGGGGACTAGACAATCCCGTCCACGAAATCAAACTGAATAAACGAGAGAAGGGGAAACACAGAAAGAAAGAACGAATTACACGGTGGACGAAGGAAAGGCTAAATCCAAAAGTGAATAAGCCTGGTATATAGACCATTCCTTGGCTAAACCCTGTAGGTGTGATGAGGAAAACCAAGGACGGCATCGAAAGAATATGGTCCAAGTAAAAAGAAAACATGAACAGCTAGTATCGACAAGAAACGAATGCGATCAGGAATCCTTGCTCAATCATCCCAATAATATCCCAAGCCAACCCCCAAAAGCCGCACTTAAGAAGACAACCGGACTCCGGATTTGATGCAAACGAGGGGTATAAAGACATCCCGCTGAAGGACCAATAACCCCCTCAATTACAACAATGCAACTACCAACATGAACCGCGGGAAAGGCACCCAGAATATAGTCATAAAAATGAGTGACTGCAGGAACAAAAAGCTAGAAGAAAAGAGCCCAAAGGCCGTGACATAAGCATCATCGGAAATGGTAATGAGAGCCAAGCAGAAGAGCAACAGTTGCTAAACCGAGCGTTATGTAGAACGTCAGGAATTACAAGAAAAACGACCAAAGCAAAAAGAGAACGCAAGAGAGTGACTTCATGCGTATGAACTTTGGATACCGCTGGGCGGTAGACCTGGGTTCACATCAAGTTTCAAAATCCTCCGCAGATCATCTTCGATCTTCTTGGCGTCGAGAGCCTTGCTGGGCGCGTTCGGGGGAATGCTTTGCGATGCAGGCGACTGGTGATGAACAGGTGGGTAGTTTGGCGCCTGCACAGGATTGACTGTGAATTTCGACTGGTCGTACACCGTGGGAGAAAACGACCCTCCTGAATTGTTTGCCGTGTTGCCTGGGGTTGATGAGAGTGTCCCTTTCCTGAGGACCGAGTTTTGACCCAGGTAAGGCTGAGAGTTGATAGTGTACGAATTAGAAAGTGGTGACTGCCATCCAGCACCAACCGTCGACTGGTTCTGCTGCGAGAATATGTTATGGGAAAGAGTTGCTGGCGGGCCAGACATAGTCCTAAGCGGAGTTGCAAAATGAGGGACACTAGCATTAGGGTGCTCGCTGAAACTGTCAGTCTGGTTCGAGGGTAGTTTTGTCGCAGACGATGGTCTTTGAGGACGAGGGTTGAGTAATAGATTCTTCAGAGCCTCAGTCTTAGCTCTTCGTTGGTCTTCATCGAGTTCCACCGCGGATGGAGAAGGAGAACTAGTGGATCGCAATGCATTCATGCGATCTTTGTAAGATGTCGCAAAAGAAGGCCCTATCTGCGACTCGCCGGTTTCTGGGCTTTCCATCTCCGAGGAGAACATCCCATTTGCGGAGTTATTGGGTTTCTGTTGCGGCAGGGTCTTGGAATCAGTTTGTGGAGAGCGTATATTGACGCTTGCCTCATGACTGTGTTGCGACTGAGAATTTCTAGCCTCGACTGCAGCCTTGAAAAGGAAATCTAAGGGTGTCGACTCTGGCTTTTCGTTTCGAAATTGAGGGCGTGGCCTCGGCTTCGAGGGCGTAGTCTCATATTCCGGCCCAGCATCATAGTTATCGCTGTCTGCTTCTCCTGTCGGCGCATGATCGGAATCTGGCATCGACTTTGAAAAAAAGCTTGGGATCGGAAGGGCGGAGGGCGCTGGGGAGGCATGGAAGGTCGGACCGGCATAGTGGGGGCTATCTTTTAACTGAGGCGTGGTGATATTGTTTGAATGCGAGGATGTGTGGCGATGGCCGCTTCTTTGCGCTGGTGAGGCTTTGGATAGGTCTCGCGGCTTCTTGTTAGACCGGCCAGTTTTCTTCTTAGACGGATTGATAGAGGAATCGGTGGCTGTTCCTCCCGGGCTTATGTTCCTTGGAGGTGAAGAGGGAGGAGTCGTTAACAGGCCGGCCTTTTGTGTAGTGGGCGTCATATTTCGTTTCGAGTTTCGCCGGTTGTTCCGAGGGCCTTTCGGTGTTGGAGGGTTTGGTGACAGTGTCGACATTGCGACAGGTTGGCTTAATAAATAGGTAGCCTGTGTTTAGAAGCTGGGAAAATGTAAAGAAACGGGTAATAATAACAATAGTTAGGGACCGAAAGTCACAGAATTAGATAGGCTGCAGTACTGCCCAGCAGTCTGTTCTGAACAAGGCTAATGCTGAATAAACGAAACAAGGTTAGGTATGATGGAAGCGCCCGTAATGGCCCAATTTGTCTTTGATCAAACGATAACAAGTTGGTTAAAGAGGTGCAAATTCGTCTATTTCTGGAATCAAAGAACATGCAATAAAAGCAAGAAGCCAAAACTCCTAGGCATGCTTGAGTCTAGACAAGTAAAGAATAGAAAGAGTGGAACAAAGGCAGGGGAGCATTGTATTAGGACCTTGATGGTGATGCTGTGATGTGATGAGGTGAAAATGGGCCTTGGAAGGGTGGGCTGGGGAATCTAAGGTGGGGATTGGCGATGACTAACAGTTGGGCGGCTAACTAGTCAATAAATAGTTGTCAGTGACTTATTAGTAGAACACTTTACTAGGTAGTAAGTAGTTCTGTCTGTCTTGAGTGCAAACAAAACAAAAACCCAACAAGGTGTGTACTTCTCTTCCAAGAATCAACTTAACTACTGTCCTCTCTCATTTCCTTCTTCTCAAACTGTCTACACAGTGTGCAAAAAATTATTCACTCGTTCTCGGAATCATTCAGTTTACTTACATCAGTTAGCTGTCTTCCCTGCAACGCCCGACCACTTACCTACTACGTAATCAGCATACATCTCTGCCCCTCATCCAAGTCTCCCCATTTTGGGCTATCTGGCACTTGAAACAGTCTTCCCACAACGGACAAGCCAAGACGCTATTAGGCAGCAGATATGGCGGATGTGGAGATGAAAGAAGCTTCTGCTGGCGCTTCAGCCAAGGTGAAGGGGGCGAGTAAGGCCTCCGAGGGTGCTAGCGATGGCAAGAAGAAATTCGAAGTTAAGAAATGGAATGCGGTGGCTTTGTGGGCATGGGATATTGTTGTCGATAACTGTGCCATTTGCCGTAATCATATTATGGATCTATGTATGTATCTGGCTCCTTTACTACCGCCGGGGTACAACTAATGTGCAATAGGCATCGAGTGTCAAGCAAACCAAGGGTCATCTACAACCGAAGAGTGTACGGTTGCCTGGGGAATCTGCAACGTGAGTCCAGACATGTCGAGCTTTAGAAATCTATTACTGAACCAATCGTTTCCCTTTCTAGCATGCGTTCCATTTCCACTGCATATCCCGCTGGCTGAAAACTCGCCAGGTCTGCCCCTTGGATAATCGGGACTGGGAATTCCAGAAGTATGGCCGGTAAAAGCAATTTCGTGGAGGGTCTTCTGATTGATTGGGTTACAACCTACTTAATACCATGCGCTTTATTACGCAAGAGACGGGCAAGAAATGGTCTGGATGGCGTTCGGGTTTCTTTATACACCTCTAGGGTGGTACGTACTATGGCGATAAGCGCGGTTTCTTGATTATGTAGAGATAATTAGTGACCGACTCGATACCCTCCGAGTCAATTTCTCCGGTATCAGGTCTTTATTTCATGCCACTTTAGGTTCATCTACCACGACTCGTGCGCCACCAGCGCTCCCGGCCAATGGCACAAACCATGTCTCAGGGTTCTTATTGTACATAGGCCAAGGGGGGATGACAGCTAGCCCGGTTATCAGTGTGCCCGCCAAACCGACCCAGAGAGTTAGATGCAAGTCCTGGTAGATATATCCGGCGAGGAAAGCGACAACCTTGAGACAACGAGAGTAAGCAAATGCAACTTATTTGCTTTCTTGAGTGGAAGAAGGATTAGAAATAAACTAGCATTTACCCCTGATATAATTAAAAGAGCCGTAGACAATATTTCAGCTGTATGCTGGCCGCAAAAATCCTGTACATGTAAAATTGCTTTGTTATTATCTAGTGGAAATGGATAGACAGGTGGGTGGAATATCGCAATAATGACACGGTAGTGACAAACATACTATCTGGCCCTCGAAGATATCCTGAATAGGCGCAAAGATATCCTCCATTGCGGAAACCTGTATGATGGAGATTATGCGAAGCGAAGGAAGGAAGATAGGAAGAAAAAGGGAAGAAGAAAAAGAAACCAAGGCAGATACTAGTAGTAATGTTATGAATGAACAGTATGATGGTTGGAATACGTAACTCTCTAGGGAGGCTCATCGGCGGCACGGAGACTAATCGGTTTAGGCCTCCACCGCCTGGACCAGGTGTCGAGGTCCTGGGCAGCACCATTCGAGGCACATAAATGTTGAAGAGAAGCCTAAAACCGAAAGGAAAGAAAATACTGAGAAAAAGAAGTATATTTTCACAATCCTAGGCTTCGCTTTTTATTCAACTTTATCCTCGCTAAAGATCCCGTCCCCTGAACAGTTCAACTGAGTAAAGGATCCTTTTGGGAAACATGGTTTGTCTAGGAAAAAGTCTTAGGTATATATATATATATATACATATATGTATGAGTAACTATTATTCCATTTCCTCCGTTCATTTTAATAACAGGTAGAGAGGATAAGGGGTTCGCAGCGAATTTAATAATGCACCATAGTCCCATCTTGGGCAGGCTCAAGCAGCTTCCATTGGCAGGAAATGTTATTGGAAGCAAAGTTAGCAATAATCCGTTCCGCGATTTCGGTGAATCTATCAGTAGCTAAAGCTAGAATTGTTGGCCCTGCTCCAGATAGACAAATCCCAAGGAGCCCTGGCTGTGTGCTCGGAGTCATGGATTGGAGGATTTCCGTCAGACCTGGAATAAGGGTTTTGCGGTACGGCTGGTGGACCTTGTCCTGCATGGCTAGATAGATCATGTCTGGATCAGGGGGAGACGTGCCTAGCGCTGCAGGGAGTAAGGCAGCACGCTGTAAATTGAAGACCTAAGGAAATGTTACATCAGTTTCCATGAGGTCTTTATGTCTTGACCCCAAGGGGAACGACGGGAAGAAAGAGCTTACAACATCGGCCCTCGAATACGCGGTGGGGAGAACACCTCGTGCATTGGCTGTCGGTACCACAAAATCTGGGATGATCGCGATAGCTTTAATCTCCTTGGCCCACTGAAACTTTCTGTAATGGCCAATTCCGAGTGGAGGCTCTGGGGGTCGTATACCGGTGTCGATACCTCCCGCCGGCGCGGGTAAAACTTCACTAAGTGGAATCTCTATGCGTGCTATGTCTTCAGGCTTGAGTTCATTCAAGTAAGTTCCGACAAAGCCGCCAAAAAGAGACGCGGCGACATTATCCGGGTGCCGCTCTATTGGAGAGTAAGCCAATCAGTCAGGAAGCTAACGGCAGTACCAGTCGCTTTCCATATAAGGAGCCAGCTGGCTTGCAAGAAGCTATTCTCAAAGCAATTCAGGATAAAACTTACCAATCATCAAGCAATAGTCTAGTAGCCGTTCCTTGCTCAGTCCGAGGTGGCCTACTTCATTTCCCAACATCACACCCGCCACCACTGCAGTACCAGACGAACCAAGACCCCTACCCAGAGGGATAGGATTTACAATATGGACATGGGTTTCGGCGGGGAAGGCTCTCTGATCATGGCATCGAAGTACATACAGAGCTACACGGGTGATCAAGTTCACTTCGGGGTCCAGACTGATCTCTTCAGAGCTGTTGGTTTGATCATCATAGGTGACGACACAATTCAGAGGGTGCTGTGAGGATGGTTTAGAAGAGTCAATAGTGACATGAAGCTCGAGATAGAGCGATAATGCCAGACCGATCACATCAAAGCCGGGCCCGATATTGGCAGATGAACACGGCGTTCTGATAACAAATGAGGACGAAGCCATTGTGGGAGCCAAAGATATATGGAAGGAACTCTTTTTCTTCTTTTTCTTTTTCTTTTTCTTTCCCTTTCCCTTTTTCCTTCTTTTGACCCACAAGCTCGCAAACAATTAAAAAGAAGAAAGAAGTTCAGAAATGAATAATCAATTAATTTGTCAATGAAAAGCAATAGAAACCGGTTTGAAGCAAGTATTTCAGTTATAAAGATATATCTGCCACCGGTAAGGTATGACTCTTTTCCCGAGCCGATTACTTGGCATACTGAAAAATATATTCGCCGATCTCGGGACGCACACCTGGATATAAGGCTGTCGGATACTATTTGTTGGGCCACAAAGCCAAGCATAGGACTTAATACCTATCCTTTCCGTTGGACCAGATCTAACCAGCGGAGCAAATTCCAATGAAGTTCAACTTATCAACATTAAACGTGCTGCACGCCATGCAGTGTGCCAATCAGGTCTTTAATAGCGTTCATTCCCAAGCTAACCCCCGATCATTCTCACTTCGATGGAATTTAGACTTATAGGAGTATTTATTTTATCTTATGGCTATATTTAGATTATCCTTTATGTTCCTGATATAGCAATGAAAGTATAGGTTCCATAATGATACCATAATAGTTATACATAAATATAAAATCCCAAAAGCTATGGGCCTTCGATAATCTATCTTACTCCGTAAGTCGTATGAAACCATGAATGACTTTTTGCCTCAAACTAATCCAGTGTCGGATGGTGGCCGACGCGGTTCCAGGCAGTGGCCTTGGACTTTCACCCCAAGCGGAAGTTCCTACCCGCGCCCCTCATTTTTTTTTTCTTCTTTTCCTTCTCTTTTTCAGCTGCCTTTGTCCATAAAACGAACAATTTCCTTTCTGCTGTTCCCTCGCTGAGACAACTCATCTTAACTCACCTTCGAAGGTGACTAATAACCACCTGCGGGTTTTTGTCTCTAATATATTACTTTTTCCTTTCTCACTTTTTCTCATCACCTAACGTATTGGCGTTGGGCCTACTACTAGGGTTACTACTATCTATTGTGTATTTTCTTTTTTTTTTAAGGATCGTACCATTCGCCGTCTCGAGTTTGTGACGATCCTCGCCACTTATCTTCCAACACATCAGCCTATCTTCACCAATTCGCTGAAAATTCGGCTTTGAAAAATTTTCTGAGTGTCTATATTCATTTTGATCTCTCAAGTTAACTTCTATACTATTCTTTTTGTGTTACCTTTTTGGGGGGTATATGGTTGTCGGTGTACAGCGCTTGTCCATCACCAGCTATCATCATTTTCGAATTTATTGGGTGTCAAACGTCATTGATAGGTAGCTTAGCGGTGAATTGCAAGGACCCTTGCTAAGGGTTTTCTCTGTCAAGTCATCCACTTGCCTGCAATCCTGGAGCAGCAGCGCTCCTCTTCGCACTACTCAGTCAAGTTGGCGGGCCTTCGCTACAGCCAGTCCTCTTTCCTCCACCCTCTTCTAGGCCCCAAATTCAGGGTCTTCTGCGGGGGCGATACTAGACCCCCATAACCGGACTTTTCCAGCAAAGCCAAAGCTGGCACACGGACGCGCGTCGGTAATGCCAGGCCCTTGCGAGGGGTCTGGCTGACGGATGGAGCAAATACCTTCGGAACTTTTTCATCTGCTCTCGCCTTATTGGAAGGCAGCGATAATAGTCGAGATCATCAGCGCGAGTACGTGTCTGTTGTCTACGCAGACTGCCACGTTTCGAATTGACAAACCTGGTATATGGTCTGCTTGACGGCCAGTGTCACGAAAATGTCCGAATCACCTAGATCCGAAAAGTACATGTTTTTAAGCAGATTCAGTACGCCGGTGCCTGAGCTGGATGACCATCGGTTTCAATTGGATCCCCCTCGTATTGAGGCAACCCCCGATATGACACTTAGTCGGCAGCATACCACACCACAGAATCTGAACGTGGAGACGCAACAACGCCCAGATCTGCTTCACATTCAGGATGCTCTTCGGGAAGCAGGATCATACTCTCGGGACTTTGAGCAAGCTATAGCAGACGACGATCGGTCAATAAAGGATGTCAATGGCCTGGGTCGCCGCTTCTCGCTTGACCCAACTGGGAATATCCGACACACCCATACCTTTAGCCGTACACATCAAGACATTGCAAACATGTCGAGGGATTCATCGGTTTCTGCGAGATCAACATCCCCGCCTAATTCGGTTGAGGCTTTTGCGGACCCCCGGCGCCGGGAGCGTGCGAACACCCTAGAAAGTCATGCAGCACCAGACTTGGAGGCTATTCTACAGCGTACAGTGTCTGGTGGGACACATCCACGTCGTCCAACCTTCAGTAATGCGAGTGCCATTAGGCCTCAACCTAGTGATATCCAATTAGATTCGCCTGAAGATACGTGCGTTCCGACCTTCGAACAACCCGGCAGAATTCCAGTGATTGACTATGAGGAGCTGGAGGAGTTTGTTGCTCTCAATCAGAAGACGAAACCCACAACGACAATGCGCAAGCATAGCCTGAGCTCACAGAGTAAAAATCCTCGTGTTTTCTATGACCTACGTCCGGGTGCTCAGAAGTCCGACATCTATGATATGAAGCGCTCTTCAGATGACTTAGCCGGCCTCGGCGCAAAGGATATTGAGAAACACTTTGCCGATGCTGTCAATGAGAAAGAATTAGTGGAGAATCTCAAGAATGAGAATGAGCCAACTCGGTTCGGCTTCTTTTCATCCGAGTCCCAAAGTACTGTTCACGCTGCGGAGCTAGGCGACTTGGTTCTACCTGGAGACACATTCCGAGACCTCTTTCAGCTTGGCCCAGACGGAGGTGTTTGGTGGCTAGATGTCTTGAATCCCACTGAAGCCGAAGTCGGTGCCCTTTCGAGAGCTTTTTCCATTCACCCGTTGACGACGGAGGATATCTTAACCCAAGAGGCTCGAGAAAAAGTTGAATTATTCAAGCAATATTATTTTGTCTGTTTTCGGACGTTTTATCAGATGGACAAGTCAAGCGAGCGCTTTATGGAGCCCGTCAATTTTTACATGATCGTCTTCCGCGATGGTGTGTTGTCGTTCTCTTTTACTGAAAATCCCCATGCTGCCAATGTCCGGAGAAGAATCGGGAAGCTCCGTGACTATGTGTCACTAAGTAGTGACTGGATCTGTTACGCCATGATGTAAGTTCCCCACTCCTTTTTCTTCCTTCCTTTGTTCCCTTCAAGCTCTTATACCTTAACATGATCTATTTGTATATATATGGTCTGATAAATAGCGCAGTGACGACATTGTGGATAGTTTTGGCCCTGTAATTCGTGAAATTGAGGTCGAGTCAGAAGCGATTGAGGATCTCGTCTTTATCGCACGCATGGACGATTTTGAGTCCTTCTTGCCACGAATTGGTGGTTTGCGCAAGAAGGTTATGAGTTTGATGCGCCTCTTAGGTGGTAAAGCGGATGTTATTCGAGGTTTCTCCAAACGCTGCAACGAGCAATACTCAGTAACACCGCGTGGTGATATTGGTCTTTACCTGGGAGATATCCAAGATCACGTAGTGACCATGATGTCTAACCTAGCCCATTTCGAGAAGATGCTCAGCAGATCACATACCAATTACCTCGCGCAGCTAAACGTGACCAATCTAGTGTTGGGAAACCACGTCAACAAGATCCTCAGCAAGGTGACCCTCATTGCAACCATGTTGGTTCCCATGAACCTGATTTGTGGTCTTTTTGGGATGAACGTTACGGTTCCTGGTCAAGGGCAGGAAGGTCTTGCGTGGTTTTTTGGCATTGTTGGTGTTATCGCAGCTGTAATAATCATCAGTGGTATAGCTGCTCGTTGCTATAAACTTGTTTAGGGCTTAATGCTGAACTTGTCTGTGTATCTCCAAAAGAGAGAAGAGATGAAAAAGAAACGAAAAGCAAAGAGAGGGTATCAACAAATCGTATTCAGGCATATATAGATAGATAGATAGATAGATATATGTATATACACTTTTATATGGTCACTCTTGAAAAACAAAAGTATTTCTCTGAATATCTTTATGTTTTCTTTCACTCTTCTTCCCTGATGGTGGTTTATCAGGAAAGGTGGCTGTGGGCGGCTGATTAATGTGGCGCAGTATATCCGCTCAGGCAGAAAAAAATGCTTCAATACATACCCCATAGAAAGCAGTTGAAGAAGCCCAATCTTCCCAGGCGCAAGTAACTCCTGTTTTAGGTCAAAATTTGAATGTGTTTATCGCTAGGTGACAGCTCATTTCGTGAATGACTTGTCAGTTTCGTTCGCTAGTTCCTTGGACTTTCATCTACGACTCGGTAGACCTCCGCCCTAGGGAGGAAGTCGTTGCGCCTTCTTTCAGCCTTTTGATTTTATGTGATGCCTGACTCAGTATCAGATATCTACTGAATCGTCCATGCGACCTAGGCTCGTACATCAGTTGTGCTGCTTTGCTGCAACTGTCAGCGCGATTGTCTATCACAACCCCATTGCCCTCGCTCTCTGGAGCGCTGGCCTATCCCATGCTGCAGATACCCCCTCCCTGGCCTCTGGAATTCATAGCAACTTGACTACCAATGATGGAGACTCACACTTCTCCTTCCCACTTGGGTCCTACAATGGACTAGTGGTTGAAGATGCTGTGGACGAAACTGGGATCTTACGAGGTTTAGATCTTGTCCGCAGGGCTCCTATTGGAGTCTCCTCTATAGGCAATAATCAATACCAGAAGGGCGAAGTCAAGCTAGGTGGGACTCAATGGTGGTACTTTTCGACAGATTCTTTAAATGGCAGAAACGCCAATAAAACATCCGACAAACAAACAAGCGGCAGTTCGAAGCGTTCCGAAACCGTCTTCATATCTCTGACAGCATGCTCGAAGCCCAGCCTTAATAAAGCATACCTCAACAATGCTCAAGACTTGCCGCAACTGGAGGTCTACACTTCTCTATCCCAATCGCTTCAGAAGCCTGGTCCCGGGCAAGACAACTTAAATCAAACTAGGTACAAGGCCGAAGAGGGCTACATGGGCACTGCTATTGAAGCAGAAGGTGATATTTATATTGGCGTTGCAGCACCTAATAGTACAGAGTATTCTGGATCCTACAGCTACGAGATTGCCGTATCAGTGGATGCTCTTTTCCACACCATCGCGAATGGATCCCCATTCTTATATTCTGTGGACTCGGATATGCATAGCGCGCTCTTCACCACTGGCAACCTAACGGAAGCAGAGCCAGGTTCTCAGATCTACAAAAATTGGATGAATATGACACCGCCGTATACAATGTTTGCAAACAACATCAACGATTCAGCCATCACAGGCTTACGCCGCTCGTACTGTGCACTCGACCAACTCGCACAGGTAGGCAAGGGTGATAGTAACATTAAAGCAAGCATGACGAGTAGGGGACCTGGCAATAAACCAAAGGAGCAGTTCTATGTGACTGGCCTCAACCGGAGTTCAAGTTATTTAGGCATTCTAGCACTGGATGGAAATGCGACCAGTTCGGGAAACGGAATCATCGGCGGCGGCGGGAAAGTTTGGGAACCGATTCACTTCTCAACCAAAGCAGGTAATTCCGTTCGTCGACGTATCTTTATTTGGGTGTGGCTGACGAAGAAAGATGGAAACTGTGCGCTCATTTACAATCTTTCATTTTGCGAAGAAATTGCGTATGCGGTACCTTCGAATCCGTCCATCAAAATAGACGATCTTCGCTCAATCTACGACAACAATGCCGCTTCACTTTATAACAATTTCTCTTACTCTTTAGAGCAAATCCAATGCAATGCTACGAATGAGACCCGGTATTCTTTGGCGGTGGGTTGCGATGACTGCGCGAGAGCTTACAAACAATGGTTATGCGCTGTAACCATTCCCCGGTGCGAAGACTTTTCAAGCACTGGCAAGTTCCTCCAAGCACGAAATGCTGGGCAGCAGTTCATCAACGGGACGTCGTTTAGTGGCAACCACACACTGCGACTAGATCCCACAACCAATCAGTCTCGAAACTCGCTGATAGATGACAAAATTCGACCAGGACCCTACAAAGAGATTCTCCCCTGCGAAGAAACGTGCTATAACCTTGTCAAGAGCTGTCCGGCTGCTCTAGGCTTCAGCTGTCCCCAGGGTAGATGGCTCGATTCTACGTACGGCAAGCGCAGCGACAATGATTTCGGCACCTGCAGTTGGGTAGGCGCGCCGTACCTCATGGGCGGCGGAGATAAGATAAAGCCTTTGTGGTCAGCCTTATTTGCCCTCGTGGCTGTCTGGCTTTCATATTGGGCGTTTTGATCTCCTGGTTGACTCATTCTTAATTGATACCTCTGTAGCGTGCTCAAAAGTCATCTCTGCACGATATATTATTAGTTCGTAAAAAATAGATACCCCTAGCATATGCGGATCTTCGTGCTTACTATCATAATATTTTCAATTGGACATGGTATCTCGAGGCTGATTAAGGGTGCGAAGAACAGTTCGAACATGGAAGTGCAAAAGAGATCAGACAATGCCTAACTCTTTGGGCTATCACTACCTAAGCGTTATAAGATAGAATGTCACTTCCCAATGCAAAAAAATGGCAACATCATGGTACCTCAAAACACTACCAATCAAGGACTTTCTGCTGTAATTACATCCCAACAGGAAGGTTGTTTTATTTCGCTCTCGGAGTCGGGGTCCATGTGTTCTTCAGATTCGATGAAGACGGTCGAGGAGTGCCACCCATCTGATATAATAATCTTTGCGCTGCTGGGGTCAACATCTTGCTCGATCCTCCCCTTCCTGCTGTTGCTGTACTAGGCGTGCGGAACCCAAAATCTAGTCCAGAACTACTAGCGAACCGTGGTGTCATATTGACCGGCGATTTGGTCTCCTGCGCGGCTTTTTCTGCTCGTTTACTTCTCGCGACGCGGTCTACCATACGATGGTGGAGATCTTCTCGCCTTCGATTCTCCCTGATCCGAAACGGATTCGAAGACTTATCGCTTGTACCAAGCAATCGAAGGTCCTCCAAACCGTCTGTATGGCTGTCTTTCGACTTACTTCCTACAGGGTATTCTGGTTCATCTTCATCCACAAAGGCGTATCCATTTATTCGTGGCGTCTCTCCGCCAGTGTAGTTCGCTTCCGACTTGGTGGGGTGTGGGCATCCGGCAATAGCATCCCTGATGGCGGATATCGACGGTGAGGGAGGGGGTGCGTCGCCGTCTTGCACAGCTTGAAGCCCCTCATCCGGTAATCGCGTATTTTGATATACCACCCGTTTTGGCTTTGCCCGTGAGGATGCTTCTGCTCTTTGCTGGATCGTCTCGAGGTTATCTTCAATAGATGAAGGCATGAACATGAGAGAATTCGCCGACTTGGCCTTCCATGAGTCCGGTTTGGCGGGTCGAGCATCAAGGTCTGTCTTAACGGCCAGTTGTTCGTTCTGGTTCAGTTTAAGCCCCTGATTCTCAATTCGTTTGGTTTCCAGTCGATGATGGGCAATTTGGCGCGCGGAAGGAATTTTGTTACCGCTCCAAATCCAGGCATACTTTTCTCGGCGTTTCGTGTTCTGCTTATCTAGTAGGCTGTTGAAGGACTCATTATCCTCGCTGGTATATTTTGCCTGAAACTCTAATAGCCCGAGATTGGAAACATCTGGAGCTTTGTCTTTTAAATCTCGAGACGTTGTTGAAGCCGTGGATGTGACGGACTTTGGTGTATCTCCACCCCAGCCAGTAGGTGTATCGCCTGCATGTGTTGCCCCTGTAATTTTGGGTTTCATAATTGGCATTGACGACCCAGGATGGCTCCGAGCTCTCCCCGGAGTCAGCATCAGATCGGTAAGCTTCTTCTTAGATGTCGCAATCCATTTCTTGTCCTTCGAGTCGAGCGCTTCCAGGTATTCTTGTTTCGCTTGTACCTCTATAAGGCCCGGAAAATAATCTCGCGCAATAATATTGGACAAGGCATTAGTGTAGATGTCTTCGTCTAGGACGGCGGCGGGTCGTTTGATGCGTTTCGGAGGGGGAGGGGGCATTATAAGACTGGTTTCGCTTTGGCGTTTGGTCAAAGCCTGCGGTGAGGATGACATCACGATGGATAGTTAGGAGAGATCAACAGACAAGAGCACGATCTCGGTCAACAGAAGGAAACTGTTCGGTTCATGGTTCTAGATGGATGGATGCATAGATGGTTGCATTGACAAGGCGGCAAAATCGAGGCTAAGGCGGTGAGCATTTCGTGGTAACAACATTATTTAGTACTTAAACTACCATGACAAAAGAACCGTACTTGATCACCTGACACACGTCCCCACCTGCCGCACGAATTTCAGTATGGCAACTAGCATCAAAAATGAAGCTTTAAAGTAATACTAAATAAATTATACTTAGGTTTTTGGTGGAGCAAAGATATGATGCTAGTAAAGCTATATACAGCTCTATTTCAATCCCGGAATCGTTATGGGAAGCGTATTTGTCTTCCATGATAATTTATAGGTATACAGCCCTCTGCATTAATCTGAGGCTCTGGAATAGTAATTGTTAATTGCAGCTCGGAGAGCCGCAGGTGGCAGGAGCAGAGGACTGGGTTTTCATTGAACGATCTACTACCATGTACAGAGGTTGACCCTAACAGTAATATCTTGCTTCTTTTCAGATATAGCTGGCGTAGAATACTTCTTGCCTTTTTAGACCACTTTAAAGTTATTTTAGAGCTAGTTATTAGTTTTTTAGCCAGGCACTCTTCCTCCTTCTGGTGCTTCTTTTATTCTACTTCAAGGAGATATAGTTCTTTATTAGCTGCTCTGATTTGTTTCCTTTCCTTAACTAAGCATTGCTTCTCTTGCTTCTCTTGTAACTGGTAAAGCTTTTCTTGCTCTTAGAGGCCTTAGCAAGCTTTATAGCAACTTTTTTACTCTGAAGCTGATATACTATTTTTTTTTTTTTTTTTTTTTAAGAAGAGCGTTCTCAAGGCTCTCGCAGTATAGCTTTAGTAAGATAATCTCTGTTATAATATAGAATATTATATGTGAAGACACGGTCTGTCACGGGTAAGCCCTAGGCTTAAGGCCGGGCCCGATGGCAAGTTGCGATACTATATATACCGCCTCTGGGAAATCAACTTCGATCAGAGTTGATCATAGTGGATCTTTTTATGTAGTGGAAAGATCCTACGTATCGAATTGCTAGTCCCAGGAGTAATCCTTTTAATTACACTATCGCGTAATCCCGAGTTTCATAAACGGACCAAGTATTTCAATATAAAATTATATCAACGCACCGTGCTTGATGGCGGGGAAATTGATATTCAATACATACCAACTAAGCTACAGACTGCAGATAGACTCACGAAGCCGTTAGGACCAGCTGAATTCTCAAGCTTCTGCCAATTAGTCAGTATAGATGGTCTCCAGAAAGGCCACATGAAGTATTAAGATCATAGGCAGGCGCTCTTTCCACTTTTTCTCCCGATACGGTTTTAATGGTTTTACTGAGGCCTAGTCGATCCTTGCAGGCGCAGTATCACTGTGCTAGCACTGCGATCCTGAGGGGGAATATTGTGAATTGAGGCTTGACTAGATAAATTATACAGCTTCAGATACGGAATAAATTCCGTGTAACATGTTGTATATAGACCCTCAAGTTTATGATGAGAAACATAACAATTAATCTTCCTTTGAATCACAGCAAAATCAGGCAAATGTGATGGCCAATCTAGGACCCAGATCCCATACATTTTGAACTATTCCTGAGCTTGGTGAGATAGATGGATTTTTGCATTATCTTGTTGGAATATAGTCCCTGGCTTGTGGATTGACAGGAGGCCTTTCTCTAAGCATTCTACATAGGAATCGGTTGAATAGCCTTGTCTAGGTGCTGTCTCGTCCCGCTGTAGAACAACTAACTCTGACCGACCACCGATCCAGATAGCAGCCCAAATCATATAAGAAAAGGACTTTCCATGCTTCTTTAATTTAACAAGATCAGGTCTATATGCTTCATTTGATAAGCGAAAGACATATTGCGTGGGATTATTAGAATCGCGCAACGGAGCATTCGTCCGAAAACAGTATATTGCTCCAATCAGTATTATACAGCCACGAACAAGAGAATTGATATCGCTTTTTTGCAATATCAGCTGTAAGCGGAATACGCTTTTTACTTTTCCACATTCTTTTTAAATAGGAACATAAAGCGCGGCGAATTGTACGTGAAGAGATATTTCCAGAAGTCCCAACAGTAAGCGCTTTCCAGCTGATTCTAGGCCTCCGGCACACTATCTGATAGACATAGCGCCTAGTCAAGCGGCTTAACCTTTCAGGCCTACCAGGCCTAGGGCGTGACTTTAAAAGGTGGTCATTTTGAAAGCGTTCCTTGGTTCGGTAGACAGTAGGACGATCCACCTTAAATTCTTGAGCAATTTTAGTAGGCTACTGACTATTCTCTAACGCTTGAAGAATAGCAGCGCGTTGCTCACTGGATAGCTCAGATCTAGGCCTTCTACTTGCACTGATTACTGTGCCAAAAGACCTCATTTTGATTGAATTGTATGTAGTTGAAAATAGTGCGATTTTTGACGCGGTGCTCGACGCGGGAAAGTGTTGCGATATTATTGTCACATGATTGTATATCTACCAACCCCAACTCTAGGTCAAGTAATTCTTCGATATGAGATAGAATTCGCACATTGAATCATGATATTTCTCCTTTAATCGCACGGTGACTTGGAACCATCTCTAAGATGGTAGATGAAGCTTAGACTTCCCTCTCTGTACACCAAATTTGGATAAAACCCCCCAAACCAGCCCAACCAAATCGTCCCTCTATATGATATAAATGAAACCAAACCGAACTCATCAAAAGATCGACTTGCTGAACAATGAAATATGAAGAAAAGACGATGCTTGCGAGGGCCAAATACAAAATAGAAAATTCCGAGCGAATGCTATGCAACCAAACATTCCGCAGCCTTTTCCCAATTCTCCATACCAGAAAAACACCTCCCTCCCAAGAAATTTTTGTTCTTGTGGAAAAAAGTAGTCGCTCAGAGATGCAAAATGAAAGTGTTAAAATCGCAGGGGGTAAGAGATTGAATCTAGAATAGCTCACAAATTGCAGAAATACATATCGCAAGAAACAATAACAAAGAAAGATCGAAAGAAAGATCAAGAGTAAGTTGCAGAATAAACAAGTGAAAAGTCATGATGTCGTCGAAGAGATCTATTGGTGATTGGGTTGAAGGTGCGAGGCGGAAGGTAAAGGAAAAGAAAACGTGTATCCAAGTTAGGCTTTAGGACCAAACATGTTGAACTCACGGCACATTAGAAGCTGCGGCAGAGGGGAAGAGTGAATAGGATGCTCTGCCTTTTCGCCGATGTGTTCCCCTGGTAGGAACTTCGACCTTGGTGGCTTTCGCGAGTGGAGAGGCCGCCTCAACTTCAGATGTGGATTTTGCCCGATCATGAGTAGAAGGAGCTGGGATTGACACAAGGCCAGACTCAAGACCTATACCACACTCGGCTCGAAAAAGAGTCTGAGTCTCCATTTCTCTTGCTAGGCTCTTGGTTTGACGATGGTAAGAAGACGACTCAGGACGTCCGGTCCCGGAAGACAGAGATTGTTCGCCTGAAGTGACCTGGTCCACCGCGGACAACTCTCGGCTATTTGCCAAACTGTGCACGAGTTCTGGGACACTAGTGGTTGAGACGGAAGAACGGTGCTTGCGGACAATTGATGCCGCACGGGATAGGATTAGGCTCTCTTCAGAATTGCATTTGCTGATTGGGGAAAAGCTACTCCGAGGTGAGACAGGCTGCTCCATGGGCTGGATTACTCCTTGTGAATAGAAGGAGAAATGCCTGTCTGATTCAGCATCAGTAGCCAAATACTCTTCATAAAGCGTATCATGGGTCAAATGCTTTCCCAAGGCCGCTGAAAACATCGAACTGACTGGTTGGAAATAGTCGCTGTTTCGCTGGGAGACTCCTACCTCAGTGGGCGGGGCCAAGGAGACTTTCTCGCCGGGCAGTGAACGAGATGAATTGTGCTCTAGACCCAATGTAGGCATTGCGGACGTGCTCAAATGCACGGCTGGTAACAGGTAATCGTCAAATGCTTCATCGACCGGATCGAGCTCGGAATTCATGACAGGAATGCCGATTGCCTCTTGCTGTGGCTCATCAAGCGAATTACGACCCCAGTCGAAGTCACAATTTGACTCCGCTGCATGCTCATAACAATAGTCAATGTCGGCATCCCAGGACTCGTAGATGGTTTCGTAGGTTGCTCTCCGACGGACAGAGGCCGATCGTTTTACTATATCGCCTAGTCTCTGGTCCTGTGGTGGTACCTCGGGTTGACAATATTGAGGGAGCGTAGGGGATCCCAGAGCTTCAGCAACCTTCTGTGAGAGCTCTTCAGTCACGTAGATTGATAGGTTTGATCTGGGGTTGACTATAGAAGCAGCCTGTAGCTCTGTTTGAGGGAACTCTAGTGGAGACTGAATTCGTGAGGTCGTTTCTTCGCTAGACATCAGACTGCTGGGCCAATTAATAGCTTCCTCTTCTTCCGGGACGTCATCAAGATCCGATGACATATTGGTAAATGATACGGACGACTTCCTGAAATCATTTAAGTCCTTTTCAGTACGAGGGCTGCCGGGCTGACTGATGGTCGACGGGAAAATGCTATCAACGTTCATGTGAAGCAAGGGGCCGTCATGGACGTCGTCGCCACTTGAATACACATGTTCTGGGTATGTTGGTGGGGAAGATAAACCTAATATTTCGTCAATAGCACGGGGAGCGGGCTCAGATATTTCCGGGGATGCTGCCAACCCGGGCGTGGTGGCCTTTAGCGGCGGCGTGGTTGCACCGACCCTAGGATACGGACGAGAAAAGTTCTCACAGACGCGCGACTCCCTTCTTAGTCTACTGTCTTCCTGCTTCGGACTCGCTGCCGACGTTGCTCCTGGAGACCCCGGAGGACTGATCGGGAGAGGAACAGCGTGGTCCTCTGCAATTGCTGTCCCGCAATTGGTGAGGTTTTCGGACGAGAAGTCACGGAAATGAAGATCTTCTGCGCGGATACCCTTAAGTCCTGTTACGGGTCTCTGAGAGGCACGAATGGCGGAAAACTCCGTGACTAGGTCATTTTCCCGGGCTCTATCCATCTCTTGGAAATGGGACGGACTCGTATGAGTTAGATGGTGGAAGTCAAATGGATCAGAGATCAGGCTCTTCAACTGTTCATCTGCAGCAGACCAGCCGTGTGAGTGCCGAAATTGTGCCATTCGCGTAAAGGTGAACTTACGAGCATCGCTCTGCCGTGACCTGTGATGACGGCCGAAGAGATCCGTGACTTCAAATCGGGGTTTCTCGCGCTCCATTTCATCCTCTTCATCTAGTGTAGCAACAATGTTGAATTTGCTCCCTTGACGGCGAAGAATACGGCTCCCACGAGAGAAGAGCGATTTTGTCATACTCTCCTGCCTCTCGGAGCGGACACCGGCCGCCGAACCAGTCCGTTCATCCTGTGACGAGGGCAACGAGGCAGCATCCACTGAGGTCATGGAGGAGGCTGGAGAGCGGCGTGAGGATGTTGTCGAAGTGGTAGTATTGCTCCGGGAACGACTGCTGAAGACAGACAGACGTTTGGGACTCTGGGTGTGGGCAGTTGAACGAGAGCGCACATGAACTGAATGATCAGGGGTGTCAGTGTTGAGCGCTCTGGTGTTGAATTGGTCAAAATCCACCATGGCTCGTGGGGCCGAGCCGTTGGCATGCATGATAGATGGCTATAGCAGTCCAAGTGGTCGAGGTCGAGGTGGATACAAATTGGTAGTCAAACATGCAATTGCAATTTGTTGGTCTTGGCTTGGACCATGGTAGGAGATAACAAGAGTGGATTGAAAGGTGAGATAAGTAGAGCTGGCTAAGTATCAAGAGAAAGAGAGCATCGGGGGAAGAGTTTCTGAAGTGTTTTAGATTTAGATTTAGGGGCGAGGCCACTCAGCGAGAGACAACCGAATCATAAAAATGGGTGTTGGGAAACACGAAACGAAGCAACAACTGTCACAGGAGAAGAGAAGAACAAGGAGAAGGGGAAACGGGTAAAGGATCGTAATCGTGAATACAGAGGGAAAAATATCTATATGAGGAGGAAAGTTGAGTGAGGGACGATGGTGAAGGTTACACCAATAGATAAAGAATGAAATTCACTGGATCGATAATGGTTAGTCGGATGGTCTGGGGGAGGAGAACAGAGAAAGACAATAATAAGAAGAATTAAGGGAGGGAACTAACAATTATTAGTATAGTTCGACGGTTCAGAGGAGGATGGAGATGGAGAAAAAGAAAAATTAAAAAATTAAAAATAAACTTAGAAAAAAAGAGAAAGAGAATCTAATGTTTTATTTTTATGATTTTTATAGGGGAAGAAGGGGTTTTTTTTTTGCCCTTCTTCTCTGCCTCCTCTTCTATCTATAATTTTACTTTAGTTCCAAAGTTGGTCGCTTGCCCATGTTTTGACAGTTTGCCCGCGAAAAAAAAAAAAAGGAAAAAGGAAAAAGGGAAAAAAGGAAAAAAAAGTATAAAATAGTAAGGAAAAGATGAGGCACAAGACTGTAATTTATGTTTTTCCAGCCTTTCCCTGTCGTCCTCCATACAACGCGACTATCAAATTTAATTTTAGCTTTTCTTCCTCTCTCAATACCTTGCAACGTTTTTTCTTTCTTTTTTTAAGGTTGTTTTCTTCTAATGAACAAAACCAAAAGGGGGTGAGAGGGGGAGGGGCAAGCCTGGGGTACGAACAACAACACGTGTGGATTATATCTGCAATCCTTTCCCTTAACCATGATCCTAGTCGGGGCGTTATTTAATTTATTGCCATCTCACAACAGAGAAAAGAGGACGCGGGAAAAGAAAGAAAAAAAAGAGGAAACACACTCACACCCACACCCACCAGGCACCGTTCACCGGCTGCATATCGTGGAGACGATCAAATCAGGAGATTCGACCTTCTCTAGTCTATTCATGCGCACAGACTCCCAGAGTTCCAAGACGCAGGTACTGGTTCTCACCAGGCCATAGATCCAGTTGTCCCGTGTTGCTGATCGATCGGAGTTGGTGCTTACGGACTAGGGACCTAGGAGTCAATTGAAATAACAGCGAAGAATTCTCTAACCTAGGTACCTATCTATTACGTCGCCTTGTCCAGGGATACCCTGAAAGCACTGCAGATGGAGGCCCAGTCTAGTAATATTCCATCAGCTCCTGAATCGATACAGTAGGCAGAAATTCGATTAGAAAATGTCGGCCACGAGCGATCCCACACGGGGTTTCCCGTTGGGTAAGTATTGGCGGAAGAGAAATGGGGCTTGTTAGATTAACGATAGGCCACTAGTGACGATGGAAATAGCAATGGAGCCTACAGGTTCCAACTACTTTAAGGTCTAGAAGATGAGGGATTCAAGAGAACAGCCAGACTAGAATACGTATATATAGGGAGTAGAATACCCCGTAGATATGTATATACTACCTAATTCATCAACAGAAGTTTCCACCGATGCTTCACTTTCAATTATTACTGTACGGGGGAATATAAGCAGGGAATTGCTATCCATACGCACCCGACGGTCAGGTCATACGGTACATTACTGCACACGAGTAAGCTATTATATTTGAGGTACCGAGGAAAGGAGAAAAGTACTGCCAGGCACCGGATCATCATTCGCTTAAAAGACGCAGAACCCATCCCAACGTCTCCGAGTCCCCACCGGGTCTAGTTGGGACGCTAGACAGTGACATTAATGGGCCTGGTTGAACTCTACGCTCATCCAAGCGGATCCTCCTGCGTTCACAACTTTGTAGAGTTAGTAATTGTGGTTTCTGATGCAGCCATCATGAGGAAGAAGAGGAAGAGGAAGAAGACGACGGAGTAACAGCAGCAGGAGGTTGTTTCCTTCAACCTTTCATTCCTTCTATTCATCTTTCAACCCTTTTCTTACTTTATTTTCGATTTGAATCTTAGGCTGGTCCGGACCGAATAAGGGCATGATTGTCCGAGAACCATGGACCCCCGTCCCGTGGTCAGATCTATTGCGATGGCTAGCACCAGTGGTGTCATATCCGGAAGGGTGGTTAAGACAGTCGCAGTACTTCTTTTTTTCTTTTTTTTCTTTTTTTTCTTTCTTTTTTTTTTTTTTTTAAACTAAGTACCTAGGAATGGAGGCCCTAGTCCTATAGTATGTAGATGCGACGAACTACAGTACTAAACAAAGGGTGGTTGGGCTGGAGAAGAAAATTGAAGATAGCTGATTTAGGGCTTGGGAGTTTGATCAGTTTGATCCCACAGCATCAATTTACTGGGAATGCCCTCGGATCAAAGACGGCATGTGGTCTGGCTGTTTTAACACCCACATAGTAACATGTATACCGTAATAAAACAAGACCACCTGTTACAAGTGCTGTGCAATAATTCTCCACCCTCTTTTCTTTCAAATCCCTACTCAGTAGGTATATATTTTTATGTATCGTACTACAGACCTGGTGCTACTGAGGTATGTACAGTATATGCATATATACATACAGTACATTTTAATATCTGCTTTCTGATCGCACCGCCAAAGTTCCTGTACCTGTACCTGCATCTTTATCGACAAGGCAACTTGTCGGCACATTTCTCAGCTTCTTCCTTCAACCGTACTTGCTGCAGTTGCTTTTCCACCCATCATATTTCTTACGGTTTCTCTCTGTTTCTCACTTCCTGCTCTCTGACTGACGGAATCCCCCCCGTCCTTCTCTAATCGCTACTAAATTAATGTATTATAGCCACTATGCATCCTTGGTGCATAGACTTATGCAACATGAATCCATCTAGAACTGACGGAGCGATGGGGCTTCCATCCATTTAGTTTCACCCTCCTTACTGTTGTTAGTGTATCTTACCTGCAGTATACTAGGGAAGTAGTGAATACGCCAATGGCTAAGCTCATATACGAACACTTGGATATATGTACTGTACTGTACTTAGGGATATAGGTATGTATATGTATTGAATACATGGGTAAATGAGATTGGGGGTTTTTTGATTCCCAACTTCTAGTAGATTTGCTGCATAAGGGAAGCAGGAAAGAGAAAGAAAAATATAGTATACATACAAAGATTTATCGATCTTTGAACTGATAGATCACACCCTCAATTATAGAGGGCGAACTAAGGAGGAAAAAAAGACCATTTTCGTACAGAGGGATATACGGAGAATATGGGGCAGCAACTATATGATGAACTTACTGCGTCAACTTTCACAAATTCTCAAGAGAGAACGAAGAAAATGCCACACCACTGTCTCAGGCACGAACCTTAAGGGCGACTCGTCTCTTGTTGCCCACCCCTTATTTCTTTGTTTCGTTTTTAGATCCTGGCTGGCCCTATCGTTGGCCTCCTATTTGGTCGTCTGTTAGCGTGTCTCACAACTTTCTCCATCATTCGGCCTCCTGACGATCGCTCTGTCTAGACTCTGCTCCGGTGGTGCTGACAAGGCAATCCTGTGTCTTATCCACTCGATACTCCGAAAGAGTGGAACAAGTCGCTTGAACTAGGGCCATACTTGCTTCGTTCAATTTGATTGAATTATATCAGTCTCAATTCCGATCACTCATACCAATAAGGGACTTGTTGAACAGTCAAAAATTTCCATTTCAATACTTCTTATAAACATGCCCAAGGTGATTTGGTCGCCTCCATCTTCCCAACGCCCATATGGATCCTTGCGATACAGAGTAGAAGAAAAACGTACCAGAAGAGAGTGTAAAAAGAAAGACTATAAACTACAGAGTAATAAGGTAATATCATGTTGCCGTCTTCATTCTTCCTCCATTGCCGCATCATCATCTCCGGCGGGGTCGTTAAACAAATCGTCCGCATTCTCTAATCCTACCTTCGCCCCAGGCTGGTGCTCTTCTTCTTCGTCATCATCGGCAATGCGACGGTTTACCTTCGCTCGTCGCCGTTGAACCACCTCTTCCTCATCCTCATCTGCACCTGTATCAGGCATCTCTTGATTGTGATCGGACTCCACCGCCGGCGTTGTGGCGGCGCCGCCAATGTCTTCCTCATCGGAGTCGACCACCATTTCACTGCTCTTATATTTGCTCTGTGCTTTTCCGCCGGTCCGGCGCTCCAGTCGCCGCCGCTTCTTGGGCGCCGTTTCGCCGTCGCTTTCTAGCTCCGAGCTTCTAGCCCTGGTCGGTGATTCGCCGTCACTGATGAAATCATCCTCTACCCGCTTTTTCTTGCGCTTGGACGACGAAGACTTCTTCTTGCGTTTTACCTTGGCGCCTGTTTCCGACTCCGTCGTTAACTCCGCTTCATCCCGCGCGCGTTCCTCCTCCGCCCGCTGCTCCGCTAACCGCTGCGCTTCCTCCACCATTCGCTGTCGCTCTTCGGCGACTCGCTGCTTGCGCTCGCGCTCCGCCTCTTGCGCTTTGCGGACATCCTCCTCGCGCCGCCGGATCTCCGCCTCACGGGCCTCACGAGCTTGCTGTAATTTAGCCGCATTCTTCTTTTCATACTCCTTCTGACTCTGGAGAGCTCGTTCGAGTTGCTTAATAATTGTTTTTCCCATGTTGGCTCGCTGTTCCAAAGCTCCCGCAGGATAAGGAGGGTTTTTGGCCAGAGAAATGCGCCCAAAAGATTCAACTGCCTCACGTAGACCATCGGACGCGTCTTGTACATCCTGTACGGTTTTCTGCGTCTCTGGTAGACTGTATGCCAAAGAAGCGATCTGATTTTGTACGAACGCAACATTGAATTCTAGGTGGATCTGGGATGGCGCGGCAGCATGCGCTCGTCGTGCATAATCCAGAGCAGTCTTCATGGCCGACAAACTCATCTCTTGTTTCCCCTTCAGCAGCCATACTCGGCCTAAGCATGCTAGAATTTGTGCATCACGGGCGCGGTCTTTCGACAGTGCCGCCTCGTAATGCTCGATAGATCGTGTGTGTTGCCGCAATTCGGCGTACACATGTCCAAGATTCAGGTAGACGCTGGAGTCTCTCAAGGTGTCCCGGATCTTTGAAAATATGTGCACTGCAGTACTGTAGTCTTTTTTGGCATCTACTAGGGCAATGGCGATACCCTGAGCTGCATAGGCATTCCGAGGATCCAGCTGAAGAGCCTTGTCGAAGAATTCCACTGCCCGCTCGTACATTCTACGACGCTTCTCCTTCTCTTGGTCGGTGTCACGACGCATATCACGTGCAGTCATGATATGGACGTTACCCATCCCAGTTAGCGAGTAGCGATCATGTTTGTCGAAGTATTGCAGAGTATGCTTGTAGTGTCGTTGTTCCTGGTCTTCAGCTAGATTGGCGACTCGTTTCTTAGACTTGCTAAGGTACCAGCCGAACAGAGCACGGACTTCAAGATTCGTCGAGTCTGCTTCGTACAGCTTGGCCATCCTCTTGGGCCCCTCATCCGTGGGGCTCTGCCGTAGCGCAATGTATGTCAACCTAGCGTTTGCTTCCGTATAATTACCATGCCGTTCCAGGAGACCTTCGTACACCTTTTTAGCCTCCTCCGGCATGTCGGAAGCCTCGTACGTTCGTCCGAGATTGTAGCTGATGGTCGTAACCAGGGCGTCCGTGTCATGCTCGCTCTCTTTCTCCTGCGACCGGACGCAAGCATTCAATGCGGTTTCGAACATGGTCCGGGCCTGGTCTACTTTCTCAGTCTGGTATAAGAAACAGCCCATGTTGTTGAGAAGCTGGGGTGGCAGGTTCACTCGAAGAGCAGCTTTGACCTGCTCCTCATCCTCAACGCCTCCTGGATGCTCATCCTCAGCAATCGCTGCCAGCTGTAATTCTTCAAGCTGGGCCAAGCACTGCATGCTTTTCTCCGGAGCCATATGCTCATACAAGCGAGCCAAATACACCAAAACAGACTCATCAGGGGCAATTTTCTTGCCTTCGTCCTTCCAGAGGGCGCGAACTGATTCGAGAAGATTAATTGCTTTTTTGGCTTCGGCCGACTTGTCTTCCCTGGTACTACTGCTCTCAGAGACAAATACCTCCTCCGCATAAAGCGCCCCAAGAAGTATCATGCATTCCGGATTCTTAGTTTGCTGTATGATTTTCTCCAGCCGGAACTTGGCGCCATCATAGTCTTTATTAGACACTTGCATCTGTACCGTGCCGAACCGGGCAGGCAGATACCCCTTATCACCGCCACCTCGAGCTTGATCGGAACGGTTATAGAACTCTGCGGCACGAGGAAGATCATTTTCGTAATGTGCCTTTCGACCAAGCAAGTACCAACCATCGCTGGCTATTTGCATCACGTCCGTGTGCTCAATGGCTTTACGTGCTAGGGTCTCGACTGTGGAGTAAGACTTCCTTAGGAGAAAATATCCGCCAAACAAAGCGCAAGTCATAGGGTATTCTTTGTCCAACTTGAAGGCTTTCTGTGTGTAGTGAGTCATGGCCACTTTGTACAATGAGCCAAAGGCGGGATCCGTCGTGGCATGTCGGGAGCTGTCGTAGAGGTAATAGACGGCGAGTAGGATATTGGCAACTTTAGAATCAGGGTTCTACAGTACATGAATACAGTTAATATGTGACAATGAAGATGATCTCATGGGGTGCAAGTACCAGTACTAGTGCTCGCTCCCACGCGGCTTTCGCTTGGTCTTTGAACCCTAGGTGCCATAAGCAGCACCCAATGCCAATGCGAGGGTCAGGGTCTGTTAACCCGGGCATCTTCATCAGGACTTTCTGGTAGTCCTCCAGCGCCTCTGCATATCTTCCGAGCATATATTGTGTCCTTGCGCGACCAAGAGTCGCCATCACATTGCGACCTCCGAAGGCTTTTGACGACTCATCGAAGCATTTGAGAGCCTGCCTAAGAGACTCAACCCTCTCAGACGTGTCCACTGTTCCGGGACGGACCGGCCTCGGAGGGTACAAAGATGAGCGCAGAAGGGACAAAACTCCACGGGCTAGGAATAGGGGCGGAAAAGCCGGGTTCAGGCGAGAAGCCTCGTTTAAAGTCGATGTCGCGAGTTGAAGGTAATGATCCTTGGTCTTAGCTTCGGCGTACAACTCCCCTTCTGGTGCTACTCTGGGTGCTTGTCGGCTCTTCAACATCAGGAGCCAGCACACCCAACCCAGCAAGCCGAGTTTCTCTTTCGTCGCTCCGTGAGCGACCGATGCTAACCCTTTGTTCAGGATGTCGATTGCATGATCGATTTGCTTCTGTTTGGCATAAGCAAGCGCGATTATGACCCAGAAGTTCTTTGCTGCTTTTTCATTCTCTAGTAAAGTGCAGAGTTCTGTAGGGTCGTCTGGGAGTCCTTCAAGGCTGACCTCGACTTCGCTGTCGAGGGTCGACGCAGGAATATCAATAGCAGAAGGAATATCCGAGAAACGAAGATTAGCCAATAAGTTAACTGTGGAATGTGTTTCATTATTAGTGCCATTGGCCCGATCATCCCGTAGGGACGCCATGGCGCGAGAGGTGAGTTCCTTCTGTATTGAAATAGGACGCGGAAGGTGCGAAAGTCTGGAGAAATTGTTGCAAGATTCAGCTCATGATCATACTATGAAGAGATATTGTTAAAGTAACACGTCCTCCTGCTGAGAGGACGAGCAGGAAGAGCGTTGTTCAATTACAGGAGCAGCTTGAAACGACAAAGTCTGCAGTGTTAACCTCTCGTCCTGGTGCTGGCACTAGTAGATGAAAGGGTCGGAGGCCGGAGTCCGTGATGGGGCTGGTGCGCACCGCCACATATGGCTAAAATATTATCTATCTTGGGCCGAGCTCTTATCACTTTTATCAGTACGGTGTGCTCTATACAGAGTAACAACGTCCGTATTTTAATAAACCAATCTATACCCATAGACTTTTGAATGAACACCGAAAGCATGAGGTATTCTATGATAAATCTACACCATTCTTTGAGGTGGCAGACTTTAAGAATAGTGAAAGTCCCTTGCCTGACAACAGGAAGAGCGAATGGCGGAGAAAAGACAAATTAGTCTAAGGGTGCTATTATCTCTCTACTTGCATATCTCATAATAAATGTAAAAAAATAAATAAATAAAAATAGAAACGAAAAAAAGGTATGCAAAGGAAGTGTGAAAGGAAAAGACGTTGTGCACGTTAATAGCCCAAGAGTTTCGGTAGTTTGCACATAAAAGCAGCGCCTATTAACACCATGAATATCCGCCCGATTTCGCTCCAATGCCCTAGTTTAACAAAGCTCTCCACATATCCGGCGGCGGCGGCGGCAGCTTGCTGCTCTTCAGATACATTTGCATTGTCAATAGAGCCGGATAAATCGGATGGGAACCTTCCTGTTTCGAAGTACTCATCAAGCAGCCGATCCTTTTCCGTCCACTGACCCCTGAGCCACGTATCGAATTCCTTCTGATCATCCAAGGGAATTTCGGATACAGCAAACCGCCGCCAATACATATTGACGGATGTTGGGGGCCTTCCCTGAAGATATGTTGAGCGGAGTGTGAAGTACTTATCCGGGTAGCTTCCTTTCCTATAGCAGTAAAAGTTAGTCCTGATCATTCATTTGAAAATAGATCGACGGTAATAGAGACTTACGGAGGCCCTTCATAGGCTACGGTGCAGTCATACACCCAATCAACAGTCCCTTTCAATTGTTGTAGACAAAAGAAAAGGCCGGTCGAACGCGGGAGAACCTCATGCTTCAGAGGAGGGAACCCTTGCTTTTCCCCATACTCATCACTACGCTGCTTAGTGTTAGTTGATAAGTTTGTCCCTTCAGGAAAGATCAACAGCCACATCGGATCGTATTGCGATGACTCTGATCTGGATCCCGAATGCCGAGTTTTTAACTTTGCCAGGCGATGTTGTAAGCGCGGTTTGTCGGATAGCCATTTGCGAGCCATAAAGATAAAGCCGTAGAACATCATACCTTGACCGACAATAGGTATGTACTTGAGGGACTCCTTGAGGATGATAAAGATGCGGCCATGCATGATGTTCGTATAGGCAACCCACCACAGGTAAATCCAATCAGTATAAACCTGGTGGTTAGCAATCAATACCAAGCGCTCCGGGAACTGAGTCTTCAATCGGCCATCACTTGTCAGTTGAACCTGACCACGTATGCTTTTATCGCCACTAACTCGAACGAATGTCGGGCAGCCCCATTGTGTGAGGGCGGTGATGACCAATCCGAAGGATTGCTTGGTGTATGCCATATAGGTATAATAATAGCCCTTATTTATGAGATAGAGGGGGGCACCAAGCACCTGAGTCACCAGGATGACGACACAGCAGCAGTTGAACCATGTTGCAAGCAGGAGGGACCGGGCAACCTGCATTGGAATCCCATGTTTAAGCTGTGGCTCCACATTGATGTGAACATAAGGTTTTCTACACGTGCTCCCTGTACGATGCTGGGGTGGACTTTGTATTCGCTGTCGACGGTCAGGGACAGGGCCATCCATCTTGTGGGATTCCACGTGGTCAAGAGAGTCCCGATTCTTGTTAGGTTGGTTGATGAGATAGTCTGTTACGGTGTCCGTCAATTTATCCTCAACCCCGTTGATCACGCGACTGGTTGATTGATATAAAGAGAGGCGGTGTCGTACTCAAACAAAGATAGTTTTGATCGGGCGACCAAGGAGCTTTTCAGGAGTTCGAGGAGTTCGTGGTCTAATGAATCAGGCCATGCTCATAACTATAGGGCAAAAGGAGGGGGAGGTGGGGTTGAAGGTATTCTATAAATCAGAGATGTAGGGACAAGCGAAGGGCAAGCTTCAAATCAAAGAACGATTAGTAGGAGACAACATCTGACTAGAACGATTGGCAGCAAGAATTCTGAGCCAAGACCTAGGCAAGGCACCTGCCGATGACGTCCTGCCTTTCAGACCCTCTGGGCGGTCAGACACTTGGGCTAATTCCAGTTCGTAGATCATTCTGGGGTTTGTTTCCCTCAGGACAAGAATACTCCATCCAATGCTTGTACCAGCGAGCCCACCTCATATTTCATTCTTAAGTTTCTTCGATAACTGTGAGTGTGGATCTGAATGCACCCCTTTTAGAAATAGATTAACGCGTTAGATCGGTGTTACTTCATAGATGTTGAGTTTGAAAGATGCAACAGAAAATTCAAAGTGAGCTCATGTTTCACTCAACAAACAACCAGCGCTAATTTCTACGTCAAGTATTTTCCTGAACTGCTAATCGTTCCAATATGCGAACTGCTATTCTTCGAATGCAACCAATTTGGTACAGGATTAGCATACCTAGGTGGACACCGTGGAAGCGACACTTTTCTTCTTCCCCCTGCCAATGTGAAATCAATGATATAGAAACATTATCTCAGCGTCTAATACCTAGATACGAAGGTGTGCGTCTCTACAAGTCCCGATGTATATATTCTTCTTTGGATTTTTTGTTTTTCACAAATGAACAGAAAAAGTTACACTGAACTGCGTTTGCTGATCCTTGCGTGTTCGTTCCAGAATCTCGTGAAGGCGACCTTCTTTCACTTCAATGGCCAGCGCCTCCTCGAAATGTCTTTGTCGTGAAAAAGGACCGTGTGCCGGCAGTAACGGAGTCATTGATTGAATTTGCGAAGTACAGAGAGCCGTTATGATACCCTAGAGACATACAACTAATAGTTTCTCTGTCTAGTCATGTAACGTCTACATATCCTTCTATCGCCCTGATATTAGAATCGAAGTCTGCGCAAGAAGTGCATTCAAATCTCTCGTTTCCTATCTACTCAGCGCCCCCCAAAAGACTAGCCTCATCCCTGCATGGTAAGGCGGACCTCACAGTTACACTTGGAGGGGATGGCACTATCTTGCATGCTTCTTCGCTATTCGCTACATGTTATAATGTACCCCCGGTGCTCTCATTCAGTATGGGTACACTGGGGTTCTTGAGCGAATGGAGGTTCGAAGAATATAAACGCGCGTTTCGTGAGGTGTATATGTCCGGCGCGGGGGTCGGGGATCGAGCTCCCGTATTAGAAGCGTCAAGGTGCACTGTTCCGAATGATCAAACGGATGCTGGCACCGGCCCTACTGGGTGGTCTTCGGTTCGTGGGAAATCAATGGGCTTGAGTCGCGGAGCTCGCATTTTGATGCGAAATCGTCTAAAGGTCGGACTTTTTACCAGTGATGGACAGCCTGTTCAGCAAGACCAGAATTCAACGCCCGTGCAAGGTACTTTGAGCAGTCAGGGTGTGTATGTAATGAACGAAGTGCTGCTCCACCGTGGCAAAGAGCCGCATCTCGCGGTGGTGGATGTGTATGTTGGAGGACGATTCCTCACAGAGGCTGTGGCAGATGGGATCATCATCTCTACACCCACAGGCAGTACCGCATACAGCCTGAGTAGCGGTGGCAGTATTGTACATCCCTTAGTGCCTTCGGTTTTACTGACCCCGATTTGTGCTCGCAGCCTGAGCTTCCGACCTTTGGTTCTACCTTCCAGTACACCGATTACACTGCGACTGAGTGAGAAGAATCGAGGTCGGGAGTTGGAGATGAGTATTGATGGGGTTAACGTGGGTCAAGGAATGACAGTCGGTATGGAGGTACGTGTATGGAATGAAGAGATGCGGCACGGCAAAAATGAATGGCAGGGAGGAGTGCCATGTGTGATGCGGCGAATCAGGGGTGGTGAAGCGCATGACGGATGGGTAGGCGGCTTGAATGGGCTGCTCAAATTCAACTACCCATTTGGTGAAGAACCGTGATGACCTAGCCATAATTTATGGGTTTGAAAGAATCCGCCCAGTCTACTACCTGTTCTTTCGTTGGCTAGGAAATTGTTAAGATTTCTTCACTCCTACTAATGTCCTTAATGTTATATATATTATATATATATACATCCTGATAGAGCTTCTAATTAGGTACTATTACGTGGTCCACGGTTTATATAAAATTCAAATTAAACAGGGGCGAACTTGAAGAGTGGGCCGTCCTCCTTAACTTTTTGTATCTTGGGACGACGGGCCGTGCCACGGGTCGAAGTTCTGTCTTTGTGGTACTGTACTTTGGTGTGATCGATTTAAAGGGAAGGTCATATCCGAAATTTTGTTTTCCATTGGGATAGAGATTAGCTACTTCAAGCAGACTTGATTACTATGAATGAATTGAAGGGAGTACTAGTAGATGTAAGGTGCTTCGCAGCACAACTTATCCTCGGCGGAGGATGTACTGTACAGTAATTAATTCTTCAACGCTTCGTTGTTTGTGGTAATAATCACTTACCTGTTATATCGGTATATGTCTGAAGATACATACTGTACATATGGAGTACCTGAGACTCGAGACGATGGGATTGTGTAACCCTAAACGCTTCAGCAGCCACACTTCGTACGATATTTCGGTCTTATATATCTTGACTGTTTCGAGGGTGGGTGTTTTTGGTGAGATTACACTGCGCCTCCCTTTTGGGTAGCAATGATTCTGTACCTACCGAGTAGTATTATCGCATACTATTTTCCTGTTGTTATGTGAGAACACTCCTCTGTAAATTGCATACTCGTACGGTCGTTCCACTTCTAGTATAAATTCCCTATACCATACTCCTTGTATCTGAAACCCTAAAAGACTATATCAGTGGTGTTGGTCATCAAACAAGTAATTGGTTTTGATCGCAGGGAACTCTTATTTTGTTCATTATACAGCAAGGCAAGGATGTGAACACAAAAGAAAGAAGACGAACTGTAATATTCCTTATTTACTAGATATTAGATATTAGAAACTAGAAGCAACGGTTACCGCTCTTAAAGTCTGAGCGCTGTTCTTGTGACGGGGTGCCGCACCCCTTGACTTGCAATGGGTTTCCCGCTGTTAGTGAAACCTCATTTACGATTTCCCTTTCCTTTCTTTCTCCCTCCCCATTCTCCTTGGATCTTCATCCCTCGCCTTCCTGCTCCTTGGTTATCCCCTTTTCTCTTTTCCTCTCTCTCCGTTCTTTTTTCCTCGATACTTTGTTCACTCTTCTTCCGTTTCATTTTCCCACCTGCAGGCCAGCTCCTTCCTCCTCTTGTGCACACATATTGCCGATATTGAGTCCCTCACCGCGTTCTTAAGGGTGACCGCACTTCGGGACCTTACCCCCGGTCATACTCGCTGGTGCGAGGAGACCTTTCTCCTTTTTGGGGGCCGAGGATCTTATCAGGTAAGATTTTCTTCAAGCAGTCAATAAAGAACAAGAGGAGTGAAAGGGTGCTGGGAAATGCTCTTAATTTTGAATGAGATCTACCCCACTGTTCTCCTGGCGGATCGACTCCTATTACTGAAGGATACCCGCTGCAGACCTTTAGGCTTGGATCCTATAGGTCTTGGAAGCGCTTTTGAGAAGGTCTGCATCATTCTTGTCTAACAATATGATGTAGTAGTTTGCCCAAACCGCCGAACCCATACCCCTCGCACCGCCAAGTAGTCACCTCCCCCCCCCCCCCCCCCCCCCCCCCCCCCCCCGCGTAAGTCCCCCCCCCCCCCCCCCCCCCCTTCTGGGCTCGCGCGCTTGCTCTGTCAACTTATGGAAAGTATGTTGGGTATCCTATTTCACTACTACTCTCCGGCTGCCATTGAGCATGGAACACAACCGATGCTGATGACGCTGGTATATGTCCTTGTATCATGCAATAAATACTACCGGTGTGAACTTTTACTGACGGTGTCACGTAGGATGTACTCTCCCGATCAGTTCATGAACCCCGGGCCTGCACCACGCCCCCCGGCCGACCGCCCGAAGCTCAATCTGCCGACTAACTCCTCAAATACGGTCGCCTCTTTCAGCCAAATGAGCTTGGACTCTCCCAGTACGCCAGGGTCGGGCAATTTGTCATTATTCCCGAATACTAGCGCCCCATCCCTCACGCAAACAAAGACGAACCAGTCGGGACAGGGAGGAGTCGCCGTCATCAAAGAAGGATACGTTAGGTGCAAGGAAGATAAATTCCTGGCTACCTGGAACCAACGATATCTGATACTGCGTGAATTTCGCTTGGACTTTCTGAAGAATGAGACCGGTAGGGTGGTCCTATCCATTCCGCTACAAACGGTCACTGCGGTCTCTCGTTCGGAAGACACTCGGATGGCTTTCGAAGTCATCCGTCTAGCCAATCCGAAAGATGCCGCTTCCAAGGCTGCTCTGATTACACGCGATGTGCCAACCAAGAGTATCACCTGTGAGGTCAAAAGTGACGACGAGATCTATGACTGGATTGACAAAATCTACGAGCGTTGTCCGGGAATGGGAGGCGTGAGCAATCCGACCAATTTCAGTCACCGCGTTCATGTCGGCTTCGATCCTCGGACAGGTGCCTTTGTGGGATTACCGCCTGAGTGGGAGAAGCTCCTGACTGCGTCGGCTATCACCAAAGAAGACTACAAGAAAAACCCACAGGCCGTCATCGAAGTTCTCGAGTTTTATTCCGATATAAAGATGCGTGAGCAGAATCCACAGTATTATGCCGGATTGGCCTCTCCTCAATCGAACCAACAGCCAAAACCTTACAGCAACAACACAGTTGGTAGCTCTATTGCTCCTCCAAGACCACCACCACCGGCTCCGTCTCAACGCTTAGATAGCGGCCACTCTAATCGTTCGGTTGGCTCATCACCCTCTCAGCCACTCGGCAAACCAGAATCCGACCGTGCCTTGGAGCAGCAGCAGCAGCTGGACAGAATGAAGGATATGGCAGATCAGGAGCGTCGGCGCATGGAAGAAGAAGCTCGCCGTGTTCGGCAACGCGAAGAAGACCAAAATAGGCTTGATCAGGAGGCATATAATGCTTCACTCCCCAAGACTCGCGTACCTCTAGCTAAACAAGAGCTCGGCGGTTATAGCGCTGATCCGTCAATGAATGATCGCTATAAACCAAGCCGCCCCGCCCCACAAGCTCCTGGCTCAGTTCGACAAGACCCTTCACGCCAACTGACCGCTCAGCGCCTAGCGCCAGCCCCTCCGACTAGCTCTAACCAGGGTCAACGACCTGGGGACTACGGATCAGCCAACCTACCTGGAATGGCACGCACTCTAGGATCTCGTTCTGAAGACCAATCTTCTCCCAGCTCACGCTACCCTGCGCAGGATCCCCGGGCACAACAACCCTCTGCAGCACGAGCTCAGAACAATGGCACCAAACAGCAAGCTCATGGCCCACCGCCAAGCAAGCTTCCAGCCCCTGTGCAGCCAGTGAAGCCACTGAATATTGCAAACAAGCAGGCGACTAGTAAAAACGTCCCTGACGGTGTCCGACAAGCTGAAGCTGCCCTGACTAAGAAAGCTGAGCCCCGGCAGAGAGAAGTCCGCATGTCGGCAATGTCCGAGAACGAAGTGATGGATCGGCTCAGGTCCGTCGTTTCTAAAGACAACCCCAATGAATCTTATAGCAAGCAACGTAAGATTGGACAGGGTGCATCTGGTTCTGTGTACGTTGCGCGTGTCAAGGAACATGCCGTTTCTCCGGTTGCTCGTGAATTATACCGCCAATATGGACCTCGAACTCAGGTTGCCATCAAGCAAATGGATCTACGTAGCCAGCCAAGAAAGGAACTCATTGTCAATGAGATCATTGTGATGAAGGACAGCCAGCATGCCAACATTGTCAACTTCCTTGACTCCTTCCTGCAGGAGCAAAGTAATGAACTCTGGGTTGTCATGGAATTCATGGAGGGCGGCGCTCTCACGGATGTCATTGACAACAATCCTGTAATTCAAGAAGATCAGATTGCCACCATTTGTTCAGAGGTGCGTTGATGCTTCCTAGTTCGACAAGCCACAGAAATATGCATGGGTCATACTAACAACCACTCCAGACTTGTCAAGGGCTGGCACACTTACATAGCCAGAACATTATCCACCGTGATATCAAGAGTGATAATGTCCTTCTCGACCGGGCTGGCCATGTCAAGATCAGTGAGTAGCCACCGCCCATTGAATTGCCGATAACCAGGCTAACAGCTGCTTTCAGCCGACTTCGGGTTCTGTGCCAAGCTCACCGAGTCGAAGAGTAAGCGTGCAACGATGGTTGGGACGCCATATTGGATGGCTCCAGAAGTTGTCAAGCAAAAGGAGTATGGGCCCAAGGTCGATTGCTGGTCACTAGGAATCATGGCCATCGAGATGATTGAATCAGAGCCCCCTTATCTGAACGAGGAGCCACTTAAAGCCCTATACCTTATTGCCACCAACGGTACTCCTCGCCTAAAGAAGCCCGAAAAGCTGAGCAAGGAACTCAAGTCATTCCTCAGTCAGTGCCTGTGTGTGGACGTCCGCAGCCGCGCCACTGCGGAAGAGCTGTTAGCCCACGAATTCTTGAAGTCGGGCTGCAGTCTCCCTAGTCTGGCGGAGTTGCTCCGTTGGAAGAAGAACAATGGGCAGTAATATGCCGGAAACTGCATGCTTAGGTGATGACACAATCCTGAGATGAGCTTTCTACCCTTCTATGTTTTACTTATTTACGATTTACAACCAGATCTTGTCTCACGCACATATGGGCCCCAATTACGTTCCTCCGGATGATTTTCATTCCCTTATGACTTGCATTGCAACCGGCTTTCTCTTGTGTGATATCCAAACTATAAAGCTATGTCTTTTGGACTTGGCATGGATATTCCGGCGTTATACTTGGTGTTTAATTCTTCGATTGTCTCAGCTTCTACTACCGTGAATATCTATTTTAGTTCTATTGCGTGTTCTGACAGGACCACTTCCGCTAATGGACGCCTTCCGGTGAGGGAGAACGAACAGTCTTTGAGAAAAATGGTCCTTGTGGTTGGGCGATGGGGGAGGTCTGAAGCGAAAGCGGAAATAGATGAGTTGGACGTCCGTCCTGCATGTTTATCAAATGTTATGATGGTTGGATTTGGTCCATAGCGAGAAGGCCATGGAGCGATGAGCCTCTATTCGCAATTTCGTTCATGAAAAATCATTTGAAAACAGATCAAGCTTCCAATTCTACATGTCAGTAATTTTGACTAATATCTACAAGCAATATATCCGACGAACCCCACCGCTTTTTTGTTGAATCTAACCCTAACTCCGAGCAATGTAATAGGAATCATAGCTGGAACTTTGTCCGCTGCTTTTCCATCCCTGCCTTCCATTCCCACTCCTGCCCACTTGCCCTTTGAATGCCCTTGTCGATCCTTCGTAGTTTCAACGTAAACCGAGGCCTGTTCGGGATTATCATTAACACCTACCAAGAGATCATAAAGACAACGATTGCACATACCCTAATTCCTGAAGGCCTGCCCTAATTCCTTCGGCTCCCTTCATCTCCTTCCCATCTGCATCAACTACACTCTTCTCTGTCTCACGCTTTTCACGGAAGATGTACCGATGCCTGAAGAAACAGTGAGTCTTGCAATGACTCCGAGCTGGAAAAAAATTGATAACTTACCTGCGGACAAAGATATAGTCACGCTGGTTATGCAATGTGACGACCTGACGCCCCTCAATGTTGGGCTGTGGTGGGAACATTGACCGGAAAATAGCACCCGTCAAAATCCCAAGTGGTGTGCGGAAATTGTTCAGAATCAATTCAGGCCAATGCTCAGTGCCCACACCATGTCCAGGGATTCTTTTGCCTTCTACCCAGTTGCTGATAGTAAAGTGGACCATGGGACCTTTGGGCAAGTGGATAACATCGAGGCCGGATGGTCGCTTGGAATCTTCCTGGAGGACCAAAACAGCAGTGTAGCTACGGTTTGAAGCAAACTTTGCTATTTCTTTTAATGAAAACTTGTGTGAGTAACGGTGCGCGGTGCGGCGGATATACTGGCTATTAGGGAAAAGGTCCGTAAGGGCTTTGGCTTCGTTGTGGAGGGTCGAGTTCTGTTAGTGATTAACATATGTTCTTAGGATATAACGCAAACTACAAGATTTCCATACATTTAACAGTATGGAAAACATTGTACGAGCGTTGTGGTAGTGCACCTACCAGAGAGGTCGTGATGAGAATCTTGGGTGTCGGCGGTGCTTCAGACGGAAATAGCGATGGAAATTTAGCTGCCAAAGTCTCCGGGGCCAAATTGAGATTTGTACTCTTGGTCGATTGAGTCGGACTCGTTGCGCGCTCTGTAGCGGAGGGAAGAGATGATTTAGAAAACCTCCGAGACTTGCCGTCGGTGTCGCTGTTCGCATCCTCTTCTTCTCCTTCTCCTTCTTCATCACTGCTGGCTAACATGCTGTCTACCTCGTCCTGGTCATCCGAACAAACTTGCAACTCATTCGAATTCTCTAATGGCTTGTTCAATTCCTCCTCCTCTTCCTGCCTCTGTTTCTTGATGCGCTCCACGTCGACACTCAATCCCAAACCATCATCAGCATCGCTGTTAGCTTTATCCCATACTCTCTTACGATCAAGAGTAAGCGGGATATTTCGCTGTAAGCGATCTTGCTTGAGTTTTGGATTTTTGGCTTCTTCTTTCTTTATCCTATATCGTTCTGCTCGCCGGGTGGAGTCCTTGAGCCGCTTCCGCTGTACATGAAGGAGTTGACGCCGGAGTTTGTTGGCAGGTTTCACATCTAAGTTAGCACTCGGGGGAGGCTTCGCCAGAGATTTCCTGGAAACCATTTTAAAAAGAAAAAAGAACGAAAGAAAAAAAGATATAGAAGCCTTTCTGGAATGGGGGAGGAAGTGGAGGTGTACATCGCGACTGTAGTTTTGCGCCGAAATAAAATTTGGCGGAGGAATATTTCGCCGGCGGTAGGGACATCTCGATCGTCAGTAAGGAGATAATCGTGGAGACCTTTAAAGACCCCAATAAAAGGGAAAGTGAATCGTTATCTTTTTATCGTATTTTATTTATTTTATTTTTCTTCTTGTTTTTTGTGTTTCATTTTCTTCTAGAAATCCCCAAGCCCATTCTTGATTTTGCTTTTTTCTTTTCTTTCTTGCAACGTCTTCCCACTCGCTTTTATTCCTGCTGCGACCGCCGCGGCCCGGCTCACGTGGATGACTCGATTGGCTTCTTCCCTCTTTTCTTTTCCCCGCCGCCATTTCCAATTTCCTCGTTGGAACCCCGCCAGAGGCACGCGATCCTTTTCACCCTCCCCCGTCGCCTTTCGAGCCATTCAAGTTTCTAAAAAGAAGAACACCGCTATGGCGACCGTTAACACCAAGACGGGTCAGATCGTCGACCGCACAGTCTTGGAGTCGATGCTCCGACGTCGACTCATTTACACCCCCTCCTTCGAGATCTACGGAGGGGTGTCCGGACTCTATGACTATGGCCCTCCCGGTTGCGCCGTTCTGAACAACATCGTTGATCTATGGCGCAAGCATTTTGTACTTGAGGAGGATATGCTGGAGGTTGACTGCACCATGCTGACCCCGCACGAGGTCCTGAAAACTAGCGGACACGTTGAGAAATTTGCCGACTGGATGTGCAAAGACCCTAAAACCGGCGAGATCTTCCGCGCAGATCACCTAGTGGAGGAAGTTCTTGAGGCTCGCTTGAGAGGTGATAAGGAAGCGCGTGGCCAGAAAGTCGTTGTGGACGAAGAGAAGGAGGCCAAGAAGAAGAAGAAGTCTAAGGAGACTAAGGCCGTTAAGCTGGACGATGCCGTTGTCAAGGAGTATGAGGACATTTTGGCACAGATTGATAACTATGGTGGCCCAGAGCTGGAACAGATTATCACCAAGTATGATATCAGGAATCCCACGACTGATGGCAATCTTCTCCCTCCTGTTGCGTTCAACCTGATGTTCCAAACCTCAATTGGTCCTAGCAGCAATATGCCTGGCTATCTTCGTCCCGAAACTGCTCAGGGGCAGTTCCTAAATTTCCAGAAGCTGCTGGACTTCAATCAGCAATCAATGCCCTTCGCGTCGGCCTCAATTGGCAAGTCCTTCCGCAACGAGATCTCACCCCGTGCCGGTCTGTTGCGAGTGCGCGAGTTCCTCATGGCTGAAATCGAGCACTATGTTGACCCGGAGGGCGGCAAGAAACATGCTCGCTTTGAAGAGATGAAAGATATCGAACTTTCCTTGCTTAGCCGTGACGTGCAGCTGTCTGGAAGCACCCAAACCACGAAGATGACCATCGGCAAGGCCGTCGAATCCGGCCTGGTTGACAACGAAACGCTCGGATACTTTCTCGCCCGCATTCAGCTCTTCCTTCTTAAATTGGGTGTGGACCCTACTAAACTTCGCTTTCGTCAGCACATGGCTAATGAAATGGCTCACTACGCTGCCGATTGTTGGGATGCTGAACTGCAAACTAGCTATGGCTGGATCGAATGTGTGGGCTGTGCCGACCGTAGTGCTTATGACTTGACTGTGCACAAGAACAAGACCGGAGCGCCTCTTGTTGTCCGTGAACCTCGAGTAGAACCTTTGAAAGTTGAAGAATGGCAGGTCGACTTGGACAAGAAGAAGTTTGGTCCTCGCTTCAAGAAGGACGGTAAGGCTGTTGCGGCCGCTGTTGAGGCGCTGTCCCAGGAATTCCGTGAAAAGTTAGCACTCGACCTGGAGCAGAACGGCAAGATCGAGGTGGATGTTGAGGGCGTTGGCTCGGGCAAAGTCGAGCTGGATAAGGAATTGGTAAAAATTGAAAAACGGACACGAGTAGAGAACGTCCGCGAATACACGCCTAATGTCATTGAACCATCGTTTGGCATTGGCCGCATCCTGTACAGCATGATCGAACATGTGTACTGGTCACGAGAGGGAGATGAAGCGCGTGGTGTATGTATTTGTGCTCCCCCGTATGTTAGAACGGTTCCCACTAATCTTTACGTGACAGGTCCTGTCCTTCCCTCCAGCAATTGCTCCGACCAAGGTTCTCATCGTCCCTCTTTCGACCCACGCATCTTTCCGTCCTCTATCACGCCGTCTGATGATGAAGATGCGTCGCCTGGGTGTTTCAAACCGGGTTGACGATTCCTCGGCTAGCATCGGAAAGCGATACGCACGCAATGACGAGCTTGGCACGCCGTTTGGGATCACAATTGATTTCCAGTCGGTAAAGGACAACACCTTCACTCTTCGTGATCGTGACTCGACTAAGCAGGTTCGTGCCAGCGAGGACGAGATCCTGCAGGCTATCAGGTCTTTAGTGGAAGGCGAGGAGACATGGGAAGACGTTCGCAAGCGACTGCCTGAGTTCACTGGACAAGAAATTGATTAGATTATAAACTACGTTAAGAAACTAGTGCTTCACTCTTCTTTATGATATAGAAAGGGCAGCAAAATTTCATTTGTTTTCGTCGCTTCTTATACATTGTTTGATTGTAAGATCTGAGGTGGAGTTTATTCCTGCCAAGAAATTAAATTAAATCCGGGGCGACACCGCGAACATACGCCAATGTCAGGCTTAGTTGGCCAGTAACTTGGATCCCCTCCCTTGCTATCAAATACATACTCGATCTTACTCTTATTTGGGACGGATATTCCGTTCCCATCATGGCACCTACCGTCCCTTCGGCCAAATTGACCCTCTCCTGCCCTCTCTTCGCCGCTGACTTCGACCCGCGCAACCATGGCTTTCTTCTTGTCGCGGGCGGAGGCGGCGAAGGGCGCAGCGGCGTTGGAAACAAGATCGCAAGTACTTCCCTATCCCTTGCTCTTGCTCTCAAGAATGGTACTGCTCGTTCTGTTACCATTTTCCCTGATCCCAAAGAACTTGGTACTTGTCATTGCGCTAACAGCCGAAGCATAACAACAGGCACTCTTGAACACTTCTAAACGCAATGAAATCTCGGAGGTAGTCGACATCGAATTATCGCGTGACGAAGACTCCGTCACCTCTTTGGCGACTGCGCATGCTGACGATGATTCCATTATCGCCTTGGCCGGCATCAATAGCTCCGTAGCTGAGCAAAAGCGAGGCAATAACCAACATCTAAGATCTTTTAAGATTGATTATCCCCCGCGAAGGCAACCCTTTGCGACTGATTCAATCGAAGAAGCTACAAAGTGGGAAACGTTTACGGAAACAAACGAACGGGTCTCCCGGAAGACCACTGCATTATCTCGTGTATCCCTTTTCCGTATTAAGGGGGCAGATAAGGCCGGTAGTCCAGATACATACCAAAGGATATTGCGACTCTCACCGTGGAAAGACGCCGAGTCCCCGCGTTTGGCGGCGATTGCCACCGGTTTGGCACCATCGGGAGAGATTGTCCTTTTTCATCCTACCTCTACCCCTAGTGTAACGGATGTCGTTGGAAGGATTCGCTTGGGTAGTGATGAGGAGGCCGAGGATGTGGATATTACAAATTTGGATGATGGGGATTTCCAGGTTGCGTATACCAACGGCACCGATGTGTTCATCTGTCAGAGCTCGTTGAAGACGAGGTCCAATGCATCTCCAGATGTACAGTGTGTATACAGCACGCCTTTATCTGAAGCGACACCCAAAACAAGGCCCAAGTTTCGAGCCCTGCGGTTCCTATCCCCGACAATGTTGCTGTTGCTTCGGAATGCACCAGATCGTAACGGCTGCGAGCTCATGCTTCTCGGTATACAGAGAACGTCATCTCCAAAAAAAAGGTCTTCCGCGTCTATCATCCACCGCAAAAAGCTCCGCAAAGCAGTCAAGATTGGGCTCGGCCTAGACTCGTGCAACCTGGGGTCAAACTTCGAGGACCAGGAACAAATCATCATTGCCGTTGCGGGAAGCGATCAATCAATTGAGGTCTTAACGCTCGAGTACAACCCTAGGGGAGGAGGATACGGAAAGCTACGGTCCTACACTACTCTCTACAACGTTCATCCATTCGCCATGACAAAGATATGTTTCTCCCCTTTCAATCCTCCGCAGAACCCAGTCAACCCTGAGACACCACCTCAATATATCAAGCTTGCCTCTGTCAGCATGGGTAACACTGTCGTCGTGCACACATTTCCGCTGTCCCCCTCACCACCATCCAGTCGCTCACCGCGATACGTGCTAGTCATGCCGGGAGAGTCGGGTGCGTGGACCAATTTCACCAGTGGAATCACTGCCATGTTATCCATCTTTATTGTCTGCTTCCTCCTTCAGGCTTTCACGGAGGTCAGAGGTGTCATGCCGCCGTATCTGGGCGCCACCGAATGGCTTCCCCCCGATATCCGTGCCGCCGTCGCCCGCCCATATCAAGATATACCGCCCCATCCTTCGGTGACCACATCAGCCACTATCTCCGTGCACTCAACCTTCCCGTCAACAGTCTCCGCCCTACATCACCGCTCTCTACGTGACATCATTCGTGCCCGGCAAGCAGCAGACACAATTGATTCCATCCTCGATACCGATCTTGGAGCGGACGCCCCATCTCCTTCCGCTCCACCACTCACCGCCATTATCATTCGTCGCAATTGTGATACTGACGAGATTCTCATAGAAACTACAGATATGACATCTCAACACGGATCTCATGGGAGCCTTCGCCGCTGGGAGGACCTTGACGAGCACGACCGGTCAACTTGGAAACAGCGACTAGCAGATACAGGTCATTTGGGCCGAGATGAAAGTGAAGCGCTTTTACAAGGAGTTCTTTTCGGGGAACGTTCAGAATAGTGTGCTCATATGCTCCTGGCTTCTCTATTCCTCAATATATGAAAGGTATTGGTGAGAATAAGGAAGCTTGCTGAACACAAGGAGTTTGAAACCGAGGTAAATCGAGGTAAATAAGGAGAAACAAGCTGCCTAAGCCTAGGAGTAATGAGTTTGACGTGATGTTCTGTCTATGATTGCATGGCTTATCTGCGGCCAACTCGCCTACTTTTATTAACATTTAGTAAAGAAAGAAACAGATGTACACGCTACCACTCCTGCCAGGCGTAACATCTTAGAACCGAGAGAGAGAGAAATGGAGGGCATGTAGAATTGAAGAATACACTGTTATGGACGTCAACGTCAAAAACCCATAACGGGCGTCATTGCATTCAACTTAAAAACTTGTGCTCATTCATCATCACGCCGAAAAATTAGATGCAGTTACACATCCATGTAATCGAACTTCGGCATCTTATGTGTCCTTCGTCAACTGGTAGAAGAAGGCTTCTGTCAGTCACTATTTTAACGTGGGCAGCCATTCGACTGACCATCAGAAACTCCTCCACTTTTGCCCAGAGACCGCTCCGTTGTCTAGTTGTTAGTAGTGGTCAGCTATCGTTGACTATAGTATAGCATTCCAGTCACTCGAGGACAGCAATCAGAACCGCTTTGCCCAGTGACTCTTAATTCGGGCCGAGGACTACATTGATATCGTGTGTTCCAGCGTACGAATATATATGAAGCACAGGTGGTGTGTCCAGCCTCAGTTCCTGCGTGTATGGATCAAGTCGAATGCATTATGGTATGCCCACTCAGGCCAAGCATCATCCATGATGTTGTCCTCAGGTCCAACGAAGCAAGCCGACGTTGTGCTTTTTCATATGTACCTACAGTTCAGGAAACCGTACTGTCAATACTCGTACCTAGAGGTACCTTACTGTACGCTGTACAGAATATGGATACTAATCCAGTGGATCAATCTTTGTAGTGTAATTTTCAGGGACGATCTCCCGCGATCAGTTTCTGCCGACTTTATCAAACTTTTTTCTAAGTACTGTACAAATTAAATTAACATAAAACCCCTCTTCATTTCTTTTACTTATTTTTATGTATTTTTTCTGAAATATATATATATATATATACTCTTCCAAATATTAATCATTTTTCTACCATCAAAATTTCGACAAATCATTTTTAAACCCATCCTCTATGGCAACTCACCTATCCCTACTGAAAACTCCTCGCCGATTTCTCTTCATCGCATCGATTGGAAACCCCCGTCCCTACCGCCAAACCCGTCACAGTGCTGGTCACGTCCTTCTCGATGCTTTAATACCGCTTTTACCGGCCAGATTTCCCCTGGTATCCTCCATACATCAGTCATTTGCCGGTCCCATTTTCTATCGGACGTGGTACAGTTCATCATATATGAACGAGTCGGGGCCGAAGCTCGTCCGACAACTCAAGAACTGGATTTCAACGGCTCAGTCCGAGATATTGGGGAAGGTGGTCAAACAGGGGCACGTGGAGCTCTCGAGGGCAGTCGAGAACGTGGACACAGAGAAGGCCGAATGGCAGCGTCGAGGCACTGACCCCCAGTCGCTGAGATATTTAGATCCCACCCTGGTGATCCTTCACGATGAGCTGGAGGCGCCCCTGGGCAAGGTCAGAGTGAAACGGGGCGGGCCGGAGAAGGCCAGTCTACGTGGGCACCGAGGCTTGATTAGTATCATGGAGAGTCTGCGTGGAAAGGGGTTGCACCCTCCGCGCGCAAGTCCCGGCGAAACCCGTCCGCACGGAGACCTTTCCGTATTGCGGATCGGGGTTGGCATTGGTCGTCCATCCACTCGAAATCGGGGCGATGTTGCGGACTATGTTCTTACAGAAATGAATGTCACTGAATTGGCTGCAGTACATGCGGCCGCTGGGTCTGTGTTAGACATCTTGGCAGATGAGCTCTATCGTGAGGAGAATGAACCCTGATGTGATTCGGGGCAATTATCGTGGTGAGCTGTGCAAGCATCGCTGCAGCTAAAACATTGTACAGGTAAATAGAAGCGTCTAGGCAGATACCCAACGGGAACACGGGAAGACCCATTCATTATTAATGATACCTACGACACTTTGTGCTACCCAGTGTTGCGTTGGTTATGCACTGTAAGGCGTAAGAAGTCGGGGACATTGTCGTCTTCTTCGTGGCTATCATTCTCCCTCCTTCTCTCGCTCTCTTTCTGCTTATCAGATAGTTAAAACAGGCAATTAATAAGCAAAGATAATATCAGCTCCGGGAAACAAGTGCAAATAATAAAAAAGACCAACAATGATACTAAAGAGTCAAAGATCAAACAGTCCCCGCTATACTCAAATCACGAATCTCCTGCAACACTTCCTCTACCCTATTATCCAAGTCACCCCGAGCATACTGGTCTCTGGTTTCCGCATCAAGATATTGTTGCACTTGTGCCATGCGAGAGTATGCCTCTGCACAGAAACGCAATTGGATCTTCACTAAAGCTTCGAAGCTAGGGTCAAGATACGGCACACGCAGGTCGATAAGTTGCGGGAGTTCGGTGAAAAGCTGTTCGTTCAGCTGCTCGTATGCTTGTTTGGCGATTTCAGTCTCGCGCTCTGCTCTCGGAAGTTTGGTGGCGTCCTTGTCCGGCTTCTCGACCAGCTTCTTCACCTTAGCTCGCATCGAATCGTAGTCTAGTAACTTATGATTGCGCTTCTTGATGCACTCGTTGATATCGGGGAAGTAGGCACAGAACCGCGAAATTGGTTCGAGGACGGTGGTTCTAATGGCACAGTTAATGAATACCAGGAACCCCCTATTTCAGAATCCCATATACCTATATGGCCCATCCAGAGCTTTGATCGTCTCGGCGTCAAGATCTTCTACAGCTTGTTTGTAGCTCCTGCTCACACCATCGCGCGTTCCTGCATCACCATAGAAGGCATCGATCGTCTCTGCAATCCTCATCTGGGAAGCGGTCATCGCTATCACAACCGAAGAGTCAACATCCCCCTCTCTTCAGGAATTACCGAACAGGCCGGGAGCCCACCTCGTAACGAATCTAAATAGCCTTTGGCTTCTCTTTGTAAACGGTTGGCAGCAGCCTCCATGGTCCGATATCGCCTATGGGTCCCATCAGCGATTGGCCTAGCTTACGCTAGATCTCTCGAGGTTACCGTTCTTCGATTTCATAGTCACGATCATTTGTCCTCTCCACATGCCCTGTATGTATTGCCCTATGTCAGCAACTAGTAATTGCCCACGGCCAGCGATACACTGTCGTCCAGGGATTGCGAAGCGATGCCGGCAGCAGGGTAAATAAAGTACATACCCGTCTTCATCATCACTTGTGTAGTAGCACGATTGACATTTTTCTTGAATCCTAAAAGCCACAGACTACACATCAGCATTTAGCCTAACCTATGAAGGTTGGAGGACAGATTTGCGCACCTGCCCAGGACATGATGACGGTTGAGCAGGCAGAACTACTATTGTCAGGCAAAGAAGTAGGCAGTCACTGCGGGAATTTGGTAGGGTATGTACAGCCCATGCAAATAAAATGCTTTTGATTGTCTGGTGGGATATCAGTTGGTAACAATAAGAATGCTCGAAAAGATCAAAGTGACCGTCACAGGGCTGAATCAGATCCAAAATGCCCAGTGCGGAACTTCGGGGGAGTGGCTGTGTGCTTGTGTGGCTGTGTATGTAAATTACGAGCACCTATGGAAGTGTAGGTAATGTATGTATGCACCGTACATACGGCACATCCAGTACCGTATCTACTTTTACGTCATATGTGAGAACACCTACAGCGTAAAGAATAGTGATGTCAATGCCATCTTAGAGGATATTACAAATTAAACCTTTTTCTTTTCAAATTTTGTAGCCGCAAACTTCAGACCTTTAAGTTAATAGCCTTGCCGTCATACTTTGTATATATTTTTATCTTCGTCCCTGAATATTTCGGTGTAGATGTAAACCCACAAGGATACTTGGGATAAAAAAGAAAAATAAAGTCTGGCATCGTAGTACAGCATGGAGATGCGTATATGATATATCCTTATAACGTCTGTTCCTAGGAACTTACTGCCCTACAAGATCATGCATGAACTACTAGTATTCTGTATGGAAGATTTACTTGCCTATTAATAAATCAAAAGTTTCTCTCCTCTTTTCCACGAAGAATTATATATATATATTGTATAGTGATGATATATACAAGTCCAGTTGACTTAAAGAAAACTGTAATGACAAGATAATCTCAACCGAAAAAGACACAAAGCCTATATATAGTCTACTGTCAATGTAATACTCAGTGGTAGGAAGAGGAGCAACTACAACAGTGAATATAGGTAAAGAGTGGCTTAAGTCTAGATCAGATGGATCTGCAGGTTGAAATAGTCCTTGGGACCGCCTTGCATAGAACAGTGACTTGAAAGTCATAGGTAGATATGCAGCCATTCCACAACACCCTTGTGTGGATCCTGGGGTTTTTGATAAATATGCTGCCTGTTACCACCATTCTTCTTCTCTATGTTACGTACAATTTCGGGCAAGCCGCCAAGAAACTCCAATACTCCAAATGCAAGGACAAAGCAAAATGGATTAGGTGCCAAGGCTGGGCCGAGTCCCACAATCATTCATTCCCATTGAATAATCCTGTGTGTCTTCAAGTTTGCACAAAGCGCCAAGCAAGCTTGGTCTCGAAACGGGCAGATAGTTCCCAATGGTTGAACGGTGGCAACTAATGCACGAACCAGGCCAGGATACTAGGCAGAAGCTATGACAGGTTGTAAAAGGGAGGTGAGAGGGAGGTGAGAGGGAGGTCTTGGCTGGTGCTCTTGGGAATGTGGCTATCGACAGTCAACAGCTGTGTAGATCATCAAGGATTGATAATAACAACCAACGCAACTGAAGCACCTGCCGATAGTGTCATGAGACCTCGGCACTTCTGACAAATGCTACTGCGCTGCAGCAAGGCATCACATGATGACATATATTCCCTCGAACATACATTGAAACCCACTTGATCCATGCCCGCGCTATCATAGAAGTATATAATAATATACATATACACCTACAGAGGAAGTCGAGCCCCCTTTTGGACACTAGGGAAAACTTCGAGACTGTATGGATTCTGGTAGGGATAACAGTGGAATAAACGGCGTCAATTGTACAATGGGTATCCAAATGATGAATGCATGAACACTGCATACATAATGACTGATACACTTCGCTAAGAATGACAAATATAAAACGCCCTCTGATAATCAATTTGCCCGGTAAGTTTCATAGAGGCTCAGTACAACCACAGCCAAAAACCTATTCATGCTCTTCCGAGATAATAAAGCGAGCTAGTTGGTCAGTAACATCATCAAAAACATGTCAGCCAGCCAAGAATCCAGTATTAGAAAAGATGAAGCGCTGGTGTAGTAATTGTGCATGCTGAATGAGTATAAGAAAAAAGAAATAAAGGACAAGAAATAGAGAAGATAAAGTTAGTAGAAGCAAAGTCTGAAGTAAAAGAGAAAAAAGAGGAGCTCAAGGTCATACTCTTCGTTGCATTAGCGTGAAAACATAAGAAAAAACTAAGGGCATAAGCTAGTAGGCAGGCAAGAAAAAGGCAAGACATGCGCCGATATAAAAAGCAGAGATACCTCCTTCTATGGAACAAGTGAAGAAGGTCTAAATCCCCAAATATACGGGGAAACAAACGAGCCACCCGGTTTTATCACAAAACTAGGCATACAAGAGCAGACTACCATAGGTGGATACATAGTCTGGACTAGTATTAGAAGAACACATCCAGGCCATGCCCCCATAGGATACAGTATCTGCGAAAATAAGAGCCTCGAGGGGCAAGACACACAGACTAGATCAGAATCCCTCCTCGCCAGCCTTGCACAATTTAATCTCGCGAACCCATTCGGATTTGAGGACCTGCGAGGCATTGATGCGACGAGAAGGGTTTGGATCAAGGATGGAGTAGATCACATTCCGACAACGAGCCTGCAAATTATTCGTAAGCCTAGAGGTAGCAACCCTAGGGTAGTTATCAGCTCTTACCCGATGCAAGGTCTCGATAGGAGCGTAGCCATCTTCATGCTTGCGGCCCTCCAAGTATCGTTGGTAGAATTCATCTTCATCCTTGCGAGCTACCCTCCATAGGTGACGACCTGTTCTCATCGCCATGTAGATAACACCTGTAGCCCACAGATCGACTGCCCTTGGATCAAATTCCTTCTCGATATATTCTTCAGGAGCTATGTAAGGGGCAGAGCCGCAGAGTCCTGCTGTCATATGTGCTTCTTTTTCCCAAGCCATGCGGAAACACTCCCCGTTTCCGAAATCAGTTATTTTAAGCGCACCATGAGTAGTTAATAGTAAATTTTCCGGCTTAAGATCACGATGAGCCACACCCATTTCGTGCATGTACTCTACACCACGCATGAGCTGCTTGAAGAAGCAATCGGCTTCGGCAACCTCCAGCTTCCCCGCAGCCAGCACGAGGGTGTAGAGATCGCCACCAGCACAATATTCCATTACTTCGCAGTAGTCTCCCTTAGCATCCTGCAGGAGGTCAAGGGTGTGGATAACATTTGGGTGGCGGAGGGAAGAGGATATACAGAACTCAGAAGTCAAACGTTTCTGGTATTTCTTTGTAGTCTCCTGAGGACGACGACGAAACTCTTTAACAGCATATAGCTGTTCAACCCTGGAATCTTTGGGATCGACTTTGTGAGAGATCCGAACGATACCGAACGCGCCGCGCCCGACAATCTCCTGGCATTTACCATATTTGTCAACCAGGGAAGCTGTGGCGTTAGGGCCACCCTTTTTATCCGCAGCTAGCTTATCTCGCTCATTTTTGAACTGGTCAATCCATGTTGACATAAGTGACAGCTGCTGGTCATCGGCATGGTCGTCTTTCTTCCTGCCACCACCGAGCATGTCTCGGAGGAGGTCTGTTAATTTCTCCTGCCGCCGTGTACTTTTAAGGTGATGACAGTGGGCATGATCCGGCAATACTTCGAACCGCTTGTGTGCTGCAGTGGATGGATCCTTTTGCTCCTTTCCACCGTTGGACTTGGGCTTTCTCTCATTATCTTCTTTAGTAGAGGTCTGTCGGGATGGAGCACGGGAAGAAGGCCTAGAAGTAGGCTTAGACTGCCTTCCGCTGCCATTGCTAGGCGGCTTCACGCTATCGGTGCTGCTGTCTGAAAGCTCACGATGGGTATCCGACTCCTTCGAAGTTGCCTTCCCTGTGTTGGAAAACATACGAGAGATGCGATTTGCCATGGTTGGTCTGGCAGTTTTCGCCGGCGGAGGGGGCGTGGGGAGTACATCCCCGTTCACCGCGGACAGATTCATGCCCGCAAGAGCGCGTGTTACCGAGGGCTCTCCATCTCGAGGATCGTACGAAATCTGTGACGCTGCGGCGGAGGAGACTGCGGAAGGTACTGGTGAAGCAGATTGTGGAGTCATGTGCGGTAGCTAATTGAGAATTGTACACGGAGGACGAGAGTGACAGGATTTGCCCCCGTGACAAGGTAGGAGAATGAACGCCTACAGCACGAAGCTGAAAAGGCCCAGATTAATGCTATTGAAGAGCTTAGAGGTTGAGCGAGAATTGAGAAAGGAAGCAGAGGGGGAGCGAGAGAGGAAAGGGAAAAAAAAGGTTGTGGTGGCCCGGTGACTGGTGGTGGCCTGAGGCGACGGTCTCCCTAACAGGTGACGAAAGTGACTTGGAGGGTGGGAAGGGAGCTGGAAAAAATGAAAAAAAGATTTTTTTTCCTTTTTTTAAAAAAGAAATAAAGAGGGAACAGAAAATGCGGGTATTCAAAGAAAAAAAAAAAGTCGCCCACACAGCAAGGCACGGAATGTCCAGATGAGACGGTACCACGCTGAGAACCACAGAATGAGACTAGTCTATTATGTAGTTTGAAAATGCCATTTAGAGTAGGAGAGACAGCTCCGAGAGAGTAGGAAGATAATGGTAATTAATATCGTAAAAATATATTACCGAGGATCTTTCATATAAAGGGAGAATGCAGTTGCCTGCCGGGGGGAAGGTCTAGGTTGAAATACTAATTTGTAGATAGAAGACAGGACCATGGTAATGTAAAGTATTACTGGGAGAGGTATGGGTGGGTGTCCGTTTAACTTCTAATGGTAAAGAAACATGCCCTTTGGTCGCAGAGACTCTTTTATTTGAAATTATGGTCAGAATCACCGCCTACAGGAACACCCTGTGATGAGGTTACAGACGGAAGAGACTTTCTTGTTGCCGGTTGTGGAAGTAAGAAGAGAGATTGAATAATGGAACCGAAGTCTTCACTTTTTTTTTCTCAGAATTGAGTTAATCAGATGGGCGATTTTTGTTGGAAATTCACATCATGGATCCGTTCTCTGAATACGGAGTAGGAATGGTATGGTATCATACTGTTGCAGCCACAGCCTGGAGTACACTCGGGACTCGGGTGTCGGGAGCCTGTCATGAGGGATGTACTATACGGAGTAGATATGTACATACTATAGGTGTAATACATACTGTACATAGAATACATATTTGATATTATATTGGACAGTACAGTATAGTACATACAAAAGGGATTGGCATCTTCCTTTGTTTTCCTATCTCAGATATAGTGATTCTCTGATACCAATAGATCTAAAATATTCTTGTAACAGTTAAACAATCAGACAACGGAGTAATTGAGGTGAAAAGAAGAGTGGATAAGAAAAATCACTCAGTGCTCCCCAAGTGTGTATATATGTAAGTATGTACCAACGCTAGTATTGCAGATCAAACTACGTACTACTATGGAGTAGTCAGGATAAAAAAAACAAACAAAAAAATTTAAAATTAAAAGAAATTAAAGTGGCGCAAAGGTTTTCTCATTAATTAGTAATTGGTAAAAGTTCCGCAGATTATTGCCTGAGGCGAGAAGTCTCACTCACGCATTATTATTCTAGAGGATTTTTGGATACGTCTTGTCTACTTGCATTCATATCTGCTTAGTTGTAAGTGATTGTTGTTCATGGTGTAGAGATTCGAAGCTTTTTCTTTCTTTCTTTCCCTACTGCCTCCTCTCCTCGTCTTCCTCGATGGAAATCTGCTGGATGACGTCCTTCTGTTGGCCCTTTCTTTGGCTGATAACTTTACGTTCGCTTCCGCTTTGTCGAAGTCATCTTCTGAATAGGGCAAACACTGTTAATTACCAAATAAACGCTACCCGCATAGAGTATTAGTCAACTCGGGATATTAAGGTCAGACTGAGGCTGTGCAGTCTGCATGCAGTTCTATGGATCATATGGGTATGCTGTGAACCAACCTTTTATCCCCGCACATCGCTCACAAGTGGAGCTGATGGCTTGGGTGGCTGGACGAGTTTAGGTAGAAGTACAGAAAGTATTCAGACTATCTATTACTTTATACGACATGGTTTACCTTAGTTAGTTACCCTTTTGTGGCGGTTTGCCTAGGTGGCCTTCCGCTACCCACTGTATTAGCCCCTCCATCCACACAATGAGGGGTAATTAAAGAGAGGATCTGAAGTTGGGCTACCAATAGGATAGTTGGCGGCCAACGTCACTGGAAAATATTTCTTCGTAGGATGTCCTGGGACCGACCAACTAGTAGTTACAATAATACAGTCAGTGCAATTGTGTGTTATGACGCTTCCGCTTCTCTACCTTTACTGCCAAGTCTTTGGAATAGTTTAACACCCTCGATCGTGTATATCCCAGAGATCAAATCGTCGTACACATCGACTTCTACTTCCCTTTTCTAGTTCAACGACGAGGGGCTGTAACATACAGTATCAGGCTTCTTTTGACTAGAAGGGAAGAGATAATACTAGGTTGAATTCGCATTGATTGATCGGGTATTCCAAAGCAATACTCTGTGATAGCCAGGGCCAGTAATTGGTGGGAAGGTGATAGCTACTTACTACTATAAGTAGCGAAGCAAGTCGCCCAGATTGAGGAAGCTTAAAAAGGGTATAGGTATGGAGAGCTGTTGATGGCTACGACTTGATTTCATCCTTTGGTCTCATGGGTTTTCTACCGAATAATCAGCTGAAGGTAATTCTAGATTATGCACATGGCTCTTTTTGGTTTCTGCTTAAAGGATCCGCGTGAGGTCAGCAGATGTCAAGCTGAATTGAAGGCCTAAGGTTATCACCGTGTCTGTCTCTGTCTGTCTCTTTTATTTCCCTTTTCGATCAAAGAGACACCAACCTTAGTATACATGTCTATATCGGACTACCTTATGACTATTACTATTCTCTTGTGTATACCGACGTGGAAAGTGTGTGTAACGGTTCACAACCACATCCCCTTCTGGTATATGTAAGTACATATCGATAAGGTAACTATCTATTCCTCTTAATAGCATACCCACAGAACCCCTTTTTCACTAGACGACGTGGGCTTATAGATCTAGTACTCCGGACCTCGGCCCCGGCCGCCGTCTCGAAGTATCTTGCATGATCCTAACGCAACAGCTTCTCCGCAGAGATGGAACCGCTCTGTACTTAATGTCTAATTTTTTCACAGTAAAAGTCCTGGTGCTATACTCGGATTGCGATAGAAAAGAAGGGCACCGACATCTTATTCTCCCACATGATGTTGCTGATGTGACAAATGATTTGCAGGTGTTGAGGTGTCCGCAAAAGTAAATTGACCAAGAGTATCAAAAATTGCACGAGGGATTTTTAAGGCCAATCATAAGCATGGAAAGAGCGGAAGTAAGAAAACGGTCCCGTCTAAAATTACTTACCACGCTGCAACATGGATTGAAGGAGTGGGTCATTCCCGATGTATTGTACCACGCTATTCCCTAGCACTGCAGCCGGCCACGAAATAGTAGTAGTAGTCGGACTGTACCCCTCTCACATTCAAAGTTAATCGTGATTCTGACTGCAGGAGGGTCTTTTCTTTTTCTCAGCTCCCCGATATACCAGATTACCTATGAGTTGGTCTGATCCCTGATATCTTCCCTAGGTACGAAGTAAGTTCAGCCAATCTAAGTCCATCTTACCGCATATGCACACCGTATTAGATCGAAACTGACTGGATCGCTTAGACTGGTTATGGGTCATAAAGAAAAGAAGGTGGAAAGTAAAACCGCGTTAATCTCGGAAAACGAACCACCCGTTTCCGATGGGTGCGGGTACCCGTTATTATTGTTTTTTTAATGTCTCTTGCTAAGACTATTACTCGATATAGCCCCTACTCCTTGGGGTATTTCACCCAATGGTTCAAGTATAGGTCAGTCGACCAAACCCCAGCTCTTCGGAGTACCTAGGGTCTGGAGTATACTGGTCTGTAACAGGGTCAGATTAAAGGTCAGAAGGAGACTGGCCCAATTCAAAGTGGGCAGGCTTTCATAGGTCACTGCTACTATTCATATTTCACATAAACTTCCATAACCAGTATGTACTATATGCTTGAGTACAGCGTGCTACATATGACTCTGTATGTTCCAAATACATTATTAGTACATACCTGGGTAAAAGGCAGAGCCCGACTATGCTACAGTAGTTACTCCATACTTACTAATGATTAGTATGGATCTAAATTTACGGTACCAAACCTCCAATGTGGAAACAACAACTTTTAGGGTGGTGATAATCTACTCACAACAGGCGATTGGCTCGGGTGAGAGAGTAAGAACAACAAGAAACTTTCCGTGGTACGAAAGCCATTTACTCTCTACATTTTCCCCCCTATCCTCTCCAAGTGGCACTCTTACTACGGTGAACAAAGTGGAGCCTAAGGGCTTGTAGTCTACTCCACGTAGTTTATGGGGGCCGTTAAGCGAATGAACTGCCGCGAGTCAAGGTTCAAGCTTTGTGCATCCATTTGGCCTTCCGGAACAAGATTAAACTGTTTCTGAAACCTAACCCTTTGTGTGTGAGATTGCACGAGCTATTTCTTTTACTAGTTCCAATACATGGGATTCATCAGGTGATGTCCTATATGGTCATATGAATTGATTTGTATACACGCAGTCACTGCTGTGTCCGTTCGCTAGTAATCTTCATATGCGTCTGAAATATATTCTCATATCAAGATAGACATAATCATTGCTTCTGTACCCCGATAGGGACCAACCCACCCCCGCGCTACTGAGTAGTGTAACCTTGGTATGTATCTGGTTGAATTATTTCCCTTATATATATAATTTGTGACTTCCGCCCTACCTATAGTAAGTAGTATAATCAAACTAATCAATATGGCCTCTCTGAGTGTAAGAATGTGTGTGCACTAGGCTACTCACGGGTGGATACATAATCCGCCGTGACCTACCCGTAATTTGCCCTATTCCTAAGGTTTCGACATCTCGATTTGAACCGAAAGGTCCTTGAGTAATTGCTGTCTATTCTTGCGCAAGAATTGATTTGTTTGGGACATACCTTTGAAGGGTTTTCTTGGTACGGGTGAGCTCAGTTCGAACCATTCCTATGTCATGCCTCTGGCTACAAGGTCATGTATTCTTGAAAGGAAGAAATGTGTTTGTAGTAGCCGGTAGGAAGCTCCAAATATTTCCATTGGAATGAAGGGTGTTTTTACCTCGCGAATAAACTATAAACTTGAAGCATCCTTATGACCCGAACGCACAGCTAAGAAACGTCAAGACACACATGGGATTGCATCATTGATCCCTAAAAGCTTATCGAGAACACAATTCGCCCCTTACAAGGGAATGACGGTTGTCTGATGTCAAAAGGTGCGCTTGAAGTGATACTGGGGTACTTAATACGTTCTGATCCCGAGTGATCAAAGTAGCTTTACCCTTGCTCACATTATTTGCTCCTCCATTTTGAAACAATACTGCAATTATGTCGTACCACTACGAAAGAAAAGCCCAAGATCGCTACGAGGCTCAGAACGATCCTTCTCCGGTCTCTAGAACTGTCAAGATAACTCATGCTCTTGAGATACGTCCAGAGCTAAGAAATGCTATCCCTGTTGGTAAGGACGACGAAGATATTGAGGATCCTACAGCCTCCATATTTAAACAGTGATCAGTAGCTTGGTGAGGCCAGAGCTCTCGTTTCAGGATGTCCCATAGGTGGTCTGACACCTCTGCAGCTCAGGATGAACATAAGGCCATCGATATGTCGAACATTCTACGTGGTGATCGCTGCATCATGCAAAGCCTCAGAACATTAACAAGTATAATGAAGGAGCTGATGAGGACAACCTCTCCGATGATGTTCGTTATGGACAGTCGGGAAGATCTGCCACTAGTGGGTTTTTTAAGGTCCCAGATGTAGCTCTAGTAGAGAAAAGAAAAGGGGTTCGGTGAGCCCAGTCGAAATCATGATGAAAGTATCATATTGTACCCTTTTAAGTCGATAAATTATTTTGGGCAGACATTGGCCCATTGAATAATATGTATGTTTTATCAAGTTCCACATGGCTTATTGTTGATCATCACGCTTGACATGTGGCTTGAATCAACAAGTCGGTTTTACCACAGGTGGGATCGATAACACTGTTGCTCCTATTTCGTAGAACATGTTCTCTCCTTTGGGCTCCTAAGATAGTCTGGCCCAAGGGCGACCCTTCCAGGTTGACTGTAGTTCCCGGGTTATGCTACGGCTGTCTATTGCGTCCGCAATGGCAGCGTCTCGGGGCGAAACGAGGCATGTTGGAGAAACTTTGAGTTGGTTGACTCCCGGCAAGTTAAACTCCCACGTCTCTCTGCACCATTGACCTCTTCAAGACCACCTCGGAGTCAGGTGGAGATCCTCATATCAAGAGTGATCAAGACAGGACGCGCGTCTGCTACTACGTCAGTCAATGGTTTTGAGCCGAGCAAGGACGAAAACCATACCACAAATTGTTCCAAAGACTCCTCAAAAAGTTCGTTATTCACACCCACACCGCCTGGGTGCTCAACGGGAGACAGCGGATTTTTGACCACTAAGATATTTTTCAAATTAGTGTCCTCAAGAACAATATCAGTTCGTAAGAATGCGCACCGTATTCAACGTAAAGATTGATGTAGATCTGCTGCAATGCAACTCGCATACTGGGACTCTTGACATCGGTAAGCATTACGAACTTGATGTTGGTAGGGGTCTCGTAATAGTGGAGCTTGTATTGGCTGGTGCGATAGGTAACGAAGCTGGAAAGTGAGATTCGATCGTCAGTATCGGCCCCTTGTGTTCTGAGTTGGCAGTAGCGCAGATGATTGCTCTCACCTATCATCTTCGCCTCCCAATTTGCGGACCATATTTCGTAAGGAGAAGACGGTACCGAAGATCAGCTTAGCATCATCGTCAGTGGTCCGCGCAGATTGGCCCAGCACAGGGGGCAGCGCATTGGCTGTGGTGGACGTCTCCGAAGTCGGACGCGAGGACTTCCCAACAATTGACGGTGGACGGGGGACCCATCGCCGTTTGTATATACATTCCGCTAGGCAAAGGAAATTGGCCGGTCAGTAAGCCCCCTTTTGCTGATGGAGAGGGAGGTTCATACCATGGCGGTCAAAAATGTAGAAGGAGTAGACAACCATGGTGGTGGAGAAGTAGCAAAAGTTTCACTTCTAGAAGTGTTCACAAGATCTGACTTGACAACCTAGGAGGGTCAAAGAACGGAGACTTCGGGAGTAAGAGGGTTGTTATTCGAAGGAATATCTCCAGACACAGTTGAATTAGGCTCGTTTAAGTGGACGGATCGGTATGCTCGTGGCGGTGAGCGATCCTAAATAAGATCCGACGGTTATCGATAAGCAAGATTTACATCCTATTTTGTGCCTGAGGATCCCAACCGGAAATTGTTTTCGTTCCTTTTCTTTTTATAACACTCGATGACTATTAAAGATACCTTCCTCCTTCTGTTCATTTTCCCTCGTCGGTTTTAATTTGTTTGTTTGTTTGTTTGCTCTTTCTTTCTTTTCTTTTCTTTTCTTTTTTTTTTCTTTTTTAAAAAAAAACCGCCCTAGATTTATCTGTGTATATCCCAACTCCATTCTCGAATCGTCTTGCCATCAACGCACTTAGAGCCTGAATTATGGTACCTGTGTTATAGGACCATTACTAACCTCTTTTGACTTCCACCGTTGTTGTGGCTTATCTTTTCCCGTCTCCCTCTCTCCTCCCCCTCCTCTCTCGTGCAGCCCACCTTCTTCCCCACATCTGCGTAGGCACCCGGGTTTCGCATCATTGCTATCTCAAACTTGAGAAATAGAAAGCCCCTCCCCAACTTTAGACTTTTTTTGCCCTCCTGGTATTTTGGGGATATTCCTTGTTGCCATTCCGTTGATCCTCGTATTCAATGGCCAACGAAAATGTCGGCCCCTCCCAGGATGCTGATCAATTTTCTGGTGGTCGCCCGGGGCTTCATCATCCGCGACCAATTCGTTATGCGTAAGCTCCACAGCACTTTGGTCTCCCCTCCCCGTCTTTCTCATGATGAGTTCCTTCTTGATCACCCTTATCATTTGGGTAAATGACTGGGTTGCTAAAAAACACGGCTTCAGTTCTACACCTTCATATGAGAGTCCACGGAGGCATCATCGCCGGAACCCGATAGCTAGACGTCCAGTCAAGGTGGTTCTTCAGAAACTGCACATTTATCGGGTCTAGGAAGCTGACTGGGCTAGCGATAGGAAACGCTGAATGCTCGATCTGAATATACTACTAGCCAGGATGATGGGACCGCTGAGCATAGAATCAACCAATATGTGATCAAACAAGAGATTGGTAGAGGTTCTTTTGGAGCCGTGCATCTTGCTATTGATCAGTTTGGAAACGAATACGTAAGGGCTCCCCTCGATCTTTGAACCCTACTTGAAGAATTATTTTATCTTGGCACAAGAAGGACAAGCAAACGCCTAGCTAACAACTCGTTTACTGGATCAGGCTGTCAAGGAATTCTCCAAGGCACGGCTAAGGAAGCGCGCCCAGTCTCACTTGTTACGCAGGCCTCGGGGTCCTAAACGCCCGTCAGATGGCTTCAATTCTCCACTTCACCGTCGTTCACTGGAAGATGCAGATCAGAAAGGCAACGCTCTTTACCTTATCAAAGAAGAAATAGCTATCATGAAGAAACTACATCATCACAATTTGGTGTCTTTGACTGAGGTCTTGGATGATCCGACGGAGGATTCTCTATACATGGTCATGGAGATGTGTAAGAAAGGGGTAGTTATGAAAGTTGGACTTGAAGAAAGAGCCGACCCCTACGATGACGAACTCTGCCGCTGTTGGTTTCGCGATCTTATCTTGGGAATAGAATATCTGCACGCCCAGGGCATTGTACATCGTGATATCAAACCGGATAACTGCCTCATAACGAGCGACGACGTTCTCAAGGTAGTGGACTTTGGAGTGTCGGAGATGTTTGAGAAAGACTCAGACATGTTCACGGCAAAATCAGCTGGTTCACCTGCTTTCCTTCCGCCAGAGCTGTGCGTTGTCAAACACGGAGATGTCTCGGGAAAAGCAGCCGACATATGGTCTATGGGAGTTACATTGTACTGTCTGCGGTACGGCAGATTGCCCTTCGAGAAGCAGAGCATTTTTGAGCTCTACGAGGCCATCAAGACTGACCCAGTGGTATGCGAGGGAGAAAACGACGAAAACTTCAAGGACTTGATGTCGCGAATTCTAGAGAAAGATCCGACTAAAAGGATACAAATGAGTGAATTGCGAGTAAGTGAGATAGATGGAACATCACCATCATGATAGAATATCGCTTATAGAAAAAAATTTCAGGAGCACCCCTGGGTGACAAGGAGCGGTCTGGACCCTCTATTGCCAGAGAGCGAGAATACAGCGGAAATCATTGGGCTTCCGACCGAAGAGGAAATGAATTCAGCTATCACAAAGACTATCGGTCATGTCCTAGCTGTAGTAAGCATTGTACCAATTCTATCCGTGGTGAGGCAAGCTAACGGAAAGTTTCAGATGAAAGCTGTGAAGAATTTTAAGAGATTGATTGACCCTTCTAAGGTAGATCAGCCTATGCAGAGTATTCTTGGGCAGGAGTATGAGACGCACTTTGTTCAACCTCCCCTTGAGATGGACCCAGAAGAAAGTTTCGCAGCTGAGAATGTTCCACATCCCAACAAAAGCCAGAGCTTGAACACATACAATAGAAGTGCCCGGCAACGCGATGATGTTCTCAAAGGGTATCATTTGCATCACGAAGAACCACTTTCGCAGCCATTAGACAACACTGGCTCCAATATCTCTGGGAAGCAAGATCTTGTGACACACAGCAGCAGTAAGCATACTGCAAGCATTAGACCCGAGAGAAGAGACTCGGGATTCATACGTAGCGGCAAACTACTCAGAGAATCTGTCGATGACCCACAAACGATAAACACGCCCGGGTCTTCATCACCTCAAGTGCCACTGTCGCGGACTAGTTCTGTTCTTACCAAACGCAGCATTGAGGGAACGCGAGGACATGCACGGGATCCATTGGAAGAAGAGTTCCCGTTCTTATGTATTGGACCTTCTACTTATACCGGCTCACCTCCCACGGATACTGGTGACTCCAGCATGGATTACATCTTTGATGAACCGGATACCTTGTTATCTGCCGAGCCTTCTGAAATTGACCGGTACCCTATTGTGAGCGAATCACCAGGTGCAGCTGAATTTGATATCTACGAGACCGCCTATCGGCAGGAAATTGAGCGTATCCGAGCCCGCAGTCTCCCTCGTCAGGGTACTACGCCAAAGGTGTATTTAACTCGTCGCGTGGATGGAAAAGATGATGTGATGAAACTAGTAGAAGAAAAAATCCCCGGAACTGTTCCAGATATTGGCAGAAGACTTGCAAAACCATCGAGTCCGAGTCTAACTTCCGCCGTGAGCGCTATACGAGCTCAATTGGAGCTTAAGAGGCAGCAACAGAGGCATGACATAGCGGCTATAACCCCCGAGAATCAAGAATAGCCCCTGGTCATTTGGCTGCCCGCTTCATTAACAACGCCCATAAAACATTATCGCATACTTAGATACTTTCAACTGGCCCCGAGGCTCCCTTATTAGAGCACCCCTATACAAGTTAGTCTTTATCTAATAGTTACGAAAACAGGTCCTTGAAGCACAGTGAACCTCCGTTGTAAGAATTGAACGGTTCACGGGGCCCTTTTCAGACGGAAGGGGAAATCTCAATGCGGCTGTTTCCCCACCCTAAACCCCATTCCCCTCTGATATTTGCATATTGGTGAATATGTATTGCTACATATTTTCTAGTGATAACAGATGTACGTCTGTGCCATACGCACTTGTTACATTGAAGGGTGGTCTTAAGACGCAAAGTTTCGGTCGGTGCCTTTGGAGTCACTCAACTATGACTGTGGTTGTGCAGCCCACAATGCCATGCAATGTGTATACAATATGTATGGTCATGCACTATTTACCTGTAGATATGGAATGAGTATCTTCTCAACCTATAAGACGCCAAATCTGTACGTATATAGGCCTATATCATCGTAGATAGTAACTGTACATAACAGGACATTAATATTCGAAATCTGCCAGCCATTTCCAGGAAGTGAGAGAAAAAGATTCCATAAAAACAAAGAGACCTATAGTGCCCCTTTCAAGATGTTCGGTTGAACTAAAAGCCTTCCATGTGTCGCAAAACGGGGCGGAGAGATATAATTTACTGTACTAGAAAGCGAAAACACAAAGAACGATAAATAGGGAAGCAAAAGAGCAAACATCGCTATGCGGTATGGCATTATATTCATGTCAACTCAGTTCGTCATGGAGCATCAGCATACAGATCGAACGTAACAGGAGAAAAAGGAAGGATTCAGCTCTGACTTCATCTGTGACGGCTGTATATTTGCCCTGTACTTTTAGTAGTCCACTGAACCAGAACTTGCATACAGGACATGTCAGGGTTTGTCAAGATCATTGGATAGACCCAAATCGTTGGGCTTACCAACTTAAATATAACGATAAAGAGATGGGGCTGTCCAAAGAAGGAGCGAGAGTGTTCTTTAATTTGCCCACATTATTTGTAGCAGAAAGTAGAAAGATATGCGAGAAAGAAAGAAAGCATGTGTTGAGGTGCGTGTCGCTCGTAGCTTTCGATTTGTACCTATCCAAATCAATGCTATCTATATCATGATCGACAGTATAGATCGTACGTCGTGTTTTAATGGCATTTCGAATTAGCAAACTTATACGGTGGGGACACCGAATTATTCGAGGTCATTCGACTCGTTTCTCGACCGAGTGCAGAGGTAGTTCCGGGTTTTGGATGGATGGTTCATCTGGACGAGGATGGAGGAGAGGTCTTCGGCTACTATCACCGAAGGATATCCGATCTGGTGGGGGTGCCTCAAATGACCGCTCCCCAGATCCCATGCGCGTGATTGTCTCCCTGTGGCCTAAATGAAGTGTATGTGGGGAGGGTAACGCCTGTCTCAGTTCCGATGGTCGCGGAAGGTCCCTCATAGTCGGCCTTATGTCACGGTGGGGGGCATCCCTTATCCTCTCATCTTCACGAGGCCCGGAAGGCAGTGGGGGCCTTCCGGGAGGGGGTGCGTATTGCAGTTCAGATTGTGGTATATTCGACTGCATGCTACCACTAGTTTGAGGGATAAAAGAGGGTGCCAGGGGTTCAACGCTCGAAGGACTGGTTGGTGTCGAAGGGGCTTTCATTTTGTTGGAGCTGGCTCGTCTAGGAGGTGGGTATGTTTCTCCGCGAGCCTCAGCGGCCGCTTTTCGCCTCTCTGATTCGGCTTTGCTTGGTCGACCACGTTTTCGTGGTGGTTCACCGCGGGTGGGAATGCTCTCCGAACCCGGGGACAACAAGGCTGATGCGCCACTCTCGCTGCTGAACGAGGCTGTACTGGCCGTTGGGCGGGGCTGAATCGCACGCGGGGCCAACATTGGCTTGTCAGAGGGGAAAAGGAGCCGCTTTCGGGTTTGACTGTTGTCAAGCGCAATAGCCGTGGGGGCTGATGATTCATGGCGCGGAGGATGGAAGGATGTAAAGCCTGGGTTGACAGGCATTGGAACATGTTGTGGACACATACTGTAAAATGCCAGCTGACAAGAGTTTAGGGAACGGCCTGGGAGGACAGATTAGCAATCTGGGTTAGAAATGATCCCTCTTTGCGGGATGGTCCGTTTTCTATATCGGTAAGGCGTGAGTCTCCTAAACCCAAGTTGCAGAAAAGCGGAGGACAAGTGAAAGGTGCCGGCAGTCTGTACCTGGAGGAAGCGGGATATCCGCCCAGCTTGGGGTAATATTGAAATCCCGGATCATCTTGACCAGATGACTGGAAGGGACTCCGGCCTTCTTCAGTATTTCGGTAAGCAGAGTGTACTACATCCCGGGATATTCTCCGTCAGCCAACGATCTGTACATTTAACAACCCATGGGGCATTCTGATGTCCATCGGTTTGAAACGAAACCAATGGAAATTGGAGGGAACCCCCCCCTCCCCCGTAAGATCAAGATAAAGACGGCAAGTAAAGATGAAAAACACATATTCTTACCTTCTCCTCCTCGGTCCATGGTCTTTCTGGTAAATTCGACATATCCAGCGGACCATGGAAGCAAATACAGCTGGCTTCCGTCACAGCAGAGATCCTCGGACAAGCAAACCAGAAGGAGAAGAGGAGGAACAACAACAACAACAAGGAAAGTTGTAACGAATGTATACAGAGTAAGACGCGTCACGCGACTACGCTGCAGGGCATAGAAAGCAAAACAAACGCCAACTAAGGTAAATGACCACAGTGCCTCCCAAGCGGATTGATGCGTCTACTCAATGTATAAACACGTGGTAGCCCAGAGAGCAATCAGAAAGAAATTAGTGATGCAACGAGTGACAGAAAGGAAATAAATACAAGTCACAGCTGTATAATGAACAGTGAATGAGAGGAAGGATTGATGATAACGCACAATAATCGGACAGCAGGCATTGAATGATGGGCTAACATTCACAAGGAATTAAATTCATCAGAGGTCTTCACCTAAGGCACTGGATAGTAGTGTAAATAAAGGGAAGAGGCTCTAGAGCAAACCTCCAAGAAAGTAGAAGCAGGAGGATCATCGATATGTTACTTTTATGCCGCAGTCACGTCGTTGCAGGGAAAGTTTAGGAAAGCCAAACGCAAAGAGAGAAAAAAACATGGAAACAAAGTGGATAAAGGCTCTGATTGAGCGGAGACGAGGGAACGTTGTCCGTGACAAGAGATACTAGAGAGGATTCTCTCCTAAGGGTAAAAAATAGAAGGAAAAGAAAAAAGAAAAAGAAAAAAAAGCCCGTTTCAACAATGCATACTGCCACCAAGCTCGGAGAGAATTGACAAGTCTGTGGTCTAGGAGGGAAGAAAGGGATACCAGAGGGAGTCAATGCAGTAGCCAAGTAACACTCTATCTCTCCTCAGGAACGTTTCTGAGCCAAACGGACTTTTAATTCGGGATTGCACAGGACAGAGTTGATGCCGCAAGTATGCGTCCGTTTAGTCTGAGGGAAACTGCAGGGACGTTCCTCCTTAGTGTCCCTACTAGAAGAAGAAAAGAGAGAAAGGATGGAGCCACAGAGCAAAAGAACTAGTGGCAGCAAAATCAACCAAGCCCAAGGTGGGATAGGCTGAAATCTACCAAGATGAAAAGTGTGTTTCAAAAATGACGGTTTCAGATGGTTCCAAACGTTGGTATCTTTCGCCACGGGGAGGGAAGGATCCGAAAGAAAGAGATCAACCTACCTCCTGTGGAGGGGCACATTAGTCCTGGATTATCCGAGAGAGGATCAGACTGGAGGGCTGCGAAAACGGAGAGAGACTAACTATGCATAAAGCTGCGAGGCGATGGACGGAGAGGGAATAAACCAATGCAGCAGCAGTAGTGTTGAAGCTACTGTTGTGCTCCCTAATTACGGAGTCCATAAGAGAAAAGTATTTTTTCTTTTCTTGTTTTAGGTTCTATCTAGAAAACAAGATAAAAAAAATTGGTTGGGTGTGAGGGAACAGAAGTAAAAAAAGGAACAACGGCCTAGCCATACCATGAGGATTGACTCTTCTTTGCGGTCCAACATGAGAAAAAATAAATAAATAAAGGACCCTTCCGCGCGGGAAGTAAGTAATATACTAAACTATCTCGAGCGCTAGCCGACTAGGAATGATAGGTCGATAATGGCGCCCCAAGATGTTGGGTCAACAGACTAAAGCCGACAGGTTGCTCAAAAGTCAGAGCTGAAGCTTGAGGGGAGGGCAGTTTCGGGGGTATACAGAGTAGGTCCCGGTGCAAGTAGTGCGGTCGATCCCATCTTCGTGTACTTACGGTAGACATAGAATTAAAGAAAATTTTTTCTCTTCTTTGTATTTATTCGTTACAGAGTACTTATTGTTATTGTTATCGTAATTATCATTATTATTAGTATTATTATTATTTAGCAAAGACATGCATTGGCCCTATCGAAGATAGCGGGAATGCACCTCGCAATGACTGGCAGACAGTTGATAGCAACGAAGATGGTTAGTTGATAACCGCAGAGTGGGGTGGAAGGCTCCGCAATTAGACGCAACTGCAAAATTCCTGGAGGCTGGATCAATAGATGCTTCCCATTACTAAAGAAGGCGATGGAACGATGACTGCAAGGACAACCCCAGCATGAATCTGAACGCTCTGGTCACAGGTAGCTTGTTGTTTGTCTTTTTCTTTTCTTTTGTTGGGGAGTGAGATGTGAGGCATGAGCTATCTATGATGTGTTGAAGTAAAAATACAAGCCTTATAAGATCGTGATATCAAAGTAAGCAACTTGAAACCGAAATGGCGAATGTAGTAGAAAGACCAAGATTTTGGGAATTGTTCTTCAGAGTGACAGGCGGAGGAGCCGCCAGCAACCATGACCCCACCAGCAGGAGAAAATGCGTGTAGATGAAACAACCGGATTCTTCATCCACAGGACAGGAAACCTAATGCTACCAGCGCGCTTGTGAACCTCCACTAGTACGACGTTGTCGTTTTAGTGGTAGTGAACCTCCCCGTATTGCCGCCGATTTTCATTTGACTGATCGTTGCGTTATTAGCAGCCGATTGTATATTGGGTCAATCCTGTACATACCTACTGTACCTAGTTGATCGATACAGTACATACATGAGAACCATCGGCATGCAGGGAGAAGCAGCGCCCCGCCGGCTTGAATCAACTGTCAGATAGTCGTATTATAGTCTTACATTCGACAGCCTGTTTCTCACGTCCAATCCGTCTAACAACTTTTCTTCGTCTCCAGAGCACATATGAAGTGAGTATGCAAGCGCAGACACACAAGCAGAACATTGAAGTCAAATCAATTAACAGGTTTGTTTAAGATGACATTTCCTTTTTCTTCTTCTTTCTCTTCTCTTCCGCTGGTAACGTGGTATCCAATAATGAACTTCTGCAACAAAGATGGTGTATTTGAGTTCCAGAACAAGTTCGCCTGTCATAGATATTAAAAAGTATTCCATAGATAAGTCTCGGTGACTTTCTGGCAAAGCGGAATGGTCTCTAGGCCCCACCTCTCAGGTACCCGGCGCGCTTGTACCGAAGTCTGGTACGGTACGGTCCACCATACTCGGGGATTAGGGTACCAGTAAGTAGTTACCTGGTTCTCGGTACCACTCTACTTGAATGATTGATTGGCATTAATTAGGATGAAAATTGCGCGATACCTCAGAAGAGACACAATAGGATCCCGATCAAGAAATAACCATTTCAACGTACATATATCATCCTCGGTCAAACACTGATTAATACCCGTAATTGTATGTATGTATGTATATACTGTACACAATAGTACATACGTACCTACGGAGAAAAGTTCTGCTTAGCCTTCCCCCCATTCTCCACTGTCATTGGGGCGAAATGAAAGTATTTTATCATCCGTACCATTCAGGCTATGATTGCCGTATTATCTCCCAGGTTCTCACCTTTTTCTTGTTCCTTTCTTTTTAGGGGGATTTTAGTACCTACGGTGTATCTCTTTCAGCTTTGCTGCCGCGCTTACCCGTTCTCTAGTTCCTTTCTCCCCCCTCCGATGTTTTGTGTGTCTTCAAATACATGAAAATCCACGGAGTAGTGAAGAAAGGAAGGGGGCAACAACACCTGTTCATGCACGGGATCTCACCCGGTCTCCATTATGCACGAATCAATCCTCATGACAAATGATCATAAATACCATCCACAATACTCCGTACGCATGTACCAATAATTTTCTGTCGTGGAATTGTTCGCTTAATTACTGTACATGCCGGCCAACAATGCACCTCCGACTCCCATTTTGCGATAGCCTCACCCAATCGCTACGCGCCCCGAAATCACCCCCATTGGGAAGAATAGGAAAATACCAAGGTTTCAACCCCGCCCCTCTTCATGGCGTGTCATACTAAACACAATTATGTTTTATCCAAAAGTTTGTCCTTGCAGATCCCTCCGGTCTCCGATATCGTGCGCTCCCCTCCCGAGCTAGATCATATATCTACATGGGCAAGGGACTAGACCGGTTTATATTGGAGCTTCCAAAGCCCGCGGATTTGTATTGGATTTTTGACGGCACCAAATCTCGCTCGAGGACAAGTACGAGTAGTGGAAGCAACCCTCGGAAAGTACTTGTCCTCCCCTTTCCTATCCCATAATTAACTGCAGTATCCAGGGACTGGTAGAATTTTAACATAACACACAAACATGGCTTATATTCATCGCATATTGCTGCTTGATCAGCTTAGTGAGATGAATATTAGCCCCTTCTCTCTCTCTCTCTCTCTCCCTCTCTCCCTTTTATCTTTTTCTTGGGGGGGCTCCTAGAGTCCGTGGAGTAGTTACCCTGTCTTTATCTCCCTACGAGGAAATGGCTGTCACTACGCTTCCACTTACCCTATAGTATTAATCTTTTCCTAGCCGTCCCACAGAAGCTTACAGGGTAAATAATCATCTGGCCGCTTAAGGGTGGATACTCGTCAATGCTACTTCACACAAAAGCCTATGCCTTGCAGATGATAGATCGAGATTCCAAGTTCGTGACCAAGCCAAAACAACACGAAGAGCGGATAGGTATAGAATAGGCGAAGGAGGAAGAGGAAGAAGGGAGGTTCTCCAAGTACAGGGGCAGGATCGTGAAAGAGCCACAAGGTTATTGGTGGTATCACTCTTCTGCATCACCATCATTGCGAAGCGCGTCGACGGGTCGGGAGTGTTTTGGCAGATCAACAAAGTTTCTCGCAAGGCACCCTACTCGATCGCTGTTACTTTAGAAGCTGTTTCGCTCTATTCAATTCTTCAACTAGGTTCCTCGTCGGCTTGAGGCTCAATCCGAGAGTTGGTGGATGAGAAATGTGAAATTCAAACAGCAGGCATAAAATTAGCTAGGAAGAGGTTAAGAGTGAATGGATCAATGAAAAGAATTTAGGAAAGAATATTCGCTATCTTTCTTCCCCTCGTTCTGAGATTAGAAGTGTAATAATCCGTTGATTTAATCTTTTCCTTTCTTTTATTATATATATTTTTCTGAATGTTTCTTGGCACCCGCGGGAGAAGGGAAAAAAAAAGGTGACTTCGACTTGACTTCTGGTTCACTCGAGTATTCCATTTTCTCTCCCCTCATCGCTTCGCTTTCCCTCGTCTTCTTTTCTCTTTCCTCCCTTCCCATCGCGACACTGCATCCTATCTTCCACCCATTTGCCATTACGACACAGACGCTATCCTTACCTTCCCCAGCGCATTTCTCTTGCTAGCTCCGGTAGCTGGCGCGCGTCGTCCGTGTCGTCATGTCCCCTCATGACTATGCGGACCGTCAGTCAGAATCCGTAGCAGATGCGGTTACCGCGATGAAGCTGGAGCCCGACAGAGCCACTGATGCCCCCTTTTCAAACGACGGAAGTGCCTTACTTAAGGATGAGCCCAACGGGGGGTCCCGTTCGCCTTCTACAATTGCTCAGAATAATGATGCTACGGTCAAGTCACGGTCATCATCCCGGACCCCTATCAAAAAGGAAGAGGAGACAGATCATGCCGCAAATGTGGAGGGGAAAGTTGGAGGTGGCATCACTGTCAAACAGGAGCCTGGGCAGCCTCCTAAATTGACTCGTAGCTCCTCCCAGAAGGTTGTCGCGCGGCCGCCGCAGCTTTTCTCGCATCTCCCAGATAGCACGGCCGAGGCCCAGGCGTCTTTTGAGCTGATGGACACTTGCACCTACGCTAACAAATACATGGGATATACTGAACATGCGATGGAGTGTGATTGTGCTGAAGAATGGGGTGAGCTACAGTTTTGCTTTCTTCATTCCATTTTCCTTCTCCCCCTTTTTTTCCCGGACTTTCTTTGTATGCATGTCACCTCATCCCGGAAATCTCAACAGCACGTTGTTAAGAATGCCAGTCGTCTATTGCGCTTTTGATTCCCCATTCCAAGTTGTATCACACTGTGCCTTGAATTTGAATTACATAAATCCTCCCCCCTTTCTCCCACAGACATTTATATTTGGATCCTATTCTAACGCACGAATTAGAACCGTCTGTCTCCAAAAATCTGGCATGCGGAGAGGACTCCGACTGTATCAACCGCGCAACCAAGATTGAGTGTGTAGGCGATTGTGGATGTGGAGTGGATTGCCAAAATCAACGATTCCAACGCAAGAAGTACGCGCAGGTAGCCGTGATAAAAACAGAAAAGAAAGGGTTCGGTCTCCGTGCCGAGGCCAACTTGCGACCGCATCAGTTTATCTATGAGTATGTGGGTGAAGTTATCAACGAAGGCCAGTTTCGACGGCGCATGAGGCAGTACGATGAAGAGGGAATCAAGCATTTCTATTTCATGTCGCTCAGCAAAGGTGAATTTGTCGATGCGACCAAAAGGGGTAACCTGGGCCGGTTCTGTAACCACTCATGCAACCCAAACTGCTATGTCGACAAGTGGGTCGTCGGGGAGAAGCTCCGCATGGGTATCTTTGCCGAACGGGATATTCAAGCCGGCGAGGAGTTAGTTTTTAACTACAATGTCGATCGCTATGGAGCAGACCCTCAACCTTGCTACTGCGGAGAACCAATCTGTACGGGGTTCATTGGTGGGAGAACCCAGACAGAGCGTGCCACGAAGCTGTCCAATGCTACGATTGAAGCTCTGGGAATTGAGGATGCAGACGGTTGGGATACGGCGGTGGCAAAGCGACCACGCAAGAAGAAGATGGGTGAGGATGACGAAGAATATGTGGATAGCGTGCAACCAAAGTCTTTGGAAGAGAACGGTGTCACCAAGGTTATGGCGGCTCTAATGCAGTGCCAGGAGAAATGGATTGCGGTTAAGCTTCTGGGGCGAATTCAACGCTGTGATGATGAGCGTGTTCGGAACCGTGTGGTGAAGATGCATGGATATCAGATACTCAATTCACAGCTTACTATGTGGAAGGATGATTTCAACGTTGTTCTGCAGATTTTGGATATTCTGGATAAATTCCCACGCCTCACGCGGAATAAAATTATTGACTCAAAGATAGAGACTACTATCAAGCCACTGACAAGCTGTGGAGATAAGCGTGTCGAGAAGAAGGCCACTACTCTTCTGCAAGTCTGGTCGACCCTGGAGGTGGGCTATCGGATTCCCCGCATGAAGAGGGATCCGAACGCCACCACACAAGCTGTCAATCAATTCGAACGACGGGAAACCACTCGGGATCAGCGACGGCGGTCAAAGTCACGCAGTCGGTCAAGGTCGCGATCAATTGAGGCTCCCCGGGGACCTGCAGCTCAGTCTCGGGGGGGTTACGGACAAAGAAACCCTCATCATCACGGACCAAGGTCCTTTCGTCGTCAGTTCAATCCACTTCCGGCAGGATGGTTCGCCGCCGAATCAAATGGCAGGACATACTATTACTCAGCTCGTGGGGATACCACATGGACCAGACCAATTAAGCCGGCACCTCAACTTCCTCCGCCTCCAAAGGAGTCGAGAGACAAAGCACTGCAAGACATCATCGATGGCATCATGAATGCCAAGGAGAACACGCCTAAGGAGAAGGGGGGGTCGCCTGGTACGCCACAGGTATCTAAACCAATTCCCGATAAAAAAGAGGCACAGGAGAAGTGGAGGAGCTACAGTGAGGAGAAACAAAAGAAGGTCTACGAAAATACGGTGAGTGTCGATTGGTGTTGAAGATTGAACTGGAAGGCTAACTTTGCGTCAGTTATTTCCACACATAAAATATGTAGTAGATAAATTCAAGCACAAGCTCCCAAAAGATGATCTGAAGCGCTATGCCAAGGATGTAAGTTCCTTGTTTGCCTAGAGTACACAGCACACATGCTGACCTTACTGCCGAATAGGTGGCAAAGAAACTGGTCAACTCGGACTTCAAAAATAGCCGAGTCGAGGACCCTACTAAGATCAGCGAAAAGCAGCAGAAGAAAGTCAAAAAATACTGCAAAGAGTTTTTTGACAAAGCCGTTGCGAAGCATCGAGCTCACGAGCAGCGGAAAACGGATAAGCAAGCCAAGGGCATGGACTCGAAGACAGAAACACCCCAAGCTCCCAGTGATGATGAAGAAGAAGAAGCGCTAGATGTGAAGATGTCGGACGATGAGGGAGATAAGGTCGATGAGAATGGCACGCGCCTGATTGCAGAAGAACTTCGAGGAGGTGTAAAACGGAAGAGAGAAGATGGTACTGCAGGAGATTCTAACATGGGCGAGTACATTTCTTCAAAGAGACCAAGATCCTCAACTCCGCCACCTCCGCCGCCGCCGCCTCCAATGAGTCCTGGAGATGATCCACAAAACGTCGATAATGCAAAGAGAATACAAAGTGATGAGATTGATGACAAGAGCGAAAACAACGAATTCACTCCACCACCCCCACCTCCTCCGCCTCCGCCAGACGATGAGAACTCTTGCAACCCGTCGGGATTGATTCATGCCGTAGATCAATCCTCATCTAAAGTTGAGTATATCACCGATGTGAACAATCTCAAACCATCTCAACCTGAGATTGAAGGAAAGGTATGAATCGTCTTACTGGGAATACTTTAATATTCTTACCAATATTTCTGGACTGGTGTTTTACGGAGTCTGATCCGTTACATCTTTTGAAAGCTACGCCCAGGTATCAGGTTCTTCTTTTCTATCTCTCCATTTACCCCACTTCCTACCTCTATCTACCGTCTAAGTCTTTTTACTTACACTTTCCCCGCTTACTTTGTTTTATATTTATCCATTCAATACCCCTCATACCCGCTAAGTGTGGTTGCATACTTGCCAAGATGCCAGCAAAAAGAGCATACTGGAACACAGGAATGAGACAAATCAACTCCCTGAATTTGTATAACTAGTCGACTTTCACCTATGCCTTTATCCCTTCTTTCTTCTTTTCTCAGGGTAGTCACGTGCGTTGGGTTGGATTTGGTAGGTAGACATATCTACCATTTATATAGCCGGATTCCACTGTTCATTTCAGGCGAAATGAACCAATTCTCACTCCATATCAACAGCTTCTAGATAATATAGTGCCTAGATTGATAACGGTCAAGACACCAAGTGTAGTACCAGATCACTATTGGGTCATTATTGACCATCTCCTATGTTCAAAATGTAGTCAAGAATCAGAGACAGACCGAAGGAGTCACGCCATGTTGCAAGCAAGCCAGCCTGCGTGCGCACACTCAACCACGGCCAATTCGAATAAATCAGTTCCGAATGATAACATCTAATAGAAACTCTCCACGATACTCTCCTTGTTAGCATTACCCATACCAACACCGCGAGGGCCCATCTCTCCCAACCGGAACACGCTCTCAATAACGCTCAATTCAGTCGCTGTCGTATCCAGTCCCGTTACAGCCAACCAGTCGTTGACAACCATACCGGCTCCAACAACAGCACTACCACGGTTAACACTACCAGCGACGAGGGGCACCTGGAGTAGCGAGGAAAGCTCGTCCTGATCGCGGATGGAGGTCTTGGGGTGAACGATACCGCCTTGATTAGAAAGAGCCATGTAGGAGCCCGTCAAGACGTTGTCCGCAATAGTTTGTCGGAAGACTTCAACGCCAAGAACGTCAGCGATTCTAGTGGAGCTCATCAGCTTTTATACTTTGTACCAATATAATGTCAAGGGACGGTACATTTCTTCCGTTTCACGCTCTAGATCCGGATGTATCAAGGCTACATGGTCATTACAGCAAATGACATTTCCCAACGCCGAGAGACGTTCTTCTATCCGTTGAATCCTGACCGAGTCTGGAAGTGTATTCCGTAGATGTTGCAATTCTTGGTCTGTGGTGGTAGTGGGGACCAGAAGGCCTTTGCGGTTACTGTTTCACGCGTGAGTTTGATTTCACCATCGCATGATTTAGAGCAGTGATATGGTGGTTTTGGAAGACATACCCCGCTGTTAGACGGCCAACAATTCTAGTTCCAGCAATAGTAGCGTGGCAGATAGGAATGACATCTTGGAGTTCGGCCTCAAATACACTGCGGAAGTCAGTTACCTGATGTCATGGTAACCTGTGTACAGCCGAACATACCTGTAGAAGTTCTCGGAGGCTCCAATTGCGACAATCGCATATGAATTAGTAAGACGAGAGAAGACACCAACACTAAGTAGATAGTATCACGGTTAGTTCATGTAATGTACATAGTGGGAGTTGGGAGGCAGCGGGGGTTTTTTTTATCCCTCCCCCTCTGCTTTCTCTCCCATCCACCTATCCGAAGGGGAAAGCTAGAAAGTGCGTCCCACTTACTCGTTGGAGTTCTCGAATTGTGCGCGTACCGCCATAATTCAGATTTCTCTTTTGTGTTCAAGTTTGGAGGAAATTATGATTTACTCGTGGGAGGCGACTGGAGCAGAGAGAAGAGGGGGGAATCTGTGAGGTGGGGGTGATGTGAAGTTAAAGCTGTCGTGTGATGGAGAACCGTGCAAGTGAAACCCTTGACCGTTGCACAGATTGACGGGAGAAAGTCGACTGATATAAGAGAGAGTCAATCTAGCAGAAAAGATCAATGCAAAAAGCAGCCTCAAGCCCCGCCCGCGGGACTAGACCCAATCGGGGGGGAAGTCGAGGAGTCATCCGAGAGGAGTCATCATTATTCATTCTGATACACAGTGGGTCTTCCACTTCCAATTGATTAATTATAGATCGTTAGATCGTTAGATCTTAGTCATCGATACCAGCAAATTCAAAGGGAAATGAAAAGAAAAGAAAAGCTAAGAAGTGGAATGGGATTGCTGAGGGTCGTGAAAGGCATCCAATTCGTGTATTAATACAGATACAGGTAAATATTTGGTGGATACTTTAGTCCAGCTATGGATAGTTTAGCACCGCCCAGAAGCCTCTCTGAACCTCTCATCGAGTGAAATTCAGAATCAAAACAAAGCTAAAGATTGAGAGAGAGAAAATGTGACAACAAAAAGAGCCCCACCCTGCAAATAACTCCTGATGTGAACCAGCATTACTGTTTTAGCGTAGACCAAAGCTCCGTACATTTGAACACTGAGAAATTCAAGTGATATAGGCTCCCTATGGCATAAAAAGAAAGGACACGATATAGTGGAAATTAAAAAACGAACATAAGGTTGCACTGCCCATCGGAAATTGTCTAATATGGAGGGCGAGGGCCAGGAGGCGGCGGATAATACAAACTCTGCGGGTGATGGCCTGCCAGGTAATTAGGTAGCGGAGGTCGTTGGAAGTTAGACCCTGGAGGAGGGGGAAGCTGGGGAGGACCACCCCTACTTGTAAATGGATCTGGAAGACCGAGTTGTTCACTGATGGGCGGAATTTGCTGCCCTGCGGGGAGGAGACGACGGGGCTGCTGACGCTGCGTGGGAGGTGGGAGCACAAAGGATCGAGGATCCGTCGGCCCATGGGCCACCTGAGAGGGCTGCGGAAGAAGGGCCCTGTGTGCCGAAAGTCGCGGTGTGGTTTGGGATATGGTAGGACGAGGAAGCTCAGCGGCTGCCGCATCAGCCAATGCGAACAAAGCTGTCGGGCGCGTATCAGGTAATGCAAGGTTAAACTGATTCCCTGCGGTAGCTTTCTGGTGCACCTCAACGATGCCAGTCGCCTCTAGTAGGAGGTCGATAATTTCTCGAGCAGAAAAGCCAGCAAACGGGCCGGCTTCCCTCATCTCCTTCATTCGTGGATCGATATCATCGCCGAACTTAGCACGCTGAACGAAATCATCCCAGCCATACCTAGCACGATCGTAGGAAGCGGCCCCAGCAGGGTTTCGCACAAAGGAGGAGTTAAACCCCCTCACGACTTCCTTTGCTGGTGGGACAATGCGCTCAGGTTCAGTTTCAGAGTCATCGGTCTAGGGCCACGGGGTGAGTCTATTATGCATGTATAATATTGAATACGAAGAAGGGTATACCTCAGTATGTTCATCATCCTCTGCGGCACGTCGGCCTTCAACGAACGCCATGTACTCTCCCTTGCTTGCAAAGAAATGCTCCTCTTTGATGTGCCGAGCGGACGCCTAATGTTATTTGTTAGCAGCCATATCTGGCTCAGAGAAGAGAGACATTTGAGGTAAATCCTGACTTACTTTAAACCTTTCCTCGACTGCTTCTTTATTGGCAGCAAAGAGCCTGTTTTCTTGCTCAACTTTGAGCCCGTATTCGTGGCGAAAAATCTCCACTCTCTCTTCGAGCCTCGCCTTGAGAAGCGAATTAATTTCTTCATACTCTGGTACATTCTTATGGGCGTTTTTATCACGGGAGAGCTTTTTCTGGGACTGTGAAGCCAAGACAGCCAAAGCCAGTCGCTGGGCAGCTGCCACCTTCCTGAATGCCTTGTCTAGTTCCCTTTGACGGTCCCGGAGTTTTTGGGTAGCTGCACTCGGGGACGGGGAACGATCGTGCTCGATATCACTTGACCGATCACATTGGCGCCCAGTGCGCCCACCACGAGCAGCACGAGCGCCACCACGACCTCGTTTGCTTGACCCAGAGCGTGCCGCAGCTCTGCTACGCCCGCCACGGCCGCGCCCCCGATTACGCCCGCCACGAACTGCTTTTCCAGTCGTAGGCTCTGTGGTATTCTCCGGAGTCGATCCTTCAATATCTTCCGTAATTTGGCGGGATTCATCATCAGCCTTAGATTCCTCCACGCCGTCGTCAGAAGAGTGCGACGTATTTTTGCTGTCGGTGCTGTCCTGCGATTGGTGCTCTACCGGTCGATCGAGTTCCCCATCCTCCAGTTTCAATTTCTTGTGCGGAAAATTGGTAACACTACCAATCTCCGTAGTGACGTTGTTTTCTGCCTCTGTAGATCTGCGCTTTCGGGACCCAGACGAACTGAGGGTCTTTGCAGGACTGGGCATACCCTCAATTGCATAGATTCCCGCTTCATTTGTCTCTTGCTTGCCTTCTTGATACATGGTATCCCTTGGGATTTCCTCTCCAGCTTGGGAAGGTTCCGCAATTATATCCAAGTTTTGATCGCCCTCTGTTTTGCTAGGCCCTTCAACAGCTTCGGGCATAATGTCATCCGGAGATGTGGTTTTCATAGCAATGGCAGCAGCAGGTCCAATACCGCTTTGAGTAGCGTCAGTTGCAGCATCTGGAATTTGCCGATTTCTGTTCCGAGTCTTACTACCAGGAGTGATGCCCTTAGAAGGGCTTGCTTCTGGTTGTTTGGCTAAAATTGCTTCAGAAGAAGTGCTATCATTGAAGGCTGTGCTGACATGGGACCGCAGCCTAGCTGACTGTCTCGTACTTCTTGGTGTTTCTTCGACCGCTGGACCACGTCTAACCCGCTTGGACCGTGGGGTTTCAGGAGCATTCAATGCTGTACCGTCAAGCTGAGTTGGTGCAGATGCGGCTGCTGTTGCAGCAGTAGGGACTGCAGCCCGTGTTCGAGAAGCCCGAGTTTCACGAGCAGCATTTGTTGAGCTGTTCACTGCATTATTTGTTGCATTATTCAATGCATTTCTTGCAGCGGTATTAGCTCGGGCAGCACGGGTACTTAGCGTAATTATGCGCGACAAAGGGCGATGATTACTACTCTTATTATGCATTGGGGTGCTGTTACTGTTCTTGTTGTTATCAGATTGGTGGGCACGCGCATCTTGACTTGCACGTAGACTCCGTGTCACACGGATATGAGCGGTATCATCGCCTGTGAAGTCTATGTGGTAATTAGTATCAACAAAGGATTGATAGCAAGCACTCTGTAAAACTTACTGGGCGTTTTGGGGGAAGCTCCTGTGCCTGTTGCGCTGCCAGGCGGGATTGCAGTTGGTCCTTTGCTAGAGTCAAGTTTACGTTTGACGCCCGCCATCGCTGTTCTGTAGCATTAGGTGTCAGCTAAAGACACAAGGTGCAAAAATAGAGAAAGAAAAATCTCCAAGTATCGAATAAAACAAAATTTATAGGAGCACTCAATATAAATGAGTTAGAGAGAAGAAAAAAAAAGAAGAAGAAGAAGAAGAAGAAGAAGAAGAAGAAAAACAAATATACCCGGAAAATAGACAGAAAATACAGCACATAGGAATGGCGAGAGAAAGAAAGAGAGATGATGTGAGGGAAAAAAAGAAAAAGAAAAGAAGAAAGAGAAGGGAGAAAGACGGACATCGATTATGCGTACATCATTGATGGGCGAGAGCACTCAATCAGAAACAGAAGACACAAAAATGTAGCCAACTAAACATATCGCATGTATATAAACGGTAGTGGACACTGGGAGAAGCCACCGGAAAACGCAAGGCGGATAAAGGTAGAGATGCTGAGAGATGGGAGAAGTCATACAGAGGGGGAAGAGAGAGATAAAATGAGTGTAGTTCAGAGATTGCACAAGTAGAGACAATGCGATACGTAAATGGCTAAAAGCACCGTGTGGATGAGTAGGTGAAAGATGCTAAGGGCGTGCGTTAATCAAAGGGAAAAAACGCTGCAGTTGAGAAAGGAGAGGAAGAGAAGTGCGGTAAAGAGACAATTAAGAAACCCATCAGTGAATCAACCTACCAAGAGATTAAATGCAACGGAGCATATAACTGGCAGGGGAGGGAAGGGGTTGTTGCAAGTTGTGAAGTAGGTAATAGTAGCAAGTGGATAAAGTAAAAAGAGGTTCGGCGAAGTGGATCAGCGTGAGAAAAGGTAAAAAGTAGATTTTAATCGCCGGAAGTAGTAAGTCAAGTAGGAGGACGTGTTGTACGAGAGCTCCTACAGTAGCAGGAATTGGGAGGAACGGGATTTACAAAGAAGCGAAGGAAGGGTGCAATCTTAAATGGAAGGAGAAGAGAGGGACCTGGACGATGATATACTGAAAGAAAGTCAGGTCACGATGGCTGTACTCCAGAGGTGTTGATTTTTATAAGTGGAAGGTTGAAACGGCTCGTTAAGACAAGATGGAGAATAAAGAGACGGAACAAGGAAGAGGAAATTTTAGATAGCAAAGATGCTCAGGAGGAGAAACACAGGTCAAGAATCCACTAGCTGTGAGAGAGCGGGGAGGGGAGGAATAATGAAGCAATATTCCGGGGCTGAATAGTAGTAAGTATGGAAGGTGAAAAGGAATTCTAAGAGGTACTAGTAGAGCACCAGTGCCCTGCCAACCTGAGTTTGGTTTGGTTTAGTTGTCGTATTACCGGGTTGGCCGCAGGATTTTGACTGGGTCTAGTGACGGTTAGCAAGGGTGGCGCAAAGAGGAAGAGTAAGAGAATAGGTACTAAGTAAAAGTACCCTGAAATGCAACGGTATAGAACGAGACAATCATAGGAAAGAGAGGTGATTTAGGAAATGAAAAGAGTCCTCAAGCGGTGGAATGCAAGGGTGATAATCAGTTGTTGTATTCATTTTCCTTTTTTTTTCGTTTCTTGTTTTTCAATACTCTCGTTCTTTCCCCTGCTTTAAGTTGGTCCATCTGGTGTAATACCTCAAGTAATCCTGGTATGGTACTGTTTCTGGCTAGGTGCAAGCTAGCTAACTACTGTATGGTAAAAAATAAAAAATAAAAAAGGTAAAAAACAAAGAAAACCCAACTATTTCGCGTAGAATACTTAATTGTTTCTACCGACAGATACATACAAATTTGCGTACACCTAGGTATCTTATCATATCTTTTAATAGAAGGTACATGTCCTAAAATTCTTTTTAAGGCTTTTGTGCAAGGAAGTGACAAAATATATATAGAATAATTAGAGTACCCTTAATCATCGCCCTTAGTTCAGCAATGGATCAACTATATTACTAGTTCTAGAAATATATAATTTGCCTACACAGTAAGATATCATTGTTTCAGTCACAACTAAAAGAATTTGGCGGAGGTACCAAGTAAAAAACTGAGAATAGACAGATACATTGAACGATGAGATGAAACACGTATCAGAGATATTTTCAGCATGAATTATATGCTGTTCCCTACCTTTGTCGCGACAATGTCTATCATAACCATGTCTAATGTCCCAAAACTCCTTCAAACCACATGATGCCTAAGCAGTCGAGGGAAGAAAGGTCCACATGAAGATGTAATGCCGTTTTGCATTGGACAAGAAAATCAGAAGGAGACATTAGCTCTATCTACTTGCTTTCCTACATGTAGTCATGCCAATTGGGATCTTGTCACCTCCAGCCACGAGCGAAACCGCTATTTCAAGGAGGCAGCGCAAAGCCCCCCGATACCCTCTCACCGTAAGAAGAAATCTGTTAAACGTGCTAACCTTGCGAAGGAGATAAGTCGGCATTACCAGGAAAACTGAACATGCATAGCTCTGCGCATTCTCCACCCTCACCGTCACTTCCATCCTGGTGTATTGGTGACTACCGTAGCCAGAGTACCAACATTAGCAACATCATATCATGCATGACCTCGACAAGCATTTTACACCATGTGGTCTGCTGGAGGCCATTGCAAGGTTGTTGTTAGACCTGGTTGTAATATTTTATTCTCATTAGTATGCTGAAGTTGGTGTGGTACGATATGTTGCACAGTACATTATGATGCTGGGCCTGAAACTCATTCAGCCTCACCCTACTGGAAATACGTAGGGCCTCGCCCGGGGTGTCTAAATTGGGAGAGATTACTGTTAATATCTTCTTTAGCCGAGCCGTGGCCACTCATAATTCTACAAGCTGCCAGCACATTTCCACATTCACTGTAAAATGACAAGATATACAGTATATCCTGTAGCAGACGTATCATAACCGACTTAATGCCGAACGACGGTGAGTTAGGGAGGATCCATTATCACTCAATCACTTGATTTAAAATTTTAATAGGTAAGAGACACTGGTTACAGGAAATGTGCTATGCCTGGGATATCTAATAACAAGACAAAATAAATTACAACAAAGGAAAGCCATAACTCAATGACATCTTCAACGAGCCACCATTCCCTAGCTTTCATGAGGCGTTTCTATCAATTCATACCTCTTCTCATATTGTGTTATGCTCCGCCGCAAATCAGCAGCTATGACAAAGCTTGGTATTGTGGAGCTCTGGTCACGGTTAAGCCCACCTCGACTATGAGCTGGTCCTTGCTTTGGGCGTACAGCTTCATCTGCTTGGTCAATCCGCTCAAACAGAGGGGACCTGCTTCTTGGAATATAGGATTGCAGTGAATGAGTGGACCTCATCCTGTACAATGCCTTGATAGAGATTGTTTGTCCAGCTGCTGGAGATGCAATAACAGTAGTTCCAGGCATAGCTGTAGGAGGTGGGGTTGGGCTGTTGGAACGAAAAAGTGGGTGGATATTGCTCTCATCGGACAATTGTACCTTTGGGGGGGCACTTCTGCTGGGAACCTCCGACTGTAAAGAATTCCAGGTGTCCGTCGACCTCCTTAAGGAGGATTGCCGCCGCAAGGTATCCAAAGAGCACCTGATTTCTGGAACATTTTCCTGCGCTTTGCGCAATCCAGCGTCTCTAACGGTCCCAGCAGGGCAACTGTCATGTTTGTTTGGGCAGTGACCGACTTTGCCGCGCATCACAACGCATTCGGGGTAACTCAATGGTGGATATAACTCGAGAGAGCCGTGCTTGGAATCCTGTTGATACAGTGTCCGGCCTGAGTAACGCTTTGAGATCAAAGACGCAGTAGAAGGCTGGGTTGTAGTCAATCCATCGCAGCTCCACTTCTGGTCTGCGGAATTTTTTCGCGACTCAGTTATCAGCTGTGATTTTGCCGACCCCTGCCTGTAGTCTACGACTAACTGTTCTTGGAGAGTCTCAAGATCGTGGGAAAGCGAACTTGAACATCTGCTGCGGCTCATCTGTTTTGCTAGCGTCATCATCAGGAGAAGGCCACCAAGGAGACCCTGGACAAGAACAAAAATTGCCCATATCACAGTACGGATGATCATCAACAGTCGCTGGGACGAACTCAGCGGCATTCTCTTTGACTCCGTCATGACCTGGGCTGTGCTCCATGCTATTCCGCCTGCAGTTACTCCAATGGCTACAGCCAAGTAGACAACCGTGACGCAATACACGCGTCTTCTCCATCCGCTCGACTGTCCTATATTGTCATTCTTAGTATCCGTCGCCCGGGATAAGGTCGCAACGGCTAGTGCAACGCAGCTCACGACGTTCAGGACAAGAACGGCGGACTCGATTGAGCGGATATTAGATGATAGGTGTTTGAAAGATCTCAAGCATAAGCCGTCGAGGAGAGTGACAATGGTGGTTAACACGAAGGAGGCTCCTCCTATTAAGAAATGCAATGACGGCCAAGCTACAGTGAAATTCATATCGATGGGGCTGAACGGTAACTCGACGTCGCTTAAGGGGTAAGCACTGACGCTACACCACGGCTCAGTGAGCCCAATGAGTAATGTCGGTGTACTTCAGGTGAGTATATAGCTGCCGCAGGATGCTTGAAGTTTGAGGATAATAATGAGATGGTATTAAATGTGCAAGTGAAGAGACAGTATGATGATGTATAGGGGCTCAGAGTGCCATTAGAGATCTATATCGTCCTCGGCGCAGTGGTGCCAATACGGGGAAGAAAGACAGAAATAAAGCAGGGGGTTTTGTTGAAGAGTATAAGATATGGTAGGTGCTTGTTGGAGTAAAAAATGATTGTAGAACTAGGGTATATGTCCGAACGAGAACTTATATTGAGGGCAGCGGGGAGGAACTGAAGTCTATCTATAAATTAGACACAGAGCAGCGGGGGGAAGAAGTTCCCCGAAGTTGATTGCATTGGGGATGCATACAATGGTCCGAACCGATATCGCATATGCAAAGGCCAGGGTTAAAGTGACAGGGGTAGATCTCAGTGCCACCTAGTCGGGACTTTCAGATCGCGCTATTTTTCGTTAGAAGGTCTGGAAGGTGACAATGGTTCCTATTTAAAGCCGAGGGAAAAGAATTTTGAAGATGCAGACAATAATTTCCCCGTGCTCTACTCCGTATATCCATATCGGAATAACCCGAGACTTCTTAGCCAGCAGGTTGTACGGTGCTAATCAGAAACATACATTCTGTACAGAGCTAATAGTGTCATCAGCTTCAAGCAGAACAACAATTTCAAGTGATTTACCCGACTGTAAGGCCAATATTTCATACATTTCTCTCATCAGACACCCAATTCAGCCAGTCTAATGAACGCATCGTAAGCTAATCACTAAGTCGACCCCGAGTCAGTACAAGGTATATACCTGCATACATGATCGTTGGAGCTATGGTATAGTCTGGCAGGGTATACTAGTGCGTAGGACACGTCCAGAAGGGAATTTGTCAGGGCTTGGTGGCTTCCTGGATGAAGCGGGCGGGACGATCTCCAGTGTGCCGGAACAGCTTGAAAGACCTGATCGTCCACTCAGATACCAAGAGGGCGGTGGATGGTGTCGATTACTAGGACTAATACCCCGATTCATAGATGTGACATATCTATCATTGGGACCAGTGTCAAGGGCGGGAAACAGGGGCGATGACGGATGAATACCCTCCAGAAGTAGCAATGGCATCAGAAAATTTCTCTCCTGCTAATGAGTTTAGAGACGAGTGTTTTCTGTAGTAAAGACTCGTGGAATATGTACTATTGCTGGAAGATTATGACGATGGGAATGTTGATTTAAATGGCCCCTTAGTCCTTTTCTACTGCTAAACGATTTTATCTGTGATAGATCTTAAAAGACATATCACAGGAGGAGCCTTTCCCGTGCAAAGGTAAATCAGAAAATTACACATTATACCTACACAAGTACTCCACCATTCTCTTGCTCTCCCTTTGGCTTTGATATCCCTACTTCTTTTGCCACAACCCCTTGTTCTTCCTTAAACCCACTTGTAGCGATTCGGCCTTTTTGGGGGGGAGGGGGGAACGGAGTTAAATTTTATACCGTGGTAGACATTGTATTAGAATAGTACTAAGTACTATCTCAGGTTTAGCTCGCAACCTGCATAGCTTTACATGTATGAAAGTATATGTCCCATCATTCCTAGAACTTTTGTTGCTGGGGTCCTGAAATAAGATTTCCGCCTCTATGGTTTATCACTTTGTCCCCCGTTCCCTCTGGGCTCCATAACAACCGATAGCACTGAAATCATTCCTAAATCATGTATCCATCGTACCTGTATTGAATACTAAAACACTGAGATCATTGAAAGCGAAGTAGATATATCTTCAAGGACTTTTTTGACGCTACGTAAAGTAACAGTTCTGGGTCGCCACTCATTCAGATATTGAGTAATAGTACCGTATGTAGGTATGAATAGGCAATTGTGGCTTATCAATAATCTTAGCGAGTGATGTGGCTGTGCCAATCGCGGCTTGCCTATATGCCGTGACCGCCTCCAGGCCAAGTGCTCCTCTTTCCTTCGCCCCCCCCAGTCGTCATGGATTGTCATCATCATTGTTCCTCCTGTCAATTTCCGGTTCCATAATCTTCTCAGTCCGACTCTATCTTTTCCCTTTTGTTTAGTGTCATATTTTCACCTTCCTGTGCCTTTCACTATCCACTTCTTAGAGCCATCTTCAGTCCTTTGGTGGCGCAAGATGAAGCTTACATTTAAAGTAGGCATCTCCAGCACCCCACTCATTCCCTATGGCTAGATCTAACGACCGCCCCTTTTCTTCTTTAGGATTTGAAACAGCAGAAGTTTGTAATTGATGCAGAGCCCTCAGAGACGGTAGGCCATTTTCTCCCAGGAGTCAGTAGCTCGTCCGTGCCAATGCGGGGCTAATAAAATCTCCCTTAGGTTGGGCAAGTGAAGGAAAAAATCTCTAAGGAGAAAGGATGGGAGGTCCCTCAACTGAAGCTGATATACTCCGGTTAGTAATTTGTGCTTTGCTTATTATGATATTAGGCACTTCGGCATCATGAACGATGCCTTTGCCAAGTTTTTCTACATATCCTGAGTTGCTAACCGTCTCCCCGCCTTACAGGTAAGATCTTGCAAGATGACAAGGCGATCGAATCGTACAACATCGAAGAAAAGGGTTTCATAGTGTGCATGGTCTCCAAGGTATGCTTTATTGACCCCCTCCGTTTATACCAAGTTATTTAAATGCTTTCTGTAGCCCAAGGCCTCGTCGTCTACAGCCACTCCTTCGCAAGCCCCGTCTACGCCTTCGAGAGCTACCGCCTCGACACCAGCTGCCCCCCCTGCCCCGGCTCCATCTACAAACACTTCTACACCAGCCGTACCGGCGACTCCTTCTCCTGCTGGGGCTTCACAGCCATCTGATGCTGCTTTCAATGACCCGTCCGCCCTGTTGAGTGGATCCCAGGGCGAGGCAGTCATTGCTCATATGGAGAGTATGGGTTTTCCAAGGGACGACATCAACCGCGCAATGAGGGCTGCTTTTTTCAATCCCGATCGTGCTATTGAATACCTTCTAAATGTGAGTTCTTTAAATTCACTCCGCTCAATCAACATACTCCTAACAGGCAACAGGGGATTCCAGATACTATCCAACAGGAGCAGCAACAACAACAGCAGGCTGCGGCTGCGAACTCTCCCGAACCTCCTGCAGCTCCTGCAGGAGAAAATGTTCCTTCGACAACCGGTGGTGATGAGCCAGTCAATCTGTTCGAGGCTGCTGCTCAGGCGGGTACCCAGGAAGGCACGCGTGGGGCGCGCTCTGGAAGTGCAGCTGGCGAAGGACTCCCGAATCTTGACTTCCTTCGGAATAACCCACACTTCCAGCAACTTCGCCAGCTAGTCCAGCAGCAACCCCAAATGCTCGAGCCCATCCTCCAACAGGTCGCGGCCGGGAACCCTCAGATTGCCCAGCTCATTGGCCAGAATGAGGAACAGTTTCTTCAGCTTTTGAGCGAAGAAGGTGATGGTGCGCTCCCTCCTGGTGCACATCAAATTCATGTCACCGAGGAAGAGAGAGACGCAATTGAACGTGTATGTTTCCCTAATCCCTCTAGTATATTTGTTAGTACCCTTGGAATTGAAGCTAATCGAATTTTAGTTATGCCGTCTGGGCTTTTCACGGGACTTGGTCATACAGGCCTACTTTGCATGTGACAAGAATGAAGAACTCGCTGCCAACTTTCTATTCGAGAACCCGGATGATCCTGAAGACCTATGATTCACCAGAGTGCCTTTACGAAAGGCATTTCAACAATACGTTTTCTGCGAACCTAGTGCTGTTCTTCCCTATTAATGAAAACCGCAATGCATACTCCTTTCCAAGTTACCTATCTAAGCTTGATATCGTAGTTTAGACAGGTACAGCTTGCCGTGCTCAACACGCGTATTCTCTAGCCGTCACTACTTCCTCAATCACGTCCTTTATCTTCTCAATATTATCTTGTGAACGACTTTTGTAGCGGTATCGCAGTACGGTAGTACTCTTTCTATTTCCCATTCCCTGTTCCACTCAGAAAGGAGGTTTTGGTTTTGTGCCTATTTCATGGGACAAAAATGAGATATGTTTGTGCATCACTTCCCTTTGCTACCACCTCAATAAATCCAACGTAGGGACCTAAGGAGAAGAAAATGAATCGATTCCGAAATTCGTGAGCAGAATGAAAGGTAATTTGCAAAGACAGTCATCTGCCAATTGATTGGCTCACTCTTAAGGGGGTTGGCCTTCCAACAAATGGATTACTAGTAGTGGTAAGTATGTACTCCTAGTACCGGTGCTTTGTATCACGGGACTAGTAAGTGTGCTCGGTGCCCTTACTACTTGGATGTTTCATAGTTTGCTGTGCGGGACATGTCGATATATTGAAATATGACGCGCCATACAGGTCATGTGTGTATTAGTAGTTGCTATATAGATCCTGAGGTAGTCGCATGTTGGATAGAAAGATATGAATATGTGGTAGATGCCAATTATCAACAAGATCTGACCCCCTCTACCAAAAAAAAAGCAAAAAAGAGGAATCTGAACAAAGGAAGATAGTGAGACCTAAGGTTATCATAGTTTCCGTCAACCCTAAGTTTCCACTGATGAACACATCCATGCTATCAGCTGACCGCGCTTCAATCGCATCTAGCCTTGCTAGCTTTCCATATAGTAAGCCCGCGCCTACCAATTACTCTCCTCAATGTCGGATACACACCGTCAGTGCCAAAGTCTAAATCGTCCAGATTAATGTGCTTCCTGTAAGACCACAGTTCATGTAGTTCTAGATCTGAACTATCCGACGGCGAGCTTGACAAAGCAGCATATTGGTCGAGAAAAGTAGCCGACCTGGGCGCAACAACCAACACAGACTCAGCTCGCTTCGATTCATCACTGTTACAAGACGGGAGCAGCTTTTTGATTTCTTCGACCATTTCGGGTCCGGGAATGCCCATCAAGTCTCGAGTCTTGATAGCCATGGACGGGTTGTCGTTAGTTCCAAGTAACCACAAGGGGGGGGAGTAAGTTTTCCACCAGAAAACTGTTGCAGAGACATTGGCGTTGCCTCCCAACAAGGCGTCGTTGGACCCAACGCTGCTAGCCGCTATAATAGAGGGCATTGCAAGTTGAGCGGGTACAACCCCCCCTTGATGATAGACGCCCATTAAAAACCCCAGGGCAGCGTTGAATATCATCCAGGTAGCTAGGAACAAGCGAGACCTGCTCACCCGGAAGCAACTGAGGAGCAGAGGAACGCATGGTATCAAGAAACGTGGTTCTTGATGAGGGAAAATTGACAATATGACAGTTGCCGATAAGGCGGAGATAGCGCGCGTATCTTTTAGCCAGGTTGGGATAACCGGCAAGCTCCACAATGATATAGCCATCATTACATATACAGGCCCGAGAAGTTGTGGTAGGTTGACTAAAAAGTGTTGGTAACGAGGGTGGAGTCCATGAAGAGCCAAGTTCGAACTATCAGAATTGTAAAGTAGATTGTGGATCGGTGTGATAATAGGCGCGCGTAGGGCGTCCAGCAAGGACGTAGTAGGCCTATAAAATGCCGTGTCGACAAGGACAGCGATCCCAAAGAAGAATACACCGAACACTACAAAGGAAAATAACGAGATCGGTCTGCAGTCTAAGGTTAGTCTAATAGTGAAGGATCATTCTCACGGGGACACTAACCTGCGCCGAAAATGAGGCAATAAATGAAGCCCTGGGATAGCAAGGAAGGCTGGGAAAGTGATTCGATTGAAGACGCCAGCAACAGCAATAAAGGCTAAGACAGCGCAGGAGAAGACAGATGAGCGACGCTATAAACGGACATTAGCTAGGCGACTTTCCTCTCTGACTTGGGTGTGATGCGCAGACCTTATTTTCAACAATGCGGCGAATCAAGACCAGACCCCAAGTAACCAACAGCGTTTCAAGGGAGTTGGAGAAAGTGTGCGTCTGATATGTCCAGGTGACGTATGAAGAAGCGACTAGGACCACTGTCGCCCGGCGATGTCGGGCGAGAGGGACTAATTCATATACAGCCCAGTCCTCCAGCACAAAGCTCAAAAGGAACATGACCCCTCGTAACACGTAGTAGATAAACTGTGGAGGGGGTTTTGGCGCCCCTGTTTCGGCATAGAACCATCTTAGAAGGCTTATCGGTACACCATAGGTCGGCCACAATGGAAAGACGCTGCGGATCGGTTTATCGGTGGTGAATTCCCATGGTAACTTCGACGGGTAGGAGAGAACGCGACCTGGGGAGCTTGAATGAGTCTTGTGGATGGATACACTGCTGAGTTATGTTCCTTCTTGGAGGCCGTGTTGGGATCAATCAGGAGCGGGACCAAGCAGAGAGAAGCTGCCATAGCGGGGATAGAATCGCGGTCGCACAGGCGGACAACTAGGAAAAGGATAGCGGACTTACCTGCAAAAACTTCAGGACCCTGAAAGTTCTCATCTGGATGAAGGTAGCTAGGGGAGAGGGCCAAGTAAACTCGAATCACCAGTAGGAGTAAATATGTTCGTCTCCACATGACTCCGATGGTAAAGTGTCACGAAAATTTTTGAAGGAAACCGAGAAATTCTATGGACACAGCACATGCTGACACTCTTGTCGCATATTAGGATAGTAGTTTCGGAATTCAAGAGACAAGGCAGTAAGGCATAATCGACAAGGGTATTCAGAGGGAATCAAGGAGTGGAAGCTTGTTCAAGACTAGGAAGAGGGTTTATTCGTTCCGGTTAAGTTGCTGATGCGCATCCCTCTTACTGGAGACATTGCCGCCATTAACAGGAACTATTGTAGAAGTACTAACAAATGTACGAGTAGTGGACATTGGTTAAATTAACTGGCGATAAATCAAATGATAGTATAGTGGGTCAAAACAGATAGACTTTCCATGAGAGAATCATGCTGTTTTTTCTTGTCTTCTTTCTTTCTAGATAAGATGTTGCCATAATCATGTTAGTAAAAGCTAACAGTCAAATGTGCTTTTCTTCAAACTGAAGGCATGTTCTAACGGAATTGATAATATATCCCTATATACCCTGGCATTTTATTTACATCAAATGCTTACCTAAATACGAAGTAGGTACGGGAAATCTACCTCTAGTACTAGTATAATACATGCCGAGAGGCCTGAAATTACCTGGAAGATGATTTATGTTTTGAAAGGTCGCCAGTGAAATATTATCTCGGTATTCCGTATCTTAGGTAGATATCACGAATATGCATACCATGTACCTCAGGAATGGGGGTTTCCTAGAGATTAATTATGCAAAGGCACTTCAAGGGATCTTTCGCCTCTTTAAATTCCGAATACTGATCTCCATACTTTCCTATGGACATCCAGGTACACATGGGTATCTACAATTAGGCTAAGGCAGCAACAAGGCAGCAGTCTAGGCGCCACTTTGTGGTGGGGGCGGCGAATAATACAAAGTAATCCTTACAGAGTTGAAAAAGCATGACCTGCCCTTTAGCGCCAATACCCGTATAACTAAGCCTCATTCAAGTTACTCCCATTGATTCTTGCCTGTTTCTTCCTTTCTCTTTCTGAACCGCGACCTTCCTTGGAGTTTGCTTGCCATTTGTTTTATTCCTACTTCATTGTTTCGAGGCCTTTAAATCAAAGCTTGCAACTCAGTGCTCTCGCAACACATGTTTCTTTCCATCAGAACCTCTTATCTCACAGTCACCAGTGTTGGTAAGTCTTCTCCTCTCCGCCTCAGTACGACCCCTCATGATATGCCTTTGATTACCTTTGATTCTTAGGTTCTTATGAAAATTAGCTTACTTGTTTCACGAAGGAAGCAATTAATCCAGGAGTTGACAGTTGACTCAAGACTTCAAGGATCTCAAAGATGTCTTCCCCCACACTTATTTTCACAAGCTCCGATGGCGTTGACATCACTGTCGGTAGGTGCACTCATTACAACTTATGTTTCTTTCAGAGAGAGATATATACACCTACACCCTCCCTTTACCCCCCGAACAACACTTTCGGTTCTAACCTACTGTCCCGCTACTTAGACCGTGATGTCGCGGAACGCTCGCTGCTCATCAAGAACATGCTCGAGGACTTGGGTGAAACTGGAGAGCCCATTCCCATCCCTAACGTGAGTCATCAAGGATAGCCCCCAGACGATTCTACCATTTACCGCGGACGACAATACCTGACATCCCTGGTATAGGTCAACGAAGCCGTCCTGAAGAAGGTTATTGAGTGGTGCACCCATCACAAAAACGACCCTCCTAGCACTGGTGATGATGACGACTCCCGCCGTAAGACTACAGATATCGACGAGTGGGACCAGAAATTCATGCAGGTAGACCAGGAGATGCTTTTCGAGATTATACTGGTACGTATCATTTGACCGTATGGTGTCACACTGAATGTATCGAAGCTAAATCGAAAGCTCCAGGCCGCCAATTACCTTGATATCAAGGGACTGCTCGATGTTGGCTGCAAGACCGTTGCGAATATGATCAAGGGCAAGTCTCCCGAGGAGATTCGAAAGACTTTCAATATCCAGAACGATTTCACACCCGAGGAAGAAGATCAGATTCGTCGCGAGAATGAGTGGGCTGAGGAGTATGTTCATGAAGATTCCCTATTCAGTATACACGCCGTCTATGTCCCGTTACCCTTGGAATGCTAACTGCCCTTCTACTATAGTCGCTAAGTACGTCACTGATGTCAGCGTTGCTTGAGTTGGAATACTGTCCTAAAAACTATAAAGTGTTCCCGAAACCTATTCGCTCTCCACCGATTCTTAGCTTGAGTTTTATCTGGTCCAATGGTCTTTGCTACTTGACGGCGTTAGGAATTTTATATCATAATTGCTCTTCTTAGCAGCTACCTGGTGCTGCCTTTTTCGAGTGCCGAGAATAGATGTAGGCTGCTTGACAGAAACCACCTACTGACAGTGAACTGAAGCTGGGACTATGCTGTAGCAAAAGATCACATTAAGCGTTCAACTTGACTAGTAGGTGCTAACAATGAAAGTGGACTATTTTCTCCATTAGAAGGGTAGCGATTGAAATGGCAACTCTAGTACCTGGTATAGCACTACTGTCGGTACTCGAGCACGCCTGCCAGAACAAAACACCCTATTACACTACGAAAGGTTACAGGGATCGCGGGGCTTTCTGGGTCATCGGCTAATGAGGCGCTCTCCAGACTTAAATGCGCTCCCACCGGCTCGCAAGTGGGGAGATCCCCAAATAGGATTGGGCAAAAACAGGAAAACGAACAATCTTCGCATCTAGTCTTCCTTTTAGTTTCTCATGCTTTGAAAAGCGACATGTGATATCCCTGAAAGATCTTCGTTCACTGCTCATTATCCATCATAATTTTTGATATTGCTTCAAGCTCGTGTACATAATTTGCAGGAGCGCTTCTATCACAGAACCCGTCACCGCCTCATATTTGACCAATGTCCGTACATCACCCTGAAAAGCTTGAGAACTCTCAAAATGAGCATATTTGCCTTTTTTTTTTTTCCGGAGACAGATCAAAGTTGGCGAGAGAAAAAGATGGAAGCGGGGCGGATCCAGGATGCAGATTAATCGTCGCGAGCCACGTTTTCGGTATCACAGATGAACGAAACAATCGGGAATAGACATCTCGGTCGGGAGGCAAAAGATTCCAAGTTTAGATACCGAGACGGGTCTTGCGCCAGTGCCTCCGCTTAGCGTTGTATCTGGAAGTTCGGTTGTCAGCACTCCATTTATCCTTTCGAAGAGTCGAAATCAAGATAGAATCAACGTGAATATCGCCCTCCATCCCTTAATCTGATAGAGAGCGACATAGTATCGACAGCATAGTGTGGGCATATCCAAGAAATTCATGGTTCGAAGCCATTTGTTTCGACCGATCGAGGGCCTAGAGAGATGAATTTACCTGATGGTGTTACCAGTCCTGAGACGAATCCACTGGGGGATAGGACGGTTCTGTCTCTGAGCTTTGGCAAGCTTCTGCTTGGTGCGGAAACTCTTGTGGCTCTAATCGAAGACGAGCGTTAGCAGCGGTCATTTAAAAAAGCCCCTCATCCATTTAGGCAAAGGGAGGTGGAAAGATTGATCAACAATAGATCACCCAAGCATAGGCCCTGGGTTTAGCATAGGGGGTGCTAACCGGCATCTTGAAGGCTTGTCGCGACGGCGAGCTGAGTGTATGGACAGGCGTAAGTGTTGTCGACCGTCTTCAAGGGCCTTTGGTAGTAGTGGTTTTTTTGTGCGGGCAGGGCTTAGCGTTTCGCTTCGGGGAAATCATGTGATTTATGCCTGAGGCATAAAATCCGGTAAGCACTCACTAGTGAATAAATGGATGCTCTTCTCACTGACAGCTGTTCAGTGCCTTGATCTATGAAGTATATCCTAGCTATCACTACAAATCCATACCCTGACCTATTACGCTGCGTGGCATTCGGTTATACCAACATGGTAGTCTGCACTCATATTTAAGATCTGTAAGTTACTATTACTGCTGTAAGTGGGGAATAACACATAACACATCTGTCTAATACATCGTGCAGAGAATTGTTTCCTCTCTTATCTTTCATCTTATTTGTAGATAGATGCTTCTGGGGAGATCCCGCTGGCTTGCATCTAGAACTCTCCATGATTGGTCAGATACACCTCAATTCCCTTTTTGTTTCTCGACACCTTTGCTTCAAGAAGGAACAGTACTACTTAGATATGTGTAGTATTTAAGGTTGTACTATTATAGAAATGGTCTACGTACACTTATCAAATATTTCTTTGTTAAATATAGGGTTATTTAGCTGTCTAGATAGGAGTACTATGTACATACGATAGGCCAACAGATTGCAGACAATCGCCACATTTATTGGGTAATATTGTTGTAGCGTTGTCAGACATATGGTCTCAATAATCACAACTGTGATTGCAGAAATGGGTACTAGTTAAGTACATAGCCCATACCTGATACTAACAGTATGTAATATTGCCTACTTGTACTAGAACTGTACGTAATAGTGAAGTCAATTGGAAGTTCAATCAACCTGCTTTGGTTGGGTTTCTTAATATGTTCCATTGGTTACTCACCGCTATGGTCAGAGTCTGTCAGATTTATCATTATATAAACCAATGAAAATCCAGGTGTGGAAGGGCTCAAATCGCCGCTTATCGATTAGCTGTTGTCGGGAATTGAAGACCCCGAATGTCCGACTATCATCACAAAATTATTACTAGCATTCAGTAATATTATTTTCTGGCACTCCAAAGAAAAAGCGGGAACACTCGTAGAACAATAGACTTGAGCACGCACAAATCGAGGAACTTCTCCCTCTGGCCCAGGAGCGAAGGTACAGTAGGTAGCCTAGAGACCGGAAAGACACTCGATCATGGATGTATTGGCCGAAGTAGATGATTGGCTTGTTCGTACAGTGTCCCCCAAAATAGCCTAGCAGTCTATGAGAGAGGCTCCAAAGGAGCGATATTAGTTTAGGTACTCGGGTAAAGTCCAATAATTCCGATGCTACGCTGGCATAATCGAAGCTTGACTACTCCGTATTGGCCCCGAACTTAGGCACCCATAACAATGTAATCTATTAAGGACAGCATCTGGATCCATTGACTGCGGGTCTCGTGTTCAATACTCCCGATTCGTGTTTTAGGTTCTCGTTCTCGGTTCTAGATAGTAGGGTACTTGGTACATTGATAGAAATTTCATCTCGTTGAGTCATACCTACAGACATGAAGATGAATTGAACCACACCTTCGCCTCCCTCACCAAAATTCATTTTGCCTAACACGTAATTACTGACCTGTAAATACAATGAATTGCAGGTAAATGTGGTCCGCGGGCCCATGGAATCCGCGACACCGAGAAGACATGCTGTACCCAAACATTCTCAAATCTACTATGAAGCTTGTATGCTGTGACAAAATCCTCCAAAATAATCAAAGTAACAGGGAAAGGGGATGTTGTTCTGTTGGCTTTTGTGCTCCTGCGTGATACTTTATGCTTTTGATACAATGCCGTCTGTACGGCAAGAGTAGGGTTAAAGTGATGTGGTAGTTGATGGACCTTTAGGCTGCCTTGAGTTAATGTATTGCTTCTTATGGTGGTTATCTCAGATATCACTATTTTGATCTAGATCTTGAATTTTTTTTCTACGTTTTCCTTTTTCACCCATTCACTCTTCAGACCTTCACGCAAGTTGCCAATGGTGCCTCCTGACTTGGTTAATGTAGGTTTGCATAAAAAATGCTCGGGATGTCGGGACTCCGACGAGAGATCAAGATTAAATAACACCAAAGAGGTATGTGTACCAGTCTGACGCTGACGGGCAACCAAATAGGTCGAGATCTTTCAAATAACCCCCTTTCCTCCCTTCGACATTCCATTGATCCGTCTTCTCCCTTTGGTTCTTCTTTTCTTCGCCAAACGTCTAACCCCTGGAAAGAAAGAAATTATCTTCTTCTCTCCCTGTCTGTAACTTTTTTTTGGGGGGGATACTAATTCACACCCCTCCCTTTTTCCTTGTCCAGGCGCATATGGTATCGCGTGTCCAGCATTCCGACTGGTTTTACTTAGTACATCTGCGATCCTTTTTTGATTGTCCGTTCGTCGAGCAGACCATCACAGGCATCAGGCGAACTAGTCTAAGCTATTCTTTTCCCAAGTCATCTATCTTCATGGAGTAGGAGTGTACAAGATTCGCGCTTCTTTCTCCCCAACTAAAATGACTTCTTCGATAGAGAAAGCTGGGGGCTCTTCTCCGGCTACTGCTATCGAAAGTGAGAAATCTATCGACAAATCTACTGCTTCCGACTCAACTATAGCTCCGACAACGGGCAAGAAACAGGGATCCCGCCCACCATCCCCCCATAAGAGTGACAAAGATGGGGACAACAGTGATGCTCTTTATTCTCATCTACCAGAACATGAGAAACAGATTTTGAAGAAACAGCTTGACGCGGATGAAGTGAAAGTGTCGTTCTTCGCTCTTTTCCGCTATGCATCGAGGATGGACATACTTGTCATCCTTGTAAGCGCGATCTGTGCCATTGCGGCGGGTGCAGCGTTGCCATTATTCACAGTACGTTCTCGATGGCCTCTTGAAACTGAATCTATGTAATGACGACTCGTTAGATACTTTTCGGTTCCTTAGCTTCAGCTATGTCCAACAGAGTGGCAGATCTCATCTCATACGATGAATTCTATCATCAACTGACGAAGAATGTTTTGTATTTCGTATATCTCGGTATTGGTGAATTCGTCACGGTATACATCAGCACTGTTGGGTTCATCTATACCGGTGAGCACATCAGCCAGAAAATTCGCGAGCATTATCTCGAGTCCATCCTACGTCAAAATATGGCCTATTTTGATAAGTTAGGTGCCGGTGAGGTGACCACGCGCATTACCGCTGACACGAACCTTATTCAAGACGGTATCTCGGAGAAAGTTGGACTTACACTTACAGCCATTTCTACATTTGTCACCGCGTTTATTGTCGCATATGTGAAATATTGGAAATTAGCACTAATTTGCAGCTCGACTATTGTCGCCCTCGTTTTAGTAATGGGGGGAGGTTCTCGCTTCATCGTCAAATACAGCAAGAAATCCTTGGACAGCTATGGTGCTGGGGGGACCGTCGCGGAGGAGGTTATTAGCTCGATTCGGAATGCTACTGCATTTGGCACTCAGGACAAGCTTGCCAAGCAATACGAGGCTCATCTGGCCGAAGCAGAGAAGTGGGGAGTCAAAAACCAACTTATTCTTGGCTTCATGGTCGGTGGAATGTTTGGTATCATGTTCTCCAATTATGGTCTCGGCTTTTGGATGGGCTCTCGATTCCTTGTCAATGGAGAGGTTGATGTTGGTCAGGTCCTTACTGTATTGATGGCAATTTTGATTGGCTCATTCAGCCTGGGAAACGTCAGTCCGAATGCTCAAGCATTTACCAATGCTGTGGCCGCGGCTGCTAAGATCTATACCACCATTGATCGCTCTTCACCATTGGACCCATATTCGGATGATGGAGAGAAGCCTGACCACATCGAAGGAAACATTGAGTTCCGTAACGTCAAACACATCTATCCCTCCAGACCTGAAGTAACGATCATGGATGGTGTCTCCTTATCGATGCCAGCCGGCAAAACCACAGCCTTGGTCGGCCCTTCCGGTTCTGGAAAGAGTACTGTTGTTGGGCTGGTTGAGCGTTTCTACTTTCCTGTTGGTGGCCAAGTGTTGCTAGATGGCTATGATCTTCAGGACCTCAACCTTCGTTGGCTGCGTCGGCAAATCTCGCTAGTCAGCCAGGAACCCATTCTTTTTGGCACGACCATCTACAAGAATATTCAGTATGGGCTGATTGGTACAAAGTTTGAGAACGAATCCGACGACAAGATCCGTGAACTGATTGAGAATGCGGCAAGGATGGCCAACGCGCATGACTTCATCAATGCTTTGCCTGAAAGGTACGAGACTAACGTTGGCCAGCGCGGATTCCTGCTCTCTGGCGGACAAAAGCAGCGAATTGCCATTGCCCGCGCCATTGTCAGTGACCCAAAGATTCTTTTGCTTGATGAAGCTACTTCTGCACTAGACACGAAATCAGAAGGGGTTGTCCAAGCTGCTCTTGATAAAGCCGCACAAGGTCGAACCACTATTGTTATTGCCCATCGTCTATCTACTATCAAAGATGCCCATAACATCGTTGTCTTGGTTGACGGCAAGATTGTAGAACAGGGAACACACGATGAACTAGTCGATCGCAGGGGTACTTACAATAACCTTGTAGAGGCTCAGCGCATCAAGGAAGAAAATGACGCGGAAGCTCTGGACGCTGATGCCGAGGATGAAGATGTGTTCTCCAAGGAACAAATATCTCGTATCAAGACTGCAGACAGCGGCTCGGCTTCGGCCTTGGATATCGAATATGAAAAGGTTTACTCGGGCATCGGACGTTCTGCCACGCACAAGTCAGTATCAAGCGCTATTCTCTCCAAGAAGAGCCCGGAGAAAGCTAAAAAGTACTCACTCTGGTCTCTGGTCAAATTTATCGCTTCATTCAACCGTCCTGAGCTGAACTACATGTTGATTGGCTTGGTCTTCTCCATTCTTTCAGGAGGTGGTCAACCCACCCAGGCGGTCCTTTACGCCAAAGCGATCAGTTCACTCTCTTTAGGTGTAGCAGGCCCAAGCATGTATGGCAAACTTCGACATGATGCAAACTTCTGGTCTCTGATGTTTTTCGTTGTTGGAATTGCTCAGTTCATCAATCTCTCTATTCATGGCGCCGCATTTGCTGTTAGTTCGGAAAGACTGATCCGTCGCGCGCGAAGCAAGGCATTTAGAACGATCCTTCGTCAAGACATCACTTTCTTTGACAGAGAGGAAAACAGCACTGGTGCCCTGACGTCTTTCTTGTCTACCGAAACGAAACATTTGTCGGGAGTCAGTGGCGTGACTCTGGGGACAATTTTGATGACTAGCACGACTCTTGGCGCTGCCATTGTGATCTCCCTAGCAATCGGGTGGAAATTAGCTTTGGTTTGTATTTCCGTTGTCCCAGTCCTTCTGGCGTGTGGATTCTACCGTTTCTACATGCTTGCTCAGTTCCAGCAGCGTTCCAAACTTGCTTACGAAGGGTCTGCGAGTTACGCTTGTGAGGCAACCTCGGCTATCCGCACTGTGGCCTCTCTCACCCGCGAACAAGATGTGTGGACAGTATATCACTCCCAGCTGGAAGCACAAGGGAAGAAGAGCCTAGTTTCCGTTCTGTGGTCTTCGATATTATATGCTAGCTCACAGGCCTTGGTTTTCTTCTGCGTTGCTCTCGGTTTTTGGTATGGAGGCACGCTCCTAGGCAAACACGAGTATTCAGTTTTCCGCTTCTTCGTCTGCTTCTCTGAGATTCTCTTCGGTGCACAGTCTGCGGGAACCGTCTTCTCCTTTTCCCCGGACATGGGTAAGGCGAAGAATGCCGCAGCCGAATTTAAGAAACTGTTTGATAGGAAGCCGGCCATTGATACGTGGTCAGAAGATGGCGAGAAGCTGGAGTCAGTAGACGGTACAATTGAATTCCGCGACGTGCATTTCAGATACCCGACTCGTCCCGAGCAGCCTGTTCTCCGGGGTTTGAATTTGACAGTAAAGCCCGGACAATATATTGCCCTTGTGGGACCCAGTGGATGCGGAAAGAGTACTACTATTGCATTGCTTGAGCGCTTCTATGATGCACTGTCCGGATCTATACTTGTGGATGGCAAGGATATCACCCAACTCAATGTTAACTCATACCGAAGCTTCTTATCCTTGGTCAGTCAGGAACCGACCTTGTATCAAGGGACTATCAAAGAGAATATCTTGCTTGGCGTCGAGCAAGACGAGACCCCAGAGGAGGCAGTCGTTAAGGCGTGCAAAGATGCCAACATCTATGATTTCATTATGTCTCTTCCGTAAGTGCCTATTTCACACTTGCAAACACAATAACTGTCTTTTGCCTCTCTTCCTTCATTTCTCTGCTTTTCTCGCTGCTTTACATTACTTTACTAATAGTGAATGCACAGGGACGGATTCAACACCGTGGTCGGCAATAAAGGAGGCATGTTATCTGGTGGGCAAAAGCAACGAGTCGCTATTGCGCGCGCCCTTCTTCGTGACCCTAAGATCCTCCTTCTAGATGAAGCCACTTCTGCACTTGATTCCGAATCTGAAAAGGTTGTACAGGCGGCGCTGGATGCCGCTGCCCGAGGTCGAACTACAATTGCCGTTGCCCACCGGCTGAGCACGATCCAAAAGGCCGACGTTATCTATGTTTTTGACCAGGGCAAGATCGTTGAAAGCGGAACACACCAGGAACTGGTTCGCACGAAAGGCCGTTACTATGAATTGGTCAACCTACAGAGTTTGGGCAAGGACCACTAATCATAATGTTTTCATATATGCTATCCAAAATACCCTTCTGTCATCTCCATCTTACCCCTATATACCAACTACACCAGACAACGGTATCATTATGTTCTTTTGACTATGCTCTGCTTGAAGTTTATCTATATTCCCCTTTATCTTCTCTCCTCTCATACCTGCCATATATATCATGCATAGGCCTTGTGGCGAGCACATGTTGGTTTCTCGCTCTGATTAGCTTGAAAGTCCCCCGACAGTTATCATCGTTCCAGACATATATGAATTTGAAACACTTAATCAGGAAAGGGAAAACGAAGAAGAAATATCCATGGGCATATTACGATATCACATAGGTTGAAACAAATATTAGTTTGTTCAGCGCATAAAGACTTGCTAGCCTTTGAGTAGTCAACGATCCTCAAAAATGCTAGACTCGGATTCATAGTAGTTAATCTCGATCACCGACCCCATATGTTCTCTGCACATCTATCTGGCGCACTCCGCGGGCATCAGCAATAAGAGCCATCAGGCCTCGTCCGATATCTTTTATTTCATTGTACTCGTGAAGAAGACAAATATGTCGCTGGACCGTTGCAGACGGATCGTCCCTGGATTAGAACGTATTATTGTTATGCATTGAACTATAGTTTGTATGACGAAAATACGTACTTTAACATGGTCTTTGTCTCGGACAATTGAGCTCCCATGCGTGCCACTTCGGCCTCCAAATCTACCATCGAGGCGCGGAGAGCGGTCTGTTGGGGCTTGTCAATCTCAGAGATATTCAGTAGGAGAGGACTCAGGTCCTGTATGTACAATACTAGTACAAGTGTAGAACATCACATACCAAGCGCTTTTCCCTTAGCAGCTGGTTTCCAGTAGGGTTCATGCTTAGAGGAGAACATAAGATGAATGGTTTTTTTTGTCTGCATGTCTGTTAGTAAGTACATTACTTTATATATCCCATAAAAAAAGAAAAAGTAAAAAAGAGGTACATACGTACATACATACTGTACTACTGGGTGCTGTAGTGAGCTGGGCTATCGGTGGGGTTGCCTAAGTAAGCTGGTCTGGCCTCCGCCAATCCGGAAGGGTCGATTTGGGTTTCCGTGCTAAAGGCTTATCCTTGGTCAGACCTCCATTTTATCTATCTGCCTAAGTGGCCTCTCTCTTTATTTTTCCGCTTACAACTTTTCACTGTCATCTACACCATTGTGTGAAGATGATGCCGAGTAAACCGGATCCGCGAGGGGTTCTCGGTGTACTTCTCCTGGTCTCACGCGCTCTGGCCCACGGCGGCCATGAAAACGTCCCCGAAGGTTCCGCTATCTCGGGAGATCCCATTGTACGCATCTCAGACGATTTCGTCGGATCCGGCTGACGGAGGAGATAGGATTCAACATTATGGGTGCACATGATTTTGATGGGTTTGGCCTTTGGCATCATCTTCCCGCTGGGAATGGTTCTAGGAGTATGCCTTACTTGCTATTCCAGTCAGATCCAATCTATCTTCTATCTTCTGACCTCGCCTGCGCATGCTTCTTAGGTTATACGCTCACGGTGGCACGTCCCTTTACAAATAGTCGGAACAATCATCGCAGTTGTAGCCTATTTCCTGGGTCATGCTCATAAGGGCCGTCAATTTTCAAAAAATGTCCACGCCTCGTTCGCAAACGTCTTAATGCTCATGATGTTAGTGCAGGTTGTTATTGGCTTCTACCTCAAACTGCACCTTTCCAAAGGAATTCATGGGCGCATTCGCCGGTTTATTGTCATGGCGCACGGTATTGTTGGTAAGGCGATGCCAGTTGTTAGTTGGGCTCAGATGCTGTTCGGCGGCATAACCTCGCTGGGTTTCTGTCGGGATGATCATCTGGGACAGTGTTTAGCTCACTTTATCATGGGCAGCGCTTTCATCGCCTATGGAATTATGCTTACTATCCTACTCCTTGTCGGCCAGTTTTGGCTACGCCGCAGCGGCCGAAGCCAGGAGTTCTTCGACTCGTTAATTATTGCCGCTTGGGGATGTGTCAATACTTTTACGGAACATCGATGGGGAAGTGAATGGGGCCATAATGACCTGCAGCACACCACTATGGGAATTGTCTGGTGGTGTGCTGGCCTTTTGGGCATGTGGTTAAGTCGCAAACGCAATGGTCGACCCAGACGGAATTTGGTCCCAGCTACTGTCATTCTTCTGACTGGCTATGCCATGTCCGCACATCCACAGTTCTTGGAAATCAGTACAATGATTCACACTATCTTTGGTTATACACTGATGGCGGCCGGTGTGACTAGGATTATTGAGATCTCCTTTGTCTTAAAGGATCGAAGCACGTTGAGCTTGGATGGCTCGGACCCCAATAGTTTTCAGTACCTACCACCATTCGTAAGTAGCCTGGCTTTGTCGGAGGGAGTTTCTACCCTGAGGACTAACAACATTTAGCTCTTGTATGCTTCGGGCATCCTTTTCATGGGTGCCACAGAAGAGCAAATGCAACTTTTGCACGACGCAGGAATCACACACGTATCGTACATTTTGATCTTGTATAGCATCGCCTTCATTCTCTTTCTTTGTATGTTCAAGACTTCTCTGGCATCATTTACTTTCCTCGAAACCCCCTAACATAAATTCTAGTCGTCAATATTCTCCTCCACATATATGCCGTACACGCATGGCCTGAGTCTGCGAAGGCATCCCCCGCTCGCTCTTCTAGTGAGGAAGAAGCAGCTCAAGACAGATCTCGTGCAAACGGAGGCTTCATCAATAACCACGCTCGATCAAATTCCGAATCGCAGCACATACATGACGCGGAGGCCTACGAGCTAGAGGGCCTTATTTCTGATGAGGAAGACGACGGCAAAGCAGATGGCGATGATCAGCTCATGGGTCCTAAAAGGGCCACAGATGAGGAAAGTTCTCCTTTAGTTGGAAAAGAGACTAGAAGGGGCTCGTAGCACAATCTTCAATTTTTCTTTCTATTCCTTTCCCTTGACATCCTACTTTTATTGCGGTCTAAGAGACTGGCGCATATAATAACATCTTCAAAGTCTTGAGCGGCAAAAGTCTCTCCAAAAAGTCTCCTAGTCTGTTCCATCTACGGGAGTCAAATCTCTCTTTTCAATTTTCTTCCTTTTTTTCGAGCATTTCCTGATGGGCATCGGTTGAAAATACAGCTTGCGTTTGCAAGTTTTGTCTATCTTCGAAGCTTTGAACTTTCCTTTTTTGACTTATTTCGGCCTAGATCTTTAACACCAACAGGTACCTTATGTGTATCGACACTATCTGCTACATTGTTGCCATGTTTAATTAAGAGAGGCATGTCGTATAAACAAGGAAATAACACAAGTTTACCCGGTCTATCGTACAGTTCGTAATTATGCTCTTAATGTGGATTGATCCTGCACAAGATCGCTTAGAATACAAGGTAGTCATCTCTCCCGAAGTCTCTAATTCTTCTCTTCCCCCGCCTCCCCACCTTCTACTCAGGCATTTGCTCCTGAGGGATGAATGATTGGTTGTTGCATGGTAAGATCGCCGTTTAAAGGAACCAGATTCGCAGGAGGAACAGCGGACATGACATTCTCAACTTCCGGAGGGAAAAATGGATGTAAGGGGTAGATAGGAGCGAGAGACTTCTCGCCGTCAAAGAGCAAGAGGTTCTGGATAGGCTGCTCTCTAGAGCTCAACACATTGATCACGTCCTGGGCTAGTTTACCGCCCACAACGGCGGCAACGGGACTCAATTCGCTTCCCAGATTTTGTAGAAAGGTACGCAAAAACTCGGAATCAAGGGTGCTGATGTCAAGTTTCAATTCTTGGTGCCTATCACGGGCGAATTTTGTGAAGAGCTCCAGGTCTTCGCGGGAGAATGTTGGTATCTCACCCCCCGACAGTTTCTGGAATTCCCACAGCGCTCGGAGACAAGTCAGGAGTGGTGTGACCTGTCGCCGTTTCCGAGGGAGACGAGTAAAGTCCTCCGGAAGTGGCGATGTGTTTGCCAAAATCAGAGGAGAATACGTCTCTCGCTTGGTTACCATTTCGATAAGTTTCTCGTTCTCCTTCTTCGTTGTGATATTGACTATGCTCCGCGTCGGGGTTTCTTGGTTCGCTGAAGGGACGTTTGACTTGGAGCGCTCGATAACGAAATCGTGTGAAATCAGATCAGTGAATACAAACCCGTAGAACCCGTGCAACCCAGCTGCGTAGAATGGTCGGTTTGCGATACGGCATGCCGCATTGATGGTGGTGTACGTGGCGAAGTCCAATTCTGTCGCAATAACGATATCGAATTGGGCAAAGAAGTCAGGTTGCTTCATGTGGATGTCGTCTGTATCGATACGAAGCTGAACTCTTGGGTTCATGGCATGGATCGAGGGCGCTGCCGCTTGCGCACGCTTGATTTACCGTTAGCATGTCCTCTCTAGCCGAGGCTGCGACGAAGTGTAACCTACATTCTGCCCTATATGCTCTTCCGTGATGAAAAATTGGGCACCCAGATCTTCCTCCTTCACTATCTCATGGTCAACAATTGTCAATGTGCCGATACCAGCCAGAACGAGGTTCTTGGCAACTTCATTTGCCAACGCCTTTAAGGTGATTAGAAGTATATTAGCCGATCGTAACCTAAGTGGAGCGTAAGAATCCTGCCAGGCGTAAAGGTGCATACCATAGAAGGTTGAGAGCTTACCTTTCCTGAGCCTTCACACCCCAAAGACGGATCTGGCGATCATACAAGGCGATCTCGTCTGTTACATTGAGACTCATGTCAGTTCCAATCTATATGGCACACTCCAAGGATGGTGCATAGGTTAAATTTTACCTGCACTAATAGACTGAGCTGTATTGTCCTGCGACTCCATGATGTCGGATGGAAAGTAGGTCTGAGCGGGGCCACGGTGCGTCTCAACTTTCATATAGTAGCAATTAAAATGAGGTTGTCTTGAGTGCAGTCACGGATATGATGGCGAGGGGCTCTCTGGAGTAATGAAAGACTTAGGAATGGGGTTGGGGTGTTAAAGGCGCACTGGTAAGGGATGGGTGCTGCCCACCGGTGATTAGGGTGTGGGGGAGGGACTAAGAGCTTAAGGTGCAGTTAATGAGCGAAGGCGAAAGCAACTGGGAACGCAACTTGGCTTTCTCGGGATTCTGGGGTGAGGAAATCTAGGTAGACTCCCTATTATCCAAAGTAGGGAAAGAAGTATGAGAGTGAATTGATTCTAGGTGGATGTACTGCATTTATTTAGAAATGAATCACGTGTGACGCTACGTCCGATAACCCGCACTTATCACTGGAAACTTGGCCATCATCTTCATCATCATCTTCACGGACCATTTCAGACCCTGCTTTTTCCTTGTCTGTGGTCGCTTCAGGCTTTTTGCCTGTGATCCTTGTGAGTGAAATATCCCTCTTGCTGTGTTCTCGTCAGTTGGTTCATCTTCAAACATCCCCCTCGCCCCGGTATAGTTCTATTCCCCTCCCACCTTTGAACCGTCGAACTAACCGTGGATCGTCTTTACATACAGAATGGTACGTTAGAGGCCGAGCTGTTATTATCTTTCCCCCTCTTCAACCCGAAATTTCTTTTGTGCGAGGAGGGTTCCGTCTACCTCATATCCAGTATATATTAACCCTCTTAACCATATCTCACTAGTCGGGGAATTACGATCATCCTCCTGCCTCGCTTCGTGTACCTCTTGGAAGCCGCGCCGGTGATCGACCTCACCCACTTCTCTCAAATAATTTGCAGCACTTACGGAACCTCCTAAACTCGGAACCTAACCGTAACGCCTCCGCCCGTGCTCTAGAAACCCTGAACCAAGAGATAGACGAGTATCGCTCCGGCCGGGTGCGGGACTGGTCAAGCTTCAATCATACTAGAGCGGTGGTTGATAGAGGGATACACCAACATACTCCACAACCAGGCTCGCATAGATTACAGGCTGTTAACGTTGCTGTTGCTGACCCCGACTCTGGTACCCCGGATTCTCCTAGATTTCCTAGTGGGCACTCTAGTCGTCGTGCCCCCAGTGGAGGTGGTAGGGCAAATCGCGAAGGAAGAAATCGAGCCTCTATTTCCAGTCGGTTCAGATACGAGCCCGCATTCCATCTTGAAAGGTCTATTAATATGCCTCAGGAAGTGGATGAAGAGCGATGGAGGGCGAAACGCAGAAAACTTGAATCAGATGACAACAGAGAGGGCTTGCAGAGTTTCCGGTACGGTCAATATGGTCAGGTTGTGTCTGGAGTTCTCAAGATGGAACTGGCTAGCTGTGACGGAGGAACTTATGAAACTGATGGCGAAAGTTCATGGCCGGAGAACGTCCTCCGCGACGACTCTTCTGTATACTGTACAAAATCAGAACGGTGTAATCTGATCCTAAAGCATCGTGGAGGGACACCGTTCTGCTTGAAGAGAATTGTGGTTAAGGCTCCAAAGTCTGGCTACGGTGCTCCGTATGTTACATCTGAGCAGCATGGCTAGTTGCCCTTTGTTAATCACTATTCACCAGGATACAAGAAGGGATGGTTTTCGTCTCCATGACCTCCGACGAACTTCTGGCCCGTACCGCCCAGTACCAAATCCAGTATGCAACTTCTCGACGAACTCGGCGGAATCGCCGGCCTGGAATGCAACCTTCCCAGGAATACTTGAATGCGTACCGGCACCCTCTACAGTCTCTTACTGGCCGAGACTCTCACTCGGACTCAGATACTGATATCAATGACCCCACAGGGCTCAATGCAGGCACCATGCCCGACCCGATGTCAGGTTTTCGAGTTACAACGGAGTATGATGAGCGTTCTGAAAACGGTGGCCACAGTAGCCAGGAGCATGGCAACGACGTACCCTCGTTTACAGATGTTGAGAGACTACAGATGGATCAGATGGACGACGATTTTCTCTGCTCGGACAGCGACGAGAGCGAGAGTGACGATGTCACATCCGAATTGAGTACGTACAATCGTCGACGCCGTGAGCTACTGAGACGTGTGACGTCCACGCGTCGCCGATACGTCATAGAACGGAATAGTCAGCCAAGACGGCGCCCAGTTCCCAGTATTATTCAACCTATGGAACAGTCTGCACTCACGGGTCCACAGGCTGGATCTGATACTCAGAGCTCTAGCCCAGAGTTGCTCAAACCACACGCTCGTTTCTTCATTGAACAGACCAAGAGCATGGTTAGCATTAAATTCGATCCCCCCCCGTATGGCACCTACTCTTTCCAACGCGGTCGGGCTTCTAGCTAACCAGTGTCCATAGTTCTGGGCGATACATTCTAATCAAGCTATGGAGTCCCCAGAACGGAGGCAACATTGATTTACAGAGCATCATAGCTCATGGCTACGCTGGGCCGAGGTTTTTCCCTGCTGGGGGTTTCAGGTAAATTTTCTTCCGGGCTTGTGGCTGAGTCCAAGTCTATCAAAGTGCTTTGTGTGCTGGTATGAATCTTGAATGGTAAAGTGTTATGATTATGAGAGATGTCCTCGATCTAACTTTTCTCGTCATGCTTATACATCATGTGCGAGTATATTCCTGACCAGCCATCAAGATATGTTCAAATTATTCATACTTGTAATAATATCACGCAGCACGTCCTATGGCATATCACTTCAACGAATCGTGTTTTGCATAGCTTGCGCCATCCCAAATGATATGGATCAATGTGTGTCTCAGCACCAGTTATTTTTTTTTCTAAGTCCCTCCTGTGAGCAGCTACAGTAATCATGCTTAGCCACTGGAGTTATTGATATCTATGAAATAATAAAAATTAGCAATTTAAAACGCTATTTATCACTCGAGGACAAAATCATCAACACCGCTTCGGGAAATAGAATTAAATGGGCACCCGAACCTGAAGAACGACGACAAGACGAAAAGGAGGCCCTTTGCTCTAAGATGGCCAGGTGAAAAGGAATCATAAGAGTAACGCTAGTCAGCCGAAGAGAGTAACGGGCAACTAAAGCTTCTTCAGAAAGGCAGGCGGTACCAATGTAGAGCGGCGATGAGTTAAATACAGGGCGCGATGTCCCACACCCAACTATTTTCAAGAGTCAACGTTGACAACATATTCTCTCAGGCCGAAAGGGAGCAGGGATTGTCAAGGATACTAAATAACAAGTGAGATACAATATGCCTGAAAGAAGGATAATAGCCCAAGGTAATTAAAAGGCGTTAATAAAAAGGAGACGTGATAAAGTGAATCATGAAGAGGGAAATTGTGGATCATCTGCAAACAGGTTGACCAAAACTTATGTACAACAGGTCAGTCTCCGACAGGGAGAAAAACATCAAAAAACAATAAGCGACTCAGAGCGGGATCAACCACGCTATTAAATGTGTATGATTATCAACTGAAAGAAATCCGCAGTGCGGTAGGCTGATGTATCTCGATCGATGCTCGTTTCTCGTCTCTCGTGCGAAGATCGTCTAACGCCGAAACTTCCTTGTACATGAACGTAAATAATCACCAACCAAAAAAAATACTCCTGAAAAGAGGATCCAACTCCACCGATAAACAAATGAAAACCTGGTTGTTCTTGTTTTTCCAAACAGCAAAGGTGAAATATCAAGTGGATATGTATAGTCAATTATATGACGACAACATCACCTTCAGCATCTGCTGGATCAGAGGCCATCATATCGCCATATTTTCCCACAGTCATTAGCATCGAATCATCATCAAGGTCAATCGCGCTGTCATCATTGTTTGAGGCGTGGAAACCGGCAATATTCTCGGAAATCTCCGTGGGTTTTTCATCATTAGATTGCGATTCTGCTTCCACCTGTGGACGGTCCAGAGAAGCCCGGGCCGAAGGAACACTCTCGACCGGGCCAGAGGAATGGTCTATCCCAGGCTGTGATTCAGTAATGGGCTGTGTGTCGGAAGCCATAAATGATCTATTCTTAACAGGGTCTGGATAGACGGGCTGTTTCATGAGAAGGTCATTTGGTCCTTGCTGACCTGGCCTCGAGCTGGCGCTCTGTAACGTGCTCGGGGTATGGCGCATAAAACCCCCCTTTTCGGCCTGCCAGAGCATCATCTCATGAAAAAAAACCTTCGTCATCCACCAAGCACTAAAGCTCTGAGCACCTCCTAGCGTTAATCGGCGAAGGATGCAATCCCACAGCGCATCAACCTTCTCTATAATGCATTGCGTACGATGATTTGGGAACGCTAATGGTAAATTGAGAATAAAAGACATCCACTTATCCGGAAAGTTATATTCGTCACCGGTAGACGACTGCACAGGATACCTGCGTGCCTGACTGTTTTCTTCCGAGTCAGGTTTTGTGTAGAACGAATGGGCAGCGGCAGGGTTCATATCAGTGATGGGAGTGAGCAGGGCTCGAACATCATGCTTTAGAATTTGTTCGGTGGCCCCTTCCGCACAGCTTGGGATATTCGCTTTAGAAATCATCTCATTTGGATCTACCAACGTCTTGAAGTCAAACCACATTTGGTTTCGGTTGTCAGGATGGCACAGCCAGGCTGCGGCGGCATTGGCAGACTGATTCACATCGAGCATGTGTCTAAGCAGATTGCAGAATATATGAGCCGGTATTAACCTGGCTAATGAAACATGTATAGGTTGGGCTTTGAATGTATCCGCAATATGAGCGGTAAGCCTTTGCGAGATCGAGCTAAAGGTGTCTAGGACGAGCTTCGGGACAACCTGAGTTGTGAGTGGTGCTACAAATGCAATCATTTTCTGGTACATAAGCCAATCACATTCCTTAATCCACGGTGCGAGGTTAGGGTGTGTCAGTAGCTTCTGCACGGGCACAGTCAGGGTTCCATGGAAGGCAGAGAAGTAATGTCGTAGGTTCCGCTCTTTGCAGTATCGGAAGCTGTCGATGACAGAAATACAATGGGTCCGATAGAGGGCGGCCAGGGCAGCAGCAACCTTCGAATCCGTGTGGGCAGGAAGATAGTCCTTAATGTCAGGAAGCTGGAGCACATCGTTATCAATGGATGGGTCTTCGGTGGATTGCAGTTGGAGCATCTGGTGAATCATCTTTCCAGAGTGGCTAGCTACGTTTTCGAGGGTAATGGTGGAGTGGTCACCAGACCGAGGCGAAGCCTGACAGCCGCAATCTGAGCTCGGAAGACTTCCTGAGGATCTGGGAGTGAATGAAGTGGTAGGGGAAGGGAACACTGCAGTGTCCGCAGGAGGTTGTGGTGCGATACTAACATTAGTTTGCGTCAGTTTCGAACACGTTAACCAGCGCCTTCTGTCATCAACTCACCTCTTCTGCATCGCTTCGCCGACTTTATGTTCAGGGATCGCTACTGAACTGGTTACATTGGCCGGTGCTTGAGGGTTCAGCGGGGGCGGCTTTTGCTGTTTCTCCTCGATGACTGTTAAGTCGACATAGTGATATTTCGACTCACCACGGACGCCGAGCCGTCTAGTCTGCACATTAGGAAATATTATCCGCACAAGCTTCCCAAAAGAAGCAGGGTTTAAAACGGAAACACGTTCGGTTCCACACTTCTCTGCGTAACAGCAGTAGACACGATCGCGCCGAACAGAACCGCTGCTTTTTCTGCAGTTTTCTTTCAACCTAGTAGAGCGTGAGAAATATGTCGCAACAGACACATCTACGGGACATTCGGATGCTCACCATATCATAGCAAAGACTTGCTTGACCTTTTCGGCCTTACCGCCGGCGCCTTCATGTTTGAGGACCTCCGCTGCCATCTGCTTCAGAGAAAACCCTTCGTATTGCCGGAGCAGTTTCCGCAGTTCATTGTCGTTAGCAAGAGAAGAGCTTGAGCCTTTCTTCTTCTTCGCGCCAGCCTCAGAGTTCTCGTTCTCCTCTAGGACATGTTCTGGTACGTGGTTCTCGATTCCGCTATCATACATCGCTTGGTACTGCGGCATCGGCACGGATGGCAACCCGGGGAGTCCTGAAGGTATAGAATGATGGGAAAGATGGTGACCATGTATTGCATGACTTGGGAAGTCTTCGGCCCTTGGCAGGACAGGGTGATGAGCATCATGGAGAGTCGGGTCTAGCGAGGAACCGTTCACGGGATGCGAAAGTTGTTGACCAAACCGCATGATGATCTCCTCCGGATTGCCTCCAAAGACACTGTGGCCGCTACCAGGTTGAGCAGGGAGAAATTGCGGGAATCCATCAGTGATATGCTGGTCCTGAGTCTGTTGGGTGGTATTTGAATGGATACTGGCGGTAGACCCTCTAGACCTTGGGCGACGACCATTTCTTGATACTACTGTTTCCGAGCGCGATCGCATGAGATCTGCTGTCCCAGGACGACTATGTGGCGCTACTATTTGTGTTGCTTGAGATGCAGCACTTGAGGCCTGCGAGGCGGCACGGCCTGTTACGGTGCAAGTTAGCCAACACCAGAGGATGATTACATGCTAGGTATAAAGAGAGAAACGGGAAAGCTCAATGGCAGGAAGTGAAGGTCTTGCAGGGAGTGGACGTAAGTTCTTACCCATCTCATGAGGCATCTTTTTTCGGGTTTGCTCCAGCACACCAAGATGTTTGGTTCCGTTGCTGTTGGGTGGGAGACGGTTGGTAACCACGGGCAATAGCGTCTGTTTTGATCCCTTCCAGCCACCGTCAACCACACGTTTTCACACCGCTAGGGAACTCGCAAAAATGCAACCCAACCAAAGTGAAATCGGAAGATCGGAATTTCTAGGGCATCAATAAGGTCGTCCAACAGCAGACTCACTGTGGAAAGCTCATAGCAGCCGCGTTTCCAGGTCGAAGAATCGTGAGCTGGGCTGGAAGGAGAATAAACAGAGATCGGCGTTCCTCAAGCAACGACGCTTTTGCTTGTTTGCGGTACTGATCACGTGAGTGATTATATAAGTGGCATTCCTCAGTCCTTTGCTATTGTAATTGGTATTTCCGGTAAGAAACCAAAACACCACATCATTTCATCTACAGAGTTATGCACCTGACTCTCTCCTCTCTCTTCTCTCTCTTTTCCCTCTTTTCCCTCTTTCTTTTCTCTCCTTTCCCTCTTTACTGTATATATACCTGAGGAGCTATGGTATGGTCTGGGAACATGGAGTCTCTACCCTTTCTTCGAGCTTCCACCCCTTGCACATCCATAATATGCAATGGATTAATTCGATGCTAAAAGCAAGGGCACTCCTCAGTGGATTAAGCGGAATCCAGTCAAGGATACTTCAAGCAAGCATTGAAAGGATGACCGTAAAGGATTTGTTTATATATGTATACTCGTGCAAATTTCCGCATTTTGTCCGCTCGTTCAGTGATATTGGACTTCTACTACTTCGGAGGAATTCATCCACATAGAGCGCGCGTGTATTTCTGCTATTATTATTCTTAGGTTGCCAGGGGTGGATTTATGTGAGAGAAAACTACTTTAGAAAAAGGAAATTTGAGTTTTCCTGCTGTGATAGTATTAACTTAGGAATGTTTCGCCTGTAGCCTTTCTATAAATCATGTTTGTCCTCATCACCATCTGGATTCCTTTAGGTGCAACTTTTTGAACCTTTCAATCTTATGCCTCGCTCATGCCGCCATGAAGTTGCAAATCGACTTTCAATCCATAATAGAATGACCATGACCACTACAACTCCCTCGAGCAAAAGGAGAGTATAAACGAGAGTCAGCGCATCCAGTATGGGCTGCATTGCTCCTACACACCAGCGGCTCCCACCAAGCATCTCATCGGTTTATTCACTGCCGTTACGCTATTTATGGTACACATTCCCGTCGCACAGAGAAGCAGACAATGAGAAGCCCAACAAGTATTACGCATCCGTGAGACTTCAGTTGGAGAATTTAAACATGATTTCAAGTTGACTCGTGTGTCAGGTGGATATCCCCGTTGCTTACATTATTTGTGCTGGGCTAATCTATGGGTAAGGTCTCTCTTCAGTCATACGACATCAACGTTAAATTCAAGTTGCCTCGTACTCCGTGAGGTAACCAAGTTCAATCCCGATATACGCCCAAATCCTAGTTAGTAGGAATTGATCAGTAAACCCGATCTCAACATTTCAAGTAACAGAATGTGGGCCTTACCGTTGCCTAGAAACGTCAATCCAACTTCTAGGGAGGTCAACTGATAGACATCTTGGCAGAGGTCCGTAATACTAGCATTACTTCTACATATTGATTGAAACATACCTATCAATTGATATTGTAGCCACACTACCGGCAGCCTATGGGGTGTGAGGTGCCATGAGCTCGCCGTAGTTTGCGGACACAGGAAGGAAATTTTTGACAATTACATGCACGATAAAAGTTCCAATAAAGACTGCACGTCTTCCTGTGGCATCTGAAATTGGACCCCAGGACGTGGGCATTCTTCCTTGCACGGTCATGTATATTGCGATTGTAAGGATGGCGAGAGACGTGCTAATATCCAATCTCTGTATAGAGCTTGGTCAGTACAATTGTAAGGATGTCAACTGTACATGGTGTACTGTCTGTTTGCCACACTTACAATGGACACCTCACCCAGAGCCGGGAAGTGAACATTCGATAATGGGTGAAGATGGCAGCCGTTGAAACAATGCATACCATCCGAAAATTTTGATGATAGAAAGCATGATATATTTTAGATGTAGAGGCTTGACCCTCAACCTATGAGTTTTCTGAAAAGCCGAACGTTTGTCTCATATCTCCCTGGACGGAGGATACCTGTAGCATAGGGTTCTTTTCGGCCGGATATGATGTTACTGTGGCCATGTCTACGTTGTTCCAATGCAAGTATGTAGATAAATTAGCCCGGTGGTCCATTAGCGGGGAATGTATTTTGCGTCTTCCGAACGATTGGAAATCTATATATCAGTGAAGACGGGAGGTGTATCAAACGGTGACATGCATAACGTCCAAGGAGCAGTCCTGCAATGAGGCATAGAGAAAGAGCACAGCCACATAGTTCTCATCAAGGTCTAACTTCAACGGTAATGCGAGCCACTGAAGCAGCTGTTAAGCAACGTTACATTCGCCTTCGGAGCGCGGAAAATTCAGCTATTCCTATAAATTTAAATATCAAGAACGTACAAAAAAGAAGGGATCATCCCTCTAAGAACGATTGTAAAACAGTCCATTGATTTCTTAGCGCTTTCCTTAAGCTCATGTGCCCAATCAAAGTTTTTCATCTGATTCCCAACGATGATCTACAAGTTAACATACATGCCAAGTAGTATTACCAATCTCTGGATTCAGATAATGGCAAATATTGATTATTTGCTTCAATAGAATACGGTCTACAATATTGAAGTCGACACGCAAGAGAAAGAGAGACACGGAGGGCAAAACAAAAGGAAAAGAAAATTTACATGAGGAAACTAATTACTCCCTAGCATCTCTAAAAAAGGAGGAAATAGAAATAGGAAAAGTACAGGAGTGGCCAAGAGAAGATCATCTAGCAGATTTAGAATATAGACTTCAGCCGTGGCGCACGCCCTACAATGAGCACATCGCGCATATCAATCACACGGTGAAATTCAATCACACACACACCCACGCACTCACATCCCATGCTCACTTAATTAGACCAGATCCCTCTTCACGAACTCGTCGAGCAGAGTCTTGCCAAGAGAAGCGGGGCTTCTCTCAACAATGACACCGGCAGCTTCAAGAGCAGAGATCTTCGAGTCGGCACCGCCCTTGCCACCACTGACGATGGCACCGGCGTGACCCATACGACGGCCCGGGGGAGCGCTGATACCGGCAATGAACCCAACTGCGGGCTTGTTGTGCTTGTTGTTGGCCTTGAAGAACTCGGCGGCATCCTCCTCAGCGCTACCACCGATCTCACCGATCATGATAATACCATCAGTCTCCTCATCCTCAAGGAAGATCTTGAGGCAGTCAATAAAGTTGGTGCCGGAGAAAGGGTCACCACCGATACCGACAACGAGAGACTGACCGAGTCCAGCCTGGGTAGTTTGGTTGACGGCCTCATACGTCAGGGTGCCCGAACGGGAAACAATACCGACCCGGCCACGCTTGTGGATGAATCCAGGCATGATACCAATCTTGCATTGGCCCTGTATCCCAATATTACAATTAATACCTATCACAAGACCATCGCAAATAGACAGCTTGGTGATTGGAACTTACGGGCGCAATGATACCGGGGCAGTTAGGTCCGACCAGACGAGTCTTGTTCTGCGTCTTCAGAATGTCGGTGATACGAACCATGTCTAGTAAAATGGCTGTCAGCCTTTGCCTGGTGCCAGATGGTCAGCACGAAGTAGGAGTACGTACCGTGCTGAGGAATACCCTCGGTGATACTAAGCGACACTATATATCAGCGACTGATAGCTTTGCGCGAACCACCGATCATCTTACCAGACAGCCAAAGGAACCTCAGCTTCAATTGCCTCCTCAATACCCTTAGCAGCAAGTGGGGGGCTGGTGTCAGTTAGCCACATATCCATAGACATCCTAATTAAACAATGTAATCATACGGGACGAAGATAGCAGAAGCAGTAGCTCCAGTTTCCTGCACGGCATCGCGCACATTTGCGAAGACTGGTCTGTCAAGGTGTGTCGAGCCGGCCTTCTTGGGGTTGGTGCCACCAACAACCTTAGTACCTAATCAATGTAAGCAGCCTTGTTCATTTACCGCAGACATCAATCTGCCAGATTGTGAGGAGAGGGAAAAGAATACCGTAGGCAATGGCTTGTTCAGCGTGGAAACTGCGGGAAGATGGAAATGCAACGTCAGCATTATGTATGAAACAACACACGGTCGGAAGAACACATACGTTCCCTGCTTGCCGGTGAATCCCTGGAAAATAACCTTTGTGTCCGCATTTATGCGAAGGTTGTTAATAGTCTCAGCGTAGGCCGGGGCATTAGCATATCCCCGTCGCTGCACAGCGGCAGCATTCCGAAGGGCAGAGGCAGTGCTACGGCGGAAGGCCTGCATGGTGGCAATGAGTAGTAAGAGAGATAAAGAAAGAGAGGAGAGGAGAGGAGGTTGCACCAAAGGAGGTGTAAAGGTTGACGTGGGAGAGAAAAATGATTGGTATATCTGTAGGAAACGCGCCGGATGGTTTGGATTTGGGCTTTCGGGACAAAGCTTTAAGCGGACCCGAATTGTCGCGGGCGGTCGGTTTGTCGGCTGGCTCCTCGGCCTGTTTTTCTCTCACTTTAAGTGATTGATTGAATCGGCCCCTCCAAACCACCTTGAACTGAATACAACTTAGGGTAACGCTCGTTAGGTTACTCAAAATATTGTTATTGTTATTATTTATTATTCTTGATTCAACTTGACTGGTCCTAGGATTCTCCCTATCAAATTGATTCTGTTCTTCGCAAAATTTCCGTCTTGGTACATCCTTCAAAATGGCGACGGCCACAATGACCATGCCGCCACCATCCAAACCCAAGGCGAACCCGAAGCTTGCTCCAGAGAATGAACGATATATGCGAGCTTGTTCCGATATTGCTAATGTCCTTATTCGAGAATATGAAACCCAAACAGATCCCACGAAACCAAAGAAAGACCTTAATCTCAACAGGCTGCGCAACCAGATTGCGAAAAAGCATTGCTTGGCCAATCTGCCGCCTTTGACGGCGATTATCGCTGCTGTTCCAGAGCATTACAAGAAGTATATCCTTCCCAAATTGATTGCGAAGCCGATCAGTATGTCTCTAGTCCCTTTAACTGCAGCTGGACGCTTTCTAATTGTCACTGAAGGAACGTCTTCTGGTATCGCCGTTGTAGCTGTGATGAGCAAACCCCACCGTTGTCCACATATCGCATACACTGGGAATATATGCGTCTACTGCCCTGGTGGACCTGACTCCGACTTCGAGTATTCAACCCAGTCCTATACTGGGTATGAGCCCACGTCAATGCGTGCGATCCGAGCGCGTTACGACCCATTTGAGCAAGCCAGAGGACGGGTGGACCAGATCAAGGCCCTTGGGCACAGTGTCGACAAAGTGGAATATATTATTATGGGTGGGACTTTCATGTCGTTACCAGAAGACTATCGCGAACCGTTCATTGCCCAACTCCACAATGCTTTGAGTGGATACCAGACAGACAACGTCGACGAAGCAGTCCAGGCTGGTGAGATGAGCAACGTGAAGTGCGTTGGTATCACAATTGAGACCCGGCCTGACTATTGTTTGGATACACACCTGAGCAGCATGCTCCGGTATGGGTGTACACGACTTGAGATTGGCGTTCAAAGCTTGTACGAAGATGTCGCTAGGGACACGAATCGAGGCCACACTGTTGCTGCAGTCGCGGAAACATTCAAACTTGCTAAAGACGCCGGCTTCAAAGTTGTCAGCCACATGATGCCAGACTTGCCCAACGTTGGGATGGAGCGTGACCTGTTCCAGTTTCAGGAATACTTCGAGAACCCAGCTTTTCGAACAGATGGTCTTAAAATCTACCCCACTCTAGTTATTCGTGGCACTGGTCTCTACGAGTTATGGAGGACTGGTCGCTATAAGAACTATACTCCCAATGCTCTGGTTGACCTCGTGGCTCGTATTCTTGCCCTAGTCCCTCCTTGGACTCGTATCTATCGTGTCCAACGAGATATTCCGATGCCATTGGTTACTTCGGGCGTAGAAAACGGCAATTTGCGTGAACTCGCCCTGGCTAGAATGAAGGACTTCGGTACAACATGTCGGGACGTCCGTACACGCGAAGTTGGAATTAACGAAGTCAAGAACAAAATTCGCCCATCCCAGGTCGAACTTATTCGACGCGATTACGCAGCTAATGGAGGATGGGAGACCTTCCTCGCTTATGAAGATCCCAAGCAAGACATTTTAATTGGCTTATTGCGGCTGCGAAAGTGCAGCCCTACACACACGTTCCGCCCTGAATTTACCGGCCAACAAACCAGTATCGTGCGTGAGCTCCATGTGTATGGTTCTGCCGTGCCATTGCATGGACGTGATCCGCGCAAGTTCCAGCACCGCGGTTTTGGAACACTGTTAATGGAAGAAGCAGAGCGCATCGCTCGAGAGGAACATAGAAGTCAGAAGATCAGTGTCATTTCTGGCGTTGGCGTTCGCAGTTATTACGCGCGTCTAGGCTATACTTTAGATGGCCCTTATATGTCCAAGCTGCTGGACCCTCTTGATGACGAAGAATCATAATGGCCATCCCTGGATAGCATCTGCTGGTATGATTATGACGATGGACAAACAATATCCCACGAAAAGTTTTACTGATTGGTAAGGATTACGGCATTGGCGTTCTGAGTGGCGGCTGTTTCTGCATTCGAGAGTTACAGTCTTTCTATACTTGAAAGAAGGTTGGAATGAGTACATGTGCATAAACAAAGTAACAAAATAAAAGTGCATGCGCACTTGGATGGCCAGTGGTCACCATCCTTAGGACATTGCTCTACTCCTGGAGCGTTCCGCACATGGTTCCTAAACGTCGTGGTATTTACAAGACACCCATGTAGAAGTCTTGTAAGTCATAAGAGCTAAGAACGAGAGGGTGAATTTGCCAATTTTAATAGCCATCACCTTATATACAGCCTGATGTTCCTCAAGTAGACACCTAGTAGATCTAGAACAACAATTCCAAAACCAACCCATAATCAACAAAAAAAAACTGCAAGATGGTAAGTAAGCCCTTGATATACGGTACAGACAAGAATCTAGGAGTGAAGGCAATAAGTCGACATCCGTTCAGTAAACGGTGCACCATACGCCGCACTGCAAATAAAAGTAACCACGTCCTACTCCAGGCTACTCTGTAATATCAATGGGGAAACATAGTCATATCTCCGTGTGGCTGTAGGATCAAATTTCGCGATTGATTTATTTTTCCAATGGTAAAGCAATGGGGACATTTCAGTTAAGCGATATCGCACCTCCCCTGCGGCTTCGCACATGAAGGTAGGCCTGGAAAGAACAGAAAAGGAAAAAGGCCTATGGAGCATAACTGTCAGCAATGCAGTGTTCTAAATATTGGATCGGGGCTGAGTAATTCGTACGATATATACAAACACGGCTGTGAAGATCGAAGCAGCGACTGCACCGCCATCCTCAGGCTCACCTTCTGAGCCGGTAAAGCCGTGGTGCTCCCTCTGTGAACATCTCTTTTAGCCTTCGTCTCCGGTACACCACACATGCAGGTCGGGAAGCAAAATAGACGGTGATCGAGAGTAGGAAACTAGTAGCCGGCCTAGCCGCAAACGAACCTTGTATAGCGATCCGAGGACGGAGAGGATGACAATGGCAAAGAGGGATATTATCGCGCTATGTCGCAAAGACAGATTGTCAGTTTGAAAGGGAATGATGAAAAAGTCATCCTGTTGGAAGACTTACCAGGACCACGCATTTAACACCGACACGACGGGTTTCATATTGACGATTGAATAATGTGACAAGTGGCTGGCGGAACCGACCAGTTTGGTTTTGACGATATCACAAATCAATGCACAAGGGGTGGAGATAAGGACAACACGAACAATAAGTAGGCGTAAGAGACTTGGATCCAATCCAAATGCGCAGCTGACAGGGGCGGCTATAGAACGATGATGTTCACCAGGCGGGAGAACATCCAGCGCCTAAGCCGCTTTTGGCAATACTGTCAGGACCACCTGATAAAGTTGTCAAACCCGCATCATTTTATTTTAGCAGATATATATTTCTATCATTGTCACTATTATTATTTACAAATATTATACCTATTTCCAACTATTCCCTTACTTTTGCTCAGTCATGTAAGCTTGACCTTTGTGCTAGTGTTTGCGAGAAATAGTACTGATGTCGATGCCATAGAAAGAGAGGGAGAGGGGAGGGAGAGACGTATATAAATGTCTCGACCTAGGTAGCTATCATGTATTTCTATCGGCAATCCATACTATCACTAAATCAGTGCGCCTTGTTCCATTGTATACATTCATCAAATGTCACGCCGGACCCCCCAAAGATATCCAGCGCACTACCGATGGTTAAATCGACCTTCCCTTGACTACTTGAGTGGACCTTCTCAAGATCTTCTAAGTTCCGTGCCCCCCCAGCGTAAGTAACCGGTATGGAACACCACTCGGAGAGCTTAGACACCAACGCTTCATCGACACCTTGTTGCAACCCTTCAACGTCGGCAGCGTGGATAAGAAATTCCGAGCAGTAGGGCTCTAGCAATGAGATGGATTCTTTATCCTAGTCAGCACAGGAGATGTCCATCTTGAAACATAGGCAGAGAAACGCCCGATGCGAAGGTAACAACTTGCCTTGATTGATTTCCATTTCTGTAATGGTCTGCCATCGGTCCATAGCCACAAACCATGTGTTGTCTTTCCTGCGGCAGCTCAAATCTAAAACTAGCCTTGTCCTGTCACCCCCAAGAGCAGAAAGAACCAACTCCAATCTCTCAAGCGAGAATTTGCCCTCTGGAAAGAGGAATGATGTGATGACAACCTATGCAAGGTCGATCAATCAGCAGCTCAGAGAGAGAAAAACGATGTAGCTTGATTTATAGGAAGGAGACGGGGGGAGTCCAGATCTAACTCAGATATATCACCAGGACATAGGGAAGATGACATTCAATAAAACAATGGAGCTCACCTTTTCGGCGCCCTGGTCTATCCAATACTGAGCATTCTTATCTGTGATTCCACCGGCGACCTGTAAGCCACCTGGCCATGCGCTAAGAGCCTCTTTTGCGGCTGTATCGTTCCCTGGGCCGAGCATCACAACATGCCCCCCACGTAAGTCATACTTCTGGTAGAGTTCAGCGTAATAGCTAGCTGGAAGGTTAGAAACATAGTTTGTCTTTAGATCCGCAGAAACATTGCTCAAAGTCCCTCCGACAATTTGCTTGACCTGACCCGAATGCAGGTCAATGCAGGGACGGAACTTGGTCATCTTGCTTGATACAAATGGGACTTTAAACCTGGTGCTGTGTTGTAGTTCTATGTCACTGTATGTGGAAATTCCACGAGGGGTCGACTTATCTTATCACACGTGACCGTAGTAAAAAAGAAAGGACCTCAGGTTGACCGCCATGGAATACTTCTAACTCGAGTCGCTCAAAGCTTTGGTGAACAAGCTCTGCTAAAGTCTTAACGACTGAAAATGGTTGGAAAGCGAAAGAGAGATACAAACGTTGTATCGAGATTTACAACAGCCGAGGACGAAACAGCAACGCCTACAACGAACGATAGCTCCACCCGTGATATTTTCCGCAAATTTTTTGAAGCTCAATTCCAGCCATTGGAAGTTCCCGACTCCCACATCACACGCACTAATAGATCTAAAGAGGAGCGTAGTACTGATGAGTCTGAGGCTTCTGAATCGGACTCCGAATGGGCCGGCGCTTCAGAAGATGCGGACGGGGACATCAAAGTCGAGGTAGTCGAGCATCGAGACTCGTCGGCCATAGCGGAGGAGCCCATAAATAAGAGAGCGCGGAAAGCATTTATGGTATGTCTACATCGTATGCATATACTATTGAGGATTTACCTAATTCTATGACGATTTCCAGACCGCAAAACCTCCATCGTTTTCTATGAAAGAAGCAGCTGCCAAGAGTTCCTTAAGTAAAGATGAGGATGACGGTGACGATGGCGCCAATTTGAAGAACGATCTTGCGCTTCAGCGGCTTCTTAAAGAATCCCATCTCCTCGATTCGTCGTCGGATCTTGCGCCAACTGGTAAAAATCGACTAAAAGCACTTGACCTGAGAATGCAATCGCTTGGTGCCAAGGCATCTCTCTACCATCAGAACATGCCTTCATCACACCGAAGAGGCATCAAAGCCAAAGCCGAGAAGAAGGATGACAAACGTCGACGAGAAGCTAAAGAGAATGGAATTATCCTCGAGAAACCCGCACCCAAATCAAAACCCAGTCCGGGAAGACGGGAGCGTGGCGTTGGGGGGCCGTCTATCGGAAAGTTTGCAAGAGGGACCCTGAACCTGAGCAAACGAGACTTGTCCGCCATTCAAGGTCCCCGAAAGTCAGGCAGAGGCAGGTCTAAAGGGCGCCGTTAGATGACAAACTGCTGTGCTGGTAGAGAATCCAACATTGGTCTGCCTGCTGCACCGGAACATTCTCGGAAAATCTTCGTAGAAATAACATCATCACATCAGCTCTCTGCTTATGACATAGGGTCTATTGCCGCTGCCTGGATTAGGGGATTGGCATGGAATCTAAGCATCTTCACATGGGACAGTGATGGAAGTTCTATCGCTAATCCCCCGCTCTCGTTCTGGGCACGGCACAATCTTCATTCATCCTTCGTCAATCCTTCCTATCCGTTATCGGCGATGATGAGTATAACTAAGGATTTAGAATATACCCCGGTCCCATGTCCTGTGCTAGCCTGAGGAGTGAACTGCAACACAACAAATACAGGGCATCCGTCAAACTACCCACCTGCAAAGAGTTCGTCCTGTGACTTCCGACTTGAGAATTGGAACTTGAGAAGTTTATTTTCTGACTATTCTAGGGCGCTTTCCCTCGAAGCACATTCCAACTCCGCAGTTCTCGATATGGTGAAACCTCCGAGGAAAACTAAGTTTTGAGAATGGAGCCCGAAAATCTGAGACAATCCTACGTTTTCTGAATTGGTTTTGGATTTGTAGCTATTGTGAAACGGCCGTTATCTCTCATGGAAAAACCAGAGACACTGGTCTGGTGTACTGGGTATACCAGGAAATAATATATATGTACATAAAGATCGATGATGTAGGTACATACTATATATTTATGCTAGAGCTGAATCTAGAGACTCAGAACGGAAGACTCCCCTATTTCTTTTCTCTTCTTTTGCCATTTTTCCTTTTTGGAGGTGGTCAACATTCACAACTCCTTAAGTCTGTACAACATACTAAAACGACACAATGTTGGGATCTACTGCTATCTGCTTCTATTCCCCGATTGAGCCGTCTGTTCAAAATTTTCGGTTTTCAAAGTGTTTTGAGTGCGGAGCATATGAATCGTTATATTTGAGTTTGTAGTTTGCAGTTGCACGAATTTAGTTTGTACGAGTTCCACTCCGAACTTGCAATCCCTTTTCACCGGCTACTTTAGGCCGATAGGGTACCTGCATGGCTAGTAGAATAGCTCCAGATTTTTCTCCAGTCCTATTAATAAGTACATTAATTACCCTGGAGTCTGGATAGAATAGCCCGGCGATAGTGCTCATTATCAAAGCAAGATATTACCCCATCCAGTTCTTATACTGCTCCATTGTTGGACACGAGCATGCATATGTAAGATTCCATGTGTCCACTGTCAGGCGAAACAGCAAATCACGAGTTGAACGGGGATTTTCAACTATGCATTAGCTGTTTCAGATTTCTGCGCGCAGCCATTCCGAGCAAAGCAAAGAACTTAGTAAGGAGAATGATACGCTCATCACGAGTTACTACATGTCAGTCAAACTTTTTATCTTCCTCTAGTGCTAGACTAGTATACGGTTGCACATCATGCTCTCGTATCACTCGTATCACCGGTAGCGAGCCATAGTCTTGAAACCATGATCATAGTTTTGACAACACTAGAGTCAATAGATAGTATGTAAAGGTGCCATTTGGAATGCACATAGAAAACAAAGAATGTGTACTCACTGCCCTTAGTGCTCAACCAACCTCTTGGCACCCGCGGTCACGCACCAATACAATACTTTCCTGGGTTAAATTGATAACTGCACTTTGTTCTCCTACACGAAGAAGCTAAGACCGATTCATCTGGCCCCATCGGGGGAGAACTTCGGGAAATGTCTTCGGTCACCCGTAGCTTACTAGTGCCAAGAAGTGCTAAGTCTCCCAAGGACACATGGACGATTCCCTCTTTATGAACTGGATAAGTTGAGAATCCAGGAGCATCGACTTTTAGGTCAAGTGCTTTTTTTTTTTTTTTTTTTTTAAAAAAAAAAAAAATGAAAAAAAAATTTTTTTTCTAGAAAGAGCATGTACCCCAACGAGTCTGCGCTATGTGGCCATTGGTATTATCTGGGATAGTTTCGCAAGTGGAATCTTTTTTTCTCTATTTTTCGTTTTCTATTTTTCTTTCTTTATTTTTCCTTTCTTTCCTTTTTCATAATAAAAGAGAAAAGGAAAAAAGGAGAGAGAGGGAAGCCATCCGCTCCCATTTACCTTTCGTTGTGCTAATTCTGATCAGGGTAATATCTAAGTATGCCCCTCAAGACTGGGTATGTTTGGACAACGAATATGGTAAGTAGGACGCAATAATTGAGACAGTTGCATCATGGTATCAACAGTTGACCTTGTGTGGTATTAATAGTACTCAAGGTTTACACAATGACCTCGTAGATATGAACTTTGAAGGAGGTTTTTCTAGATCGTTTCACCGTGGCCGATCAAGCAACAACCCGTCGTACCGAGCGGGCCAAAGACCAGGTCCTATTTTCTCTCGATGATCAGCGTATTTAGTTTCAGAAGAACAGAGAGAAAAGAAATGCTCATTTTTCTACTCGGACTAGTGACTTCGGAGGATGAGACAACCGTACTAATCCTTGCCGCGCATTGCAGTATCTCCGTCGCGCAAAGTAACTCTAAGCCACTTGTAGCCTAGTTCAGGTACAATTACCTAGTTCGGTTGTCGACGGTCTGTTCAAAGTGGGGACCTCCTATAGTAGTAGTAAGGTACTATTGACTCTGCACTAGAACTAGAAACCATCATTCCCAATTCTATTGCATTGTGTCCAGTGTCCACCCGATGAATGAGTGTTTTTACTAAGTTCTAGATATTTACGGCTTCCATTGTCTCTAAGCAGGTAGTAACATTGTCAGATCTAATTGTTGATACTTTCTCTATCGAAGACCGGATACGGGTAACTGGCCTCCAGTAATTAGGTAATCGAATAAGTACTGATTCCCGCACCTTTCGATTAAAATACTTTGGGTTCTTGAAGGTTTTTTTTGGCTGGGCTCTAGCCTTCGTTTCTTTTCTCATACTATGTCCACGTATGTACAGTACCTATATACATCTATACCTACACACTAACACTTTTGAGGGAGCATGTGCTTCTTCTATGCGTTAGGATATGCTGGGGTGCGTTCGGCCGAAATAGGTGGGTAATAACTACGACGGTAGGTTGGCAGGGATACATCGATCGGGCCAATGGGTTTTGTCTGATCGTTCGCAATGGTTTATAAGCAGCAATTGGATGTTTTTACTACGTGTGCAGGACAAGTCCGTCAGTGGGCCAAAGTTACCCGCTCTTGGTACCTGAGACGATCGCAAACATAGTCACTCAGCTTAGAAAAAGAGCAAATATGGAACACTACACATAGAATAGTGGGCTATGATACTCGCAGGGCTCATCGGGGTGTGATCGTCGCTAAAGCTTACTGCTTTCTCCCAAGAATTGGGTTGTGTAGATCACCCCTGGAGACCAACGTCTTTGACCGTTTGAATGGATATGGACGAACATGTACTATAGTCTTATAGTTCGCAAAAAGCATGGGTCACTTAATATAAAGCATTGTGTACGGGGAGTATCAGGTTCTCCAGTTTAATATAAAAAATCTCCTAGCGTAACTGTCCACGCCTTTATATCCCGTAGACCTATACCTATGCTAGACAGGGAAATTGACGGCCAAGAGTTGATTCTATATGAGGATAACACACTCGCCGTTGGAATGTGATCAATGCTTGATAAAAAGTCATCCGACAACATAGTCTCTTACAGATGAACAATATAAGGCAAACGACAAAGAGTAAATAGTAGCCTAGCGTTATTTCAAAGATTAGAGTGTAGTGAAGCCCAAACCCAACCCTGAGGCCCCGGCAACCGAGCCTAGTTTAGCTCTGGATACTATCAACAGCACTAGTATTTAAAGCCGACGTCAAGGTAGGAGAATTAATCTAGGTATATTGGAAGGATACAATAGAATATATCCTGAGTACACCTGAAAAACCCATCTGGGCTGCAGTAGCCTGCCAATTGACATGGCTTGATGGCAAAGGTGGCAACCAAAAACTCGCTGCTATATGAAAGTGACAAGTCAGAATGACTGGTCAAAAATACCACATATTACTCAAGCCCTAGATAAAGCTGATGAGGCTGTACAGAGGACTGACAGCCGGTGTGATATCATGTACTGTGCATGGCAACTTATTGTTTGTATTTAGTACTCCGTACCTGTATGTTCGTAAATTGTTAGTGGTATTCAAGAACAGGGGACTGGGACCATCAGTGGGTTGTGGCAGATAGACTATGCCCGTGTTATTATTAAGAAGAAAGGTTGGATTGCCGCCCCAAACACTCAATAGTCGTTAGTCTATGGTCTATGCAGAAGGGAAGGGGGGGAAGAAAAAAAGGGAAAAGAAAAATAGGGAAACGAAAAGGCTTCGATGTCCTAACAGATTTTGACCATGTAAAGCCTATTTTTGGTGCTAATCTAGCCACTTGCGACACAGTGTTTATCTTCAACCAGTTCCCAAAAAGTTTCCCAAGATCATCTCCCCTGTTTAATTCATACTACGCCTGCGGATGACGAGACCACAGAGCTGCTTCCTTCGGCTATGAGATCATCCTACAAGCGCTAACTATCTGTTCTGCGAGACAAGTAATAGCAATCCTGGTCAGGCTGGAAGGAATTGCCGGCTTCTTCACGGAGCACTCTCTCCTGTAATAAACTCTCACCTACTCCGATGGAGTACGTACATACATACCTACATACACCGCACCACTGGACCACTACTACGGAAGTGGGCTATAGCCATAGGAGCCACCCGTGGGGGTGAGACCCTTAAATCAGCGGCTCCTATTGGCTCACAGTAAGCGCTCACATGGAGTTTGAAACAAGGGGCGGATGCTTCACAATTGCCTCCCGCGCCAGTTTTATCTATTTGTGCAGTCTTGGCATTGTTTTGGGGGTCCGCTTGTAGGGGCATCCATGGTTGGAGAATTGTCGCATTCACTGGGTGATGAGCTCCTTTTGGCTGGTCAGTTAGAAAGCCTAGATGGCTGGGAGTAGGAAGGATCACTATGCAACCTGTGCAACTGACATGACTTGACTGGTTAAGCGCTGTGGTGATCACCCAGTTGGTGAAGTGCAGATTGCCGGATAATATTTATATTCATGCAACACAGACAAGCCAATTAGATCCCCAAAGTAAGCACTCTGGTCATCTAATAATAAGAATACAAGGTAGACACCAACTCGAGATTATAGTTTTTTCCTATGGGCTGTGGAAAAGCGAAAACAGTTCAATAAGCTCTGTCAATTATTTTATTATTTTATTTATTTTTTTTTTTTAAATTTTTTTTCCATTTTTCATCTATCCTTTCCCCCCCCTCTCCCCCCCCCATCTACCTTTTAGTTTTCGATATTTTTTACCTTTTCTGTTCTATTTTTCTATTTATATTTATAATGATAATGGTATTATTTTCTTGGGCGCTTAAAAAATATTCGGACAGTAGTACACGCTTCACTTGCTTTTTTTAACCATGGATGAAATCACAAGTTCCTGAAGGAATATCGGAACTACCGGCCAGATACCCTCCCGATATCATTGTTCTACTTAGTCCCAGCCTGGGATGCTCTGTTGATTTTGTCATTTAGCCACCACATATTCGGCACACGTACATACAAGGGGCGGTTGTGTAAAAGGAAGGCTAATACAATCTAAGTACGGAGCCTTTCTTCCTCTTCTTTATATGAATGTAGAAAATAATACACACGACTATAATCTAGAGTGGGAGTGGCCAGGGCTTCTACAATAGTGGGATACCCGATCCCATTGTTAGTAAGACTTGGCATGGCGCAGAACACAAACTCCCCTAATCTTTAGAGACCCGGTAGAAAAAAAACGGGCTGATGACCCAGTTAGGTGGCCCCTCCCTCCAGGGCAAGTCGACAGGATTGGAATCTTTGGAACTCGACGGAAGCCCCACCTCGTCATACGGCCCATATATCGTATTGGTATGGGACAGTTTTGCTACTCTGGTATTTTACATTACCTCCCCATATTTGTGTTGAGTAGGTGGTCAGCCGCTCTGATGCTCGGATGCACTCCGTCCCTATTGGCTCGAAGGGAATGGAGTATGGTAAACGATGTGTACAGTACAATGTATGGATGGCGTTACCTAGTTGTACTTGGGGGATGGTCCCTGGCGCCAGTCTCCGCTTCGCCAACAGGAGCCCTACTTTTTCGTCGTGCGTCCTTCCCGCAGCCCAACCACAATCCAAAGGAAGAGAAAGAAAGAGACTCAGGTTAGTCGTCGTACTAAGTACCTTAATTAAGTTGTAGTGGTGAAGACGGAGCCAGAAAAGGGCCTCCTCCAACTGGGAAACCTCATCCGGTCTCGGTCGGCGCTCCCTGAATTCCTCTTCCAAGTTCTTAACTTGACCCCTCGACACTAGCTGAATTTTTTACATTATTATTTTGATTGATTGACATAGTTACCTACCTTTACTATTTTATTACCCTAGTGTTATTAATATTACCATCTAACCGCTGTAAAAGAGCAACATCTCCGGGACTCATCCTCCGCCTTCTCTTATCCTTTCCCCCTCCCCTTCTCATCGCGACTGACCTCTTTCTTTATTTTCCTTTCTCTTCATCACCCTTCATTTCGTTCCACTTTCGCCGTGCGAGTTATTCAAAGAGACTTGGATCCGGGCTGGCCCACTTCAACTCTCTCTTGCCCTCTTTCTTTCTCTTCATTGAGTTGACAAGCCTCGCAACGTCAACGCCCAACTACCTTTCTCTGAAAGAGGCCGGCTCCTCTTGTGTTTGGATACCTTCAGCGTTTCCATGATCGGTCGTTGATAACATCCTGAACCCAGTCCCTTTCTTTTCTTTTTCCCTTTCTTCTTTCTGCTCCATCTCTATCACTTTCTTTTCATCGCTCTTTAATCTAGAGCTTGTGGGACAGTTGTGCCTGTGCGTATGTTTTCGTTCCCTCCCCTCACTGCTACTCCAAAGGGCATAAGCCGCCGAGTTGTTCTCTCATCGACTGGCTCAGACAAGATACCCTTTTCAGCATCGTACTAATGAAACGCACAGGCATTCACGGAGCAAGATGTATCCGCAACATGGTGCTCCTATGGCACCTCCCCAGAAGCCAGAAACATTCATGCTCTCGAATGAGGCGCAGCAAAGCCTTCCTCATGACGCGCAAGTCGCGCTACAACAGGTTGATAATTGTGAGTCGGGTATCTTCAATTATATAATGGACCACCTCGAGCGTTTGCGTAACGTGATGTTGAGAAGTATTTCTTCCTGGACTAACGTCAATGCCTGATATAGTGAAGTATTTCCTTCTTTCAGCGCCAGTAGACTGGCAACCGGATCAACTTATTAGACGATTCCTGCTTCCTACTGGCGACTACATATCCTGTGTTCTATGGTTCGTTTGATCGCGTGTCCACCCCGCCTCGAGGGAAGAGAGTGTCCGGCTGATTTGGTGATAGGAGCAATCTTTTTCACATCTCGGGCACTGATATAGTTCGGTGCCTGGCCTTCAGGTTTCAGGCTTTTGGACGCCCTGTCAAGAATTCGAAGAAGTTCGAAGAGGGTATATTTTCTGATCTTCGAAACCTGAAGGCTGGAACAGATGCGACATTGGAAGAACCGAAGAGCCCGTTCCTTGATTTCCTTTATAAGAACAATTGCATTCGAACGCAGAAAAAGCAAAAAGTTTTTTACTGGTATAGCGTTCCGCACGATCGGCTGTTTCTCGACGCGTTAGAACGTGATCTAAAGCGGGAGAAAATGGGACAAGAGGCGACCACCGTCGCGGTCAGCGAGCCTGCTTTGTCGTTCGAGTTCGATTCATCTCAATCATTGTATGAACAACTCACGAAGGCACAACAAGCAAACTCCTCATCGTTTACTGCACACGCAAGTACGACATATGGCCAACCCGCTTCCCCAGTGGTTCGGACCGTTGACGCTATGCCTCCTCCTCAGATGGCTCCCCAGATGGCTCCCCAGATGCCCCCGCCGACGATCTCACTTCTTCCGGACGAATCTGGCAGCCCGGCAATTTACAACCCGATCCATATGCCCAACACTCTGGCACAGAGCGTTGTTAAGCGCGAATTAGATTATGGGCCATTCCAGTACGACCGCAATGGAATGCCCATTGTTCGAGTGCATCAGCGCCATGCTTCCATGCCGACTTTCGTCGAGTATTCACCGGCGCCGTCGTTCGTTTCGTCCCAATACGAAGATTACAGCAACCGGGGATTGTCCTTCGAACCCGTTACGCCTCCACAGCACAGTGTTCCGCTTGGCACCGAGCCGGCATACATTGCTAATGAAGATACCGGTCTCTATACTGCTATCCCTGAGATTTCTTCTACTGCAGCATTCAACCCAATGATGCAGCTGCCTCCCTCAAATCTCGCAAGCGCTCATTTCCCCACCCCTGCAAGAACATTTCACTCAAACGTCTACTCTGTTTTAGAGGGCTCTCCAACGTACAAGCAACGGCGGCGGCGTTCTTCCATACCGCTAGGCGTGAATAACTCGGTTGCTACCCCCACTCATGGTCAAACGCCGGGGCCCTCGCAACAAATCGCATATGCTGCCCATAAACCAAGCGACCTGCGGCGCTCTGTTTCCAGTTCGGTGGCTCCCGTCGCTGAGGCAGATGAGCCCCGCCGTGATCCGTCTCGCCGTATCATGAATGGCTATTCCACGGGTGCCCTTCCCCAAAAGAACTTGCTACAGGAAATGTCTCGCAATGGGACGCCTCTTCCAAGCCTCGAAGAAAATCCTGAACAGCATAGTTTGCCGCTTGCGAACCCTCCAGATGAGTTGACCGCACTTCCTCATGGTGATGTCCTGGAGACAGGTGTACAACACAGCGCAATGAACAAGGCGGAGCGGTTTGTTCCGGGCCCTGTTCGTCGCGCTCGAAGCGCTACGATGATGGAGCTTGGTCCCTATCCACAGAAGTCACACTCATGCCCTATTCCGTCATGTGGGAGACTTTTCAAGAGATTAGAGCATCTGAAGCGGTTAGTTGCAACATTCTGTAGCCACAACCATCTATTGGGTGGTCTTATATTTTCAATTCTTTAAGCATCTACTGACGTTTGACCTCTTAGACATGTGAGGACCCACACGCAGGAAAGACCTTATCCTTGCCCTTACTGTAACAAAGCCTTCTCGCGCTCCGACAACCTTGCACAGTGAGTTATCCAATGATCCCACCTAGTCGCAAGCATACTAACCATTTTTAACAGACATCGTCGGATCCATGAAGCTCAACAGGACGGTCAACAACCACTCCATGCACATGAAGATGACTTGGAAAATGAAGACAACGAAATTGGTTCCCAGGATGAGGGATCGTCTCCAGACTCCATGCCAAGTACAGTGGTCAACGTCTCTACTGTCACCTCGATGCCATCTACTATGGCATTGCCTTCCGCCATGTCTACCATGATGGCACCTCACATGCTCGCTCCTCAACTTCTACAGCAGCACATATAGAAGGCACGAAGGGAATATTGACCCAAATGGTCCTTATCCCAGCTCTCGTCAACATTAATAATGGCCTCGGTTTTGCCAACCGTGATACGTACGGTTGGTTCCGACGGTTCCGGCTCAGATATCTTACAGTTTAGAATATTTGTTGATACCATTTACTGAATTATTTAATCCAGCCAGCAGGGTTTTCCAACTATGACTCGGCTGCTGGACTGCTACATCACGTTTATTGAGACATGTTGAGAAAGTCTCCTAATCTCTGCTCCCCAGCGTACTTCCAAGATCTAAAAGGATTTCAGTGCAGGCTTGCCGTTTTCTTTCGGTCTATTAATTGGAAATGTGTTGGATTTTGGTGTGCGTACATATGTTACTGGTCGTCACCTGAGCTGCAATTCTATCATAATCACTCCTGAGATTTCTCCCCCCCTTTGCTTGGTTTTGATCTGGTTCTCACGCGCTATGTTGATATTGGATGGTTTTTCTGTATCATTTTTCTTTCCTCCATATGGGGATTCTGTATGGCAGGAATCACGAGGGAAAGCACGACGCGGATGGAATAAAAGCGGCGTATAGCTTTGAGCAAATATATTGCGGAACATTATCGGATTTTTATTATGCTGTGTTTAGGATGGAAATACTGAAGTTTTAGGAGGTAAAATGCTACCCTAAATCACACGATAAATACAACTCAAATCATTGGAACCTGTCCTTCTGACATGTCGCTGCAACCCATGGTTCGGATCTCGACTCCATTAGTAACCCTGTAAATGTGATGTGCCAAGTCATGTGATGTGCCCTGCTGACGTCGAGTAGTTTGAGAGGACAGTCTACACCCCCAGCATTACACCCAGTTTCCTTCGGATCTGTGTATCCGTTATTTTCGCCTTGAAGCTAACTCTAGCCAGTCTACCTTTATCTGTAAATGATTGTGCCTAATGGTCTTTCCTGTGTCGACTTGTGTTGATTGGTCCAAATAAGCATCCGGGATCTCTACACTACTAGCTATTGACTGGGGTCTGGACACTCTTTTAACATTGCCTGAAGTTGCAATTTCGCCTGGGGATATTCTCCTCATCACGATACTTAACATAAGAAAAAGAAGGACAGAATACTTACTCCGCACTCACTTCCTTCCAAGTCATACCTACTTAATATCCTCACCCATCCCTATACAGAACAGGTCCTACGCTTTGGGTAAATTTACCTACGGGCTATACATCCTCCCAGGAGCTAAATCTGGCCTCTTAGCCAGCAAAGCTTCCGGTCTTATCCACATCAATGATGGAAACCAATGAACGAGTAGCGAACGAGACGTCGCCCCTGGTGGGATCAGACAATGATAACGATGCCGGCTCTATAGCAGACCAAGACATGCAGAATGACGCTGAACCTGAAGACACTGGACATTTACCGGAGACAAAGAGTACCTGGTACCTCTTCCTGCTGACGTTATGTATTGGTGGGTAAGTCGTCTGCTCTGCCTATCATAGGGCCCAATGGTATCTTTCCTTAAGACTGTAAACTGACATTAGAAAAATAGACTTCAAATTGTCTGGTCAGTGGAACTATCGAATGGATCAGTAAGCGAACATATCCTGATACCTACGTAAGAATAGACGTTGACTTCGTGTCCGCGTGCGTACGTGTTTGTGTAGCCCTACCTTTTATCTCTCGGGATGAGCAAGGCTCTGCTGGCTTTCGTTTGGATTGCGGGCCCTCTGACAGGAACGCTTGTGCAGCCATACATCGGCATTTGCAGCGATAACTGTCGTTCGTCGTGGGGTAAAAGGAAACCCTTCATGGTAGTTGGTGGCCTGGCAACTGTTGTGGCTCTGCTTGCTCTCGCATGGGTGAAAGAACTTGTAGGCGGTTTTCTCGGTTTATTTGGTGTCGACCAAGGGTCTACGGGGACCAACACAGCGATCATAGTCTTTGCAACTATTCTGATGTATTGTCTTGACTTCGCTATAAACACTGGTAGGATCCATTCGTCTCTTGTCTTTGACCCAACGATACTAAGTGTGCGCAGTTCAAGCAGGTATCCGGTGCTTTATAGTTGATAACGCGCCAGCCCATCAACAAGAATCAGCAAATGCCTGGGCTAGCCGGCTCACTGGCGTGGGTAATATTCTAGGATACATCTTTGGATACATCGATTTGCCCCGCTATCTCCTGTTCTTGGGTAACACGCAGTTCAAAGTATTGTGCGCGCTAGCATCTCTATCACTTGGCATCACATTGTTGATTAGCTGCCTGTATATTCAGGAACGAGATCCTCGCTCCGAACCCACTTCCTCTACAGGAAACCCTGGAATTGTGACCTTCTTCAGACAGGTCTTTAAGTCGATTCGGTACCTACCGCCGCAGATTGCCAGAGTCTGTGAAGTCCAACTGGCTGCATGGGTTGGCTGGTTTCCTTTCCTCTTCTACGCTACGACATATATCGGACAGCTCTATGTCAACCCAATCTTTGATGAACATCCGAATCTCTCTGACAATGATATCAACGAGGCTTGGGAGAAAGCTACCAGGATCGGAACCTTTGCTCTTCTCGTTTATGCCATCATTTCTTTTGTAGCCAATATAACATTGCCGATTTTCGTTGTCCCTACTTACCAGCCTGTTGCCTCACCCGAGGAGACCTGCAGCCCTTCAGATGACGCAAGGGCCTTTCTAGGGAGGAGAATGTCATGCTCTAGCCTACCAGTCGGTACAGCCTCGGAGCCCCCTCCAACTATCCCAGATAAGACAAATTTCGAAGTCCCAGACGGACCAACGTGTTTGTCGAAACTGCAGATTCCAGGGTTCACGCTCCGCCGAGCTTGGCTTTTATCCCATGTACTCTTTGCGCTCTGTATGTTTAGTACCCTTTTCATCTCCAGTTACCAAGCAGCAACAGTGGTGATCGGAATAGTCGGGATCTCTTGGGCTTTAACGCTCTGGGCACCTTTCGCGCTGATCTCCGCAGAGGTGGCGCGGATTGACACCGAGCGCCGGATTCGGCGACATCAGTCAGAGCTGGCAGGACGAAATATACGGCATTCTACCGGCGCCTCCGATCGGCCAAATACGGTTACCGATGACGATGATCTAGAAGATGGATTAACGTCACCAAGGAAGCTTATGGACGAGGAAGAGAATCTAGCACAAGCGGGGATCATCCTCGGGCTTCATAATGTGGCAGTTTCATCGCCGCAGATCCTGTCCAGCTTGATTTGCAGTGCTATTTTTAAGATGACCCAGAAACCTAGAGGTGAACCGTGGGATGACAGTGTTGGGTGGGTGTTGAGGTTCGGGGGTTGCGCTGCGGTCCTTGCAGCATGGTTGACCAGCCGGCTCGTCGAGGGACGTCGGGTGTAGAAAGTGAAGGTCATCCCGGATTCAGGTGGTTGCAGTATACTTTCGAGGTGTAACAGAAGTAGTAGCTCATAGAAAATCATAAAGATTCGAGTGTAGAGACTATATTAATACTCCGTTAGATAAATATAGCGGCGGACAGCCGGCGGGACTTTGTTAGTCTTGGCAGGCCACCGCTCGCCGTCAAATACTTGTCCCGATCTACCGACCTGACCTACTAGTACTTACATGACTATCTCCTCTGCCCTCCCCCTTGCCCTTCACTTTTTGTTCTCGTCACTTTCTCTTGTCAGCGGATTATGTGCGCCTTGGTCTGGCGTCAGAGACTCACAGCTGGAGTTAACCGCTTGGTGTCTTCCGCTGTCGTGGTTGCGTGGCCTTCGTAAAGATGGCTAGTCAACTGATGGGCGATGTCCTTCATCAACTTATCCGTATGTCTCCTATCACGGGTTTTGTTGTTAAGAAGCATTCACTTGCCACGGTGACGGCGTCAGTTAGTTCTGACGCTGTCTCGCACTGCTCCTCTTCTTATCCGACTTCCACCTGATAACTCAAACGCGCCATGCCATAGCTGACGATGCTTGCTTTGCTAGGTAGAGCGGCGGACTCCGAGTCCGATCCCGATGAAGGTGCGCACCGAACCGCCCAATATTCGAGGTCGTAATACCACTTGCATTATCTCTGACTATAATGGGTTTGGGTAGATGTCCCGGAAGCTGGTACCAAGGAGTTCTTCAGCTCCTGGGCCCTCTTTATTCTGATTATGCTCTTGATGTTTGCGCTATTCACCAGTTACATTCTCCAGCAGAGGAAGATCCAGGCGGTGCATGAAACCGTCCTTTCTATTTTTGCTGGTTTGTTCATTCTTCTACAATCAGCGCAATACCCGGGGGTTGGCTTCTCACATGTTTATAGGTATGTTCGTTGGGTTGATCATCAGGTTGAGTCCCGAATCACCCATCCAGGACAGTGTTACGTTCGATTACCAATTTTTCTTTAACCTCCTCCTTCCTCCAATTATATTGGCCTCAGGGTACGAACTTCACCAGGCAAACTTTTTCCGAAACATTGGTACTATTCTTACCTTCGCGTTTGTGGGGACCTTCATATCCGCTATCGTGCTGGGGCTTGTTTTGTATGTTTGGACGCGGATTCCATTGGATGGCTTGAATATCTCGTTCGTCGAGGCTATCTCTGTAGGCGCTACGCTATCTGCTACAGATCCAGTTACTATCCTCGCCATATTTAACCTATACAAAGTGGAGCCGAAACTTTACACCGTTATCTTCGGCGAGTCGATCTTGAACGATGCAATTGCGATTGTCTTATTCGAGACCGCACAGAAATATGCAGATAGCGACGCAGGCTCTCTGACTTTCCTCAATCTATTTGAGGCTATCGGCCTGTTCTTACTTGTCTTCTTCGGTAGTATGCTGGTAGGCATGATTGTAGGTATCATGACTGCACTGGGTCTCAAGCATACACATGTCCGCCGCGTGCCCAAAATTGAGAGTTGTCTGATCGTTCTTATCGCATATGCAAGTTATTTCTTCTCCAACGGCGTCTATCTGTCTGGTAAGTTGGCAGAATCCCCTTAAAGAAAATACTCAGAAGCTCATAGTAAATAGGCATTGTCTCTCTCCTGTTCTGTGGTATCACTTTAAAACATTATGCATACTACAACATGTCACGCCGGACTCAATTAACGACGAAGTATCTGTTCCAGGTGATGGCACAACTGTCAGAGAACTTTATCTTTATATATTTGGGACTCGACTTGCTTGTCCAGAGAAATCTCCAGTTTAAGCCCCTTTTCATCATGGTAGCTGTCTTCGGTATCTGCCTCGCTCGGTATCTCGCCGTTTTCCCACTATCCAAGGCAATTAATTGGTTTATTCGATATAGAGCGCGCCGACGCGGAATGGAAGTTGCAGATGAGCTACCCTTCGCTTATCAGGCCATGCTCTTCTGGGCCGGGCTTCGTGGAGCTGTTGGCGTGGCACTAGCTGCAGGTCTCACTGGTGTCAATGCTCCCGCATTGCGAGCTACCGTTCTTGTTGTTGTCGTGTTGACCGTCATAATTTTCGGCGGCACCACAGCTCGAATGTTGGAGATCCTTGGTATCCGAACAGGGGTGGTCGAGGAACTCGAATCTGACGATGAATTTGACATTGAAGTTACTAACGGGGGAACGTATTACAAACGATCCGATACCGCGTTGGGATATACCCCCCGCCGCATGGACTCAAATATCCCATTAGATGGCATGCAGCGGGGAGAGCTTGACCGGAACGATAGCTATTCGAGCGGCAATAACCGCCGTCCTAGCCCTCCACCATCTAGTTCGGGAAAAGGTCGGAGACATTCACGTCTCTACTCAAATGCGTACAGCCAGAAGGATGCGCAAACAGCCCGCGACCGTTCATCCACAGCTACACTACTTGGCAGCGGCATTGGGAGTCACAGTGACAGTAGTGCGGGCAGCGAAGATGAGTTCGGTCTGAGAAGTCACGGTAAGGGCCGAGCGACAGATACCGACCCTGTCGATGCCTTCGATTTAGATGTGGATGAAGTACCCTCAGACGACGACCTTCCTCCTTCAGCCCCTACAGTTTCTCGACTGCGGCGATCACCCTCCCAACCACCCCAGTATCTGGGTCCTTCACAAGCACATTCTTCAGCAGCTACGGTGTCACCGTCGAGGCGAGAGACCGGGCGGAGCGCCAGTCAGGCTATCCGGGACCTTTTCTCGGGAGGGTCGTCCGGAGATCATGGCGCCTGGTTTCGACAGCTGGACGAGGATTATATCAAACCCCGACTCCTACTGGATCAATCGAATCATAAGGGGCCGGGTGCTGTGTAGACGTTGTTTCATATACCTAAAGTTTGCTTTCGATCTATTCATTTTATTACTAGTTTGTAGCTCTTCTATACCAGCCAGCTCCAAGCATAGTGTGTACTTTGTTCTTTTGTCATACATTGACACTACAGAGCCTGGAAACTCTACGGCACGTGTATACTGGGAAGGATTCATGCAATTGTTTCCATGTTCGTTTAGATAAGACCGTGGTCAATGAAAGAAACCCTTTCGTCTCACTGTCTCCTAAATTTGGTTTATCTCTGGGGCTATCATTCCTCGATAGAAGAACTATGAAGTTGGTTTTGTGGCTGAATCGATAAGAGATTCAATCTCCGTCTCTTCGCAGATTTGAAACAATTATCACCGTTTATAGTATACATACATCTTGATCCTGCAGGTGCTGGCTCAGTCTTATCTACTTTCCCTCTCTTTCTTCCATTCCTCCTTCCATAGTTTTTTTTTTATTCTTATTGTTATTTTTTTTCTTTTATTATTGGGCTTAATTCGTATCTTCTTCTCAGTTCCCTTGTCGGTACAGATCCTTCCTTTCATTATGGATGTCAAAATCAAATCAAGGCTGTCTCACGAAACTGAAAAGGATGACGTGCCGGTGGAGTCGGAGGGTTGGGGGGGGGGGTTTAATGCCAATCCTGTGTAAGTTTTTGTTCCTCGGTTTCTTAGTACATATATACCAATGGCCATACTAGATGGATTGCAAGGTTGATGGATAATGGTTTGACAAGCCATTCTCCGTTACAAACAGGAACTGCGAAGGCATTAATTAATTACTCAACAAATACAGGTCTTTGCGGTAGGATTCAGTATCGTGGGCTATTGCTGTCAATTGCTTCAACACTTTCCTTCTCAGACGACGGTTCAAATGGCCCATTGTCTAATTCTTCTAATTCTTCGTAGTAAAAGCTTGGAGGCTTAAGATATATAAGATCCCGTTAATGGGCGAGTGCTTCACGAATAAGATTTTGTTTTCATTATATAGCAGTGCCCCTAAGAGGCATATGATTTACGGAGAAAGCGAAAGACGAGGGTTCTAATGTGAATAGAACGCTATTAAAATTCATACCATAAATCATTACCTATCGATTATACAAGGCCACCAGCTACCCCTCAATACGCTCTTGTAGCATCTTCTGTATCGGCATTCTCGTTTCTTTCATATTCTATGACCCGGAGACCTTAAGACACAATGAAACCCCATAGTTCTAATAGTTGTTATCCTGCCGCTGCGCTGTATAGTTTCTCATTTACTCGGGGATTTCGAGCACATAACGACCGGCAATCTTGCCTTGCTCTATTTAGCTTGTTAGCATAACTTTAAATGAAATGAGTTATGCATCGCAGGGAATGGAGAACGAACCCATGAGCTCAAAGATCTTCGGAAGATCCTTCAATGGTGCAGTCTTGAATGGAGCCTTGATCAGACCGCGAGCAAAGAAGTCAACTGCCTCGACGCCATCTTGACGGTTACCGACATAGCTACCCTTGATGTTGATCATGCGGACCACAGTATTGAAAACAGGAGCCCTGAGGAAGGCGCCGGCGGGCAAGCCAATAGCGACGACGGTACCACGCGAGCGGACGTATTCGGCAGCCTGCTGGAAGGGCTTCTCGGCAACGGCGAGAAGGATGACCGCATGGGCACCTAGGCCTTCAGGGGTAGCGGCTTTGACGTCTGCAACGAGATCTTGGGTCTTGGTGAAGTCGACGTATGCCTGCGATGGGAAAATGTTTCGTTAGTATATTTTGGGTGATAGCAAGGAAAAACAGCTCAAGGCAAGGGGAAATTGTATTGGCATACCTCCGCTCCCAATTGCTGGCACATGGCTTGCTTCTCTTCTCCGCCGTCGATGGCCACCACACGGATGCCCATTGCCTTCGCGTACTGCAGCGCCAAAGAGCCGAGGCCACCGCCAGCACCAACGATGGCGACGGTCTGGCCCGGTCGAACGCCGGCTTCTTTCAATCCCTTATATACCGTGATACCCGCACACAGGACGGGGGCGACACCATCGAGAGGAACATTCTTCGGAAGCTTCGAGGCGTGAGTGGCCTTACCGATGGCGTACTGTTGGAAAGTTCCGTCGACTGTGTAGCCAGACAGCGACGCATGAGGACAGAGGGGCTCATCGGCTTGTTTGCAGAATTCACAAGCAAGGCAAGACCCATTGAGCCACTTGAGACCAGCATGGTCGCCAACTTCGAACTCAGTCACCAGGTCACCCCTGGCGACGACAACACCAGCTCCCTCATGTCCACCCACCAGCGGCATCTTCACGGGGAGGGGCCAGTCCCCCTTCAAGGCGTGAAGGTCGGTATGGCAAACGCCAGAGTAGCGAACCTTGACAAGTATCTCATCTGGTCCGGGCTTGGGGACGGGGATTTGTTTATAGATGAGCGGACCGCCTTTCTGCTCGGCGACTTGAGCCCATTGCATCTCAGGAATAGACATTTTGACTTTGTGGATCTTGGAAAAGGGAAAGGGAAAACAAGAAAAAGAGAAGATTTGGGGTGTGAGCTTGAAGGAGGGAAGTGATGAGGATATGAGATATGCAGAGGGTGAGACTCAGGACAGTTCTTATAGTAGTCAAAAGATCTGGACCAGGGTTTCAAAGACAACAAGTGGGGTGACGGTCATCCAACCCGGATATCTCACACAACATGACGTTGCCTTATTGGATAAGAATGATAGTGAATTGAAAGATATAACAGATTACAACGGGTATATGGAATGAGGATCACCGGAGAGAGGGAAAGGGAAAGGTCACCAAAAAAATATTTCTTTTTCCTTTCTTTCTTTTCTTTTCTTTTCACCGAAGCTAGTCTAGGAGCTCATCAGACCATGGTCGTCCGATATACAACGTCATCGGTGTTACTGGAGCTCTCTCCGCATGGCCCGATCGAGTAAGGGAAGCAATAAGCATCGTCTTTGAACTTCCCCCTAGAACAAAGCAAGTTGAAACGTGTACAGACTTTCCCTTCCCCCGAAAGAAAAAAGCGTGGGGGAATGGAATTGGATCTGTTCTGTTCTGTCTGATTGCTTCAAGGTCCAGAGTCTTGGCCAATCCCTTCCGAATGCGGTAAGATTATCATGCGGGGAAAAGAGAAAAGAGGGCTCAATCTTCTTCTATTTCCCCTGTCAAATCTCGAGCTTGGCTTTTTGTTGTTGTTGTTGTTGGAGTACAGGTAGTAGGCAAGATTCGAGGCAATTGCAGAATAGAGTAGTTCGAAGTTCAAACAAAGGAGGCAAAAAAAAGAAGTTTGGCCACGATCCACTCGGATCGGATGACATACATCGACTGATGTCCAGGCGGTTTTTGGGAAGTCGCTGTGCCTCAGGCGGAAACGCTATCGCTGTCATTAGTAGCAATCGTAGCCACTTTGCCGCCCTGTTACTTGGCTTTTTTTTTTTTTTTTTCCGTCTTTCTCGGGGTTTGGTGAGATGCGGGATGTCTCACTTTTCTGGGTCTTTTTCTTTCTTTTTTTTGGGTTGTCACTCCCTCAAGTAGATCTCGGACGTACGGATCTTGACAAGTTCGCATACGTACATTCTTGATACTCCCAGCAATGGTGGCATCGCAGGAAGGCCACCCTTCTTCGTGTTCGTGGAACTAGAAGCGAGCAATTTTAGACCCGAGAGACATGGAGGTTGTGATTCGGTCGAGTTGGCTCTAGAAGGAAGGGCTTGGCTTTCTCTCTGTCTCTCTCACTCTCTGAGAAAGTGATGGACGGCATTGTGACTCTGAACTCCCTATTTTCAGTAGAAGCCAGTGGCCTTATATCAGGATTATATCAAGCATAATTTCGTTCATCATCATTATCATCATCATCATCATCATTATTGTCTTTGTCTTCTTTTTCGTACCATTATATCTGGAACGCAATTGTACCCCACGCGTAGACTTGTCGCGGGCAGTTTTAGAAGGAAAGTAAGGCTAGGTTCGAGGGCAGCAGAGGTATTTAAAATATTACTTTAGCTTGACGAAAAGTACCTTATGGGCAGAGGACCTTTTGGAAACCACCTGACCTCCACCTGCTATAGTAGTATAGTATACCAAGCGTTGAAGAGTGAAATCAATATTATTACCATGGATTGCAGTGGTAACAGTCTAGTAGCTCTGGACAATACATGAACCGCATGTGTTCTTTCCGGGCCAAAAAAGACCTCACCCCCAGCAATAAATTTTATACGAGCCTGTAATATCTTTATATATGTATATATATAAATAACCCTTATCACGAGGCCGCGCCCCCGGAACGTTGTTATAAGGGTCGGTTGTATCAATATTTCTACACTCTACATGTGGTCTGGACTGCATGAAAGCTCATTGTGCCACACCGAGGGATGTGTAACAACGTAGTGGAGTTCTAGGGATTGTGCTGTCAAATAAGAGGTCCTTCCCAATGGCCACAGTCTGTACCACGGCGGGAATCTTTTTTAAGTGTAGATTCCGGACATGTGCACTTCTAAAACATCCAGACCTTTGGGAGGAAGGGTAACAAAGGAGGTAGAAAGGGCCAGAATATATGGGTTGATGTTTCGTGGATATCTGCATTGAACGAAGAAAACCCTTTCATGTTCTGGTGAGAAAACCAAAGGGGGCTAAAAGCATTTACCAACTACTCTTACTGCAAAAGTCCCTCATTCTCAGCCTCATCCACCATGCAGTTGTCAAATGGTGACTATTAACCGGTGCGTGCCTTTTCAAAAACATGCTGAACGTTGCTTCCCCGAGCAGGCTGTTTCAACGGGATCGGCTTAATACCACGGGATGTTCCTCCGGCCGGAGCATTCCAGCTCGTTGGCGCTGATTTCGGACGGATCTGGTCAAGTCCATCAAACCTAACACAACAGAACATATGACTTTTTAAGCCACCAAAGGGCTTTGGGGCTATATCAACAAGCTCTGTCGTTGGGGAACTCTTTTGTGGTGGCTTTCAACAACACAAAGAATGATAGGACAGGGTTGATTTGGGTTGGTCTACTAAATATCTCTTAAGTACTAAGATACTATGATTAGTTCGGAGTAAGGCGTGGAGGTGCAAAAGTACCTACTTTGTAGAAAGTCTTGGTATGCAGACAGCGGCGATCTACATGTTATTAATCCAACTCATAGTTGATTTGAATTCACCATGCTACAGAAGAAACATTCTAGAGGGTATTAAGTATTTATGTATGTATGTATGTACATATGTAGGTCAATATCATATAGATTCCATGCAAACCTGAGATCCGGGGTCGTGATTACAAGTACCAAACGAGACGGGCTTGGTTATAATCCGAATCTGTTTGAAAAGTTTTCACATATAGAAAGCATCATCATGTATGGAACAAAAGGGGCTAGTTGTATCTCTGATGGAAGAAAAGAAAGCACGGGATTCTTTTTATATAAAATTAATCCGGATCACCTCAAGGGGGGTTAATTGATTGATTGATCCATTAGTACTTAGAAGAGAAGGCTGGCCCTATGTATAGTATGTACGTACCTAGTGTATTTTACCGGAAGTAATGGAAATACACGTACCGCGGAGAGCGTGTTTCGGATGGGCGATTCAAGCAAGTAACGAGAACGAACGACACGAAGAAACCAGAAAGGGAAGAAGAGTTGGGCAAAGGGGGAAAACGGACAGAAAGTGACCAGAGAAGGAAAAATACTGGAACCGACAACAACCAACAAACCCATCATCATCATCATCACCACCACCACCACCACCTCCTTCTCTACCATCGTCACTCTTCCTTTCTTTCCTTGCTCCTCTTTTCCACCCTTTCCTTCTTGATCACCATCACCATCACCATCTCATATCTCCCCGACCTATCCATCGCCTTCCCCATTCTCTTGTCTCAAAGCTCTATCTGCCGGCCCAGACAAATAATTGATTACACCCACCACCCCTTGGCTGGGCCTGGCTTTTTGGCGCATCTTCGCCTCATCGGCCGTCTCTTTCGGAACCGGGTTTTGTTGGTTCACCACTAAGCACAAAGAGCAGATTCCTGTGCACCCGGTAAGGCAATCTCCTCTTCCACTCTATCGTCGTCCCTTCCCTTCATTCTCTCGCCAACTAACACATCGGCGACCCCTGCCTCCATATCCAACTCACTTTCCGATGTTTGAAGCACCTCGAATTAATTCTCAAAGCAGACATCACCTAAGCGACAATCGGACGGACGCGTGATAGCTTCGCATTTACACTTCTCACCAACAACCGCGCATGGCTGGCGGTCGCCTATCGTGACGGTTCACGTTTACCTGACACGATTCTTCGTGCGCTTATCTCTTCCATCCATCGTGAAGCATTCGCCGCCGCGTTTTCGGCACACGCGGCCACCATGACGGGGGCTCCACCATATAATCCTCAGTCCCCTACCCAGCAGCACCATTATCCTGGCTACTCTCCCCCAAACAAGAATCGCCCCTTTTATCCCAACAATGACCAGTACCAGCAACATCCTCCCCAGACGCCTCCCGCGTTCCCTCCCCAGACCGCAATGTCCCGGAGTCCTCACTACTCACATGCGTCTCCATTGCCGGCTACCCTCCCGCCATTGAATGGTAGCGCACCTCCGCCGCACCCTGCGGATCCTTCATCGCAATTTCAAACCCATTCGTCGGCTGGAACCCCTCAGTTCCCACTTCCCCGGCCTTATTCTGGATCCGTCTTACCAGGCAACGGCGCATCGCCTTACGGTCACTCGACTCCTCCTCATGCCCGTCCGACCGGCAGGCCTGATGGTCATCCGCAGCTTTCCCCGAAGAAGGAGCCAGAGTCGTCCTATATGGGGGGCCATGGAGTCGCTGGATATCCGTCATCTATTATGAGAGAGCCTAAGCCGGCCTCCCCTCCAAAGGAAGTAGTATGTTCTTTTTCTTACCCAAACCATGCCTTCTACACTGGAGTTTGAGACGTTGCTTGCTAATATATCATTCTTTGTTGCTGCATGTAGAAGCCTGCCAGGGCTGCAGATCCCATGTCTTTCGCCAGCATTCTTTCTGGTCCGGCCGAAGAGCGCTCTCCCCCAAAGCGACAATCTCCTCCACCAGAGACGGCACCAGCACTGGTAGTATCGACACCACGAGGAGCATCTCAGCTTAGCCCGCCTCCACCAACTAACACCCCTTCCTCGCAACAGAGAATAAAAGAACAGGAGCAGGTACTACCGAGACTAGAGAAAAAGCCTAGCTCGGAGAAATGCCGCCGCAACCTAGAGCTGGAAAATAAATCGGCTGAGCCATTTACTACCACACCAACCAGCGTCGTCCTTGAGCCAACCAAAACGTTTACCCAGCCTCGTGTTTCTAGTTCCCGTAAAATTCTATCCGAGCGGGAGACAGAAACCATCAATAAACACATGGTGGAGATTGATAACGCAGAAAAGAGTGATGTGGAGGCCCCTGGGTTTGAAGAAGAGCACAAACGCTACAGCATGAAAAGTAAGAAACGGGCTTTGGACGCTGAGAGAATCGAGGGTATCAGGCGCAAGGTAAGCTGTTGTTTTCTCCGCTACTGATAGCGCTGTACTTACGCAGAATGTAGCGCCGCCGGAATGATTTTTTGATCAACCTTGGAAAGTCACTGGAGAAACAGGCCTCTGCGGGAATGGACCGGTTTCGGATCGCAAACGAGGCCTCTGTCATCTCGGAAGTACAAGCCAAGGAAATACAAGACGAGAAGGAACGTAAGAAGGACATGCAGAGGAAGCGCCGGAGAGAGAATACGGTACGGTTGGAGATGCAGAAGAAACTCGAGGCCGAGCGCAAGGCGAACAGGGCTCAAGATTCCGCTGAGAAAGCCAAGTTTCTACGGGAAGCCGAGCGGGCCCAGAGAAAAATTAAAACTACCAAGAGGGCCTTGGAGGGAGTTACGGCGCCCGAAGAGATTGGCGAGGTCACCCCGCTGGCACCAAACCTGGAAGGTGGCACTACTAGCTCTTTCCACATTGGTCGGAGCTCTCCGTCAAGGCGAAAGTCGGGACGTGGCGGTCCTGTCACACGGCCTAAGAAATCAAAGGAGCAAAAGCAAGCTGAGAAAGACGCAGCGGAGGCCGCCTATGCCGCTATGGAAAACGACGAGCCGTTGCCTCTTGCACCTAAGGAGGATCCACGCAAGGAATCTCTTAAGAAGGAGGCCAAGGGCAGCCGCTCCAAGGAGACTAGCCCGGCACCCCTGTCCGCCTTTGAAACAAAAGGCTACAATCAAATTTACGAACAAATCTGGCGAGATATTGCTCGTAAGGATATTCCAAAGGTCTTCCGGGTCAAGGCCCTTTCGCTCAGTACCCGCCAGGAGAATTTGCGCAAGACTGCTCAGTTAGCTAGCAAACAGTCTCGGAAGTGGCAGGAACGTACCAACAAGAGCATGAAGGATACCCAAGCTCGGGCCAAGCGAACGATGCGTGAGATGATGTCATTCTGGAAGCGTAACGAGCGTGAGGAACGTGATTTACGCCGTCTTGCTGAAAGACAGGAGATTGAGTCAGCCAAGAAAGCAGAAGCAGAGCGCGAAGCTAACCGCCAGAGACGCAAACTCAACTTCCTCATCTCTCAGACTGAGCTATACTCTCACTTTATTGGTCGGAAAATCAAGGGTGCCGAGGGCGATGCTACTAGTGATACTGTGGGTGAGACAATTCAACCCGGGAAAGACCAAGAACAAGCTGTGGATCTACCCGCAGGCACCAAGGTCACCAGCTTTGAGGACCTGGATTTCGATGCAGAAGACGAATCAGCACTCCGACAGGCGGCTATGGCCAATGCGCAGAGTGCCGTTAAGGAGGCCCAGGACCGAGCCCGGGCGTTCAATGCCGGGCAAGATCAGATGGCTGCTTTGGACGAGGGCGAATTGAACTTCCAGAACCCTACAAGTTTGGGCGATATTGAGATTTCGCAGCCCACCATGCTTACGGCGAAATTGAAGGAGTACCAGTTGAAAGGTCTTAATTGGCTTGTCAACCTATACGAGCAAGGAATTAACGGTATCTTGGCCGATGAGATGGGTCTTGGAAAGACCATTCAGTCGATCTCCGTTATGGCCTACCTCGCTGAAGTTCACAACATCTGGGGCCCGTTTCTAGTCATTGCGCCAGCCTCGACCCTGCACAACTGGCAGCAGGAAATTACTAAGTTTGTTCCTGATATCAAGGTCCTTCCTTATTGGGGCTCGGCGAAAGACCGCAAGATTCTCCGCAAGTTCTGGGACCGCAAGCACATCACCTACACCAAGGAGTCGGAGTTCCACGTGCTGGTGACATCGTATCAGCTAGTGGTTCTCGATGCGCAGTATTTCCAGAAGGTTAAGTGGCAATATATGATCCTGGATGAAGCCCAAGCAATCAAATCCTCGCAAAGCTCCCGTTGGAAAAACCTCTTAGGGTTCAGCTGTCGTAATCGTCTGCTCCTCACTGGTACGCCCATTCAGAATAATATGCAGGAACTGTGGGCTCTACTCCACTTTATCATGCCCACCTTGTTCGATTCTCATGATGAGTTCAGCGAGTGGTTCTCCAAGGACATCGAATCACATGCGCAAAGTAATACAAAGTTGAATGAAGATCAACTCAAGCGTCTCCACATGATCTTGAAGCCCTTCATGCTCCGTCGTGTCAAGAAGCACGTCCAGCAGGAACTTGGAGATAAGGTTGAGAAGGATATCTTCTGCGATCTAACCTACCGTCAGCGCGCCTACTATACTAACCTGCGCAACCGCGTCAGTATCATGGACCTTATCGAGAAGGCTGCTATTGGCGACGAGGCTGATAGTACGACGCTGATGAACTTAGTTATGCAGTTCCGGAAGGTTTGTAACCATCCAGATCTATTCGAACGGGCGGAGACAAAATCACCATTTTCTATCGCGCATTTTGCGGAAACGGCCTCCTTCGTGCGAGAAGGCCAGAACGTTGATGTTGGTTACTCGACACGTAACCTGATCGAGTATCCTCTGCCTCGCCTTCTATGCAGCTCTGACGGCCGTGTTGATGTAGCGGGGCCTGGTAACCTACATGCCGGCTTTCGTGGCAAGTACTTGGCTCATTTGATGGACGTTTTTGCCCCAGAAAATATCAAGCAAAGTATCGAACACGACGGCGCCTTCTCTTTCCTACGCTTTGTGGATACTTCTATCAACGAAGCGTACGAGCAGTCACATCAAGGTATCTTCGAGCGAGCGATTCGCCGCCGCGGCAAATATAACAGATTGTCTCGACTCAATGTAGTATACGATGAAAGAACAACGGCATCTGCCCTTCCCCACACTATGTTCAATATCATCCAACGCAATGATCAACATGCTATCCGCAATGTCACGACAGAAGGCTACATGCGGGAATTAACGACCGTGGCGCTGTCCGTCTTTGACCGTGAAGGACTCGGCATCATCGAGCCTTGTGCCAGTCCAGCAGCATCTGCACCTCCAATTACCATATCCTGCTCCGGTCGAGCTGCATTGAACGAGATGAACGACAGCTTATTCAACGTTCCAGTTCGACATGTCTTGTTCAGTACACCTTCGACACAACTGGAACAGCAGATTCTCGAAAAGAAGCTGGACCCTGTTTCTTACTCGCTTCCGCCAATACTACCACAGCCGATATCCGCGAAGGGACGCTACACGCATATTGAAGTGCCATCTATGCGACGCTTCGTCACAGATTCAGGAAAATTGGCCAAGCTAGATGAGCTGTTGCGAGAGCTGAAGGCGGGCGGTCACCGTGTGCTACTCTACTTCCAGATGACACGCATGATCGATCTAATGGAAGAGTATTTGACCTACCGTAATTATAAGTATTGTCGCTTAGATGGAAGCACGAAGCTAGAGGACCGTCGCGACACGGTGGCTGATTTCCAGCAGCGCCCGGAAATTTTCGTGTTCCTATTGTCTACTCGTGCTGGTGGTCTAGGTATCAATTTGACTGCAGCAGACACGGTTATCTTTTATGATTCAGATTGGAACCCAACAATTGACTCTCAAGCCATGGATCGTGCTCACCGTCTTGGTCAGACGAGACAAGTTACGGTATATCGGTTGATTACTCGCGGCACCATTGAGGAGCGTATTCGCAAGCGAGCTTTGCAGAAGGAAGAAGTGCAGCGTGTCGTCATTTCCGGTGGTGCAGCTGGCGGGGTTGACTTCAATACTCGTAACCGCGAGAGCCGGACTAAAGACATTGCCATGTGGCTGGCAGATGATGAACAGGCCGAGCTCATTGAGCAAAAGGAGAAAGAAGCTCTGGACCGAGGTGAAGTGTTTGGTGCTAGTAAAGGTGGTAAGAAGGCTGCGCAGAAGAAAAAGAGAGATATCACGCTGGATGACATGTATCATGAAGGTATGTTAACTTGGTCAAGGCACTCTCCGTCCTTTGGAAGATCTCTTGTGGACGTGCTAACCCTTTCCAACTTTAGGCGAAGGGAACTTTGATGATGCCAGTGCAAAACCATCCGGAGCGGCCACCCCTGTTTCGACTGCAGAGAACCTAGGCACTCCATCGTCCACACCCGTCCCCAAACGAGGGCGGGGACGTGGAACAGCAAAAGGCACGTCTAAAAGAGCGAAAACCACCAAGGAGCGGCTACGTCTCATTGATGGCGACGGTGGCTTGGGACCTAGTTAATTCGATGAATATTTGCCTTGATAATTGGACACAGCTGGTTATGGTCACGGCGTTAAAGAGATTGCCCTTCCCCCTCCTGTCTTCTTTTGCTTTTCCCCTTTTATTTTTTCCCTTTGTTTTCATTACCCCCCCGAAATTCTTATGGGCAGCTTATGTCCTGCCTTGTATTAACAGCATATATTCCTGATATACGAAGTGATTAAGAGATATTGAAGAGGTGGTATGGAACCTGGGGTGATAGGCTCAATGATGTGCAAACGGAGTCAGAGAAGAAAAGTGTCGAGTACTTTTTTTTTCTTCTTGAAATTGATGGCAAGGTACTATAGACGTGCGTATTTTGGTGTATTTCTTTTGCCAACGGTTGATGTAAGATTAGAGAAAATCCCATCTGATTCGAGTAACATTCCCCGTGCCAAGGGTGAATTCTCTGGGCGGAGTAAGGCATCAATAGCCGATTACCTAGGCTAGATACAGAATACTGCTAAAACAATCTCTGTGTACTCCGTTTCGTACCGGAGTATGGTATGGTATACATGGCCGAGTCAATACCGCCGGCCAATCACGAGTGATGATATGGTAAGCCGAAAAGTCTCGCCGAGTCCCCGACTTAGTATTACTCGAAATAGTTTAGTCACCTTGAGACCTCAGGCCATTTGAAGGCGACTTGACTCCCAACACCTTTTCTTATTTCTCTTCTTGGTCATCCAACGGCGCATTTCTCCGTCATTTCTAACAAAATCCTTCGACTTGCTTTCCTATTGTGCATACAGCCAGTTTCGCTACTCATTGAACTTGACACCTAATGGAGTCTCTTCTCCAGCAATCACGGGCGATGTGCCCGTTTCTCAAGCGCACCTCTCCGACCTCTCTCCGTACGCTGGCAACGGCTACTCGCCCTAGCACCAGTTCTGGCGGAGGCACAATGTCAAATCTCCAGGTCATTGCACGTCGCTGCCCTGTAATGAGCAAGGCGTTGGCTGTGCAGAGTGCTCGCATGGCTGGTACTAAGAGATTCACCTCTTGTGCTGCCGGTGTGGCCGGTCTCGGCATGAAGCATTGCCGTTCTTCCCTTGGAAAGAGAGCATTGCACTCGACCTCCGGCAACGGCGCAAATGTGAGCGCTGAGATCTACAAGAATGCCCAGCGAGAGCACCCCGGCTTTTCCAAGATCAAAAATCCCTCCAATGCAACCGTCGCCGCTACATCTGGCCCTTGTCCAGATGCCCCCGTGACGAGGCCATTCAACTACGATGCTTTCTACAACGCCGAATTAGAGAAGAAGCACAAGGACAAGTCGTATCGCTACTTCAATAATATCAATCGTCTCGCGCAGGAGTTTCCCCGGGCGCACACAGCATCTGCTGAAGAACGTGTGACAGTCTGGTGCTCGAATGATTACCTTGGCATGGGCCGCAATCCTGAAGTGCTGGCCAGTATGCATAAGACTTTGGACACCTATGGAGCTGGTGCGGGAGGCACGCGCAACATTTCAGGTCACAATCAGCATGCCGTGGCGCTGGAAAACACCCTGGCCAAGTTGCACGGCAAGGAAGCTGCATTAGTCTTCAGCTCGTGCTTTGTGGCTAATGATGCTACCCTCGCAACTTTGGGTAGCAAGATGCCTGAATGTGTTATTCTGTCCGATAGTTTGAACCATGCATCCATGATTCAGGGCATTCGCCATTCAGGGGCCAAGAAGATGGTGTTCAAGCACAATGATTTGGTCGACCTTGAGACCAAGTTAGCATCCTTGCCTCTTCACGCCCCTAAGATCATTGCATTTGAATCAGTTTATAGCATGTGTGGATCTATTGCGCCGATTGAGAAGATCTGTGATCTCGCGGATAAGTATGGTGCCATCACTTTCTTGGATGAAGTTCACGCCGTGGGAATGTACGGGCCTCATGGAGCAGGTGTCGCAGAACACCTAGATTATGACATCTACGCATCTCAAGATACAGCTAACCCGAGCAGTACTAAGGGTACTGTGATGGACCGTATTGATATCATTACCGGTACTTTGGGTAAGGCTTATGGATGCGTCGGTGGGTATATTGCTGGATCCGCTGCAATGGTTGACACCATCCGCTCCCTTGCCCCTGGCTTCATTTTCACGACGTCCTTGCCGCCAGCTACCATGGCTGGTGCAGACACTGCCATCCAATATCAGGCTCGTCACCAGGGTGATCGCGTCTTGCAGCAGTTGCACACCCGCGCGGTCAAGGCAGCATTCAAGGAATTAGATATCCCCGTGATTCCAAATCCCTCCCATATCATTCCGCTCCTGGTCGGAGATGCCGAGGTTGCCAGAAAAGCCTCGGACAAGCTCCTGGAGGAGCATGGGATTTATGTGCAAGCCATTAACTACCCGACCGTGCCTCGGGGTGAAGAGCGGCTTCGTATCACGCCAACTCCTGGACACGTCAAGCAGCACCGTGACCACCTGGTGCAAGCCGTTCAAACCGTCTGGAACGAACTCGGCATCAAACGCACCAGCGATTGGGAAGCCCAGGGCGGTTTCGTCGGCGTGGGCGTTGAGAGCGCCGAAGCTGAGAACCAGCCGATCTGGAATAACGCACAGCTGGGTTTAAAGGAAAATGAACCCGTTGAGGCTGCTGTGGAGCGTGAGTTTGCTGAGGCAGCCCCAACTGCCACCCATGTGCAGACCGAAGCTCCCATTCGTCCTGCGGCGTCTTCAATCCCTGTGGAAGTAGCTGCTTGAAGTGGCTTATTAATGCGAGCTTCAATTTTTTATGGTGGAATCATTTATACAATGTTTATATATTCCACGTCCACTCCTTGACTATGTTCGCTGCTGTGCATGATATACCTGGGCATAATTGGTATTTGGACTGTTAGCTAGAAACTAGTCTGTTGTTACCATGTGTGACTTGGTTCTTGAAATTTGGCATGCCGTCTACTTTAAATTACAACTCATCTCATCTGTAGCTGCACAATCTCATATATACCTCCTCGCAGCTGTAGTCGGTTTAGTAAAAAGCCCAGTATTTGAACTCCAGGTTCCTTCCGCCAAATATGCATACAATCCATACGTACGGTAGTTATACCGCAGCCTAAAGTATATATCTGCTTCTTGGGACCTGGTACATGTAATTCTTAATTAAATACAGATTAATTTCTCTCCCAGCAACGTGGTTTTGTCTGTTTAAGCCTAGAGAATGACACGACATATGGTAGATATAATCCCGACAAATTAATATTAAGATGTAGAAAAGTTATTCTGGATCATTCGTAATTTAAATGCTTATTCACAAATAGTATGTACATATAGTACAACGTAAAACCGAACGCCAATCGCATCTGGGACAAGCTCAACGCAAACCGATCTTTTTGCACTTTTATTATTCGATGGAAAGTAGAAGAAGGAAAATAATCACCTTTTTCCACCACGACTAACCTTCGGGAACTCAACGGGGACTCTCAATCTAGCCACACGCCTAGTATTAGCCTCAGCCTTACCACCCTTGATATTCCACTTGGCAAATTCCGACTCGCGTGGCTTGTCGATGCGACAGCCTAGCTCGCGGAAATATTGTAATATGGCTGTGCTCTCTACACGCAGGTCATCACGCAGATCTGACGGGTCTGTCGCCAGTTCATTGGGCGCGTTCCCTCCTTGAGAGCTGGAGCCACCGTCCTTGGCCGGTTGAGGTGGAATAAGCAGCGATAGGGCGCAGATGGTGGTATGGAGATAGGTGACGTCGTTCTTGGTGAGATAGGAGCCTTGCGGGGCGAACTTGCGGCGGATGGCGTCGATGACGGGATCTGGAAGGGTTTCGGTTGTGTCGCTTTCGGCGCCGGTGGGAGAGGAGAGGATACGGCGAAGCTCTTCGCGGGGTGGCAGACGTTTGCTCCCAGGCCCGGAGGATGATTTTAAGTTGCCAGAGCGGAGGGCACGGGAAAACTCGAAGAGCAGGAAGATGAAACGCAAAATTTGGATCTGGGTAGCATTGGTGGAGTTCACGACCGCTTCCAACCGGCGAGACACGTATTGTGAGGTGGTAGCCACGGCCTGTCCGGAGCTGACGGCCTCCTCCCATACGTTTATGCCGGGGAGCTGTTGAAGCGTAGACAGACCTCCCGGGACAAGCACATCAATCGGGTACACATCCGAAGGATGAGATGCAGCCAGATTGGCCTGGGGCAGGGGCTTGTTGGCTTGAACTTGGGCCTGCACTGCAGCAGTCTTGGTAGCAATGTCGGTAGCGGAGTCGAGTGGCATAGAGGAAAGAATAGCGGATTCTGCAGCGGAGGCAGCACCAGCAGGGGCATTGGACAGCTGTGCGTTTTCGGCCATGGACTGTGCTGCTTTACGAGATTGCTTGGTACCGAAAGTATTGGTGAGTTCTGTACGTTGAGCGCGCAGGGTTTTCTATACAGGCCTGTCAGTAATGCTTGTTCCCGGATAATGCAAAGAGAAGGACACACCATCTCCTCATCCTCACTCTCAACCTCCTCTTCTTCCTCTGCAGCAACCTTTATTCTCCTAACAGCTCCCCGAAGAGTCAACTTCCGCACCTCGACAAATTGCCAACTCTTCTTTTCAGGATCCACAACAGCGATATAATGCTTCAACTGGGAATCGGCGTCATCCTCGGCCTCACGGCCCACAAAATCCATCTTCGGATGCTCTGATGTCTGCAGCAGCAATTCAGATGAGACGATTCCCTTGTTTCGGGTAGAACGGCCTGGGCTGGGGCCGTGTGCGCGGTCTTTAAGGTATGGTTTTAAACGAAGGTTTTGTGGCGCGTTCACACCAGGTGTGGTAACTAGATTAGTGATTAATCATCCATATGGACTGGGCAAGTATGGAGTTGGCAAGACAAAAAGTACATACCGATCACAGGAGCCAATTCACTATCATCGTCCAGTACGCTGACCGCTAGAGGAGGCAAATCTTGCAATTCAAGAGCGGGCTTTTTACTCGGCCGTTCGTGGCCATTCGAAGCGCGCTTGCGCTTCTTTTCCACTTTGTCGGAAGGCATTACGTTGAATCCGAAGCTTAATGTGAGTGGAAAGAATCGGAGACGGCTTCGCGTGGGAACAGCTTCGTAGTATCCATTTAACTCTACAGTAGAACAGGAAGCTCAAAACTAAAAAAATTGCTGGGCGGAAAGCAAGGGCAGAATCAGTACCGTACCCAAGGCGGAGAAGAAAGGATTGGTTCATATGCAACGCACAAATCCACTGATAACGTTGCATTGACCTGGAATTGAAAACAGAGATGCAATATTGAAAAGATTCAATTCCCAACAATAACATTTGAGCAGATCTACGCAGTCGCTCCGTTTTACGTTTTATGTTTTGTCTTTTCAGATCATTGCATTCATTGCAAACTTTTTAATTTGATGGAAATAAATCATCGACCACTCCATGGCTCAGATCTTGCACTGTAACAGCGCAAGACCCAAAGAAGAGTACTTGACCAGATCCCAAACGGAACACAAGGGCCAGCGGAATACAAACAGTACATGAGAAACGTGACCATAAAATTCTTCCACGACCCCTCCAACCCCCACCAAACACATTCGCCCTCCGAGACGCAGGATATGATAGTACGTATCCACTGTCCAGTCATGATTCGAAACCGTATAACGAGTCTGAGAGATTGGATGGAGAGACATTGTTGAATAACGGACTCCGGGTTCGATATTTAGAGATAACAGACCAGCCAGGTCCCCTTGGAGTGGCTAAACCACGAAACGATCATAACTGGAAATCATCATCGTGACGTCGTCGACTTCTTGTCATGTTCAGCATTCAACTTGAGCTCCGCATGGAGAACTGAGATGGATTGGGCGAGTCATTTATTTGCTGTGTAGATTGTTAGTCCAATTGCTCCTGGAGATCGTCATCTCTCTGGTCCACAGAACTCACCTGCGAGCACGCATCTTTCTGCGCTTACGCTTCAAACGGCGGACGCGCTTCTTTCTCCACTTGGCTCTCATCTTCGTAGAGTGTTCGAGACTATGAAGCGTTAGTTTTATGTCCAAGAGAAAAGGCAATCAGGTGCCAGCTTAGGCTATATACTCACACTTCTGCGAGGATGAGGAGATGGTTGAAAGAAAGACGGAGAGCAGCCGTCGGCCGAGCTTCTTGTGTGCGTCCTTGCTGACTCAGCATTCTTGGACGCTAAGGGTTCGCTAGTGCTGTTCCGTCGTTGATTGGCTGGCCACGGTTGCTTACCGAGAAGGCATTATGTCATCCATCTCTCTCATGCAGTAGTTATGTATAAGATATTTCTAAAATGTTATCCACTTTTTCCATCGTTAATTGTTCAAAAAACAATGAAAATTCTTTATTTTTTCTCAAATTATTTAACACACAAACATGTTTCTGGTGTCTATGTTTTCTGGTGTCTATGTACCCGGTGTAGCCTGTATCCACCCCCTAGTAGTTATAGCGATAATTCAATGCCATGTCGCCCAAGTGCTCTTGTGTTTCTTCTTCTCTAGGTGCTTCGATCTGATCGCGACGCCGGTTTTCATACCAGATGGCCGCAAAGTAAGCTATGCAACAGGCCGCTGAAAAGCCAAGGAATGATATACTAATGATATATCCCGGGCGGTACTCCGGTGCATCTTTCTTCAAGAAGGAATATGTGGAGATGATGCCACCAACTATGCCACCATGTTAATGACGATGACTGAGATGATGAGCGCTCTAAAACTTCACTCACTATTTCCAAATCCAATTTGCCAGGCTGTCCCCACACTTCGCCTACGATGACCTGCCAAGTTCATCGCGAACCAGCAAACAATGACGGGCATTGCGCTGTAGCAACCTGATGTCACCATAAACAAGGCGCCGTACTGAACGTTCCGATGAGCCTGTCCATGCACATTCAACAAGATTCCAAATCCAGCCAGAGCAATCAGCATGGGCCCTATAGTAAAGGCAAATCGATGTCTGGTCTTGTCAGAGAGAACGGCTACCACCATAGAAAATCCCCAGGCAGCTGCCCACGGCGGAATTGAATACAACTGAGTCTTGATGGCTGGAAGAAAGGTTTAGCAGGGTCGCAAGGTGTACAGTAAACAGAGTAGACAGGCGTACCGTCATAACCATAACTTTTAATAATGGTGGGCGCGAAGTAGGCATATCCTGCAGCTCGTTAGCAGTTCTCCTCATCAGGAAAGATACACGCAAGCAAAATCATCTTCCGTACCATATGCAGTAACAACCTGGCCAAAGTACATCAAACCGCCGATGAATATTTTATCTGAAATATACGTTGAATACTGCGAACATTTTTGAAATGTGCATCAAACCACTTACAGTCTTTAAAGACCTCCAATACGTCACGCAGACCTATCTTAACATCGTGGCCGGCGCTTCCCGAGTCTTTGGCCAGTTTTGCACGGATGAAGTCACGCTCTTCTTCGGTGAGCCACTTGACCTCTTCAGGGAAACCAGGGATGATAAAGAACCAGACAATCGAGACGACACAAGTGATCAGGCCTTCAATGATAAAGACCCAGCGCCAGCCACCATAGCCACGAATTCCATCCATCTTTCCAAGTCCACTAGCCAGCAAGCCACCAAAGGCGCCCGCAAGTGTGGTTGAACTGAAGAAGAAACTGAACCTCTTCTGTGCCTCGCTACGTTTATACCACATTCCCAAGAGATAGAAACCTGAACCAGACAGTTGGTTATCGTCATATCAAAGGGGCAGCAGTAGCACATACAGCCAGGGAACATGCCCGTCTCAAACACCCCTGGATAGAGTATTATGAGTTAGCAAGTATTACATTGACCGGGAGATTGTCGTTCCTACCCAAAAACCACCGAGTCGTCATCAATCCGCCCCAGTTGGAGACTAGGCCTTGACAGATCGTCACCAGACCGAATAAAAACATACATGCCGACACTAGAACGGTAAGCTCCATCCTCACGCCCATAGTCTATCAGGAGTACCTACACCATACATGGGGTCGCAACTTCTTAAGCAAGATGTTGGATGGGATTTCAAAAATGACATATGGAACGAAGAAAATAGTCAATGCAGTATTATACTTCGTCCCGTTGACTATGTTCAAGTCTTCTTGTAGACCAAGGACTGCTGCGTTACTGATGTTCACACTTTTCGCAACGGACAGCGTCAGACGATGATCATTCGGCAATGGTTATGGGAAGCAACAATCGGGCGCATACCGATCCAAGAATGCGAGAAGATACATAACGCACAGACAGGGCACGATATGCCAGTCAATCTTAGCCATAAGTTTGCGCTCCGTCGTATGCTTTAGCTGGGGAAGGTCGGTTGGTTGCGTGTCGACCTGGCCTTCGATCTTGTCATCTTGGGGCGTGAGTTGTTCTGGTGACGTGGTTTACACATCAGCATCATCCTCATGGCGGCGTGTTCAGCTCACTGTACCGTCGAACCCCATGGTGAATAGAATTTTAGCAACTGTATATTGCTGCCGACTGGGGCTTTTCCGTATCCTGCTCAAAATGAAGTCTGTTTTAACGTAGTAAAGAGTGGCTCAAGATGGGTGGCTGCTTGCTACTATCTCTGCTTACCGTCGAGGGGTAGGCCAAGCTGACGGAAAGAAGGGATGACTTGGAAATTACTACCTCGGTAAGGTAGGTTGAGCTGTTATAAGCCCCAAAGATGGAAGAGAAGCAAGAAGACGAAAGAGGAGGGAATTAAAAATGTTCTACCAAGCCATTCGGTCCTGGCTACTCCATGAAGCCGATTACGCATAGTAATGCGCTCTTGTGCTCGGAAGGATTCCAAGAAGTCTCTAGTCATGGCTTAGAAGGAGCCATAACATTGGCTGGAATGGAAAAGACCAGACCAGACCCTCAGTAGTAACTCCGGACTTTTGGAACATCCCGACCTCAGCTTTGCATGCATGTCAACCAGGTTTTTTTTTCACATTTTTGTAAAGTGCGTGTTGATACTAATGAGTCCCTCACCCTCGATACTTCCTCTTCTTTCCCCCTTGTGTGTTCTTGAAGAGCGAGAACAGTAATACTATGAACCGGTGGAACGTTACCCCATATTCCTCTGCCTGAGATGACACTAGACCCGAAAGAGACCTTCCCCGCAATTCTAAGTAAATTACATAAGCTACTTCCCCCACACTCACTAACTTTTAGTTTTTACAAGGTTAACGACTACTACAAGTGGTAGTCTTGAGAACTCTCACGGCTGTAATTCCGCCTTCCGGGCAACCATACAGCTCGTATCTGAATCGAATCTTCCCAAATAATATATAAGAATCATTTATTATAATATATATAAGTGATATAATTGATTGATAAGTCTCTTCTACCGTAATTTGGGTGCCACTGAAGTTGATAGACGCATTTCTAAATCTCTAGAAACCGTGACCATAGTGACAACACCGCCAGCATAGAAGCGTAGCTTTCACAGAACCACAAGGATTATCATACAAGAACCATCCACCTTCCTACCAATCACCAGATTTCAAAGTTATTCAAGCTAGAGAAGGGGCATTGCGAGTAAGACAGTAAGAATAGCCGCTGCTATGCTACTGCGAAGCACATGCGTTCTGAACTACGTAGTCGTCGACGGCTGCTCTTCTACTGCATTTCCCCACGCCCTCTCAAACGCCGAGTCCGCGGGATGCTCTGTGGTCGTCGAGAATTGAGCCGGCTTTTGGTCGTATGCTTCATATTCTTCTTTTTCCACCAACACCGTATCGGAGCCGGATACCTCCTCTCCTGAAGGCTCTGTTTTCGTCCCAGACCCAAGCAACTCGGAATTGAAGTTCGAGCTATATACTACAGCTGCGAAGGCTTCCAACTCTCGAACACCTTGATCCATCGCAGCCAGGTACAGATTAGGAGGATTTGTACCATTGCCAATCACGTGTGCCTGCCGAGCCAAAACCGCCAGAACGTTGGCAAGCTTTGTCTTGGGTTCTGAGCTATCACCTCCTGGGATAACCGTGGCAACCGAAGTGAATGATTGGGGAACGCTACGTGGGGTTTGCGATGCCGACTTGAAGGCATCAGCGGTACATTGCTGGATCAGTGTTTGAAAGCATTCGTTGTTTAGAAGCATCAAAACACGGGTGAAAGTTGGGGATTCAATCAGGTCGGCCGTCTCGTCCAATAGGTGTCGTAATGTGGATGTAATTTGTGAGGTCGCGAGTTCCGTTACTCCGAGAACACCGGACTCGTCTAGCAATTTATCCTCCTCTTCGCAAGGAGGAAGCAGATAGGATAGCCACTTTCTATGCCTACGGGGACAGTCAACAAACAGCTCTGTTGGTTTTGGGGCAAGAAAAAACATGCTTTCTCTCCTCCTCGGTATGTCCTTCTACCTGCTTCCGGACCGCTAGAAATAGTTCTGACAGACTGGCCAACGAGACATCCTCACGAGGGTTAAGTGGACCAAAGACCTCCGTGACGGCAGTCTGGATCTCGTTCATTAACTGCTTCCAACCTCGGTGAAGCAGCCACCAGCTGAAGGCTAGATATCGTCGGTTAGTCTCGAAATCATTTCCCAGAGTCTGCGTGAGATCATCATCATGGTCTTCCAGCCTAATCGTCGAATCATTAGCAGGAGGTGTTGCCATAGAGATTACGCTAGAGAGATAGTTCCGGCGACCGAGAAGGTTTAGTTGGATGCGTGTAAAGACGGTCAACAGAGAAAGAGTGTATATGAGAGTAAAGGACCTAGTGATCGCTGTGACAAGCAAATTAGTTTCAATTCCCGGGCCATCCTGTGGCTGTAGCTGTGAGCATACAAGTAATTTTGACCTCATTCCAAAGCTGAGTCTTATTTCGCTTCGGTCGCGTCTTATTATCACCCTCAACGGGAGATTCTCCCAATTGGCTTGCGCGGACGAACCCATCGCTCTGAAAGCTGGATAGGCTCCGTCGGTCATCCTCCGGTAAGCTGGGGGATATGGAGCTTAGCTCTGATCCGGTTCCTTCTCCGGCGTTAAGCCTAGCCAACCTCTCTGCACGCTTTCTTTGTAGCTCCTTCGTCAATTCCTCTACAGGTAGAGTGTCTAAAATTTCTTCTGCAGCGGTCGGTAAGAGAGCGAGAACTGTATAAGTGCAATCTGTCTGGTTTTGTTCGAAGCGTCGCCGTAAACTGAAGGTTGCAATATCCGAGTATGGTACGTCAGTCACTGTCTCCGAGCACACGAGCAGACTGTACAAGCGAAATAAGATTACTCACTTCTCCCGAGCAATTCGGTCACTGCTCATACGTTCCCGTGCTTCCGATATTTTAGAAAGCACGTATTGACCTGCGAGGTAACCAGCTCCGATCACGCCAGCCCCGATCGCGAGACCCTTGCGATTGCGCCGGAACCAGCGCCTAGTAGCACCGATCATGGTGGTCGGAGTTTGGCGGGTAATCACTTTGATGGGAATAAATCAATCCAGCTCATCATAAAAGATGCAGCAATGGGATGGTAAATCAAAAGACTGCTAATGTCAGATAATATGAAGGGAGAAGGAGGAGGAGAACCGACCATCAACCGAGACGACACGGTTGGGGATGATAAAAGCAACCATTTCTCTGGAGCGGCCTCGGCTAAAAGTTCGATAACGTGAAATCATGGGGTGCTACGACTTGTATTTAAACAGTATGGGTATGTATACTCCTTGTTTTATTTCAATTACTTTTCTTTTTAAATTTCTTTGAATTTTTAAAATTTCTTGGTGGGTTTTACTTTTCTTAAGATTATTATTTGAAGGGTTTATATATGACTTTCTCGTTCCTCTTTCTCTCTCTTTTTTCCCTTGAGGGGGAAGGGAATGTTGCCCAGATACCACGTCTTGGTACGGAGATACAGTAAAGTACTGATTGATCAGGTACTTCCAAGGTACCATTATCTTTGCCGTTACTATCGGCGAGGGGCAACTCCTCCACCGTCTGAGTCCTGACCCATTCCCTCATTTTCTCTTCCACCTCTGTTTTTGTCTACATGCTTGTATCCTCCTTTGACGTGGGACATGAATTATCCCTAGAGAATCATGCGTTCCCCGTGAACATTACAATTCAATACATATACCTACAGCCCATGATAGTCTAGACAAGTCCTCTAGTCGCAGCTTTACATCGTCAATATCGGACATTGTCACCTCCCTCACCCCCCTCAACTGCTCAATCACTACAGCAAACCGCGACATCGCTACGCTATACGGACTAGCTTGCTGTGGTAGACGGGTCGACATCAGATACCCTTTACCGTACAGAGAAACAAAAGAAGATCGGAGTTCCCCACTGTTCGTTTTGGATCCATCTCTCGCATCCCCAACACGAACCCGGCTACGATATGGAGCCCCGCAAAACCCCTCCGGAGTACTTCCTGGAGATCTTCGCGGACACCACCACCGTTAGGGATATTTTGAAAGGTATGTGTCTCGAAGTCTCAACCTTCGTTGTGTAAACTACTTTGCTGTTACATGTGTCTGACGCACTTTACCCCCCTCCCCAGGTGTTCTCAACCTGATCTTCTTTCACCGGTACTTTCCCTCTATCCGACCGACCACTTTTGACGTTCTTGACTTTACTCTTCCCGCCATAAACGATGAAGACCTTGAAACCCTGATTGAATCGCGTATCAGCGCCCTAGTCCGCCAACACTCAACGACTGCTAGCACCCATGAAGGAGGTGGCGGCGGGGTACGCGGTCGGATCGCAGTAGAGTTCTATGAGAAGAAACGCAGGCGCTCGGGTATCTGGTTCGGTGGACTGGCAGGGAAAGGCGAGGAAGAAGTATGCTGGGAGGTGTGGAATCTGGATGTGACGATCGCCACTCCGCGGACAGAATCAGGTATGGTTTTGCCACTTTGTCATTGGGGGCGCATACATGCATACGACCGCCTTTTGTGCCAATGCGAGTTAATGCTGACCACCCATCAGAGCGTGCCAAGGTGCGCAAGGCGATGGAGAATATGCTCCAGAAAGCAGCACTAAAGATCCTCGCTGTGGTCAATCGGGAAAAGGATCATATCCCACCTATCACGACCAGTGATTCCAATCCTTTTCCTTACAAGATTGTCCTGAACCCCCGGTCCGATAGCTGGCAGAATCGGTTTGGACTCTACTGATGTGAGATTATATTGCTTCTGCAGATCCGCTGTGCTAGACTACGTTTACCTTCCTTTTTATACGATACACGCGATTCATTCGTTGACTGCGGATGTTTCCCGTTACTTGTGTTCATTATTCCAAGTATCCTGGTTCATGTCGGCCGTACTGCCTCACGATTTAGAGGCTTTGCAAATACACTATACGAACACACCTCACGGAAAGGAGTCCGGAATTGAAACAGATTGAAGGTGCTTCAATTTAAGTGTAGCATCATCACAGCAAATACAACTATACCCGCGTTTGTGGAACGAAGGCGTGGTTTCCCGCATCTCATCCACTACGCAAACAAAACAAGCAATTCTACTAATCATGACAAAGTACCAAGACAGCTAGAACGACCCTAAATCATCCGACTCGGCTCCAAGTGCCCTCTCACCTGACACTTTTCTCCTCGTCAACAAATTATCACTGGTTTCGTTATTTTCAGTTACCAAAACACCGAGACCGACCGGATTCATGGCACCGTAGAACACATCACGGATGCCATATCATCTCCCACAGTTCCTTACTGGGCCTTGGTAGCAGCATCAGCCTGGGCGCGGAGGTTGGCCGAGGTGGATCCACCAGCGAAGAAGCGAGCAAAGACAGGCTGGAGGAAAGAGTGGAAGACGACTTGGGCACCGCTGGAGAATTGGGTCAGCAGGTTCATGATTGCTTCGCGCCCTGTCGGCAATTGAAGAGGGAAAATGAAGACATACTTGGTCTGGGGAAGAGCCATCCAAAGAACAAGGCCGAATTTGAAGATGTAGTAGAAGGCTAGTTAAATCAAGATCAGTATAATGTCTTCGACAACTTTAAGTCCACCGTAACCAGAAAATTAGAAGACAGTAATCACTTACGGAACCAGTAAGGAGCATAGACAGCACTCTCAATAACGGTGAAGAAGGCATAAACAACCCAGTACTGTCGGATTCACATGTCAATCAGTCACATTCATAGATGGAAAATCGTCACGTGCTCGGTCACAGCCAAAAGAGCATATCGGTATAGATCTGAGGGGAAAAAGGCACAATCACAGGAACGTACCGTCAACCACTAGAGCAATCACGAAAAGGTCAGCATATCGGATCAACATTCTAAATTAGATATGAAAAGGGGCTCACCTGTGTGTCATCGGCCTTCCCAGCGGTGAACAATGCGTTGAGAGAGTAGTAGCCAGGGATGATGAAACCAGCCAGGTTAACCAAGAATTCGCCGGCGATGTTAAAGAAGACCAGGAAGGTGTAAACACCGACGAGGCCCAAGATCACGTAGACCTTGGGAACGGAGGTCTGGCGCTCAAGATTGTTGAGGACAGGGTACTTGGAGAGCTGTGAAGGAAAAACACACAATGTTTTGGTTAGCTTTCCTCGATCCGACTACAAAGAAAAAAAAAATAAAGAAACATCGAAAGTATAGATCAATTCCCGTCAGTTCCCGCCAGGTCAATTTCAACCGAAGAGCTATCCAAAAGTCAAGATAGGGAAACCAGCATCACCGTCCCATTAACACAAGGAACCAATGCCAACACACTTTCTCATAGGAAGATTAACGAGCACAAACATGGACTCACCTCCTTGTCAAGCTGAGCAATAGCGTGCTGAGCACGGTCCTGGAAGGTAGCCATTTTTTTGATGGATTTGAACGAGTTGGTCGTCGACTTTCTTTTTGAGGCTAACTCTCGGGTTGGGATGAAGACTAACGGAAGGTTGAAAGAAGAGAGGAGACGGTTCGTTATCTAGCTGAGGAAGTGAGACTTCGAAAGGACGATCTGGCGGTTACGGAGCGCAAGGACCGCCATGACGACGGTGCGGTGTGTCACGTGATTGTCCATAGCGTCGGGCGATACGCGAGTGACGTACAAAGACTTGGCTAATCCAGGACGTTTTCTTCTCTTTCCTTATCATTTCTATTACTTGTTTTTTGGGTTGGTGGGGGTAATTGTTATCCCCTGAATAGTGCATCAGCACCTGCATCTTAGGGTTTCTTCAAAAAATGTGAATTCCTCACGCATACACCATACCTACCAGTATGCCCCTATTATCTATTGTCTTGTCACGCATTTGGATTTTACGATGACTAATACAGCCTCAGGGCTGTTGCCTTCGTAATAGTTAAGGGAAAGCTAGTATGGAAAGCCCTAAGCAAGAGCCAATAGAATATTCCAGGTATTCTGTATTACCCGGTATCCATTGCTAGAACATATAGTATTCTTCAAAGTAGGTTCAGAACACAACCGTATTCGTCACCCTGACACAGAATAAAACAGGTCAAGAGTGTATACATTACTTAGAGAAAAGTTAATTCCCCTTCATCGAGCTTTCACTCAAAAGTCGAGGAAGGGACACCCGCATCGCCCGCGGAGACACGGCAGTCGCTCTCCCTCTATGATCAATTTCAAAGACGAATTCGTCCACGCCCACACTCCCGTAAACCATCCCGTCCACGGCCATCCAAGTTCTACACGACCGAGTAAATGGACCAATTCCTTGCGATGACCCCTGTATGAGACTCGGAATGACTGAACGGAAGGAAATCTTTTTTGAAGTCTGTAGTCCTGTTGGATACAAACGAATGCTGACATCGGTCGACTCCGTCAGTCCATAAGCTGCCTTGATCGCCTCAGACATATTGTGTGACTTGTTGATCCACTGCATGACTTTTAAACCAGGGCCGCCATCTACGGTTATAGTAACCGAGAAATCCGACCCATTCGTGAGGGAGTACGTCCCACTGAACCGCTTATGTGCCTCTTCTTTGGCTACCTGTTCAAGAGCAGGAACAGTAGTCGTTGCGATGATGTCAGAAACCATCGTAGTGACTTCCGCCGCGCCTGGGCCGGCGGCGAGGATAGCGAATCCCACATCATGATCTGGAGATACGGCGAGCATAGACGAGTACAGGCCTATCTGCCCGGCTTTAGTGTAGAGATCAATCATGCGGGGCTCTGTAAACGAGTAGATCTCCCAAGGAGCACCAACGGAGTAGCTTAGATATGAAGTATGAGAAGCAGGTTTTAGCCATTGTCTCGTCAGGGACAGAGGGAGGAGGGTGCTGTTTAGGATCGCGCGGCCTACGGTGCTCATATCCTTTAAAGAGGAATAGATACCCCCGGCACTTGCAGGCGGTTAGCTTGAGAGTGTCTTCGCTAATCTTGGCGGCCTCTGAGCTCTTACGGGATTTCTTCTCTTATATCTAAACTCCAAAGACTCGTGGTTGCGTTAAAAGGGATGATACCATACTCGTCAGCGGGCTTGCCGGTGCTCGACCGCGTCAAGCCAAGAGCATCTATAAGATCTCTTTGAAGAAGTTCTGGGAAGCTTTTGCCTATCATTTCCTCTAGGGCATAGGCAAGGATCTGAAAGGCCGCATTCGAGTAAATAGGAGTTGATGCAGACGGAACAACAGGGTGCCTTCTCAGCAACCCGTGAAAGAATTCTATATGTTGGAATATAAGCGATCAATCAAATCTGACAGGAGCAAAGATTGTCCATATACGTACGTGTTCTATCGCATGGAGACAATGGTGGACCACATGGTGGAATATCCGCTTCTGGTAGCTGAGAAAACCCAACAGAAACAAGCTTAGACGTCCCAAGGGAGAGATCGCCAAGGGCATCTATAAAGCCATTGTTAACCGAGCGGAGACAAGGCAATTCACGATGTTGGCTTTCACTTACACTGCCTAGAGATTCCAGACAGCTGACTTGCCAATTCTCCAATTGTCACTTCCTCCCAGCACACGTAGTCTATACGGACTTCCTTCTCTATTCCATTACGCCGGAGATCATCTGCTGCTTCTCGCAGTTCAGGGACATACTTTATCACAGGCTCGTGAAAGAGCACATTGCCCTTCTCTATCAGGAAAAGAAATACAGTCAGCAGTTTAGTGACACTGCCGATGCGGAAGACGGTGTTCTCATCGACTACCCGTACACCGGTCGTAGCTGTTTGCGTTAGCGTCGAGGTATAGTAGTATTGAAGCAATGGGGTCGAGTCTTCCACAGAGAATATTTGCAAAGCCAACGAGGTCGCATTGGCGTCAAAAACCGGATTCTGGGACCCGAATGCAGATCGAATAGCCTCGTCCAGTTTATTAGATATTTTCTGCGCGGCTGCATCGAATGTTGTATTATTAGAGAATTGTTTAGGGGCCGGGTATACTGGCCCTAAGAGAGGGCAGACACCCGCGGCTTGTGCAGCAGCATTGATGAGAAGAAATGCCGAAAGCAAAACAAAGGGTAAACGATACATTGTTGCGAACCAAAAGATGGGGATTTACGACCAGATTAGGACAGCTTCCTTTTCATCGAGAGGTCAACAAGTATCCCAGGTAGTCCTTTATGTCCAGCTCCTCCCAGAACGATCTATTTCAAGGAACAGGGGCTAAAGTATCACCAGAGGATGCGAGATGTTAGAAGGCGTATCTTCGCTGGTAGGGTTCATAAAGAATAGTTATCAAAGGTTCTTCTGGCTTGATGTTCCGTTCATATTTCTGGAAAGGTTGATAGCAGCCCTGATCTTTTTATTAGCAGTGTGGATGCTCTTGTCGCTTCTCATGCTGTCACTTTGCCATCCAAATGTGCTTAATTCGTCTTGGGTGTGATGGTCCGGAAGTAGATAATACTCAGTGTATAACGCTAAGTAGTTTGGTCTCGTGCGGCTAGGAACGTACTTGCCCATTTCATGTCTTCCAACTCACGTATGTAGTCTGAGTGTGCCAATCCCCATCCGCTCCATCGGGTTTCGACAGTAGTACGACCTGACACGGGCTGGCCACAATTTCCTCAGGTAATATCGGGTCATAGATGCGTTGACGGTCTTCGGGTACTCTTTTCTCAACGGGTAGGAAGGATAGCTCAGACTCCTCTGACTCCACGACCAATTCAGCTACCTTGACAAAGAGCCCCATATCCCACATACCCTCCCTTATATGAAAGTCTGATAAAGTCTGAATAGCTTTCCGTCTAAGTATGGGATCGCGACATTTCAGAGCGGTGAACCACAGCGGGGCAGTGATTCCCGATTCAAGGGTAAACCTATTCGCGTGAGACTGTTTCTCACCATCGGGGCCCAGGCGCACCACTTCCTCTGAAAGACTGACAATTGCTTCAAAGTCTGCACTGAAGTTGTCAAACATCATTTGATCCCTCGCGAAACAGGCTTGCAGCCATATTGCAGAGACGCGATGGTGGATTCGGAGTGCAAGGGGTCCGCGCTTATCCAACGTTTTGGCGTTCCCCTTCCTTGCTATCATCTTGTCAAGTGCCATTGACCAAGCATCAAGCTCTCCCTTGATATCCTGCTGTCTCTGTTTCTGTTGCTGCCATATAGGATCGCCTGGTGTCGAGCTCCGAACGCTTATACGTATGAATTGCAGCGCCTTGTTCATAAGTCTGTCCAGATGATGCCTGGCTTCTTCAACGTTGGAAAATGAGACGGCTCCTTCTAGTGGAGCGGGCAGTGTGCCTTTATGGCCAAGGGCGGTAGGGACCAGTGGGCGCCCAAAGAGGGATAGTTGCATATTCAATCGAAAGAACAAGTGAGATAGCTCCTTATCAATATCCATAGATTGAGCAGTCGTGTTAGCAAAATGTCCGCGTCTATAGAGAATACTCGCCCCTGCTGACAAATGGCTCGATGCCTGCTTGTTGTTTCCTCTCACAATCTCTAGACATACAAATAGACAGCATGTAACCAGCAATAAATCAATCGACTGAGACTTTGGCGCGGAGAGATGTTCCATCAGGTATTGAATGGACTTGTTATACTGCTGGAGGATAAATTGCTCCGTAATTCTCGAGGTTTCCGCCGAAGGATTCAAGAAACTTCGCTCATGGGCGGCGCTGAGTGCAACGATGGCATGTCTAACAGTCGGTTCCGATTGACTGAGCTGCGGCAATTGATAGTTCCACAGCTGTGAACTAAAGTAACCAGACAGTGCCCGTGATGTCTGCGAGCAGAACAACTCGATATACTGTCGCTCTTCTCTTGTTCCGGGACGGAGAATAAGGCGACGGTCGAAGCTGACCATCGTCCAGGCAGGGAGCGATTGAGAATGTGTTATTTTCTTCTGTAGCTGCTGCTGAGGGCAAGGTTCATAACCATCACATTTCCGCCCCGAGTTCTTACACAGGTGACACTCCGGTTTTTCTTCACCACACTTGACATGCCGTATCCTGGGGCGTTGTCAGCGGCGAAGTTCCATGATAGTCACGTACAGTACTTCATTTGCTTGAGACGGGAAACCAACTTGCAAGTTTTGCACCCTGTCTTTGACCTGGGAGCTTTTGTTTTTCTATGCATTGTCATTGACCCGAAACGACAGTGGTTTAGAACCGAACGCCGGTGATTCAAAGTTATACGTGGCCGGGAGTTGGAAGTCGGGCGTAGCTGTTTTTAGACGAGCTAATGCATGGCTGTGCCACTAGGGTTGCCCAATAACGGGCCCCGTCCAGATAATGTTCGCTGTATAATGTATTAGGATTGAATCGATTTTACATTCCTGCTTTCTTATCTCCTCGGTACGGTACATTCAACGGCCAAGAGTACAATTATACGTAGATGTACGACTACCACGATCTTTGGTAGGGTAGAAACACAAAATGAAAAGAGAAAAAATTCCAATTACAACCAATCTCATCATCTGAGACAAAAGGGGAAATCAACTCTCTCTAGTCCAGGGAAGGGGAAACCGTCCTGGCACAAAGGGTAAATGTAATGGACAACAAAGGATGGGAGAAGAGACAAAATCTGTATCTGATCAGTTTATCAACCACTGAAAACACATGAGAAATGTTTGGGTTTGAACGTAAGAAATGATGGGGAAAAAAAGGAAATCGGAAAAGAAAACCCGTCAATGAAATCAGTATCTTCAATAGAGCAGAGCATGCGCCATCAACCATCATCCATCACCGAAGTCACAGAACGCCGTCCAAAGCCGGATGGGTACATGTCAACAAAAAGATCAAAACAGTAAAGTGCATTGTGGAGATAAAGCTCCACCCACGTAACGAATAGGGATTCAAGCATGTCACGCCGCCTCGATGAAGAGCTATCCAGAGATCACTCTTCCGTCGTCCCAGTCTGTGGGGTTCCGTTCGCGGCTCCTGTACTGTCCCGGCTACCACTATTGAATGTGAGCTTCAGCTTCGGTTGGCTTGGCGTGGCAGCAGCACTGGGAGTCTCAGCACCGGAAGTAGCCGCGACGATCTGATTACTACCAGCAGATGCTCCCAGGCCATCATAGTTGGCAAATTGTGGGTAGCCCTCGGTCTCTTTCTTCAACTCACTAAGGCATTTGCTCTACTCATTGTCAGTAATTGTCGACTCGCATAATCCACTGACGCGTTGACCTACCTCAATGTCATTGGCATCTTGGAACAGAATGCTACCGTCTTCGTTGTAAGTCCGAGCATTTTGGCAGAGGAGATGAATATCATTCCGGAAATCCTTCAGATTCTGGTATTCATCACGGTTGATCTTCTTTCGGATCATTTCCATCGCAATTGGGTTCTGAATGATCATGTAGTAGTCGGGATATTGCGACTTCGGGGGTGGTTTCATGAACGGCTCGATAATAGACCGGCTGACTGGTCCATCTTCACTATCAGAAGAATCTGCCGGTAGCTCCTGCTCCATGTCCATCAACGCCTGGTAAACGTTGTTAAGTATGCGTTGCAATGTAACACGGTCCTCGGGGCTCAAGGTCTCCACAGGCTTGGCTTGTCTACCCCTCTTACGTTTCGGCTGAGGAGTCTCTTCCACAAGCTCTTCTGCTTTGCGCTTTGGTGCAGGGCCTCTGCGACCCCGTTTCTTAGGCTGAGGTGTTTCAGAGCTTTCACGAGACGGCTCCGGCGATGAATCCCCACCCCCTTTCCGGCTACGTCGTTCTTTGTTAACACGGCGACGCTCAACTCTTGCCTCCTTTCGGGCGATAGCGTCTTCGATCGTATCGTCGTCGGCATCCACGGCCATAAGCCACTGCTCCTCTGTGAGGCCATCATCATACCTGGTAACTTTACGCTCACGTGCACCGCGACCAGCCATCTCAACCTCCACTTCTTCCGTAACGGGATTCTCCTCAGAAACGTAGATGTCTGGAAGTTCATCCTCTCCCATCAAGCGTGGCAGCGGGTGACCAGGCCCGTAGGGATCCCTTTGTGGTCGCTCTTTGTCGAGGCGCTGGAATACAAGCAGTTCTTCATCAGACCGCGCCATGATATCATTCAAGTCATCATCGTCCATCTCCTCCTGATCATTAATCTGATCGGCGGCCTCGGCGGTTTCGAGGAGTGTCCGCAACAAGGCTTCTCTTTCTTCGTTGGTGGACTTGTTATCGAACTTTCCTGCCTGGATAACCTTGCCATCCATGTCAAGCTTGAACTGTGCGCGTTCAAGGATCTTCTCTTCAACGGAATTAGAGCTGATCAGGCGAAGAATACGCACTTCATTCTTCTGACCGATACGATGTGCACGGTCTTGAGCTTGCAAATCTTGATGAGGATTCCAGTCAGAATCGAAGATGATGACAGTGTCTGCAGACTGAAGGTTAAGACCGAGACCACCCGCACGTGTGGAGAGCAAGAAGCAAAAGTACTCCGAATTTTCAGCATTGAAGAGTTTCAAGAGATCGGATCGATCGTCAGACTTAGTGGAACCGTCGAGACGGAGGTACTTCATGCCACGAAGCCGTAAAAAATCCTCCATGATGTTCATGATCTGGGTCATCTGGAAGAACATCAAAACGCGGTGGCCAGTGGCCCGGAATTTAGGCAAAATTCTGTCTAACAGTTCGAATTTACCTGATGTGCGCCAGAGTAGATCATTGGTTCCCCGGCTGGGGTTCATCTGATCCTCTACAGGCTCGAAGACAAAAGGGTGGTTGCAAAGTTTCCTCAACTGCATCAGCATGTTGCTCAAGCCGCGCATGCCAGTCTTGCCTCCCTTTCCGTCGCTCACAGCCATCTTGTTATGCGTGACAAGCTGCCTATACAGTTTGGCCTGCAACGCAGAGAAACGGCACTTGATGACTCTTTCTTGCTTATCTGGTAAATCTTTCTCGACATCTTTCTTTAGACGTCTGAGCAAGAAGGGCCGGAGGACCTTGTGCAGGCGGCGGATAACCAGCAACTGTTCTTCTTCAGACAGCTCCATTCGGTCCTGGCCTCCAGTGTTCGCAAATGGCGTATTGAACCACTCATCGAAAGATTTCACTGATTTGAAGATGTTCGGCAAGACGAAGTTCAGGAGTGCCCACAATTCCGGTAGATTGTTTTGCAGAGGGGTACCAGTCAAGATCAAACGGTAACGACTGGTATAGTACTGGGACAGGGTACTGCTCAGCTTCGACTGCGTGTTTTTCATACGATGACCCTCATCAACTATCATGTGGTTCCACTTGACCTTGCTCAAAATCGGCCGATCTTTGATAATGTACTCGTACGTGGTCAACAGAACCTGGAAATTGCCCCATCGAATCTGTTGTTGCTGTTGCTTACGCGCATTCGGAGGTCCTTTATAGACAACCCTTGCAACAGAGGGAGCCCATTTCTCAAACTCCAAGTTCCAGTTGGTGAGAGTGCTGAGAGGAACAATGACGAGGAACGGGCCGTTGTTCTTCTTCTTCTCAATAATGTAGGTGATCAAACTGATAGTCTGGATAGTCTTTCCTAGACCCATCTCGTCTGCCAAGATACCGTTGAGGTTGTTGTTATAAAGCGAGATCATCCATTGAAGTCCCTTCATCTGATACTCCTTGAGCGTGCCGCCAACAAGGATAGTAGGCTGCTCGGTAACAGCTTCTTTAATTCTATGAGCGACAGCATAGTAATCAATCTTGCGCCTTCCGCCGGTTTCATCGTCAGTTCCAGACCCAATGTCCTCTTCCTCTTCCTCTTCGTCGTAGAACTGGTCGTCCTCGCCGTATCGCTCGGCCAGGCTGCGTTGTTGCTCCCTAACCGAAGCAGCAAGCTGTTTAAGGAAGTTGTCGGTTTGATTAAGCAAATGAGATATACGTGAATCCTTCGCCTGTCCCAATAATTTCAAATAGGTCTCCTCGTCGTTAGCCTTAAGAGCCTGGAGACGTTGCTTAGCAGTACGCTCAACACGCTTCTGCTCTTCACGCTCCATATGCTGATGATGCTGAAGCATCATACGGCCTAGTTTCTGCATGCGAGTGCGCTGTAGGTTTGCAGCATTCTGGAGTTCAGCACCATGATTTAGAATAGCTTGGAGCTGATCATATTGCTTCCTCTTCTCCCTAGTCTCACGAGCATCACGCTGTTGCTTCTCCAGCTTTTCGGTAATTCTAGCCTCACGCAATGACTGCTTCTTCATACGACGATGGTTGGAGCGGTTCGCAGCCATTCCTAAATTATCAAAGTGAAACATCTCGTTCTGTATCTGCTTGCGGAATATCCTTTGCTTCGGAAGGAGATTGAGCATCTTGTATTCAATGAGTGCCTTCAACTTCAACGAGTCATCGCCTGTTGCGGTGTCACTCCGGCTTGTATCCCATACGCCTATATTGGCAGGCAGTTCTGCCAATTCCGCTTTCCGTGCGTTGATTTTATTATACAGGACCAGTTCCCTTTCCTCTCGCACCTGCTCCAGGTCGATACCTGGTGGCATCAAGGCAGGGATGCGCATACGGTATGCGCGGGAAGCGTGGTCGGAGAAGCTGATGGTTTGGGGAACAGAATCATAAGGAGAGTGAAACGTTTCGTAAAAATCTTTAGGTTGTGAAGTTTCTGCTGTACTAGCAGGTTGCTCAGTCTTGCTTTGAGACACGCTTTCCAAAACGTTTTCTGCTGCCGTCACATTATCAGAGGGTGCGGGAGTTTGCGGCTTCTTAGAAGCAAACAGTTGCTCCTGGACACGAGTCGGTATCGAGAGATTCTTCGATAGCAACTTGAAAGCGACAATCTGATTCCTGAGCGTGGCAAGCTGTTCCGCTGAGAAACTACCACTAGCAACAGGGGCTCCTTTTTGTGAGATAGCTTGCACTGGGGCTTGCTGCTGACTACCTGCCTGCGTAGAAAGACCATCTTGAACGACACCAGTGCCAGAAGAGACAGAGTTGGTTCGCCCTGGTTTGACAGTTTTCAAGGTTAGGATGATATCCTGGCCAGCATACAAAGGAGGGGATGTAACAACGGGCTTACCATTGACACCATTCGTAGTAGCAGAATCTGCAGCGGCGCCATTCAATTGTTGTTGACGTTGTTGCGCCTGGAGCTGCTGTTGCGCGACTTGCCTTTGCTTCTGAAAAAATTGCTGTCGATGAACGGCCGAAAGAAGGTGCTGGGCTTTAAGGAATTCAGGGTCATCATGGCGGACACCTTGCTCTTGCATCTGCTTGAATTTCTGTCCAAGTTGTCAGAGGAATTTTGTTAAGTGGGCAATTGCCAAAGACAATTGATAAACAATAAGATAAAAGGGAGAAGACGGGTGTCAGAGTCGAGGGCGCGGGTTGGAAAAATCGAGAACATACCTGCAAAACCTCTTGGATGTGTTGCTGTGTCAGATTGGGCGGCAAGCTCATACTTCCAGTCGCCATATTTGGTGCTGACTGGAGGGAAGCCATGACTTAGCGCGTGTTTTCACTGTTCATAGGCAGGGTAAACACGTTGGGGTTAACCTGGATGCGACAAAATCCGCGACCAAGTAGCCAGGGTAACACGTGGAAAACGAGGGTGGTAGGAGTGAATGCTAGTTCGCGGCTATAGGGCGATGAAGCGCGCTAATTTACTGGCGTGGAGGAATAGCGGGCGCCTTGTGTCGATGGATGCGACTGATAGCGGCCTGTATCTGACCTTGGCGACAATTTTCGTGATGTTTTGGGGTTGGAAGATACGGGGCGGTAGGCGACCGACCGGAAAGAATCAGTAATAAGGGAAGGGGGGGAGGCTCAACGCGATGTTGAAGGGGTGATGGAGACCCCAAATGGGGTGTCGCGCTGAAAAAAAGCGTGTGGTAACCCTGTATGGATGAAATGGAGATGGAGGGGACGGGGCTTTCGCGACTTTCCGTGCTGGTCGGGGAAACTGGCTGTGCTCAGCCTTTGCTGTAACGAGGAGAGGTAGGCGGCGAGACGTTGGAAGAAGATTTCATGCCGCCACACGTGATGTTTTGCTGACTCAGCTCACCGCCGGCCGTGTTCGGGTTTTGAGAACAAATAGGAAGGCGCCGTTTGATTACCAGTTCGAGCTTTCAGCTATTCTTTGTTTGGACTAGGTCACTAGTTGGTCGATTTGCTATAGAGGGATATCTCAAAGAAAACTGTCACTTACTTAGACTATTCTGTGCTCCAACGTTTGACTGCTCTATGTGTATCATCATAGCTTTCTTATCTAGGCCCTTTAAATCTACTAAAGCCTGTGGTACAGTTGGCCGAAACATGGGATCCTACCTACTGCAACCTAATTTATATATGACGGGGGGCGATTGCTATAACTATCAACATATCCCAATGACCACTACCTAATGATCAATACCCAAGTGATGGATCAAATCATCCTGCCCAACACCAACTCAAGTCTGTTATACCTGGACCTGTACTAGAGTACGCTAACGGGTTAGAGGACCGCCCGGTGTCCTTGTATCTCATACTATCTAGTTTCTCTTACTGAGTACCGAGGGCATGATCCGCGCTGATTTGGTGGCGGCCCTGACTCCTGGCAAAGGATATCACGAAGCTTTGTTTACCCTTTGGGTGGCCCTATAACAGTAGATATAAGAACTAGACTATAGATGCACAATCATTTTGTCTGGAAGGTATACGAGAAACGCATGGTAGTGGCTGGATGTCTATCTTGTTGGGTAGAAAAAAAAACCTCGAGCTTCAAGCAGGTATGTTGATGAACAGCTGGGATACCTCTGGACAACTGCCACTGCTGAGTATGTAGTTGGGCTAATGAGCCAGGTTTAAAGATCAGTTCGTGATGATCATCATCCGCAGGACATGATTTCGACCAACCTAATGAAACCAAGCATTTGTAAGCTGTCAGTAGTAACCAAGTTATCAAAGGGTTGACGAAATGATATGCCAGGTATTCCTACCCTTACCATCTAGCATGGGTTACTGCAGTTGTCTCTGGTAATATAATTATAACAAATAGGACATTACTAACCAGAAAACATAGCCCACTTCTAACTTGCTCTGTAAATAAAGAAGGGCTTATGAAATCATCCTTGCACTATTATAAATACAAATGCTGTTGCATACTAGTACATGCCACTGACTATCATCAATAGCAGATTGGCTATCTACTGCCACTTAATGCAGGTAAGTAAACAGTAACCCATGACCACCAAGGCTTTACGAACAACTCAAGCCAGAACATCCCATTGAGACTTGTCCACTACAACTTCTGATGGATCCCAATGATAGCTTATTCCAAGTAGACCCTATGCTTCGCCAGCACCGAGCATGGGCTTTTTCATCGGAGGAGGTGGCGGGGGCTTCTTTGCACGCGAAGGTGGGGGTGGCGGGGGCCCTTTCTTCTGGACTGCCGCCCCATTCAACGTCGTCGAGCTGCTTCTTCTCGTAACACTTCCATATGAGGATACTGGAGAATCGGACTGTCCCTGACACATTCGGTCGGGACTAGCGCCAGAGCGCGGACTGGCATCCTCGTGTCGATCGGCGGTCACCCGAGCCAGAACGCTGTTCCTGCCAGTTATGAAATTCTCGCTTGTTACTCGAGATGGCCGAGGGCTTGAACTGTACGCCTGTTCTTGCCGTAATTGCGCGGGACCCTCGAAGGTTGCAGTTCTATTGAGAAAAGGTCGCTGGGCCATAGGATCTGAGGCATAGACTTCCCTCGGCTCCCCCACATCAGATGGAGACCTGCTTGTCCGAATAATAGGGCGCAGATCTGCCCCGTTACTGACTTCCTCATGCAGAGGTTCGTAGCGCTCTTGGTAAGAATGGACCGTGCTAGCACGAGTTCGACCAGGGCGACGACCGCTCAAAGCCTGCGCTTGAGACTGTCTACCCTAGGGTCAGTATAATTGTACGAGACATTTCTGTGTTGACGGCTACTCACCCGGTAGGCCATTCATTTTTGAGTTGGAGAAGCACCTCTCTGCACCTTTCGTGGTAATTTAGTTGGGCTTCCAAAAATGACTCGAGATCAGCAATACTCTCTACTTCTTCTTCCTTGATGTCTTGCATCCGTCGGAGTACATCATCGTTGGCCTCCTCGTATTTGGCTTTCTGGGTCCGGAGTTCTTCCTCTGCACGGAAATCCTCCTTTTTCGCCTTCTGCATCTTGGAAAGCGAGGTATCAAAGGCCAATCGTCGGCTATCAAGTTTCCTACGGGCGTTCTGTATAATCCATTAGATATATTGTAGAGATAGATTGTGTGTGAGGTGATTTTACCTGGTACTGCTTCATCTGCGCCAAGGATCGATCTAGGGATTCAAGCCAACTCGAGTTCGCCTCGGCGATATACGACTCCTGAAGGCGAGCAATACGCTCTTCTGTCCGTCCGAACACTATATTATAGGAAGGGAAGTCTGTTAGACCCATGGGTTCCTCCGAAAAACAAAATTAGAGACCGGAAGAGACAACGTACTTGTCAAGCAACGACCGTACTCCGAATGTGCGTCAAAATCCTCGCCATGGCTGACCATGCTAGTACCCAAATGGCCAATGGGTAACGTTTTCTCTTTATCATCGCCTTCGCTGCGCTTCGAGACGGACTTGACGTATGCAATCATAGACTTATGAAGGCGATCAAGACCTTGACGAACATTTAGCTATTAACCAAATCCTATCACCACTGCTTATTTCGGACTCACCTTCGTTCCGTACGCCCATTTCTGTTTCCATGGCTTTAAAATCATCTGAGAGGTTGGTTTTAACCTCCCCACCCATTCTCTCCCCCGCCCATTGCTTGAAGCGATCGAACTTCCTGTTGACGTTCATTGTAACTGAATAATGCAGTAGATGATATAGTCGGAGGAATGCAAGGCAGGCTTAGAAATCAACTGAATATAGTAACTAGATTAATCCGGCCAGCAGATCGGTAGGAGAAAAAGAAAGAGAGAAGAGAAGAAAAAAAGGCCCAAACGTAGACGGGCACGAGACGTGGAAATCTGCGGTAGCTGGCGTTGGCGAAAGCGGCGCGATGACCAGTGGAATTCAACCAGCGTACAAAATATTGGCTTGTAATCGAAGAAAAGGAGAGGGGGACAGAGGGAAGGCAGGAAGGGGGTAAAGAAGGTAGAAAGAAATGAAGCCAACTTGCGACAACCAAGTGGGTGGGGAGAGAGAGATTCAGGGATTAAAGAGGAATCCCGAGACCAGCAATGTTATGTTAACTATTGGTAAATTGATTAACTAGGTATTATGTTTTTTTTTATTGTGATGGCTATTCAAGGGTGGTAATCTATTTAATTAAATTTATTTGCGAAATTACGTCCCTTTATCTGTTCTGGCCAATTCTATTGACGAAAACGATTACTGGAAGAATATTTTGTTAAGGAATGACAATTAACGCCACTCAGGTTGTTGAATTTCCACTCCCTGGGAAAATACCAATACAATAAATACCCTTTCTCCCACCGGGTATCTTTCCCTCGTACTCGTATGACTGGGCCCTTGGGGGATAAAACACTACAACACATACTTTGCGTATGAATGAGACTAGGTAGCATCGAATCTTGACTGAAGGTGGGGACAAGCACCAATTGTTAGGCTCAATCATTCATGTATCTAACAAAAGTAGTCGGTGTACCTGAAACCTTAGCCTGTAGGATAGGATAGTTTGAAGTCTATTATTATCTTGCGACTAGAGTGTTCATGACTTGAAGCATCATAGGCTGATTTCATTCAACTGCAGCACAAGGACACGCGTTTTGTGGGGCGTGGAAGTGGGGTTGTGATTTGCTCAGTTTGTTGCCACAGAACTATTTTCGGAACTTTGCATATCGTCTAGTCTTCTGTACCAATATCTGCAGAATAAAACTCATTTAAAGTACCCTACTAGTACAAGACATAAGGTAAGTCTATTGACTACAGTATACGACGATTGATCTCGAGACTGCGGAGATAAGGCATCTGACTATAGATGTACGTACATGCGTGTGTGTATATGTAGACTAGACATAATTAGATTTACTTTAAATTGACAGATCCAAAGATCTGCTGCGACGAAAACGGAAGGGGCATTGGCCTATACCATTAAACTTCATCTACTCCATACCTGAAACCTCATTTAGTGTCGCTCATCGTCTTCTAAGAAAAGGTCTAGAGGTCCCGTGTATTTGTACCTGCGGATCTGGTACAGGGCGAAACTCCGTGCTTCAGCAGGTGGGGAGATTTCAGGTGAATACACGAATTTCATATTTCAATACCTTCAGCCCAACTGACTGGGCTCAGTATTCAGTACAGTACGAGGAACATGGATTGGCGTGGACGATCGTCCTGTTCACTAAGAGCACTGACTTCGTGGTGGCCCAAACCTACCCATCTGCTTCAGGTTGACGATGATTAACAGCGAGCTAGCAGGTCAGTAGATGTTCCGAATTCTGACTCCTGAAAGATACTAGGTGGAGCGATTATCTCGTGCTCAAATAAAATATTTAGCACACGATCCATTCCACCTTCGCCTTCTCTCTCTTTCTCCTTTCAAGATGGATGACCAGTGTTCACAAAAGGAAAACAAGGGCTAACCGCCGTCCTGATCCCGCCGAGCAGACTCTCACACAGGAGGTTGTCTGGAACCTCATGAGAACTCCTAACTGTCTCGACGAAGCCGACCAACTGATCCAAGATGGCATGATATGCTCCACATGTGCGAGTTGAACATCATTGTCCAGGCGACATGCCTAATCTGGCTGCAATACGACACCACCAATATCCTAATTATGACACTCAGCGGCACCAGGGAGATCTTCTTCGGGCAATGAGAGGAAGTCGTCCACAAGCTGTGCATTGAATTCTGACTCATATCCAGCCTCAGCGGCTATTAAAGTGTCAAAATCATTCCAGGGCACGGTATTTCTAGTGCCTCCAGGGTCGGTCACAACAATACCCTCTATATCATTTGACATGCACGACTCTTGGTCGGAAGCTATACCGCACGGTCGAAACCTTGTCATATTCATGTTTCGGCTGCAGTCATGCAAGGGCACCCCAGAACCACCCTTGAGGAGAGCATCAGCATACTGCCCGGGGGTTACGCCCACGAGCTTTTTGAACACCCGATGGAAGTGACTAGGTGTGAGGCCCGCTTGGTCGGCAAGTTTCCGGAGCGTCGGCTTAGAGCCCGTTACTACCTCTGATTGAATAGTTTTACATGCTGATTGAACCACCTGGGTTTGTGGATTAACCGCCAACAGGGTCTGTGGTGTGCAACGCTTACACGGTCTGAATCCTGCCTTTTCGGCTTGCGAGGGCGTGTCGTAGAATCGGACATTGGCTCGACGTGCGAGACGAGCTGGACATGATGGCCTGCAGTATATTTTGGTCGTTAACACGGCATACACGAATGAACCGGCTGTTGCATCTCGGCGGACCACTGCCTGCCAGCGGGCAGTAGCGGACAGGGGTGGCGTGGTACAAGTGGGTAGTAGTTGTAATCCCTGGGTCGGATTTTCTAGAACCATCACGAATAGCGTGCTATATCTCCTTATTTAGCATTATACAGCGTGAGATATTCTATGGAAGACGTTGTTCGGGGGAAGTCATGATGGAGGGAACATTTTCGGGAGCCTGTGGCGTATGATGCTCGCTGATTGGTCAATTTGAGATCAACTCATCCCCTCCATCTGGTAATCAGTCGGCCCGTATCTGGACATCATCAATACCTACTGCTAGTAAAGCAACCCTGGAGGTGAATGGCCAGCAATTTCCCCTGCCATCGAATTTGTACCTATGAACTTTGTTTCTGTAGATAAGTATTCCGAATGGGGGTTTGCTGAGAGTTATGGTGTTGGCTCCCACATAGTAATTACATTTATATTGAACAACGGTCCCAGGGATAGATACGTGTATGATATTATGGACATAACCACGCTACATGGATACGACTCATTAATACCGAAAGTAGATTAGAGACATCTCCACGAACAGACGTAGAGGTCTTCTGACTCCGCCCCACCCTGTCTCTCCCCATACAACGAACAGGCGCAAGGCATGCTATATATTAACGAATATTACTAAGATGCACAAGACCACATTGAATGTAATCCAGGAACAGCCTTGACCCATATAGGAATAAGTGCATCCCGGTCAAAGGATTACAGGTGCTTACAGCGAAGTGGATGATGATGTTAGCAGGACGTAGGCCTACTGGTGTGAACAGCATAGTTTGTATATACTAGGCTTTAGTCCGTAATGAACCCGAAAGGAAATAAGTCTCATTTTTCGTTATAAACGATATTCCCGTCAATTTTTTCAGCATCCGCAACGAAGTGCACTGAGGGACTTGATTTCCGGCCCGCTGGTTTTGTTTTATTCATCAATGAAATTGTTGGCCACACCTTATTTCGCTAAGGACGCGTGGTAGGTTATCCGCAGTCGCCTAAGTACATGTGCCTCATAGCAAAAGAGCATTTTGAACCCGTCGCAAACAAAAGAACTCCACACCATAATACCCTTACTCCTTGGTCTTCTGGGTACCACGAAGCAGACCGGTTCTCCGGGCAGCGATAAGACCGGCTTTTTGACCCTGGGCGGCGTAGCGGGAGATGGTCGAAGCCTTACCAATGTGCTGGTGGTTACCACCACCGTGAGGCTATAAAGGAGACATGTTAGATATCAACTTCTTCACCAGAAGAAAGCAGGAAATCCTTACGTGATCAACAGGGTTCATGGCAACACCACGAGTCTTGGGCCAGGAGTTGCGCTTGACAGCGAACTTGTGCTTGGCACGAGAAGCCTCTGTAGGACAATATTAGTACTCCACTCCCATTCTTTACTATCCTTGAAAGGAATCGAAACATACTAAGCAAAGGCTTGTCGGTACGACCACCACCGGCAACAATACCGACCATACCACGAGAGGTGCTCTTCACAACCTTCTTGGCACCGCTAGGAAGCTTGATTCTGGTCTTGCCCTCGTCAGGGTTGTGGCCAATGACGGTAACGTAGTTACCGGAGGTGCGACCAAGAGCACCACGGTCGCCGGACTTCTCCTCGACGTTGGAGACAACGGTACCCTCAGGAACGGAGGCGAGGGGAAGGACGTTGCCGACCGTCAGAGCGGCGTTCTTTCCGGCGTAGATGAACTGACCGGTGTACATGCCCTCGTTGGCGATGAAGGTCTCGGTGACGTGTTTGAACTTGTAGGGGTGACGGAACTGGACCTTAGCGAGAGGAGCACCACGGCCGGGGTCGTGGATGATCTCCTTTACAACACCCCGGGTGTATCCATGGCGCTCAGCGAAGTCAAGGACACGGAACTGAGCAGGGGCCTTGTTGAGACGGGTGTTGGCCGCTGGAGGCGAAGTTGTCATCAGCAATTTTGATCTTGACGCATTCGCTCAGGACACTGCGATCGCACTCACTGAAAATGGATCCACGGCCCTTCCTCTGATTGCGGATCACGCGACCCATGGCGACTTTCTAGATGGAGACCTGGAGGTTAGTATACAAGAAGAAAGACCGCCTGCAACCCGGTGGTGGGAGTTTATCGAGTGCTCGTACCTCAAATCGAAGATGGGCTTGTCGGGTTGGTGGTGAGAATTCGTCGTCGGAAAGGCTGTGTGGGCTTTAGGGCGTGGTCGCTAATCTAGCCGAACTGGGACTAGTGTCGTTATGCGCCTCTCGCGGCTGTGGGTTTGGCGGCGCGGCTATTTTAACCATGGACTTTGAAGAAACAACCGACGGAGGAACAGTTCATGCGATCCTTAGCAGTGGAGCTCGTCGGAATAACTTGCTGGACACCCACCCAACTTGTACCATACTTAGTCAAGGGCTGAACGACACCACTGATCTTGTTGGTTATTCTGCCTCAGTTGTACTCGGTGATTATCAGGCGTGTGGCAACTCAAGACGTTCGCCAATGAAATAGATCTTTAAGAATATATCGCACTGAAACCTTTGTTTGTTCGCTGATAGTCGTCTACAATGGTTTAGTTTTGCTGGCATCCATTGACCTTCTTGGGTAGTATTGCCGCTCAACTGCAATTATGGTTTCAGACCTCCGTTGCTTCATGCATAGCTAAATGAGGAGCCAACTGAGGTGGTTTGATGAAGCATTACCCTCAATAGCCCTTTAGAGGTGAAGAAAGGGCATGCACTGTTTCCAAGTACGGAACATCACGCATTCTGGACTCTAGGGTTATAGTTACTGCAATGAAATCCTTACAGATGATATCCGGAACCCTGCAAAAGTGTTTACTTGATCCAGTCCTTCACTGCCAGTCCCCTGCATAGGAGAGAAAGCAGCTGAATGAGTGGAATGATCTCATGTGCTACGCGTGATGTTCGCTTTGATATTTCCTTGACACGCATTGGGAGACTGGTGCCGTGTTCATTGTCCTTCAAGTTTATATAACGATACCGGGGGGCAAGTCATCAACCATCAGTGCTCATCCAAAGAGGGATTCGTCATTCATTCCTCCATTGTTTGCTGCGACATGAACTTGCACGAGCTAAGGCAGCGCCCCGGGTTCGCGGTATGAGGCCATCAATGCTTTATTCTTTGTTCAGTACTTTAGATGTAGGCGAGAATAAAATTGGACGGTAGAGAATCTATTACTGTGAGTGGGTGGTGAGCATACCCTTGATAATCGGCCTCTACCGATGACGCTGGAGAGGCCAGGCGCGTAAAAGCCGCGCTCCAATAATCGGCAGCAGTAGTGCAGTAGAACTTACGGCGCGCACTCGCCCACCTTTGTCATATCTTTGCACAACCGCTCCCCACTTCAACAAACATGTCTAACATGTCACTCTCTGACTCGGATCTCTCGTCGCTATCATCAGCGCCACCGTCAGATGATGAGTCCGGTCCGATGGCAGTTGACGAGCCTGTGGGAATCACCAAGTACTTCAAGAAGGAAACGGAATCACCGCCGCCGAAACGGGCCCCTTCGCCACCACATGAATACGTTTTAGCAGATAACCCGGACATTGCAGTGAGTTAATCGTCAATTGGTGATTTTGCAGGCTCCCCAGCATATATTTGATACGTACATGGACCGGTGGGCGTGCTTGCTGACTCGTCGCAATCAAAAAAGTTCCTCGTAATGTTCCGCGCGCGTTTTCACGAGGTCTTCCCGCGATCGACACCACACTACGGGCCACAAGACATTGAGAGAGGTATTGCGGAGTCGCCGCCTGGGGATCATATTGAGAGACTGCTGTGTGCATTGCTTGGCCTGGTGTTGAACAGGAAGAAGGACGTCGAGTATGGACACCGCCAACCACCCAAGTGTTTAGCCTACGAAGGGCACACGCGAGCTCCCTTTCATCTATAACTATGGTTTTCAAGGTTTATAATGGAGACTGACTAACTGTTATCAATGCGCAGTCGGCTTCATTACACTCGCCCTCTGGAAGAAGCGGTCCAAACCCATGTATCCCAGTGGCCAAAGGCTTGGCAGGGAAAGAACCCCCTTCATGGGGGTCGCACTTTCACAGGAATGCTACCAGAAGAACGGGTATGTACCGCGAATGGAGACCGGTTGACTTGCAGTTGGATAAATTGACACCTTTAGTTACAATTACTGAAATCGTTGGTCCTCTGGTCCCTCTCCTCCTCCGAAGCGGTTCAAGCAAAACTCAAAGAGTCGTACAAGCAAGCACGCCACGAAGACGACTTGAATCAGCCACTTTCTGTCCAGCCCTGGGGTCGCGATGGCCTAAAGCGCCGATATTGGCTTGTTGAAGGCCTAGACGATACCCACTTCAGGTTGTACCGTGAGAGTAACCCGTCCCTCAAGAATGTGACTTGGTGGAGTGTGGCAGGAACCATCCCCGAGTTGAAAGCCGTCGCCGATAAACTCGACGAGGAGAAGAGTATGCATTCGAAGAAGCTCAGTGAGAAGATTAAGAACTCAATTCCCCGCTTTGAGGGCTCAGAAGAGGTAAGTTGTCGCTCGCTACCGTCGTCTTATTCTTGCTCATCGATTGGAAGAAACGTAAACGCAGAGACTACCGGATTGCGCGCAAAGCACAATTCTCTCGCCCTGAGCCCGGATTCTCCCTCTATGAAGGCCGCACCCGTGGGAAAAAATTGAAGTACACATACTCTGACGACGAGGATATTTTTTCCGATGGCTTGACTTCGACCCGACGATCCACCCGTAACTCTTCAGGGATTTCTTCCCCCGCAGAGATCGTAGGGCCCAGATTCACCGCTAGTGGGAGGCAGATACGTTCGCGCGCAGGAGGACTGTATGGAGAAAGCTTGCTCAGCAGCCAGCGTGACGAGCTAGCTGGCGGTGAGGATTCAGGACGGTCTCAGAGGACGCGTTCTACTCGAGCAAATGGGTGTACAGGCTATAACATGGATGATGATATGGATGAATCCGATGAGGGTCACTCTAGCGGGAAAGAGTGGCAAGGCGGAGAGGAAGAAGAAGATAATGATTTCGAAGGCGATGATGAAGAAGAGTTGAGCGGAGATGAGTCGATAGTGAACGGAGAAAATCCCAGTCTGGTGGTACAGCTCAGATATGGCAAGGGAACGGTGTCGAGCAGCTCTAACCCTCCCAGTGAGAAACCATCAGGGGAATACTTGGAGGGCAAACAGGAGCAATCAGCTGAATCTGCGCTCCCAGGGCCTCCAACATCGCTAGATCCAAAGAAGCCGCCCGCACCAACGCCCGGTAAGGATAGTCCTCAGGAGCAGAAGCCCGAGCTACGAAACGGTCAACTTGAGGTAGGTGGTGAGGCTGTCCATGTTACTGCAAGCGCCGGGCCACATGCTCATCCATCAGAACTTGCTTCTGGTTCAAACGAGGCAGTTTGAAGCGCCTGATGTTACGTTACGCCCGGGCGTTGAATACGTGGTTATATTGATAGAGTTCATGTTGGAGCGTTTCTTTTCATTCATGTTCTATTGCACACGAGGGCAAAACAGGGGAGTATTCTGAGGCGTTCGTGTGTCACTGGTGGTAATTTGTCTGATTGGAATTCGGAGAAAAGGTCAATACTTGCCTGAAGGTTGGTCTTTATGTGATGTTCTACGATAATATCGATGCTAAGAGAAAGATCTCCCTTGCACCCCCCAAATATTAACCAGCTATGCATAAATGTGATATGCCTTTTCGTGGATCCGAGAAACATGAGGTACAGAAAGACTATTGTAGTTTATATTCATAACACCATAACCGGAACTCCCAATATGCAACCATGTACGAAAACAAGAAGTAGTGCTTTTTCAGGTCAATTAGTCGGCGCCGGCATTTGAGAACTGCGTCTTGTAGAACTGTAGGAACTCCGAGAATGTCAACAACCTCAATCAAAATAGCTACGTTTCCAGTGCAGAACACATACACCATCGCCGAAAGTAGGGGATCAACTCACGTCTTCAGCCTGCGCGGCAAGTTTATAGTCCTTCATTGACGGAAGGGGTGGGAGTTTCCAATTATTTACCTCGTACCACCATCGTCGGATTCTGCTACCTAGTGTTTGGCCGCTGAGAGACGCGTTGCGATTCCAGAACCGCCAGCCGGAGAGAGCGAGGGTCCAGAGGGTACCTTGGATCAGAGGAAGAAGAACCTAGAGGGAGCATAATTGCGTGAGCATTGAGTGTTCCCTAATAATCCCCCCTCTCTCTTCTCGAAGGGATCCCAGGAGCTACATACCTGATCTCGTATGGTGATCCACGCAACTCGACCCCAAGTATCGGCACCCCTAATGCTGGCCAGGTAGCTTTGCTCAAAGCGCAAATCAGGCATTGGAGGGAGGTTATGTCGTCGTGAAGCGGGTCTGATCATCCGATGGGGGTTAACGATGTCCGAGGGAATACTATCAGCCTCGGAAGGCGCATGTTCAGCGAGAGGCTGCTTCTCAGAAGATACGGCCGTAGGATTGATGTCGTGACTTGGAGACGGGTCTCGATTGATGGAGGCCGTTTGAATGGTTTCGGCGATTCCCAAAGCTGGGTCCGTCATTGTGGAGGGTAGGTCCTAGCAACTTTGTCTTTTTTTTTTAACAAAAAAGAAAAAAAATTGGTGTGTAAGTGAGAGAAGTGTGGAGAGTTGAGTGTATGTGTACAGAGTGTAATCAGCCTCTCCCTGATAAATGCAATACCCGTACTGTACTGTACGGGTGATGATCGGTTCTGTTTGCTGCCCCTCCGAACCCATCTTGATCTCTCCCCCACCTTCTTACCCTCCTCCTCTTTCACCCCAATACTTTCTTCCTCTTTTCTTGTTCTTTTCCTTCTCCCTTCGTCCCCCTCTGTTCTGTACTATTGCCATTCACCAACCACAACCAACCACAATGGCTGCCGCTAAAGGATACCCTTTCCTTTGCCTGGAGAACCCTCTTCTCGGTGCGTGAGATTCACTTTACATAAATTGAACGGACTATAATTTCATACATGGGGACAATGTTAACTTAAGACTTTTTGGGTCTCAATATACAGATATTCAGGCAGTTGGGTATGTTACGGCCGGGAAGATATTGTTCAAAATACAGTACATGAACTGATACAGGCACCATATAGTGATGCCGCTCTCCTCCAGAAGTATGGTCTGAAGGATAATGATGCTATCCTCGCGGAGGAGAAACACATGGGACTCTATGAGGAGCTGCTGCAGAACCATGATGCTAAGCTCATTGCCGGAGGTGCCGCACAGAACACTGCTCGTGGCGCTCAGGTATGTGTTAAATTGTTTGGAAACTTATGATAGCGTGGATGTTAACGATAACGCCATTCATCAGTACATTCTCCCCGACAACTCCGTTCTCTACATTGGATGTGTCGGCCGTGACAAGTATGCCGATATCCTCAAGGAAACCTGCACCAAGGCTGGTGTGCACACTGAGTACCGTGTGGATGATGTCCAACCCACCGGCAAGTGCGGTGTGATCATCACTGGACACAACCGTAGCATGTGTACCCACCTTGCTGCTGCTAACGAGTACAAGATTGAGCACCTCAAGCAGCCTCACATCTGGTCTCTGGTTGAGAAGGCTCAGGTGTACTACATTGGCGGTTACCACCTTACTGTGTGTGTTCCTGCTATCCAGGCCCTTGGTGAGGAGGCTGCTGCGAAGAACAAGGTATGCATTGGTTATCCACCAAGCCTAACGGATGCAAATTCCTTGTTGATAAGAAAATACTAAATGTAGATTTTTACAGATCTTCATGCTCTCTCTTTCTGCGCCATTCATTCCCGAATTCTTCAAGGACCAGCTCGACAGCGTGCTGCCATACACTGATTACACCTTCTGCAACGAGACTGAGGCCCGTGCTTACTCCAAGAGCCACGAATGGGGCACAGAGGATGTCGTTGAGATCGCCAAGAAATTGGCTAAGCTACCCAAGAAGAACACTAACCGCCCGAGAGTCGCCATTGTGACCCAGGGTACACTCCCTACCGTGGCTGCTACCGTTAAGCCCAACGGCGAAGCTGAGGTTAAAGAGTTCAGCGTTGTTGAGATCCCTAAGGACAGCATCAATGACACCAACGGTGCTGGGTAAGTGTTTCTTTTGTTTTCTTTTTCTTTTGTTTTGTTTTTGTAATCTCTACCTAGCGAAACATGAGCATGACTGACGTGCCTTACAGCGATGCCTTCGCTGGTGGCTTCTCCGCTGGTATTGTGCAAGGCAAGTCCCTTGAAGAGAGCATGGAATTGGGCCAGTGGCTCGCCAGCCTTAGCATCCAAGAGTTGGGACCTTCGTAAGTAATTTCCTTTCTCTTCCTTGGCGAACAACTGCATTCAACCAAGACTAGCTGAGGTCAATTGTTGGCTACACTAGTGGAGGACACCCATCCGCTCCTGGCCAGAATTGATGACTAACATAATGATCTAGTTTCCCGTTCCCCAAGAAAACCTTCACTTCCTCCAACCGTTCGTAAAATATAACCCTTTGATCTATATCTCACGGAGCCCTCTAAAGGTCGCATGCTGTGGCAAAACAACGAATTGTCTTTTAGGATTCAACCTTCTAATACCCACTTGTCCTTGACTTAACATCTTAGACTTCTTTCCATCACCATCTTTTACGAGAATTGCGCTCCCATCACCTTGCGCTGTCACGTGATAGATAGGAGTTGCAGAATGACGTTCTCAACAACGATTTTAATGATCCACACCTTCGGTTTGTTATGCATATAAATCTATTCCTACATGTACATCTCAACGATCTATACTTAGGCCCTGACCAGGGTATCTGTGTTAGAATTTCTCCTATTGGGATATCATCTTGAAAACGGAGTATTCTCATTGATCTAACTTTCTCGCACGTAAAAAGAAAGAGATAATCCAAATTGTATCTGGGGAACTGATGATGTCTCGTAATCCTTATCCCCACTCTTCGCCTCTATGACCTAAAGCGATTCCGTGAACGCGTAAACCTGCAATATAGGGCCTCCTTTACAATTTCCATCAAGAAGTTGTAGAACACTCATCGAACCCGTTCTTCTGCCAATGTTTTCCCACAAATCATGGCTGTGTCTTTGATACCTGCTATCTAACGACAGCACGGCTAACGAGTCCACATGGGAATTGTGTTGCACAAGCCAGCTGACCTGTCAAAGCAGGATTTGATAAGCTAAGGGATGTTAAGGGCGAAAGCGAAGGGAGACGCTGAATGATCTCTCCACTATACGTCCGACGCTCACAAATTGGAATCAGTCACCCAAAGCTTGCACCCGCATCCCTTCCGTGTATACCTCAATCTCGAAAGACGATTGGAGACTTGTTTCCCACACTCAGATCTCCAATATATTGACATCACCCACCCTGCGGACATGGAGGTGTCTGGCCAATGGCACCGTAATGGGTAGCAGCTCTACGACTGCCGCCAAACCCGGAGCTGGGATAACCCGCACCTGGGGAGAGGGTACTGGCAAGGAACGCGTCATTCGCCCACGAAGAACTACCGAAATCACTTGATGGAGGCTGACCGGGTATTCCGAGGGTTGATGGGGGATTTGCAGCATCTAGTGGTCCCCTGCTATCCCACCCCAAGCCGGGAAGACGGTGGTGTGGTGTAGGATTTGACGGCGGTATCCACGTCGATATAGAGCTAGGTCCGCTAAGTGAGCTTTGCAACTGCGACTGGTGCATTAGGCTCTGGCGGAGCATGAGTTCGTTTACAACCGAATCTTGGGATAGGTGGTTGGGTGGGCTGATGATGCTTCCTGGCATCAAAGGACCGGAATGTTGAACTGGGTGTTGCCCAAGTCCTGGCGGAGTCCTGGGAGAAGTTGCATCGCCAACTTCTGGCGAGAGGCTAGTGTTCCATATGCTGGGAATACCAGGAAGGGAGGGTCGCGGTGCGTACGATTGGGATGACGGGGCCCTGGCTAGAGCTGCGGCATTTGCCATCGGGTGACCAAATCCAGGAGGAGCGATGGGGGTCTGACGAGCAGGAATGCTCTCTTCCCGAAATATAGAGTCCGTACTAGGATCGAAGATATGGCTAGAAGTGGGTTGCTGGTTGCTCCGTGGAAAGGTGAGATGCTCTGGTAACGCTGGGGTGTTTTCGTAAGTGTCCGACTCGACCAGGCGCTCTACACCTTCGACAATGCGGTGCATACTGGCGGACATTGATGCTGACTGAGAGCCGCCAAAAACGCTTCTGGAATCGGTAATGTAACTGGGGTCTTGTGCTACTTGTCGAATGTCCTCTCGCCCAATGCTTGCAGAAGAAAGGGTATTTTGATGGCCCGAAGGGCTGGCAAAAAATTGAGATGGGAGCCCTTCCTCTTTGTAAATGAATGTTTTCTTGTCACCGTCGTCAACCAGAGCTATGGGGATTTTCTGCAGATAGAGCACGCATTAGTAGCCCGATTTAAAGACAGAGGGTAATGACTGTTGCGTACATTGCTCACAACCAGATCCAACCCATCGATTACAAATTCGCGGATTCGGTAAAGCATTTCCATATTTGGGTGATTCCTCTCCACCCCTGGATCATTCATTCGAGGCTTTTGGAGGCCATTTGTATCCATATATCTACGTGATGTAGTCCCCTTATTTAGCGGCACAAAACACAGAGTCTCTTCATCCTCTTCCAAAAGGTAGTCTATCTCCGGGAGAAGAATAACATCAAATGTGGTTGCGAGAAGAGTCAGGGTGTTAGCGTAGATCTTCCAAAACTCAGTTATCTGAACAGAAAGAGGGTTCTCTTTCTCCTCTTTATGGGCCACTGCCACTAGTAAATGGTTGACTGTAAGTAGCCAAGAACTGTAGTTTCGGAGAGCAGGCAGGACGCGCCGCGCAACAGCGGTAATTTTATCTGGACCATTCGTTCCGTCCCTATTGTTTGATTCCTCGACCGCGAACCGCTCCACTTCAGCTAAAAGGATCTGAAGCAATGTAAAGAATGTCTTCACATTGATACGCTGGAAAAACAAACGCGCATTTGACACGGACTCTTCTGATCAATACGTCAGAAGCGGCTCTTAAAATCGTCATGGCATGAAACTTACCATTGGAGCGTGTCCTGGAAAATTCTTCTGCAGCGATATTGACTAGACAAAACTTCTGTAAGGTGCCCTCTAGGGAACGCTCCTTCAAATCAACGGCGAGCTGATTCAGTACCTCGCTTTCAAGCTCATCATGCTCGGGAAAATCGGTGCCTTTGTAACACTGAGCATGAAGATATACAAACCAGGGAGCCAGTGCTCTACCAGGAATACCGGCATCCTCAGGGCGAATTAACTCTCTCTTGGCCCACAGATTCCTGACCTTTCGAAACTCAATTTCCAAGTTGCCCTTGGCAGATGGATGAGGTTCCTGGGCAGCTAGTGCCCTGTAGAGATGATACGTGGCCCGCAAGTGATTGCCATCGGCAAGGGCAATGACAGCCAGTTGATTGTGTGACGTACCGGAGGCTGGGTATATTACTGTGGCAAGGTCATAATAACCGATTGCCGGGCCCCAATTGCGGTCCTTGCCAACCAATTCGGTTTCGCGATAGCGTGAGAGATCGCCGAGGCGGATAAGGGTCGCATGACATGACAGCAGAATGAGACTTCTAAGGTCTCCAGACGATTGTGTGGGTTCTTCCACAGACAAATCTAACAAGGAAGCTTTGCTCAGTAAAGGAATTGACGGTAGCGGAGACCGCATTGCTCACTGTCAAAGTTGAACTTCCGCGCAACTTTTTCAAGCTCCGGAATTCCCCCGAAATGTGACGACAATTGCTGGATGTACCCTCGATAGAACCGTTGGCTTGTTTTGATGAATTCGAGGTAATGCTTCTCGAGCTTTCGTCGTTCTACTGGTTTCTTCTTCTTTCCGTTTTGCTCGCGGAACTAAGTTGTTTGTGCGATTGTTAGATGAATATCATCGACGGAGATCCCCGAGGCCGAAGACTCACGCGGGAGATTAATTTACGAAACCGATTGTTAATCTTGAGATGCGCATCCCAAAGGCGACCTTCCACATCAAGGGAGTGAGCGGCTTCGAGGTCCTGGATAATGGCATTCTGGCAGGAGGCGCGGAGTCTGCGATACCGGAGTGTGTTAGAACAATGCGCACGAGGGGTGAATCGCCAAGTCCCTAGATGGAGATAGACTGACTCAGAGAGATAGTGTGAAATTTCGGTAAATGTAGGCTCTTTCTCAGCAAGGCTTTTCAGAAGCTCTTTTTCGATGTCGAGCGCAATCCTGTACATTGCGGTTCAGAAAGACGGGTTCATTTCTTTTCTGAAGAGTTTATGAGAATACTGACTGCCACGTATTCTGAAACGCGGACGCCATGCTCAGGATGGGTGAAACGAAACCCGTTGTCACTCCACCGTCGACTTCGCCCGTCAGATGGCTATGGCTGGCTGGAAGTCTGCGGGCGACAAGAGCAGTGAACGATCCATCAGTAGTATATACAGAACTGGTGAGTTGGCGTTGGACGGAGGATATATCAAGAGTGAATGTAGTGAGATGAGACGTATATGGGAATGGAACGAAGAAGGGTGCCCACGCGCAAAATGAAGAACGAGGGGTTCAAGCCGCTCGTTGAAGAGAAAATCCCAATATCACGGGAACTTCTGCGAAAAAGACTGGCGTTGAATTGGATGAGGTGTGGCTTGTGGATTAGTGATTGGTTTTCAACTCTGTGGCTGGTGGGCGCTCAGGAACCGATTACCGTACAGTACGGTATGGTACAGAATGTGTCATGGTTTCCGTTCTGGTATCAGATTCTGAATAGTTCGTTGATTTCCCTGAGACAATGTAGTCGATCTAACCTTTGCTTGATCGAAAAGAAAGAGAAAGGCAAAAAATAGCAGAATCAAAGAGAGGATATCTCTAATACCAATCCTGACGGAAATAACCTCCTTCGTGGAGCCAGCGAGAAACACCTCATACATACTACCTAGGTACCCAATGAGCCTTGCAGGAAACGCTTGCTTAGCATCCACCCAACCAGACGAGCGAACTGTAAAAGAGCAACAGGCATTCAACATGTCCAAGCGCTCTCGGAGCATCTCCAGGTCCCCCTCTGTCGATCATCTAGAGACCTGTTCAAGACCTTCGTCACCAGCGTCTTCCATAGCCTCCATCGAACGTTCCAAGAAGCATCTACTGGATACCCCCAATTCCGTGAACGAAGTGATGCATTGCTCACTGCCACCGCATCGGGAGACACTCTCGTTCCCCTCATATGATGACTACGAGGTACATTATAAACAGACGCATGTTAACAGATGCGCAGCGTGTGGGAAGAACTTCCCTTCAGACCGGTTTTTGAATTTACATATCGAGGAGAACCATGATCCTTTGACTGCCGCGAAGAGGGAGCGGGGAGAAAAGACCGTATGTTATCATATTACTGAGCTAACCCATCTCGCATTCTGCATTCTAATGCTCGATCGGATATAGTACGGATGTTTTATTGAGGATTGCGAGCGGAAATGCTCAACGCCGCAAAAACGCCGTATGCATTTGATAGATAAACATATGTTTCCTAAGGTACTTGACTCTAGGCCAACCGAGTCGGGGATAGATTTCTGACACAACTGGGCCACAGACCTACAACTTCCACATAGTAAACGATGGCATAGATAGGCAGACGTCTATGCTGCGGCCAGCGAACTCCCATAGACGTCGGATTTCAGCGACCGCCAATTCCCCCCAAGAAGGTCGGCTAAGATACCGACAAAGTTCCATATCCCATCCTAAACCGGTTCCTGAACAGAATCCAGCTCCTCAGTTACAATCGGATGAGGTGGGAATTACTCAACTCGAGAAATCCATGTCTGCTTTGCGATTTATCCCCGCGAGTGTTACAAAGAGCCATGGCCGGCGATCCGACTGATTAGAGACAGAAATCTATAACGATGCGACAAATTACTATATGTTGGTAGCCAATAGTATATGGGCTGGTTCCAGTGGGAAAGAAAACAATATAAATCCAAATCGAAAGACTCCCGTTGGCGATATAAATTAGTGATAAGAGGGAAATAGGCCTCTCTGGACAAGCAAAAAAAAAAAAAAAAAAAAAAAAAAAAAAAAAAAAAAAAAAGAAAAAAAAAAAAAAAAAAAAAAAAAAAACAAAAAAAAAAAAAAAAAAAAAAAAAAAAAAAAAAACAAAATTAACATAAGAAGAGGACAAGGCGTGTAATCATCACTTCCTCAAGGAAAAACCGAGGGCAGGGAAGTGAAATCACAAGTTTTGAGGCATAATAATCATATCACAACATATCCAGCCTCCTAGGACAAGAGAGCTTACACTTATATACATAATTAAGAGGTAAAGAAAATAAGGGATGGGGTATATAATAACATCACATTTCATCCCAGACTGCCACAAGGACTAAGTTGCTATGTCCAATACCGACTCAAGTGGAAGGCGAAGGCGAGCTCAGCTGGTATGCATTCGGGGTCGTCGATGGTCAGTAGACAAGCCGTGCGTGTCGTAGTAATATCGAAAGAGAGGACAAAAGAAGAGGAAGGAAACATACAAGCTATCAGCCTCATGCCGAGTGCTTTAGTCCAACACAAATTCTTCGGATGTGTTGGTGTAGACAATCGCAAACGAACGTCACAGCTGCGTTTCCAGAAGATCCGCATAAGCTTCCAAGCTCGATCCGACCAGATCCACTATCGCCCAGCTTGTGTTCCCTTTGAAGGTCCTCGCCCATACTCGGACAATAGCAATGCTTAGTTGCTTTGCCTTGTAGGGGTTGGCCATGAACTCCCCATCAGGTGCACCTGGTGGATCGACAGCCATATCGGTCTCATCCATCATACTCTTAATCCATAAGAGCAATTTCCGCTCGTGCTCTGACAGCCTTTGTTCAGCCTGCGTCATCGGTATAGAAAGCAACCACCGACTTAAAAGAAATGCACATTCCAAACTACAAAGAGAATGCTGGATACTCCAGAAGAACGAATGGGTTCGCGCTACGAAGTCTATCCCAAGGCGCACCGGGATGGAGAGAGCGTGCGCAGAATGTAGTAAAGCCATAATGAGCCGTGGGCTCCTTGCTACATGTGGAGATTCACCTAGTGCCCTAGCGATCTGAATTGGATCTTGGGTAATGAGGCGACGGCAAGGGCCTAAATCAACATGTAGCCTGATATAGGCGAGCCCAAGAAGAGCTGTAGATGTAAATGCTATTGGACCGGCCGGGTTTTGGGGGTCAATGCTTGATTCTGGAGTGCGCTTCCACAATGCCTTCCAAGCACTCAGAGAATTATCCAAGGCCGATAGGTCCTCCTGTCTCAAGCTAGTGCCTTGCATCGTTGGTGCGGAGAGGCAAAGCTGGCGGGCAAAGAAGATTTGCTGGATAAGGGCATGTATGAGGATGTAGTTCCCAAGGGGCGATATGGGGGTCGATGAACTTGACATATTGGATTTCAAAAACAGTTTAGCAAAAGCTTCTTGAAATGGAACCTCAGGGCCATGTCGAGAACGCATGACCCGCCGCCATTGGTTAGCGTTGTTAGCTTTCCAGACATCGTGCGAGCATGGCATATTTAGCTTCAGCTCTGCATTCAGAATCAACGGGGGAATGTTGTACATGATGGAATGTAAATTGAAGAAGCAGTATACGATGAACTTCGTGCGCCTGTTACCTTCTCTCCGTACCCAGTCTTCCCAGTTGTTGGGATCGGCACTAGGAGGTGGCTCAGCGAGCCCATGTTCTCTGACAAGCCTGGCCAATGTGCTCTGGAGAGAAAGAATTTCTCGCAATAGGTCAGGATGTCTCTCCCAAGAAGCAAACACCGTGAGTAGCAGAAAGGTCCGGATCACTTCCATGTGAGCATCCGAATCTTGTGGCGCGTAGCCTGACGGATCAATTGGATGTGGGATATGATGTTGCTGAAACGGACTATTCGCGTTGTTGGAAGGGGTAGAAGAGCCCCGCGAATCGTGGAATCCAGATGGTGGAGAGACAAAGTTCCACGTTGGGCATTGTACTTGTTTGCTATCTCTTTTCTGGAGGCGCTGCAGAAGGATTGCTTTCGCCGCATGGAAAAGCTCGATCCCTCGATTGTTTTCAAAGCGGTAATGAGAACCTGCCGCTGCTAATGCGAGAGTGAGCTCGGGAGAGCATTTTGCAACTGAGAGTGTAGGCACATGAAGGAAAGGGAGATGTTCGTTTAGTCCGTTTATGTAGCCAGCAAAGAAGCGAGACAGAGCATGCCTTGATGGCGGAATGAAGCCCTTAGGGAGAATATAGGCAAACTCTTCAAGCTTTGAAAGAAAGACTTGACGATCTGCATTTGAGACATCCCAAGCTGGGCGAGGGCCCTCATCACCAAACACAAGACGATCATCCACATCTTGCGGCTCTGGCTGCAGAGACGGTAGCCGAGATCCAAAATTAGAAAAAGACGGCGGCTCGTCAGCGGGTCCTCGCGGATCATTCATTATATCCACTCCTAGCCTCGCACTTTCGCGAATTGGTGGTTTGGAGTCAATTGGGATATTTGTCGGCAACATGGGCTCCTCCACCGACGAGAATACACCGGAGTCCCAATCAGAGGAAAGGCCAACGCTCTCTAAGAAGACGGTGAAGTCTTGAACCGGGTCACCTAAATCTGTAAGATCCAGAAAAGAAGGCTCAACACCATAATTGTCGGTGATTGCCCTCTCTGGAACCTGAGATAACGGCTGAGGGGGACCTACGTTCTGTGAGGCCTTTCGCATCGACTCAAGGCTTTCCTGCTGGCCCTCAAGGGCGACATGACTAGCAGCATGAGAGAGTAAATTCAAATCGTACCCCCAGGATGGGTTGAAATGAGTTGTTTCGACTATTGGAGGGGGTTGGACCTGCGCCTCCGGTGGGGGCTGTGGCACTGGTTGTGTTTGCACTGGGACGGCATCTGCAAGCTCTAGCATGCGAGACTCGTGGTGGGTTGGTTGTATTATGGATGACGGGGTCTGAGGAACATCATGACTGCTATGATTTCGATGTTCGCGATTGGCTGCTGCCTCGGCTGGATGGACTAGTCGCTCATGTCGTACGAGTAGATCGCTGCAGCCAGGGAAAGGATCGGATTAGCGTTGATTAAACATGTATGGATTTGGAAGAACAGTTACCTTCTTGCAAAGGATTTGGAGCAGATATCACATGAAAAAGGTTTCTCCTTTGTATCTGCAAGTAAATGGTTAGCACAGCGCGCCTCGTATCGTCTTCAGGGTTACTCAACGGGTGCGGAGATGGCGTTGGAGATGCTCCAGACGCGCAAAAGACCTGCTACAATATTCACAAGACAGGGACTTTCGGTTGGCGGGAGTAGACTTCTTTCTCACTTTCCCAGGGGGGGCTCTCTCGTCCTCCATAGCGAATTGCCTTGAAATTGGAGCATTTGTCTTTTGCTGGATAACATGCGAGCGGGGAAGAAAAACTGTGGGGTTGTCATGAGGGGGTTTTGCGAGGGGGGTCACGTGGCTGCCGCGGACGTTGGATTCTGGTTGTCTGATCATCAAAGCCCTAAGTCACCATTGCTTTAGTTAGGTCAAGGTCACTGGGTGAGGAGTATGGAGAGTTTTGTTTTTTTCCTTTTCCTTTTTGGCAGATCGAGATGCTTCACTGGGTTCAATTCCGTGTGGTTGTTTTCGGGCAAGTAAAGCTCTTGAATTATTTCGGAGACAGACTGGGGAGTGAGGAAATAGGCCACAATGGGTTGTTAGTAGGTCTCTTGGGTAAGGATCTGAATACTAATGGATGCAAGACTGGACGCTCCGCCCTCCCCACTGGTGCGGAGAGATTTGCTTTTGATAATGACCATACAAAAATACTGTCTCCTCACCGGTGTGCACTTCCCTGTTTGGGAGGAGGGGATTTATTGGGGTCTGTGTATGGAAATATTTTGCTATGAAAATTTTTTTTTCATTTCATCTTTTCCTTCTCTTTTGGGGAAAAAAAGAGGGGGAGATATAGTATATCATAATGAGAAGCTGTTCAAGTGAGAGAAAACAAAATCCGGTTAATCCATCCTCCTTGAAGATGGCACTTAATAAATTTAGAACGCTCTAATAAAAGAAAAGAAGAAAGAACGATGAGGCGTTATAACAATTGGATCAGAAACATAAATGACCATATCTTGATTCCACCTAATTTCTTAGTGTCTTATTGCTCGCCACCTTTTCCAAAAGCCACCCCGAGACCAACTTAAACAAGCAGGCCCTTTCAGCGCTAGAACATGTCAAATTGGCATCAACAGCTTATTTGCCCTCCTCCAACATGTCACGCTTCCATAAGGTCATGCTCTGCAACGCGTTCGCATTACTTCACTCGGTCAATAAGTCTCCTTGCATGCAAACGCCTCACCAATTTTCTCCCATGGGCGTCTCTACGGCTGAGCCATCGACTTCGCCTAACTGTAATGGGCGCTCTGGAATTCGACCTTGTTTCCGCTTTTATACGGCTTGATCGAGATCATCATCATCATAACTCTCGTACCTTTACGCGATCGAGGGACGTGGCTTGGCCGTTAGAGCGCTATATGGGTTATCAGATCTGTCACTCGGAGCGATAATAAATAGATGGTGCTTTCGCGGAAGCTGATCCTTGGGATTGGGCTTTAGTAGATCAACATTCCAATCTGTGGTATTGGATTAGGTACAGTCCTAGCGTTTCTTATGCGGACGAAGGTACTTGGTCCTGTTATCTTAAAGGTTACCAAATCCAATTGGACGTGTATTCTCCTGCTGACTGCTCTTAGCGTGACCTGCCTGCCGGCCATCTCATGGGGTAGTACGATGGTTCGTGGTCCTCATGGCATACTTGGTATTGTACATCTAGTGTTAGGTATAGCTGGACTCACGAGCTTTGCTATGTACACAAAATACCACCGAGCCCCATCATTCGATTCGCTATTTCCGAACAGGGCATATAATTAGGTGTGTTTAAGCCTATGGCGCTATCATCCCTGGAGTGAGGCTTTCACTGGTGCTCCCACGTCAATTGTAGTGGGTCCACTGGTTATTAAGTGGGATCGCTATCGACGGACAAGATAGAGTAGCCGGTTTTGGGATGTGCTGAAATGACGCTTCTCTACTTGCTTGGTCATCGAACAGCAATCCATGAATGGTCATTCTCGATGTTAAAGCAGAGCTTGGTTTAGGCATGCACTACAGTAGACTTAAGGGGCACAAGACGCAACAGAGGATAAGGTTATCGTCTATGTAGCTTCCATGTATACCTTGTCGCGCTGCTTTGGACAAGGCATAAGAGTTGTTGTAGGGCTCGCAATCTCCCAGGTACAACTAGCATCAAGAGGCAGCCTTAAGGTTGTTTGGGCGGCTATGACAGGGTTGGCCTTTTGCCAGGCTGGTGACAGGTGCTTTCACGGAAAGACTGGAAGTCTGTAAGCAACAAGAATCGCAGCAGAGGCTTCAAGGAAAACGCGGTTTTAACGCCGCATTCTCCGGTGTGAAATATGTCTAGACGCAGCAGTATCACTCTTGATCTCCCGATCACGGTTAGCAGGAAATGCTCAGACGAGCAAATCTTATGCGTATTCCATGGTGGTAGATATATATACATATTACATGCATATCTATCTATATACGCTTGTACGAGGCAGAGGCGCGAATATCGCTCCAGGTAGCCAATAAGAATGCGCCACATAACATTGTGTATCGCTAGGTATTCAGTGCTTCTTCCTGAAATCAATGATATTAACATGTACAGGAATAAGGATCTTGAGTGTCCGAGTTAAGCCATCTGAAGGCGACAAAAAAGGCAAATCTGAATGACTTCTCACTGTTTGCTCCTTTAAAAATCTTGATTAATAACGTGAAGGCATTAAGTGGATCGCTCTATCAGGATTTGGGGGTGTATATACCTGTCTACTAGTGATTGGGATGTAAAGGTAGTGAAGTGGTTTATAATCTAAATCCACTTAAAGCAGAATAACACTAGTGGAGCCCTTTTCCAATGCTCAACCGACATTAATAAAAGTGAATCTCATGGGGTAGTTAAATAGTGGTTTCACATATTGGTCATCTATATGCTACTCTGTAGTAGTTTCTGTTTAGATGTAGTCCACACCTGAAATAGAAATAATGACAAGAATCATTCTACATGAATGAAGAACGATGTTGTTTTAGTATAAATGAATGATGAATGTGCTACTTATATATATTCATTTTTCCTTCTTTTCTCTCTCTCTCTCTCTTTTTTTTTTTGGGTTGGGGGGTGATTCTACGGAGCCTTCAATCTTGAAGGGGGAACGAACGTATATAAATGTGCATATTATTGTATACATACTCTGTACCGTATTCGATACGATATGGCACTGCTTTTGGAGCAGTGGATGGGTAACCCAAACGGAGTGGCGTGTGTGCGGAGCATTCAGTGCTTGAACGTTACTAGGTAGCTGTTCAGATACCTAACTATCTACGCCCATAGTACCTACTCGGTAGGTAAGAGGTGAACTTCAAAACCATGTTCATGGCGAGAAAATAAATTTTAATATATACCTGCAGTGAGAGTGTCATTGTTTTTAACACAATTCACTTTGGTTCTTCAATTCAACCAAGGGATAAATAAGATCGAAAACAATGGAACGAAGGCAGAAGCGACGGCCTAAGAATAGTAGTGATGCCGCTAATCCGCGAACGGACACTTAGCGACGGGAGAGTCTAAGGCAGAGAGCAGGTCCTGGTCCATTGTTTCAGATCAGGCCCCTGACAGCCTATCATCCGGCGCGGCGTGTTTGAGGAGATCCCACACGTACGCATGTCGGAGGAGCCCTCGTCCCCCTCCCCCCGATCGGGCCCAGACAGATACCAAGTTTGTAACGAGACTAGACATTTTTTAGATACTAGCAAAAACCTAAAGGTGAGGGAGGCTATCGAATTTGCCTCTCCACCACACCCTCGGTTCCCAAACAGATCACCGGCTACCGTTCATCACGGTCGTTCTCCGATTGTCGACTGCTATCCCGCCTCACCTTACCTTTTTTTCCCCCCTCTTATTTTCCCTCCGCTAGTGGGAGTGTTATCACTGATAACTCCCGATTGTGAACCCTCTAGTGTGCTTGTTTAAAACAAGGCCTGGATAAAAGAGAGAGAGAGTCGGACCCGCGGGCTTGGTCGATATCCTCGGCCTCACTGCTCAATTGCCTACTGTATCTACCTCCTCTCAGCATTGGCCCTGATCGGTACCAAGCCATTTCCCCGTGTTCGGGATCCTCAACTCATTTTTTTCTATATTTGGAAACTTGTGTTCGCTTGATCCTTATCTTCGTCTGCCATTCCCCTCTTAGGAAATAGATGGAGCTAATGTGTACCTGGAATCCTGCAGGCTACTTTGTATCATGCATTAGACCATTCTGGACGTTTGTTGGGACCTTGACGTTTCTACAACACCGCACGAGCCATTTTTTCTTGCCAGGTACACAGGGGCAAGGAGAAGGGGCGATAGTTTGTCTGCAGACGCACACTAGCCATCGTTTGACGATTGGACGACGTTCTAGGGTTATTTCCCCCTTCGACAATGCTGGCAAAGACTACATACTCTTCCCCACTGGGGATGTCAACAACCCAGACACCAACGACGTCTTATCACACCGGGCCTTCTCACAAAGCGATCTTTGCAGCGCATCAAGATGGTGTCTCATTCACTAGTCCCACGGAGTCGGAGTTCTCGGATGCACACGATGGACTTGAGGCAGTCAAGTAAGTCGCCCGTGCGTGATGTTTAGGGAAAGGTTTTATAGGGAGGCGATAACTGATAGCCCGGCAGATCTTGGGACGAGAAGCAAGTCATAGCGTGGCTGCATAGCATCAACTGTGGTCAATATGAGCCTCTCTTCAAAGGTTGCTTCTGGGTTCTATTGCTTTTACAGCTAAACACAATAAACAGGAGCTGACGGCATGTAGCAAACAACTTCAACGGAAACAATCTTATTGAGTGTGACCAGAAGATCCTGCAGGAGATGGGTATTAAGAAAATCGGTGATCGCGTACGCATTTTTGTCGCTATCAAGCAGCTTAGAAACAAGTCGGTTGCCAATCGCAAACAAAGAAACATGGTAGGTGATTGTTGTGCTGACTCAGGAGTCTGTACTAATCCGCTGCAGAGTCAATTAGCTGCGCTCGAGTCTGCATGTACACCAGCCTCGTCTGAGTCCAGTCGTCCGTCACTCGGCCGTCAACAGACCTTGAACAATCGCCGTTTCTCCCGTACCGCTGATACTGTTCATGGTTACAAATCGCCGTCGCGGCCAGGGTCGCCCCTGCGAGCCCAACGATATGCTGCTAGTCCAATGGAGAGTGCTCGTAAGGAACAAGGGCAAGGCTATTTCGGCCACACTCCCTCTGGTAGCTCCGGTGCTAGTCGGAACCAAGCGACTTCTAGTGAGGGCCAAAGGAGTGGTTCACATTTGAGACAAAATCCTAGCATTGATGGCCTGACAATGGGGTCGCTGCCTACAAACTCTCCCGTTATTAGGGTAATCTATACCGGTGGACAGACCAAAGTGTTAAACATCAAGCATTGCAAGACAGCAGATGAAATAATCCTCTGCGTCTTGAAGAAGCTGCAACTTCCGGAACACCAATATCGCAATTACTGTTTCTACGTGTTAGATGGCCTGGAGCCAGACCCGTCTAACTGCCGGAGGCTGGGGGATCACGAGCTCATGGAGATATGTGAAAGCAACTACAAGTCTGAACGTGGTCGCCTCATACTGCGGAAGATTCACGCTGGAGAACCAGAAACGGACGAACTTCGCCGTGCTTCTCAGCTTGCCATGGACGAAAGCCAAGCGACCCACATTAATGCTTTGAACAGCTCAAACCCACGTACACAATTCAAGATTCAACAGCTCACTGGCGAATCTTGGAACAACATCAAACAACCGATTTCACCTATGTCTTCTCGGCATCAAAACGCGAGCGAGCCCGAGTTGCAGGTGCTGAATACGGAACGAAACCCGGTGTCTAAGTTACGATCGTTCTTCGGTGCCCGGCCACCTAGCGAGATGATTATCCACGAAATCACATCTTACTTTCCTAGCCACCACCGGGAGGATATCGAGAAGACTATGCGTATGTCAGTTCGGAGGTCGCAGCGTCTAAGTCGTGCGGCAAGCCGGTTGAGTGTAGTTAGCAACACAAGCTATGCATCTAGCTTAAGAGATGCACCCCCTATTCCCAGTATTGCTGATACTTGGCTTAATACTGGTGCTCAGCCCACTCGCGCTTCGAGACCTCTTTCAGTTTCTAAGTTCAGTCTTCCTCAAGCAACATATAGGGATTCCATCGCATCTAGCTCCCTTCAGCCGCTTCAAGAAGAGTCACCAATTGAGCCAAATCGCAAGTCATACGTTTCTTTTGATAGTGGTTCTGATGATCCCAGCACTTCTCGCCAGAGCCTGGTGGACGAGAATGCAAGTGTTGCTGCGACGGATGGAGGCTCACTCAATGAGCGACTCAGTGTTCTAGTAGCGGAAGACGGCGAAGAGGAAGATGATGGACTAAATGACTTCCTGGCTGGAAACAACTTCGCCCCCAAGAATTGGATGAAGGGCTCTTTGATTGGGGAAGGGTCCTTTGGTAGCGTCTTCTTAGCCTTGCATGCGATTACTGGAGAGCTTATGGCTGTCAAACAAGTTGAAATTCCATCAGCAACCAAAGGCACGGAATTTGACAAGCGGAAGAACAGTATGGTCACAGCACTGAAACATGAAATTGAACTCTTACAAGGACTTCATCACCCCAATATTGTCCAGTATCTGGGCACTGCTGCTGATGACCAATACTTGAACATTTTCTTGGAATACGTCCCCGGCGGATCTATTGCTACGATGCTCAAGCAATACAATACTTTCCAAGAACCTTTAATAAAGAACTTCGTGCGACAGATTTTGGCAGGTCTCTCTTACCTACATAGCCGCGACATCATACACCGGGATATCAAGGGTGCGAACATTCTTGTGGATAACAAAGGCGGCATCAAGATCTCGGATTTCGGTATATCCAAAAGAGTTGAAGCCTCCACGGTTCTTGGTTCTCGAGTCAGCGGTACAGGAGGTGGTCATCTACACAGACCCTCTCTGCAGGGTAGTGTATATTGGATGGCACCAGAAGTTGTTCGGCAGACAGCTCACACCAAGAAAGCGGACATTTGGAGCTTAGGCTGTCTGGTCGTGGAGATGTTTATTGGTGCCCACCCTTTCCCTGATTGCAGTCAGTTGCAAGCAATTTTCGCTATTGGTAGCAACAAAGCGAGACCGCCTGCACCAGAGCATGCGAGCAAGGATGCGGTCGCCTTCCTAGACATGACTTTCCAAGTTGACTATGAGCAAAGGCCAAGTGCAGACGAATTGCTGAAGTGTCAATTCCTCGCCGCGCCACTCGCGTGAAACCGGGCTGTTTGAATTGCAGACGAAAAACTTTGCAACTTTTTTTGAGATTGAATACCCCAGGCGCAAATGCCGCTAAGCATCTTCAGGTTCTGAGATCTTATGATTATTATTATTATTATTTATTTATTTATTTATTTTTTTTTGAATCCTTGTGCTTTAATATTGATTATTTGGTTACTATTGCTGGCCTTGGATCTCGGACTTTCTGTATCCAATCTCCTGGGTCACAGCACTCACCCGGATCTTAACTTCATTGTCGACGTATAATGAAATGATGTTGTATAGAACATACAGTGTTTTCGATTCATGACCTTCAGATATCCTATTCTTGTATTCTAATAAGCGGGGTTCTGTTCTGGTGGATCTGAATGGTTAATGGGATACGTCCACATAGTTTTGAAACGTTGAGGAATATAGTCTTCAAGTGATATGCAAAATATTCGAACAATCAACGAACCCAATCGGAGCAGACGATGATTTGTGCAATAAAAAATACTAATGGATCAGAGCGTATTTTACATGAATTTGACGAGTCTAGAACTTCCATGTTACATATTAAAATGCCAAGAAAACAAGATGAGAATGCAAGCTTTCGCTTGGTTGTATAGGAATGGCTTTCATCAAGCGTCTCCTGATTAGATCTCGCGGTATTCCCCAGATATGTGTGTTCGGTTTCCTTAATCAACCATCTTTCCGTGGAAAGGAATTCCCATAGCACTGAGGAGAAGCCGAGCGTCTTTGTCCGTCTTAGCCGTTGTGTGGATGGTAATATGGCAACCAGGAATCATCTTCGGGGGGTACCTAGTGGTCGGATAGTATTAGCCAATGTTCCACCCAACCCTATCTCGGTATAGGCGCTGTAGCAAGACTCACATATCATAGTTCACCTCGATCTCAGGGAATAGGGCAACATTCTCAGGCTCGAGACCAAAGGTGATGTTTCCACTGCTGTCACCGCTGCTGCCCTTCACACCTTCCCAGTCTTTGATCCTGGGCATAACAACGTCGACAAGCTTTCCGAAGAAGTGTAGCATATCTTCACCACGAAGCTCAGCCTTGACAGCAACAGTATCTCTGCCTGGTGCAATACTCCAAGTGGCCACACTGGTCTTCGACTTAAAGGTTTCTACTTTAGCGTTGGAGATAGCCTGGACAGCCATTCCGGCGACATGCAACCATGACGAATTCTCCTGAGCTGCCTGCTTGACGTAACTGTGAATGGTGATCCGTTCTAGCTTGGGAATATTATTGAAATTAATCGGCTTCCGAAGGAGACGCAGCACATCACCTCCACGGGGTCCACGGAGCGGTCTGTTCTTGTGATAGGGGGAGCTATCATCCCATGAACGAAGACGAGGTGCCTTCGGCGGCGGCTTGAAACCCGGGGGGTTGTGAACATAGCAGAGGGTGAGGATGTCGGAAGCGACGGTTGACTGGTACGTTTGCTCTACTCGTGGAAGCGAGAAAGGGCCCGGAACGTAGAGTCGGGAAGATGGATCGGATGGCGGAGGGGGTTGATGAGGGTGTAGCGGACCACGATCATATTTGGGCGAACGGAATTGATAGCTGATTGTTGAAAGATTAGACCCGAGCGTTCGCCTGGTGGCCGATCCGGATTGCAGTGCAATCGAGGTGAACTTACCGACTCCGTGGCAGCTGCTTCTTCCGCCCTTTGGATCTCGCAATAGGATCAAATGACTTTACAGCATCAGAAGGCGATGCGGGTGTCAGAGATGTCGCTGACTCAAGCTCGTCGAGGTCGGCCTGCGCGGCCTTCGACGACGCTTGATCGGAGACATTGCGCCGCAAGCAGAAGGCCTGGGGGCGAGCGGTGGGCACAAATGCCCGTGGCAATGACCTTGCCAGATATCTCGACGGCTCACTGGCAGCCATTGTGGTCTACAGGTGAAGTTGTCGCTGTAGACTATATCGAGACTCTGCTTTCCAAAAATTGTTTTCCGGATCGGAGACATATCGACTTCGGGATAACATCACGTGGCCAGAGTTTAGGGTGCCTGAAGGGTTTGGCGCCAATATCAGGCAACGAACAAAGCTCCGCAGAAAGAGAAGACAGCGGAAAGATCCACATGTGATCAGCTTCAATCAAATCATCCCCGCGCCGAATCTAGCAAGCTAGGCATCCATAACTTTAGATCGTTGCCGATCCGGTGCCAAAGTCATGAGCTGTTGATTTTAGCGCTTCTCACTATTTTTCTTTGCTGTTTTAGACTGATTAGTGTCGCCTACCCTCGAAATACTCCTGTTAGCCAATGTGATGTCACTGAACTATTTCGGCTGAAGCCTATATACACACCTCCTCGACTCACACATCAGATTCAACTATCAGAGGAACTAGGCACATGATATGTCTGGTAAACCTTCCAAGACCTACATTCGCGTGCTCCATGGGAATTTTGGAGCCTGAACTAATACTTGCCCCATGTCAATGTATAACTAACCCTCAAGTCTGCGACACTTTTCTCCTGCCTTTGAACTACAATCTACAAAGGTCACATACATTGTGAAAAATGAGCGGAATCCACAGATTTCTCACGAAGCGCGAGCGGCTTAGCAGATATGGAAAGAAAGATGAGGTATAGCACACAACTCCAGAGTTGGGTGTCTTTTGGTAACTTACCTTTGCTAATGCCGCTTTCGTTCAGTCTTCGAATATCCTTTCCCGTCCCCATTTCCGTGGCTTCTTCTCGTCAACCCAACCACCAGCGAATACTGATGAAGAACAAAAGAAGGTGAGGCAATCGCATTTAGTCGCGTAATCTATACAGTGTTGCTTATGATGAGGTAGATCAAGCTTCTTGAGCGTCGCATCGCGCAGCTTGGTATCACCAGTCTTAAAGAGGAACATTTTGGCTATGCCTTACAATCCTCACATGCCCAGGGAGATGTGGACAGAGCGTTTGACTTGCTGCTACTTCTTGAAGACTCTATCGAAGGAATCATCAGAGGATATACACCAAGTACGAAGCTCCTGGGAGCAGAGAACCGCCAAGGAGTCACTTGCTACCTAGATGCGCTTCTCTTTGCGATGTTCGCTCGTCTTGATTGCTTTGAAGCCATTCTATATAAATCCTTTAATGACGAGCCTCGTCGGAAACTCGTCATACTGTTAAGGCTCTGGGTCAACATGCTGCGGTCGGGAAAACTCATAACAACGGATATTGTATGTTCTTGTATTTCTTTCAATTCCCCCTAAATGGTACGATGAAACGCTAACAGAATGCCTGTAGACTAAACATTTGCAAGATGCACTGGCTGAATGTGGCTGGGATGATGCAGCCAGGCTACGCCAGCAGGACACATCGGAGGCGTTCACGTTTATAACGGGCACGCTGGAATTGCCCCTCCTTACTCTGAAAATGGACATTTATCATACAGGCAAAGAAGATGCGAGTGACGACCACAAGTTTGTCAATGAAAGATTATTGGAGGTTGCGATACCAGAGCCTCATGATGGAAGGACCGTCACGCTTGAGGATTGTTTGGAATCGTACTTCAACAATCGTATAGAAGTGAAACGGCACCTTGAACGGCGCAGCACTGTGGGCTCCACTAAATCAGTAGACTCCTTAGTCAAGGGTTTTACGACGCACATCGAGACAGTGGAAGTTAGCCCATCTCCTTCGACATCTCCAACAACTTTGTCACCTTTCCGCCTTGATGAAGTGACCCCAATCACGTCTATAACCGAATCAAGCGGCTCAGACACACATAAGGTCAGGCGAAGCAGCATCGTCCAAGAACGGTTTATACCTGACTTGGAAGGTGATGGCCATGTGACATCTCAGCGGAGGGGCTCGTATCGGAAGGAGGTTATGATGCCTGCGTGGCAGTTTTTTAGTTTGATACGTAAGGCCAACGACCATTTCCTTGATGTTTGCCAGCGCTAACATACCTGCAGCCTGGTACACGGATAATACGCCGACCAATGATGCACAGGTCGCTGCGCACTTTTCTTCAAAACGGCCAATACTCGGCTTGTGCTTAAAGCGTTATTCTATGTTACCAAACGGTAAAGCTATTCGACTTAATACATTCATTGACATCCCAACAGAGATTGGACTGCCTCATTTCATTCAAGACGACAGTTTTGACGAAGAAGGTCCTATCTACGGGAATTTCAAACTTTCCTTGCAGGCAATGGTTTGCCATCGAGGTAACTCTGTCGATTCAGGGCATTACATCGCCATTGTTCGGGGTACCAGTGCTGGTGCGCCCCCTGCTAGCTCTCATAGTTCGGAGACGGCATTTTCAGATAGCCCCCAATATTGGATGCGATTTGATGACTTGGCCGCTGAGCGTGTGACCTTGGTTGATGTCGAACAAGCTCTGAAGCACGAATCGCCCTATCTTCTATTCTACCAAATTCTGCCGATCAATGAAGATGCTGCGGCGGTCAATCTCCCAAATACGGCGCCTTCTTCTGAAGTGTCGGAGGATACACAGGATTTGGATACTTTAGCAATATCTCAGAAATTAAGCGCCTCGATCGGTGATCTTTCTGAAAGTTGTCACATGGAGGGATTGCGTTCTAACCGGCCAAGCTTCGAGATCACTGCCCCAGATAATACAGAAATCGAGCCACTAGACCATAATGGCAGAAAGCATAGTGTTGCCTTCTCCGATGCAGTTGAGTCAAATACTTCCGGAGGACTCCAGGTACAAACCGTTTCATCGACGTCACCGAGACTTACTGCGAAAGATGACGATAGGGGGAGGAACTCCTTCTCATTTTCTCGTCGTACGTCAAGAAACCGGAGAAGCACACCTGGCAGCCGTGCGGGGAGTCAAACTAGTGAGAGCAGAATTAGCGCTACATTCTCACGTTTTACCGGTCGACGCAGCAGAGATAAGCTCAACAGCGATGGTTTCTCGACCGAGGACGATGAGTTTGCCGTTGACAATGTGCTGCCAAGCGAGAAGTTTATACCAACGAGTAGTGAAAGCAACGAGAAGAGCCCTCGACGGGGGAAGGAAGGTGCCAGGAACAAAGGGAAGTCCAAGGAAAAGCCTAGAGAGAAGTTTGGACGAAAGCTTGAGCGGGAGTGCTCTATAATGTAAGCGATGATTCATTGACGGTTTTATGATTCATGATTTTCATGATCACACAATTCTAGAGAGGAAGTGAGCGCGATTGATACCCAGCCACTTTTCTCATTATTCATCATTTATCCCAGTCATGTGCAACTCGGGAAGATGTTAATTTGTATAGACTATGAGTGAACATATTAGAAATAGATAGGGGAAGGTGGGATTGTGCAAAATCGAGAGCATTTGTATCGTACAATAGTTATCTGTGTGGCATCTATCCATCATGATACTGACCGTAATCAACTTCGATATCTGCCTCAGGCATCAAGAGCAATGCTAAGGCAGCAACAGCTGTCTAGCTTCCCCCATCCCGTCCTATCGGTATCAATCGGTCAGTAAGAACAGCTTGACACAAGCTCCTCTCCACCCATTTCTTAACTCCTCTCTGGACTCCGCTATGATATAGCGTTTTCTGTCAATACTCGCGCATTATGGCGCCGGATGTGTCAAACGGTTATGTTGCTCCCAGCAACCTAACTGAAACCCCCGACTCCGCACTCTTCGATGTCCGACGTGTTCAGCTTCAGTTCCCGCTTGCTGCGGATTTCGTCGCTGCACAAGTTGCGAATAATGTACTAATTCTAGCTCTCGCGACCAACCGTATCCTAAGAATTGACTTGGAAGCTCCCGAAGACATAGACGGTATTTGATTCCTGTGGCTCGGTATCGTTGCGATATTAATTGGGCCATTCTAGACATCGACCTTCCAAAGAAATCCTCAGAAATAGGAGTTATTCGTCGCATGTTCTTGGACCCTTCCGCGTCCCACTTGATCATTACTACCACCCTTGGCGAGAACTACTATCTCCACACTCAGTCGAGGCAACCTAAGCCACTCTCGCGGTTGAAGGGAGTTTCCGTTGAGAGTATCGCTTGGAACCCATCGCTTCCGACCGCCTCGACTAGAGAGATACTTCTAGGAACTACGGATGGCCATATATATGAGGCTTATATCGAGCCGTCTACTGAGTTCTATCGCCGCGAGGAGAGATATGTCACCGCTGTGTATAGAGTGCCGGAGGCATCGCCAGTGACAGGGCTTTGGGCAGAGTTGGTTCAAACTCATTTGGAGCAGAGGCGGGTGCTGATAGCGACACATGGCAAGTTAATGTGCTTCTTAGGGCGGACAGGAAGACATGGGAGAGAAGGTGGTGGTTCCGTATATACCGATCTCTTCCAACGGGAATTGCCATCAGTCCATGAGGTTCAGAAGCCGTCCAGCGCTGCGCCTTCAACACTGGCCATATCACCAGCTATTGTGGATGGCCATTCTGAGAAGGAATTTGCGTGGCTTAGCTCCCAAGGTGTTTATCATGGACAGCTTCCATATTCTTCCGACAAAGTGACACAACCATTCGAGGGTGCGAATATGCTTCTACGGTCAATGTTCCCAGCCACAGAATCTGCACGAGGAGGCAAAAGGCTTATTCAAAATCCTATAGCTGCTGTGACGCTTTCTCAGTGGCATATTCTAACCCTTGTTGAAGGCAGGGTTATTGCCATAAATCGTATGAGCGAAGAGATTGTTTATGATCATGCTGTATTGGAACCAGGACAGAGTACACTAGGCCTCCTTGCGGACTCTACGCAGAATACTTATTGGTTGTTCACTAGTCAAGAAATCTTCGAGATTGCAGTCGAGGATGAGGACAGGGATATATGGAAAGTGTTTCTTCAAAAGCAGATGTTTGACGAGGCTCTTCATTACGCACGTTCTAGCGCACAGAAGGATGTCATTTCCACTGCTTCCGGCGACTTTCTCGCCAGCAAAGGCCGTTATCTGGAGGCGGCCAAAGTCTGGGGTAAAAGTAGCAAGGGATTCGAAGAGGTTTGTTTGACTCTGATTAACCGTGGGGAGCATGATGCGCTGCGGAAATACCTCCTTGGCCAGCTGTCGACATACAAAAAGTCGTCCTCCATGCAGCGGATAATGGTTGCAAGCTGGTTGGTAGAAGTTTTCATGGCCAAGCTAAACTCTCTGGACGATAACATAGCTACCCGAGCGGAACTGGCGGAGGGAACGAGCACTGAAGAGATTAGAGGCCAGCTCAGCAGCATCCGCTCCGAGTTTCAGGACTTTGTCACGAAGTATAAGTCGGATCTCGATAAGAAGACGGTATATGGTATCATCAGTAGTCACGGTCGAGAAGAGGAGCTGCTGTATTTTGCTACAGCCGTCAACGACCATAACTATGTGCTTTCGTACTGGATCCAACGTGAAAAATGGCCCGAGGCATTGAATGTTCTACAGCGACAAAGTGACCCTGACGTGTTCTACAAGTATAGCAGCGTGCTTATGACCCATGCAGCTACTGGATTGGTTGATATCTTAATGCGGCAGACAAATCTCGACCCCGAGAAACTTATACCTGCTCTACTAAACTACAACAAGTCGACGAATGTACCGCTTAACCAGAACCAAGCTGTTCGATACCTCAATTTTATTATTGTCAACCATCCAAAGCCGTCAGCCGCAGTGCATAACACACTCATATCAATCCATGCTTCGAGTGCCTCTTCCTCGGAAGCAGGGCTCTTGACCTATCTTCAGTCACAACCTTCATCTCCGCCCCCATATGATGCCGATTTTGCCCTTCGTCTTTGTATTCAACACCAGCGCTTCCAGTCATGCATTCATATCTACAGCGCTATGGGACAGTATCTCCAGGCAGTAGAGCTGGCTTTGCAGCATGAAGATATTGAACTAGCAGCAATCATTGCAGACAGACCGGAAGGGAACGATAAGCTCCGTAAAAAGCTATGGCTTCTTGTTGCCGAGAAGAAGATTCGACAACCCGGAACAGGCATAAAAGACGCCATTGAGTTCCTCCGTCGATGCGAACTCCTCCGTATAGAAGATTTAATTCCATTCTTTCCAGACTTCGTTGTCATTGACGATTTCAAAGATGAGATATGCAGTGCCTTGGAGGATTACTCCCGTCACATCGATGCATTGCGCCAGGAAATGGATAACTCGGCACACACAGCACGGCAGATTCGATCCGAAATTACGGCCCTTGATATGCGTTACGCTATCGTCGAACCTGGTGAGAAGTGTTGGCTTTGTTCCCTACCAGTTTTGAGCCGTCAGTTCTTCGTATTCCCCTGTCAGCACGCTTTTCATAGCGACTGTCTAGGGAAAGAAGTTCTTGAGGGTGCCGGCGGGAAAAAGAAGTATATACGGGACCTTCAAGCGCAGTTAAACAACAGTGGCATAAGTCTTTCTCGACGGGAGAATATTGTCAAAGAGCTAGATGGGTTGATAGCAGAGGCTTGGTAAACTCCCCTCCCATCCACCGAGTACGAGCATTGTGTGTTGACATATAAACAGTATCCTCTGCGGAGATCACGCTATCAAACATATTGATAAGCCATTCATCACGGCCTCTGACGCGGCAGATGAATGGGCATTGTAAGAGCAGAGAACTCGTCCGTGTCCTTCACAAATGTTCCCCGTTTTATTTGCGCCTGAGTTCTAATGAGTTATATCTGGAGTGTTACTCTTTCCGACTTGACGGCAGTCATTCCCTGACTTTTTTCGTACGAAAAAATACGATATGTTTATACCATTGATTACCTAGTTACTCGCATATATCCAAGCCTAATTCAAAGGAATTTTCAATTCTACCCTAGACATCGGCATCAATTACTACTCGATATTCTATCTACACGGAAAGTTAAACAGAGTATACTTTATATCCAAACCAAATAACCGCCCAAACCTAAACTAAGGCAGTAGTAATGCGTCGAAGATAAAAGGGCCAAAGAGCAAGAATCATCATAAAAGCCTCAACAGCTCCAAATCTTTCGCAACGGCAGGACTAAAAGGGGCACACTCTTCCAAGAACTGTATCATCTCCTGGCTCCATTGTTCCCAGTCCTGAGGAAGTGTGCTGCGGATACGGGGATCGGGGGAATTAGAGATACAATAGAAGAGGAGGACTTGGCCGAAGAATCTGTATTGTATTAGTGCATGTCACACGTCACTTCGCCGGGTATCGTTTGAAAAGTGGCAAGAGAAGGGTAGTTGTTGGGGGGGGGAATCATACTGAGAACAAAAAGCAAACTTGATCGGAATACAGCTTTTCATAGTTTGAAAAATGCCGCTGGTGACGGGCCAGTTCATGGCGTGTTGGAGGCCGCTGCGGAGTTGTTCGAGGTCGTCTTCTGAGAGGGAGGCGGGGATGCGGAGGGCTTTGTAGAGGTATGGACGGCCGATATGGAACTTAGCGATCATGTAACGGCCGCGGAGCATTGCCTCTGAGACGGCGGCGGCGGGGGAGAGGGGACGGTTAGGGTCTAGAGGGGGGGGAGAGATTGGAGTGGTAGGAGATGCAATGGGGGTTGTGCTAGTGGTGGGGTTTGCTGGGGTCGTTGCCGTTGCGTGGGTATCTTGGAATTGGATGGCAGGCGGGAGGTTGAGACGCCATTGTTCTAGTTGGTGTTGGAGCTCTGTGTTGATGGCTGGGAGTGGGAAAGTTCCTGAGTCGGCTGGGGTTGGGACACTGTGAGTTTGGGTTTATATGGGTGAAGTGGTACGTGCACGGTCCATAGCTTACAGTAGAAGTATAATGAGTGTCGGATTCGGGTGAGGATGATACGGTGAGCGACCTGCGCGAGGAAGTGATATTGAAAGAAGGAGTCATCTAGCTCTTCTGAGGAGGACCGAGGGGGCACGAAGCTGACAGTTTCGAAGCTGATGAATTTCGGTATGGGCACGAATTCTTCAAGTCGGGCGAGGCCGCTGGGAGGGAGATGTAGTTCTTGCACTAGGATGGTCTCGTTCATTAAGCAATTCCAGTATACGCGGGATTTCATATCGCCCTCCCATTCATCGAAATTGACGTCGTGACTGGAGGTGTTATTTAGTAAAGAGTAAGCAGAAATCAGAATGGGTTGACTCACTTGGTCAACATTTGAAGACAACAAGTAGCAGCGCGGTGGATCATAGCCCACGAATCCATCGGGCGGAGGATTTGGCTGTAATAGACCCTTTTTATCTCGTTAGTCAATAGCCTTGGGTTGGTTAGGAAAGGGATGCGTACGATGACAACATATAGAATTGACAACTTGGGAGGTCGTTATCGCACATCAAGAAACCAACGCGTCGGCGTGCCTCATTGAAAAAGCGTAAGCCGAGCGGTTCCTCATGGATCACCGTCATCCAGTCTGGTGGTTCAAAACGAGTGCTTCGAGTACCGGGTAGCGGGTAATTTCCTTCTTGATGAGCCTGGACAGCATGACAGCCCAAAGCCAAAACGTTTAGAACCAGGCAGCTTTCCATTGTGTAGCCGAATCCACTCTCAATCGCTGCCCAGATCGTGAATGCAAAATAGAAACTCTTATCCATGATTGGTGTGAAAGGGTTAAATGTGACGAAGAATGCATCAGAAAGACCTTTGATCATCGCCAGTGGAAGTGCCTCTAACCAGTCATCGCCAGCCTGCGGTGGGAATGGACAGATGTACATTGGGAGTCGGGGCCTCTTGACTTCCATGTCAATAACGTAGTTCTTCCCTAGCCTCTCGTGGGCTTCGAGTAATCTCTTGGGAAGAATATCCCGAGCTCCTGGCCAGAGAATAACTCCGTGCTGACTGAAAGAGATTGAGACCAGCCCATTCGAATTCGTCGTATTTCGGCGCTCATCAAACTCAAAATCGTCATGTTCTACAGCGTCGGGCGTCAGGCCCTGCGCCAAGGGATTCGCAACAGGCGTTCGGATGTTGATACTCTGACTACTGCGGCCTAGAGTACTCGTCTCCAACGGACTTTCAATGCTTCGCATGTGCCTCGGACGCGACTGTAAATCATTACAGATGGATGATGGAAGCTTTTCTAGTTTGGTTTCCATTCGATGGAGAGTGCTCATGATCAAACTAAGAGAATGATCTCGCCTACATCAGGTTAGTAAGAGCGTCTGGGTCATCGGTGTGCTACCGCAGTTACATACTTGGAGGATTTGCGCTCATTGTAGACACACTCCAGACCTAGTGACTTACACAGACCACATTTTGGTCGGGACTCGTCGCATCTCGTCTTTTTGAGCCTGCATGTTTCGCATGCCTATAGAATAGGGTCAGAAGTGGACATATATACACCGATCGATGGAGACCTACTACAGTGGCAATAAAATTCCGGGGCTTTTTGCTGGAAGCTCCCGATTGTGGTTGTTCAGGAGTGGGTGAGAGGAGGTCATTGATCGGTAATAGACCATTATGACTGTTATCGATATGCTCCGGCGGCGCTGAGCCGGGCGAGAATGACTCTTGGTATGAACGCTTGCTCATGGTGCATGATTGGGCAAGAGGAATGGCCTCACCCAAGAGTCCCGTATGTATCAAGAATGCATTGTCATCTCAGCAAGAGATGAGCTGAGATGAAAGGAATCTGATATGATCTTCATGATAAATGGACTGATTTCATTAAATTTCATTGGATTCGGAGTGGAGGCGCCGAACTCCGATGAGCCAATCACCGCAAGGGGTCATGTGATGCTAGTCATCTTATCATGAGATTCGCTATCTTTAATTTCACGAAGTACTCTATAGACCAGAGTCCTTAATCAATCCTGGCCTGTAGGTTATCTCCGCATTTGATACCTGAGCAATAATCATCACATTATTAAACCCGTTGACACTATCCTTTGGTAAATCATCTTTTAGGCCGGGCCACTAATACCATAACTTAGTAGCCTTGAGAACTATAATCAAAGTTCATATAGCTTTCCTTAAGTACTGCACAATTTGGACTTATTTCCCACCCAACCTTGTTCCTTCTTCCTTTGCCTTTCTTAAACACTAGTTATAGTACATATAACAATAACCATGGAGACGTGGAAGATTAGCGAATCGTCTTGCTATAGGAAAGTCCAATGCCTGAGTTAAACGGTCTATCTATCCTCAGCCAAGTCAAGCCCTAAGTCGGGTATGATTACTAAGACGTGATACATCATTCAACTATAACTATGCTCTGCGATAGTCCCTGTGAGATGAGATCACAAAGGGCGATAAGGGACCATATACCTCATTGCTCCACCTAAAAGAGTACTCCCAACGTAAGAGTGGGTGGTGGAATAAAAGATCATTTCTGCTATATATTACTCTCATGAGATCATGATTCACGTGGCAATGGCTCTGCGACAGGAAGGCGGTGAGTCATTCCATTGGAGAGAAACGGCTCCATGTATCTGATACTGATAGGCCTAATATATAGACGCCACCCCTCAATGTTTGAAGATGTCAAGAGCAAATAAGTCGTATCCTATCTTGCTGTTGAAATCAGCTAGCCTAGGCACAGGATGTCGCAAGGGTAGCTCCCGGGTGATTTGGAGGAGGTCAATTCACTCATTGTGAGTGATATGGGAGATGATGGTCAGTTCCAGTCCATCGGAGAAGGCAAGAGCTGCTGACTCACGGTTATGCGTAGTCAACTTGACCTTGGATCCCAGTTTGCTTGACTTTTCTTTCCCTTATATACAGGCATCATCCGAAATGTACCCTGCCAACTTGCTAGGTTTTGATCAACAGCTTGATCACTCTTCAACATCAATTAATTTTTTAGTGTCATCTGGGGATTTCCTTGATGAACACACGTGGCTACCTAGTGACTTTGATTTTTAGCAGTCGCCCTTTGTCCTGCCAATGGCCTCGCCAAGCGCCATGGCTGACGGCAATTTGACCACGGAACCAAACCTCAGTGCTCGGGAATCTGAACATGCTGGGATAAGTCTTGGTCAAGACACAGCTGAACAACCTAGTAAGCCTTCCAATAGCCATGCTGGTATTCCTCGGCGTAGAAATCACTCTTTGGTCCGTCAACAAGATCACCAGAGCGGTCCGGTCTTCATCCCAAGCGCGAGTGCCGTAAATCCCACGGGGAGATGGCCTGAATCCCCCTTGAGGACGAGCCGGCATCTATGTCAGCCATTCTGGATGCGCTGAAAAAAAGCGCCGGTCCAACGGCCTACTCAGACTAGGGGCAGCCGCTGAAATACACGCAATGCAGGGCACAAGGCGTTTCGCCACTATCGGCGAGCTCCGTCCGCAACAAGCGGTGAATGTAGTGGTTCCTCAAATGCTTCGTTTGGCTTTGCTCTATCCCACTCGCCATCGGATGATCCATTAAGCCGTATTGCTAAAGGCAGGCTAACAAAAGTACCGCGCGGGCTCGGGACAATACTGAAGAGCGTGGGCGAGTTTGCTGTACATTCAGCTGTGATAAGTTTAGAAGACGGTATGAGTTGGCTCGACATGAGAAACCCCTCCATTTGAATTTGGAAACATGGTATTGCGTGACCCATGGGACCACCGTCTTTTCAAGAGTAACGGAAAGAAAACACTACGCTTTTTGCAACACATTGGACCCCAATGCAGCACACCTCGATCGACACAACCACAACGCCTGTCGTGGTGACTCTGACAAGCGCCGCTCATTCCGCCGCAAGGGCCATCTGGTGCAACGTTTACGACTGGTTCATAATGTCGATACTTTGCCTCTTATCGATGGTTGGAAAATCGGACACCTGCCATCCAATCACGCTGCGGTTTCTGCAATCACACGATGGATACTTGGGAGCAACGTGTTGACCATTTGGCTGTAAATTTCCGGGAAAATGCCATAATGAAAGATTGCAAGGGCGATCACGAATTTCCGCCATCCATTGCCGCGCAGGTTACGAACTCGTTACTTTATCTGATAGGCGAGGAGTCTCGGAGTATAATCCCATTTTTTGCTATCAACGCATATGTTCAGGATCATTTTGCGCAGATCTTGTCGCGCGCCCATTATCTTACTGAAGAACAGAAAGCGAGCTAGGACAAAGCTACCCACGATACACAGGCGGAGGCAGTAGTCAAGTAAAATTATTCAATCACAGCTCAGCTCCTTTACACAGGTGCTTGCCTTGTATTTAAGCCGCTATGCGCGAGAAAAAATGAAGCAGGGTATCATACACACGGACGATATGTTTCAACAGGAGGCCAGGCGAGTTCTCTACGGGTCGGAGGACTCCTGGAATCAGACTATCGCTGATAACCGCGGCTGGCTTTCTGTATTTCGAAATCTACACTGCGAGGGACCACCTGGAGCCTGAATCTGTAGCGGCAGATCAACAACCAAAAGATACCTCTGCTGGCATGGGAAGCTAATTTTGTGTTTTGCCTACTCTCCACCGCAGAATTGCGACATTTAAATTTCAAACTATACTTTGTATTCATCTGCTCTTGATCCCTTTTTCTTCCCTTCGTCCCCTTGTGTCGTATTTAATTCTACATAACATGGAGCGGATCACTACAGACATGCCCGTCCTCTATCACCTCTGCCCAGCTGCTCGGCACATTGCCGTACGTGATATCAGCCAACCATTTCTGGGGCATAAAGACATAGGGACATTCAGCCGACTTGATGATAAGCTGCTGCTCTCTGAATCGAATTTGACCAACGGGCAAGATAAAGGCCGCAGTACCCACAGCGAATGATGCAACTAGTTTGCCCTGTTAGCGGCGGATACGATATCATTAATAGTGAACTTGTGCTCTAGAATCTCCACCGGCTCGGTGTCCGAATGGGCAGAGAGCCTCCCACGGGCCATATCGAGAACGGTCTGCCTTGTAACACCGGGCAGAATGGTGTGCTCGTCCAATGGTGGTGTGATCATCTGTGATTGTCCTTCTGTTGTTGTCCAGTCTACAAAGAAGTTCGTTGAACCAGCTTCTGTGACCTAGCCATCAGACCCAAACAGCCACAAAACCTGATGGCAGATGCCAGCATCCGAGCACAGTTATGGCGAGGACGGAATAGACGCAGCTTTCCATTATAACCCCGGTAGGCCTTCATGGCTTCAAAACACGATGTGGCGTAATGAAGACACTCGCGGATGGCTGCAGTACGAGAGGCCCATGAGGTACTATCTCCGGTGTCGCCCACCCTGATACTGCAGACCATCGTGCGCGGACCATGTGATCTGTAAATATCTTGTGTGCGGCCAAATCTGGCGCATCGGCTGCAGGGACCAACTTAGGCTCATTAGTCAATGTGACTTGGAGCTTCGGGGCGTTGAGTATGTTGAGGCCAGAGGAGCGAAGAGGCTGGCCATCGGTCAACCGGTGAACTGACGGAGGTAGGAAATCGTCGGGAGACATTGTCCATAGGTAAAGGTGATAAATGCTTGTAGTATTCCCCATTCTATAGAAGGAAAAGCAAAGTAAGAGAATCCTGTCATCTACAGATCATGATCGGTGGGACCAACTGCACTTTATACTGATGATATTTTTAAGACCTAGAGAGGACGCAGTCGCCAGCATGCTTCATACACGGGCTTGGTTGCTATGAAGCTGAAAACTTTGCTTTTTCTTTGCCAATAGAGCAGTTTCGACATGCCGGGATATTGATGGCGCAAGGCGTAAAGTGTAAGGTGTGATAGAAAACCAATACCCAACTGGAAGAGGTGCCACCTGGTTCCTCCCATAGAATTGCAGAGAATCAGTAGATAGCTTCCACGATGCTGACATGAAAACTCGCCTGAAGATCTTGTTCTAAGAGGCGTAGGGCGTAGGGCGCAGTTCTCCTTCGGGGAACCGACCTACACTTGAGTCTTTGGGGATTTCTATACACCCTATATGCGTGAGTTGCCACGTATATAAGTCATATCTCTGGCTGGAATCCTAGATAGCCTTTTGAACAGAATTCCAGAACTATTGACCCCAGTATCACTTCTCACTAAATGCGATCGTTTGGCGTCCAGCGCATGCTCTTGACATTGCCTTACTGACCAGTCTCAAAGATCAACCACTCACCCACACGACCTCTCTCCCATGCCTCACTCAGAGACATCACCAGGAATCTACGTCCTCGGACTTGGAAACATTGGCACCTTTACCGAGCATGCCTTGTCCAAAATCCCCGGTAAGCCCTCAGTGACCCTCCTCTACCGCGAATCCTTCCCATCCTAATAGCAAGCCAACGACAACTAAATCCTCCTCACGACAAGAGAAGGATCAACCATAAGTCATAGCAACTACGACCTAGAAGTATACCAAGGAAAAGGAAAGGCCTGGCACCCAGCAACACCAACACCAACACTACACTCCACCACTACACTCCACCACTCCCATCCCGATCACTCACCTCGTCGTCAGCGTAAAAGCCATCCAAAACAATCTCAGCCCTCCAACTCCTCCAATACCGCCGCAACTCAGCAATACTCTTCCTCCAAGATGGAAATGGCACAATCAACGAACTAAACCCCTTCCTCTTCCCCGATCCCGCCAACGGACCAAACTACTTCACAGGCGTGATCTCCGACGGCGTAACCCTCACCCAACCTTTCCACGCCACGCACAAGGGCTTCGCATCAATATCCCCAGGCTTACTCCCCCGCCCAGGCTGTGCCCCTGAACCTAACAGCCAATACCTCCTCGACATCCTCCCCCTCTCCCCCGACTCAACGCAACCTCCTACCCCTACACAGAGGTCCTGCAGATCCAGCTGGAGAAACTAGCCGTCAACGCTCTCTGTAATCCGCTCTGTGCGCCGAACGATGCGCCGAATGGCTTCCTGTTTAGCATTTCTGAGACACGGAAGGGGATTCTGACCGAGATCTCGAAGGCTGTACTTGTGTTGCCGGAGTTGAGGGGGGTGGGGGGTGTGAGGGAGCAGTTTGTGGTGGAGAGGTTGGAGGTGACGGTCAAAACGATTTTGGTGAAGACGGCTGAGTCTACATGTCCGATGGTGAGGAATTTGAGGGCAGAGAGGGAGACGGAGGTGAGGTTTACTAATGGGCATTGGGGGAGGAGGGGGAGGGAGGTTGGGGTTAAGACGCCAGTTAATGGGTATCTTGTGGAGGAGGTGGTGAGGAGTAAGTACTAGTACGTAGTAGATTGTTTGAGTTTGGGTTTGGTACTGTGGGTGGGTGGGTGGTGGTTTTCTTGTATAGTGTTGTTTTGGTTTGGTTTAGATGGGGTATGGCATATACGGAGCTTGGTGGGTAGGGTTTGGGTCTAATTATGCAGGTGTATACAAATACCCAATCTAGCAAGGAAATAGACACAGTTATAGACTTGGTTTCATGCACGGGGCTGCAATTGTATGTCTTTTCTACGTTTATCTTTATCATATGCGTGCAATTGGCTACCATGAATGCCAGTCAAGTACCATCTTTGGGGTAGATGAGAGCGAGAAGGACGAGAGAGAAATCGATGAACGAGATTGGTATCTATCTAGATACTGGAACTTTACTCTACTCATTTGTTGTCGGACGCTCCAAGTCAGCTGAGATTCACTAGGCCGAGTTCTAATGGACAGTATTTATTGCGAGGGGTCTAGTATCAAAAGTAATTCAGCCAATGCCATATTAGCTCTGTGCCGTGAGTGAATATAGAAGAGGTCAAAAGAAAAGGAGAGATCTTAACATAGAAGCATACAACCCGCGACGAGCCCAATGTAGACACAAGTCAGCGCGACAAAGTCCACAGCCACAACACGACAGTCACAGACGATGCCCTAGCTGTTAGTTACACAGAGGAGGTGTTCAATGGAGCATTTGCCATATATACAGGAGAAGCGAGGTTTGCGGTTAAAACGAGCGGACAAGTGCTTGCTCTGATTGACCGCTAAGATGTAGTAACACAGACTCATAGAGAAACTTCCAACCATGATTTTTGATATCATGGAATCTTTCACCCATCGAGTTTGGTCAATAAATGGGCTCAAATCCATTGAGTGACGTATCATCTTCATTTCTAGTTATACATAATCCATCTCTACCTGCAATGTGAAGTACACTCGTAGTAGTTCTTAGACATGGACTGCCAAACCCGACAGAAGACCCTCAAGAAATTCGAGGGAAGCGAACTAGCTGTCAACGCAACTCGCTATCTGCTGATCCCACTCTTCGTGGGAAAAGTTTGATGACTACCTCGGCGAGCGCTGGGCTATCTTCTACGCCCAGAAGCTGGATAGTCTAGAGCCCTGTGCAATCAAAGCCTCTGGACATATGTGCTTTTGGTAACCATATGTCTCCACGAATCACATTTTGTGATGAGATCAAAGTATGGCGTTACGCCGTTGCCCAAGGGCTGCACGTATGTGTGGATAACCTGAAAGGATAGGGTGCGGACCTCCTATATATTTAGGTGGCCTGACGCTACATAGTAAGGCTACATATAATATGGACAACTAGAAGCGCCCTTGCACCACAGAGAAGTACGTACATACCTTCTCTATGCAGTAGGTTTTACAATTGTGCACATCAATTTAGGCCTTACGTATTAAAAATAGTAGAAAATCAAGAATATGTTAGCAACGGATCAACTGGGCGCTTATTGTAACCCTAGCACGGAGTAGCTACTATCACGACGGTTAAAGGGATACATACGCTAGTTCCGACATCCAAGTGTTCTAGCTGAGCATCGAGACCCCACACTTATTGCAGCAAAAAGCAACATCCACATCCAGTGGTGTACATGGGGAAGAACAGCCGGCGCCTAAGGTGCTTTGTCTTCAAGGTAATGTCTTACTGGAACCAGGCAGATCGGAGGATATTCCTTGATATGATATGGCTACGGATGCATTGTACTGTACATATGTACATACGTAACACACAGACCCTAATGCACCACCCACTAGAATTTCAAGGAAGAAGTAGAACGAAAGGATGCGTGATGCAGCAAAACTGTTGATGTGGTGTAGTGGGATTTCTTGTCCATGATAGAATCAAGCGAAATCATGCAGGGGGGGTTGGGCGTCCCGCTGTAGTTTCTAGATCGCTGCAATTGATGAGGCCCCTGTCCAGGGGAGGTGGAGAAGTGTTTCATGACGGTGGTTATAATTTGAAAGATAGTACATATAGACATGGCAGATACCAGTATTTACTTGACAATTTCCTCTCAGGTGTACGAAGCAAAGTACTTAGAAGAATATATATGTATGAAATATGCTGCCATACCCTAAGGTAACGGTCGATCGGTAATCAAAGTAAATTAATTTTTTTCAGTCTCTGTGAATAACTCTACGAATTTCCCGTGTACACAATACATGATACATACAGGGGACATGCAGAGGTGGCAGGCAAGGAGAGCGACCACTTACATATGATATGCGCGGGTAGTTGTGCCGTGTTGACTCCAGTGGATTTGCTTAAGCGCCACTGACACCTGTGAGCTGGATTTTCTTCTCCCTCTTTTCCTTTATTTGGATCCTTTGACTTTCGTTTTGCGTTGTTTTTTTTTTCTTTTCTTTTTCTTTCTTGTGAGGGGTAAACAGATACGTAATGATCGCTGTGTGATGGAGTGTCTCAGGATTTCGGGGACACTGTCCTATCTATCTAGAGATTAAGTATCTCTTGGGTGTACGCCGGGTCGCACTATCTCTCTTAGTCTGGGCCATAGGAAAGACAAAACAGACCCCGCCACAAAAGTCAGACCACAATTGACTTCCTCGCAATGTCGTGGTCATGTGGCCTCGCAAAATCCGGGGAACCATAGCATAACAAACATACGGAGTAACATTAAGTTACTAACCTACATTACCTAAGCCAGGGAGTACCAACTTCTTAAGATCTCAATACAGAAGGTCGTTGTCGGAGGAATTCCCAACACAACCAAGCCTCCGGGAAGATCGTGCGGGGTAAATAAAGTAGCAGTACATCTCTCATTCCATTCTACTCTCAAAAGAGGAAATGAGCGTCTGATACTACAAAGATGATGTATGTATGTACTTTTGTTATGTTTGCTTTCTACTATCTAGATAGATAAGGGACCCTGTATATCCCGTCTCTGATATCATGTACTTCTGCTGTTATTGGTGGTCATCTCTATTATCTCTCTGGCAAGTCTCTAGCGATAACGGCTCCTCCGAGTAATAGAGAGAGAGGGACGGAGAGAGAAAGTTCACTTCCAGTTAATAAAGTTGCAACCGATACAGAGCACTCGATTAGGTTTCCTTATCTCGAATGGTTTCCGGGGGACCAACTCTGATATCGCCATGGAATTCAATCCTCGTTACACTACGGGATGATGCCTAGTTTCCATTCTGTGAAAGAGAAGCAACCGTGGGGATTCCAATAAACCATCGACCTCCCTAAAAGAGGATAAATATCCACACCCTGCCACCTGGAGATTGGATGATTATGAAGTGGCCAGATTCTACAGTGAGCTCACTGTAGAACGAGCTTGTCAGCCGGAAGAACAGAAATTGATGGAAAGGAACGGAAAATATCCCTGGGGGGGAATCCAAAGAATAACTATTATAAATCTGTCAGTGTAGATAGTAGTCACGAGTGCTACTACTTGGTGGTGGTACTGGTACTTGGGGTTTAGCTGGAAGAGGATGTTGGGACCTTGAGGATCGATCGCGTGATGCCAACCGGGGCACCAATCGAGGCCCATCCGAATGGGGAAGCTCATCAATCCTTGAGACCCGTGGCCTCTCCATACTTGAGGGCTTTTTTCTTTTTCCCTCTGTTTTTTGAGCAGTGAGAGACACGCAACTGCTGCAAGGTCAAACCTTACACACACACTCGAGGAGGCGGTCAAGCAGCCTAATGCAGCAACGGCTGAAGCAACTTTTTTTTTTTGATGTTCTCCCCCTTCACCGCCAAACATTCTTTTTTGGTATGTATGTATCGAGAACCTACTACTTGACTCTTGACTCCGTTAGTAGTAAGGAAAAAGCATGCCATGCCAGCCACGCTCGAAACATCAACATCCATTCATGTCATACCAGTTGTACGACCCCATACATCATATGTTAATCCCCTCCCCTTTCCCCGCTTCCTGTCCTGCAATGGAGATTCAATCCTGAAACGTGAGAGGATAGAAAACCCCGCAAATGATTGCCTCAGAAGTTGATCCCAAGTTGATCACTCAGCGATGGATAACCGCCGGGCGGGCAAAGCCGTGGTTCTTTCATCGGGTTCCCTTGGGACCAGCGTCGGATGAACCATGAGACTGGTGGTCAGTCACATTTGGAAGAGGGAAACGATCTGAAAAATTGGACCCAAAGAGAAAGTTTAGAATCAAATCAAATTAAATCAAATAAACTAGGGGGTTTAGAAAGCACAGGTACATACAAACAGAGTTAAGGAAGGAAGGCACTCTGTACATACTTGGGTATCATTGTACTTAGGTAATTACTCATCATCTGCTATGTACTAGATTAATCTGCAACCCACTTCATCTTCCCCATACACACTACATAGAAGTATATCCACAATTGATCATCCAAAAACCGCCCTGGGATATTTATTTATTCTGACCATTATTCATTTTATTTTATTTTTCATGTCACAGGCTCGAAGGGGGAGGTGAATGCTGCAATTATTGGCCATTGGTCCTCCAGGTCGATGGCCTGCTTGGTGCTGGCGTCATGCAGCCTGGGAATAGTGCCAACTCGGCAGCTCCTCATTGGCCCCAATCGGCGTTAGCGGCAGTGCGAGGGTCCAAAAATGGAGTAGCGGTTACCGCCACCGTTACTCCGCCTTCGGGGTGAGGGCAAATCCGAGATTGGAAGCATGATGATGAATGATGCATCGTCACTCTGTGGAGTTTTCGGTTCCATGTGTCCCAGACTATTAGTCTTCCCATCTTTGGAAGGGGAAAGGGCGGTTGATTTCTCCAGATGAGGTGATTTTGTTTTTATTTTTGTTTTTGGGTTGGATAATTCTATGACCCATGTATCCCATGGTTTCAATTGTTAGTCATAGTGGGTAGGTATTGCTATGAATGGTATCAGGAACTGACCATAGGCGGCAGGCTGGAGGTTCCCAAGGAGGACCCTGGTCTGGACCTGCAGGAACTTTACCTTAAGCCGGCACAGGACGGACCACGTCCCATGCTGCTTGGGTGCCCGGGGCGGCAGCCTGTAAGCTCCGGAGGTACCTAGTAGCCTAGTATCTTCCCGGCTCGCCTTATTGATGGCAATTAGGTGGCAGCTATAGCACGTCTCTCTTATTACCTAACTTTTGAAAGGTTAACTAACTAGCTAGAACTTATGCCACGCTATGCCCCGTGCTACGTCTTTATGTATACTGAAACTTTGATTAGCGCAGGAAGGAAAGGGAAAAAAAAAAAAGCAATAATGCCTAATGGCAATGACAATAATAATAATGGTAAAAATAAAAAATAAAACAAGGGAAGAAGTTACATCATGTATGTATGTACTGAACATTCTACTCGTCGTTAACTCCCCATAATGGGTTTAGATAGCATATTATTGAGTGATTACTCGGGCAATTGAATAGTTCGCCGGGTTAAAATTCCTTCAATGTAGCAGAAGTTGATGAGGGAAAAATCCACACTGATGCAATTTTGAAATGCCAGCCATCGTGACGTGACAGCGGACACAATGGAATGCCTGGTAACAAAGGCAGGGGAATGGGACTTCCATCACCAAGAATTAAGAATATTACTAATAACTAATTTCCTTCGGATTCCTCGTCATCCGTGACGCGATCGGACCGTTTCATTGCATTTCATGTTATGGTATTCTATTCCCCTACTGAAAATTGGCCGTAGTGGATGTCAAACATGTCGGAACCAAGTATACTATTCTTTGGAGTAGATAGAATAATATTAATCCATGACGAAGAATGGGGGGAATGCTGCGATATCCGCTCATGATGCACTCAGGGGGGTGTGGAGCATGACTCCGGAAACAGTCTAGCCGCGTCTTCTTCGACCTGCATCCATCGAGTTGGTGGGCCGACGGAGATCGCACGTATCGTTACCACGAGGACCAATGTTTGGGGTCCCTACTGTGGCAGTAACCCGTACTCTTCTTGTTGGGGATGCGGTATCGGTATGGTAACGGTCTGCCGTCATTGGCTGATCGGACTCCACTTGAACGGCCAGTCAGCAGAGCACTCCGTCAGGTTCTCGTTCGTTCGCCCAGTTTCTGGGAGTCCCCTCCACCTCCAAAAAGGTTCCGACTGCCGGTCCCCATTTGACTGACTGTTTCGCCCCTCTGCTATATCCGCGACCTCCTTATCCATCATCCCTATCGCTCCTGCTAACTTGATCCGCTTTCCCTCCCCCATCCTTGACTCACTCACCTCACCTCACCTCACCTATCTACCTACCTACCATCTTCCTCTTTCCTTCTTCTCTTCTTCTCTCCCTCCTATCATCCGTCTTTCCTCGACTCCCACTTTCCATTTGCACATTACTCCTTCTCCGCTTCTGCAAACTAACTCAGCTTCTCCTCGCCACCCGTTATCGCCAATCTCCAGCGTTTTCTTGAACGCCGTACTCCCCTCGTCGTTGCAACACAAGACAGATATTAGGTTAAAAGGCATCAGCATCACGTCCTAATTCGATCTATTGCCCAAATCTTTGTCTCGCAGTCCAATCCGACTCCATATAGTAGTGCCATTTGTCTTCTGCCCTGGCCCTTCCGAACACCTTGGGTGACTCATCTCCAGCCAACGTGTAAGGTCACTTCGGACCCACGACTCTGCCATCCGCCGACCGAAGTCCTGCTACGTTTCCTCTTGCATACATTGAGACTACGTGTGAGGGTGTCAACTTGCAAGGTTCAGACGAATTAGTTGTCCAGGACTCCACCGTTCGCAACCTGGGCCGGTTGCTGGTATTCGGTTCTTCAATTCGCCCAACTTAGGGAAATTCGAAGACGCCTAGTACCAGTTGTCCTGAGCCTCAGCGCCTCGTATATATCAATCTCTTGCCAATCCAGGACTACTTCTTCGTCACTCAGCCAACCTATGATTTTATAGCGTCATACCTTCATCTCGATCCCTCCTTGCACCCCCTGAGTCACGACCGTCCTTCAGCCTGGTGTTCGAAGGTTTCTATAATAACGACAATTGTTTATACATCTGGCATTTACGATATTACGCAGCGTTCTTGATTTGACCTCTACCTTCTTCTTTGCTTCCGTTTCTCGTCACTTTTGATTCGTCTTCTCGTCCAACCGCTGGACGTCGTCTTTCTCTCTTCAACACACTCTCTTTATCGCCATACTTAGTTGACCTCGGCTTTCGCCCTTATTACTGAAACGATAGACAGATGAACCCATAACGGTCTCTACCAATTTCCTATCTTTGTCAATTTCCTTTGGGTTTTTCTTTGACCCACGCTTACTCGTCTACACTCCATTTCCTTTTGTTCTATCCGCACTTCATCGTTATATGAGCTTTTAAACCGATAATCCGTTGTTCGATCATCTCATACTCCAATCCTCCTTTTCTTTTGATCTCTTGGTTTCTCGGCGGTCAAGGTTTTCGTTGGGCCGACATTACATTTTTGATACTTGGTTCGCATCGTTTTCGCTTTTCCATCTTCGTCGCCCACACGCTTTACCGAAATCTCATCTTGTTTCGACGGACATCATCTCGACTATATCTCAACCATGTGCTTCAATAATAGCTTCGTGGAGGGCCAGCTCCTGGATGGGCGCTTCCGCACCGTTGCTCCCTTGAACCATGGCTCCTTCGGCATGGTCTTCCTGGCATATGACACAAAGACTGGTGACGATGTTGCCATCAAATGTATGGTTAAGGGCTCTGGTCCGGTTGCATTTGATGATCGCTTCGATGAGCTCCTCTGCCATCGACGTCTCGGGTATCACCCGAACATCGTCAACCTGATCCATTCCTTCGAGACGGACACCCACATGTACCTCGTCTTGGAGTACTGCGCGAATGGTGATCTCTATGAGGCCATCAGACTCAACCGTGGTCCCTTGGAAACCGAACATGTGCGAGATTTCATGTTGCAATTGGTGAGCGCTGTCGAATTCATGCACGCAAATGGCCTGTATCATCGTGATATCAAACCGGAGAATATCTTCTTGATGCAGGATGGTTGCATGAAACTGGGCGACCTAGGGTTGGCAACTCGCGAGGCCTGGTGCTATGAGGCGTGCGTTGGAAGCGATCGGTATATGGCGCCTGAGCAGTATGATCCATCTACCACGGGTTACTCTCCGGCCAAGGCCGATATCTGGGCGGTTGGCATTTGCTTGTTGAATGTCCTCTTTGCTCGGAACCCCTTTGCCACCCCGACCGAATCAGATATCTTGTTCGCCGACTATGTTCGGGACCGACAGTCTCTCTTCGATATCTTCCCGAACATGTCTCAAGATACTTTCGAGATCTTGCGTAATGCACTGGCCATCGATCCAGACAAGCGCTCGCTTGCTGGTATCCGCGATATGATCATCCGGACCGTTACTTTCACCACTGATGACGAGGCACTCGACGACTTCTGTACTGATGACCGCGATGTGGTACCCGCCAGCGCCAACCGTGAGCCTCTTCGCACACCTTCGATCCAGAGCCCGTTTATCAACCAAGGCGACTCGTTCCCGTGGGCCAAGGCCTTACACTCTAGTCCGCCCCAGGACATTCGTCGGCTCTCAGCTATTCCTGACGACAGCTACGAAGAAGATCTTTTCCCTCCATCTGAGACGGCTGGCACTTCCTGGTTCTCTGTTCATCAGGGCACTCCGTCCATGGAATCGGTGACGGAGTCTGCTTTGGGTGACTCCTATCGGTCAACGGCTTTTAGAAAGGTCGAGCCCCGGTTCCCGCCTCTCTCGGATCCGGTGCAGATCACAGGGTCTTTGCCGAGTCAAACCTCCAAGCCTCTGCCTTCTCTTTCCATGGTCTTTGGTAAAAAGCAGGACGAACAAATCTCGAAGAGCTGGAGTGACCTGTGGGATGAGGATGAGGAATTGGAAAATGAGGACATTGCGTTCCAGCAGCGACGCGAGCAAAATTCTCGTAGCTGGAGCCATGACAGCAGTACCCCCGAACTCGTTGGTCCTTCAAACCTCCTTAAGGAGGCCGAAAGCTCCTCGATTTTCACGGTTCCCTTGGAAGAAAAGGCAGTGTCCGGCGCTGAGGGCCGTGCTATTCCTGTGAAACCTCTCCATGACGAGCCTACCACATCAAAGTCAGCCCCCACCTCTCCGCAAAGCTCTTCCAAGAAGTCGACCCTCGATAAATGGGCCGCTTTGGGTGACCGCAGAAGAAATTACAAACCGGCCGAGGCGTCGCTCGGACAGAAGAAATTCTTGAGCAACATGGCTTGGCGGAAGGACTGGGGTCTGGGCTCTTCAGGATTTGACTACGGATCCTGGGCTAAGAAGGATACAATCATCTCCCCAGAACGCCGCCGGCGTCCGTTCCTGGAGAAGGGGTGGCGTCGCGATGTCATGGAACCTTCAAAGCCCGCTACCGGCTATGATGGAAGCATTGATGAGGACCTTGACCTCATTGGTGGCTGGCATGACCTTCACCTGTAATCGGAAAACCTGCCATTGCTCTCCCCTGCGCTTCGTGTCCCTCCCATCCTGTTGGCCTATATAATCTAATCACGGAACGACCAAGAAACTACCGACTACTTCGTCTTTTTTTTTTCTCTTTCTTTTTTGCTCTTTGCTTTTCCAAACAAACTCTGCTGCATTTCTCCACTCCGTCGTGTTACGCCGAGGGCTCGCGGTGGCACGGCTTTATTACTCTTGCACTTATAGACACTCTGTGTGACATTCAATCGGCCCATCTGTTTGTTTCTTTTTTAGTAAGTCTTGTATAATATAACTATCGGTGGCGGCAAGCGGTTCAAAAGTGACTCATCAACTGGCATTCGGGAGGCTTTTGGGGAAGTTTGACGCTTGATTCATTTTGCTATCTTTTCTTTCAACTTTCAAACTGTTCGATTATTACATTTCTCAGCAAAATGGTTCAATGTGATGGAGATGGTACGGCGGCGCCGAGGCAGCAGCAATGACGATATGACGGGGAAGGGCAGTCACACTTCCATTCTATGGGCGTGCGCTCTTCAACAACTAAACCGAGAAAAGAAAGCCTACGAGAGATGTCTTTCTGCACCCATTCCCCTGTCTGACCCAGACGGATGATGTACTGGACTGGATTCTTTGTACTGTAGTTTACCTGGGATGGCGGGATGGGTGTGAAGTGGACAATTATCTACATACTGAAGGAAATACAAAGCCAAAAGTGATTCTCGTGGACCTATTCGTCTCAAACGTAGTCAATGCCATTGTAGGGAGTGGAATAATAGGTTTAGTAGAAGTATTAGTAAATTACTACGTACCGGTGAATGATCGGCAGTAACGCGATTTAATTAAAGGCGGTCACGAGCGTTGTGGACAGACCGCCGCTGCGGAGAAACCACTTTTTCATACCTTCTTCACTCTGCCGCGATCCCTTTTTTTATTTTATTTTATTTTACTTTCTTTGTTCATTTTGAACTTTCATCATCGATTCGCTCATTGTTTGAATTAAACTACATGGTAGTTTGCATCCTGGGGGCCATTGACAGTTGTCCCCTTTCTGTCCTGAACAAATACTAAACGCCGATAAGCTCGAAACATTTTTGCCTTCCTCTGCCCTCAATTCACGACAAGAAATTGTCGCCGTTTGTGAGATCGTTTGGACAATGTATCCGCAATCTGTCACTGGTATAGCCAACTAACGCTGTGACCCGTCTGTCGTACCGTCGGAAAGACGAAAAGACCTCAAGTGTGCGCGATGCTGGTCCCCACCTGGGCAACCGCGACATGGACGTCTTTGACGACGGCTTTGATTTTAGCAAGGGCCCAAGGCGCTGCGGCCGAGAGTAGGCAACCGATATGCCTGGCGAGGCACTGGAGCGAGGTGGAGGGTGAGTTTATTCAGTGGCCCATCTGTATCGAAACCAGATGGGAGCGAACTTCCTCAAGGATCAATCAGGATGTGGTCCGACCCCCTGACCAGGCCGTTTCCGAGACCATCCCCGAGGGGCAGTCGATCGGAACTGCGACTCCTGCATCTGATAGACAACCCGACCATGAGCTTGACACTGAGTCTCCGCTCGATAATGCGAACTTCCTCTCGTTCGAAGATTGGAAAAAACAAAACTTGGCCAAGGTGGGCCAGTCGGCTGAGAACGTGCGTGGAAACAGACACGTGGGCGGGAAGGAGGGCCGACGCAGGCCTACGGGAATCAATAATGCGCTTGACTCGTTGGGAGAGGATGTTGAGATCGAGCTTGACTTTGGGGGATTTGGCGCTGATGCGTCCGAGGCGGCGAAGCCTACATCTTGGGGGTCGGGTATACCTACAGCGGCCATCAAGGGTGCGGGCACCGAGGTTGGTACAGGAGATGTAGAGTCCTCTGTTTCTAGAGATCTTCGAAAGGCTGCCCCCCGTGGGAAAGACGCCGGAACGACATGCAAAGAACGGTTCAACTACGCGTCGTTTGATTGTGCAGCCACGGTGCTCAAGACAAATCCCGAATGTAAAGGTTCATCGTCTGTATTAGTCGAGAACAAGGACAGTTATATGCTCAACGAGTGCCGCGCAAAGAACAAATTCCTGATCCTCGAGTTGTGCGATGACATTTTAGTTGATACTGTTGTTCTTGCGAACTACGAATTCTTTAGCTCTATATTCCATACCTTCCGCGTGAGCGTTGCCGATCGGTATCCGGCTAAGGTCGACCAATGGAAGGAGCTGGGTGTCTACGAAGCGCGGAACACCCGCGAGATCCAAGCCTTTGCGGTGGAGAATCCGCTGATTTGGGCTAGGTATCTGAAGATCGAGTTTCTAACGCACTACGGGAATGAATTCTACTGCCCTCTTAGCCTGGTTAGGGTACATGGAACCACCATGTTGGAAGAATACAAGCACGATGGCGACGTTAATCGTGGTGATGAGGAGGCCGCCGAGGAGTCGCTAGAGCCCAGTCCCCTGCCTGTCGACGTAGGGGTGAAAGACCCCGCGCAGCCACCAGTTGCTGTGCCGGTGCCTGATGATTCTACTAACGAGACAAGCATCGCCCTAGAGAAGCAGGGACTCTGCTCACACCCCGGAATAGAAGCTGTAAGACTCCTACAGCAGGGCCCTTCTCCGACAGTCGATGTTTGCGATAGACGTGCGATACCGACTGAGGTCGATCCTGATGAGGCAAGATTATCGGTCGAGAGCCGCTCAGAGGCAAAGGAAGAAGCTACCCCGAGTACGGAATCTCCTGCATCTTTCTCTCGGGCTGAACCATCAGCCAAGGGACCTGTAGGCGACCAGAAAGCCACTGGGCCTGCCGGTGCGAGTCCAGACTCGGCCTCTTTTACGGTAGTAACTACAGAAACGGCCTCACAGGATGCGGTAAATGAGTCCGACGTCAAATCGGCCACTTCCTCGAAGGAAGAGTCTAGTATACCGTCGGAGTCGGTACGTCCTTCGGGGACGCAACCCCCTCCTTCGAACCCTACCACCCAAGAGTCTTTCTTCAAGTCTGTCAACAAGAGGTTGCAGATGCTGGAGTCGAACTCAACCCTATCCCTACTGTATATCGAGGAACAGTCGCGGATCCTTCGAGATGCTTTCAACAAGGTTGAGAAACGCCAGCTGGCTAAGACATCTACGTTCTTAGAGAATTTGAACGTCACCGTCTTGAACGAGTTGCGGCAGTTCCGTGAACAATACGACCAGGTCTGGAAAAGCGTTGCCCTAGAGTTTGAGCACCAGCGAATCCAGTACCATCAAGAGATCCACTCGATTAGTGCACAGCTCGGTGTACTTGCTGATGAGCTAGTGTTCCAGAAGCGAGTGTCTGTGATCCAAAGCATCATGATTCTCTTCTGCTTCGCTCTTGTTCTCTTCTCTCGTGTCCCGGTGAGCACGTACATTGATATTCCTCGCGTACAGAATATGATGGCCCGATCCTATAGCCTGCGATCATCATCGCCGATCTTGGGCTCTCCGTCAGTGAGCCCGAGTTCGACGCGACCCACGTCATCGTATCGAGGTACGACGCACCATCGGCGGAATATCTCAGAAGACTCGCAGGAAGAACCGCTGAGTCCGACCATCGCATATTCCCCGCCGACACCTGCGTCGGATCCGTCCAGCCCCGAGGAGGCAGACAAGGGGGCGAATCCATCGCTGGACACTCCCCACATGCCGGACCTGGCACCGCCACATTTCCGATCGCTCAGCAGCCCACCAGTACTCGATACAGCCGATGAGGAAGCCCAGAGTGAAGAGAGTCCTAGGTCGTATGAATCACGGGGATCATCGGAATTCGAATCTCCCACTCTAATAGAGAGCTCTGGACCGATTCCCGTGTGCAGCAGTGGTATGCGGCAAGAGAGATGAGCATACAATCCAGCCACGTTTATTTTTTACTCCACAATAGTCGTCTTACGCCAGGCCACGTCAACCTGATGACTGTCATGCCCGGTGTTTACTTACTGACGTCACACAGAGAGGTGGTCTCATCAATTGCTTTAGATCATTCCTTGGCTGACAGCTGGCCTGCTGCCAGGGTTTGTCTCTAGGTTGACCGGGAGATACCCAACCATTACCACTGAGGAATTTGTCTCTTGAATTAAGTTTCTTCTCCCGCTTGAATATTAGTGTAATTGTGATAGGAGGAACACGTTCATACGAGTTGTATCATAGGAGACTAAAGAGGGTGTATATGTGTATTATCTGGCGATGGATGGATTAGTAAAGAGTTAGAACCAACCATAATGATGCTAGTGAATGAATGAATGAATTGATGAATTAGTTAATTGAATATAAAAAATAATTGATGAAGAATGAAGAAGTTGACAATTCGGGGAGGTAAAAATTCTGGTGGTTGCCATGACAACAATCAACAAACGCGGCTTTTTCTTTTCTTCCACTTCTGATCCACCTTCAAATCTCCAAGTTCAACCTCACTGAACTCATTCTGATTCCACCGCAAGAACCTCACTTCAGCCTCCCCATTCACAAGAGAAGAAAGAAATAATACAATCCACACAAACAAAATGGAGTCTCCTTCGCATCCTTTGACTGATCGCTCCACCAACACTCATCTGGTCAACACTGAGAAGGCCAACGAGCTCAAGGCGGCCCCCGCGAAGATCAACTCGATGGACTACCATCGTCAGGTGCTGCAAGGAAAGCTGGAGAGTGGAGACAAGTAAGTCAAGTGAACTGAATTCATCGTACCGAAGAGGGTCGAATACTAACGGGGAATCCAGGCAACAAACCAGTTATGTATCGCCCTCAGACGACATTATGAGCCCTTGCTCCAAGAAGTTGAGTGACCTGAAGGGCAAGCGCTTCAAGAAGTAAGTGCATACCCACATTCACTTCCACGTCTGCGCTAGGGCGGTATTACCGTGGGCATGGCGTGATCTCCTCGGATGCGATATGCTGACATGGATGTCCTTCCCTGCAGTGTCGGCAAGCCCCAATCACTATTCGCCAAACTGGGCAAGAAGAACTTCGAGCAGTCAGCTGCGAGCCATAATGCCAACACCGACGCCGAGATGCAGAAGTAGCCGACGTCCAAGGGTAGTCTTGTCCTGGGGGTAATGATTCTCAGATCCCCTTACGTCCCATGCGCAGGCCGCATGGGGTCTTTTGGACGATACTTGGATATGATTGTCGATTGGTTCTCACTCTACCTGGTGTTGCTGGACTGGTTCTTGGCCTTTTTTCTTTTCTGGTTTTGAAATTTTTTTTCCTTTTGTGTTTTGGGACAATTGGGGTTTTGGGTTACAAGGGTCTTGGGATGGCTTGGGACTACCCTATCATTGTTACGGTCATAATTTGTTTTAATTGATGGATGAAAACCAATGAAATGCGATGTTATTGATGAATAGCATGACTCCTGAGAGAGGAGAAGAGAAGGGCCTAGTTCGTCTATAGAAGGGTGAATGAAGGATGGTTGTTGTCCTTCTCCGAGGCTTTATCTTTCCTTCTACTCTTCAATGCTCATGACTCCTGTTGATGTAAATGCTATGGATATTAAGACTTCTCTTCATTTTGGCTCTTTGTTCTTATCTGGTAGGGCTAGACATCAATGATTAGTTATTGTATGGCATTTGCAGTGCATTTGAGTTTGAGCCGAGGTCCATCCTCGGCATCTTTTCTCCACAGCTTCTCCGCAGTTCGCAGCTCGTATGATGAGCTTCTATTTATTCGTAATCCCTCCTGCCACACTCTGCCTTACTATCTGGATCAACTACTTACTCCCTTCCTCTCACCTCAATTAAATTAATGCACACAACTGAATAAACATGTCGGCCTCCACACGAATTCCCTCGATCGCCCAACCGTTCGTCAGCGAACGGGCCAAGAAGACCCTCGACCTGGTATATATCATCTCCCCTCCTCCAACTATCCTCCGTTCAACCCTAAACTTACCCCCGCAATTGATATATAGGTCGAACAATTCGTCGAAAAAGAATGTATCCCCGCCGAAAAGGTCTTCCAGGCCCAACTCGGCGAAGGCGGCCAGCGATGGAGCACTTATCCACCCATCATCGAGTCCCTCAAGACCAAGGCGCGCCAACAAGGCCTGTGGAATATGTTCCTACCCAAGAACCACTACTCCCAGGGCGCTGGGTTCACCAATCTTGAATACGGTCTGATGGCCGAATATCTGGGCAAGAGCAAGTTGGCGTCGGAGGTATGCACCCATCCCTCAGCTACCATTCCTTCTCTAGCCTTCTTCTACCAGCGAACATTGGCCAACTTGGATAAGAAAGAGACGCTGACAAGCGAGGATGTGCACTATAGGCTACCAACAACGCCGCCCCAGACACAGGCAACATGGAAGTCCTCGCCAAGTACGGCAACGAAGCCCAAAAGCAGCAGTGGCTAGCACCCTTGCTAGACGGCCAGATCCGCTCAGCCTTCCTCATGACAGAGCCCGAGGTAGCCTCAAGTGACGCCACAAACATTCAGCTGAACATTCGCCGCGAAGGAAACGAATACGTCCTCAACGGATCGGTTTGTCTCCCTCATCCCCTCGCATACAACTCCCACACCAAAGAATAACTAATAGCTAACCAACCGCAGAAATGGTGGTCCTCCGGCGCAGGCGACCCCCGCTGCAAAATCTACCTCGTAATGGGCAAAACTGACACTACAAACAAAGACCCCTACCGCCAACAATCCGTCATCCTAGTCCCAGCCGACACCCCCGGAATTACCGTGCACCGGATGCTCTCCGTCTACGGCTACGACGACGCCCCACACGGCCACGGCCACATCGGCTTCAAGGACGTGCGCGTCCCCGTCTCCAACATGGTGCTGGGCGAAGGCCGCGGGTTCGAAATCATCCAGGGCCGTCTGGGCCCAGGCCGCATCCACCACGCGATGCGGGCGATCGGGGCAGCCGAGAAGGCGCTGGAATGGCTCATTGCGCGGATCAACGACGACCGCAAGCAGACCTTCGGGAAGAATCTGTCGGCGCACGGCGTCATCCTGGAATGGGTTGCCAAGTCGCGGATTGAGATCGACGCAGCGAGACTGATTGTGCTTAATGCTGCGATTAAGATCGATCAAGGCGATGCGAAGTCTGCGTTGAAGGAGATTGCCCAGGCCAAGGTGTTGGTACCGCAGACTGCATTGGCGGTTATTGATCGTGCGGTGCAGGCGTACGGTGCTGCGGGTGTGTGTCAGGATACGCCGTTGGCGAATCTGTGGGCGATGACTCGGACGTTGCGGATTGCGGATGGGCCGGATGAGGTGCATTTGCAGCAGTTGGGTAAGAGGGAGAACCGCGCTCGCAAGGATGCCATTATTGAGAAGTTGAATTGGCAGAAGGCGGAGGGCGAGCGGTTGTTGGCGGCCAGTGGGTTGAAGCTCAAGAGTCATTTGTAATTTGGGGAGGCTGTGTCTCGTAGCTCGTACTTGTTTTTATTTGGATAGGGACAAACCATCACTACTCTGCATGTATGGTTTGAATAAATTACATTTGTCTTAAGGAAGAATGTCATGGTAAGAATTTGATTTGATTTAAACGGTCATGATTCATGAACATCAACACCAACCCTACATATATACGGAATGTCATCATAAAGGGCGAAGAAACAAAAAAGGTCAAACCGAGATCATGATAACTTTTCTTAAATGCAACGAACAGAAAACACAGAAAAAGGGGGTAAATGCAAGTACTCATTCATCAACCACAGGCAACATTAACCCACTCGCCCGCGAGTCAGATAGAAATGAATCAATAATCATCGTCCTCAGCCGCCACGCGCTTCTTCTTCGCCTGCTTCTTGTTGCCCTTGAAATGCTTCTTCGAGCTGCCGCCGCGCACTTCGGACACGTCGATACCGCGTTCTAGGGCAACCATCAGTCGCTCCCTACGACCGGTCAGCTGCTTGCGCATTTCCTGGCCTTGGTTGGTGTACTGGGAGTTGAAGGGAAGGGTGAGACGGCCGGCGGAGCCTTTCGACCCGTCGCCGAAGAAGCCCGTGTCGAGGTTGCGGGAGCGGACGCCTCCCACCGGTTTCTTAGGACCGGATAGGGAAAGGATATCGGCGTCGATGCCCTCCTCGGTCATTTGTTCGGCCAGCATCGCTTTGGCGATCTGTTCTTGGCGTCTAGCGGGGAGATGTGCCACGTCGTAGAGTTCGGCGTTGAACTCATGTGGGTCGATGGGAGCTTCGCCCTCTGGGACTGGGGGTGGGTGGCAGAAGATGATTTTACCGTTGACGTAGTCCTTCAGGATGTAACGGGCTGCGCGGGACTCGTCGGGCTGGCCCAAACCTTGGGTAGAGAAACCACGGGCGCGGGCATAGGCTCGGAGAAGCTCGCTGCCGGTAGGGGTACCCGTGCCACCTTCTTCGATGGGACGAGTCAAGATCTTGACTCCGTAGACGTTCTCGAGGAAATGTTGTGGAACACGCTGAGCAATGATAGTTGCTGGGCCGGTGAATTCCCGCTGCTGGTCGATGGGAAGCACACCGTTGACAACCAGGTCTGCCTTGGTCGTCGCGAAGTTGGGGAACACAAGACCGGGACAATCGCAGAGCATGATCTCTGGCGAGAGATATAGGGTCTGGAAATGCTTCGTCTTACCGGGTGTGGCGGACACCGAAACCTTCTTGGCTCCGAGGAGGGCGTTGATTGTGCTGGATTTACCGACGTTAGGGTAACCGACAAGACCAATGACGGTCTTCTGCTTTCTTGGGTGCTCTGGGTCGTCATTTTCAGGGAGGGTGTCGGGGCTGTTGGAAAGGAAGAGCTCTTCTAATTCTTCGACGTCAAGAATTTCGGTTCTCCGAGGTTTGCTCGAGCCAGGAAGTTCCAATCCACCGTCATGCTCCTCTTGCGGGCTTTCGGTCGATTGAGTTGACTGTTCCTCAATAGTCGTTTCGGCCAGTTTCTCCGCAACCTCTTCATCTTCACTCTCACTTGATTGTTCCAAAAGTTGAGCCTCAATTTTCTCCTTCGCTAGGTGAGCTGAGAAGAACCGGAAATTGATGTTGTTGCGCTCGAAATAGTCCGCCCAGGCCTCTCGTTGCTTCTCAGTCAACATATCTGCCTTGTTGACGAGTAGAAGATTCCTCTTCTTGGGGTTAATCTCCTTCACATATGCCTCCAGATCCTCCGACCGGAAATGTAACGGGTTTCGAGCGTCGACAATCTGCACGACTAGATCCGACCGTTCAATGACACGCCAAAGCTGTCTCCAAACTTCCAAGTTCCGTTCAAACGGCGTCATCAAAATATCATGATTCTCCTGAAGTTCAGCCAGTCCTCTGCGCCAATTTAAGAAACTCTCTCTCTCCATCAGCTCCAGCTGTTGCCGCGTTGTCGACTGATCCCACTTCGGCCGTCTCGGAACGGTCAGTCGCCCTTTATTCTTCTGATGTTTCTTAACAGCTGACCTCTCCTCTGATGCGGAAAGAAGGTAAGGGTTCTTCTGATCGGCATGGATGATCTTCACGTTGTTCATCTTCTCGGCAGTGAAATCGGTGCCCGCCAGTTCAGCAGTACTCAGGAACTCATCCAGTGCGGCTTGTTCGGTGATACTGCGCATCTTCACCCAGGAGGCTTCTTCCTTTGCATTGGTGACATAGGTCTCTCCATTCATATCCTTCCGTACGACGGCCTGATTGTGAGAGGCTTTCTTCATGTTCGACGCCTTTCCTTTCCCGAAGCGATCGTTCATGAGGCTGTTACCCAGCCCCACGGAATTTTTGGACTTTGCGAGAACCATGGTGACTGTGGGGGAATAATACGCGACTACAGTACACCGGGAATGAGAAAGGACCTTCCGATGGGGGGAGTGGAAGGAAAATGAAGGGTTGAGAGAGAAAGGAAGGAGAGGGGATGGAGGGGAGAGGCAAAGAGAATTAATAATTTTGATGGATTTGGCGATGCTCCCTCACCCAATCAGGAATGCCCCGCGGATAAGATAAGAGCGGCTGACTCAGCCACACTTCTTCCATGATGTATGACAGCACATAGCATAGTAGACTCTACGGAGTAGAATTGCTTTTCAATTGACATAGGGATTGTGAAATACTTCAGTTTATTGTACAGTGTACTCTATATCCGTAACCAGCCTACATGTTCTCCTCATCGCTGCCTGAGGACCAAAACATTGGGCACGCCGATAAGCCCCTCACGTGATGCTATCACATCCCACTTTGACGGATTTTTTTGCTCCCAAGGTCCATACAAATTCAATATAATATTGAACCCACTCGGCCAGACAACTTTCCTTTCCTGCTGTTCCACCAAGATCGCACTCGCCAGAATGCCTCCCCGCAAGCAGTGGATGTACGTTATTCTTTTCACATGGTTATTGATTATTCAGCGACTAACAAAAACCCAACAGCGATAAAAAGAACGCAACCACATATCAACTCTTCCACCGAGCCCAACATGACCCGCTGATCCACGACTCCTCCGCCGATGACCGTGTTCTGTACCCTGTCTCAGGACCTGCACCAGGCACCTCCACATCCGAAGCGCGTGGCAAAAAACTCGCAGACCTAGCTAGTGAATTCGGTGTTGAGACCGTCCGGAAAAACGAAGGTGAAGCCGCGAACTATGGTGTTTTCTACGATGACTCCAAATATGATTATATGCAACATTTGCGCGAATTGGGCACCGGTGGTGGCGACTCATACTTTGTGGAGGCAAGGAGCAAGGATAAGGGCAAGGGCAAGGTGAAGGGCATGAAGTTGGAAGATGCGTTGAGAGAAGCGAGTCTGGATGATGTGAGAAGCGAGTATGGGCCCAGGAGCGTATATGGCTCTGAGATTCGCTCGACCGCCTCGTCGTATGCCCGTCAACCGACCTACCAGGACCAACAGAATGTTCCCGATGCGATTGCGGGATTCCAGCCTGATATGGATCCCCGTCTGCGAGAAGTATTAGAGGCCCTTGAGGATGAAGAGTTCGTTGACGAAGAGGACGTTGACGATGTTTTCGGCAAGTTGACTTCTCAAGCCGAGGAGATGGAAGAGGGCGATTGGGAGGATACGTTGTTTGATGAGGAGGATGATGATGGGTGGGAGTCGGATGCTACCGAGAAGGCTCCTGTGCAGCCCAGCACGACAGACTATAAGCCGCAGCAGAAGGACACATCCGCTCAGAGTAAATCCCAGGATGCCGGATCAGATGAACTTCCCGATCACGATGCGCCAGCCCCAGATATGCACCCGGAAGACCAAGGATGGATGCGGGAGTTCGCCAAGTTCAAGAAGGATGGTAAGGTCAAGGCTGCGCCAGCGGCACCGGCTAGTATTGTGCCCTCGGAGCAGCGAAGCACTCTTGCCTCCACCGTCTTCACAGCAGGTGGTACTCCTATCCGCAGAAAGAAGCGGAAGGGCGCACTCACCAACCCTTCGGCATACTCGATGACCTCTTCCGCTCTGGCACGGACGGAAGGTCACCGGCTTCTGGATGACCGGTTCGACCGGGTGGAGGCACTCTACGCTCTTGACGAAGAAGATGAGTACGATGATAGCATGTCCATGGTCAGCGGTATGACTGGTATGACCGGCATGACCGGCTTCTCGACTGCCTCATCGCAGGCCCCCAGCTTGATTGACGCGAACGGAGTGGCTGTGGCTCCCCGTCATGACTTCAATGAGGTTATGGACAGCTTCCTTGCGGGATGGGATGGCAACACAAGCTCTCAAGCGAAGCGAAAGGGCGCCAAGGCAAAGAGAGGCAAGAACGGCAACGAAGCCATTGGCATTAAAATGTTAGACGAGATCCGACAAGGGCTCGGTCCGGCTAGGATGTCAGGAAAAGCCTCTGGACGGGCATAATGCTTGAACGAATTGCGATGATACCTTTCCATTTTATTTAGAATGCGGTTTCTGGCGTCCCGGTTTCAATGTCCTCATGTTCGCTGCATGATAGATGTCTATTTTCTCGGCCAGTTAAAAGTTAAAAGTTTTCATATAACATATTCCTGGGTAGGAATCAATGAATTATCACGACTTTGTCTAGTATCTCTTCTTTTTCTTTTCTTTTCATCTCCCCATTCCTACAAGCAGTACGGAGTACGTCATAGAACTTTCTAAGATCTACTACAGTGGGTGAACGCGCTACTCCCTGCGATCTTCACACACAGCACAGCGATAGTCTATGCTCATGTCTCCTTTGGCTATGGTTGCCCCCAAATCCTTCGAGACCCACGTAGAGGCCTTGTTTGCAGTGCATCCGGCCTAGTATAGTATTGATATCAATAATTAGGGATTGTAAGTAGGGCGTCTCCTCTAAATATAGAACATATTGACACTACTCGTATTGCATTAGGCACAGATACAGTTGTAGTTTGCAATAGTAGCAAGTAGGATATTATGATATACTGCACAGGATAATGCAATGAATAGAACCCGGGATCCATTCATCAAACCATCCGATTCATCTAAAGGCTCCCTCCTTTGTGTCATTGAATTTTTCAAGTCAATGTATGTAGCTGATTCCTCCTGTAGATTCACCAGATTCCTCACGAATATTAGAATCATGGTATTTCTAGCCCTTCCATCTAACGTCCACTACAAAGAGATCATGTCAAAGATCGCTCTGTTGTCCAGAAGGCTCGAGCCTCGATACCCCTGGTGCTTCAAGCTCAGAGCCATCAATAACCCCAATTGACAAGGCGGTCATGGAGCTCTTAGGGCGGACGAGTGCAACGGTAGCCAGAGGATGTTGGTTCTGGGACTTACCAATTCAGCAATCAAGCATCTTGATAACGGGCATGGACTTTCGTTTTCAACTAGGAGGAATCAGCTGGACGCATCATGGTCACCCCACACAGTGAGCTCGCCTTGATGATGGTTAGCAATACCTTTGTAGCAATGAGTATCCCTAGATCCGACAGAACCTGGGCCTAACCACCACGTATCCGCCAAACTGACGGAAACAAGCGCAAGCAAGGCGACCAGGTGTTCCTCCCTCGCTCTCGTCGGCTCACTCAGGATAGGGCGTAGGCCGACCAATATTAGTTATCGAGACTGGAGTTTCGGAGTCCCTTACTAAGTTGCGGGAGGATACGAAATGGTGGTTCCATAACTCTGATTAGTTGACTTTCTTGTTGCCTGGAAGAACTTCTACGAGATCGTGATCGCTATTGGGAATATGAGCAGCGATATTCCAGTCCTGCTTGTCGGCAAGGGCCAAAACTGGGGACCGTGACGGTGCCAACAACAGAAGTGACTTCGAGGAAATCGTAAAGAGAAATATAAGGCGCAACGAAAAAGACACAACGCTAAAGCCCGTTCCAAGGCAAAAATCCTTCAACAAGCAGCAGGCTGTTGCACAAAAGTGATATCATTGTGCTGTTTGCGATGTGTCCTACCGGGATGCTGCTTCACTCCGCCTGTATCTCAAAACCGAACGACATTTCAGAGAAAGTCGAAATGGGCGACAAAGAAAACGAATGCAGCTTAACTTGCTACTTTTTATCGACCTGGAAAGATCACCAGAAGACCAGACCGGGGACGAAGAAAGTTGGCCTGCACTAAGGGTATTGTTAAGCTCGATCCGTTATAGAATCACAAATTAGACTTAATTGTAAACATCATCTCGAGCTTTGCTGCTGTTCACCGTTACCGTTAGCTAGGAGACATCTTGCACTCAAATACTCCAATCAAACCAGGTTACTAACCTGCGAAGGAGGTAGAGATAGCATAGGATAAAAAACGGGATACTATTAGGGAAAGTCTGACGCTATCGATAACTACATCTTCTCCCCTCAGTAATGTGACCTACGAGTCTCTCTCAAAGTCCTTCTTAACTTTCTCGGCAAGATTGTCATCTACCAAGATTTGACATGCAACCACAGCCATGCCGGCGGCACAAGCAAGACTACGTTGATACCCCTGGGGTGATCCGGCACCGTTGGTAAACTGGAGCGTATGATTAACACCATCCGCTGGGATGGTGAACATGCCATGAAACCCGGGGATGGCATAAGTAACGTTCCCTATGCAGGATAATGTAAGTGTCCAGGTCGACCGAACTGGCAGGTGGCCATCATTATACGAACCCATATCGGTAGACGCTCCAGCCAGAATGCCACTCTTCCCTAAATTATCGAACAGCGTATGATGGCCCATTGCCCGCATGACGGTAACGTAGTTCTCGCAAATAGGCGTATTAGTCTTCAAATCGGCATATGAGATGCCCCTAGGCCAGATTTAGTGAGGCTACCCAGCGTCTTGCCAAGGCGAACATACCAATCAAACTCAACCTTGCACCCAGTAGCCATGGCAGCGGCTTCAAAGCACTTGACAACCTTCTCTGTCAACGGTTTCAATGATTTGATGGTGGGCGATCGGATGTAGTAATCCACAGATGCAGACATGGGGATTATATTCGGACGATCGCCCCCGTTCGCAATGACCCCATGGATTCTCTGGCTGGGCATGATCTGTTGCCGAAGGAGGGAGATATTGACATAGGCAGCGACTACGGCATCCAGAGCATTAATGCCTTCCCACGGAGCCGCGGCGGCATGTGCCGGTTTACCAGTAAAGGTCACAGTAACTTTGTCATTGGCAAGGAACCCGCCGGGGACTACGGTGGCGATGCTCAGGAGCTCCGGATCCTCGGGGGCTATGGGCATAGGATGCACCATGAGGCATGCATCTACATCCTTGTATGCTCCGTTATCCAACAAGCGCACTTTACCACCGCCGGATTCTTCGGCGGGCGTGCCCAAGAGACGGACGGTACAGCCTGGTCCGTCAGGATATTGAGCTTTTAACGCCTCACAGGTAGCAATGAAGGCCGCGATTGATGCGGTCGCAATCAAATTATGTCCGCAGGCATGGCCGATCCCCGGGAGTGCGTCGTATTCAGCGTTGAAGACGACTACACGTCCTCCGGAGCCACGGGTGTATTCAACCTCCAAGGCGGTTTCTAAGCCATACGCACTGCGCCGAACTTGATATCCTTCGGATCTGAGGCTTTCAAATAACTCGCAGATATGGTTATGAGCCTTGTATTCTTTGTAACCCAGTTCAGGGTTGGACCAGATCTAGCCGAGGTTAGAGGGCGGAAATATAATAAATACATATAGTATGTTTGTCGTTCTATCCCCCTTACTTTGTGGTTAATGTTCTTGAGCTCCGAATCATATTTCCGGAGAGTTTTCTGAACGTTATCAATTAATTGATACTGATGCTGTTGGACATGCATCTTGTCGACGTGATATTAGCGGTTTGAGTCCATAGGTTAAGTTTAACTGCCAAGCAATGATTATATACGAGCCTAGACATGGAATTGAGGAGTTGAGTTATCTTCGGCAGTACTGCTGTTTACCTGCCGAATTGTTCGATGATTGGCTGCTGTGCCGACGGGAACGAGTTTCTTTGGATCGTTTATCGCCAAATTAGTTCCATCGTGTAAATAACTTACTTCAGCAGATAAATAGATAAGAGTCATTCTCCACCAGGAAGGAAGTAAACGGCAAAGAGGCACGAGACCAACGTGCTTAAGCTAGGCAAGGAATTGAGTGGACACATTCTTATCCTTGTTCTTTGAGTAAGAAAAGATCCAAGAAAAGCCAAGGACACTTACGATACTTTGGCTCTTGTTGTAGGGCACGTGTGACCATCTCTCGCGACGATTGGGTCTTGGTTCTCTGTCCAGTAACTTTCCAGTACCACATATTCAATTCTTGGAAAGCGGACCAATTAGACCGGTTCTGTAGTGTAGAGGTTATCACACTGGATTGTATGTTCCTCCGTTCCGATGTCTCAATTAGGTTTCATAGTCCACTAACAAATTCTGCAGTTGACTCAGTTCCGAAATCTTCCAGTAACCCCGGTTCGAACCCGGGCAGGACCTACCCCCATTTTTATTTTTATTTTTCTCTTTCTTTTTACATAGCTGTCTTGGTATTCTTTGATACCGCTTATTTGATCGAACCTTGAGGAACTCAGTTGAATCCAATATCTACATCCGGGTTCATAGCCCACGGTAACCACGTCGAACCATTGTAGGACAACCACGAGCGCTGCCTGCAGTGCAGTTCTTGCAACACCATGTTATCCTGCGACCCTGTTCTTCAATCGACTCTACAGATAGGTCTAGCCATGGCACGACTCGACGCCGACCTCTTGTCTTGATTCCGAACCACATATATTTCACCACTCGACCATTCAGAGATGGCCCCCGGGTTGAACCCTCTACCACGGGAGCCACGTAGTTTAGCTCCAAACTGCCGAACTCGATAAATAGGGAATTTCCGGGGGCCTGAGGGAAACGGCTTCCATATACAAGCTGATAGATATTCATGATATCAAATGTGAGCTGTTCCCTGGACTCTCCACTTCAGCATGAATGCAAGTCACCCAGCTACGGGGCCCGAGTACAGCACGATGGTCTAGATACTTATATTTCTACTGTAGTGACACCACCAGTGCGGGGCCTGTATGCTGCCCGGTTGACCATCCTCGTTCTTTATTCCTTAGCTTGCGCAGGCGCTGAGACTCCGGCAGTTTACCCAGATCCTTAGGCCAAGAGTTATCAGGTATCACCTGATTGCGATATACCAGGATTGACCATAATAAACTAGACAGGATGCCATGAATAAAGCACCCTCTACCCCAACTGATTCCAATTCATTCCCTGTGACAGATAGATCCTAGACATCCAAACCAATCTCACACAAGCATAAGAAACATCCGGGCCAATCCCTCACCCTCTACTCCACAAAATTAACCAGATCAAATAAGACTAGGAAAAAACAAGACCCCATCCCCTAGAACTGCCCAAACCGATCACCCTAGAGTCCTAACCCTAACATCCAGAAAAGAACATTCCAGAACCCTTCCAGAAAAACCCCAAGTCTTGGCCCCGACCCAGCGACCCCTCTTTTTGTTCGTGATAAGGAGTACAATCCCAGTCGATACATGCATCGTACATAGTACTATACCTCCACGGTGGACGTCGGTGCATTAAATAGAACACAAGAAGAAAAAGACAAGAAGAAAAATAAGGGCATAAAGACAGGCGCGATACGCGACCCGTCTACGGAATATGTTAGATTTTTTATTTTATTTTATACTAACCTATTTTAATTCTAATATTTTTCTTAAATTGGTTCCGGACCTCCACTCGGAATTCCTACTCTAACTCAGTAGTCCTGCATTAAGTTATGTAAACCGAAGAAACCCTAATTCTTCGAGCTTGAGAAAGAATCAAGACCAAAGTCCCGATTGACATCAGCGACGCTTTCTTTACTCTTTCTTATTTTGAGTTTGGGTATGGATGGGTCAAGGCTGGCTCTGGTTTTCTGAGGTTGTCCTATGGACAGGGAAGGCTTAACCAGACTGTGGTCTGTACATATATCTCTGGGGTCTTGTGACCTGGGGTCGATTTGGAGGATATGTACATATCTATATCGGGATGTGTGAGTGTGCAGCGCATACTACCATACACGGTGAAAGATAAGATGAGCTGGTCTTTTGCTTTTCTCGGAAAAGCAGGGAAGGGGCGAATGAGTGTCCGAACGTGAGATCGAACACACAGACACCGATTATCAGCACCATTGGGAACAACACATACATCCACCGTGCCAAAAACTGGGAATCCGAAGTAAAAAAAAAAAAAAAAAAAAAAAAAAAAAAAAAGAGTAAAACAACGTAAAACAACCCCCAAGGCCCGAATAAGGCGCCAAGAAAAAACCCATGGATCCAGCCATGTCGCAATCAATCTCCATGATCAGCAATGAGAGTCCGAGAAGAGGGGAGAAATTACCCGGCAGTGGTGGGGAGGTACACCGTCTGGCAGATTGGACACTTGTACTGGCCGTAGGTGAACCATGACGCAAGACAGGAAGCGTGGAACGCGTGATTGCACTGATTCAGGACGAGAACGCTGCGGGTTCGGCAGTGGTACCGGATCCGACCTGATTCGAGTAGGGAAGGAGGGTCAGCGTCAGGGGTAAGTGTATCGTGACTGTGGAGAGTCGAACGAGGATGAGGAGGAGGGAGGATGCAGGCTGGTTCTGGAGACGACGGTAGCGTGTCTTGAGACGACGAAGACGACGACGCTAAGAGGAGAGTTGAGAGGCAGATGGAACTTGAGAGAGGCAAATCATAGGCCATTGAGTCAGTTCAACCGGATCCCGATGATAAAGGCCAAGACCACTAGCGCCAGCCTTGTCCCCGCATCCTCCAGGGCCAAGAGTCCCGGCGTTCTCCAACAATGGGGATGCGCAACCCTACCAAGGTTCCTGAGCGTAGTGCTGCTGCGGCCGTTCACCATTGTCCGTACGGGCCACCTCTTCTAGCCATCGCTCCACCGTCACTTGTCGTATGCACCCATTGACTTGGAGATTATGGATTTCGCTGGCTCTTCTCGTCGCCGCTCGTCGCCGGTGATGCCACATAACTAAGCTAGATGGAGAGGTGTGGTCAACTTCTTTGTTGGAGCTCGGCAGGGAACAACCCAGGGGAGGAGAGGACGTGAAGTACAAAGTAATGTGAAGACGCCCGAGCTGCGGGGGACCAGTCCCAATCGAAATGCGTGGAAAGTTCTCTCCTGCGGCGGGGATCTGGCCTAGATGGACTAGGGAAAATGAACTCACAGAGGAACGAGGCTGATGGTGCCAAAGAGCAGCACCGCTCCGATTACCACGCCGACAATGTCAGCGCCGGGCGGATCACCCGCCATTGCACGGGCGACACGATGCGATTCGGTTCTAATGTGAATACGAGAACGACCACCAGATAGACTAAGTGGCAGACAGATCCAATAAGATTTATCACACGGTGAAGATCGGATATGTCGGCTACATACGAGAGCTGCAACGGGTTTCGCATAAGGTCGGCCAGCACGATGATAAGAGGGGAGTGGGGGAGGGGGACGACCAACCACTCAGAAGGGACGGGCCTGGATATTTTTGGCTGTAGAAAGGAGCGATGGGGGGGCATTTAGACCTGCGACTGGCTCTCAGACCCCTCAGCAGTGCGTCTTGCCAAGAGCGACCAAGCGTGCAGAGATACCGAGGCGGGAAATAATCCAAGAGGTGCCAAGCCTCCCGCGCCCCGGACGTCCTTGGCATTCCGCTGGAGTCCCAGGGTATCGTGACCAATCAGCGGCCATGGCCGACGGGGTTCTGGCCACTAATTTGCCTACATGGTGTGTTAGCCGATACTCACGTGGCGACGGTATTGGTCGAATGCGTCATAGCCTGGCCACATCTCAAGGTTTTCCCGCCAAGGCTTCGTCCTCATTGGCCCTCATCGGTTTTGCCGTCAGATCGCGATAATGAATGCGATCCATGCCAAGAGGTGAACCTTTGTTTCGTCATGTTATACCTCCGTACTGTGAATTTAAAAAGGCTGTTAGTCCCCCTCTTTCACTTGGAAGAAAGACGGTTAAGAATATATCCAGATCCTCTCTCTCCATAGTTACTCCGCTTTTAAGGTGTAGGTGTATGGACTGTCACTCTCTTGAGGATACAATCTATATGGAGCCTCCCTAAGGACGAGTCCCCAGATTAGATTAGACCATACCTAATACCCAACACGCAAATATACAACCTACAACACCCTCATACACGCATACATTGACATGGCTCATGATGAAAAGAAACAATCGGCCGGGGGGGATACGTCCCAACCGCTCTCTCAACCCGCTCACTCCCTCTCCTATGATGATATCCTCCGCGAGCTCTCCGTGAACCCCGAAGAAGGTCTCACAACGGCCGACGCCAAAAAACGTTTGAGCCAGTATGGACCGAATGAGCTGGAGGGCGGAGAATCCGTCTCCCTTGTCAAAATTGTGATTAGACAAATCGCCAATGCAATGATGCTGGTAAGTGGCCGTGCTCGCTCCGAGAACCCTTGCATTGGTTGACTAACCAACACGGAACCATGATTAGGTGCTCATCATTGCCATGGCTGTTAGTTTTGGTATTCAATCGTGGATCGAGGGTGGTGTCATTTGCGCAGTCATTGCTCTCAACATCGTGGTGGGTGTATACCAGGACTATGCGGCGGAGAAGACAATGGATTCCTTGCGCTCCCTGAGCTCTCCGACCGGTGTCGCGACTCGAGACGGCAAAACCAATACTATCCCCGCCTTGGAAATCGTCCCTGGAGATATGATCGAGCTTAAAGTGGGTGATACAGTCCCTGCTGATCTTAGGTATGTGGTCCATGAGAGTGTTGTCCGACGAATAGCCGTACTGATTTCATGGGTAGACTGGTGGATGCGATGAATTTTGAAACTGATGAAGCCCTTTTGACCGGAGAATCTTTACCTGTCCAGAAGGAGGTCAACTCTGTGTTCGATCCAGATACTGGTCCGGGCGATCGTCTGAACATTGCTTACAGTTCCTCGACCGTGACCCGCGGCCGTGCTCGTGGCGTTGTGGTGGGGACCGGAATGAGAACGGAAATCGGTGCGATTGCAGCAGCTCTTCGCGCCGGTGATTCCAAGAGACGGCCTGTCAAGCGTGGTCCTCAGGGCGAGACCAAGAAGCGTTGGTACGTGGAGGCGTGGACGCTGACCTGTACCGATGCAGTGGGCCGTTTCTTGGGTATTAACGTTGGCACACCCTTACAACGAAAGCTCTCCAAGTTGGCCTTGCTTCTCTTCGCCATTGCCGTGATCTTTGCTATTGTTGTCATGGGCGCAAATGAGATGCGCAATGATAAGGAAGTCATTATCTATGCAGTGGCAACGGGTCTGGCTATGATTCCTGCTTGTCTAGTGGTGGTATTAACTATTACTATGGCGGTAGGCACAAAGCAGATGGCACAAAGGAATGTCATTGTCCGAAAGCTTGACTCCTTGGAAGCTCTCGGCGCTGTGACTAACATTTGCTCAGACAAAACGGGAACTCTCACACAGGGTCGCATGGTTGCCAAAAGGGCATGGCTCCCATCATTGGGCACCTATTCGGTGGGATCCTCGAATGATCCCCTGAACCCGCAGGAAGGAGACCTGAGCTTGCTCCCTCAGCCCCCGGTCCAGGTCGAGCGTGAAGCACAAGGCGAACCTCAGGACCCGCAGGACCTCTTGAAGGATAACAAAGTGCTGGAAGACTATCTCAATGTCGCTGCCCTGGCAAACCTCGCCCATGTCCACAAGTCTGAGAATGATGAATGGCAGGCGCGGGGCGAGCCAACGGATATCGCCATCCAAGTCTTTGCCTCTCGTTTCAACTGGGGCCGCGATCGCTGGACCAAGGGCGAGAAGCCCATCTGGAGTCAAAAGGCCGAGTATCCTTTCGATTCGACGGTGAAGAAAATGTCCGTGATTTTCTCCCAAGGAGACCGCGAGATGATCTTCACCAAGGGTGCCGTGGAACGTGTTGTGGATTCCTGCACATCGGTTATTTGGACGGCCGGTTCTGGCCCCGTTCCTCTCGATGGAACCATGAAAGAGGAGATTTTGCAGAACATGGAAGCCCTGGCGAAGGAAGGCCTTCGTGTCCTTTGCCTCGCCTGCCGGGAGAATAACATCCCCACCAAGGGCGGAGAGGACGTCCCTCCAAGAGAGGACGTAGAGAAGGACCTTACCTTCTGTGGATTGATCGGTCTTTACGATCCCCCTCGCCCCGAAACTGCTGGTGCTATTGAAGAATGTTATCGTGCGGGAATTGCTGTTCACATGGTAACAGGTGATCACCCGGGTACTGCACGTGCCATTGCAGCACAAGTTGGTATCATTCCTGCGAACATGGACAGCGTCGCGAAGGATGTGGCCGACGCGATGGTGATGACTGCCAGCCAGTTTGATAAGTTGACTGAGGACGAGATTGACAATCTCCCCACTCTGCCGTTGGTCATTGCTCGCTGCGCACCTCACACAAAGGTCCGCATGATCGATGCGTTGCACCGTCGTGGTTGTTATGCGGCGATGACGGGCGACGGTGTTAACGACTCGCCGTCTCTCAAACGGGCCGATGTTGGTATTGCCATGGGACAGGCAGGTTCTGATGTAGCGAAGGATGCTTCCGAGCTAGTCTTGATGGATGACAATTTTGCTTCGATTATCAACGGAATTGAAGAGGGCCGTCGTATCTTCGATAACATTCAGAAATTCGTTCTGCATTTGTTGGCGGAAAACGTCGGACTCGCGCTCACTCTACTCATTGGTCTTGTGTTCAAGGATGTCAATGGACAGTCTGTGTTTCCCATTGCGCCTGTCGAAATTCTCTGGATTATTATGATCACCTCCGGTCTACCTGATATGGGATTGGGAATGGAGATCGCGGCACCAGATATTATGGACCGTCCGCCCCAGAGTGTACGTATTAACCTTCCCCCCCCCCCTCTTTCATTCTCTTCCCAAGCCCTTGCTCTCAGGCCCGCTGCTAACACGCGCAATAGAAACAAGGTATCTTCACATGGGAAGTCATTGTGGACACCCTTGTATATGGTGTCTGGATGGCAGCGCTGTGCCTGGCATCCTTTTCCCTGGTGATGTATGGATGGGGTGATGGCAACCTCGGAAGTGGCTGCAACAGCGGCTATCATGGCAACGATAACTATGACGGCAACTGCGACACTGTTTTCCGTGCTCGTGCGACCACCTTCGTTTGCATGACTTGGTTCGCGCTCTTCTTGGCGTGGGAACAGATCGACATGCGGCGCAGTTTCTTCCGTATGCAACCAGATTCGAAGAAATACTTTACTCAGTGGATGTTTGATGTCTGGCGCAACAAGTTCCTTTTCACGGGTATCATGGTCGGGTTTATTACCACATTCCCTATTCTTTATATTCCTGTGATTAACCACGTCGTGTTCAAACACACCGGTATCTCCTGGGAATGGGGTGTGGTATTTGTGGAAGCGGTCTTGTTCTTCCTGGGTGTTGAGGCATGGAAATGGTGCAAGCGGATCTTTTTCCGGCGCCCAGCGTACCTTCAAAAGGATAAGGGCGACAAGAGGCCCCCCAACGACTTCAGTCGCTACACCACGATGAGCCGGTCTGATACCCAAGGAACCAGTGACATGAAGGTCGAGAAATCCATGGTTTGATCGAATGATCATGAGTGCGGTGTATATATGCAATGAGCAGAGTTCATATAGACTTCATGTTGATAAATACCATTTCTTTTTACCGCTTTCCCCCCCCATCTGGATGCCCGCATTTCAAGAAGTCGTAATCGGAGTAAAACATCAAAGAGGACGAGTAGAGACGGATCTTAAGTGATTCAATAAATCAAATCAAGAGTAGCTACATGAGCCTAGATCAGATCAGTAGTAGAGCAAAACCTGTGACACAAGTCACGAGCAAATTTGGGCTGTTCCGAGGGAATGCCTCAAGACTCGGGCTCCGAGCGAGTCGGAATGGCGGCGGAGGACAAGGAGCGGAAGGGAGAGGACACGGCCCTTAAATACTAGAGCTTTAGAGAGAGGGGCCACACCATGTGAGAACAACTAGGCATCCACCATTGCTGGAGGGTTACAGACAAGAACAAATCCCACGACGTGTCGACATCATCGATGCTTGCCAAGGGATTTCCAAGACATGGGCAGAAGCCGGGGTCGAATCAATTCTACGAGCGGAGGGGGACCAGGCATCTATAGATGTCGATCGAACGCTTTCTATTGGGTCATAATAATGCCTCATACAATTGACTCATCAGAGGGGGATATGATTTGGTAATTGCAGGTGGCAGAGGGGTCAGAGACTATTTACGAACTTGCTGCGGCCGGCGCAGCGGATACATTTTCCGAGGGGGCGGACTCCAATTCAGGGGATTTTGGGACGGAGTCGCTGGCATCCTTCTCGAAACTCTTCATGGGGTAGAAGCCCCATCGCTCGAACATGACGCGATCTTCATCCCATCCGTTGCAATCAGTCGTCAACATCTTCTCGCCAGTGAAGACGGCATTGGCGCCAGCCATGAAGCACTGGATTTGTTGTTCCTCGGAGAGGGAGATGCGACCCGCTGCCAAGCGGACGATAGTGGCGGGGAGGACGATCCGAGCAGTAGCGATGGTCCGGAGGAGCTTGTCGAAGGGGATCATCTTGCGATCTCCCAACGGAGTACCGGGGATAGGGACGAGAGCGTTGACGGGGAAAGACTCCGGGTGAGACGGCAGAGAGGAAACGGTGTGGATGAGACCGATGCGATCGGAGTCCGCCTCCCCGAGACCCAGGATACCACCGGAGCAGACGTTGATTCCCGCATCCCGGACATGGGACAGGGTCTTGAGGCGCTCGTCGTACGACCGTGTGGTAATGATGGAGGGGTAAAACTCTCGGGAGGTGTCCAGGTTATGGTTGTACGCCGTCAAGCCTGCATCCTTCAGCTCCTTGGCCTGGTTCTCGTCGATCATGCCCAAGGTCACGCAGACCTCCATCCCCATCTCGCGGACACCCGAGACCATCTGCTTGACGTTCTTCAGACTTGTTTTGCGACCGCGCATGTCGCGCCAGGCGGCGCCCATGCAGAAGCGGGTGCTTCCATTGGCCTTGGCGATCCGGGCAGCCTTCAAGACGTCGTCCACCGGGCTCATCTTGGTCGCTTTCAAGCCAGTGCTGTGGCGCGACGACTGAGCGCAGTAAGAACAGTCCTCACTACACCCTCCGGTCTTGATGTTCATTAGGGTACACATCTGAATGGCAGATGGGTCATGGAATCGACGGTGAATGGCCGCCTGGAACCGGAGTGAGTCAGCGGTCAATGTAGATACTATATTTACATCACGCATGGAGCGTAGACGAATGAATGAATGAATGACAGGATAGCATGACATAATCTCTTGTTGAAACCGGGTCACATACCGCAGCATAGGTCAGCTGATTCAAGGGAGTTTCATAGATCTGCTGGACCTCTTCGCGGGACCATGTCGTCCGCGGCGCTGTTGCGGCAGTTGCCTCTTGCAGGGCGACGGGAATCTTGCTCGCAAGTGAAGCTGCACTGGGGGAGGAGGATTGGACGGTACCATAGGACCTTCGTAAGATGGCCCGAGGAACGGACCGTGGGAGCAGCGACATTGGCGGACAGGAGCACAGAATCGGAGGTCAGATCAGGCAACAAGAGAATGCAATGGGATTAGGAAGCCTTCAATTCGTAGTTGGGCTAAAAGCGACACAACGGCACCACTACTGCTTCCCAAAGAATTCACGCTACGAATGCCAAGGGAAAGTGAAGAAGAACTCACAACCTCGGGAAAGGTGAGAGTGAGTGAGAGAGAGAGAGAGAGAGAGAGAGAGAGAGAGAGAGAGAGAGAGAGAGAGAGAGAGAGAGAGAGAGAGAGGGAGGGGTAGATTAGGAAGTACAGTACGGTACTAGGAGTCACGATACAGAAGATGATATGCTTTTCCACTTACGACTTGGTATTACTCACTTAAAGTGGGGAGGGAAAGTCTAAAAACCCCGGGACCAGTCAGCAACCAGCTGATGCAAATTAATTAATGAATAAAGCTGTCCAGCTCTGAGGGACTATCGTATCGTGGGGTGAAGCCGTTGACCCCAACGAGACGAGTCCAGCCATTGCCTTTGTGCCGAAGAGGATCATATTATATACATAGATTATATAATGAGGGAGAGTCCAACTCTTCAAGATGAGAGGTTCCACCATCAATTGCCCACTTTTATTTTTTTGTTGTTGTCCCCGCCACACAGAGAGATCAACTTGTTGAGGGGTTCAATAGATCGTTGGATTAACGCGCAGATCGTCGCGGGTGAGTTACGTACGGGACGACTGATTCGATCGTTTCCCCCACTTTGCAGTACAGCAATAATTTAGTACTAGTAAAGTACTCAGTTATCGGAGGACAGGTACTTTGAGGAAGGGAGGAGAAAAATGCCATGGATTCTATCGGAAAGCCTTTCCCGTGACGGGAACGATTGGGGATTTGGCCCATCACGTGTTGGTCTCAGCCAATCAGGAGCCACACATGACCCCGCCGCTCACCGGCAAGTTGAACAAATCAGGGAAAATCCAAACATTTCCATGTCCATTTCAGACACCGGGAAAGCCAAGCCAATGACATGGCATAGTACTAATCTTTCCATGGTTCGAAAAGATCGCCCATTAGCCAGGCACAAAAAATATGGCAGAATAATTTACTCACATCCCAATGCTACAGTTTACTTTCATCCGTCCGGTGGGGGAATTCCTACTGGATGTGTCATCACATTAGCCTAACGTATTCGGTAAGCGAATCGCTCAGCTCTGTATTCCGTATAAATTGACCCTTTTTGATACTTGAATATCTCAGCAACCAGAAATATTCAAAACTTTTAATTTAATATAATATAAGATAGTCTGTATCAGGCTGTAAATGAATTTTCATTGGTTTTTTCTCTATAAGCATAAGCTATAGATCGAGAATTTCAAAAAAAAAAAAATTACAGTTGTAATATTCAATACTGACCGAGATATCAGTTGCATAAACTTTTCTGAATTATATTCAAGATTAAGTACTATTATATATCCTATGTAAATTTTATATCTTTACTATTTCTGGTTACTGAGATATTCAAGTATCAAAAAGGATCAATTATATGGAATACAGAGCTGAGCGGCTCGCTTACCGAATACGTTATCCATCTCTAACCCGATGATAACCGTACAGAATTAGCACCCAAAAACCTAACCCTCCGGTGGTTCATTATACGCTCGTTCAAAACTATATCCCGCTAATCTAGTTTTTTTGTCTAAAGGCAAAAAAAAAAAAAAAAAGAAAAAGAAAAAGAAAGAAAGATAAAAATAAAAATAAAAATAAAAATAAAAAAAAAGGAAAGAAGAAGAAAGACGTAGAAAGTAAATTTGTTGCACTGGATCATCACGGTAGGAGGGCTTCCCGCAGCAACCCCTCAATGGACCGCAGGGCCTCCGATTGGGAAGTGAGACTCGACATGAGGTACAGGACATTTCCAAGCACACGCGAATGCACGTTAAACTTTCCGTCACTCGTAGATAACCGCTGCTGCAAGCCTCTGGCGGCTGTCGAGGTGTAGCCTATATGCGTGGTGGAGACGTCACATGTTAGTCCGGGACAACTGATTGAACCGAATGGGTTGACTTACCTCCCCCCTGCATATCTTTCAGTGAAATACTGAGCACCGTTCCTATGGCAAACACCCCATCAACCGTCGGAGCATGGGATAGATCACTAACTAAACCGTGAGACCACACACTCCAAATATCCCGCGCTCTCGAACCCTCGGACAGGGTTGCAGTCCAGTCCTGGCGGTACCCATTCCAGGACCCACTGCTTTCCATTCCTATCATGGCTTGCAGAGAATCCACGGCAACCTGGCATCCAACGGCATGTGCCGTATAACTGTGCCCGTGAAGCAAGGCGTCGCTCTTTTCCGGGCTGGAAAAGGCCCGGAATATTTCATCGCTAGCCATCGTAGTACACAGGGGGAGAAGGCCACCGGTCAGAAGTTTCGCGTTGACGGTGATGTCAGCGTCGACCTGGAGGAATGACGCCGAGGATCTGCGGCCAAGACGGTAAAGCCCGGTGAAAACCTCGTCAAAGATGATAGGGAGACCAGACCACGAGGTTGCTACTCCTCCCTGGGGGTGACCCTTGGCAGGCTTAGCTGCGCTAGCATCAAACAGCTCAGGATGGCCGCGGACGACATCGGCGAGACACCGTTGGAACAGAGGGTCACTAAGCATATCCATTAGTTATCAGCGTGAAACCGACCTTGATCATCGATACAGACCAAAAGAGCATGCCGCCGGCACCTAGAATAATGGGCTCCATGATAAGGGAGCCAAACTTCATCCCTTGCTTGTGAACCAGACCCTGAATGGTGTCTCGAATATATTCCTTGTAGCGCTTCCCCGCTGCCGATTGCAGCCGTTCTTCTACGTCGAAGACGCCATCCAAAGACGAGAATTCGAGATCCGAGCCCAATGGCTCTTGAAGATTCTCGGGCATCTCAATCTTCCACACTCCATGGGACATCTTTACCAGAGGGAAATCAAACCAGTAACCACGGCCGCGATACCATTCGACTTTCTTGTTGTAAGTGGAAGGTTCCGAGCAATCCATGACGCCAATGGTATCACCGTGATAGCTCCCCTTGAGTCCAAGGATACTGATTTGCTCCTTGCTGGCATCCCATCCATAGCGGTCGCATGCCGCCCGGAGACCCATCTTCACAGCAACTTCCATTCCGGTGCTCCCGTTGTCGGTATAGAAGACCTTCTGGAGTCGAGGGTTGCCAATGCTCTTGACTAAGAGCTCCGCCAGCGACAAAGCCGGCTCATGAATATTGCCGGGAAACATGACATGGCCGTACCGTCCAGCAGCATATGCGGCCGACAAGGCTAAACTTGGGTTGCCATGACCCAAGCCTTGCGTCCACCAGGATGCCGATCCGTCAAAGGTCGCGCGCAGCTGGCTCTGATGAGGGGACTTGTCCGATTCTACAAATGTTTGGAAATAGTCATCGTAGGCCGAGTCAATCGGAGTGATATCCTTAGCCTCCATGCCATGGTGCTGTGTGAACGGATACCATATGGCGGCATGTGCCCGGCTCGACATGGATTCCAAGCGGTCAATTCTTTCCGCATTCTTGGTGTTTAGCTGTTCTAATAAACCTGTAATATCCGTTCCCTGCGCGACGCGGCCATAGTAAGTGGCCATGGCTTCCTCGTCCCGCGCCAAGGAATCTACCTCATGCGCCGGCGGCTTTGGAGGGGGCGACGGCAGTGGCACTAACGGTATGCTTTTCTTCTGGAAATACTTGAGCAAGTATTCATGATTCTGGTAGTACTCATCGCGGAAGATTAAGACCGAATTGATATCGTAGCCCCGAAGCAAGAGTGACTCATAAGCGGAAATGGACGAGGAGATACCACCCAGTCGGGAGTCCGCGACAAGCACAATTGGTAGTCGGAGAGGGCGATATAGGTCTGCCTGGGAGTTGCCATTGGGTCCGGGAGAATGAACCCCGCCGGCTGTTTCTACCAGGGCGAAGTTGACCCCACTGCCCGCCCAGTCAGAGAGGGTCTTGTGGACGGAGGCAAGGATATCGTCATCTCGAGGGATCTAGTTCGTGGTTAGCGTTGTCACCTTTTGTGACAGGGCTAAGATGGTTTGGTACGGTAAAGTTTTTCTGCTGCGCCGCAATATGCGGACTGACGGGCTCATAAAATTGGTAGAGACACTTAGTCACTGTCCCAGCGGAATGGCGTTGGATATGTCTATGATCATGAATCAGTGTGTGCGACAAGACATACGAGTCAATCACGGAAGTAGGATTTAGGCCGCGCACCTGTCATCTGCATCGTCCAATGGCCCGGTTGAGACGGGTTTCAGAAAGGCCGCCTGATTCTGGGACTTTTGACGCTGAATTGCGTTACAGAGGACGGTTGAGACAATTGTCTTGCCTACATCGGTGTTGGCGCCGTACACCTGATGGGCGCGAAGGGAGCGCCAGAGGGCAGCTCCCACAGGAGACATCACAGTCAGCGTAGACAGTGGCTACTACTAAGCACACATAGAGTAATAGGAGCAGAAAAAAAAAGATTGGAAGCGGTTGAGTAGTTGTTGTCACAATTATTATAGTCAGACAATATAAATAGTATTTCTGTACAGCCTCATAGTCAGAGATACGAGAGGAGTAAGAAATGGGGGTGGAGAAAGCCAATAGCAGAAGCATGACCGAGGTACACTTTTTCCAGGCGGCCTGGGGCACTGAGGCACCCAGGCAGCCCATTTTCCCCACCGGTTGCTGTTGGTCCTCAACAGACAAAACCTCGACCTGTTTATTTTCCCTTTTCCTTTTCCTTTTCCTTTTCTTTTCTGCTTCCCCTTTTACTCTCTCCCACCTCAACTTTCAATCTCGTATGCATAGACCATTTTGCTGTCTTCTTTATTCTTGCGGGTCGCCTTATAGTTGACTTTCAATGTGTCAAACTTAAACCGCCTCATCGTCCTGTTACAAACCACAATTTTGCTGATATTGTACTGGAATGCCTTGTATTGTATATAGATTAGAAATTATTCCTATAGTTATAAGTGTAAATATACGGCGTAATACACTATGACCGTGGTAATACTCCTGAAATTTATATTAATATTTATTGATCGTTGTTGTTGGTGTTGGTAGTATTATTTTAATTCTTATAAAAAAAAAGGATACTACTATAAAACAAATTTTAATTATAGTGAAAAGCTAAACATATTCATATTCATTTTCGGCCAGCAAGCCACAAATGACGGGAAACAGGAGCTCCACTCTTTTTTTTGGACGCTTTTCATTCTGAAAATCCCGGGATCCACGCATCCCCCGGTGTGAAAGATGACAATGCCCGCTATCCCCTCAACCCAGAGGGAAGGGCACCATGCCTATAATAGTAGCCTGTGCCGTGCGCTTTTCTCTCTTTGGCGTGGGAAGTCATTTCATTGTATATCGTTTGACAGACTCGTCATTCAGTATTAGTCACGATGAAGGTTTCCCCTCCAAAGTCCCTGCGTGACTCACTGCGTCAAGCCTTACGCCGAAGAGAGCTGAAATCTGCTCGTCGAAGGCTCACAGTGCTCCCTCAGAGCTCGGTGGACTTCTCGTCTAACGACTTCTTGTCGCTATCGACATCCCCCGTATATCGTGCTCGGTTAATAGACCATCTTCAACAGGCACCGTCCTTCTACCCATTTGCCAGTGGGGGCTCCCGGCTCCTAGATGGCAATTCAGCCTATGCTGAGGAGCTTGAGAGCTTCATTGCCGATTTCCATGCTGCCCCCAGCGGCCTGCTGTTCAATTCGGGCTTCGACGCCAATGTTGGGGTCTTATCGTGCATCCCTCAGCCGGGTGATCTGATCGTGCATGACGAGCTCATCCACGCGAGTGCCCGGGAAGGCATGCGGTTGTCACGAGCGGGCAAACGGGTCCAGTTCGCTCACAGCTCACCTTTGGGCCTGGAAGAAGTACTACAAGCAGAGGTCGATGCGGACCCATTCATACAAAACGGCTCACGGAATGTCTTCATCGTGGTTGAATCCGTCTATAGCATGGATGGAGACATTGCCCCCATCCGGGAATTCATCGAAGTGGTAGATCGACTTCTTCCGCGGGGTAACGGCTATTTTATCGTGGACGAAGCGCATGCTACGGGAACATTCGGTCCCCGTGGGGCGGGTGTTGTGCAGGAACTAGGGCTAGAGGAGCGGATATTTATCCGGGTACATACATTTGGTAAAGCGCTAGCGAGCCATGGAGGTATGAGTTCACAAAACACCATATGATGACCTATATGACTGACACTTCTGTAGCAATCGTATTATGCTGTTCCGATACTCGAGATTATCTGATCAACTACGCCCGCAGCTTGATCTACACCACGGCACTGGGATTCCCATTCCTGGCGTCGATCCGCACGGCATATGAATTGCTGTCCGAGGGTGTTACAGAGCCTGTAAGTTGCCCCTCGCATAGTTTATCCTGGTCCTCGGAAGAATCTCAACTGATCTTGAATAGCTGCAAGAAAAACTTCAACAGTTGATTCTGTACCTCCGGACACGCCTTGGAGACCTTGGTTCGTGGGACCCTGTTGTCTTCGAAGTAGACCATTTCCCGAGATCCCCCATCTTTTCCTTGCGCAGCCCCATGCCTCGCCAGCTGGCGGCGCAATGTCAACAAGAAGGGTTCACTGTACGTGCAATTATGGCACCCACCGTCCCCGCAGGAAAGGAGCGGGTGCGAGTGTGCCTGCACACGGGGAATACGATGGAGGAGATCGACGGGTTTGTCGACACCATCCAGTACTGGCTAAACAAAGTGACGGACAAGAAGACCGCGCGGCTTTGAGCGGTACTGTTATCCATTTGTTTCCATGTCCTGATGGCGATTCCGAATTTAACCACAACAAGTTGTATATTGTATATAGTTGACAGTACAACAAGAGATACCGAAAGACCGCACAAAGCAAAAATAAAGACAAAAAAAGCCCCTCATACTGTTTCAAAATATCAAAAACTTCAGACAAGTCGGACAAGTAGGAGGACCTTGCCAATCGCCCAAAAGCCACTGACCAATACACTCCCGATGATAATTCGTCGCACAATAACTCTGACACCAGACCAAAAACCCCCGGATCATCACATCTACTCTTAGAAAGCCCTCTCTCGTCCGCAGTATATTTGAGAGCCCACGCACCAGACACCTCAACCCGAAACGGAAGCAAACAAACCCCACACTCCCCCTCGATAATTTTCGGCGAGACTATCCATCCAGCAACATCATTCCATGCCTGACCAGCCAGCTCCGACATAGAGCTCAAGCCTGGAACGTCCGATCTCCTCGTACCACAATCCTCGAGCCCCGAAGGCCGAGCCTGTTGCTGCAGTTCCGGGTCTACATGCTGGGTCGATGATGCATCCGCCTGCTGTACCGGTTCACTCAAACCCGTACCTGAAGTTCCCCTCCCCTCACCGCACGTAGAAATGTATCGATACACCCTAAAACTTCCACCTAGCAGCAAAAATATCCGTCTGACGCTGATGACCTGAACAACACAACGGCAACGACGCGACGTCCAACAGGAGATCCTCAATATCCCAGCCCTGGGCGAGGCGGATATCGCCCATATGCAGTAAATGAAAGGCCCATTCCCATTTAGCAAGATTGGTCTCGTTCTCGCAGCGAAGACGATCGGCGGCCTTGAAGCTGAGACAGCGGCGTTCGGATTAGGGGTTTTAGGTTTAGGATTTCGATGAGTTTGTACGTGTTTCTGGTACGTGAGGACATGATAGAGGGGATTAAAGGGTGGGTAGGTTAGGGATTTGGCGCTAGTATAGGAATACGCATAATACGGAGGGAGATATGGAGACAAGTGAGTGGGGATTTGTTTCTGATCCTATATAGTTAATGTTGGGTTAGGGTTACTGTGTGTACGGATGACTTACGTCCCTTCTTTATATCGGGAGGAAGCATTTGTCTTGGTGCTGAGGAATCAACCGTTCAGAACATGGTTTGGACTGCTTCGGATGTGCTTTATGACGGTCCGAGCCGCGTTTTTCTAGGCTTGGGTCTGGATAAGCTTGTTTGGAGGATGGGTTTAGGTGCTCATTATTATGCCATGGTGGACTTGGTTTTAGAGGGATGGAAAATTCGGGTGAGCACAGGTTTACATGGTCTGAAGAGTTTCATCGAGGAGATACACTGAAGTGATCATATCAGCGTCCGGTAAGAGTATGGTATATACATTAGGACCTAATATCCCATACAGAGATATCAAAAATCGTACGTAACACTAATGAATGCAAGAAATAGATGTATGGCTATTATAAGTGTTCCTTCACAGGGGAGTAGCCATCTATGGATGAAGATCTAGATAATTTAATAAATAATCTGATAGATTTATGTGAGATGATATCATTCGACATTATGCCGTTCTAAACCCCTCACTTACGATTATCTATCCATCTAACCAACCAACAAAAGCCTTCAATCACGAGCCATAACACCCAAAATGGAAGGCCAAGATATTCTCATCGTCGGCGCCGGCATCTTTGGGATCAGCACTGCCTATCATCTAGCACTCAGGAACCGTTACAGTCCCAATTCCGTTCGTATCACCATTTTAGACCGCGAGACTGCTCCATCTTACCCCGCCGCATCAACAGATGTCAACAAGATCATCCGCGCAGACTACTCGAGCCCTTTGTATATGTCTCTGGGATTTGAAGCTATTGCAGCATGGCAGAGTCTGCCATTTTTTAGGCATGCGGGTGTTTTTCACCAGACTGGATGGATTGCTATGGATGACAAGGACAGTGATGTACCACAACGTGTTCGAAAGAATTTCCTCGATACCAGTTCTGAAGGCGTGATTGTGGAAATGACCGAAGAAGAGGTAAAAGACTGTTGGGGCGGACTGCTTCAGAGAACGGATTGCAGTCCATTCGGGTCCTACTATTTCAACCCCTCTTCGGGTTGGGCAGATGCCGGGAGAGCTTTGGCAGTTATGACTGAAGAAGCTGTGAAACTGAGTGTGAAGTATGAGATTGGCGAGGCACGCAGGATTGTCCGTGGAGAGAATGGAGCTCAAGCGGTTGAAACCGATACCGGGGCCCTGTTCAAAGCAGACAAGATTTTGCTGGCAACAGGAGCTTGGACTAGCCAACTGATGTCTTCTATTGAAGATGAGCTGGACCTGCCTGAGGAAGCGCGGGTGGAGCGCCAGGCCTCTGCGGCTGGGGTTTGCGTTGCGCATTTTCAGCTCACAGAAGCGGAGAAAGAGGCGTATTCGAAGTTACCAGTGTTTGTATACGGTGGTCAAGGTTTGTTGAATAGCCAGGTCAAATGCATATATACTGAGAACGGACAGGCGAAGTGATTCCACCGACGGATGCGGGAATCCTTAAGTTCACTTTTGCGACATCGGTCAAGAATATAATCCAGACTGCTTCTGGCCATGAGATTTCTGTCCCTGTCTTGGACCAAACGAATGCTCCACCTGGTCTTCAGGAAGACTCAATAAACCTGATTAAGCCGCGTTTGCCGCAGGTTCTAGATGGTGGCCGTAAGCCAGATTCTTATCGAATGTGCTGGGACTCTATCACCCCAGATCAGCAGCCGCTGATCGCTCGACACCCCGATTCCAGACTGTCAAACCTGTACTTCGCTGTTGGGGGGTCATTCCATTGTTATAAGTTTCTCCCAACGATTGGACAGTACGTGGCCAACGTGTTGGATGGGGTTAGCAACGGACCCGAGAAGGACCAAGCGTGGAGGTGGAAGCCAATCCACGACAGCAATGGGGGCATACATGAAAAGTTGGTTCCAACGAGACTATTCCATGACTTTGCATGACTTAGGCGGTACAAGTTAGTTTCTAGTTGTGGTTTCCTTCCTCCTATAGGACAAATGGGGATTCCTCACTGTTATTCGTGGTTAGCTTGTGGGTTCAAGCGCAGCGTTGTATTCCTTTGTTTTGAGGCCATATATAAATGCGCTCATGATTCCCACGTAGATAAGCCTTCTTGAAAATTCTCAGGATCATCGGATCTATTTGTCTTCTGATCGTCATATCCATTTTGATTACGATATCATCTACAATTGATAATGGATGTGAGTAGAAATGAATGAGTCTCTGACTGGGGTAAAAGGGGGCGGCAAACTGGGAGTATATAAAGCCCTATATAATCCTGTATCCAGGTCACAGGGTCACCAGGTTTTCCTATTACGACACAATTCACCATGTATAGCACTTCCTCTTCCTGGGGAAGAAACTCCATACTCTTTAATAACACTTAGAAGCCTGCTCAGGAAGATATCGTTGAGCTGGTAGAAGACTTTTATCTTCTCTCTTGATTAGCACACGCGTGAAGCGTGCAGCTGACAAGTACATCAACTTTTAACTCGCGCAGTGTTCTAGAAGAGAACTGTGCGTGTCCACAAAAAGATGGCTCACTTTGTGTGGGAAAATGACCCGTGCACGAACCACCACATACTAAACCACTTCCCCCACTATCACTTCGGGCATAGGAATGTTGCTGGCACAAACAACTTCAACCATCATCAGTGATACTGTGTAAGGGGACAAGGACAAACGGCCTGAGCACAGCTTGGTTGAGAGTTCGTTACCTGGCCTTCGTCAGGCATACGCTATCCCTATCGAGGCGCTGTTTGGGGCCTCGTGGGCTCCTTCGCCTCCCTGCGCTTCTTCCCTGCCTGGTAGGTTGTCTTTCTGTCTCCCAGTTCTGCGCGGAAGTTGTTGTTTTCATGGCCTTCGAAGCCTGGTAAGCTGGAGAAGGCCGAGGCTCAGCCTCTGTCTGGCGGGTTTCGAAGCCATGAGAAACAACTTCATATTTCAAAGAATGATGGATCCACACCAGAAAATGCATGCAACACTGTCACATTCGACCCTGCCAATAACCAGATAATCAACGGCGTGTCTATCTATTGTACGGGTACACGTCTGGGATGCTTATTTCTCTGCGGAGTAAACCGCATCGTGGTAGGTGACTTCGTCTTTTATATGTTTGGCCTGTCTTACGCTGTGCACTTACTAACAATTGTCAAAACCAGTTTGTTTCTCGGGCAGAAGTCCAATAACATGATACTAAGGTCTCGCTACAAAAATGGAAGTACTCATGGGTCCTCTTGAATATTACGAGGATTGGCATTTTGTGTCCGACTATGGTGTGATCGCCCAGTTGGGCCTCATGCGCTAGCTAGTATTGAATGTTTTACAACGCTGGTTCGCCGATATACGATGACCGACAAGACCACCGATGAAGTGATTGGCTCGAGAACGGAGGAAACACTGTTACAATGGGGAAGGAAACGGTTATTCTGGATGATCGAATCAAGCGATGCTTTTAAATGCAGTATATATAGCTAATTTGGATAGCTATTTGAAGTTGAATTCATGATCAAAATCTTGCTAGCCCACCACCTAATAAGCATAGTATAACATCGACTCATCATTACTCTGGCGAATCCTCCTATTCGCCCGAATCAGCCAAATTTTCATCGCCCATGCACTGGCCGCACAGGCAAGCGAGAAGGCAGCACTCGAGGTCATCGCCATCGTATACCTCGGTTCATGCGAAGAGGGCCAGAGATACTGCAACAATCAGCACAACTCTACCCACATATAACTAACCTCTAATAACCGAAGAAGCGCCCAGGCAAAGAGAGACAAACATACCGGAGTCCAGACAAATGACGCATTAGCAATTGTATTCACTATTGCCAACGAAGAAGCCTTCTTCTCCTTCGTCTGCCCGCACGTACTACTCACCCACCCAAGCACGATACTATTAACGGCGTAAGTGCCAATAGCAAAAACAACCATAGCAAAATACCTCGCCCCAGTATTCAACGTCGCACAGCCCAACACAAATCCAAAGATCGCGATCGCCTTTGCCACGGTAATATGCCATGTCCTCTCGTTGAACCTACCCGAGCTCCACGACCAGGCAACAGAAATCAACCCAGCAATCAGATACGGCGGACAAGTCAGCACAAGCGTAATCGTTGTCGAGAACCCCAATGTCTCTACGGCCGTGGGGAAGAAGTTCTTGAATCCGTTTGCTGCAAGATGCATGTGTTGCATGAAGGCGAAGAGCCAGAGTTTGGGATCGCTGGCGGCCTCCTTTAGGCCACTGAAGGTGCTCGTTTGCAGGCGGGCGCCGACGGTATCGGCGACGATGCGTTCATGGGCGAGGGTTCTTTCTTCTGGGGTGAGCCAGCGGGTGACAAGGGGGTCGTCGGGGAGTGTGAAGATCGAGAGGACGGCGATGAGGAAGGTTACTGCGCCTTGGAGGATGAAGAGCCATTGCCAGCCAGTGACGCCGGCTAGGTCGTCCATGCCGTGGAAGATGCCTGCTGCGATGAGGCCGGCGAAGGCAGTTGCGAGGATGTTGCCTGTGTAGAGGATGGAGATCCGGGTTGCGATTTCTTTGCGAGTATAGAAGATGGATAGCATGTAGAGGGCTCCTTTTTAAGGTCAGATATATTCGGACGTGAGTTGTTGGATTGGATAGCAGTGTGGTCTTGCCTGGGTAGTATGGTGCCTCTATGGTATAGTGAGTGAGATGAACCCAGGAAGAATTGAGGACGAAAGAATAGAAACATACCAGTAACACCGAGAAAGAACCGGACCAGTAGCAGACCCTTGAAGTCCTTCGCCAGAGCCGTGATAGCACTGACAACAGCCCACAAGGCCATGCACCCGGACATATACCACGATGGTTTCACCCTGGTAATCAACATATCTACACAAATGGACTTGTCAACTCGTGATCACCTCTCCCCGGAATCAAATGAAGAACTGGAAAGAAGGCTCACTGCTCGGAACTTGTCCTAACAGATATCCTACGAACAAAATTGAGACACAGGTTTGGTACTCCGACGACGACAAGCCCAGGTCCTCCTCGAGGTCATTCAATCGCGCCAAGGCAATGGCATTCCGGTCGAGGTAGTTGAGCCAGTACATCAGCCATAACGTGGGCATGATCCAGGTGTCCAGTTTGTGGACAAGGCGAATCTCTACAGGGTCTGTTTTCTTCCGTGCGCCAGAGTAATCGCTTTGCTTAGGCGGAGACTTGACTCCATCGTGACCCAAGGTATACTCTCGGTGGAGGGTTTGAGGTTTGTCGTTTGCATCTGGAAGAGGGGGCTTTTCTGGGTTTGACATGTTTGAATCAAGATATCTTCGATAATGGCAATTAAGTGCTGGAATCTGGAGATAGGGAGATGGATTGAGGAGACGCTCACCCCGAAGGATCTTTTATATCTACCATGTCTTCATACCCGGCAACGAGTGCCGCATCCAAAGATCCTTAGTCCATCATAGACACGAGTTGCGGGGCCGCATTCGGCAAGCCAAGGATATTGATATTAACGTGAACTGATAAACGAATCCTGCTACGGGCAGAGACGACCTATACAAACGAGAAGAATGTACCCCTCGCGTACGAATAAGACCCAAGCGGACATTGGCAAACTCTCTCTCCAAATATACCTCGTATTACAAGAGTGGCATCCAAGCAAAACAAGAAGATGCCTAGAATACCAACTGGACTGTGATATAATCTAGTTGTAATCCTGCGTGCCACGAGGCGAGTCTGGGGTGTCCGACATGGTGCCATTGTGATGTTTTACCCCGGAGTCCAAGCTTTGCACTGCCTCCCCCATAGCTTGGCAATATGTGGTTATCCTCTCCGCGACCAGTTATGGCCACTGCCTATTGAAGTGAGTAAGACTGGCAATTCCCCTTGGCGAAACCTTGGCGAAGGAAGAACAACAGAGGTTAGCGTTTGGACTGTAGGTCAGGGAGAAGCGGGGGCAGGATTATGAGAGCTTGGCATGGTTTTGAGGCATTATCCTGAGACTGAATGGAGAGAGGAACTATACAGGGCTTGGGGAAAAGGTAAGGTTGTCATTGGTCGGACTTGTCATGTCCGGTGAGGTTTCAGCAGGGTTGAAGATAACTTCTGCGGAGGTTCGTATATCCGGAAAGCAAGTTTGTCAATAACCCTTTTGGATTTTGGTACAAGTATGTTTTATTGTATACTTGTTACTAGTAACTCATTTAGGGTCGGGATAATTCGTGGTTTATCCCGGCTTATCTAGTATCAGTGATAGTAGCAATCTTATCGCGACGCTAGAAATATCAATAACCTCTGCGGAGCCTTGCGAACCTTAGCCCTATCTTACTACTGATCTCTAGAGATTCAATACTCCTCAACAAGTTGGTGTGATTATATAGACTACGAGATAATTTCCCCAAGGGTACAAGGGTAGGGCCAACAACAATTACACTGACGACGGTGGAGTAGGACTGTGTGCTTCCAGCACCTCGCATGCGACCATATACACTCAGTCACAATATAATAAGTAAGCAATTGATCAGCCAAAAGTTGGCATTTGGACTGACAGCTTTAAAATCTGCTACATAAACGTATTCAGTGATTGGGTGCATTCGCTCAAGCCCTCAGCTGGTGCCAAAATACTCCGTGAAGTATGGTTCACTCGGCACCTATTGTTGTTGAATCCTACATGGATGTCGCTTGTTGATTATTAACATAGCTATAGTTATAGTTATGTCTGCCCCCTGGATTGACTTGTACGATCTTACGGTTAATTTCTGGTCTCGGGATTCGTGTATTTCTGTCGAAAGAAGTGGCTAGAGTGAAGAATAGTTCTGTTTTCCATGTTAATATCTCATTTCTTTTTACCTTTCCTTGAAGAATAGTAATCCATTATGCACCGTCTCCACCTACACCGAGGCACTCTGAAGCATATCGGTCCGAGCTATTGCCGACGACCAATTTTTTAGGCTCGGCAGGTTGAGTCATTGGGATCTCCACTAAATATCGGTGGGCATTGAACCACAGTTGAACGTAAACAGTTATGAAAATGTTGAGAGCCACACTGGTGTCACCGAACGAGATACCGGTGAACATCTTGTATAATGGTTTCTGGGGGGGGTTTGTTCACTTCTCACCTTCCAGAACGGTGTGGAGAAAAGGTGCATCGACGTTCGGACCCATTTTTCCACGTCAGCCCTCCACCACTCAGCACCATTATTGATGTATGGGCAAACCCGACGCTGGGAGGCAATCTCCTAAAAGGTGAACGTCCCCTTTCTCTTCCCACGGAATGTAGCGCTTGTTTGGAGTTGAGTTTTCCAGCTCCTCAATGGTCTACATGGCCATCGTATTCGGCCTCGTGGCGATTCTTATATCGCTATTCGGCGTAATAGGTCGATCAGAAACCGAGGGAAACAGTGGACCCCCGCATTTCATACTGCAGCTACTGAGCTTCTACCAAGCTATTCACTACGTTTAGTCTGATATTATGCCGAAAGATCGACGACTGTCTTATTAGGAGGGAATTGCGGAGTCACTTCAACCGAGGAATGTTCACCCCCGGCTATCATACACCGGTTAATCAATATAATAATCAATATAATACCTTTTGGAATCTCCGCATTGCTGCCCATTTTCTAAAATACACGGATGTACACACGCACACACACACGCACACACACACACACACATATATATATATATCGCATTCTTGTGTAGACCTTTTGTGTGTGGCCCATTAAATTCTAGACCAACATGAGTTTAGGTACGTATTTTCAATCCCTGCACCGTCAAGTTGTTCTAGTCTCATAAATCCTTATAGTAGCAGCAGTCGCAGGTGGGGCGACCTTGGCCGCGTATCTGAACGCCAAATTTCACATCACCAAGGATGTCTCCGGCATCCTGAATATGAGACGAAGTACACGTGAATATGAGCGTGCTGTCTCCCAGAACCAAGGCAACGTATGGTTTCTCTTTCAAGAAACTGCCGCTCGATATCCTGATATGGTCTGTATTTGGACACGGGAGCGGTCATACACATATCGCGAGATTATGGCGTACGCAAACCAATACGCGCACTTTTTCTTGTCCAAAGGCGTGAAGACGGGCGATCTGGTGGCGCTATACTTGCAGAACCGGGCCGAATTTATCTTTGCGTGGCTGGGGCTCTGGAGTCTTGGGTGCGCGCCCGCCGCGATCAACTATAACTTGACGGGAGATGCGTTGCTGCATTGTCTGAAGATCAGTGGGGCGAAGCTGGTGTTGGTGGATGATGATGCTGAATGCCGTGCCCGCATGGATGAGTGCAAGGTCACTGTCGAGGGCGACTTGGGCATGGAGCTTATCACTGTAGATCCTACATTTACTGCGACAGTGCTGTCACGATTCCCCTCCACCGTCCCTGAAGACGGTCGTCTGGCTCTGAACATGAAGGGTACATATCCCGGTATACTCCTTTATACATCTGGTACCACAGGAATGCCGAAAGGATGCGCATTCACCATGTCCCGGTTATACACTACGGCTCTCCTACGCAGTGGTACCTCCTTAATAGATCGACCCGGCCCAGGCGGCGATCGTTGGTACAGCTGTATGCCACTCTACCACGGAACTTCAGCTATCGCCATGATTAATTCGATCGCTACCGGTAGGAGCATTGCGCTCGGGAAGAAATTCAGCGTGCGACAATTTTGGTGTGACATTCGCGACTCTGAATCGACGTTTTTCGTTTACGTGGGAGAGGCAGCACGGTATCTGCTTGCTGCTCCACCATCCCCCGATGACCGAAAGCACCGCGTACGCTGTATGTACGGCAATGGCCTGCGACCAGATGTCTGGGACAAGTTCAAGGAGCGCTTTGGCATACCAGAGGTTGGGGAGTTCTTCAATAGTACGGAAGGTATCTTTGCACTGTTCAACCACAACAGTGGGCCGTTCACGACCGGCAGCGTGGGTCACCACGGGCTGATCATGCGCCTCTTGCTGAACAATGTATTTATCCCCGTGGCCATTGATCCGAACACGGGCGATGTTCTGCGCGACCCCCAGACGGGGTTCGTCGTGCGCGCGCCTTACGAGACGGGCGGCGAAATTATTGTCAATGTTCCGAACGAGGAGGCTTTCCAGGGCTACTGGAAAAATGTCGATGCGACTTCGAAGAAATTCCTGCGGGATGTGTTTCGCAAGGGAGATATCTATTACCGGTCTGGGGATGCGTTGCGCCGTCAGTCGGACGGACGATGGTACTTTTTGGATCGCTTGGGAGATACCTTCCGGTGGAAGAGTGAGAACGTGTAAGTTTTGCTAACCTTCTTACTCTCCAGTAAGACGATCTGACTGTAATACAGCGCGACGGCTGAAGTCGCGGAAGTTCTCGGTCAATTTCCTGGAATCATCGAAGCCAATGTCTACGGCGTCACAGTCCCATATCACGAAGGCCGGGCGGGGTGCGCAGCCCTCCAAATCAGCCCAGAATCCAAGGCAAACTTTGACTTCCAAGAGCTGGCCAGGTTTGCCCGTTCTCGGCTGCCTAAATATGCTGTCCCGGTGTTCCTGCGCATAGTGGAAAGCTCAACACATATCCATAACCATAAACAGAATAAGGTACCATTGCGAGACGAAGGTGTTGACCCAGGGAAAACAGGAACGAAGGTCACCGAGGGAAAGACGGATAAATTCTACTGGCTTCCGCCAGGGGAAGCGTCATACAAGGAGTTCGGGAGGGGTGAGTGGGAGATATTACAGAGTGGAAAGGCTCGACTATAGTGGTGGATTGTATTTACATAGACTCTGCAACGTCGTCTATGACTGTATAAATAGCTAGCTCGTCCTCATTGCCTTTATGCCATATATCTACCAGAGTTAGTGGCATCGCCCCATAAGTGAGTCTACACAGTATGGAATCCATTCCAGCCTTCCAAAGCCTGCCTACACTGCTGATCGTACAATTCCAGACCGCCCGGAAAATTCAAATGCTCTCGCTTCTTACCGGGAATGTTGGCACCCATATACCATGAGTTTGCCTTTGGAATCAGCGTCATATCTGTGATGTGATTCACTAGCCCTTTCCAATCCTGCTCCGCCTCGGCGGTGGGCTCAATATATGACAGCTCGCTCTGGTCGATCTTTTGGATCGCGTCAATGACCCACCGGCCCTGCATCTCAATTGACGTGGGCCCATTACTGAGTGCCGTGGGTCCGTGGGGCCCATAGATAAAGAACATATTGGGATAACCGTGGCTTGTCATGCCCAAGTACGTATGGACGCCGTCCTTCCAATCTTCAGCCAGCGGCGTATCATCGGTGTTGCGAAGACCCATTTCCGTGAAGCTGCCGGTCACAGCGTCAAAGCCCGTAGCGATGGCGATGACATCCACAGAATAGAAAGAACCATCACTGGTAGCAATACCAGTTGGTTTGATTTCCGCAATTGTCACTTCGCGAAGGTTCACAATATCCACATTAGGCCGGTTGTACTGCTCGAAGTAATCCTGCTCTAGTGAACACCGTTTTGCCCCCAAGGGGTGTAACTGTTGAAGCGGTACCAGAAGGTCTTGTTTTCTCGGATCAGATATTCTCGCACGGGACTTCTTGACCCAAAACTCATATACCTCACGGTTGACATCTGGATCAAGCAAGATATCGTTGTAGTTATCGAGTATCAGAGCAAATCCACCCTTTTCCCAGAGGGACTCAAACAAGGCCTCCCGCTCTTCAGGCGATGCCTCAGACATCTTAATTGGTTGGAACTCGTTTATGTACCCACTAAACGTTTTTTCTCGGTCCTCGAAGAGCTGGGGATACTGTGATCGGAGACACGCTTGATCCTCCGGTGTCCATATCTCCTGCCGCATCGGCAGAGCCACGTTGGGTGTCCGTTGAAAGACAGTCAAGTTACCAGCCTCCTTGGCCCATTCCTGGATGATCTGAACCCCAGTCGACCCAGTGCCAATAACGGCGACTTTCTTCCCTGTGACATCAACACCGCCCCGCAGCCAGGCCGTGGAATGACAAACGACGCCCTGAAAAGTGTCCAGACCCGGAAATTCAGGCACGTATGGCTTTGCACCCGTTCCCGGACAAGGTAAAAAGAATCGAGAAGTAGTGGATTTTCCATCCGCGGTTTTAACGGTCCATTGAGCGCTCTCCCGATCGAACTGCGCCCCAATCACTCTTCGTCGGAACTCGACATCCTTCTTGATATCGAGCACTCTATCCAGATGCTGGAAATATGCCTGGAGCTCTTCACGAGAGGGGAACTTTGTCTTCCAATTCCAGTCCTTCCACGCCTCTGCGATGGAGAGCTGGTAGATCCGGCCCTCCGAATCTACACGGGCTCCCGGGTAGGTATTCCAGTACCAGGTCCCACCGATATCTGGGGCTGTCTCGTAGATCTTGCACCGATACCCAAGTTTACGAAGATGGTATAGGAGAAAGATGCCGGAAAAGCCGGCGCCGACTATGATAATATCGCAGTCGTGTTTTGGAGAAGATTGTGCCGTCATCGTTGGTCTAACGGACAGAAACCTATAAGAATAAAAAGACTATGGAAAATAAGGCAAAGGAATTATAGGTAAAGAAAGATACTAGCAACTGGATTCTAGAATAGCTAGCTTAAGTAGACTTGAAGACGCATGGGACCGACAGTTAGAGTCTTGAGTCCCCAATATGTTTCCTCATGGGTTGTGTCATCGTCAAAAAGTATCTCCTGCCAATTGCGGTTCGGATTGGGCAGCTATAACCATGGAACAACGAAGGCAAGATGAGGCTTTGGTGCAATGGCTTGGAATTTAGTGCTTATTGTCTCGCACTGCCACTTCTCATTGCATGGTGAATACGCACTTGTTGTACCGTATAAAAATTGAGACTAGCCCTGGAGCCGATCAGATATATCTATTACCGGAGGTATAGAATTCCGTTTTGCCTAATAATCGACCACTAAATGTCAATATTTATAATAATAACATAGAAAGGAACTTAATTTCTTAACCTGCAGGGAAAATATATAACTATACGGTTATATAATTTTATAATTAGCGCATCGACTCAGATTAAATAGGTACATAGCCAATAGCGGGCTTCAGACAGTAATGTGAGTTGACAAGCATTTATTATTAAATTATATATTGCGTGTTGACCTAGAGTCCTAAGTGCTTAAATAGTCGAGGAACAGGCAAGAATAACAGATTTATAATTGAGACTACTGTCAACACCACTACAAAGCAAATCAATATTTTAGGGTTCTTTTTTCCCTCTTCCAATACTGTATGTTAACTACTCCCAAACATGTTTAGAACCTATCCGCAGTTTACCGGCAAAAGGCACCCGGAGCACCCAGAACCTTGCAGTAGCCGTTAATTGAGCTACTGACGAGACAGTTCGATCCGGACGTGGAGCACTAGCGGCCTTCCTTAAATCTGCGAAAGGAAACGTTGGGCGGGATTTACGAGCTTGCTAGAGTTGCGAAATTAGGGAGCCACGAGCCTGATGATTGGGGCCTGGGTAGTACGCACGACCAGCACATATCCTTGTGATGTAGCGGTCATCACAGCACATCGATGTGAAGCAATCATATGGTGGTCTAGTTTCATCTGGGTTCTTGAACTTGCCTTTCAGGCCTGCAAAGGCACTATAGAGAGTTATTAACAGCGTGATTATATAAGGTTGAAAAAACATGCGAAGTGGTCATAGAGAGCACCAAAGCAATATGAACCTTCATCCCTTCATCATGAAGAGTCGTATACTTCTGCTAGATCAATCATGGTTCTCAAGGAGTGGGAACGTAATCAGAAGTGTTGGAGCAAAACGATTACATGGAAAGGCAGCACATTGCCATAGAGCGATGTGTCCATAATCTGATCTAGATCGCTTAGGGGGTGGTCATCAAGAAATGATGTAGGCATTGCTATGTTACATAGAGCTGAGCTTGAATAGTAAAAATGGGGCTAGGTTGTTCGACTGGGATTGGTAAGGGCCATATAGCTCCACATATGTCTCTGAGAAGCGGTATATCTTAGTTTAGATAGTCTATGAGCGAGGAATAGCTCATTAGGACAGTACTTAACAGTACTTACCCGAATAAGCCATTTCATACCACTTCTCATCCTTCAAAGATCTATAGGATTTGGATACTAGCATAACGATCGTAACTAAACCCGAGGTATATCATGGTTAGATATGCTAATTAACCCTAGTCTACTGGTCTGTTCATTTGTCGGCTGCATTTCAAGATCATAGTATGTTTCAAAGGTGATCAGCCATCTTAGATTCGAAGAATACAATAGTTACTTGATATCCGAATACGTTGACAATGCCTTATACCCTGGGTCATAGTGCGTTAAAACAAAACCCGAGCCGGGGCTCCATTTCACTGCTCGATCATTGATTAGAGCGACCTACTTCATCGATACAATGTAATCATGTTTTCAGTGGGGTGATAAGGATTACAATATCCGATGGTCGAAACGATCTCTTTTCATTCCAAGACTGCGTAAATCCCTGCATTCCGTGCAAAGGGTGATTCTAGAGCAATCGATGTGCCTCAGTTCGTACTGACCCCTAACTTCGCATGAGACCTGCTTCTCCTTTCATCTTTATTGGAATATTTGGCTATTAGATTATCTATGTCATCGGAAGGTGAAACTTTGCTGCGGAATTCGTCAAGTATAGCAGGATATCCTGAAAAGGTAAGAGAGACGACGCCCGAAGTGGTGAGGGCTTTTCGTAGAAGGGCAGATCCAAGAGTTGATAGCAAGAGTGTCGATAATCGCACCAAGGGTATTATTGGTGCCGCGGACATCGACGCCGATTCGATATTTGGTGTGGGTAGGACATATTAGAATCCAAGGCACGACCAGGTATCAGCTGGCATTTTGGTCGAGTGGTATTGAAATTTGGTCATACTGATTTGCCAAGATAAACTTGGGGTGTATCGTATCCATTAGGATAGTAGAATTGATATTTGGACTGGTGCGCTTATGAGTACTCCGTCGGAGGTTGTCTATTATCCGATCTGCAAATCGGAGAGTAAGCGTATTCTCAATGCGGAGTAACTAGCACACGAAGTTCAATTCGGAACATCTACGCGGTTGTTTGCTGAATGAGAAGAAGTTACCGATGGTCCAGGGGCATCGATATGGAATTAGGGTGTAGGGAGTCGTGTGACCTCTCACGGCACTGAGATTAGCTGAAAGCACAGTCATTACTCTGGACATTGGCGAGCTGGATGGCTTTGAAGTTACATATAAGACATTTGTACTGTCCCTGGGTATGCTATTATGAGAATAAGAAACATGAAAGACAATATTTTTGCGTATATTGTAGGTTCAAGACGTATAGGTGGGAGCTGGCCTTTAGCCTATTGAGGAGTTTTTGTCAGTTAACATAATGACTCTGATATGCATGCTGCTACAAGAGAGATGGAGATGATCACAGCTCGACCTGTGTTGCATTGCAGAATGTTGCGTCCATGAATTTCTAGCAATTATTATGTGTAGGAAAGACCCTCGGGCCAATAGAGCACCTTACAGCAGATGATAGACGTAGCCACATGGACCTCGCCTTCGTCGCTGGCCTATTCGTAAATTGCGGTGTAATACACGCGTATCTCAATCATGAGGGGGCTGCACTGCAAGACCATATCGTCGTTGGCCCCTTGCATGACGACCCTTAGACTCTCGCCTCACTCCAAATCTCCCCTAACCCAGCAAACAGGAATATCGTCATCCATATCTATCACTATGAAGGCTATCCTTAAGCATCTCATAGTACCTCATGAGAGAGGACAAGTTCCCAACCGATGGATCAACAACGACATCAAGCCTATCGAAGCAGGCCGGCGGAGTTGGAACTTTTGGACATTTCATAACTTCTGTATGACTATCTAAAATGGAGAGAGAAATCGATAACTTTCTGACAAGCCAGGTGTCCTGACCGGGTCTAATATCTCCGTCTACATGATGGGGAGTTCATTAATTGCCATAGGATTAAATTGGCGCCAGGCGCTGGCTGTGATCGTTGTTGGCAATGTTATTGTAGTCGGACTACTTGTGGTGAACTCACTACCCGGCATGTTCTACCATAGTAAGTGCGTAGACCTTGTAATGGGACTGTGCTAATATCCCTAGTTGGTTTCCCTTTGGTTAATAGGTATGTTTGGGGCCTTTATGGCAGCTTGTTCGTTCTTTGGAACCGGATATTACTCTCCGTCGGTGAGACATGCACCTCAACCTGTATTGCTATATGCCAGCTAACAGACCTATGTTCTAGTTTGGTGTAAGTCTCTCCTTAACACTCCTAAGGATAGCCAGCTCATCATACGTGTTAGACGGGTTTCAAGCATGGGTTGGCGGCGAATGTATCTATGTCTGTCTGCAGTCGATCTGGCCATCCCTTGAGAGCCGGATACCAAACCATATACCTCAATCGACGGGCATGACCACCGCACAGTTTATAGCGTACATCATCTTCATGGTCCTATCTATGCCAGTGATGTATATCCGACCGCACAAACTGCAGATATTCCTCTATATCTCCGCAGCAGCAATTATAGTTTTTGAGATTGTCATCCTCATCTGGGCTCTGGCCACCATGGGCGACAGCGGGTTTGGGGGTACGATCTCAGAGACTAGCAGCAGTGGTTCAGGATGGAAGATCGCCTTCGGCATCGTCACCACAATTGGAGGCAGTGCAGCTGGAATCTTGAACCAGAATGATTTTTCCCGATTTGCGCGCAGACCACGGGATGCAATCCTCGGGCAGCTCATCAGCTTCCCCATATATAGTACCTTATGTGCGATAGTAGGTATTCTTGTCACCGCGGCTACTCAGATTCGCTATGACGAAGCGCTATGGAAATTGCCTAATTTGCTCAGCGCTATGATGAAACACGGAGGCTCGCGGTCGAGAGCAGCGGCATTTTTCGGGGGTGCGGCGCTGAGTGTGTCGCAGATGGGATTGAATGTGCCGGCAAATGCACTGGCCGGAGGTTGGAATAACTTTCTTCGCACAATCATCAGAGCTAACTAACTATTGCAATGACAGGGTTCGACATGGCGGCGACATTCCCCAAATACATCACCCTCCGTCGGGGCGCCTATATCACGGTCGTGCTATCGATCGCCTGCAACCCGTGGAAGCTAGACAATACAGCCACCACGTTCCTGGCTGTTCTGAGTGGGTATTCGATTTTCCTAGGGCCTATGGTCGGGTTGATGATATCTTCCTATTTCGTTGTGATGCGACGCAAGATCAAGGTGGAGGGTTTGTTCCCGGCCTGCGAGGACAAGGGGATCTACTGGTATACATATGGAGTCAATTGGCGAGCTGCCGTAGCGGTCGGTGTCCTTTTATTTTGCGGCCCGTGCAGTTCAATTCAAGCTGATAACCGCAGTGGCTTTGTGGGATAGTGCCTTCGCTCCCAGGGTTCGTGGCCCATGTCGATCCCGACATCACTGTTCCCGTGGGATTGACTCGCATTTATTATATTTGTTTCATCACGGGTATGGTAATCAGTGCCACAGTGTACACGGCATTGCATTTCATCTTTCCGGAGGCCGAAGTGAAGACTTTCGTGGATACTGCGCCTTCACCGGGGACTTTGATGTGCGAATACCGAGCGCGATGGGACGGGGAGGGAGATTCGGGAGAAGAGATTGTGGAGCAAGTGAAACCGTGAGCAGTGCTGTAGCGAAACATAATTCGGCTGGACTGGACTTGTTTGATTAATTTATATTGAATTGTGTAGGATATGAAGCCATTGTTAGTTGGTAGCGTGCTCTAGATCATGGCTTGTTCAAGCGGACAAATACGAACTGCAGCACAGCTCCACCATGAGAAAGCGAAGAAAACAGGCCATGTCCCTCTAGTTCAATCCCGGTGGATCTCAGACCCATCGGAAGGTTTACCTGAATCAAGAACTAGAGCTAGGCGTTAATTGACGTATCATAAATGTGCATCCCTCCCCGGCCTTTTGCCCTGCATTCCATCCCTCCAGCAACCCCAAAGAAAAATGTTTGGCCAAGCCACAGGGTTGTCGCTCTTCACGGGTCTCCTGGCCGTGTGCCCGGCAATCGCAGTGGCTTCTAATTGTCGCTGCTTCCCCGGTGATGCCTGCTGGCCCTCCCAGGATGCTTGGGCGAAATTTAATCAGTCAATTGACGGCCGGCTGGTAGCCACGGTGCCTTTGGGTACTCCGTGCCACGATCCTAATTACAACGAAGCCGAATGCAAGAAGCTACGCGAGGGATGGACACTTCCAGAGCTTCAGTAAGTCGGCGCTCTCAAACTATTTGTCGCGCGACCTTTGTCTAATTAAACAGCTATGAAACCCCGTCTTCTATTATGGCTCCCTGGTTTGCCAATGATACCTGTGATCCTTTCCACCCCGAATCAAAGCCTTGCACCCTCGGCAACTATGTGGTTTACGCGGTTGACGTGGCTAAGCCTGAGCATGTCTCTACGGCGTTGAAATTCGCCAAAGAACATAACATTCGTGTGATCCCCCGCAACACCGGACATGACTATAATGGCAAGTCTACCGGAGCCGGCTCCCTGGCTATCTGGATGCACCATCTCAAGGACATTGAAATCAAGGAATACAAGGACAAGCATTACCAAGGAAAGGCCATCAAGATGGGCGCAGGTGTGCAAGGCTCCGAAGCGTACGCGGCCGGCGAGAAAGCGGGTCTCCAGGTGGTGGGCGGCGAGTGTCCATCGGTGGGAGTCGCTGGAGGTTATTCCCAGGGTGGAGGCCATTCGGCCCTGTCCTCGCGGTACGGCCTTGGCGCGGACCAGGCGCTGGAGTGGGAGGTGATTGATGGCAAGGGTAATTTTATTACCGCTACTCGCGACAACGAGCATTCCGACCTTTATTGGGCACTCAGCGGTGGTGGTAGTGGCACCTATGGTGTTGTGTGGTCGCTGACATCCAAGGCGCACCCTGGCACGCCCGTTTCCGGTTTGAACTTGACCTTCACCAATGAAGGCATCTCCCAAGATACCTTCTATAAGACCGTGTCGCTCTGGCAGTCCGTTCTGCCATCCGTCGTGGATGCTGGTGCTATGGCCATTTGGATGTTCACCAACACCACTTTCGCCATCTCACCGTTGACTGGCCCTAACATCCCCGTTGCAGACCTGGAGAAGCTCGTACAGCCCTTCACCGATGGTTTGACCAAGCTGGGAATCACCTATAAGACCTATTCGGAGCAGTTCGATAGCTACCTGGCCCAGTTCAATGGCATGCAGAGCCCGATTGAGGTGGGCATCGCCCAGTACGGTGGATGGCTGATCCCTCGGTCGGTGGTGGAAACCAACAACGAGGGACTCACTGCCGCATACAGGCACATCACCGAGGACGGAGCCACCTTTATCGGCGTGGGCCTGAACGTGTCCAAGACGTTGGTGGGGGATGTGGACAACGCGGTACTGCCCGCTTGGCGCGAGACCCTGATCCACAGCACCATCACAACTCCCTGGAAGTGGAACGCCAGGGCCGAAATGCTCGCCGAGCAGAACAAAATGACGGACGATTACATCCCGGCATTGACCAAGGTTGCTCCCAATTCTGGTGCCTACATGAATGAGGCCGACTTCCGCCAACCCAACTTCCAAAAGTACTTCTACGGGGACAATTATGCGGCCCTGCGCAAGATCAAGACCAAGTACGACCCGGATAACCTGTTCTATGCCACTACCGCCGTTGGATCAGATGAGTGGACTGTTCGTGAGGACGGACGTTTGTGCCGTGCCTAAGGCTAAGGTGGGAGCCAGGGTTAGAATTTTACGCAATTGTAAATAAACTAGAAAGGTCATAAACTCATTTAGATTAACGTTAATAAATGCATGCTTGGGAAGCCAATTGCTGGCGATGTTTCACCGGACTTTCTCCGCTAGTGGACACGGTGGAGAAGATAGTGTTGTTGTTTAGGGTTAATCGAACGTCAATCACCATCCTGCAGTATCCCGCGCTGTCCACCTAAGAGAAAAGAAAGACCACTGCGCTCTGTCTCCGATCGGCGGGGTTTGCTCCAAAAACTAGCCCATGCCATGTGGAGGTCGACTGGGGGTGTTTTACGATATCAATCCAGAAGGATTGAATCTGCGCCTCGGTTACGACACTGTTCGGAGGACGGACTTTCAAGAAATCCGTTGATATGGATTTATGTACTCATATTTAATTTATTCATGCCTTTTCAGTCAGCGGAACCATTTCCCCTCCAATATTGGTCTCATATCTAGTTTTACAACGGCAAACGGCATTGTGGCGTCTCTAGCCTATTTAGGCGAGGGTTGTCTTAGAATAATCTTCCGTTGATTATGCAGCTGTTCTGCATCCGTAGTACAATCGATAGACTACCATTAAAACCGTGGTTGACGTTCGTTTAAGACCCTGTATCTCGATGAGGCCTTGCAGATCAGCGGACTGTGCCATTCCAGCACCCACAGTTCTGATCGATGCCTCCTGAGCCATACTCTTTGCAATTCCGATAAGCAGGAGTCTGGTTTTTTCTGTTAAACATACCACGTCAGAATCCAATTTTCACCCCCACAAAAGTGGTTCTGATGGCCTGATTAGCATCGCCGGCCATGTGCGAAATTGTTCTAAATCGGGACATTTTCGGTGCAGTTCCTTATGATTTCCTGTTTCACTAAGGATCTTTGGAGTGAGGGCTAGGCATTTGGTCGGTAGTTTAGAATCCTTCAGAATCTCAACATTACTTACGGAGAATGCTACACCTTGATAGAGTGGGGCTTTTTGAGAATCCATCTTTATGCATGCCATAAGGTGGCCTGAATCTGATAGGTGTACACATCTTGGATTATTGCGTCCTGTCGCCATATTCTTGTGGCACCTAACGTCCTCTGCCCGATCCGAGCCATTGTACAGTGCGAAAATGGATCTATCGGGTACTCTAAATCAATATAGACGAAACACCCACATGCTTCCTCCCAAATACGAGACTTTGTTTGCCAGTGGACCGGTTTGCTTCTCGACCCATAGCCCCATGAACCGGCTCAAACCTTGAGATCGGGGACCCATAGACCAGGAAGTCACCATCCAGAGAGTTAGGGAATCAGTTTCGTGGATCTTTGATCATTTCGGAAGATTGGTTCAGCTGTAGAGTAGCCTACAGGGGTGCACAATTAGTATGCCTTACAGTGGAGAGCTTAGTTCCTGGTGGCGTTTCTTCTGCTACAGAAAGTCAATCTAATTGAATCTTGGTAAGAAATGAGAAAGAAAAAAATTCCAACTTACAACCCTCCATCCACTTTAGAATGTGCAAAGTCGAAACACCTTGGTATCTTGATTCCTAGGCTCAACCTCTATCGTAGCCCTCCGGTATTGGCATGAGTGCTGGGCTGTGACGCTGCTCCCAACACCATGGGCTGGGTGTATAACCTCGAAAAATCCGATCCACACAGCGAGATCCCCCAGGTCGTTGCTATATGTGTGGTGTTCCCATTCGCGGCCCTCGTAGCCGTTGCATTGCGGTTCTACATTCGAATCCAAACTAAACGGTCCCTGTGGCTAGATGACTATGCAGCTCTATACAGCGCGGTTATAGTTTCCGGATATGGCGGGAATACTATAGCTCGTGAGTGGTTACTTGTGTCAGTTGAAGGAACTTGCGCCTGACTCGTGTAGAAACTCGATGGGGCCTGGGCCTCCATGCGGAGTACTTCCCCGAGCCTAACGTGAAGCCATTTGGCAAGGTATGTATTGGTACTCCTCGACTGTTCCTCCTGGCGATCTAGGTACATTCTAAGGCCGATTTGTTCAGATGCAATATGCTGGCGGACCGATGTATGCAATGGCTTTATTGGGATTCAAGGTCTCGCTGTTAGCGTCGTATCTCCGGATCGGTGGTTTCGTCAAGCTGTACCGGGCTATTATTATCGTTGCGATCGTGGCCGTGGTGATCAATCAGGTGCTTTTCACCTTTCTTTTTATATTCCCATGCACACCGGTATGGTCAGGAACCTTAAGAACCGCCGCAATCAAGGTTAACTGAAACACAGATTGCAAAGCAATGGGATCATGAGGTTGTCGGGACATGCATCAACACCCTTAAATCATATTATGGTATGTATATTGCATGATATCTGGTCCTCGTCACCCGGCTAACAGTATGCAGGTCTAGCAGGTTCGCATATATCCTTACCCTATTGAATCCCATTCTAACAACCGCAGGAACAAGCCTAGGCTATGATCTTCTCATAATTGCCCTCCCACTCCCCGTTCTTTGGAATTTACAACTGGGCAGGAGACAAAAGGTTCGCCATCTTAAACCCTACCAAACACAAAGTTAACTTAGTTATCTAACCCCCAACTTCCCTAGATCGCCCTCTGCTGTGTCTTCGCCATCGGATTTTTTATCACAATCATCCAAATCCTCCGAATCTTCAGCATCTACAGACTCAAAACGTACACAGACAGCAAACCAGTTATCCTCTGGTCCATCGTCGAAGTCAGCCTAGCAGTTCGTCCCACCTCCAAATATTCCAATAACCCCCTTATCAAAACCTAACGTCCAACCAAAAAAAAAGGTAATAATCTCCTGCGTCCCAACCTACGGCCCCTACTTCCGTATCTTCATCTCAAACATCAGCTCCTACCGCCGCCGCCCAACAGGACAAGACTATCCCCTCACCTCCGGCAACCGACAGACGCGCGGCCCGAGCCGCAAACCGGGCAACAGTGGTCTCGGTGCAGACGAATGTGGGTTCGATTTCGGCGAGGGCCCCCGGCCATACGATAATAGTACACCGCATACGACGACTATATCGTCGTCGAAGAATATGACCGGGGATAATGACTCGGAAGAACATATTTTGGGACAGGCAAGCCAGGGGGCGTTTGTGGCTGAAGGTGAGCATGATAGGGGGATTCACAAGGTCATGGAGGTTACGGTTGAGAGGCATTGACTTGGGATTTGAGGTTCTTTTTGTTTGGGGGGGTATTTGTATTAATGGCATATGTGGAGTTTGGGAATTCTTTTGTATGGGATGGGGTGGGGTTGGATGGCTTAAAGACAATATGCCCTTTTTCTAATATAATTTTATTGGGTTGATTTTAGTAAATAGATGGTTGGAGGTCTTTTATATGTGCTGATCTATCAACTTTGGGATGGTACTTAGGGCCTCGGTTCTGTATGACCTCTCCAGGAGTTCACTTCCGTATTCATCCACGAGCAGAGACACAAAAGAGGGGAATAGTGAAACATATGTACAGTAGTATGCGGACGAACCATTTGCTAAAAGCGTACTTTGGCAGTGCCTCTCCCATTTACATGCCTTCGATGGTTGGGCTTCCAGGCGACATGGGAGCTTTCATGTACATGCAATCACATCACTTGGTAATAAATAGACTGAGGACTATATACCGATTTAATTTAGTACTACTGCTTTTCACGCAGCCTGCAAGCAGCCTCACATCACAATTGTGATTCAAACCGAATGCCTGGTAAGCCATGCTGTGATGCATTAACTTGGACATCCACCAGTTTAGATAAGGGTCACGCTTCTGTCATTCTGTTCTTTTTAAAGCTATTGCAGTATTGATGATAACATTATAGTAGGCTTAACGAGTCATCATTATTGAGATGTAGCGGAGACTCATGACTTAGTCCTTCATTATCTTTTGAAACCCTCGAAACTGAAACATGAGCGCGCTTCCCTTCCTTGTTAACAATAATTGCTGAATTGTACTTCAAAGGGCATTATACCGAGACCAGTGTACGAAGAGGCTGTAAAGATCTGGAATGTATATGAGCAAGTCTATCCCTTCTTTCTGTCCCAAAACCGCTTTCATGTGTGACAAACAGGCACTTAGCTATTTCCTTGCCCATCTCTGAAGCGCGTTGACATCCAAAGTCAAAACAGTTGTCAGCACGGCTTTTAATTGTTGGGTGACCCGACGTTTAGAAGACAAACTAAATGCTAGCCTGGCTCTTTAACAAGGAGTTGCTTCAGTTATCTTGTAATAGCACGAAGCTGGATCGCCCCTCTCCAACCTCTTCATTTATGAAACAATTGCAGAACAAAACACGTGTGTAGAAAAAACATTATCTTCAGCAGTATACTTGTCCCTACCCTTTACAGTAAGGGAATATCGACTTACCTCCATACTTTATTGATCAGTTGGTTATTAATCCTGCCACATCGTCCAAAATGCCCACCAAAAGGTATTTTTCCGGCTGCTGATGAGCAAGATTTTAAAAATTCAAGTCGCCTTTTACTAACTGGTTCACTGTGGATACGGTTACTCAGACATATGGTAATTGATACTTCGATAGATTGCCCCAAGCTGTAGGTTGTGGCGAAGGGTCGTATGTCACTCCGCATCTGAGATGCGCCCGAGAAGTTTTTTGGCAACTCACTTATCCCGACAATCATTACTTGCTTCATCATCTTGGGATATTCTTTAGGGGGTATGATGAAGAATAGTATGCAACAACCTACCGATTCGGTGGTACATCCGAGTGGCAATGCCACCCCATCTGAGCGTGGAGATCGTCTCCGACTCTGGCGAAACGATACCCCAGTCTTCTTATCTCAGCGCGAGATATAAGAGACTCTCCCTTTGAAGAGACACCCGACAACCCCAGAAGTTCACATTTCAAATCTCAAAATGGACATACTCGACCGCAAGCCCTACAATCACGCCATCCATACCAGCCCATCCAACGACCTCCGTCTAGTAGAATCAACCATCCCCGAGATCCAGCCCCATGAATGCCTCGTCCACGTCCGTGCCACCGGAATCTGTGGCTCCGACGTACATTTCTGGAAACATGGCTACATCGGCGACATGATAGTGAGCGGCGACAACGGCCTGGGACATGAAAGCGCCGGCGTGGTCCTCAAAGTCGGAAAGGACGTTACCCGCTTCAAACCCAGTATGCCTCCCCCGCATACCCGGGAAAACAGATCGGCCACTAACCAAACTGCAAACAGGTGACAAAAGTAGCCCTAGAATGCAGCATCCCCTGCTCTAAACCAACCTGCTACTTCTGCCGAACAGGCCAATACAACGCCTGCCCGGACGTAGTCTTCTTCTCCACACCCCCTCACCACGGCACTCTCCGCCTATGCCCACCAGGGGGCCTGGCTCCGCCACATCCCAGACACCATCTCCTTCAAAGAAGGTGCCCTCCTCGAACCCCTAACTGTTGGCCTCGCCGGAATCGACCGCTCCGGCCTCCGTCTCGCAGACCTCCTCGTCATCTGCGGCGCCGTCCCCCATCGGCCTAGTGACCTTACTAGCCGCCAACGCAGCAGACGCAGAGCCAATCGTTATCACAGACCTAGACGAAACACGCCTAGCACAAAGGAGCTAATTCCCCGCGTGCGACCAGTTCAAGCCAGCAGAGATGAAACGGCCAAAGCCTTCGCGGGCAGAATCGTTGAGACGCTAGGCCAAGAGGCGAAACTTGTTATTGAATGTACGGGTGTGGAATCTAGTATCCATGCAGGGATATATGTAAGCTCCCCGCTTTTCTGTCCCTCTCTAACTCTCCTCGTGTGCTTTGCATACATTTCTAATACATCTGGCGAAATAGTCTACTCGTTTCGGCGGCTCCGTCTTCGTAACTGGTGTCGGGAATGATTTCCAGTCTTTCCCTTTCATGCATCTTTCGTCCCGGGAGATCGATCTTCGGTTTCAGTATCGGTATCATGATGTCTATCCGAAGGCGATTAGTCTTGTTGCTGCAGGTATTATTGATTTGAAGCCGTCGGTTTCGCATCGGTTTGCGTTGGAAGATGGGTTTAAGGCATTTGAGACGGCGAGTAATCCTCCTTCGAGGGCGATCAAGGTGCAGATTTTGGATGACTAGAGTCGGTTTAAAGGGAATGTGCTATAGAATTAAATGAAAAGTGGAATGATCTCTTGGTTTTGCAGGTTTGGTTTCATCAAAGGTGTTCTATTATTTGGCTCTCTCTTTCGTTGCCTTTGAAGCGTACTATCGATAATACATGGAAACAGGTCTGTGCCAGGGTATATGTAAGCTATTAAGTAGCTTTATCCTCTAAAGTAGTTTGCAGTTAAAGAAATCAACCAGTATAAGTTGGTGCTATAACTGGTCCATTTGTGTTTAAAACTCCAGTGATGCTCGTAGAGAATGGAGCAACTGTAATTGGCTCCCTTGAAAAGCTCGAGACACTGGAAATGTACTTCCCAGCCAAATACACCCTATCACATTGAATGTATCATGAACAAAGGCAGTATGCATCAAAACGCCATAGTCTCAGTAACCTGTAATTCATGAACCAGATGTCAACGACGTACAGGTGAGCCTTGCCATTAACTAAAGACCACCCGAAGATTGAGCGAATCTAAAACAGGTATTCACAGATATCAAGTGTAAAGCATTCCTCCGTTCGCACAGATCACGTCCCCAGTAACCCACCGCGATTTCTCCCCCGCTAGGAATGTAATAATATCCGCAACATCCTGGATAGTGCCACATCGCTGACCAGCAGGAAATTTCTTGTTTTGCTCTTCCATCCTCGCGAGATGCACCGGTCCAGCAGTCTTGATACATATCCGTATCAACGGGAACAGGGTTTACAGCATTCACCGTGATGCCATACTTGTGCCCCGGCTCAGTAGCCCATGCACGAGTGAGACCTTCAAGAGCAGCTTTGCTCGCCGCATAAACAGACTGCGTTGGGGAACCGCCTCGCGTGGAAATGGATGACAGATTAATAATGCGGCCGCCGCGAGATGTAAAGAAGAATAGCCTAGGTCGTGAAAATCACGGCGCGGACGTTGATATTCATGAGGTTGTTATAACTTTCAAGGGGCACCTCTTCAAGGGGTCTGTTGTCCTCCAATCCGGCATTGTTGACTAGAATGTCGATTTTGTCTGTTTGGAAGATAGAGAGGGTTTCTGAGATGAGGGTCGCTGGGGCTTGGGCATCAGCCAGGTCGGCTTGAATACAGAATGCCTCACGACCGTCATTTCGTAATAATTCAATTAGAGATTCTGCAGCCGTACGCGATGATGCAGAGACGAAGTTAAACGCAACCTGTTGTGTGTGCTTCGTGAGAACCTAATCAATGGATAAAGTAGGAAATTTGGAAGATGGGCAACGCCATACCTTTGCTCCTTCGTCACTTAAAGCTTGAACTATTCCTGCACCAATCCCTCTTGCACCACCCGTTACTATGGCAACCTTTCCTTTGAGAGACATGACGTTGAGGGTTTGTGGTTGAACTTATCGCTGGTTTGGGGACTTTGAAGTCGATGTGCGAAAAAGTAGATATACATATATACTGGCAATTGTTCCTGATCGGTTGAGCAAGCGAGAGAAATACTCTAATATCTCTCACGGCGACGTCTATACCCAGGAGGCGTGATGAGATCCAATCTACATGGAATAAGATTCCTCGCTACTATCTCCGAGCGCTCCAGAAGAAGTCATGGGTGGGATGTAGGGACTTTGCTCGGGTCTATCACCGAAGCTCAACAACTGCCACCACGAAGTGTGACGGGGTACGGCTTTGTAGGTCACGGATAGGGCCTACCCCAGACAGCCTCACCCCAGATTTTGCAGAACGCTTCAGATTGCGGAGTATATATATCCCACGATACCCAACTCAAGATGTGTGCCTATTTTAAGAACTTTATTGCTTTAAGTAAGCTGTTCGGATACGATCAAGGAGTAATGGGTGTTATTGTTGCCGATCAAAGGTTCAAGGACTTGATGTGTCCCAAGGACTCATGTATGTTGGGTGTCGTGCAAGCCAAATCTTCATGTTATCAACCGTGCAGTATCTGATTATGATTAGGGGTAACCGGTGCCATGGCGTCTATGTACGATGTATGCTGCTTCATTGGCGCGATGTCGACCGGTAGCCTTTCAGATCGATACGGTCGTGAGAGAATGTTGGCTATTGCAAGTGTCGTGTTTATTATTGGTGCAGTCTTGCAAACTGCATCGTATACATCCGTGGAGCACATCGAACGAAGTAGTAATGTTGCAGGACCAGCTTAGTCCGGCAAAGACCTCGATTGCCTGATTGGGTGCTAATTCAGCAACCTCATGTTGAAAGAATGTCTGTCGATGTCTCTCAAGCGAAGCAGCAAGTGGATTGTCTATAGTCCAGTCGGTTAAATCACTTAGTATCCGCTGTTGGCTATCCCGCAAATTTCTTCAATGCATGAGCTTGAAAAATAGACGTTTGAGTATCAGTATACCCAATAGCACAAAGTTGTTGGCCTCGTGGTATTTAGAAAGAAGATGGCCAAGGTGTAGAGAGGTCCTGTACAACGCGTGGACCCCGGTTTATATCTCATGTGCCTAACGGATGCATGATCATATTGGCATCCATGGACTCCTTCCTGAATGGCCTTCTGACCCTTCGAAAAAGTTTTGAATCATGAACCCCCCTGCCGCATCTAAAAGTTCCGCATTAGACATCCCTTGTGGATACCATGTATAGCTATCCTCTAGCCCCATTGATAATGGGTTGTAAATTGCTTGACCTTGGTTACCGGACGGTGGAACCCAAAGCGCATGAGAAGGGCGCCGCAAGGCGGTTGTTGAGTTTGGGTTAATACTCTGGGTCAAATCACCTCCATGGCCTTGTTCTGTTCTACATTAGTTCATCGTGACAAAAGAATATTGGCAGAAAAAGCAAGGAAGACAGGTCAGGGTGGGTGTTATGTCTCACCGAGGAGCTTTTGTAATACATTTCGTGCGCGGAACGCCATGTCGTGCGAAGATCCAAGGCTATCAAGGCAATCCACGGCTCGTTGCAGGTAGCCCTTCCATGTCGGAGCCATAGCATGAGTGGGGCTGTAGATGTAACACGTCGCCTGCACGAAGCTAGCTGTAATTAACCAATATGTCGCATACCACGCGAGGCCCCGTTTCCTGCTATCTGTAAAGTTGAGGAACCCACAGATAGATGTGACACATTCGTCGGCTGCAGCAAGACAAGACTTGATAGGACCATCTAATGTACTGATGGCTGATCTTGTTGCTATAGCTTCAAATAAAAAGGGTCGATTGAGCACAATACGCAGATGAAATGATCTCCATAAGAGAACCCTTTTAGGTAGTTCCAGATGTGGCTCCAGGTTGACATCTTGACCGAAATACGGCGGTAGGTCCTTCCACCAATTTCCGATGTTCTCTTCAAGTTTCACAGCTTTCTCATACCTTGGCACGTGGTGCGTGAGAAGCTCTACCTGAACGGCATTTGCAATTTTGGCGAGTTTCACCTGGGAAATGAGAGCAGATGTGATCGTAGGCCCAGGTTTACACTCAGGTAACTGTTCCATATCGACAGCAATATCTTGATCATTTAGGTTTGCTGGAAGGCGAATGTTGACGCCCACCAGGGAGACAGCGGGCCGTCCTAGAGTTAGCTGTGCCCCGGAAACAAAGACAAATAGTGTCCACCAGACGCGTCGGCGGATCTCCATGGTGAATGGTGATGTGCTTGGCATGCCAAACTCGCGATGCAGGCCGATAGCAAGGGCCATACTGAAGCCAATCCCGATGAGAATAAACCCGGCATTGGGCTTGTTGCGCTTTTGCAAATAATTAGCCATCAGAACGATAGCTTGCACGTAACTCAAGGATCCCTTTTCAAGAACATCCATAGTCAGATGTCTACGGGCTTCCTTGTAAAATGGAATATCACATTTAGTCGCATTTGAGTCGCCAACAAAGGCGCCAATAGCGAGAACTGTGTTATAGAGGAGTGGCCATGATCCATCACGCGGTTTGGCCAGAGCACCTACTTCTCGTCAGCGAAGTTATGACACGTCTACCCCATCGGCAAGGCTCACCCGATATTCGGGCACGAAATGTCCCTTCATGTAAAATAGGATACGCAGGATGGTAGAGGGAGAAATAGTCATCGATATAACGATTTACCGTGGCCACTGGCTGAGATCGTGCGGTAGGGAAATCATCATCATCCAATGATGATGGCGTGTTCACGCTGTTTAGTGGAAGGTACAGCGGAAGAGACTGCAGAAACTTCAACGCAGCTATGCCAGACTGCGGCCCTGTATATCCAGCCTTATGTGGATCAGCGGTTAAGAAGCCCATGCCATCAATTGAGTTATCGAAGTCTTGCGATTCATCAAATTCATAGTCTTCTGCGTTGCTGTGTTCCGTGAAGCTTGTCGGGGGTTGCTCAGTATGGTGCTCCACCTCGGTGCTCAGCTTTTCTCCATGGCTTATATTGACTGGTGCTACCTGGCGACTCTCCCTTATAGATTGAAGTGCTTCCTGCAGATCAACATTCGGAAGGTACATCCTCCAGGCCTTTTCCACGTCCTGCCGAAGCTGTTCATATTCTTGCAGGCGCCTTGAACAGGTTATGTAAGTAAATACAGTCCAGGCATTCTACTATTGGTGGCCCATTGACACAAAGCAAAAACAGAGCGAGTAGTCCTCACCTTTGCAGTGATGATAGCTTTTGCGACGGGGACGAGTATCGGCATGCTTTCGCATCTCGGACGCAGTTGGTGCAAGTATCATCGCCGGAACAACGAACTTTCCGCCGTTTACACTCATCACAGGCAAATGTCTTGCGTAGTATGCGACGAGCCCTAATGGTGTCGCTCATTCTGCTGAAGGGTTAGTTTTACGTAAAACGGAACATGTTCATACGAGTTGTGTTTGTTCGGAGGGACAGAAATGACAACTTAGGCGTGGAATGGAAATGGTGTGCGGGAAGCCGATACAGAGATCTAACCCGCTTAGGATTAGTCCCTTACGGTACATGCCTTACCTCCACGGGATTTATACCTCAGGTATCAAGAAGCGCTTCAACTTTTAGAGGCACTACCTACATAAGTGGAACATTTGAAGGCCAACCAGAACTGTCTTGAAATCCCGAAGACATTCCTGTGCCAATTTTAAACAATATGCATGGACATCTGGAAACAGCCTTAACACCGCATCCCAAAATGGTCACAAGTAGAGTATCCCAGGCGAAGTAAATAAAATAAAGTGTCAGTCCAGCGTAAGACTAACACTAACATCAATAGTCCACTTTCCTATAGACAGTATACTTGAAAGCTGTTTTAAACTATGCCGACGTTTTTGTTTGATCGAGCGTGGAAAGCCCTACTTACTATCCATAGCTTCAGGTCTTGGCGGCATGAAGCAAAAGCTAGGAGACAGACAGATACGCCCCCAAGGTTATACGAAATAAGTACCTTGGGTGGCATAGCAAAATATCTTAATGGCGGTAAAATGAACCACCTGGTAGCTACACGATATGATGTGCTCCTATACGTGGAAGCAGTGGGCATATCTCTGGCCGAATCAGCTAACACTCCAAGCACAGAAGATATAGTTAAAGGGAGTTACAATTAATAATCATGAGCTAGTTCAGTCCGCCTAGAATAGTCCCACTGCCCACTAAACGCTCCCAAAGCTCATCCAGTAAGCAGTCGTAGAATACCTCATTAATAGCATTTCGGAGACTTAGGCATGTCAGCCGGAGACATTCAGATCCTTAGCACCTTCTAGCTAGGCTGACCAGGAAGAAATGCTCACTATATAAAGACAACATCAGGTCTTTCTGATTCTTTCGTAACGCAACATCTACATCAAAAACGATGGATCATTCTCTTGAGCTCTTTGTTCTAACCTGGGGTGTCTACCCCCGACGCATTCTTCTTTACCTAGCTGAGAAAGGTCTACTCTCCTCACCAATAATCAAGATTACGTCGGTCGATATCACAGAGAATGGCTTGAGCGCGCCTGGAAAGCCTCCAGGGAGTGTGCCTATACTGCGGCTTCCTAATGGACAATTCATTAAGCAGTCAGTCGCTATCCTCGAGTACCTAGAGGATATCTGCGGCAACCCCGATCCCGAACAAACCTGGCAGGTAGAGCTGGCCAAGAATGCTCGTGATACAGGCAGCATGCGTGGGGATACTCCGGAGGAGAGATCTCGTATTCGAGATATGCTTTCTCTTGCGGACGAGGCTACCAGTCTATTTAGCTTTGCATGTCACAAGGGCACCGTCCTTTTTGTCAGCATGGAAGCCACAAACGCTCTGTCCGCAAAGTTTGCACTTGAACTCTGCAAAAAGAATCTGAAGTTATTAGAGGAGTACTACGCCGAAGAAGGGCGGTTTGGCAGCCGTGGAAGGGTATCTATTGCGGATTGCTTGTTATATTCCCTTTTGCATTTTGCCAAGGACCTGTACGGTGTCGATCTTCTCTCGGATCCAGAATTACCGAGCATGAGAAGATTCTATGAGCTATTCGGGAAGAGAGAGAGCGCGAAGGTGGAGGCTGATCATTTCCCCGGGCATATTAAGCGGTTGGCGAGCCAATGGCTTCCGGTAGAGTAGGGGTTTCTGGTTTTACTTGTGGATTAGTCACAGCACGAGTTGGACATGGCGCTGGATCGAGATGATGAACAACACGTCTCATCATAAATGGCTACCATATGAGTTGGTCAACTACAGAAGCTTCGAGACTTGTGGGACCTTACGTTGATTAGCGTTTGAGTATTTAATTGAATTTGCCATATTGCAAGGAGCCGATCACGGATACATGATTCCAGATCACCAGTAGAGCCATCTAGACCTAGCTCGGCTATAATCTGAGCTGGCTACATAACCACCGTGTCGAGCAACAGATGAGGGAAAGTCGCTTCCATCACACAAAGTAGGTCTATGCCTTAGAGTTTTAAGGTCAAAGATGTGGTGAGGCCACACCTATGAGTTGTGTTCGACCAAGGATGAACTTGAGGGCATTTGTCATCACCGGGAGCGCAGTTTATAGACGGGCAACCAGCAGATGAAGGGTGAACCGAAAACCCACGCCTAGTGAACGGCGAGCCGGGGCGGATGTTCGCACAAGACACGGCCCAGAGGACCCTGTCGCCGGATAGGGTGTATTTAAACTGTATAGCATCGTTTACTTTCCGATCCGGCGTCTTGGACACTTTGATAGAGATGGCATCCCCTGTGGGGCTTAGACGGTACGTCTCTTCGTAGGTACCGCTACGTCCAGGAATCGTATACATGCTGCCTTGTGGATCTGGATCGGACCAAGCGTAAAGAGGGGAATCCAAAGTGTTGACGATTTTGATGGCTCCAATACCACGAGGGGGAATTTTATCAACAGGCTGACCCATGGGGGTGAAGAGCAAGGTCGTAAGAGTGACAAGGATGGCGAAGAACATCATTTTGAGCGGGATACGAAGTAAATTGTCACCCAGTGCGATATCAGTATCTGTTTCGCTAGGATGGCCTGAGGACGTTGAAATACGAGGTGAAAGGGCGATGAGAATAGAAGAAGGTTTTGGACTGTTTTTATACCCCAATTGAGTCTGGTCCTCCAGCTTACTGTAGTGAATTCTCCACTAGTTTGCTTAAATACAAAAAGTACCTCCAAAGGCATCCACCCAGCCGTATATCCTTTGTCTTCTCTTTCTAATTCACTGTGTTAGTCTATAATAATATGCAATTAGGCTGGGAGTGGGGTTTGGAAAAAGCTGCAATACTTTTGCAATGTCTTCGTAACATACACTTTCTATATCCAGGGGAGAATAAAAAGAACGTCGAGATGAGTTAAGCCACAACTACATCAGAAAGGACAGTCAGAAAATGATATATCTCCAGTGAGCTCATTCCGATTGTGCTCACTATCTACCTATTTGATCTGCGTTCAAACTCGGCAAGTCTCATATCTACCAACTGAAACGTCTTAGGCATGGTCCCCAAGTTACTCTCCGCAGGCAAGCCCAGTTCTTGCTCAATATAGTCCACATAACTGATACTATTCACAGCAGGACCAGTGATAGTGGTAACCTCAATGCCGTACTCCTCCATGACTCGCTTCAAACCCCAAGCCGCGACGGTATCGCTAGCCGTAAGAACAACAGAAGCGACGTGCTGCCGGAACTGCGGCGAATCCAACACGGGCATAACATTGTAAAACCCCAGAAGGCAAGATCCAAACTCAACAACAATCACGTCGGGATCACTTTTATTCAGCTCATGTATTATACCCAGCGAAGCTTCGATAACCTCGGCTGAGTCTCCGCAGGTAGTCGGTAATCCTCCATCCGCGAACCCCAATACCACGTCAGCGCCCGTAGCAGACAATCTACACAGTTCACCCCGATAGGCGAGCCCAGAAAGCTTGGTACAAGCGACACGGAGTCCCCGTGACTTGAGATGTTGGATGATCTTGCGTGCTGTGGTGGTTTTGCCGGTATTTGAAGCGGTACCAGCGACTGCCACTATAGGTGCCGATTTGCTGAGAGTCTTACGGCGCGGGACGGCCGAATCTTTGATGTTGATCGCTGTGCCATCCTTCAGAATACTGCCTAATACTCGGACTTGCACTGGAGCCGGACCATGGGCGGGAAATGCCTGGACCGCTCCCACCAACCCGCTCTTGCTGACGTAGGTTAGGATATCTCCAGGGGAAAGTCTAGAGGGAACGTCGCAGCTGAGCGCCTGGAAGGAACGCCTCTTGCCGAGGACGACTGGCATAATGTCTCCTTCCACGAACTCAGATTCATGCCCGGTTGTTTCTTCTATTGTGGTGAATTTGTTCGCGGTCGACAGCACCTCCACTGCAAGCACCGCTCCCTCGACCGGTACTATTGTCGGCGATATTGTCACAACATCTTCCAATTGCATCCGATCTAGTAGTGATGGTATCTTAGAGAGGCGGACTCTTATCACTCCGGGAGGCCGTGAAGGATCATCACCCGTGGCGTCAGTCATGGAAGCCTTTTCTCTGTCTTTTTGGATTATGATATCGATGACTAGTGCCAATTCATTAATCGCGCCCATCAAAGTAAGTGAGTTTGAGAGCTAAGCCTGTTATTAACCATAACCCTACTAATAAAGACCTTTTGCCGAACGGGGACATAAAATGAAATGAACCGAACATCGAGGTAGCAGCGTGTCATCTGCTAGCGCGTAACATAAGGCCCCCTTGCAGTCATCATCTATGGCTTTCTTTGCAGCTCTCCCGAGTTGTAACTGCATCCTGGTAATGAATTGCCATTCTTCTAGCCAGAACGCTTGCAACTAGCTTTCCGGGACTTTTATGGCGACTGTATGGGCCTATCAATAAAGAGCCGACAGCAGGGGCCACATAATCTCAGTGACTAAGGCGCTTGAAACAACTTCATTATAAAAGGTCAACTAATTTGTCATGGAATTATAATATTGTAGCCTAATATGCCTCATGTTGCACCAGGGCGAAGTGAGATCCAGGATTAAATGCCTCGACATCAGTACGGAGAATGTACAGCTCATTGATCCCACCATTCATTTTTCGACGAAGATACATAGCATGTGCACAATGGAAAAGGCTCCAAATAATACAACATAATTTGTTTTATATAGAAATATAGCAAACATTCTGATTAGTCGTTAATATATACACCTGAAAGTCTGGGGTGATATTGATATAACTAATTCAATAAAGATATATATCCGTAAGACATTTTTAGTCTAGACTCAGCCTCTAAAGAATTCCAAACAAGACTTAGAAAGCAGGCTATAACATGGACAAGGTATTGATAAATATGTCAAGCTTCGGGAAAGGCTCTTGCAATACAATTATATTGAGAAAATACCGTAGATTGTGAGGTGAAATAAAAAAAAAAAATAAATTATAAAAAAACATAAAGTTCAATTTAGCTCTATTTCTCTAAAAGGTCTATCTGGCATTTATGCAAACGGGCATACGGCTAGATACAGGGAGAAACCGATCAAATAGTATGAAGCGAACAAGGGGCTCAGCTTTGGCAAGGGAAGAACAAACGTTCATTGCGGATATCAAAATACGCTATCATTCAAATCTGTTTTACATGCAGACGTCGGGAATTCGTCAATCATTTCTTCAAGCCCAAGAGGTTGATGCTCTTAGGACGCTCGATGGGCAGACCGAGGGCACGATCCCAGATGAGTTGGACGAGAGGGCCGAGCGCGCGGCTGACACCGAAGGTGACGGTGTAGTAGAGGGGCTGCTGGAATCCGTAGTGGTAGAAGAGCACACCGGAAGCGGCATCAACATTGGGGTGGGGGTTCTTGGTCTGTGATCGTTAGTATCATGGGAAAGGGGACAAGCCGGGAAGAGGAACAATTTACCTTTCCATGCTCGGTAAGGACATTCGGGGCGATCTCCGAGTTCTTCTTCACTAGCTGGAAAACAGGGTTGGCCAAGACATCAGGCCGAGTCGCAGCAAAGTCCATGAGAGCTTCAAAGCGGGGGTCAGGCTTGCGCAGGACGCCGTGACCGTAGCCGGGTACAACGCGACCGGACTTCAAGGTGTCCCAGAGGTAGGTGCGGACATCCTCGTCGGTAAATTTGGTTCCGATCTTGTCCTGCATCGCTAGAATCCACCGCAGGACTTCCTGGGCGGCGAGACCGTGCAGCGGGCCGGCAAGACCCAGCAGACCGGCACTGTAGCTCAGGAAGGGGTCACTGAGGGCGCTGCCAACCAAGTGAGTCGCATGCGCGGAGACGTTACCGCCCTCGTGATCACCGTGCAAAGCCAGGTACAGACGCAGCAGATCGTGGAAGTCCTGATTCTGTTGGCCACCCTTGCCGAGCAGCTCCGCAAAGTTGTACGACCAATCCTGGGTAGCGTCAAGGGTTTGCCTGCCGACCACGTCGACCTCGTCGGGGCGGAAGACCAAGGCGGCGACACGGGGAATCTTGGCGAGGAGGGAGATACTATCGTCAAATGTTGGCTCCCAGTAGTCGGCCTTGTTTAGGCCCTTCTCGTAGGCCTTGGCGAACTGCGATTCGGTGTTGAGTGCAGCGACGGCAATGGACAGCTGTGTCATGGGGTGCATGTTGCGGGGGAACGACTTGATGAGGTCCAGGATGTGCTGGGGGAGGTGGGACTTCTCGGCCAGCTCGCGCGAGAAGGCGCGCACCTGGCTGGTCGAGGGGACTTGTCCGGTGAGGAGCAGCCAGAACATGGCCTCGGGCAGCATCTCGGTGCCGGAAGTACCCTTGGGGAGCTCCTTCTGGCAATCCTTGATGGTCTTACCGTGGAAGCGGATTCCCTCATTGGGATCGAGGACGGAGCCCTCCCAGAGCATAGACTTTAGACCACGCATGCCACCAATGACACTGGAGACCTTGACCTCGCCAATTACCTCATCGCCTTGCTGCTTTACCTGCTGCAGGAGTTCCCGTTTGGCGGGGATGACCGATTTGAGGGCAGATTTCAGGTCGGGCTCCGCTGTCGCATAGGACCTACGCGAGGCATATTGAGTCAATGGGCGGGCGGACTATCACAGTGATTTCGAGTTAGTCAAGTTAAGTCATTGCATCAAGGTGATACTAGATGCGATTGAGGACTAACCTGAGCCAGCTTGGTCGCCTGGCGCGTGGTTCGCATGGTCATGGCCATGGTGATTTTAATTTGTGGCGGAGAAAAGGTCCGTAGGATACGCTTTCCACGGGAGGATAGTTAAACAGGTTTGTCAAAGTCTATCGGGGAGGACGAACAGATACTAAGGAGGGAAGAGTTACAGGGAAGGAAAAAGAAAACAGGGAAAAAAAGCACCGAGTTATACGCCGCCGCCCCTTGCACATCTGTTGAGAGCCCCGGTTGGCCGCGGAGCAACGGTTGAAGGGTGACAATGCGCTGCCGAGGCAATCCCACGGCTGCATGCGGAGTTTCCACTACTAACAAATCGACCAGGATCGTCATACCATGCCACTCTTCTACGGTCGGATGGAAGCTTTGTAACGATTTCTCTATTTCAACAAAGAAAACGGGATAGCTTGCTTTCCACTCTTCTTACTGTGAGTTCATGCATTGATTGATACTTATTTGTTGTTGCCGAGGGTCGGTTCTCTCTACAGGGACGTGATAGAAGCATAAGCTTTTGTTCGGGAGACGGTGATGAGTTTGATCGTCGGCATATGATAGATTGAGAGCTGATAATGGAGGGAGAGGTTAGAGAAATCTTTCTTTGGAGTCTACACAATTTAAAGATTGAAGCTACATTAGAAGAGAAGAACAATATCAATTCTAGAATCTTGCAGCTGACTAGGGTATATAAAGGTCAGTGATACTCCCCCTAGTCGAACTCTTACTGGTAATGAAAATGAAATGAAATGAAATAAATACTGCGGATATGGATCACATTGCCGTCACGGTACCCGCGGCTGACGGACCCGGCGTGCGGGGTAATCCCGATGCGGAATAGCCTGCCTTGGGGGAAAGGGCATTGTTGGTGCCTGAGGCTTAATCGAATATTGTCACCGCCACAGTCGCACATGGCTAGAACCCCGTCAGCCACCTGTGGCTTGAGTCCTGAACAGCCACAGTCGCTGAGCCAACAATCAGTTCCCAAGCCAAGGCGGTGTGCTTTGATTGGCGCACACCTCGGTCCACTACGCCTCAGGCAGAGATTTTCACCCGCACCCAATCACAAGTTAGCTTATCAGCGGCCCAAAAGAAAAAAAAATAATCGCCGCCCCGCCATTATCAATTGTTCCGTCTTTCTTGTTTGGCTTGACTTTTCTCTCTCTCTCTCTCTCTCTCTTCGGTCTTCACTCTCCCCTCTTTCCCTTTTCTTTCTCTGTTTATATACCCTGTTGTTTGCATTCAAGACAGTTCCTCCTCGTAGGGCTGATCTGACGTTGGTTTAACGTAAAAGTTTGAAAGTTTGAATTTATTGTGAATCTTTCTCTCTTCTTTTTTTTTTTCCTGTTTCCCTTTTTTGTCATCTCAATCTTCCATCAGGCTGCGAAAACGCTACCACGGTCTACCGGTGTTGTGCGAAAACTCGAAAGGAAGAGCACAAAATCCCGGTGAGAGAAGAAAAAGCATTTGAATTTTGCCGTATATACCAAAGAATGCCTCATTCCGAATCTACAACAATGGCTATCGCTGTTTCTAAGACCCCCTCCACCGTCCCCCCGACCTTGGAGGAGATCTCATCGCTCTTCAATACCATCTTCACCGCCGAAACTTCTCAGCAGTCTCTCGATGGATCCTACGCCTTGACCAATTTATTGATCCAAAGTGTCGGCTGTTTCGGCTTTCAGAAATACGATATTTTGCCCCAAATCAAGAAGGCCGCTGCCGATAAGAAAAATGGCGCCCGGCGAGAAAGTGCCATGCTGATCCTTGGCGCTTTGTTCGAACGCTTTCCCCGCGAACACCCCCTCAGCGAAGTCGTCTTCCTCCTTCAAGACGGCGGTGTCCTGGGCATTGCCTTGGACGCGTTGGCCGACAAAGGTGCTGTGGTACGCGACGCCGCTCAGTACGCGATTGACGCCTTGTTTGTTTGCCTCAAGCCCGAGGCGTTGGCCAATGCTCTGCTCCCTGCGCTCTCTGCCTACCTCAGCCGCGGTTCCGGCAAGTGGCAGGGCTTTGTCGGAGCGTACTCCCTGATCGAGAAAATGGCTGTCAAGGCGCAAATGGGCAATGGAACCATGGAAGAAGAGCGTGAAAAAGATCTGCTGCGTGAAGCAATGGGCAAGACTCTGAAGGACTTGATTCCCTTGGTCGAGTCCGGCATGCACGACCTGAAGGCCGAAGTGGCCAAGCGTGCTTGCAAGGCCATGAACGCGGTGACTACTCTTTTGTCGAACGACGATGTTGCCCCTCGTATCCCCCTTTTGATCAAGACAATGGAGCAGCCCTCCGAGAAGACCCTGCAGGATGCGATCCATGCCTTGTCGCAAACTACGTTCGTGGCTATCGTCACCTCGCCCGTCCTTGCCTTGCTCACCCCGCTGCTCGAACGCTCCTTGAACGCCCCAACGACACCTCAGGAGACCCTTCGCCGCACCGTCGTGGTCGTGGAGAATTTGACAAAACTGGTGCATGACCCCGCTGAGGCGCGCACCTTCTTGCCGAAGCTTAAGCCTGGTGTGCAAGGTGTGAAGGATCGTGCTTCCCTGCCAGAAGTCCGTGAGCTTGCCACCCGCGCACTGGATGTGATGGAGAAGGCCATGAGTGATAGCAATGTTCATGCCGGATCTGTTACCAAGGCCACCCCAGACGAGGTCCTCGCCGTTCTCGATTCTCAGATTCAGGCAAACGGTGGACTTGTTGTGCCGGAGGGCCAGACGCTCTTCGCGCTCGCTAAGACTTACATTGCCGAGATGGTTCGTGAGGATGTGAACTGCCGCATGCACGACCGAATCCCGGCATGCGTCGCCCCGTATCTGCGTGGTTTGCTCCAGGACGATAAACACGACGCGGTCGCCTCCGCTGTGCAGGCCCATTTCATCGAGGAAGATGAGCGCAAGTTTGGCAAGCCCGAGCCCGAGGACCCCAATGAGGTGGAAATCGTCAACGCGAACTTCTCCCTCGCCTACGGTGGAATGCTCCTCCTCAACCACACAAACCTCCGTTTGTTAAAGGGGCACCGATATGGTCTCTGCGGCCGGAATGGAGCGGGAAAGTCCACCCTCATGCGCAGTATCGCCAACGAGAAGCTGGAGGGCTTCCCCCCACAGGATGTTGTCCGAACCTGCTTTGTGGAACATAATCAGGGTGAAGATGCTGACTTGAGCATCCTTGAGTATGTCTCCAAGGATCCCAAGATCGCGGAGACCGGCCAGGAGCATATTAGCAAGGTTCTTCTCGAATTCGGCTTCACGGATGGCCCCGAGGGCCGCCAGTCGCAGCGAGTTGGTTCTTTGTCCGGTGGTTGGAAAATGAAGCTTGCGTTGGCCCGTGCCATGCTCCAGAAGGCCGATGTCCTTCTCCTGGACGAACCGACCAATCACCTGGATGTTGCCAATGTGAAGTGGTTGCAGGAGTATCTGAAAAGCCACACCGACATCACCAGTTTGATTGTCAGTCACGATTCTGGTTTCCTGGACGAGGTCTGCACGGATATCTACCACTATGAAAACAAGAAGCTGGTGTGTTACAAGGGCAATCTTGCCGCATTCGTCAAGCAGAAACCCGAGGCCAAGAGTTATTACACCTTGTCCGCCAGCATCATCCAGTTCAAGTTCCCTCCCCCTGGTATTCTGTCCGGTATCAAGTCCATGACCCGTGCCATTCTCCGGATGACTAACTGTTCCTACACCTACCCTGGAGCTTCCAAACCGTCCCTGTCGGACGCATCGCTCACCCTGACTCTGTCATCCCGTGTCGCCATTATTGGAGGAAACGGTGCTGGTAAATCCACCTTCATCAAAATGTTGACCGGAGAGACGATTCCTCAAACCGGCAAAGTCGAGAAACACCCCAATCTCCGTATCGGTTACATCAAGCAACACGCTCTCGAGCACGTCGAGATGCATTTGGAGAAGACTCCAAGCCAGTACCTGCAGTGGCGATATGCGAATGGCGACGACCGTGAAGTTTACCTGAAGCAAACCCGTATTCTCACCGAAGAGGATAAGGCTCAGTTGGAGAAGCCGGTCGATCTCGGTGATGGCAGGGGCCCCCGTCGCATTGAGGCACTTATGGGTAGACAGAAGTGGAAGAAGTCATTCCAATATGAAGTGTAAGTTAATATCGTCGTCTCCTAAAAGTTACCTTACGCTAATCACAGGGAATGTAGGAAATGGATTGGTCTCCTCCCCAAGCACAACACCATGATCTCCCGTGAGACCCTTCTTGAGCTTGGATTCTTCAAGCTGGTCCAGGAATTTGATGATCACGAAGCTTCTCGCGAGGGTCTCGGTTTCAGAAACCTGGAACCTGCGGAAATCTCGAAGCACTTCGAGGATGTTGGTTTGGACCCTGAAATTGCAAATCACAACCAGATCTCCGGTCTCTCTGGTGGTCAGAAGGTCAAGGTCGTGTTGGCTGGAGCTATGTGGAACAACCCTCACTTGTTGGTGCTGGACGAACCCACTAACTTTTTGGACCGCGACTCTCTGGGTGGCCTCGCTGTTGCTATCCGCGACTTCAAGGGTGGTGTGGTTATGATTTCTCACAACGAGGAGTTCGTGGGAGCCCTCTGCCCTGAACAGCTTCACGTTGCCGACGGCCGGATCGTTGCCCGGACCAACACAGGCGTGGCGCTCGATCGGTTCGAAGACAGCGCTACCAATTCGCCCCAGACCGGTACTGCAGCTAACTCCACGACCACTAGTGCTGCTGCTTCGGCTGTGAACTCCGGCGCCGAAGAACAGGGAGAGCTCAAGTTCAAGGCGAGAAAGAAGAAGAAGATGACTCGTGCCCAGCTGAAGGAGCGGGAGACTCGTCGGCGTCTCCGTCATATCGAATGGCTGAATAGTCCGAAGGGTACCCCCAAGCCTCCGGATACTGACGATGAGGCTTAATAATTCTCATTGTTTATACCATCTTTCGGTACCTGCGCCGCTGTGTGAACAGCGTGATGATTTATTTGCTTTGTTCATTGATGATAGAAGGACTGGCGTTGTTGCATATATTCTTGGTTTTTCATCTTTCGGCGGGTTGCTCTTCATAGATGACCATTTATGTCACATAGAGATGTCAGAGATTTTTGTAGTTAAATCTGACTATGATCTTGCTTCGAATCAGTTAACAGCTTAGCGTAACCTCTCGGATGAGAGGCTAGTAACCATGACTTTCCCTATCTTTTAGGATCAACCTATCGTCCATGTTCGGGTAAGCCGCAGTCTAGACTCGACTCCCCATCAGATGACCACATGAACCCTCATCAGGCTTCCTGCTCAGCCACGCATCAGTCCGTGCTGCTGCGTGAATCTCAAAGAATTATGGCCCATCACAGCCTTCCTCCCATGAGAAACCAAAGGATTTCATTCAACGACGAATGAGATCGCGATCTGGCTTGCCCAATTGTGGCGCAGTCTCATCCCGCAGCCCACATTGGCTGGTTGAATATACGAGGCGCCAATGACGATGTCGCCGTGCACTAATCGCATCATCATCAGGCAACAAAGTATCAAGCTCTTGTTACTGGACATGAGACAGGCAGAGGTCCGAATATAAGTAACAGCCACATCAAGACCACGTTCAGATCCTCCTCGCCCCAGGGGACGTACTGATTCACACGAAGGACCCGACTAAGTTAACCAGCCTGAGAAAAGAAATCCTCACTGACAAGACATAATCTAAAAGTCTGAACCTAGGCGTCCAATATGAACGATCAACCTCCAGCATACCATGAAGCCGCAAGGTCCAGCGCAACTCCCGCCGCAGTCGACAAGAAGGCCCAGTTGAACCAAAACGGTATCCTACCTCGATACGCCCTGCTATCTATCTCATGGACCGATCGGATCCGCCTCATGCGGTTCCCGGAGCCACTTGTAGCGCGTGTAACGGAGATACTCGAAAAGCTGTGGACGAAGGGCATCCAGAACGTAAAATCGCAGAGCGAGGGTGTCGAATTCAAACTGCGCGGGACGCCGTTCTCGCACAGCGGCGATGAAGAGAAGATAGCCGTCCGAAAGCTGATGCTGGGGATATTAGATGGGCTGGCGAGAGAAGGGTGGGGGGTACATCCTGGTGCGGGCGGATTGGGGAAGATAGGGAATTATTCGTCGCTTGGGGAGAAAGGTATGGATCTTCGTAAGCTTTTGGTTCTTCGGGTTTTATCAAGGATCATTATGGATGTGTGATGAGGTTTCATTCTTAGGTACTGGAAGCGCTAATGAATTTACAGGCAGTGTGATTTTCCAACCACAACAACCGCAGCAGCTCTCTTGGCTGTGTATCTCCTTTGACTCACAGGATCTGATCCATCTTATGAATGCGCCGATTGAGCTGGCCATGTCTCTTATCGGAGTTCTGGAAGAGAGGATTCAGACATGTAACCAGGATCTTGTGAGTGGTACCTTCGAGCTCAAGTTCAAAAAGAACCTGTGGAAAAAGTCGTCGAGCGAAGGGGCGGTGCAGAGCAGACTTGTGGCCCTCGATGTGCTCCAGTGCCTAGAGAGCCAGGGGTATTCGTTATGTGCGAGCGTGGACTTGGATCATGGCGATGGAGGTGATTTGTATCAGAGTAGTGCGGATATCTGGTTCTGTTGTCGGTGACTGAGGGGGTTTGAGAAGGTCAATACCGTAATTCTATCTTGATGCACAACCTTTTTACTTTTCATGTGGTACCTGGTTCGTCCTTAGACGTCCCTTAAGTCCATCCCCTGGAATCTGTTATCAACAGGGATGTGCTGAACCCGCCATCTGTCCTTTTGAAGCCACACACCACACCCCCTGCTTTCGGGTAAGATAATGCTGCTACGGCCAATTCAATAGGGTATTGACTGGTTGCATAAATCATCCAACGTGATAGAAAGGTCAAACCTTGCCAACTAGTACAAAACGGCCGATAAATGCAAGCTAGACGATGAAGACAAGGTACTTCATGACCTTGTACTGATCACTACCCTGGCCTGGGGACAGTGAAAGATTTGCAAATAGGCCAGTTACATTTATGGTCAAACTGAACGGCCTAAACCAGACATTTGAAGTGCGATCCGATTATAGGTATACAGCACAACCTGTAAAATCATCGTCTTGACAGGAGATGAAGTAAATCAAGGACTGGCAGGTAATATAGAATGTCGGATCTGGTAGGTTATATGAGACCACAGATATAAGAAAAAATCTATGCGAGTAATTTTTACTCTTCTGTGTTCCAAACGTGAGTGAGTATTTATGTCCAAGAGATCCACCCTACTGGCTAACATCCCAAGAGCGAAAGCCTGATGCTTCGCTACAACCGGCCGAATCGTTTCCCTAATGTCGGAGTAACGGAGATAGTCCTCGATGACGAGTGTGCATACAAAACCTTGTAAAGGATCAAACGCCGGAGTAGATGCAAAAACCTTGTCAATAACACCCAGGAAACTCTTTATATGACTTCAAATATGGATCTGGCGGGTGTTGACAGTAAATCGGCCATTGAACCTCTGCTGCACGGACAAATCGGTGCCTTGCCAACGGTTTCAAGGCAGGTACATCGTACTTACCTCCCATCGCATACATACCAACAGACGTGAACAGCGAGACTAGAACGTCACGAAGGTATTCTTCACACTCACCGGTAGTGTTACCCCATTGTGAGGGCGAGTCAGGGCAGTCACCCGAATCATACTCTAAAAGGCTTAGAGGCTGTCCTGTCTTCGGGCCCATCTTCGGGGCTATATTCCTCGTCGCTTTGGGAAGCTTAGAGGGCGTTACTGTGGGAGGCATCTAGGCGCGTCAATTGGCGAGTCCGTTGGTAGACTCACTCTTCTACTTACGAGTACTTTCTTCTAACTCAATCTGAACTTTGCCCAGGGGCATCATTGACGCAATGGAAGGAAGCTTATCGAAATACTCATCATCTGTATAAGTCCCGGAGTAGAGAAACTATAAGAATCTTTTGACCGTCATAGGGTCCTCTTCAGGGAGATCAATTTTATTGTCGTGCGCTTCCTTTGAATAACTGCTAAGCAAGGATACTGTACATATAGATTGCTCCGGGCTTCAGACTGACTCTGAAATCATGGCTACATGCAGCGTCGAAGAAAGACGACTGAGGACGAACGATCGCTTTATGGACCTTGAACGTTCTGTTCCGGCAGGTGACCGTAAGATCGGAATATTTTCCACTTTGAAATAAAGATCCCAAAGACCCTTCAAATATTGAATATGAATTATGTTCGATGTTGGCGTGATCGTTCGGATTCATCTCGTGGCAATGGACAGGAGATGCGGCTCCAAGAAGCAAAGCATAGATTTGGCACGAAGTAGATCTCGTGGGAATTCGCGTTAAAAACACAACGCAACCTAAGTTTGGTTGAGATGATTTATGCATAGTTTATGAAGTATATACATATTAGCCATCATACAATCAGTCATAATTTTTGGCTGCATAAATTGCCTCGGCAATGAGGGGGTTAGGGCTATCTAGAAAGATAGATGAGCATCATACTGGAAGGAGGGCTAGAAGACGACGTAGACCACATGGCCAGAAGCAATATAACAGCCTACCTAAGCTGGTGCATAGTATTCCTCGCTTGCTCATAGCCTTGTTAGACCGTAATATAGTTCTAGTTTCTTGTTGCGGTGTCATACTCGAGCAAAACCTCAGCTTCCATCGCTGCTATATCTATGACTAAATCTCGTATGCGTTTGCGAATGACCCTGGCAAGAATATTGCGCATAGATAGCACCGATATTGAGCTCTGTCCTGTTGGACTCTTCCGCCGCATGCTCATTGGGTGTTCCAGGGCTTACACAGTCTCTGCCCGGATCACCGACGCGAGGGCTAACTGTCGCTTGAGGAGACAACGCGACAGCCAGGTTATGTGCTGAAAGATGCATAGGAAAGTCTGTTGCGGGTGTCCAGCGAACCACAATTCCTGGTCTGATGCGCTCTTTAAAGGGCAGCACCTCCGTCTCTGCATTAACTTCTCTGCTAGACGAAAATCTCTCGGAAAGTAGATCCGGCTCACAGGCTCGCGGCTTGTGCTGGTGGTTTCCCGCGTTGCGCTGTGACTCAGTATGTAACCGCCAGAGTTTGGAATGAAATGCCCTTGCTTGGTCCTCCGTCACCTCCGGGGTCTTGAGACCGCGCTGGATAAATTCTCCTTCCGGTAAACGGAGAAGTTCGAGACCAGATTCACTTGGCGCTAACTCGCCCGGAGATATTGCAGGGGGACTGGACTATCAATGGGATTGTATAACTTTTTGATTAGATGATTGTGGATAAAGTGGGCAACAACTTTACCTTTAGCACAATGAAGTTCCGAACTTCCTTGTTCGTCTAGGTCGTTGGTACCATGGGACCCGGCTCTAAAGGCTTTGATTTCGGTAACGCACCCGAAGCATCTCTGCGTACCGAATCGTATTCTTGGTAGGGCCAGCATCTAGAAAGCTCGGGGACAATGCAAGCCAGGATGATGGTCTTGCAGTTGCGAGTCCCACTAGGGTTAAAGACATGCTTTAGAACTTTCGTCAATGCGCTCTAACGAAACGGAACATCCGGTTTCTTTGGGGGTTTTTCCTTAGTTGAGCCGATATCTAGAGTGGCCATTTCTCGGATGGAAACTTTCAGGACAGACAGACTGATGTTGACTTCGCATGTTTCTTTTATGCAGTCAACAGCATGTTCAACGACATCCCGTGCGACTTCAGAGCCAGCCAGGTCAATTAGACACAGGAGCCTGTCTTCGTTTGGCTGCGATAGATCTTCTGCTCTCCCTGGCGAGGTAATACTGCAGGCACTTGATTCGAATCAGATTCTTTCTTGAGCATGGGACGGATGCGAGAGGCCACCACTATGTTAGGGCTTGTTTTGGCCTCCGTCTTCTCTGCTGCCATAGGCCTATTGAGTTTGAACCCCTTGATTTGGGACCGATAGTGGCTCGCATTATTGGCGAGGGATTTTTTCTATAGTGATTAGTAAATCATGAGATGAACACACTGGGTCAGTGCCCGGCGCATTTGTATATGTTGCAGCTGGGCAGAGAAGGATGACTGAGGTTCATAGGTATCAAAGCTATTGGCTTTAGCCCCCACGAGATCTGCTAATAACACACTATTTATTGACCCGCATGGCACAGATCTTTGTAGAGATTACGTGGGCATGGAACAAAGACCAAGTCCTTAGCTGTGCTGCCGTTACTTAGCAGGAAACTATGCTACGACATGTAACCTCCCACAGGTTGGGAAGGACATGGGATCTGTCCAGAAGAACGCTGAATCTAAAGCTAATTTTGATATTTCAATATATATAGGTGATAATGTAACTAAACATAATATGGGCTCTTACCGGAACAGATCGCGAAGAGTGAATAATCTTCGCCCCCATTCAGTGGCGATTGCCTGTCCTTGCAGGCGACGTGTATGCATCTGGGGTATATCTACCGCGTATCAAGTTGTTATTGGTTAATGTTGCGGCAATCCTGAGAAATCTCTTTCGCTTTAGACTGACATGGACCTATATTGACTTACCCATGCACAACCATACACATGCTCATTGCTTTTTATCAAGGACGGGCATCTGCATGCCTCTATGGCGTCACAACAGCCAATTTGCCCCGAACAGGCACGTTCTCCTTCCTTCCAATTTCCGGGAAGCCCGTAACATTCACCCCCTTCTGGAAGATCACACAGTGGGACGAACCTCCATAATGAAACATTCCAATCTGATCCCCCTTTTTGACATACTCCCCCTCTTTCACAGTAATCTCACACGTTGATATCTCAACCATACCGATCCCCAGGAAGCCTACCAAGCCAATGTCCGGGTTGTCCGTCTGAATCAGGATTACGGCTCGTGTCGCCACCGCCGACAGATATACCTGATAGTCAATTTGACTCCCTTCGTTGGCATGTGGATCATCTCTGTGCATGGCTCCCACAGTCGACAAATAAGTGCCATCAATCGTGTACGTCTTCACAACCTTCCCTGAGACAGGAGCATGCCACCGGTGATAACTGAAGGAGTCCAGATAGCCTTGGTAGATAGTCCCACCGATGAATGAGTCTGGAAAACCAGCCCCGAGCATATCAACTAGGGAGTAAGTCTGCCCCTTGATCCAAAAGTTATCCCGTGCTTTCACATTCCTGCCCAGAGTGAAGGGCCGAGACTCGCATGCGTTGGCAATAACAGTATCATCCTCTGGCGAGGCGACGGGCCGAATGTTCTCTCGGAACGTGCGGGTGAAGAACGCATCCCAAGACGGGAAGCCGTAGTGTGGGGCATTGGGATCGCAGATGTAAAGCTCGTCAAACGCGTACGTGGTTCCGCCGACATTGGCCGTGGAGGTCAGTTTGCGAATGGCTTCGGTTCTAAACCATCCCGTTGACGACGTAGTGAGGACGGATACTGATTCAGATGATGAGAGAAACTCGCCCCACACATCCAGCACCTTTTTGAGCATGGAGTTGACCTCAGGATCGATGAAAGCAGCATAGCCACTGACCGTAGGGAGAGCATATTGAAATACCCCAAGCATGGGGACACCGGCAAGCTTGCTAATGCAAGGAGGTGCATGGGTAATGACGTGGTTGAGGACTCGTAGCATTTGCTGATAGTCTTGGACTTCATGTCTACGGTTCCGGACGGGAGCGTTTTCGTGAGCCTGTTGAAACATGGATTGGAAGAGCATATAGATACGTGGGTTGGATTCGATGAGCAGTTGGAATTCCCGCAACACCGGCTGCAGGTTGTCAGGGCTCTGGTCGGCTTCCTTGAGCAGGTTCGAGAGCCACTCATCGCGGACGTCATTATCAGCCTGTTTATCCGACCTATTTTATGACCAGTATAAGGAATCGATCATGTTGGAGACGCAACCTGGACAGAATGAACATACCTCTGCAGCGAGTCGTGTTGTCAGTCGTTATTCCTATCAGAATAGTTGCATCGCCATTGTCATGTCCTTGAATCGGCTATTACTCACCTGGTTGAGGAAGCCAAAGATGGTGGAAATCATCTGTGCTATGGTCAGCACATTTGCTGGGCAGATATGGACGTGACGCTTCACTCATCTGTACATACTGTGAAGTGAGGTGAGGCACGGCTGAGCTCAGTAGGGGGGAATAAGTTGACCTGGCTTGTAATGAACGAGAAGGATAGTTTAGATGTTGTGAAAGTAAAGTTGAGAAGAGGCTGGCGATGGAGGCTGGGTGCTCACGCAAGGGGTCAAGGGCAAGAGATGATCATCACCCCAGCAAGTCCCAATGCGGGAATTCTTTTCCGTAACTGTCCCGTTTCCGCTCGCGATGACTGGCCATGCTGATCGGCTTGACGTTCTGAGATCTATCCGCGAACGATTACAGGGGTCTGCCTGGAAAAATCCGGCATGGGATATGCATTCATCCCCCATATAGTGATTGAAAGACAGCCATGACATGTCTTCATACAGCAGCTCGACTGACGGATTAATAATGATTCTATGTGGTAATCGGAATACCAACCTGGAAATCGGGCCATTAACAAAAGATATATTGAGCAACACACAGGTTGATCTATCATATTGGTCCCGTTTGGTCTTGTCTGATTGGCTGGTCCATCCGAGGTTCAATGCAAGATACATTCCTTGCGCACATTGCACTCATCCCAAGATAATGGAGGGCAAGGATTTTATTGCAGTGGCAAGCCGGGTCTAACAACAGGGCATTCGTTCAACATTGATAAGCTGTTGTCAGTTCCCGGGATTAGATTCCCTCGGGTGATTGATCCGGTTGGTTACAATAGTTAGCGGAAGCCAGTGCTAAGTATGGCTATACCAGCGTTCCTATTGTGCAATAAGTTTTGGTCAACCAAAGTTTACATTGCAATATCGAGTATTGGGGCAGTTCTATTACTGTCCGGGCTTTGGTTTTTTTTTTTTTTTTTTTTTTTTTTTTTTTTTTTTGCCCTTCTTTTATTCTAAAGTTGGTTTTTTTTTTTTTTTTTTTTTTTTTTTTTTCCTGGGTCCATATTTTGGTCGATCGTTTCGGTCCAGGAAATCTAGGTCAGTCTGCTAGACACCCACGGACGCTATTACAACTATCGCCATATATTCTATCGTCTTATATTATTACAGGCAGTACGATCCATACCCAAGCTAATATCATTACTGATATAAGTAATGCATCTTTCTTGTAGCCTTTTAAATCTGGACACCGTCCATAGATAGGTTTTACCTCTCTAGCATTAAAGGTATCTAACATATCAGCTCGACATAGTCTGACAATATCCAATAGTGTGCATGTAGACCATTATAAAGCAACCGTCACGGAACATATTAACTGATACTCTGACACTAAAATATCTCCACATCTCGGAACAAAGCCTAGGACAACCCATCAAAGGACGCGATTGTTCTCAAACGATGCGCAACAACGATCAGCGTCCCATTGAACTGGGTAGAAATCGTACCCTGGATCCATAAGGACAATTCACGCTAGGCACAGCAATTGCCTTTGTCCTTTGTATATAAGCTGAATACGGGTTAGAGGTGCCCCGGCAATATTGTCAGTCACTGAGGTAGGTACTTATCCGACACACACAACTATTATGAGTTTTGATGAAAGCATCGGCGAACTCTGATAAGGTGGATAGGACATGGCCATCAACGTTCCTGACTTTATCACTAGATTTGCCTGGCATACTAGTGCCATTTAGATGAGCAGCGTCCTACGGAGGAAATCAGATCAGATTTCTGCTCGCACAGTACTCAGCACAGTATTGGATGGACTATATAAAGAATACAGAAGCTGACAGGGACATCCAAGACAGAATCTTGAACTTTTTCCTCTAGCAACAACAGGCATACACAGTCTGGGGCGAACTGTTTGACCCAGGTTGTCCTCTTGATAAAACCCGCGCGCATATAGAACAATGGCAACTCCAATATACTACGCATCCTTAGCAGGTCTCCATTATACAGTAGAATTGCCGCTAGGTAAAGGTGCCGATGTCAATACAGAGGGCGGGGAGCTTGGGAATGCTCTCCAGTCTGCTTCTTTTAAAGGCTATAATAAGATCGTGCAGCTTTTGCTAGAGAAAGGTGCTGATGTCAATGTGAAGGGCGGGTCCTATGGGAATGCTCTCTAGACTGCTTCTGCTGGAGGGCTATAATAAGACCGTGCAGCTGTTACTAGAGAAAGGTGCCGATATCAATGCAGAGGGCTGGTTCTACGGGAATGCTCTCCAGGCTGCTTCTTCTAGAGGCCATAATGAGTTCGAGCAGCTGTTGCTAGACAAAGGCGCCAACGTCAATACACAGGGCGGGGAACAAGTTTAAGTGAATGCCTTATCGTCTTACCTGTGAATCTAAAAGCACTGACATGGTTTTTGTGATCTGCACGGAAATAAGACTCCCACTACATACAGTAACTTATATTTCTAACCTCTTTGCAAAAGGAGGGTCTGGGAGGCGTGGTAAATTTAAGGTCTTTGTGTTATCACCTAGGCTCTTCAGGAAACTCAAGCTTGAGATTCCAAATCTTCCATGAAGGTCATGTTCGCGCTATACGCTATATAGCTCCCTATTCTTCCTAATATAAGGTATACTGAGGCATTAACTAAGGCTAATCATCTGCTGACTCGCCAGCAGCCAGATACTCCGTTCAGAGGTTCAGCCGCCACCACGGGAACCAGTATGAGACAGATTCTTGCTTCTGTCAATCTGCCGCCTCTACACTAAATTGTCGATCATTGCATGAATCATTGCAGCAGTGTCTTGTAATGAAAGACATCGGATGCACACAAAATAATACGGATCTTAAGTAAACGTACAGATAGTTCAATACAGCACTCGACACTGACACACTTCTATGTTTTATATAATCAGTAAGTTACGGCGGCCCTCATTTGATACTGGTTGGCTCAATAAGATATTCGCACTAATGTTCTTGGCGATGGGCCCACAAATAATCAAAGTGAGTTTGAAGGTCAGTCCGATTTCGAGAACCACTGTATAAGGTTGAGGATTGGAGATCAGTTAACATATCGGAGTATCAATAAAGCTATCGGGGTAGTAGGGCTGAGAGGAAAGCGACAAGGATGAGTGCAAAGAGCAGGCTGAATAGCAAGACGACAGAAGAGTACAGCAGAGAGATAACATGGCAATCAGGCAAAACGGGTGTAGACAGAAGGATGATTCTCGTAAAAATGAAGCAATCAGGCAGGAAGAGACCAGCTGAGACAAGGCGTGAAGAAGGCTTTGGCGCGGAATTTGACAGTGTGCTCGTAGCGGTCCTCTCAGCCTTAACCCAAAGCCTCACGCGGCCCTACGGTGGTAAACCCTTTCACTCTGTTCCTTCGTTTCAGGGCATAAGGCAGGCAGTAGCATTATAGTATAAACAGGTATAACATGATCAAGCTTTCTCTCGTCCGTCCACCACCAGCTACACATTTTCATATCCCCGTTCCAGCGCGCGCTCCATCCGAATATGAGCGTCTTCCTCCTCCACGCATGCTAAATGATCCCCAGGCAACATAATCGCCTTATCGATAGCGACTGGTAAGCTACGATGCCTGCCGCGGAGCATCACAGCACATAGCACCAGCTTACTGAACGAGTGCCAACCACCCGAGAAACTATATGCCTGGTCCGGTAAACCGGTAGTGATTCCCACACAGCCGTAGGCACTAATGGTCTCAAAGATAATATTAAAGACTGAGTATGTCACTGGGTCTCGAGTGAAACTGCTGGCTTCAACAATAGATACGATAACGATGGCTAAAGCAAGCCACCATAAGTCGTGGGCTAACTGAGCGCGGAGCTGCTGTTGGATAAAGTAGAATCGAGTCGAGAGCGCAGGCGTTGGGAGGCCCTCTTTTTGAGGGTTCCTGTAGTCTAAACCTGCGGGCAGCTCCTCTGCATAGATCCCTAGGCTTCTTTCTTCATACACGTTCGTGCTGCGCATGGTTATCACGACGGGATAAACGGATATATACATCATGACCACGTAGATAACCTGAGTTCCGATCTGGAGTGATGGTATTGCGATAACGTAGAAACCACCATTTCGAACGCATAATGCTTGAAATAATCCGTCTAGTGTTCGAGTTCCTGGAGGGATGCCGGTGACTGCTGGATTGTCAATCTAAATTGGCGTCAGTGCACCGTTTATCGCTTGCCCAAGGAAGGTTAAGGGACCAAGCTCACATTCAGAACTTCGAAAGCTATCCAATCTATCCCATTCAAGACAACGACTGCGCACAGCAGCCACCAAGTGTGACGCGCGGGAAACAGGTTGGTGTAGCACCGACGTGGATAGACTAGCAAAAATCGTAGAGTTTCACGATAGCCATGAAAGTAGTCATTATCCGGAAGTATAAGTAACAATGTATACAATATAGAGCGTAGGAAGATCGGGTAGCTGTTGGGGGGTTCAGCAAGGAGGGAAATTGGCCACAAGGCTAGGGGCGCCATCCTTACCAGGCATTGCCCGCCAGTATCAACAGACCCATGGTGATTAGCATATATATGGATGACCGAAAAGGAATCTTTTCATATCAGCTTGACTTCACCAAACCCATGGCCCACTCACCATGTTCGCATCCACAAGGCTCAAGCCAGAATTATTGAAGGCCGAGATGGCGAAGAAAAAGCCCGCCCACCTGCATCAGTCGAGTTAAGAGTTCGAGCAGCATCATGTAGACATGGCTGGAGAATGAAATACACACCAGGGATTAATCCCGTTGGACTCTGTAATGGTTGCTTTCTTGCTCGCAATATAGGCGCCTACGCCCAGCCCTCCGAGCAATTGCCAGAGGACAAAGTACAGCGGGACAATTGTCACCAACAGAGAGATAGCTTGGTCTTCACCTCCCCCCAGCCGGCGACGTTCTGCTTTTGTAAGATGATAGAAAGCGGAGTTGTGGCCAACCGTGCTTGTTAGGGTGAGAGCGCCTAGGCGAGCACTGGAGGCAGTGACGGCCGGCCGAACTCCCTTGAGAACGCTATGAACAGGCTTAGAAGAGACCACTTTTCCTTCATCTTCCTTTTCTTTTTGGATTACATCTAATAACAGCCGCGCTCTGTGGGTTGGAGTCCTGGGACTCGATTCACATCCTTCAGAACTTTGCATCTGTAGTCTGCTCTGACAAGCTGTTTCCTGAGACGAAGAATGGAGGACGCCGTTGCTTGAGCTGGAACGACTAAGTTCTTGGAGACCCCTGTTGCTGAATCGCTTCTCGAACGCGCACCGACGCACCAGTAAAACCCAGATGGATACCCATATCTACAGTCCAACTTAGTGGGAGTCTAAATAGTGTGATAAAACAGAAGTGACAGTTCCGACAGCCGTTCATGATAGTCATTGAAAAAGACAGGATGGAGCGGGAAAGGAGCTTCAGTCTTACTGGGGAACCAAGAACAATGAGAAAAAAAAGAAGAAGCTGCTGGAAGGCATTCAAAGTTGACAGGTTGACGGTATTAAGCCCTGCCCCCGTCATAGCGCTGAAAGTGAAATATACCGAATCAACATATTTCACACTGCTGGAAGGGGTTGATGTTGCCCAGAAAAGGACAGACGAGAGAAGACATAGAACAACAAAGTAAGCATAGTGTAGGGTAATAAACCGCATACGAGGACGACTGTTCTTGATAGTGTTCCAAATCCCTGCCATCATTCTAGGTAGCGTCCTTGGTTGCTAAATTTCCCTCGTGTCTAGAGCCTGAGGGTTATGTCGCGGGACATGGAGACTCGTTCCCCAGTCTCGAAGATACCGTGTGGAAGCCATGTGGAACTGGGTCTAGATTTAACCAGTATTCTAGGCAAGCCTATCGATTTTTGCTCGCGTTCTAGGCACCTTGAGCTCCCTTCTGCATGTAAGAATGGGCCAAAGTCATCAGGCCAGTCGGACGACGTGGGGTTGAGCCATGTTGATCTAAAGGAGAATAGGGTTACGCACCAGTATGACTATTCTCGTATCATGCATTATATTAGGCGCATCAAGAAACAATTGCAGTAGGGTATACATTTGATATGGAGCCAAACTTAGTTTCTTCCAGGTACACCTGACTACTGTAGAGACTGATTGTATCACCATAACAGCCTCAACTGTTCTGGACCCCTTCGGCCTCCAGACAGGGCTTGACGCACAATCTCGATTCACGCCAGAGATAAAGCTTGTTCCACTCATCCTAGTTGAGTCTATAAACTCCCCATAGCTATCCACAAACGTACCATTAGTGGTGAGCCAAAACTGGCCGCAAAAGATGTATAAATTAGGAAACAGCCACGAATACATAGAGTTTGCCAACTATGTATAGTCCATGAGATAACCTGGGTATAAAGCTAGAAAAATACTTGTGTCTTTTTGTGTTTGATCTATCATACATCAGCGGGGCATCAATCTCTATTCTTGGATGTATGGCCATTGTTTCTAAGGAAAGATGTACGACCCAACTAGGATATCCAGGCCAGACATATTGCATTATCTTAAGCTTCGCAACATCTAGCTCTGCGACCGCCATTCGGAAAGAAAAGAAGAATTCACTGTGAGTGTCATTGTCTTTCCTATTTGGATGATCATGGGTCAAGCAAGGATTTCCTGATAACTCTAATTTGACCTGGAGTACATTTTACTTGCTAATAATCCCTCAGCACAATAGCACACCGGCTCACACGAGGGTGAACCCCCATGATCTCAGTCTGATGCCGACATATCTGGTGATATACTGACTTCGATGTCAAAAATCAACTTACTAGGAGAGAACACGAGAATATCGCGATGGCACAACACAATTGGCCAAGCACGAATCTGTCATTCTTTTGACTTTACACATCCCTGGACGTACCCATGGTAAGTTAGGGGCCAATATCAGTGATGGGCTGTAATCCAATCAAGACTTCGTCAGGTGAATAAGCCCATTCAAGTTGATAGGAGCAGGTGATTAATGCCTGGGCTGACTTGGCTTGGAATCCCAACACCTTGGTCGATACTGTGGTGGACATTGTAGCTTGAATGGGGGATACCCTTGACCCCTGCTGCAGAGCACTCTACAGTTTGAAGGACTTCGGGCAAATCAGGTTCCGGGCAGTCGCGATGTTGGGCCTCTAATAATCGCAATAGTTCGGAAGATTGGCCATGTCAGACCATCTTCATGCAGGGGAGCTGAATAGCCCCGGGTAAAAGAGACACAACGGTGTCTTCTATTCACTCTGGATGTTGAGATGGAAGGGAATCACAAAGAAGTGGTATGTTTATTGAACGGCTTCTTCGTTTACTGTCGGCTAATACGCGTGTTAAGAGGTACTTGGACACCAGTCTCATCTAATTCGCTCATTGCGTTCGATTTCCTATTAGGTTCCTGCACATCGAAAGGCCTTGAAGCAGAGTTACTCACCGGCCTTGCCTCGGTTTTAATATTGACATTACGGAATACACCTTCACCAAAGTTCGGTGCTCCCACAAACAATCAGTCACTCATACTTGCTCTTCACCGAGGCCGAATGGCACGATCTTCCATGAACTTCCCCAACCAATCAACAAATGCATCTCCCTAAGCTCTATACAAGATGCCCTAGACTCATTACTCTGCAGCGCTTTCTTCGACCCATGCATTCCATGGAACCCTTCTTGGGGCCGCATCTCTCGGTGTGAGGAGAGCCCTCTCGACAGAAGGTGGCTTTGACAATCGACGGCTTCTCAACGCGATCTCATATAACAAACCCTATCTAAGTGCTTTATGGGATGCAGCAGTGTGCAATGATCAAGCTAGTTTGTTCTTGAAAATGGCCCATCTTAGCCTACCGCCTATATGTCTGGCTCCTGCTGTTTTAACGAACACGGCTCAATCCTTTCTTCAGATAGCATATCATTCAGATGGCTCAAAGGCTCTCATTCTCCGAGCAGACGAGTACCCAACTTCATACTTTTGCCGACTAGATATACCAGTTCCATGGTCACCTGCGCCCCTCCTCCCCTTCCCCCTTGGGCACCCACCCTGTCGGAAACCTCAGCCTTAAAGTTAGAGCACATCTTGCGCATAAACTGAGACCTGTTTCATGGACGAGATTCTGGATCTTGGGCTCTAGAGAAAGGATCCCAGCGAACACGCAGCATCAACTGAGCGTCGGTCCAGTTTACCGTCTTCTCCACTCTTATTCTGTATTGCTTACTGACGAGTAAGTCTATGCACAATCAATACCCCTCATTCTATACTGATAACTATAGCTTACCTATTTCCGAACTAAATAAAGTCGACGAGAAATCTGGGGAGGCAATATCGCGCCCATTCAATTAGCATAGAAGTTACGACGGTGGCATCTGGCAGGATGATGGTCAGGGGGATATTGAATTAGTTCGTCGACTCCAGATTCATCCGTGGATTGTCGACCCATTGGATGACCACGGAGAAGACAAGCCAGTCAAGGAACACACGCAACATGGGCTTTGTGTCGAGGGTATTCTCCTGTGTAATAGCCAAGCCGAAAATCATTGACAGTCTGGGGGATTCGTCTACTGTGAAGTACCCTTAATTTTAGGGATTGGTATCCATTAACTAAAGATACGAGACGTTAGGAAGATTTCGATGAACAAGTCTACCCTGCAACTAGGTGAGTATACTGATTATGAAATTGTAGAAGTATCAGTTTTGCAGTCAAATAGGATGAAAGTGGAGCGGAGACAAAACCATATATTCTTTGGATAACCCTACACGCGATCAAGCTTCGAACACCAAACTAGGGGTACAGACCTGCCAGAATCAAGCAACCTGCAGTCGCTGGAGTATTAATTCTCGCGAGAACTAAGCTAGGAGAAAAGGTTCCAATACTATCAAAGAAACCCCGAAAACTGCTACAGAATGAGCTGACGAGCGGTGTGCATATGAGAAATGTAGCCCTTCATTAGCAACGGAAATATTTCTATTTATGAATTGATTACTTTCAATCAAGGTTGGCATGTTGTCAGGTCTAATGACCCAGGTTCTTGGGAGCAGGAGTAGCTGGTCCCTCCGGGGTGACATATGCCTATCGTTCTATTAGCTACCGTCACAAGTAGATTTGCATAGACCGAAGCGTACCTTGGACATTCCACCGTCAACAACAAAGTCATGGCCGTTGACAAAACTGCTCTCGTCACTGGCAAGGAAAACCACTGAATGGGCCTGTTCGATGGCCTCGCCGAATCGCCCGGTGGGGAAATGTACCTCACGGCGGTAGCGCTTGGGCTTGTCATCGCCCAGCCAGTCCTGGAGGAGTGGGGTGCTGTCATAGTCAGCATAGCCTTCAATCAAACCCGATGCCAACGCAGCACCACTTACTTTAGCGGGGCGGGGCATAGAGCATTGAAGCGGAAGCCTTCACGGGCATGCACAATCGCTAATTCACGGGTCAAGGCCAGCACGGCGCCCTTACTAGCGGTGTAAGCCAGTTGAGGCGTAGCACTACCGACTAAAGCAACCACACTAGCAGTGTTGATGATACTGCCCTTTGTCTTCTTGTGGCGACGGAGACTGAGCACGGCGTGCTTGCATCCAAACCACACTCCCTTCACGTTGATGTTCTGCGTCAAGTCCCAGATCTTCTCGGGTGTATCCACGGCATCAGCATCGTCGGCGTGCATAATGCCTGCATTATTAAAGATCACGTCAGTTCCACCCCAGCTGTCTTGAGACTCCACCATGGCCTGTACGTCGGACTCCTTGGAGACATCGCATTTGATGGCTTCAACGCGGGGGGCGTTAGGGACAACCTCCTTCACTTTGGCGAGGGCTTTCTCGAGGGCGGGAGTAGAGATGTCGGCCATGAGAACGTTGGCACCCTCCCGCGCGAAGAGGATGCTGGTCTCAAGACCTATCCCACTACGCTTTATGAGTGTCTTGCCGGATGGGGTTGATGTTGGAGCACTCACCCTGCAGCCCCGGTAATGATGGCATTCTTGCCTTGGAGACGACCTACAGGAGCAGCCATTGGGTCGTATGTCTACCATCCAACGACTGTCAGTGATTGCTTTTGGTGTTTATTTCCCATCCCACGGTTAACGAGATCCGGAGGATGATGATGATGATGATGATGTCATAGGCAAGATACAAGACTCACGATTTGGGGAGTAACTGGTAGGGTATAGGACCAATTGAGGTACAATTCAATTCAGTTCAGGAAGAGGGTCAATTCTCAAGTCGGAGCTTCGATCAATTCCAGGAGCATTCGGGGACAACACATCATGAAAACGTGGGGCAGGTTTCCACCCTGTATTATCTAAGCTGTGGAATCAAGTGACATCAAGTGATGAGTTGATAAACAAATTGATAACAAGGGAGGTCGGAATATTCGGAGGAATCGCAGGGAGTTAAGGAACACGAGTCCTGCAAGGTCGAGGCCTTGAAGACTCATGATAAACGTTTCCTTTGTCATCTTGGCGCCATTAGAGCAAGACAATTTATATTGTCCAAATGGACAAGGAAAAGGAGGGCGCAGTTTTGCCCCCGAGCGGTCATTTGATCGCGCCTGACGATAAGGCGGCGATAACTCCCTTCCGCCCGCACTCTCCAGATTGACCACGAGTCTCCCCTTCGTAAGTACCTAATCCTTCCGTCCACATCTATCGCCGAATTTAAACTGACCTTGTTGCCTCATTAGCTCCAGAAGATGGGCTCCATATCCACTCCCGAAGTCACGCTCAACAATGTTTCACACATCTTGCAGGATGATACCCGTGTCAAGTTGGCCGGCGTGGATGTCGATGGGATATTGCGGGGGAAGCTAGTCTCCAAGAAGAAGTTCCTATCGATCGTATCGGAAGGCTTTGGTTTCTGCTCGGTGGTCTTTGGGTGGGACATGCATGATCGCACATATTTCAAGGAATTGGCCATCAGTAACAAGGACAATGGGTATCGGGACCTTCTTGCGATTCCGGATCTGAGCAGTTTCCGTCGTATTCCCTGGGAAAACAATGTTCCTTTCTTCCTCGTGAGCTTTCACGACCCTGAGACTCGAGAGCCCGTATGCGCATGCCCCCGCGGTCTGGTAAAGACAGCGCTCAGCAAGCCTGAAGCGGCTGGGTATCGGGCCATGGCAGGTGGTACGTCACCCCATCGCAATCCTACTTTAGTGGTATGTTAACTGTTGCAGCCGAATATGAGTTTTATCAATTTCGCGTGCCAGAGGCGTATTCTTCGCCCGAGCGTAACGCGTCCTCCACGGCGACCTTCTTAAAAGAGAATCCCGTGGAGGCATTACCCTCCCTCACCGAAGGGATGTTCGGATACAGCTTGACCCGTCCAGTTCATAACCAGGATTATTATTATGGAATTTTTGATGCATGTGAGGAATTTAGATGTGATATTGAGGGGTGGCATACGGAGAGCGGGCCGGGGGTGTTCGAGGCTGTAAGTGATGGGCCCGTGGCTTGCACGATTTCCAACGCTGACGATATTGCTAGGCGCTACAATTCGGAGAAGCCCGGGAGATGGCCGATAAAGCGGGCCTTTTCAAGTGAGTGAGTCGCATATGGGATAGATCCAGGCCTTGCTAACCACGACGCAGGTATGTCGTCAAATCCATCGGGACCAAGCATGGCATCACCCCGACTTTCATGGCGAAACCCCGCGAAGGCTTGCCGGGGAATAGCGGCCACATGCACATCTCGCTCGTCACCAGCGATGGGAAGAACGCTTTTCTGCGCGACGCGCCCGATCCATCTCCTCCTTACCCCGACGTGGCTCATTTGTCGGACTTGGGCAGACATTTTCTGGCGGGGATTCTCACCGGCCTTCCGGACATAATGCCAATGTTTGCACCAACGATCAATTCTTACAAACGACTGGTAGAGAATTTCTGGGCTCCGGTCACCGTGTCTTGGGGCCTCGAGCATCGCGCGGCCTCGATCAGATTGATTACGCCGCCCGCCGCCCGACCGAAGGCAACACGGTTCGAAGTACGAGTGCCCGGAGCGGATGCCAACCCGCATTATGTGATGGCGGCTGTTGTCGCATTGGGATGGCGGGGTGTGGAAAAGCAATTGGAGGATCCCTGTGCCCCCGCTTTCTAAAAGTGAGGAGATGGGGGGTGCCAGAGACAAGGGGGTGCGTCTGGCCAAGTCCCTCAAGGAAGCCGTCGCGGCGTTTACGCGAAAGGACAGTGTCGCACGTGAAGTATTTGGGGATACCTTCGTTGACCACTTTGGCGGCACCCGAGAGCATGAAGTACGCTTGTGGGAGGAGGCAGTGACAGATTGGTATGTTTTTTTGTTTGCTTTATGTCTCTGCATTTACGTGGTGTACTGACGATGTTGTAGGGAGGTGAGACGGTACATTGAGACGGTCTAGACTCGACTCCGTTTGGTGGATATGAATAAGAAATGATAGATACCAATCAGCTGGCGTAGATTATCATTATTATTTAGCGTCGTCTGTAGCATTCTGCAGAGCTCCATGACTATCGGGTAATGCTTTTTTCTCTGGAGCAAACCCGTACCATCCCGATCCCAGGAGGCAGAATCGGGGGAGAACCGGAATGTTCATTGAGTTGATGATTCACAAGCAGCGGACATCACATGCTCAGGGTTTCACATGCCATATCATCTTCCCTTTTTGGGAGATACAAACAACTTACCAGATTAGTAGTAGTGGGAGTAACACTACAATTAATCAGTTATCACTTGGTCAATTATCTTATGATCGCGGTGCAGTTGAGTGACTTGTTTGTATACGGGGATGCGAGAATATATAATTAATAACTGGACTCGGTGCATGGTGTGTGGTATTGTATTATCTGATTGCAACCGTCACAGAATCGGAATGAATCGGTAGCCTGAGGCCAAATCAGGCCGGGAACCATGTCCAATGGAAGGAGATATATGGTGACGTTAGGGGACCGCGGCTGTGAGTGGAAGGTTCGGGTGTGCGGGGAGTTTATTCTCTTTGTCCCTCGGTTGTTGAAGGACTCACTCACTTGGTATCTGAAACATTACCAAAACCGTACGCTGGTGGTCAGGGGTGTATGTTTCGATGTTCAATCAGGATGCCAATGGAGCGGGCAAATCACCGGAGATTCCTTCCCTTCCAGCATGCATACTGAGTAGAATGTATCGCCAGCAGTAGTCATACAGTGTTCTAATATAGATAAAGTTCCTTATCGGTTTGCGGCGGCCCCCGGGTGAGGGGAATCTAATCGGACGTGGGGAGTGTCGGCCGAGAAGCCAAAGAGCTGCTGCAGGTATTCGTATTACCGATCACCGTACTATTCTCCGCGGTAAAGTCACGGGGAAGAGCTGGAAGCTCCCCAGACTGCACCCCGATTAGGAAATTTCCGCTCATCCTCTCCGATATCGACTCGCCATGAGGGCCAGCGACTGGTTCCTGGCCTATCGCTGCTCCATTCACATTGAGAGGACCATGACGATAACCTGCTACAGGGTGAATTACAATACCGTTGTGTTACCGTCCAGAGCGTCCTTGCCCTATCCAATTTGGACCAGACTTCCCATGGGCCGCGGTTGTCCATGGTTCTGACGTAGTCTCCTTTGCTCCAGCCGATTGTACTTATATACCTGTTGGCCGTGCCTCGGACGCTTCCCTTTCTTTCTCCTGACTGTTCCCAAATTTGTCTCGGTTTACTTGTTGACAGAAAGAACAAGAATCACAATCATGAGTCAAATCGACGTGCAGCTCAAGGATGTCGCCATCCTCGGCGCCATCCCCAACGACGCTCGCAAGATCCTCACCAAGGAAGCTTGCGCTTTCCTCGCCATTCTCCACCGCACCTTCAACCCGACTCGGAAAGCCCTGCTGCAGCGCCGCATCGATCGCCAGGCCGAGATCGACAAGGGTCATCTCCCCGATTTCCTTCCCGAGACCAAGCACATCCGGGAGAACGATGCCTGGAAGGGTGCCCCTCCCGCCCCCGGCCTCGTTGACCGTCGCGTTGAGATTACCGGCCCGACTGACCGGAAGATGGTGGTGAATGCGCTGAACGCCGATGTGTGGACCTACATGGCTGATTTCGAGGGTAAGTCAGCCGACTTGAGGAGGCTGCGGGAACAACCGCTGACGGAGTGTGTGACAGATTCGAGCGCTCCGACATGGGAGAACATGATCAACGGCCAGGTGAACCTGTACGATGCCATCCGTCGCCAGATCGATTTCAAGCAGGGTAGCAAGGAATACAAGCTGCGTACTGATCGCACCCTCCCCACATTGATTGCTCGTGCCCGTGGCTGGCACCTGGACGAGAAGCACTTCACCATCAACGGAGAGCCCATCTCCGGTAGCTTGTTTGATTTCGGTCTTTACTTCTTCCACAATGCCAAGGAACTGGTGGCTCGCGGGTTCGGGCCTTACTTCTACCTGCCCAAGATGGAGTCTCACCTGGAGGCCCGACTGTGGAACGACGTCTTCAACCTGGCCCAGGATTACATTGGCATGCCCCGGGGAACCATCCGCGGTACTGTTTTGATCGAGACCATCAGTGCGGCGTTTGAGATGGACGAGATTATCTACGAGCTCCGGGACCACAGCTCCGGTCTGAACTGCGGCCGCTGGGACTACATCTTCTCCTTCATCAAGAAATTCCGCAAGCACCCCAACTTCGTTCTCCCCGACCGCTCCGATGTCACCATGACCGTGCCCTTCATGGATGCCTATGTGAGGCTGCTGATCAAGACCTGCCACCGTCGTGGCGTTCACGCTATGGTAAGCACCCGAAAGTAACGGATACGTGGGACGACAGATGTGCTAATTTTAAATTAGGGTGGTATGGCTGCTCAGATCCCTATCAAGGACAACCAGGCTGCCAACGACAAGGCCATGGAGAATGTGCGCGCCGACAAGCTGCGTGAGGTTCGCGCCGGTCACGACGGTACCTGGGTGGCGCATCCGGCTCTAGCGGCGATCGCTTCCGAGGTCTTCAACAAGCACATGCCAACCCCCAACCAGCTCTTCGTACGCCGTGAAGAGGTCACAGTTACCGCCAATGACTTGTTAAACACAAACGTTCCCGGCAAGATCACCGAGGACGGCATCCGGAAGAACCTGAACATCGGTCTGTCGTACATGGAGGGTTGGCTCCGTGGTGTCGGATGCATTCCGATCAACTACCTGATGGTGCGTATCCTTTTTCCCTTGCCGGCTTTAGGAGTAAATAGGACGCTAACCCCTGAATAGGAGGATGCTGCTACTGCTGAAGTGTCTCGCAGTCAGCTCTGGCAATGGACTTACCACGGCATTACCACGTCCGAGGGCAAGAAGGTCGACAAGGCATACGCGCTGCGTCTGCTGAAGGAGCAGGCTGACACCCTGGCCGAGAAGGGTCCCAAGGGCAACAAGTATCAGCTGGCGGCGCGGTACTTCGCCGGCCAGGTGACGGGCGAGGATTATGCGGATTTCTTGACGAGCTTGTTGTACAATGAGATCTCGTCGGCGGGCCAGGTGTCCAAGCTGTAATTGCGTTATGACTTGTATGAGTATACCATGGAGCATTTGTTAATTGTTTATTCTTATTTCGCTAGTTCCAAATGAACAATAAGATTATGTGCACAACATAACATACAATAACATAACCAAAACGTATCTGTCCGTAGGCCAGCCCTGTATGAGTGGATCCTCCCGTATGATACTAGTCTCTATCAGATCAACAGGTAAAAAAACATCCAAGAAGGAATGAATAGATGTTTTGAAAGGGTATATGATCAGGTTTTGTCCTGCATCAAGCTAAATTAGTCAGCACTAGTACGGAACAAGGCAAGTTCTGTATCTAGTAACCTAAAGGAGGAAGCTTAGGGTTTGGGAAAATGCAGTTTCATTTTTTCCCCGGATTCTGCATCTTTCATACAACTACTATGCTCTCAGTCTATCCCACTCTGAACCTCTATCATGCCCTCCCCTACATACTTGAAAGACAGGCTCGCTAACGCCCCCTCCCGACGGGTCGATGCTCTTCCCAATTAAACCAGCCAGAGGCGATCGGCCGTCATGGCGTAATCTCCGACGTGACCGCCTGCTGATTGGCCCATTGGGGGTTCTGGCCCCGTGTCAAGAGAATCAACAATCATTACTCCTTCGAGTCTTGCACACTAAACCGCAATTCTCCTTTTTGTCGAATGTGCGGAGGTGAAGTACCGATGACTCTCTGAATTTTCGCTGCCCTGCGTTCTCTCACACTCGTTTCCCTATGCTTCCTTGCGCTTGAAACATCATGCCTCTTCCCCCTTACCGGGACGCTCCATCATCCGCCAAAATTTCCCCCCAGCGGTACACCCCACTACACGAATCCATTCCCGAGGAGCGCAACGGCAAAGGCTACGGCTCTGATGCCGACTCTCTCCCTCTCTCCGACCCATCCGATGGCGACGATGATTCCGAGATCAGGCTCCGTCGCGTAGACCGCCACGGAGCCCGCAGCAATCATGCAAATGCCTACATGCCCGTCGTAAGGAAATCTGGTGATGTCGAAGCGTATCTGGACAGTATCACCGAAGCAGAGCAGGAGTTACTCTCCGCGAGCCGGCAGTATGATGCCGTGGATGAAGACGACGACAACGATTCAGATGGATATGGCGTGGGGGTAAAAAAGGGGCAGAAACAGGGTTTACTACACAGCTCACGCGGTCGCCGGACAGGTTGGCGGACGGTTTACTACTCGAAGTATTGGTGGCGCATACTGATCGGGGTTATCGTGGCATTGGTCTTACTGGTCGGAGTATTCCTGACTATTGCGTGGTCCAAGCAAGCCGAGGAAGAGCTGGATTATGTATGTTGTTTCCACAACCTCTAACCTAACTATGTATTCGAGGTCAGTGCTGACAATTAGCAGTCGATGATTCCAGCTGAATCATGGTTTCCTACTCCGCGGGGTGGAGCTTTAGAGGAATGGGCGGAAGATTACCAGAAAGCGGCGATGTTAGTTGGGAATATGACCCTGGTCGAGAAGGTTAATATCACAACTGGAACTGGCTGGAGGATGGGGCTCTGTGTAGGCAATACGGGTATGCTTCATTCACGTTCTTCCGTTCGTAAAATGTGTACTCATATCCTCAGGACCGGCCGAATTTGTCCGATTTCCCTCCCTGTGTTTACAAGATGGGCCGATGGGGATACGATATGCGGACCACATTTCAGCCTTTCCTCCCGGTCTGACCACAGGAGCTACCTGGAATCGTGATTTGATTCGGGAAAGAGGTGTTGCACTGGGGCTAGAGGCACGCATGAAGGGGGTTAACGTGCTCCTTGGTCCATCGATGGGGCCCCTTGGGATGATGCCCGCGGGCGGGCGCAACTGGGAGGCCTTTGGTTCCGATCCTGTGCTTCAAGGAGTCGCTGCGGCAGAGACCATCAGGGGCATTCAAAGTAACGGTGTGATGGCCACCGCCAAGCACTTCGTCATGAACGAGCAGGAACACTTCCGCCAACCCTTTGAATGGGGCATCCCTACCGCGCTGTCATCGAATGTAGGAGACCGGGCTTTACATGAGGTATTTGCGTGGCCTTTCGCGGAGAGTATCCGCGCAGACGTGGCTAGCGTAATGTGTGCCTACCAGATGGTCAACAATAGCCATGCCTGCGAGAACAGCAAATTACTGAATGGGATCCTCAAGGACGAGCTGGGATTCCAGGGATTTGTGCAGTCGGACTGGCTGGCTCAACGATCGGGCATCAATAGCGCTTTGGGTGGGCTCGACATGAGTATGCCTGGTGATGGCTTGCAATGGGCGGACGGAAAGTCCCTGTGGGGGAGTGAACTGACTCGCGCTGTACTCAATACGTCTGTTCCCATGGAGCGACTAAACGACATGGTAACTCGTATCGTCGCAGCATGGTATCATCTCGGACAGGACCAATGGGAACGCCCGTCGCCCGATGGGGAAGGTGGCCCTAACTTCTCCTCTTGGACGGACGATGAAACCGGCTGGTGGCAACATGCTAGTGCCGAGGAAAACGATTTGAATGGAGGATGGGGTATTGTTAACAAATACGTGGATGCCGGCGCAGGGCACGGGGACATCTCAAGAAGAGTGGCCGCAGAAGGCATCGTTCTTGTGAAGAATCAGAACAACACGTTGCCACTGTCCCGTAGCCCCCAAGGCCCATATCGCGTTGGTGTTTATGGTGACGATGCTGGACCGGCTTTAGGGCCAAATGCGTGCCCGGACCGTGGATGCAACCAGGGTACCTTGGCGGCTGGTTGGGGTAGCGGTACCGTCGAATTCCCTTACCTCGTGAGTCCCCTAGAGGCTTTGCAGGGTGCTTGGCAAACCGAAGTCGATATTACCCCGTATCTGCGGAATATGGTCCTGCCAATGGATGCCCAGGATAAGGACTTGTGTCTTGTGTTCGCCAATGCAGACTCGGGCGAAGGATATATCTCGGCCGGGGGAATCCACGGTGATCGCAATGACTTGTTCCTGCAGAAGGGGGGCGACACCCTGATCGAAGCTGTGGCTGGCAACTGCCGGGGACCGACGGTGGCGGTGGTGCACGCTGTGGGCCCGGTCGTCGTCGAGTCATGGATTGATCATCCCGGTGTGGATGCGGTACTCTTCGCCCATCTGCCTGGTGAGGAAAGCGGTAATGCGCTTGTAGATGTTCTGTTTGGTGACGTCGATGCGAGTGGACGACTGCCGTACACGGTTGGCAGGAGCTTGGAGGACTACGGACCAGGGGCGCAAGTGCTATATGAAAACAACGCCCCAGTACCACAGGTTGACTTTTTGGATGCGCTGTATTTGGACTACCGGTATTTCGACAAGTTTAACATCACGCCGCGATTTGAATTCGGGTTTGGCCTGTCCTACACCACCTTCGAGCTATCCAGGTTGCGAATCAAATCGCTGCAAAGGAAGTCTCGACTGCCAAAGTCGCGCCCGGTAGATCCAGTTTCCCCCCCAGAGTATGACAGTCGTCCGCCCGTGAACGACAGCGTGCTCTTCCCGGATGGGTTCCACGCGTTACGCAAGTATATCTATGCATACCTGCCCTCGTTGGACGGGACAGCCGCGGCAAACTACTCACATTATCCGGACGGATATGACCTGCCACGACGACCGTCACAAAGCGGAGGCGGTCTCGGTGGTAACCCGGCGCTGTATGAAGAAATGGCCCAAATCCAAGTCCAGGTGGCTAACACGGGCAGCCGTACTGGCCAGACTGTCGTCCAAGCCTACGTGTCATTCCCGCCGAATGTGGTTGAAGACGGCGATTTGATCGAGGTGCCGCTGGACGAAAGCAAAGAACGGATGACGTTTGTGCGCGACAAAGAATCTATCGAATTTCCGGACAGGGTTCTCCGGAATTTCACTAAGGTTGCGCTGGAGCCGGGCGAGAAGAAGACGGTTGAAATGCGGTTCAGCCGCAAGGATCTTAGTTACTGGAGTGCTCGTCAACAAAATTGGGTCATGCCCGACGGCGAGTTCCAGATCTGGGTTGGGCAGAGCTCGCGGGACCTGCCCTTGCACGGCAAGTACTGAAACCGATGTTCAGTCCGTCCTACTATGTACAGTAAGCGCATCATCGGTTGTATAATTAACCTTTTGCACATAGATCATACTAGATATATATAGACCGACCCTTGAAACATAACATCATTTGGCATCGGGGAGCCACAGATTCCTCCACCAGCAGGGCTCTCAGCCACGCGCTAGTAACTAGGAAACGGTCAAGACCCTGAGTCGTGGCCAGTGATACTCCGTCGGAGAATCTCCACCCACCCAGTTGATGACTTTCTGCACCTGCCGATCGGGCCGATCATTGCTGTTAAGCGCAGTCAACCGGACGGCAAATTCCTGTCCGAAGTGGGTATTGTCTCAGTTAGATCAGTGAACACATGCGAGAAAAATTCCAGCAGTCAATCACAATCAAAAGCAATGCTACATTGACGGGCAAAAGACGGAATTTTCTAGATCACCGAGTCCCGTATAAATAAACCCTGTCCATTCCCCTGAATCCTGCCCTTCCGCAACCTGTATAACATCCTATCATTAAGATTCAATTATTTCGGATTTCAACCAAAACAAGTCCATTCATTCACAATGAAGTTCCTCGCTATCTCTTCTCTCGTCGCAGCAGTTTCTGCTCTGCCCTCCGTGCCTGCCCCTAAGGCTCACAACGACCCCAATGCCTTCGGTGTCGTCGCCGCTCGTTCCGCCTCCCCGATTCACTTCCTCACTCTGAACGCTGCTGGCTCCCACTTCTACCTCGGCGGCAAGGCCTCGACCTACTGCCCGGAGAACGTCCAGAAGCTGGGTGCCTGCCCCCCGGGCAAGGAGACCGTCCTTCTCGGCGATAAGTACCTCGTATGTCCCATCTCCCAGGGCAATTGATACCCACCGGCATCCTGAAAGAGATACTAACCTTACCACCAGGATGTCACCGTCCCCGGCGGCCAATCCATCTACGTCGACCCCAAGGGCGCCCTTTCCTTCACCGTGCCTCACTCCGGCTACACCCCTCCCGGCTCTTCCACGGACGGCTTCTCCTACAAGCCCGGCAAGAACGGCGCTCTCGGCAGCTGGAGCTACAAGCAGGGCCTGATGGCCTGCCCCACCACCAACAGCACCATCGTGCCGGGCAACCCCAAGTGGCAGGTGTTCGCCGCCACTCAGAATGCTACTGTGCCCACCGGTAACGTGAGGGACTGCCTCGGATTCTCGGCCATTGCTGCGCCTTACAACGGCACCGCCGCCGCCTGGGAGTACATCTAAGCTCACTTCTGTGATTCTTTCGCGGATAAATGTCCAAAGACTGGTGTATATAAACGGAAGCCCTACGTACAGCACAGAGGCTAAGGATGTGAATATGGAAGGAGGCCATGTCAAATAACTTAATTGAGTCGAGGTTTTTATGTATTATACGCCTACTTATTTTCATTCAATATGAGCGAAACCGGGCGAGAGCTACGCATGTCCACAGCAAGCAAGTAAACTCGCTCATGAAAAAAAGCTAATCAGTATACCCTCCACTAACATCCTCCACCTCATGGTGTCTCGCGTCCTGACCCCGAAACCTCCTCTTCCCCCTAACCACCCAATCAACCCCAATAACCAGCCCAACAACCACATAAACCACACAGACATAATTCATATCTATCAAAACGTTAGCACATGTCTTTTATAGTAAGAAGAAAAAAAAAAGACACTCACTCCCCGGATTAACCGGATAAACACTCGGAAACGAATAGATAACCAAACAAAACGCTGTCCACCCAAGCACAACAACATTACACGCGAACCCAACCCTGCCTAACCAAAACGGGCCGTGGGAGATACTCTCCCTTCCCCTACCCAGTAACGCCACGACCGGAATAACATAGCTGGTATAAAGCAAGACAATACAAGCCGAAACCATACTATTAAAGGCAGTGGATGACCCCAAATACAAGAGACCCAAGAGCCCCACGACAAAACAGCTAACGCAGTGGGCGTTAAAGGGGACGTCGAGGGTCGGGTGGATTTTCGCCAGGAAGGAGGAGAACGGGAGGCCGTTATCGCGGGCAAAGGACCAGCAGAGACGGGATTGCCATGTGTGGCAGGCGATTTGGCACCCGACGCCTGTGATTAAGATCAGGGATTCAAGGGCGATGGCGCCGGCTTTGTTTTGGAGGGCTTGGTAGAAGAGGGCGAGGATGGGGACGCCGGTGGGGGAGGAGAGGATGGCGTCGAGGTCGTGGACACTGAAGAACATGGCGATGCAGTAGAACCAGGAGGTAGTGAAGCCGATGGCGACGGTGGAGAGGATGGCGATGGGGATGGTGCGTTCGGGGTGGTGGACTTCTTCGGCGAGGTGGGTGGCTGAGTCGAGGCAGGCGAAGACCCAGTTTGGGTTGATGAGGCCGACGAGGAAGGCGAGGCCGTCGGAGGGCCAGCCAGTGGAGTTGACGAAGTTCGCGAAGACGAATCTGGCGTTGGCGTGGGTGGGTGCGGCGGCGGGGACGGTGATGAGGATGACGGCGAAGGAGATCAGGGAGATGTATAGGGTTGCTGTGGCGACTTTGGGGAGGGCTTTCCCGACGCAGTTGAAGAGGAAGGCGAAGAAGTTGATGGCTTGGTAGGCTACGACGGAGTGCCAGGGTTTGGGAACGCTGGATGCGCATGCATTAGATGTGTACGATGTACATTCAGGGCATCCTGAGGGAGCCATACAAGTCAGGATGGGATAGCTGCCACATACCCACGCCCGCTGAACCCAAACTCAGGGCCACACTGGCGCAGGTGAAAATAGCCCCGGCCCAAGCGACCCATCCGGTCAGGTACGAGGCGACGGACGCATATCGCTTGGGGGCGAGCTCGCCGGCCCAGAAATACTGTCCGCCGGCATTGGGCATGGCTGAAGCCAACTCCGACAGCGTGACGGCGACGCAAGTCGAGACGAGGGCAATCCAGGGAATTCCGTATATGGTCAAGACCGTTCCACCCGAATTGATCCCGGTGATCAGCGAAGCGGAGATCCCGAACCACGAGTTCGCCAACGAGAAGGCTACGCCTAGTAAGGAGATGACGGAAAAGTTCCGCTGCATATCCTGGGTGTAGCCCATCTCTGCCAGTCTACTCGCGTCGGCGTCCACGTTACCAGCTGGGACATCGTCATCGGCGGGCGTGGTGACCACTTTGTCCGCTTTGGAAGTTCGCATGGAGAATTCGGTAGGGCTGTGCTGCACGGGCTGAAGCAGAGCGTAGTCGGGCGGGCGCGAGGGAAATATTGTTTTTAAGAACATGATGGAGTGTTACAATGGGCACACTGTTGCATTGGGGTGACGCAAGGGGGGTAAGATTCCCTGATAAAGCTAGGGAGGGGCTGTTTGAATATCTTTTTAGATCGGAGGAAACCTATGAGAAAGAGAGACAAAAGAAAGAAATAAAGAAACAACCAATCTATTAACGAATGGCCGACTGAGTCTTCAGACGTAACACAGTCAACGACAGATAGACCGTCAGCAAGCACCGAGATATGTACCGTGAAAAGGGAATAGAAACAAAAGAAAATAAGGGGGGCAACAGTAGACGGGAACTTATCGCCGACTTGACAATGGGCTAGTGTAAAGTGGAAGTTGAAGTTAAGAGGAGATAAAGATTGGGGACGAAGGGGTTGTTACACTTTAGGAACTTTGGCAACTCCACAGTTCCTCCAGTGGATGAGACGATGGGATTTCATTGGCCCGTGGGACCTTGGCTGACTCGTAGGTGATTGAATGTCCCCATAGGATGCATATTTCTCTTAGCTTGGTGGTGGCTGGCGCCTCTGACATATGGTGCAATTCTCGGAGGAAATCTTTAGAATGCAACTGTTTTAAAAGGAAACAATCTACCCTACCTGAATAAACCGCAAACTTTCCAGTCCAAGGTGAAATGAAGTTGACACACCTCGCACGTCCCTCGATCAGCGTCTGGGGGTTTCAGGGCGCGGTATGGCCACGTGAGTGAAACGCCGATCTCGTGGCCTTAATATGAGATGACGATGGTGATTGGTTGGAGGATACAGGTCATGCTCCATTATTAGACTACATAGTACATGGATGTATTCAGGGGAAATCTACATATTTTATAGGACCAATTACATATAGAAGAACGTGAAGACCTGTGAAATTGACGGGAAAATGACCGCTACTAACCTGTAGCTCCCAGTGGCATTCAATTATGTGCTTCCAACCACTATTCTGTACAGGCCTGCCAAGCTCTGTTTAGTCACGACCAATGCTAACTTATTGATATCCATTCAATGCATGCAGTCCGAGGTCCTTGCAATCCGCAATCGCTTGCCCTGGCTGGGCAGCGAAGCATTGAACTGTCTTAACTAGTCCTTCTAAAACTTTCTGCAGCCTCTGCTGTGACATCAGACCTGCGGGCGAGGAAACATAAACAAATATACTATCATTCCGGGGCACTGTCACCACATGCAAGTAGCTGCGTTGATAAGGCTGCGAAAAGGCCCGTGCCGTGCAGTCAATCCCATGATCTAAGGAGAATTGCGGAGTTAGGTCAATGTTCTGATGCTGGAACAGCATTCCCAATTGGGTATCTTCTGGCCAACTGGTAGCTTGGCGAATAATATTTGACAGACCGACTGTGTCACAAATCATGGTCTGAACGTGCTGGTCATGAATTTGGCGGAGAAACTGTGCGACTGTCTGCGTGGGGCCTGCCTGGACTCGCACGGGGATGATGTTGAGGCACGGCCCAACTATGCCTTCAACACCAGGGAGATCGACTCCGCGGCCGTTGACGACCTGACCAAATGTGACGTCTTGCTGGCTGGTGAGCTGCATGAAGACATACGCAGAGGCCGCTTTAAAGAGGGTGGCCATTGTAACCCCGGTGGGAAGGTCGAAAGAAGGGATAGTGTCTTGGCTTTCTATTATTTCGTCTGAACGGTGAGTGCAAGGGATAGTAGTATTGGTGCTTTGCGGGATGTGGGTCATTGAAGCGTCCTTGAGGATTTCACGCCAAATCGCAAATGATGTATCAGTGTTGTAGCACTGGATGTGGCGAACATATGTTGAAAAACCAGATGACGGGTTTGAGAGTGTGTCTCTCTGATATGCGGTTGCTAGGTCCTGGTAAATGGTCGACATGCTGTAGCCATCATATTGTGCATGAGACATTCTTATAATCAGAACGTGCTCCTGCCCGTGCAAAGAGGAGAGAAGTTTAAATCTCAGAGGAGAAATGCTAAGGGGTAAAGGGATAATATTATCAGCTCTGCACAGATCTTCTGCAGCGCTGGTGAGATCCTCAGAACACAATATCTGCGTAAAATCGAGATCGATATGACCCAAAACTATCTGTAGTAAGGCATGCTGATGTGAGACAAAGACCGTGCGAAGGGCTGAGTGCCGATCTAAAAGCGCTTGACATGCTGCCTTCAATCGTTCCGAATCCACAGCACCTTTCATGCTTAGGAAAAAATGGGTACAGGGCCAGTAAAGGATGGACTCGGTCTGGAAGTCTGTGGTATGCATAATCTCAGCAATATTATCCGCCCCGCCGAAAACTTGAGGCCCAATTATCTCGCGCAGATATGCCTCATCAATCGTGGCCCTTTCATGTGTTTTTGGTGTTTGTGACGAGTCATGATGGCTGCCTTTGTGCGCCAGGCTTTCCAAATTGGGACATAGGAAGACATCTCGAACCGTGAAGAAGAGCCTTGCCTGCCTTGCAGCACTCACTAGCTTCATTGCTGTGCTAGAATCACCCCCCAGTCCAAGGAAATTGTTCGCCATGCTTACAATATCAAGGCTAACACCAAGAACGCTGGCAACCAATTCCTGCAGGCTCTGTTGCGCAGGTGTTGCAGGGAGCTGTATTTCCCTTTGGTTTGATATGTAGTTCATCAGTGTACTAAAGGGGAGTTGTTTCACACTCTTTTGAAGCCTGAGTCGGTCTAGTTTGCCTGAGAAAGTTAATGGTAGGCGCCTAACAGGAATGAAAGTGGAAGGGATCATAAAGGTAGGTAGGGAGTTTGTCAGGCAGGATTTGACGCGAATTGCCTCTGAACGAAATTCGGCATCAGGAGACAGGAAAATTGTATCTATATCTCCGTTTTTCTCCCCTTTGTTGGGAAGAACATCATTCAGCTCCACAAAGGCGATGACCATGGCAGCAGTAGCCTGCTTCGGCGTAATTATATCCACGCAAACATGCCTTGCACGCTCAAAGCACGCCCTGACGTGCTGCTCAATATCTCCCAGCTCAATTCGCTGACCCCGAAGCTTGACTTGCGTATCCTTTCGGCCTATATATTTAATTGACCCATCGGCACTGTATCGTGCAATATCCCCTGTTTTGTACAGGCGCGACGCACTGGCCGATGACTGAAGATCTTTCAACCACTGTGGGGGCTTGGTAATGAACACTTCCGCCGTCTGGGCTGGATTATTCAAGTACCCGCGTCCTACAATAGGCCCTTGAACTACCAACTCACCCGCAGCACCGATTGGGGCGAGTTTCTCATGATTCGCTTTGTCCACAATCCACAATTTACATCCCATGGCAAACCCTATGTTGGACGGGTCTGAGTCCTTATTGATCTGGGACTGGACGCAGCACCCCACGGAGCACTCCGCAGGACCATATTCGGCAATTAAACGACTCTGTCCCGACCAGATGGCAATGTCTGCATTGGATAATGGCTCCCCGCCCACAATGATAGTTTGCAGAGTCGGAACCGCCTTTGGATGAAGCATTCGGAGGACGGACGGTGTCAAGCATGCCCAATCGGCCTGATACGTGTTGATTGTTTCGGCCAGGTGGTTGATTCGTTCCGTTTCGGAGGGAACGCAGAGACATGCACCAGTTGCCAAGCAGAGCAGAGTATCTGAAATGCTGACGTCGAAGCTGTATGAGGAAAATTGGAACACCCTTGCCGTATCAGTGAGTGACAGGGCCCCTTGTCGCGCTCTGGAGCCAGTGACAAACATCCGATGATCAATCACAACGCCCTTGGGTTTGCCGGTGGAACCGGACGTGTAGACCGCATAGAGAGCGTTATGGGGTTGTACAGATACACCACTACTCCTACTACTACTACCGGAGGACACTCTGGATCCAGGTAGTAGTAGCTGATCAAGGGTTTCCCCACATACAATTACACAAGAACTAGACGAGGTAGTAAGGCTCTGACTGAGTGGGGACTGGGCTGTGGAGGAAAGGATCCAAGCTGCGCCTGCGTCGCGTACAATTTCTTTCAGTCTCAGTTGAGGGTGCGAAGGATCGAGCATCACAAACGCTCCTCCGGCCAGTACAACCGCTACCATGGCCACCGTGGCCCACTTGGACTTTTCGAAGCACAAGCCCACATACATTTCTGGTTTGATCCCAGTCTCAACAAGATGATCAGCTAGCGCAGACGATAGCCTGTAGAGCTCTGAATACGTTAGACTCCCGTCCCACGCACACAGCGCCGTTGAGTTAGGTCTGGAAGCGCATTTTGTGCGAATAAGTTCATCCATACACATGTCGACTTCGTAGACTGGCCAGTTCCAGATGGAAAGTTGTTGTTTGGTTCGCTCAGTACATAGATTGAGATCTGCCACCGTGGCATGCGGCTTGCTGATGATCTCAGAGATAGCTCTGGAATACGTGTCTAAGACATTGGCAGCGTGATAGTCCGACAGGATGGTTGTCCAGTACTCGAGAAAGACGGTCATCCTCGAGCCCGATGTAATGGCATTAATTGAGATGTCATACTCCGTTGGACTTTGTTCCCAGGTACATTCAACAGTGAACGGAGACATGTCAGATTCTTCTGGGGACAGTGGCCTTCGGAAGGAGAACACCGTGTTGAAGAGGGGCTGGTCACCGAGCTGACTAGAGTGCAAGATGTCCGCTAGAGAACAGTGCTGGTAAGACAGGCCTTGGACGAAATCCTGCCGGTTTTGCTGCAGAATCTGTTTAACTGGGCGATTATCCTGGGTCAGATCAACACGGGTGATGAGCATGGTGATAAAGGGTCCAACGGCTTCGTCAATATCGGTGACGGGAACATCGCGACCTGCGGTCAAAGAGCCAAAGCAAACATTGCTGAAGCCTGTGTACGCACACAGTACAACTCCCCATGCTACCTGGAGGATGTTGGACAGGGTAGTGCCGGTCGACTGACAGAACGAGTGAAGTGTTTTCATCTGGGCATCTTCAAAGACTATATTCTGCATTTTGAGTTGCTTCCCCTTATTGAGACGCGCAGGCTCACCTTCCAGCGCGGGAAACAAGCACGGCTCAGCAGCTTTAAGGTACTCCTTCCAATATGCAAGGGACGGCTGTTGCGAGATTGTTTTCAGGTACTGCGTATATTTCTGAAAGCTGTAACAGGGCCCTGGTTGCAGCGTTTTGCAATATGCTGAAACCAAGTCTCGCATGATGATTCTCATGGAACCCGCGTCGAGCAGGGTGTGGTCTGTATCCAGCAAGCAGAAAATAGTATCCATCGATGATTGAACAAAGAGTGTGAGCTGAACTTGTGGCTCAGTCTCCTTATAATCCCTCCACTGGTTCTTGATGATCCTACTAATGGTTATCTCGCTGCCATCCTGCTGCACAACGTTTATTGAAGGAGTCTCCTTCAAGACAACGTTGTAGAAATAACACCCATTATCCGAGGAATTTTCCACTACGATAGCCCGTAGCATTGGGTGGCGCTTCACCACAGCTTGCCATGCCATTTTCAGCCGGTCTAACTGAATAACCTCGACGCTTGACCTTGTCTTCAGTTTCCACACCGTGCGCACCTGATAGCTACCCGTCTCTCTAGCACGGCTCAACAGCATGCCTTGCTGCATTGGTGAGCAGGAGAAAGCTGTATCAACCTTATCCAGAGGAACGGGTAGTGATGACGGATCCACCATGTGCTCCCACTGGGGCTGTCCTAAGTCCACCTTACCGTTGCTGGGAAGCGGGTCAGGTTCTATTGGACCCAGTTTCGCCGCAAGGGAAGACACGGTCATGCAGTGAAAGATATCCTGGACCGTCAAGGAAATACCTGCATGCCGACATTTGGATACAACCTGCATTGCAGCAATGGAGTCACCCCCAAGATGGAAGAAATTGTCATCGATGCCGACGGTACTTTCCTCGGCCTTGAGTACCTGGGCAAATATCTGCTGCAGCTGACTCTCTATCGATGTTTTTGGTTTCGTACTACTCTGCTTTGAATTTGATTGTAGAAACCGGTTGAAATCGAACACTGCCATATCAAGCGATGATGCGCACTCACGAAGGGTTCGACGGTCTGTTTTGCCGCTTACAGTCAGGGGTACGTCAGACAGCGGGATAAAAGACTCTGGCAACATATACGGAGGCAGAATGTTTCTTAGGTTCGAGTCTGCCTGTTTAGCATGATGGAGGAAATTATCGGATGGTTCCTCAAACAAGGAGCTGCCTTTTCGTTGGCGTTCTGTTAATGGACGCTCTGGCACGATGAATGCCAGCAAATGAGGATATGGCTTGCCCTGGAGGGTAACAACCTCTGCTATGACTTTCGAAACCTTCGTAGGAAAGCACTGCTTGACCTGATACTCGACTTCGCCCAGCTCTACCCGTTGGCCCCGAATCTTGACCTGCACGCCTTTCCGCCCAACATACTGCAAGGTTCCATCAGGGTTGTACTGAACCAGGTCTCCTGTCCTATACACTCGCCCTCTCTGGCCAGATATTTGTCGTACCCATTCTGGCGTAGATTTGAAGGCCATTTCCGTGACGGATGGGTTATCGAAATACCCCTGGGCGAGACTGGGCCCTTGAAGCAGTAACTCTCCAGCAGCACCCACCGGCGCCGGTCGTTGATAATCTTCAGGATCTGCAACCCACACATTCGCGTTGGAGGGCCGACCAATCGTCCTCAATGTGTCGACTGAGCGAACTTGCGGATTAACACAGCAGATGCCGCACCATTCCGTCAGCCCATGGGCTTGCATGACATGGACCCTACTATTGAGCCATGACGCAGCTTGACTCTTGCCCGCAAGTTCACCAGCAAGTGCTAGAATTTCAAGTTTGCTCAACTTAGTTGGGTCGATCGTGCTAGCGAGTGAGGGTGTGAGTATTGCCCAACTGACCTGGAGCGTTTCCATCACGTCGGTAAGGCCATTTAGGCGACTCTCATCTGATGGAACACACACTGTCCCTCCCTTAACCAGGGTGCACCATATTTCAATCAAGGAGACGCCAAAACTCAAAGAGGCAAATTGAAGTACCCGGCGTCCTCGATCGATTTTTAGGGTCTCGCCGTGGATATCAACGGTAGAAAAGGCGTCCTGATCCATTACACAGCCCTTGGGAGCCCCGGTACTTCCGGACGTGAAGAGAACGTACGCCGGATCGGTCGGGGCAATCTCTGGAAAAGGCACATCTGGCTGCGATAGGGCTAGCGACTCATCTACTATAATGACTTGCTCCACGGTCTGGGCCAGTTTGTCTCTGGAACTGGCCGAGGTCAAAATAAATGTAGCCCTGACCTGGCGCATGATCGCCTCCATGCGCCGTAATGGATACGAGAGATCCAACGGAACAAACGCAGCCCCTGTCTTATGTATAGCCACCAAAGCGACAATTGCCCATTTAGATTTCTCGAAACACAGCCCAACGAAACTACCGGGGCCAACACCCCTCGAGATCAAATTTTTGGCTACATTTGATGACAATCGCTCAAGCTCCCCGTAGGAAACGGTGCCATCCCAGGATACCACCGCGGGTGAACATGGGTCTTCGACGCTTCGTCGATGAATCTGTTCCGCCACAGAGACGAAAGCTCTCCGTCCCAGATGAGGATTATACCAGCTGGTGATATCAGCCCGGTTCCGGTCGCTGAACATATCCATCTCAATGACCTTCTGGTGTAAAGGACCCTTGATCATGCTCTGGACCACCTGCTCAACATTGCTTGTCAAGTTCCTGGCCTGCACCTCGGAAGTATGGGAGAGTTGGTGATGCACAAGCAGTTGAACGGTGGTTTTATGTACTACCGCGATAAGAGCGACGTCGAATTCCTGCATATATATATATATATATATATTAACTCCATAGAGCATTGGTTTCTAGAATGGTTTTGCATACCTCTCTGGTTTTTAGAATTGGAGTGATGGGATCACTATCAAGACTCGATTTATCTCTCGTCAAGCCAAACCCGTGTTGAATTAGAACACTAGAGTTATAGAGGTCTCGCCCTACTGTGTCAACGGAGCATCGCACAATAGATCCTCCATCTGTGACGAGATTTCCAACAGAAGTCTCCTCATCTAGAAATACCTTGCAAACATACATCTCAGACTGAGGAACAGGCTTCCGGGACGATTGGTAGTGCTCGGGTGCGCTACATGCAAATAGCAAAGGACTGCTGCCAGAGAATCGATGGAGCACGATGCTCCATACCGTTTGCAGGAATCGGTCCAAGCTGGCATTGGGCAGAAGGTTCCTGAATTCATCAAGGGCAAACTTGGTCTCTATTTCCACGAGATTGGACACTCGCTGTGATACAGTATCAATAGATGCTGGGAAGAGAGTAGGGTTGGTTTCTAGACTGTCGTCGTTGGCGTTGTAGGAACCCATCGTGAAATTAGTTCTGGATTCTTGATGTATATTTTGCCAACTATAATCGAATTACATTCCCTAGGCACTTCAGTAATATATAGTCTATACCGACTGATCCATCTAGCATAAGTAACAGGAAAAGCCGCGAAAATACAAGTAGGGGCCCCTGGCACGCAAACATGCACCTCGTACTTTTGGCAGCTGCCCAGTTACATTGGTCCAATTTGATTGTGGATCGTCAAGTCTATCTCGTATTACTTTAACTCCCTGCGACTAACAGGAATCCTGTTTCCATAGGCTACACAGTAACAGGTGCATCTTCTCGTGTCTGACTGCATGCCAAACGTGGGTTGGAGTCCAGATCCGTAGATCATCTGCTAATTGTGCTCGTGTCAGATCCGTTCCAGTCGGAGATCTCCTACTGTGGCAATTGTAAGACATATGATTCATAATGCGAATAAGCGAAAGTATAACCTACATATTAGTCCGAGCGATTTGCGGAGCGGATTGAACCTTTTATCTGGACCAGTTGACTAACAGCAATACCGTTCAGGCATACCGGGGCCATAGGAGAGTCATAATATTGACACAATGGAGTACTCCGTATATGCAGGCTTATTTCTTGGCGCTAAGATCCAAGAGAGCAACTTTGGACTTGGTAATCGGTTCAAAAGTAGTAAATTCTAGGCCAGCATTGCATGCAACCTCACCTCTGGTGGCTTGTACCTACGCAGGCCCTAGTAATCCTGAGTGCGGTATTGCACGAAATGAAGTGGAAAGTGTGCACATGAAAGCAAGAAATATATAATGCAGCATGAGATGGTCCCTAGACTTGCTTCAGGAGAGCATATAAGGAGTTTTTGCTCATGAGTAAAAGAACGTGGTCAGCTATCGCGAATGATAATCATCCAACATAAATTACAACGTTACCATCATAGGCGGCTTCGCAATACAACTTATCCTTAAAACTAAGGCGACTAGCAAGTCGGAACGAATGACCGCGAGGCTTGGCACCAGTGGTGGAAAGTACAGTACCCGCCCTTACAGATTCCACCCACCCCATCCTCTCACATAGGTTCGTTCCACTAAGTGTCCTGCCGCAGTAAAGCCAAAAGGCTCTCGCCGTTCGTCGAGTCTCTTGGCCCACCAAGCGGATGATACTCTTCACGCATTTGAATCGCGCTAACAACCTTGGCAAATTCAGTATAAGCATGGGTTTGGCAATCATGCCCGTGGATCCACTTCGGCCGCGGAATTGTTAGCAGCTCAGGGCACTTTTCAACTTCCGGCCAGTCAATGTTGAGCCAAAATCGCTCTAGTTCAAGACTACTTCTCTGTAGGAGAGCAGTTCGTGGAAGCCTTAGAGGGACTGTCAACGGAAGCTCGTAGAGATTGGACAGTATAGAATGATATACCTTATCTTCTCCAATGCATGAAGCGCCAAGGGTACTTCTTCCTTCCCAGCCAAATGCAAGGTAATCGCCAGCACTGCCGCGTCTTCGATTGCTTGGGCTGCCCCCTGCCCCGAGACAGGCAAAAACGGATGAGCGGCGTCGCCGATAATAACCATTCTGCCCCCCTTAGATCTCCAATTAGACAGTGCTTCTCTGATTAGAAGTGGATAATGCATAACGTTTTTAGCCAAGGTTTTCCGGATCGTGGATTCAATTTGGCCCCTCATCGGCCAGTCCCGAATCAAGTGGATCATGCCATCGACCTCTGGGGTCGGTGGTGCCTCTTTCTTTCGGTCATAGCAGTCATTATCCTGCCGAGAGTAAGCGAATGACCCATAACCTAACAGGGGTGGAGGGAAAGTTTCAACCCCACCTTATGTGTACACAGCCAAAAGACCATTTTGCCGTGCTGAATGGTGCTCAGAAGGACATGTACCCCATCCCCAGCAAACACTTTGACTTGATCGGCCTGGTCTGTGTGCGACAGTAGCCAGTGAGACCCCACAAGTGGCTCTTCGGTGGTCATCCAGCCGCGAAACACACAACTACCCGACGAACGGAGTTCAGGTTCGTAGCCGATGATATGTCGTCTCGCCTTGCTATTTACCCCATCACACGCAACGACACAGTCGGCGGTGATTTTCTCCCCATCCACAATAACCCCAGCGCTATTTTCGTCTTCCCAGTATTCGTCTACCTCCGAGGCTAGCCGCATGTCAATGCCTAGCGATTTGGCATGTTTGTACATGACTTGCGATAGCTCTCCTCGGGGGAGCAGATGGCCCTCTCCCGCCTTAAACCCATCGAGCTTATCCTCAGCTATAAACCGACCGGTTTGGTCGTATATAACTGTAGTATTCAACCGGGAGCTCAAACGTCCAAGCTCCTGGCCTACTGTCCCCTTGCCCCATTTCTCTATCACCCGGACAGCGTTGTGAGCAAGTGCGATGCCGTCGCCTGAAAACTCAGACCTTAGCATCGGGGGAAAAAGAAGACGAGAAGGGGGGAAAAAAGGGAGGAAGGAATGAACAAACCGACTGGTTTCAGCTCTTGTGCCTTGTCAAAGGCTATTACCGAATGCCCCTTTCGGTGGCATTCAATAGCCGCAGCCAGTCCGCCAATTCCAAGACCAATGATAATAACTTTGATGCCGCTGGAATGGGGCGGAGCTGTGCTATCAGGGCCGACCTCAACGTGCATTGTCATAATGAATAGATTACCATTAAGTTCCTTTTGTGTCTGAATTTTGTCGAGCTTGTGTCTGTAACTGGACGAAGGTCCTTCTTAAGTCACTACCTTACTCGCTATCAGTTGGCCGGACTCCAACAAATACATATGCCAAATAGTTATCAGCGCATACTCTGTAACTCAATGCGGCTTACCTTCTTGGGGAATAGTAACACAGATCTTCGTCCACAACAGTGCGTACGTGTACACCTGTCATTCGGTAACCCGTCATCTGGGTAAATGGACTGCGGGCGGATGTACATGGACATGGACGCCTTATTTCCCCTACATTAGGGCAATGCAGGGATTCATTCGTATTCAGCCGTTCTTGCAGATCTGCCCCAGTGAGTTCGAGAAAGGCAAAATACGACGTTGCAAGCAATATTGCCAAGGGACCTGTGAATACGATCACCCCCTCTCTTCCATCCGGGTGTCAACATTCTTCTTTCACCCAATGACTGCTTTCTACATACTACCATCTACTTGTTGATTTACTATTGTACACAACTGAGTTTCAGTTATCTCCAGGGTTAGCATCTACCAACAGTATGTAGACTTCCTGTTTCGCAGTCCTCTGGTTGCTCTCAATTTTCTTGTCTCAGAGCTCTCGCTGACTACCACTACAGTTTTTAAGACTCGCATCAATCTTGAGAATGATTGACCGTAAGTCACAACTGACCAACGGGGTCGAGAAGCACCACCCGGGCTAATAAATCTGTGACCCAAGCCGAAGTCAACTATGTCAAATCATGTGACTCCACTGTCGACACACCTGTAGGGGATTTTGGACCTCAAGACGCTGCCAGGCTACGGGAATGGAACAGATCCCTTCCGCCTCCCGTCAATTCTTGTGTGCATACGCAGATCTCGCGGCAATGCCACGAGGCTCCAGACAGTACTGCCATTGACGCCTGGGATGGAACAATGACCTATGCTGAGCTGGAACGAGTTTCCTCCGCATTCGCAGCCCATTTGATACAAATTGGGGTAGGGCGGGAGATAATTGTCCCGCTTTGGTTTGACAAGTCTCGCTGGGTGGTGGTGGCTATGTTGGGAGTGATAAAAGCGGGCGGTGCATTTGTGCTCTTGGATGCATCCTTGCCGTTGAAACGAATCCAGTTCATCGTCGGTGAGGTTAATGCCAGTATTATCGTGGCGTCGACCCAGTATACGGCCCGGGCAGCCGAATTGGTCCCTCAAGTAGTGGTACTGAACGATAGGCTGTTTGATCCGACTAAGCTTTCAGGGAATGATGAGAGTCTCAATTCGCTCCCTTTGGCCAGCCCCAGCAACGCAGTATATGTTATGTTCACCTCGGGCTCAACAGGCCAACCAAAAGGAGTGGTCATCGAGCATTCAGCCTTTACCACCAACTCAATGGCATATGCCAAGTCACTGGCTCTGACGAGTCACTGTCGCGTACTACAATTTGCATCCTATACCTTCGATGCCTGTATGATTGAAATCATGTCCACCCTGATGGTTGGCGGATGCGTCTGTATTCCGTCGAATGAGGATCGGATGAGTCGTCTAGGGGAAGTGATCGCCGACCTGCGGGTTGACTGGCTTCTTCTCACCCCTTCAGTGGCGCGGTTACTGAATCCTGCTGGTATTCCTACAGTCAGGCGTCTGGTTCTCGGTGGGGAACCATTAACTCAGTCTGATATTGAGAAATGGAAGGGACATGTGGATCTGTTCAATGCTTACGGGCCAACTGAGTGCGCGGCAGTGTCAACAACGCAGGCAGCGTCGACATTGGCTGACCCGCAGTATTTGTCCACCTGCCTCGGACAAGGGACAGCGTGCATTACATGGGTCACCAACCCTAACAATCATGAACAACTGATGCCGATAGGTGCTGTGGGTGAATTACTTATTGAAGGACCCAATGTCGGGCGAGGCTATTTGAACGGGAGCAATCGAACAGCTTCTGCCTTCATTGACCCTCCACAATGGCGCCAAGGTTTCCTACAGGGAACCACATCGGGTCGGTTCTATAAAACAGGAGATCTCGTTCAATACGCAACAACAGATGGATCACTGAAATACGTCGGCCGCAAGGACACCCAGGTTAAACTGGCCGGGCAACGCCTGGAGCTTGGCGAGGTGGAACACCATATTCGGAAATACTTCCCTAGAGCGCGGCATGTTATGGCAGCAGTAGTGCCTCGAAAGGACGGCTCCGACTCTCATAGGGAGATACTAGTTGTGTTTATTGATCACCCTGAAGAGTCGGATGAAATTCTCTCTCCTCTTTCTCCTGGAAGCGCTCTAGCCAGTTTGGCTAGTCTCCAAGCCTTCCGCCAGAGAGTCCTGGATGCAATATCTCAACTTCGAGAATCCCTTCCGGAGTATATGGTTCCCTCAAGGTTCATTCCGCTGTCTCGGACCCCACTGCTTCCCTCCGGAAAGGCGGACTTGCAACAGCTACGCAAGGAAGCACAGTCTCTCTCCCTCGATCAAATGAACCTGTACGGCATCTCCAATAGGGAGGCCACGTGCAGCCCCAAAAGCATGGAGGAACAGAAACTTCAGAAGATCTGGGCAGAAGTCTTGGAGATTCCGGCAGACCAGATCGGCCTACACGATGATTTTTTCCAGCTCGGCGGAAATTCACTCGATGCGATGAGGATGGTTGCTAGGGCCCGTATGGAAGGAATGCCGGGCCTGACTGTTTCGGTGGTTTTTATGTTCCCAGCCTTGTCTGCCTTGGCGAAAAGAGCCGATGCCAGATTGGGAGAAAGGCGACAAGACGAGGGCTATGCGTTGTCCGCAAAACTGGACGAGACGTCCCACTTGGATCTCTCTTCTCTGGACACTACTACTATTGTCAATAATGGATTCAATCCTGAGAGTATAGTCGGAGTTTATCCTACAACTGACTTCCAGCGCGTATATATTGAACCAGGACTGAAGAGCTATTTCCTCTGGAGAACGCGATCCTCGGAACCAGTAGAACCAGCTCGACTAACTCGAGCTCTTCAGCTGCTGGTAAACAAGCATAGTATTCTGCGGACGATATTCCTCCCACATCAAGATGGGTTCGTGCATGTTATCCTGGACCATGTTGATATCCAGCTGGCACATCACTCCGCAGGTGATCAGCAGCTGCTGGATGACGTCTGCAGGGCCTTATGCCAAGAAGACAATGATGCATTATTCCCAATTGGACGTCCGTATATACAGGCCACATTGGTGGAGTCTGGGGTCTCTGAAGAATACGCCCTTATTGTACGCCTGTCCCACGCTCAGTGGGATGTCGAGACGCTTCAGCTGTTCTTCCAGCAGTTGACAGATGCGTATAACGGCAAGTCAGTCTCTCCGCCGACGCTAGACTTTCCAACATACATGCAGTACCGCTTGGCGCAGAGAACAACAGAAGCATATACCTTCTGGCAAAGGTACCTCCAGGACTCCACAATCACTGATTGGACTCGATTGGGTACCGCGGACGGGAATCAGAATCGGACGCTAGTAATCGCTTTTGGGGCAGCCTCTCTTCCTCTCGCGCAACCTCGAGGCAAGACCATGGCGACGCTCGTCAGGGCTAGCTGGGCGTTGACTCTCGCGCGACTCACGCAAGAGACAGATCTCATGTTTGGCCATACAGTCAACGGCCGCAGTCTTCCGATCCTCGGTATTAATCAAACAATGGGTTGCTGCCTCAATACTGCGCCGATTCGGGTGATAATCCAGCCATCGTGGACAGCGCAGGATCTGCTTGAACACGTACATGCTCAGTACGTTCGCACAATCGACTACGAAACTTTAGATTTTTCTGATATCGTGTCTAACTGTACTTCGTGGCCTGAGCAAACCCATTTCAGTAGTGTGGTCACACACGACCATCTCGATACAGTCCCGACGATTGGTTTGGATAATCGGCCCGCTGAGCTGCAGCCGGTGCATGTCCGCGTCGCGGAGGATACTTTTCGACGCATGACCTGGCCAGTTCAGGTTATGACTGCTGCGCAGGGATCAAAAGTGACTGTGACGATTCTGGCATCAAGTCATATGCTGTCTCAAAATCGAGCCAACTGGTTGATGGGGAAGTTGACTGAGGCGATGGTGGAGCTGGCGAGGATTGATTCGATGGAACTTCTTAACCTGGCCCCTTATGATGATTTATGATGATTGAGATCTTTGATGTACGCTTTATCGAGTGAAAAAGATTATTTCAATTATAAACGACAGAGTCTGTGGTCGTAGTAGCTAGGCTACTTGTCGCTGTACCAGGCGGGCTGTTTCGTTGTATCCTTCATGCGACACAACTTCCTGGAGCTGCTGGCTTGAAGGCAGGGTCTCTAAGTGACACTAGGAGCGGCATTTGTACAGGTTCTGTGTGCTCATAAATCAGTGTCCAAAGACATTGATTCCTCATAGGCTTGAAGTGACTCCAGAAAGGAATTCAAAGTGTCCACATAAGAACAATACACACAAGAATAAAAAAAGAAGCCATCTAAATTATCATTTTAAGACCTTTCGACAAATAGAACTTACTTTCCTAAAGCGATTACCCCGTTTATCAGGCATTTACTCAGGGTTAAATCCGGCAAACCTGAAAATAAATATAAAGCTAATAGCGAGAATGCCCTTGTTGTGCCAATGCTTTGAACAGGAAGTTATGGCGATACAAAGCCGAAATATAACAGTACAAGCATGTGTGGAATGAAGTAATACTGTACGATCAGGCAGTTTAAAGGCCATGGGCACTAGAAGAGCCATAATATCGATATTTCACATTTTATGTTGACACTCCTGTCTACAGGTCAGTGTATCGGGCAAGGCAAGTCGGTCCATGATAAATCAACAGTTTTTTTTATGTAACTTAACAACCCAACTCCTAAACCATAAAAATAGGTGTACCAATCAATAGTCTTGTCTCTGATAGCAACTAATAGCTAGGCAAAATGGCACGATATAACCAAACAAACATGTCGAGCCCTAGCCAAGCCAATTCACCCTGCACCAGAATCCCGAGCCATGCATATACCGAAACTCTTAACTCTTTAAACCAGACTGAACCCCCCATCAATAAAATGATCCGCAGCAGTAATCATACACCAATCCCGAAAGAGCCCAGACCTAGGAGCATACCGAACAAACCCGTTAATCTTCCCATTCGGGTCCCAAACCGCTGACCCACAGTCACCGCTAACCACCTGCGAGCTGAAACCCTGACCCATATAATCCCACCGACAGTTGATCCACCGGCCATCGGGCTCGAATTTATTCCCGCTAGGAATATGAAAACGACTCTGTACCCCCCGCGCACCCTCAATCAGACCCGAAAACGGACTGTTGAAAAAGACCTGTCCTCTCTGCGGGGTCTCCGCCATGCGCACGAAGCCGGTTAGTGCGAATGGAGCGTTTTCAAATAGCGTATTAACAAAATGGACATTCTGGTTCAACTTGATCAGGGCGACGTCCGTGCCCGGCCGTTTTGCTGCAAGGGTACCGACCTCCGCTCCCGATGAGTGAGGAAGATAGACCTTCAAGCCATCCGATGCAAATCCCCGCGCCGACGCGGTCATGAACAGTTGACCCTGAGAATTACGCACGAGGACACCAGCAGACGTCAACATCCCACTTCCCGGCTTGGGGTGTCTGCCCAAGCTAAGCTTAGCACCCGGTCGCAGGATGGGAGCCAGGGCGTCTTGGTCATACGCGCGGGGAGTGAGCTGCTCCAGAGGCAGGGAAGGCAGTATAGCGGGAAGGCTCATCTCGGACTCATAAAGATAGGAGCAGTAACAACGGGCGAAGGTCCTGGGCAAACTCTCAATGACATTCTTTCTTTGCATGGCATTGCCAAGAACAATGACAACGATATGGCCCCAATACTGGACTTCAGTGATAGGGATCTTGAAATATTGAAAGAACCCCTTGATAAGGTCGAACAGGGCGGGGAATTTAGTTTCATCAAAGGTGTAATCGAAGTTAGTACAGGCATGCCGCCCGGGGGGCTGTGGGCATCTGAAAATCGGTTCCACGGGCCCATAATCCTCCAAATCTGTCGTCAAGTAGCACGGAAAACCGGCGACCCTTTTGGGCCATGGCTTTGGGGGCAAGTAATCGAGCCACAGAATCAAGATCCGCCCATCAAAGCCGGATTCCCTCAGCATGGGAAAGGTTTCCCTTAGGTGTTGGTCCCATTTCAGGAGGTGGAACATTCTGGGGTCGTGACGGGGATCAAAGTGAACAGTGATTTCGCCAGTCAATTGGAGGTCGATCGCATTTGGCACTAATGGCAACCTCTCAGTACCAGTGGCGAGGATAGTACTCTTCTTGTTGATATCGACACAGAGAAGAATATCTTGCTCCAACGGCTCTTGTTGACGGGTGGCTGCAAAAGCAGAGGCCCGCCCGTGAGTTGGCAATTCCATAGAAATGTAAGAGGAGGAATAAAATCTTGTTCCAAATGCGTGTATGACTTGGTAACTCAGATACAATAGGTTTATGTAAAGATTTTGTGAAGGTTTCTTGTGAGAGTGGTTGTCAGGGGGAAATGCTTCCACAGTGGCACTTAGGGAAAGGTTAACAAAAAGTTGGCAGTGTGACTGATTACATTAGTAGCATATCATCATCTACGTATGAATGGAGGTCTTATTCCATAATGAGTCAATTCTGAGCCATGGTAGCAAAACCGCCATGAGAACATTCTGCGGCACAGATATGCAGATAACAAGCTATCTCAGTTAAGACTGCACTTCAGCACCATCGACCTCATTATCCTGCTGCAGCAGCTGCTGCTGCTCCTCACCCTTCTGATACTTAGCTTTCCAATGGGCCATAACAACCTTCGCGAGGCCTCGAACTGTCCCAGCCTTATTTATCTCCGCGAGACCTATATCAACTCTCCGGTAGCGTCGGACCGAGCTTTTGACCTCAATAGCTATCAAAGAATCAGTTACCAAGTTGGCTGTGTGTTCATCATCCATATCCGCAAGTGTAGCTATAAGGCCTCGAATATGCGCACCTAAATCTTTGATCAAGATCCGCTCTGTCTCTGGGTCATCTAAAATGGCGGGGTTGGCCTCAATACGGTCTGCAAGATCCTTAAGAGGATCATTAGATTTGTAGTCCCCCTGTACCTCGAGGTTGTAGTAAAAAGTGAAGCGAGCCTCGTTCATCCACGTTGCGTGAAAGGTCGGATCGGAGCTGGGCTTTGTGTGGCTCATACCAATAGTGGACACGAAGGTGCTTGGGTCTGAGAGGCGATTAACAGAGGATTAGAGGATGGATAGGGCTATACCCTCCAACAGGTCTTTGTCGGACAAGAATCTAATTGAGATGTCTCGGAAATGTTGCATGATCTTCTCATGATAGCTTAACCGTCCGACGTTTGCCACTGGCCCAAGTTGGATGACGGAGCAAGGTAGGCCACAGTTGCGCCGGTAGTGTGCAATTCCCTCTAGCAAGCTGTTTGCTGCTGCATAGTTGGGCTGTCCCGCATTGCCAGTCACAGCGAAATTAGATCCCACAAAGTACGAAAAAGTCAAGAGGGTTGCCATCGAGGGTGTAATGCAAGTTCCACGCCCCGTCCACCTTTGGAGCTATACTTGCGGCCCATTGCTTGTAAGACATTTCTGCAATGGTTTGGTTCTGAGAAGACCTTGTATCAGCATTCATTTAAAGGATATCGGCAAGGAGAGAATAACTTCTTACCATAATTGTCACAGCCAGGTGAATAACGCCAGCGAGAGGCTTTCGGCATGCAGAGACTGCCTGCTGGACATCACTGAGATTTATCTCACTTCCGGTTACAATAGCTACGGAAGACCCTTGAGCTTTTAATTCCTGTAGAAATGCCTTATCTTCCGTTGAGAGCCCTGCAGAATGGGACAAGGATACAAGCTCCCGAGCTCCACTTTCAACCATCCAAGTTGACACAGTTTTGCCAATTCTGCCGAGGCTGCCGACTAACAAATACGACTTAGTTGAGGGAAAGGTGACATTTGGTGGACAAGGGATGCATGGGAGTGTCTCAGGCTCTTCGGGCATCTGAATGAGAATCTTCCCCATGTGCGTTCCCGTATGCATATAGCGAAAGGCATCAACCATCTCTCTCGCTTGATAGATTGTTACTGGACGAATGGGTGCGATGGAATCGCTATCCATACTTCTTCGGATACCGGATACCAACCTGAACGAGGGTGTAAGCCTAAGGACAAGCTAGTTCACTGCCAAATCAATAATCAAGATATGACTTACTTGTCAACTGTTGGGGAATCCCCATTTATTATGTCCATCAAATCGGTACCGAAGAAGGCTCGGTTGCTTGAAAACGGAACCATGTCCAGCGTCCCATGAGCAAGAATATCCCTTGCGCCCTGCTCTATCATCTTTCCGTACTCGGTTACACATTCCCATGCTGCCCGGAGAAGACTTCTTGCTAATGAGTTGGGGACTACATCGGCGCCGCAGCCCCCGGTCACATGCATAAGATCTGGTAGGAAGCTGCTGTCTCGAGAGTGGGAAATATGTTTCAACAAGATATCGAGCTTTCTCCTCGCTCCCCACTGTTGCATATATCTGTGTCGCCCAAGCTTGTTATTCTTTATACCCTTATCAAATGGATAAATAGAACAAAAGAAGGGAAAGAGGAATATGCTCAGTAGTAGTACAAAAGAGCTTTTCTGACCGTGGCTTGGATAATTTGACAAATATGAATAGAGGCTATTCCTACAGCACCGCAGGCTGAATGAATCAAAACTGTCCGTTTGCTATATATATTAATAAGCTAATTTAACCAATGGAAATCAATGTCATTCTCTGACCTGGCATCTTTCTCGATGCTGGCTAGGTGAATCAATGCCTAGATGGCGGTAGTATAGGCATACGGAATGGTTATTGCACTCTCAAGACTGTATTTCTCGTCGATCTTGAAACAGATCCTTTCTGAGATTATAATGCGTGTTCGAAACGAACCACAAGAGAAGGCAAGAGCCTTATCCCTAGGTTTAACATGCTCAACTGCAGATCCAACGCGGCGGACGATGCCAGTGCATTTAGGACCCAATTGGCTTCCATCACCTACAACCCCTAGAGCAATCGTAATATCCTATAATGCATGTTAGCTAATGAGTATCTAATTTAGGAATCAAAAAAGTCACGGGACATACTATAAAGTTGAGCCCAACATACTTAACCTACTTAACATCAAGCTCTATCTCATCTGGGCCTAATCTCGAAACGTCTTCACAGCTGGTGTCCAGCAAAGTGCCTCTATCAGTCCATACGCCCCGAGACTGAGCTTCTTCGGGACGCCTTCATTGAAGCGAGGGGTGACAAAGTTGACAGTGGCCCAAGTGTGACTGGAAACATGCAGGAGACCCTCAGAGATAGCGTATTCATACCCTGGAAAGACGTCTACCCGCTGAATGTCTCGATCGTACATTTTGTTCGCCACTTGCGTCAGTGCGGGGGCTGATTTAGCATCGAAGGTCCAGTTCGACTGTCACTATATCCTTGTCTAATTCTTGCCGAGCTGTCCGCATGAAGCCATAGGTTAGTGCAATATGTGGGTCAAAATCAACACTCGACCTTAGATATAATTGTGGAAGAACCCATAAGAGCTGGTTCTGCCCTCTCTGGGCCATGTAACCTTGAAGTACATGGTACTTACCCTCTGGCAATTTCCAACACAAACTTGCTTGTACCCTACTACACCAGGCAGCGCTTACGATATTGACAACATTGCTCTACTTCTTTGCACATCTGGCACGGTTTAAAACGCCTGTCATAATTGTACGCCCTTCTTGTGTTGTATATTCCCGGCAACTGTTTATCATACCAACTCGAACCTCTCTTGAGATCGGGCCTTAGCTGGTGTCGAAGCGCAAGGTAAATACATGAAGCGCTATCGAGAGTACAGGCAACCATGCTCTGGATTTCGATGGGAAGAAAATCATAGTTGATGTAAACATCAAGTGAGAAATCTGGTTACCATCACAGACCTTTGTTGTCGACCACACGGTCCACGCTCATACATTTATAGGAGGTTTTGAAACTCCGCCACATTCATGCTCCATGCATAAGTTCGCAAAAAAAAAAAAGAGAGAGAGAGAAAAAAAAAAAACAGAGAGAATTGTCTAGACCCCTTCGATTATCCATATATATAACCTCTAGTACGATATCCAAATAGCCATAAGAGTCTTCCGCGATAGAGGGCCATTATCCAGTATTATCAAAAGTACGAGGAATTGATTTCTAATTGACAGGTTCTGTAGCATTGTTTGCACCTCTTTGGGGGCCTTTCTGCTAAGCCTCCCCACGGTAGGTCCCACTTCGAAGGGTCCAAATATACACGATTCAACCAACCCTAGCATTTGATTACAGTACGCTAACGGAAGAAAAATGGGTCTGACGTTCCATGATGCTCCCCTCTGCATATACGGGTTCGGGGATATTGATTGGATTTGATCCTTAGTGGGGGCTAGTTAATGGGACGCCTTAATCAGGCTTGGTTGCGCCTAGACCCTATATAAAGGAACATGGGGTCTGGTTAATCTCGCCAGATCACCACTTGACCTCCCTCAGACTCGCCTTGAAGATCAAAATGGCCCTCGAAACCGTTAGGGCGAATTTGCAAAAGCTCGAAGAATTTCTGTCTAGACACCCGGAAATCCAACATGTCACATCGTCCTCCCCAGAATATGATAGCACCCGGGCTACTTTTGTGGCCCGCCCGGATGTCACTCCAAGTGCAATCGTCCGACCACCAACCATCGAAGATGCTGTCTCTATCGTATCCTTCTTAATTACAAATAAGATCGAGTTCACCGTTCGAGTTGGCGGCCATGATATGTTGTCAAGAACATTCAAAGATATGATTGTCGGAGTAGACCTCCGACTCATCAACCACGTAGTGATAGACGAGAATCATCTCACAGCTCGAGTCGGAGGCGGGATTCTAATAGGTGATCTTTCTAGGAAGCTCCATGAGCATGGGCTAGCAACTGCCACGGGTACAATCTCCCCCGTTGGGTACGTTGGCTGGGCCATGTATGGCGGCTACGGGCCATATAGCACTCAGTTTGGACTGGGTGTCGACCACATAATAGCTGCCAAAATTATTAATGCTCAGGGAGAACTAGTTGAGGCCGATGCGGATCTTCTGAAAGCGATTCGCGGCGCTGGGGGGGCATTTGGGGTTCTGGTCGAGGTGACTATTCAAGTTCATCGGCTGGATAAGGTATCTATCTCTACCCTCTAAAGGCCACGTCTTGGGTCTTCAAAATTCCCCTTTCTGACCTGTCCGTGAATAGATATTGGCTGGTGTACTCTTCCTTAAGTCCGACGATATACCTGCCGCTGTTCGGCAGTATAATGAGGGTTACAGAAGGCTATCGGCTGAGGGGATTCCAGCAGCTCTAACCATTGCACAAGCCGCTGTTAACACACCACAGGGCCTGGCTCTCTTATTGCTTGTTAATTGGAGTTCTCTTGATTTTGAGTCTGGAAAGATTTGGGTCGATAAAATATCTAGACTTGCTCCTGTAGTACTGAACACGGTCAAGGAGACGACTCCGCCGGGCTGGTTAGAAGAGGCAGGCCGACTAGTCCCTAGGGAAACTCAAGGTCGCATGTATACGATCAATGTGAAAGCTATCACCAACGAGGTTGTCGACGTGATCAGCACCCATTTACAGAGAATGCCGTCTGACCCTCACATAATCTGGGACATGCATGAGCTCCGTCGCTCATCTCCGTCAGCAAGGCCAAGGTCAGACTCCGTATTTGCCGCCCGGGAAGGTCATTTCATGTTCGAGATCGTTTCCATCGCGGAGAAGAAGGAGAATCTGGATTCGGTTTTGGCTTGGGGCAAAGAGTTTCAAGAAGCGTTGTACAAGACAGATCCGGATAACATACTGGCCGCTACCTACCTTTCGATGACAGCACCGGATGAAATAGATTTGACTAAGGTCTTCGGCGAGCATTACGAATTTATGCGAGAGTTCAAACAAAGTCATGACCCTCATGGTGTTTTTTCGAATGGTTACGTACGTTTCTGATGTTCTCCTGCATGTATATATCAAGGCGTCCAGCTCTAGGCTTATTGTCCTCTGAGAGAGTTTACTAAAGAGTTTGGTCCAAGAAACTTCACACAAATCTCGATATGAACGACAATTTAGATATCTGTGCCAACTTTCTTTGCCAGAGTTACACCAGTCAGGAAAGACTATTATCTTTTTGTAATTTACTATAGCAATCTCAAGCATATTCCCTTCCCCTAATCAGATTTCTGGGTTTCAAAATACCAATAACACTTCGTACAGTCATAGACATATTAACATCGATTAAGTAGGGAAACTGTTTTCAAAAATCCAACGAGAGTTTCCCACATACATAAGGCACCACGAAACGCCATCGTGGGGAATATCCTGTGGACATATGGCGGCTATGACTCCGCAGTATCTTGTTTGCATTATCCCATCATTTTATCTTTGTGCTTTTTCTGTTTGACAAGTCTGACGCTGTTTTGATCGGTTCTGGAATATTTTTATCATCACACGCACTTTGTTAGGATCTCTGTTGTGCTGTATACCTCCCTGGGTTCCGTTGGTAAATCAGGGCCTCGGACGTACGAAGCATCGAGTGTCAAAAACTGAAATTGACGCCTTAATTTAAGCTGTACTAGCCTGCACTTGCAGCGAGGGAAGAGAAGCAGGTAAGCACCACTACGTCCGCTATGGCGTCCTCGGCCGGAATAAAGAAAGTTAATCTAGGAATAAAATCGCGAGGACAGATATATGGCGAAGATAGATTATCTTATGAAGGGAGATATCTTGCGAAAGAAAAATTCTTGTGAAGATAAGAGACCTCACGAGAATAATCCAAAAAAATAAAGAAAAACACTTGCACCATAAGAGGAAGACCCCGAGCCAACATTGCGGGCCCTTCTACGACTCCCCCTTCCACCGCGAGAGAGTCCGGGAGAGAAGGACACGGAAGGGATGCCGTTTGAGAACGACAGAGAAAACTCAGAAGAACACGACGACATCTGTTGCGAGGGAAATAAATATCTCGCGAAAAACGCCCCGAAGGCAAGGGAAACTTACTGCTGTAGTAAGTGAGAGCAAACAGACGGTGAGAGAGGGACCTTCAATGGGAGCCTATTTCCAGAGGTTCCCTATCAATGCGACTTTTGCCAATACCATAATATCTACGTGACATGCAAGGGCATCCACCACGCTGCGAAAGTGTATCAGTCAACATGGTCAGTAGGTAAACTGGCCTAGCCCATTCTTTGATAACAGACAAATGAAGAAAGAAGTGTACGTAGCCAAAGATTCAATATGCACGCTCAGATTCCCCAGGTCCCGTATTTGGGATCATCCTCTGGCGGCTTAGGAATTGCTAATTTGATGAGATCCTTGAGCTTCTAAAAGAAACGAATGGTGACTCAGATGGGGAGTAATTAGCTGTCAGGAAGGACTCAGTACTAGATGATTATATGGCTGAACCTCCAGTTCCTAGCCTCATCAAAGTTGCTCTTTGTTTCTCTATTACCGCGACGGCCAAATGAGTAGCTGGCCTAAATATTATGGGCTACTCCAGTCGAGAATTGAATATGGCTTGGATGATGTGTCGTCACCGGTCCTAGGGGACTGGTGGAGAGGTCGTCATAGTTGCACGCGACTCATTAGCCTAATGTCGACAGGACTCACCCATGACATATTGCGGCTCCTGTTCATTTATAATCTGTGCACGTGTGCTAGTCAAATCCCTTCTTCGCATCGGTGGTAGCGCTCCTGTCGAGTGGTGTTCGAACTGGCGTCCAGTGGCGGTGTAGGCAAGATAGATATCCTAACAACTAAAGCTGAGACTTGACTTTTGAGGGATTAGCAAGTCTTCATAAGGTTATGAGATCGTATTTGAGACTTCCGATTTTGAAGTTCCTTATTTCCTAGAAGCAGTCCCATGCCTTCATCGAAGTGTATGTGTAGTGTAGCAGTATTTTGTGTGATGTCGTGCAATTCAGGTTCCTGATTAGGGTCTGCGAACGCCATGATTCAATGCGAAAAATTAGCTTTAAGGAAGCAAAAAGGACACCATAGAATGCGGGAGCAGGCTATCCAGCATTCATGGCTAAGCGATAGCTCTAAAGCCTCCATAAATCTTTGCAAGGGTTTCCTCAGAAAAGTAATATGTGGGAAGTCAAGAGTTGACGATGCCTCCTGTCTCGCAAGTTCACGGTAGACGGACTATGTTTAACCCCTTAAGAGGCTTCGCGCGGCTATCATAGGTCCTCCTCCTGGTATTCAGGTTTTATCAAGTGTTTCGTTCTTGTCGAAGTCGTGGGTCCAATTACTAGCTCGGACCTTAAGTGTTGTCCCCAATATGGTCATTACAGCCCAGGCATCGGCAAGTTTGGTGTACGCAAGAGGCCAGCCACCGCGTAGGACATTCTAAGACCAGATGACCAGATGCCAGTGCTCGTCAGCAGATGGATTGGGGCTAGTCACGTTATTGAACTCTCGCTTGGGCTCCAGGTGCTTCAGCTGTTTACTCCTTGTAACCCGTAAGTTGGTCTCGGAGAATAAGAACCACTGGGCTGGCCGAACGGTAGTAGCTTGTCTAATTTGTTGGCAGGTTCTCAACGACAAGGAAATATCGAATATTTGCGCTCAGTCGTCGACCGCCATTAGAAGTATACCGTGCTTCGATACACCCCTTAGAGTTCATATCGATGCAAAGCTCCAGGGACTGAAGGACAAACCAGGCGGCCGGGGCAGGAGGTGGTTTATCGATATCAGTTGGGCCAGCGACAGAACCAGCTATCGCATGCTCAAAATTATTAATTGCTGCTCGGAGAGCCGCAGGTAGTAGGGGAATAGCGTGCTAGGGCACCGCAGGTGGCAGGAGCAGAGGACTAGGGTTCCTTTGAACAATTTACTACCATGTACAGAGGTTGATCACTGGTTTCTGAAGCTATTGGGGTGCGGTGAGGGTTTTACTGCAGCGGGTAGCATGTGACCACACGTGCTACTATATCAACCGCAGGCGCTGTAAGGTGCGCCTAACATTACCCCACTCTCTCAGAAAGCCCTGAGGCCAGGGCTTCGTAGGTGCTTATTCATACTGGCGTAGGATCCCGCCTTATGCGGGGTGTAGGCGTTCGGTGGTTCTTAGCAGTGTGTGATTTCACGCTTGGGGATAGCCTCACGTTTTCCATTTCGGGAAGTGTAGGAACGTTAGTTGCGTTGTAGAGGGTCCGATCCCGATTTCTGCCGGGCGCCCTATGGTCTGAAACGCCCGATTCCATTCACTTACTTGACATCGGGCGGCGGTGTTGTGTTGTGGTTGCGTTGTGCCATTCACTAATTCCGTTGCCTAGGCGCCGTTTGTGTTGGACGTCACCTGCTATAGAGCGATTTCTCACGCGCTGTTCCCCATTCCTTTACTCAATCACCAACCTCTCCTACCTCCGCGGTAAGCGCCTCGTTTTTCCCCATCACGCCGCGCGTTTGGGTCATTCCGATCGCAGTATCCCATTCTGCTCGTTGCGTTGCCCGTATCTTGCGGTGTTGAGGCCTCCTGAGCTATCAGGTGTGGCGCTGTTGCGTTCATCGTTCTGCTGATGATTGTGTTCTGCGTTGAGCTCTTTCCCGCTTCCTTTTATTGCTTCGTCTGTGGGCTTCCGCATATGTTGATTTCGCTGGTGTATTCAACAGATGGTCAAACGTCGTTCCGCTGCCGCTCGTACCCTCCGCCGCGCCAATAGGCGCAAGAAGAGAAACTGTGCCCGTCTCCTGCGTCGCCAGCGGGCTTCAGCCCCTCCTGCATCTCCTCCCTTTGGGGGCTTTTCGCCGAGTCCGTCCCCGGCCCCCTCTTCAGAGGAAGCTGTTGCGCCACTGGATAGCGGGGATGGTATCGCGCTTGGAGCCCCCCTTAGCGGGGAAGATCTCTG